CCCTAAACCCTAAACCCTAAACCCTAAACCCTAAACCCTAAACCCTAAACCCTAAACCCTAAACCCTAAACCCTAAACCCTAAACCCTAAACCCTAAACCCTAAACCCTAAACCCTAAACCCTAAACCCTAAACCCTAAACCCTAAACCCTAAACCCTAAACCCTAAACCCTAAACCCTAAAAATCGAACCCTAGTCCTCCAAACCCTAGTTTACCCCGCCCTAACTCCAGTAGTCCTCCACCCAAAGCCAGTATCACACATTTCCAAAAAACCCAAACCGCGGCCTACGCCCGCGACGACGTAAAGGTCCGGGTCGCCGCCGGCACCCAGAGTTCCGCGAAACGCGCGCGTACACAGATGCAAATGCGTGTTTCATGCGTGTACGCAAAATTCCAGCGTCGTCGACCGCCAGTGTAGTGGTTTCGGTGACCCCTTTACTCGCGCAACTTTCAGGGCGGCAAAAGCGTCATGTTCCAGAGACACTGCTAACCCTAGTTTCTAACCCTAGTTTCTAACCCTAGTTTCAGGGAGGCGCGTGCGGGCGACGCGCGCTGGGAGACGACGCGGGACGACGACTGCGACGTGGGTCAATCGTTTTGAATTCCTGTTTTTTCTATTTTTAGCCCGCGATCGTTCATTCGCGATCCCCGTGTGGTTCGCGCATGTGCATCTACACGCGCTCGCTCGCGAATGTCACATCGCGCAAACGAGAAAACGCCTAAAAAACGCTCGAGAAACGGCACTGTTCGGCGCGCGCGTCCCGGCGCGACGGGGCGTCGCGCGTGTCGTTTCGAGCACATATACTCTCGCGCGTGCGCCTTACACGTTTTCGCGTGCGTCGCTCGTGCGCGCGCGCTCACACGCGCGCGAAGCGGCGACATTTCGCGCGGTTCCGAGGTGCGTTTCCGCCCGAGGGTGTCTCGGCGTCGCGACTGCGAGTCGCGAGGCGCCAGTGAGCACCGCGACGAGCTCGTGGTGAGCGTTCGACCTCGCAGGTCCGCGCGTGCGTTCGCGTGTACGCGTTCCGCGGCGCTCGCGGGCGGCGCCGGCGCGCGGCGCGCATGCACTCGCGACTGATTTCCCGAGGCGCGCGCGTTTCGCGAAGTCGAGGTTCTCGTGCCGACCTCACTGCACGGCGCGCGCTCCATTACGCAGGCGTAACCTGTGCGACGACACGCGCGATGAACTCAGCCGGACGCGGCATCCATCCACGCTCACGTGCGCCACCTCGTCGCAGTTTCACTCCGCGGCGCGGACGACGCGGGCGCCTCGGAGACGCCGCGCGTGTTCGACGCGTTGGATTGGATCCAACGCGCGGTGACGGGCCGGAAACGCGCGCGCGACGATGCGGATGCGAAAGATCTGGGAAGCGACAGAGACCAGCGACGGCGGCTGCACGACGCGGACGGCGCGGATGTTGGGCGATTCGTCGCGCAGATTCCGGTAGTAGGTCACAGCGACGCGCGACCTCACAGCGACGCCCGTTGGCGTCCCCGTTCCCACGATCCAGCTCGCTCGGCGATTTTTCATTCACTTGGTGTCCGCACCGACGGTGTTCCAAGGAATGGACACGTTCGCGAATACGTTTTTGGTGCACTCCGCGCGGCGGCGGCGGAGTTGACGTTCGACGCCGAGCGCGGTGGCCCAAAACGCGTCGCCGACGAGCGGTCGGCGACGGTAGAGAAACAACGGCAACACCATCTGTAGTCGCATGTGCATCGCGTCCCAATCCGAATTCGCACGCTCCAACGCGTCTGGTATCGTTTGAAAGTCCCTCTCGGGTATCATCACCGAAAACGCCGACCAATCGACGAGCCAACTGAGCGGTAATTCATAGTCGTCGGCGAGAATCACCGGCACGCATCCAAAGAGCATGGACTCGATCAATCGCGGACTGTGCACGCGCGTCCCGCGCATGTACAGGCAGAATCTCGAGTTTTTCATCTTCGCGGTGTATTCTTTCGACGTGGAACAACTCGGACCCAAGTCATACATCTGGCCGCGCGTATTTTTGAGCAAGAAGTCCGCGATCTCGCGACGATTCGGAAACGAATTGATCGCCCCTCGAAACATTAATAGAGTCTCTCTCTCGGCGTTGGCGAACGCTCTCCGTCTCGCCGCGTGCAGCGGTATCACAAAACTCAAACTATTGATGGCGCTGACGTCCTTATCGGGATGAAACGGTGCTTGCGAAGTGTGCGGACGCGAGGGTGAGATTGTCTCGGACGACGCGACGACAAACGTCGTCGATAAGATGACATCCTTGTGTCGCAACAGAGACATCGTGCTCGAACCGTGAGTAATGACGGAAAAGCGACTGCAACTTTCACCGCTCCTCACCCACGCGTTCGGATCTTCGGCCGACGCGTAGTCTATCGCGTGTTTCACACCTCGAGCCATCGCGCTTCGACCTTTTTCCGAAAAATGTCTCAACTTGTCCATGACGCGATCAAAGTACGGATTTAAAGGCAACAAGTAGGCGTCGTTGACGTCATCGACGCTCGAAGCGCACGATGAAAACGGACCGTTTTGGAAGTTTCGATTCAGAAAGTCCTCCACGTCGAACGCACGATTCCAGTTCATCGCCACTCGTCGAATGAGAGCGTTGCGCACTCGCGTCCGCGTCGGTTGCCTGAACGATTTCACGCAGAGTCGTCGTGGTAAACTTTCCATGGATGCACACAGCCCGGTGAAACCATCGTATCCCGAAGAGCGTCGTAAAGGAAAATCTTTACCATCACCGACGCCACCGTCCGAGCACATCGCGCGAAACGTTGGAAATCCGTACTCATCGAATCGCGTCGCCGCGTCTCGACGATATCCGCCGCCGCCGCGACGACCCACGAGATGCCTCATCAAAGACCACGCGTCGAGCAGCTGCCCCTCACTCGCCGACCGGAACTCCCGCACGTGCACACTTCGCACGCCCACCGACATCATCGCGAGGGACGTGATCGCGGAAAATAGAAACAACGCCATCAACACGACGCGCAGTGACCGCATGGTGACGCTCACGCGCGCGCCCAGCCGCTCGAACGCGCGCACCACACCCGGGCTCATCGCGCGGTGACCGCGGCATCACCAGGGGTGCGGTGACCCACCGCACCCGCCGTCGAGCGACCCGGCGACGCGCGCGTCACCGCGACCCACGGCGCACGTCCAAGTGGCGGGCGTCTCCCACGATGTGCGGTGCGTGCGTGACGCGCGCCTCAAAGTGTCGTCACTCCTTTTGTTTGCCACGCGCCGATTGGATCTCCTATCAACTTTACAACTCATTTCTTTCTACACGAAAGCGACCTTCGCGCCGATTTGAGTTGTTGATTCAGCGACGTCTGCACGTCGAAGGCGCCGAATATATCAAGATGGTATCTACCCGATTTTTCGAGCGACTCCACTTCGGCTCGACCGAGTATGTCATCGAGCGCGCCACGCACGGACGTCTCGATTCGCACGTCCCCGCATACGTACACGTGTCCGCCTCCTTTAATCAAATCGCGAATCCCGTCGCCGTTCTCGCGCATCACGGCGTCGACGTACATTTTCGGCAAGTCTGGCTCGCGAGAATACCCGACGAGGTACGCTGTCAACGCGCCATTTTCGGCGGCGATTTCCATCTCGTCGCGATACAACTGATTTCCTCGCGTTCGACATCCCACAATAAGCCATGCGTCGCTCCTTTGTTCAGGCGCCATGCACGCGCGATGATCGACGAACCCCTTAAAGGGCGCTATCCCAGTCCCGCCAGCGATCATCAGAATCGGCACCTTCGGAGACCGCGGCAATCGAAACGCCGGCGCCGGGAGCATCTCGACCATGACGTTTGTGCGCAAGGGCAACGTCGCCAAGAAATCAGAACAGAAGCCGAGATGCATGTGCGAATTCACGCCGTCGCCATTCCTGTACGTCACACGTCCGACGGTTAAAGAAAACACGTTATTTCCGACGGCGCGCGGCGAGCTCGAGACGGAGTAATAACGCGCGCGAAGTTTTGGTATCTTGAGAAGAATGTCTCGCAGCATTTCGATGCCCACCGCCTTGTCACGGCGATGCGTCGCGCTCAACGTCGGAAATTGATCGAAGAGTGTAGATATCCGCGCGCCAGTCTGCGAAATCCACTCTCGCCGCGCGTCTTCATCGAGTGCCAAGTTTTCCATTTGTGCTTTGCACGTTTCGTCGTCGACGTAATGCGCGAGGGCTTGCAGCAACTCCGCCGATGGCTCTTTGTTGATATCCAGCACCGTAGTGAAAAGATAACCGGCACCGACTGGGTTCGGAATGCTCGAGTCGAGTGAATTCTCAAAGATTTCTGATTCGTCCAGAGGAACTAGTTCGATTTGATCGTCAAAGTCGATGCCAAAGTGCGCGACGAAATAGCGCGCGCGCGCTTCGCTCGTTCGAGGGTACACTGAAACATGATCGCCGGGTTTGTAAAACTCGGTGTCTCGATGCCCGCGCGGTAAGGTGAGTGTCACGGCGACAGTGTTCAATCTACTACCGTCGCCGAGCACGACTCGATCGGTTAACGTCGCCGGCACGCCTGCTCGATGGTCAGCCGTGTGGTCTCGTCCGTGCACGTCACGGCGACGCACGTTCAAGACAAACGACGGTTGAAGCCGCGCCCCGCTTACAAGCTGATTGGTCAAAAGATCGCGCAGCGACGCGGTAATGCGCTCGTGTTTGTGGAACCAATTGAACAGACTCTTCGTGAACTCGTGCACGCTGGCGTCTTCACCCTCGAGCTGATCGGCGCAAACCATAGGAAACATCTCTTTCGCGTCGGCTTCGCGGAGTGCCATCGCGAACTGCTTGCCACCGCCGCAAAACTTTGGATAGGCGCGCGAGCCGAACGCGCACAACGCGAAATTTTTGTCTTTCAACGCCTCGCGCGCTCCGTCACTACGGCACCACTCGATGAACCTTTCCGACCCCGTCGGAACTGCCCCCGACCCCGTGGTCGACGCGAGCACGATTACGAATTCAACGCGCTCGAGCGCTTTCAAAAGGTCGTCACTTCGCAGGTCAGGATTCGCGACGTTGATTGGCCGAATCATCGGAAATCTTTGCCTCAAGAACAACCACAGCCATGACGCGCGTGCTTGCGTGCGGCCTCCGTCCGAAGCGTACAGAATAAGCGCTCCCTTTACTCGCACCATGCGCTTGCGCCACTTCGCCGCCGCGACGGCGACGTGCATCGCCGCTTGAGACAGCCCAGAAGCGGTGAAGAAGTTGGCGCGCCGCGCGCGAATCACGAGTTGATTCAGACTCATACCGCCGACGAGCGCCGGTTTCAGCGTATACTCCGTCATCTTGTTCAAGCCGAGATAAATCGAAGACGTCGAAGCCGCGGTGGGGGGTACGATCCACTTCCAATTTCCAGGCGCATAGCCGCGATCTTTCATCTCATCCGCGTACCACTGCGCAAAGGATTCGGCGCACGTGTGATGGTCAGCGATGCTCACACGCGCGCGCTTGAAAGAATACAGAACGGCGTAATTTATCGCAGCGAGCGCGTGATCTTTCCATAAAGTTTCGTTCGTAGACGTGTCGATGCCCATCGCTTTGGCAATTCGTGGCGCGAAATTATATCGCGACTCGTCGCAAAAGTTGCGCGTCGCTATCTCAGTCACCATGTACCAACCGTTGAAGGGCGCGGCCGTGTAATGCAAACCACCGAGATCGAGCGTGATGTTCGACACGGCTGGGATGCCATACCAGCGCAATCCGAGCTGCGAGATGCCAGGAATCGTAGGGTGGTGAATCGGTACCTCGAGCAAGCACTCGTCGGGAAGTTCGTAAATGCTCGGCGGCGTCGAAGGACTGATTTGCACCACAATCGGAAGCGGATCGAACGGAGTCTCCGCACCGCCTTTCGGTACCCAATCGAAATACTTCTTCACGGAGTCGGTGAAGTGCAACTCTGCGGGGTCGCCGATTGTGGTTTCGTTCGGTCCTCGATGGCCCGCGTATCGAATGAGTTGCGAATTCCAAACGCGCGGTCCGTCTTCGGTGTTCGGCGTCTGCGGTTTAAACACCGTCATGAGCACCGGAATGTGATCACCGCCTATTCCACGCCTTAAGTGTTCCTTAATAGCCTCAAACATCTCGTCGTTCGTCTCGGCGTCTCGAGCGTCGATGACGTCGAGCGTCGCCCAGAATTTTCTATTAATGCACTTCGGCGCGTTGCGCCACGCGATTCGCGCGCCCCAACGAATCTCGTCCAGCGTGTGCGCATACGTCCCCGTGGTGTCGATGGAGTCGAGTATGTGTTTTACTCGTGCATCCGTAATCTTTTCATCAATCCCTCGTTCGTGACCGTACAACCGCGCGTACTCTTCGGCTTCTCTTCTCAGTTTGTTTCCCGCGCTCTCGCGCTTCGTCTTCGCCGCTTCCAACGGCTCGCACCCGCGCGGGCACACCGCGGGACGCTTTCCGTGCACGTATCCCGGGTACGGATCCACGGACACCTGCGTTCGAGCGTCAATCATCGCCAAATCGTCGTCAATCGCCGCGCTAACGGTTTCAACTCTGTTCTTCGTCGCGTCGCGTCGACGCACCGTGCCGTGCCCGAACGGACATCGTTGCACGGGTAATCGCGCATCGTCCGTCGCGCCGTCGTCGTCGTCGCCGTCGTCGTCGCCGCGTCGACCCCGCTTCGCGCGCGACGCCATCGCGACCGAGTGTGGGGCGGCAACGACCCGACGACCGACTCGGCGCGCGGTCGGGCGTTTCGGTCCCGTCACTGCGCGTCGCGCGGACGCGTCGCGCGTCGCGTCGCGTCACCGCCGCGCGAGCGAATCGAGCGTCGGCGTCGCGGGGCGGGAGACGAAAGTCGCGACGAACGGTGGACCGCGTCCGCGACGGCGCGCGCGCGAACGGCGACGTCGCGCGCGATGACGTCTTCGAAGGCGATGGCGGTGATGATGTGCGTCGCGATGCGTGTTTTTGACGCGCGCGGGGCGCTGGCGCAGACACCGACGTACGAGACGATCGCGACGAACGGCACGTTCACGTCGACCCGAACGCTGGCGCACGATGAGTACGCGTACTTTCAGTTTGCCATACCGGACGCCTCGAGCGACGCGGACGTCGCGTTGGAAGTCATCGACGGCGACGCCGATTTATACGTCAAACGACCGTGCACGTCGTCGACGTGCACGGCACCGAGTGAAAACTGGTGGAATTGGCGAAGTGTGCACAGCGCGGGCAGGGATGAAGTCTTCATACACGCAGAGGTATTGTCGTCGAACCAAATATCCGTCGGCGCGGACAAGTTTTTCCTAGTCGCCGTCCACGGATGGACGATGCACGGGGCAACGTTCAAGTTGTCGGTCGAAATCGTGCCCGAGAATAGATTGTTGAATCCCGCGCAGACAGCCGCGCTCGAGGGCATTTTTACGAAATGCTGCTCGTCGACGACGTCGTGCCCGGTTTGGAAAACTGCCAGAAGATACGGTTACGATCCCTGCCACTGGGGCTTGGCTGGATGCACGAAGGCGAACGAGACGAAATGGTTGAATCTGCAGGGGCTGTACTTGGATTGCGAGCTCGGTTCATCCGACGTCAGCGCATTCGGGTCGTCGTTGCGTAGGCTGTATGTCGGACAAAACACGGCGCTGAAACTCGCCGACGAAGACGCGACGATTGGATTGTTGAAGGTGCTTCCGAATTTGGTAGAAATAGACGTCACCGGAATCGATCTACAGGGGCGAACCGTGGATGGACTGTGTCACGCATCGGTGAGCGCGAACTTGACGCGTATCGGTTTGAACACGGCGAACGTGTCGGGTGCGTTGTCACAGTGCGTGGTGGATAAACCTCAGTTGATGGATCTCGCGATGCAGTACAATTACTTGACCGGAACGCTGCCATCACTACCATCGTCGTCCAACTTACGAACGTTGTATCTCCACGAGCAAAGGTCGGCAGACAGCATCAGCGGCGTTCTACCGCCGTCGTACGTCAGCTCGACGACGCTCGAGCACTTGTGGCTGACCAATCTGAAACTCTCGGGCGCGTTGCCCGACGTGTTTTCGCCGACAGGCGTGTGGCGAGAGATATACTTGAACAAAAATGCATTTAACGGTACGATTCCAGCGTCTCTGGGCTCGCAGCGATATCTGCCGGTGCTCGACTTGTCCTTCAACGCGTTCTCAGGAGCGGTTCCCGGCGGTATTTACGATCACCCGAACCGCACGCACGTTGGCATCAAGTCGAACAAATTGACGCAAGTGAGCGTGTCCTCAATCCACAGCCCGCCGGGCGCGTCGCTGATACGTCTCGATGCGTCCAAAAACGTAGTCAACGAGACGGGCGTGTCGACGATATTCACTCGAATGCCGAAGCTGCAGTATCTCTACTTGAACGACAATGAACTTCACGGCGTCATCTTGGACGACTCGACGACGCCGGTTTGGGCGCTTCGGCAATTAGACGTGAGTACAAACTATCTCGAAGGCGAAATTCCTGGCGCCTCGTATTGGGGTAAAATCTTCACGTCGAGCGCGCCCGCGGGACGAAAGTTTGACATATCGCAAAACCTGTACACCAGAGCCCCATCCTGGTTCGGCGCTTACACCGGCGATTCTGGTCTGACGATCACACTGGGCAGCGGGTTGTACGATCCATCCTCCGATCCCGACGCCGCGCTCGCGTCTGCGAATGCAAAGCCTACGGTGTCGAAATTCATGCTAGCGCTGTTGCTCATAACGCTCTTCGCCATGAGTGGACTGGGCCTGTACTTGGGCATTTATATCTTGGTGCAACGGCGAAATCGGGCGCACGCGAATCGCTTTAGGCAGTTTCATGACTTTGACCAAGGTCAAGGCGTCGAGATGGCGTAACGACGCGATCGAACATGTCCGCGCCGTGAATTCCTTCATTCCTTCATTCCTTCATTCCTTCATTTCTTCATTTGTAACACATACTAGAGCTGCTGTTAAAATCTATGCGCGAGTTTCGCCGTTTGTTTCGCGACGAGCTCGGCCGCGGCGTCGTTGACGACGAAATCGTGCTTGACGCTGAGATCATCGACTGTGAACACGCCCACGTCTAACGCTGCGAGAGCATCACGCTGGTGAAACGGTGCCCAGTGATCGTCGTGTGCGTACACCGCGACAAAGCGCCCGTTATCCGCGCCTCGGCGAACGAGCGCGCACTCGCTCACCGGCGTCGTCAATTGCGCGAACTCGGTCCGCCCCATGAATACCATATTTATCAGACTTTGCCATCTCAGCCATGCGCTGGTGATGTCCGCGGCGGCGCTATCCATGGATTTTGTCACAGTATTCTTCAACAACGCCAATCGAACGCCCGGAGCGACGAATCGTAACGCGTCTAAAAATCGTCCAAGCGCGTGCACAACGACGGATAATCGAGTCACGAAACTCAGACTCGATTGCAGCGTGCTTTGCGTGTTGACGTGAAGAAACGGCATCAAGCCCACCACACCGCTCACCCTGTCAAATCCGAGCTCAGACATCGCGTGAAGCGCCAAGTGAGCTCCGATACTGTGACCGACGACGACGACGGGCTCTGGCCCTTCGTCGTCGCAACATCGGTCGATGTATTCGCATACGTGCGTCTTTTGCTCATCCAACGAGAACCACTCGCTACGTCCACGGCGTTCGGCCTCGGTGTGTCCCAAATAACCGACGACGTCGACCCTCACGGCGTCCAACTCGTCGCACAGCGTTTTCGCGAACGTCGCGTAAAACGCCGCGCAACCGGGATTACCTGGCACCACGAAGACGCGCGGGCCTTTCCCGTCAGCGCGTCGCGCGCGAATGATTTCGTACTCACACCCTGTGAGCGTGGACGACGACGTCGAAGCCGACGCGGACGACGCGGCGCGGTCGCGAACGATGTCGCGCGAGACTCTGGTGAAACTTTCCACAACCGTTAAAGACGGCGACGCCATCGTCGTCAGCGCGCGTCCACGACGTCGGGTCGGACGCGTGAACGACGATGACACCGATGGTGATCTCGTGTGCGACAGCGCGCGCGCGAGACGGCTCGAAACCATGCGTCGCGGTGTGCGGGGACGGGCGCGCCGTTAACCCTAGTCGCGCGCGCGAAATCGCGAGGTGGATTTTCATAGAACCCACCGGTGGGCTTTGCATCTACAATGTCTACGTCTACGCACGGTGAATGGCGCCGATTACGTTAGATTTTTATCCCCTTGGTCTGCTTGACGTCGCGGACGTACTCCGTGAGCAACTTTTTCGCCTCAAATCCCAACACGCGTTTCGCCAAGCACGTCGACGCGAGCGTGCCTTTCAAGTCAGCTTCTCGAGCGTCGACGAAACGATGCTTGGATGAAATCATCTTCGCCAAGTCGAGCACGGTAGTGCTCGTACCCGAACCTATGTTGAACGTTCTCCCGGTCGCGGCATCGTTCATCGCTGCGAGGATGAGGCCGCGCGCGGCGTCTTCGACAAAGATGAAATCCCGAAACTGCGTGCCGTCGCCTTCAATTTCGAGCGCCTCACCCGCGATCGCGGATGCGAAAAATCGACCGGTGACCACGGCTTGTTCGCCCTCCGCGGGTTCGTCTGGGCCATACACCATAAATAAGCGCGTGATGACCGCCTCGACGCCGTACATCGAATAGTACAGACGCGCCAAGTCCTCGCCTTGCGCCTTTGTCGTCGCGTACGGCGTCGTCGTCGTTCGTAGATGCGTCCTTTCCTCGTCGAAGGGTGTTGGTTGGTTGCCATAATACGTCGAAGATCCTGTGTACACGAACCGAACGCGTCGCTTCTTCGCCGCGAGGAGCTCGTCGTCTCTCTCGCGTGTCGCTCTGAGCACGTTCTCCGTGCCCTTGACGTTGGCCTCGACGCACGCGTAGACGATATCGTGCTTGGAAGCATCCAGCGTTGGTTTCACCTTACTCACGGCGGCGAGGTGAAAGACGTACGCCACGTTCGCCATCGCTGATTTCACATTCTTGTACTGTCGAATATCGCCCTCGACGAGCGCAAACTTCCCCTCCTTTTGCTTCTCCGCGGCGAACGCCAACCGCGCTCGAGATCCAGTGCTCAGATCGTCCAACACGCGTACGCGCAGACCGATCGCTAACAATTGCTTCACTAGTTCGCTCCCGATGAACCCCGCACCGCCGGTGACGAGCGCCCACTCGTCCTCGACGTAGCCGCCGCCCGCGCGCCTCTTCGCGTACGCGTCCGACGCCAATCCGCTCGCTCGAATGAACGTGTCCCGACACGGATCGTGTCGCTCTAACCCGACCGCCCGATTCCACGCCTCCTGCGTTAATCCACAATCCCTTCTCGGCGCGCTGCCATCCATGATGACCTTGTCGCCGCCCTCGTCTTCGAAGAACCCAGCCGCGAGCGACGCCCTGAGCTCTTCAATCTTCCCGCTCGTCGACGCCGTCGTGATGAGCGCGAGCAAAGTGACGACGCTCGCGACGAGAAACGCCTTCAACGCCCTAGACGTCGGTCCGCTGTAGTTGTGCGAGTGCGGTCTCGGGCGTTTATTCGGCGTCGTCGACATCCCGGAGTGCGACGCGCTCGCGGCGCCGCTCGCGGTCTCGACGTACGCGGTGCGATCGCCGGCCTCGCAATCGGTGTGCGAGACGCCGACGATGCGTTGGTTGAGCTCGCTCGTCATCGCGCGCGACGGCGACCGATCGCGACGACGACAAGTGCGGGGCGCGCGGCGGATGATGTGACTCCACGCCGACTGATTGATTTCAAGGCGCTATCTCGCCCACCGACGACCGGCGCGGCGATTATTTACTACGCGCTGCCCGACTTCCACGGCTTTAACACGGGAAGGAGCACGGATATTAATATGGTCATCAAGATGACGATCACGATGCACGTCCACTTGCGCGTGTTCTTCTGATACGCGCGCGCCTTTTTAAGCTCGACGTGCCCTTGCTGCACGTATTCCACGGATCTCGCCACGTGGCTTTCGACGTTGTCGATCATCTCTCCTTGCGCCTCGACGAGAACGGACATGTCTAAAAACACCTGGTTCAGCTCGAGTAGCTTACGTTCGAGCTCGAGAATGGCGTTGTGTCGCTCTTGAATCTCGTTTACGGTGTCTAAAATCTGTCCCCGACCTTGCTCGAGCAGGGCTGTTTGAAACATCGTCTCGCTCTCGCCGGTTTCGATCAACCGCTCGACGTCTTCCTCCTTCGCCTCCGTTCCAGTCACCGCGAAATATCGCCGCTCGACGATTTCCTTATATTCCTCTCGTAAGCGTTCGCGCAAGTTTTGAAACTCACCCATCTGTTCCTTCAACTTCGTCTTCATCGAGCTCGTCAGCGCCGCGCGCGTGCGATGCTCGCTCGACCCTTGGGCGATTTTCCCACTCTTTAACGCCTTTTCGTTATCCTCGTCCAGGTTCTCCAGCCTTAACTTTGTCTCTCGCGCAATCTTACTCACGCTTTCGATCGTCGCGTTCATGCGATCCTGCCTCTCGCGCGTTTCCTCCGCCGAAGTCGCGCGTTTCGACGCCTCGTGTTCGTCGTGCAGCGCGCGCAGCGCCGCGCGAATCTGCGTCATGTTCGATTTCACCGCTTGCACGTCGCCGAAGAAGGTCGACATGAGATCCTCGGACGTCGTCGACGTCGTCGCCACCGTCCCATCGCTCGCGGTCGTCGTCCCGCGCCCTCCCGCGTCTCGCGTCCCGAGCTCGACGTCCGCGACGTCGTTCGAACCGTTCGACGCGTTCGCGCGCGCGCGCGCGTCGCCGTCGTACACGTTCGTCGCGCCCACGGCGGCGAGTAAATCATTCATGCCGAGACACCGGCCGTCGCGCGCGGCGGGTCCGTCGTCGTCGCGCGCGGCGCCGCGCGCGGCGGGGTCGTCGCCGTCGCGTCGCGTCGTCGCGTCGTCGGACCGGCGAACGTCGCGCGCGGCCGACCGATCGATCCGATCGATCCGATCGATCCGATCCGATCGATCCCACGCGCGCCCATCGATCGCGTCGATCGGTTTCCCCAGAATCACCCTCGCGCGTGGTTTTCGTTCGACCCGCGCGCGCGACGGTCGCCGATGTCGCGCGTTCCCGAAATCGCGCGATTCGATTGGCTCGCGCGTGACGAATGACGATTGCCGCGCGACGACGCCGCGCGCGACGATCGGACGCACACCGCGACGCGACCGAGCGAAGATGGCGCGCGCGCGAGGTCGCGCGACGCGATGGACGACGATCGCGCTCGCGTGCGTCGTGAGCGCGATGTGCGTGTTCGGAGGCGCGACGAACGGTGCGTGGACGGAAAGATGAGCGAACGATGCGCGAAAGAAAGATGTCGACGAAGCTCGACGAAGATTTCCGACCGCGCGCGCGATCGAGTCGCGACGCGCGGGCGGCGCGGCGCGAGCGAGCGCGAGATGCGTGAACGATGACTGACCGAGCGCACACGTCGACGACGCAGTGCGCGCGGAGGAAGACGCGACGACGGACGCCGGCGCGGCGAAAATCCCAGACTTCGCCCCGGGGGCGGAAAAGTTTGAGTTCCAGGCCGAGGTCTCGCGATTGATGGACATCATCATCAACTCGCTGTACTCGAACAAGGATATTTTCTTGCGCGAATTGATCTCGAACGGCTCGGATTCTTTGGACAAGATTCGATTCATGTCGCTCACCGACAAGGAGCAATTGGGAGGCGGCGAAAACGCCGATCTCGACATTCGCATCAAGGCTGACAAGGAGCGCAAGGTGCTCACGATTCGCGACCGAGGCATCGGGATGACGAAGGACGACTTGATGAACAACCTCGGTACGATCGCCAAGTCCGGAACGTCCGCGTTTTTGGACCAAATGGCGTCTGGCGGCGACATGTCTTTGATCGGACAGTTCGGCGTCGGTTTCTACTCCGTCTACCTCGTCGCCGACTTTGTCGAAGTGCGCTCGAAACACAACGACGACGACAAGCAATGGGTGTGGCAATCTAAGGCTGATGGCAACTTTGCCATCTCCGAGGACGAAGGCGAACCGCTCGGCCGCGGGGTGGAGATCAACATCTACCTCAAGGAAGAAGCGCAAGAGTACCTCGAAGAGACCAAGCTTCAAGCTCTCGTCGAGCGTTACTCCGAGTTCATCAACTTCCCCATCTACCTGTACAACTCCAAGGAAGTCTCTGAAGAAGTACCCGTCGAAGCCGGCGACGAGGATGAAGAAGCTGACGTCTCCGGTGACGACGCCGAAGACGACGAGGAAGGCGACGATGAGGAAGGCGACGAAGACGAAGAGGACGACGAACCGAAGACGAAGACCGTGACCAAGACCGTTTGGGATTGGGAACGCCTGAACGACGTCAAGGCGATCTGGCTCCGAAGCACGAACGAAGTTGAAGAGGAAGAGTACACCAAGTTCTACCAAGCTCTCGCCAAGAACTCTGAAGAGCCGCTCGCGTATTCGCACTTCAAGGCGGAGGGCGACGTCGAATTCAAGGCCATTCTCTACATCCCCGAACGACCGTCGCCGGACTACTACGACAACTACTACAGCCGCGCGAGCGCGCTCAAGTTGTACGTCCGCCGTGTCTTCATCTCTGACGAGTTCGACGAGTTGTTGCCCAAGTATTTGAGCTTCATTAAGGGCATCGTCGACTCGGACACGCTCCCCTTGAACGTGTCTCGCGAAACTCTCCAGCAACACACGAGCTTGAAGACGATCAAGAAGAAGCTCGTTCGCAAGGCGCTCGACATGATTCGCAAGCTCGCGGAAGAAGGCGGCGATGCGGAAGATGACGATGCCAAGCCCGAAGGCGAAGATGACGCGGCGACGAAGGACGAGCCGAAGTATGAAAAGTTCTGGAAGTCGTTCGGCAAGGCGATCAAGCTCGGGATCATCGAAGACGCGAGCAACCGCGTGCGCCTCGCCAAGCTTCTTCGATTCCAAACCTCGAAGTCCGACGGCAAGCTCGTCTCTTTGGAGCAGTACGTCGAACGCATGAAGGAGGGCCAAAAGTCGATTTATTACATCACCGGAGAATCCATCGACGCGCTCAAAAACTCTCCGTTCCTCGAGAAGCTCATCTCCAAGGACTTCGAAGTCATCTACTTCACCGATCCCATCGATGAGTACACCATGCAAAACTTGACTGAATTCGATGATTTCAAGTTCTCCAACGCGAGCAAGGAAGACCTCAAGTTTGGCGACGCGGACGACGACGAAAAGGCTCGCTTTAAGAAGACGAAGGAGGCGTTCAAGTCTTTCACCACGTGGTGGAAGAGCAAGCTTCCGGACACCATGATTGAAGCGGTCAAGGTCTCCAACCGCCTCTCCACCACCCCGTGCGTCGTCGTGTCGTCCAAGTACGGCTGGTCCGCAAACATGGAACGCATCATGAAGGCGCAAGCCATGGGCGACGAATCCCGTCACGAGTACATGCGCGGCAAGAAGACGCTCGAAGTGAACCCGAGACACCCGATGATCGCGGCGCTCAAGGAACGCGCGGCTACGGATCCGGACTCCGAAGAAACGGAAACGTTGGCCAAGCTCATGTTCGAAACCGCGATGTTGGAATCTGGTTTCTCGTTCGACAAGCCTCAAGAGTACACCTCTCGCGTTTTCGACTTGTTGAAGTCGAACATGGGCATCGAAAAGGATGCCGAACTCGTCGACGAGACCCAGTTCCACTTGCCGGAAGAAGAAGACGAGGAAGATAAAAAGGAAGAAACCAAGGAAGAAACCAAGGAAGCTCCGAAAGACGAGCTCTAAACGATTTTAATATGAGATGACACGCGAATTTTGTGTTAAAAGCGAGAACAAAACAAACTCATCGGAAGGCATCGTAAGCTTTTCACCGACGACCGCTTAGCGAGCCTGGAAGCGTGACGAAGCTGCGTCGACCCGGTCCCGCTCGTGTAGTCATCTGAAGTCCCGCAAATGCTGGGCCGCGAACTGGCAGCATGCGTCGGCTCGATTTCGGTTCGCGCGCGGGAGCGGGAGAAGGCGCGGGCGCCGGGGAAAGGTCTTCGTCGAGTCCCTCGTCGTCGAGACGGATCAGTTCGAAATGGATTTCCACGTCTCCTGCGCGCGCATCGCCGACGCTTTCCGCATGTTCCTCGTAGCGTTCGAGTGATTCCGTCCCCGACATGAGCACGCCACCGTTGTCTTCCACCGTTTCGTGCAACGCGACGAAGTCGCAAAAGTATCCGGTGCGATCTCGATCGACGTCGGACGCACCACACCTTCCGAATTCTTTCCCTGGAAACGGAATCTCGTTCGAGCATTCATCAGGAAACATGAAACCGCAAATGTGCATCGTGTGCATCGTGCCCTGCTCGCCGTTCGGGACGTATAACACGAAAGACATCGACGCGAAATCGTTCTCCGCCGTCGGCCATTTGACGGCGAGAAAGCTCGCGCCTACCTCCACAGCGGCGGTATCCGCCGCATCGACGGCTTCGCGCTCGACGAAAGGTTGAATCGTGACATCAGCGGCAAGAACTGAGTCATCGATGAACATTTCAAGTTCATCCATCGCCCTGTGAACGTCTTCGGCTATTTTCTCGGGTAGCTCGCGGAAGTACTCGCTCGCGTTCACAGTAGAAGTCGCTGAAGGGTCATCCGCCGCGACGACGCGCGAACAGAGACACGCCGAGACGAAAACGAGGAAGGTTGTAAAGATTTGGTTTCTCATGTGCGCTTCCCTTGCGCGTGCGTCGGTTTGTGACGCGTGCGGTGGGCGCGCGTGCCCAGAGTCGACGAGAGTACACACGCCGCCGAGATACGATGGATTGGTAATCAAACATAGTATGTTATCATTAACACCGAGCGTTTTCAAATCATCGTCGCGCTCACGCGGTGGCTATTCCGCAAAGCTCCTTCAACTCGCTTCCACTCAAGCTCTCGGAGTCCAGCAAGCGTCGCGCAATCGTGTGCAAATCGCCCTCGTGTTGAGTGAGTAAATCTTTCGCGCGTTTATACGCCGCGTCGAGCATCGCTTTCACCTCGATCTCGATCAGCTGTCGAGTTTCGCTCGACAACTCATCGGACGCGTAGTCTTGCGACGCCAAGCCGACTTTTTCGCTCATGCCGTAGCGCGTCACCATCTCTCGCGCCAGACGGGTGGCTTGCTGTAAATCGCTCGAAGCCCCGGTGGTGATCTCCTCGGAACCAAAGATGAGCTCCTCCGCCACACGACCGCCCATGGTGACGTCGAGCATGGCGAGCAGTTGTCTTCGCGTCATTTGCAATTCGTCCTTCTCGGGGAGTTGCATCACCATCCCCAACGCTTGCCCTCGCGGAACGATGGTCGCCTTGTGCACCGGACGCGCGCCCTTCGTGCGAAGCGCCACCAACGCGTGCCCACCTTCGTGATACGCCGTCAACTTGCGATTTTCGGGCGTGATGATGGCTGATGTGCGCGCGGCGCCCATCAAGATGCGATCCTTGGCGAAATCGAGGTGCTTGGCGCCGACGCTCGCGACGCCGTCGAGCGCGGCTTTAAGCGCGGCGATGTTTATCAAGTTTGCCAAGTCAGCGCCGCTGAAACCGGGAGTGCCGCGCGCGACGACGTCGAAGTCGACATTATCCGCCATCTTCACGCCCTTGGCGTGCGCCTGTAAAATTTCGCGGCGGCCGCCGACGTCGGGATTGGGCACGGACACCGTGCGATCGAATCGCCCTGGACGAATCAAAGCCTTGTCCAACATCCCCGGTGTGTTCGTGGCCGCGAGCACGATGACGCCCTCGCTCGCTTTAAAGCCATCGAGCTCGGTCAAGAGTTGGTTCAACGTCATGCGAGTGTTTTGTTGGTCCTTAGGGTTTCTCGCCGCCCCCACGGCGTCGATTTCGTCGATAAAAACGATGCACGGCGCGTTTTGCTTAGCCGCCTTGAAGAGATCTCGCACTCTCCGCGCGCCGACGCCGACGAACATCTCTTCGAACTCGCTACCGCTGCTGTAAAAGAATGGCACGCCCGCTTCGCCCGCGACCGCCTTGGCGAGCATCGTCTTCCCCGTTCCCGGCGGGCCGACGAGAAGCAAGCCTTTGGGTAACTTACCGCCGAGTTTGGTGAACTTTTCCGGCGCCTTGAGGTACTCTACGATCTCCACCAACTCCGCCTTGGCCTCGTCCACGCCCTTGACGTCGTCGAAAGTCGTCGTCTGCGTGTTTTGATGCGGCTTGACGCTTTCGCCGCCTAAAATCGCCTTGCTCATCCCTCCGCGATCCTCCAAGAGCGCCCCGATCCCGCTCAGCACGATGAACGCCGTCCCCAGCGTGCGCACCGTGCGCCACAATTGCGCCTTGAAAGTCGGTTCGAGCTGTTGCGTGTACAACGGGTTCTTTTCGCTTCCGAGCGCCGCCACCGCGGGCGCCGCGTTCGCCGCGCTCGCCCCCGCGTTCGCGCCGAAGATCGACCCCAACGACGCCAACATCCCCTTCGGCGCCGCATCGCTCTCCGTCGCCGTCGCGCTCGCACCGATTGCGCCCGTCGTCGCCGCCGCCTCCGCCGTCGCGCCTCTGTGCACCGCGCGCGCCAACGCGCTCTCGTTCACTCGATCGAGCGCCACGAGCGCCTTCAGGTACTCCGCCGTGTTCGCCTCCGTGCGCACCGCGGCGCCGTTTTCATACGCCTCGATCACCTCCGCGTGTCGTCCTCGCGCGTTCGCGTCTCGCAGGGACGTCGTCAATCGCCTTCGCGGCGTCGTCGACGCCGGTGACGCGACGGCGCGCGACGATGACGACGACGCGGACGCGGACGACGTCGCGCGCGCGAGCTGCGTCGCGCATCGCGCGCCGCCGCGTTTGATCGCGCGTCTCGCGATCTCGCGCAGCATCGCGTCGCGAACGCGCGGACGCGCGCCGACGAATGGCGCGTCGTCGTCATCAATCTTCCACCGCGCCGCGTGATTTCTTCCACTTCTTCATTCGTCGAATCGCTCGTTGATTAAAATACTACACCTCCAACGGGACGAAACCGAGGCGAAGACGCGCGTCTCGAGCTCGCGTCGCGCGTTCACTCGTCGTCGTCGTCGTCGTCGTCGTCGTCCATGAACTCGGCAAACTCGCCGAGATCCTCCGCGGGCGCGGCGGCGGGCGCGGGCGCCTCGACGCCGAAGGCGACGGCGTCGCGCGCGTCGGCGAGCGCGCTCGGCTCGATCGCCGTCTTGGGCGCGCGCGCGCGCGCACCGGCGGTCTTTCTCGCCTCGGCCGCGCGTTCGAGCTCGATCGAGCTCGCGTCGACCGCTTTCGGCGGTCCGATGTCCCAGTTATCGTTCAACAAATTCATCTCCGTGGGCACGTGAATACCGGGGCGATTGGAGAGTTTGGGCAACGGATGCCTGTTCACCACCGCCGCCATCGCGTGCGCGTCCGCCAAACTCGGCGGTTCGATGAACTGCCGCATTAATATCGCCTTGGCTCCTATTTTCACATCCTCCGCGTCGATCGTTCCTCGCCCCGCGTGTCTCGCCGCGCACGCGCTCTCCTCCAGCGCCTCGCTCGCGTACCGGTGCATGAACTCCATCCCTTGCGAGATGACCTTACGATCGACGTCCGTCACGCCCTGCGCGGATCGAATCAGTTCGCGCGTCGTCGTCAGTCCTTCCTTCGCGCGTTCGTCGTCCTCGCGCGTCGCGTCGGTCGCGTCGCGCGTCTCTCGCACCATCTCTCGCAGGATCTCTCGCGCCGCCGCCGCGTCTCTCGGCGCGCGTCGTTTCCCTCGTCCCTCGTCCTCGTCCTCGTTCGTCTCCAACGCTCGCGCGTCGTCGTCTTCGCGCACGCGCGCGCCCTCTCGCGCGCTTTTCTCCTCGTCCTCGTCCTCGTCGTCGTCGCCCTCGAGCGTCTCGCGCGCCTCGCGTCGCTTCTTCGCCTCCGCGGCGAGTCGAATGGCTTTCTTTTGTTCGGGCGTCAGCCCGCTGTTCACCATCGCCGCGACCGAGGGGAGTCGATCGCGTCGTTTCTTCGCCGACGCGCTCGGCGCCTTGCGCTTCGGCGCCATCGCGTTCGGCTCGAGGCGTCGTGTGCGGACGACCGTCGACGCGAATCCGCGTCCGTTCCATTCGTGTTTGATTTGATGCGCGGCGATGCGTTCGCGATCGCGTCGTCAGACGTCGGACGTCGGACGCGCGCGCGATGGCGCGCGAGGGTAAAGCGCGCGCGTCGCACGTCCTCGTCAAGCACGCGGATTCGCGACGACCGGCGAGCTGGCGCGATCCCGAGGGCGCGCACATCGCGAAAAAGGCGCGCGGCGCGCGCATCGCGAACGCATGAAAAATGAGTCGCGCGACGACGGACGGACGGATGGACGGACGGACGGACCGCGACGCGGCGTCGCGCGCGAAGACGATTCGCGTTAAACGCGATGACTGACGAATCCGCGACGACGACGACGACGCAGACGAAAGAGGCGGCGATCGACGAGCTGCTGCGCTATCGCGACGCGGTGGCGAACGGCGAGGCGACGTTCGCGGACGTCGCGAAAAAGGTGAGCGATTGCAGCAGCGCGAAGCGGGGAGGAGATTTAGGGGAATTTGGACCGGGACAGATGCAAAGGGCGTTCGAGGACGCGACGTACGCGCTGAAGATTGGCGAGATGAGCGAGGCGGTGGAGACGGATTCGGGCGTGCACGTCATCTTGCGCACGGGGTGAGCGACGCGCAAAATATCGATCGTGTAATCATGAAAAAGATACCGCGCGGTGTGCGCGAGTCGAAGAGTGTCGTCCCTCGCGCGTCCACTACGCCGCCGCGAGCGTCGCGAGCGTCGCGAGCGTCGCCGCGAGCGTCGCCGCGAGCGTCGTCGGCGTCCCTCGCGCCGCCGCGCTCGGCGCCGCCGCGACGGTGTTGTCCCAATTATTGCACGCCATGTGCGACGCGCCCGGCATGTACATCCCGTTCATCGCGTGATTCGCCGGTCCGCAATTCATCGCCACCGACTGTTGCGTCGCCGTCGCCGCGCTGCCCTGCATCATGTGCGACGCGTTGAAGCAATCGAACGTCTTCCCGTACTTGCTCACCTGCACCGGCGCCATCGCCGCGTTCGACGCGGCGCACACGTCGTCGCACCGCTCCGCCGTGCACCCCTCGTACGTGTACGCCGCCGTCGTCGCGCCGCACCACGTGTTCGTCGCGTTCCCGATCCCGCACGCCGTCGCCGTCGTCGGCGTCGTCGTGTCGCAGTCGGCCGTGCACGCGTACGTTCGCGACGCCGGGACGTTCGCGACGACGGGCGTGACCGCGAGCGCGAGCGCGCAGAGCGCGCGCAGGACGATCGCGCGCGCGACGCGCATCGCGAGGACCGCCGACGAATGACGGTCGGTCGCCGACGAATGACGGTCGGTCGCGTGTCTTCCGCCGCAGCCGGCGTCGCGCGCGTCTCGATGGCGTCCGTCTCGACGACGCGCGCGGTGTCGACGACGCGCGCGCGCGCGGGACGGCGTCGCGCGACGCGCGGCGCGCGCGCGACGGCGGACGACGACGGACGCGACGACGACGCGCGACGCGTCGGACGACGCGCGGCGACGATGGGCGCGAGCGCGACGGTCGCGGCGCTGGCGGTGACGGCGACGCCGGCGTCGGCGCGCGCGGTGGGAACGATGTGCGGGTACTTTGATGAATTCAGCGCCGGGCTGGCGCCGGCGTACGCGTTCAGCACGCCGTGGAGCGAGGGCCTGGTCGCGGACGCGACGTGGGTTCGCGGCGTCGGTGATTATAAAAAGGCGAAGAAGGAAGCGAACGCGCCGGTTTTAGCCGTCAGCGACGGGCCGGGGGTGTCGCACGCGTACATGAGCGCGCTCGAAACGCTGAGCGGCGAGGTCGGCGGCGCGCGGGAAGTTTTCCTCTACGACCAAAGAGGCTGCGGCAAGTCAAAGTCGGCGACGGACGGCGAGGTTTACGATTTGGATTTATACCTGAACGAGTTGCGAACGGTGGTGAGAGAGTTGCGATTGGTCGAAGAGGGCGGTGCGCACGTGCTGGCGCACGGGTATTGGGGCGCTCGTCTCGCCACGGCGATGGCGCTCGAGCGACCGAATTTCGCGAAGACGCTGACGCTCGTGTCGCCGACGGCGTCGCGCGCGACGGAGGTCCGCGACTGGCGTCGAGCGCTGGACGACATATCGCCGGAATCGCGAAACGTGATTCTGGCGTATGAGGCTGATTTGGACGACTCGAAGCGCGACGCGTACGACGCCGGCATGCGCGAGTTTAGCTCGCGCTTCGTCTCCACGCGAGGCGCGGCGGGCGCGTGCTTTGACGTCGCGCTCGCACCGCGCACGAGTGATGCGCAACGGCTCGCGATCACGGGTGGTCGTTACTTCACGGCATCCGGTTCGCTCGCGTCTGACTCGATTCAACTCGATGACTTGGGCTCGCGTCTCGGCGCCAACGGCGTACGAGCCGTGCGCGTCGTCCGAGGGGCGAACGACGCGGTTTCGGAATCGAGCGCGAAGGAAATCGTGAATGCGATCAACGCGAACGATGGCGAACCGTTTTGCGCGTACGACGAAGTCTCGAACGCGGGATCGTGCGTCTTTCTCGATCGTGGCGATTACTTTTACGAATCTTTGAACGTCTGCGTCGAGCTCGCCGAAGACGAAAGCGGAGGCGCTCGACGCTTGTAAACTATGGGATTGATGTAGCGACGCACGCCGCGGTCGGTGCGCTGGAGCTTCGACTCACTCTAACGCTCTAAATCGACTCGCGTCGCGCGCGCGCGCGCTCGTTCGGACGCGCGAGATTCAGCGCCGCCGCGTCTCGGTCTCGCGCGCGGGTCCCGTTCAACCAGCCGGTTCGCCATCGTCGTCACGCGCGCGCGCGCACCGCGCGTCATGACGCCCGAGCGATGCGAGAGAGAGTTGCACGACATGGCGACTCGCACGTCGCCCATCGTGCGATTCATGCTGCAGAAGCTCGCCGAGGCTGGGTGCGCGATCGACGCGAGATTTTTCAGCGTGGAGACGTGCGACAAGAGCGTCGTCGGAGGGTTTCGACCGCCCGATGGGGTGGTGATGTGCCACAATCAGATACACGATCGAACGACGATGGAAAACATGCTGGCGCACGAGCTGATACACGCGTACGATCAGTGCCGGGGAGGGAAAAAGATGAACTGGCTCGACGTGCGACAGCACGCGTGCTCGGAGGTGCGCGCGGCGAATTTGAGCGGGGATTGTCACTGGATGAACGAGCTCATGCGAGGACGGGTGTTCTTTGACTTGAAGAAACATCATCAAAAGTGCGTGCGACGGCGCGCGGAGCTCTCGGTGGCGATGAACCCGAATTGTACGAGCGACGCGCACGCGAAACAAGTCGTCGACGAGGTCTTCGAGCGATGCTTCAAAGATACGGCGCCGTACGACGACATCCCGTGACGCGTTCGCGATGAACGCACCACACTAGCTTAGCCGCACCGATGTACTATGTATAGTTGCCTTTGAAAGTTCTTTTCGCGCGCGCGCGTCGTCTCCCCGAGGCAATCGGATCCGCGCCGCGCGAAAACGACGGAAGAAGATTTTGGATGTATTGACACACACACTACTCTACGAGTGTACGGGACGTGAATTTTACGGGGTGATGCTGGGTATTAAATCCCCTTCGCGCGTAGAATCGCCCTGCCGATCTGGATCGATTATTTAAGCAACTCTTGACCGAAGAGGACGACGAATTTGCCAAAGCGTCCGACGACGTCGATGGTCCCGCCGACGGTGGGCAACTCCAAGCGAACCGGGGTTTCCTTCGAGGCCGTGCCTTCGAAGAAAGAACCCTCGCTCGTGCGCGGAGGCAAACCAGGGCCGAACGCCGGGTGTTCGAGCAACGCCGCCAAAAGCTGCGTCCCTCGCAGCGCGTTGGTGAGAGGCATGTGTCCCGGCGCGGCGTCCGCTCGCCATTGAAATTCTTGCGGAAACTTGCGATAGTCTCCATTTTCCCCAGTCGTCCAGTCAATCTTCTTGAAGAACTTCGCCCACTGCTTCTTTTGAGAGATCCAAATCTTTCTTTGCACGCTGAATCCAAATCTGTTGTTACTGTAAAACTTCCACAACTCGTCGATTGTTCGCAAATCCGTCGCCGGCATGTTATCCACCTCGGTGAAGTACACCCACTCGCGATCCTCCGCATCTTCGCCCGCCAGCACGCACATCAACCGGCGGTGCTCGTCGTCCGCCTTTTCCCACTCACCGGCTTCGAGCAAGGCCTTGAACGGGGCGTAGTCAACCCCCATCTGTCGTCGAAGCGTTTCGTCTTCGTCAGTCTCGCGCGAGTGGATAGGGTCTCTCTCTCGCGCGCGCGATCTCCGCGCTTCCCGCGCGCGTTTTCGCGCGTCGCGCGACTTTACGACCGCGCGCGGTCGTGCGAAGCACCACCGCGTCGTCGCGCGCGTCGTCGCGCGCGCGCGTCGCTTCACGCGCGCGTCGAGCGCGTCGCGAACGACGCACCTCGGAATCGAGCGCCGGTGGCGCCGGACCTTCGGAGGCTTCTCCGGACGACGTCGCGCTGGATTCGCCCGTGCCGACCGCGCGGAGGGGGTGGGCGACTCTGGATCTATGCGTTTTCGCGACGCGCGCGACGGGGGCGTGCGCGACGCATCGACCGTTCGCGACGGCGGAGGCCAACATGACGATCGAGTCGCGTTGTGCGGGACAACGCCACAGGGGTTTGGGCGGAACGCGCGAGATATTTTCACGCGCGCGGCGGCTTCGACGGCGCGGGCGAGCGCGAAAGGTGAGATCGATCACAAAAACACCTCGGGACGACTGACGTCGTCGAAGGCGTGGTAGGCGTCGTACACGATCTCGTAACGGGAGAACGTGGGGTGATCGCGCACGCGGCCGTTTCGCAACAGAAACAACACGTGCGACGTGGCGACGAGGCAAAAGACGCCGAACACCCAATCGAGATTTTGGAGGGCGAAATAGAGGGTGATGGAGAAATGACCGGTCAGGCTGAGGTAGATGTACGCGATCGAGCACGCGTAACTGGTGACGACGACGACCCACGCCGCGGTTTCCACGCGCACGCGGCGCGTGAGGAGCAACACGCACGCCAAGACGCGACTACCGTCCATGGGGTAACACGGAAGAAAGTGCCACACTAAGAGCGCAAAGTTCAGAAACGCCAAGTACCGACACAAGAATGAGACATCATCGAGCGCGACGAGGCTCAGGAGCCACCAAAGTGCAAGCATGGGCGCGTGAGAAATCGGTCCCGCGAGCGTCACCGCGAGCTCTTGCGACAGCGTCAACCCGTCCAAATGCAAAAAGGCCAGCGCCCCGAACGGCCATAAAATGATCCCCTTGTCCTCATCGACTCTACCCCCGAATCGTCTGCACGCGTACACGTGGCTAAGCTCGTGCGCGATCATCGTCCCGTATCCGAACGCGAAAAAGCACGACAAGAAAATCGTCACAAAGAGCACCCAAAAGAAGAAACCCCCGCCGCCAACAAACGGTCCGAGCACGACCAACAGCGTCCACATCACCCCCCACACATAAATCGTCCACAGCGACACGAATATCTTCACGTCACCGAGCGTCATCCAAAACTTTGGTTGAAGGTACCGGTCGAACGCGTCCTCGGGCGCCGCGCGCTGCGATTCCTCATCTCCATCTCCGCTCGCTCCCGCGTCGTCGCGCCCGCCGTCCACGACCGCGTCGAGTTCACGCTCGAGATCGTCCTCCGCGCGCTCGCGCGTCGTCGTCGTCTTCGCGTCGCTCGTCGTCGTCGCCGCGTCGTTCGGTAACAACTTTCGCGTGGAAGTTTCGTCGTCGTCGCCATCGTCGTCGCGCGCATCGGCGCCACCGCGCGCCGTCGGCGTCGCGCCCTCGCTCATCGCGTCGACGACGATGGCGTCGTTCGCGTCTCGCGGACTCTCGCGCGTCTCCGCGCCGTCGGCGTCGTCCAGGATCGCCATCGTCGTCGTCGCGCAGTGACGACGACAGAACGTCAGAGCGCGTCGCGGCGACGCGGTGCGCGGCCGCTGGACGCGCGTCGCATGGAGGCGCGATTCGCGCGGCGCGTCGACGACGCGCTCGGCGCGCGGCTCGCGTCGCGCGGGTACGCGTGCGTCGATGACTTTCTCGAGCGGGACACCGCGGACGCGATGCGCCGCGAGCTCGAACGACTCGCGGACGCGCGCGATGCGAACGAGACGGGGCGGGGAGGCGGGCGAAAGTATTTACGACCGAATCGCACCAAGTTCGGGGACGAACACTTGTTCGGGAAACCGAACATTTACGAGTGCGACATGCACGACGACGGGACGCTGGCGGAGACGAAGCGCGACGCGGCGTACGCGACGATTTGGGAATTCTTTCGCGCGACGGAGCGAGGCATGGCGGATGCGTTTCGAAGGGTGATTCCAGAGATCGCGCTGCGCGACGGTCCGGACTCGCGCACGGTGAAATTGCAAGTGAACGAAGGACGCGGCGCGTGCTTCCCGTGGCACTACGACAACCCGGGCGCGCCGTCGAATCGAGCGTTGACGTGTATATTATATCTCAATCCCGATTGGAAGCCGGGCGACGGGGGTGAATTACGTCTTCAACCGTTTTGCGGCGTCGCGGCGACGATTCAGCCGAAACATAACCGATTAGCCATATTTTTTAGCGACCGAACGCTGCATCGAGTGACGCCGTCGACGGCGGCGAAAAGGTACGCCGTCACGGTTTGGCTCGACGCAGATTTCGTCGACCCGCGCACGGGGGCATCGACGAACGCGTCGGAGTTAAATCTGAACGCACGAGAGGCGCTGAGTGATATAGCGAAGACGGCGAAAGAGTTGGCGCGAGGGAACGCGCAGCGCGCCTTGTCTCGCGCCGTGTACGCAGACGAGTACGAAGCCTCGCTCGTGGAGTGCATGGGAAACGCGCGCGGGGCGGACGAGATGCTCCAGGCGCACTACGAACACTGTAGATCAGTGAAAAAGAACCACGCGTTGAAGACGCTCGTGGATGCGCTGCGCGATTATCGTCGAGAAGTCGAAGCGAGCGCCGCCGAAGTCGAGCTTTAGCCGTCGATAGGAAATTTAGTCACAACAATAGCGCGTTAAAAATCTAGTACGTGATCGTCTTAGAAACGTCGAAGAAGTGCTTGACCGATTCCTCAGGCGTGCCCACGAGCACGCCGTGACCGAGGTTGAGGATGTGACCGGTCGGACCCGCCTTGCGGCACACGTCTCTGACAGCCTTTTCGATCGCGTCTTCTCCGGCGAAGAGGACGACGGGATCGACGTTACCTTGCACCGCCTTGTCCCCGACGCGGCGTCGACCATCCTCCATATCGATCGTCCAATCCAGCCCGATGGTGTCCACCGGCAACGTCGCCATGCGCTCCAAAAGACCGCCCGAACCGTTGGCGTACATAGTAATCGGCACTCCCGGGTGCGTCTGGTTCACCTTGCGAACGACGCGCTCGATGTACGGCTTGCTCCATTCCTCCCACATGTGCGGCGGCAATTGTCCACCCCAAGAGTCGAACACTTGAATCACTTGCGCGCCGGCATCGATTTGGAATCCGACGTACACCGCCAACGCGTCCGCCACGGCGCTCAGCAACTTGTGCAACACCTCGGGATTGTTGAAGCACATCGACTTGATGGTTTTGTACGTCGACGTCGATTGCCCTTCGACGATGTACGTGCACAGCGTCCACGGCGCGCCGACGAAACCGAGCACGGCCGCTTCATCACCAACCTCTTGTCGCAAAATCTTCAACGAATCCGCCACGAACTCAACCTTACTCAAATCAACTTCGTGCAACATCTTCAAATCCTCCGCGCTTCGAATCGTCTTCTCCAACATCGGTCCCTTGTAATCGTCAATCTCGAAATCGATCCCGAACGCCGGAAACGGGGTCAAGATGTCGCTGAACAGAATCACCCCATCCGGTTGAAACGCGCGAAACGGTTGCAGCGTGATCTCGCAGATCAGATCCGTCGTCTCGCTTCGCTCGCGAAAGCTCGGATGTTTCACCGCCACGTCCCGGTACTCCTTCATGTACCGTCCCGCTTGTCGCATCATCCACGCCGGCGCGCGTTCGACCTTTTCTTTCCTCGCCGCTCGCACCATGAGCGGATCGTTCGCGCTCGCGCTCGCGCTCGCGTCGCACGCGCGCGTCTTCCGCATCTTTCGCAGCGCGCGCGACGCCGCGCCGCGCGTCGCATCGTTTCGCGATCTCGAGCGCAGCGCGCGCGCGTCGCGCGCGGTGCGCGCCGCGAACATGTCGCGCCCGAGCGTCGTGTGTGAGTCTCTAAAACCGACGCCTTAGCCGAAGCCGTCTCGCGCGTAGCGTCGACGCGTCGACGAGTGCGACGACGATCGCGCGAAAGATTGATTGATGCATCATTCACATCGCCGAGGCGCGCGTCGTGGATAGGGCGAGACGTCGCCGAGACGCGCGTCGTGGATAGGGCGAGATTTACAAAGTCGGCGACGCGTCGTTTCCAGTCGAAGCGCGACAGTCGGTGACGTCACCAATCCACCTTGGTGGGCGCGGCGCCGAGCGACATCACCCCGTGCGCCTGGTGTAAGACCATGCGCCACGAACCGTCGAGCTGACGCTCGAAGACGTTCGTCGCGGCGAGCGAGGCGCCGCCGGAGACGCGCTCGACGCACGTGGCGAACCCCCAACCGTCGCCCGCGTGCACGCGAACGTCGGCGCACTGCACGTCCGCACCGCCGTCGGGCATGCTCGCGAAGATGATTTCCCACGATTCCAACACGTCGCGCGCGCCGGAGACGACGGCGGAACCGGGATGGAGACACTGCACGTGCGCGCCCTCGGCCCAAACCGCGCGCATCGCCGAGACGCTGGCGTCGCGAAACGCTCTGTAAAAACCCTCGTTCGCGTCTTGCACCGCGCGCGCGGCGTCTCGGGATATGCTATCGATCAAATCTCTCAGTCTCGCCGCTTCTTCGTAATCCTCATCGCGTATCGCCGTTCGCAGGGCGAATTCGTAATCCGTCTTCGTCGGCGCCGACGCCGCGCGGTACGCCAAGCCGTCCCCGTCGCCGTCCGCGCTCGCGTCCGCGTCCGCGCCGGTCTCGCGTCCTCGCGCCGCGCTTTCGACGTCGCGCGCGCGCGACGACGACGCGTCGTTCGCGTCGTCGTTCGGCGTCGCGCGCGTTCGCGTCGCCGGCGTCGCGCGGTGTACGCGCCGCGCGATCGCGCGAATTTCCCGGCGCGCGTCCGCGCGCGCGACCGTCGCGCGCGTCGCGCGCGTCACCGGCGTCGGCATCGCGAAGTGCGGCGTCGACGGCACGCCTCGACGCGCCATGTCGACGCGAATCGCGATCGCGACGCGCGCGACGCGCGCTGGTGCGCGACACCGCGCGAGACCGCGTCGTCGCGCGCGCGTCGCGATCGCGCGGCGCGTCGTCGCGCGCGCGACGACGACGAACGACGACGACGACGACGACGACGCGAGTGACGACGCGAACGACGCGCTGAAACGCGTCGCGGCGACGACGCGCGGGAAAAGGCGACGGGCGGAGTCCACGGACGCGGTGGCGACGTTCATGACGCGCAGATTCGGGCTCAAGGGCGGCCTGGCGTGGTTGGGGGCGCTGACGTTCGGCGTGCTGAGCGAACAGCTCAAGACGAGACGCGAGACGCGCGAGGCGATCGAGAACACCGAGGACGTGCGGAGGGAGGATTTGAAGACGGTCGAACTGCCGAGCGGAGTGACGTACGTGGAGTACACGCGGGGGGGGGGGGAGCGCGTGCGAAAGCAGTACCTGTGCGCGGCGAAACTGCGCGCGCGCGCGGTTTCGGCGGAGGAGGCCGAGGCGTACGCGTACGACACGGAGTCGGCGGGAAGGGAAATCGTGTGGTCGTTCGGCGGGAAGCTCGGACCGCCGTTGTGTCGAGGGTTAGAGGAAGGCGTCGCCGGGATGCGACAGGGCGGGCGACGCGTCGTGCGCGTGCCGGCGCGATTGGCGTTCGGGAGCGACGGCGCGGATTTTCCGCGAGGCGGTAAAATCGACCCCGACCGCGACGTAGAGTTCGACGTCACGCTGACGCGCGTGAGCGTTCCACCGAGTTGAAGTGAGATTAAATGTCGTTATTCATCGCCGAGCCCGCGCCTTTCGCTCTCAACGCCTCGCCCTCGAACGTCAATCCGTCGTATCCGTTTTCCATGAAGGCTCGAATGTTCGCGTGCGAGTCCCCGCTCGGCGCGTTCGCCACGTCCTCGTAGTGCTCGCAAAACAACCGCAGCGCCGCGCCCTCGCTCAATCCTCGCATTTTCGCGAAATAAAACGTCTTGCACGATCCACTGTTCGTCCCCGCCGCGTTCCTCGTCTCTCGCGACGTCCCGACGCCGCTCGCGTACGCCGTCGGCTCGAAATCAAAGCACTCGTCCATCTTCGCCATCACCTCCTGAAACTTCACGTTCGCCAGCCCGAACTCCTGCTCCGCGAGCTCCGCGAGCGTGTCCACGATCGCTTTCACGCTCGGGTTCGCGTTCGTCGCCAGCGCCTGCGCCCGCATCGCGCGCACCATCTCGCCTTCGTCGCGCGTCGACGCCCGCGCGCGCGTCGCGTCGCGCCTCGACGTCGCGCTCGCGCGACGCGCGCATGAGCGCACGCGCGCGACGCGCGCGCGCGCGCCCGCGCGCGCGACGGACGTCCCGGACGTTTGCGACATTCGAATCTTTCGCGACGTTCGCGTCGACGTGTGCGGCACTCATCGACGACGATGCGAGCGACGTCGACGTCGCGCGCGCGAGCGCGAGCGCCGCGCGCGCGTCGCGCGTCGTCCGCGATCGCGCGGCGCGGTCGTCGAGCGACGCGCGCGCGCGCGTCGTCCGCGAACGGCGACGATGAGTCGACGAGGAAGGATTCGAAATCGTCGAGCGACGAGGCGAATGAACCGGCGTGGGCGCGCGCGGGGCGGGACGGGGCGAACGGACGACCGATATGGGAGATGGACATCGACGCCGAGTTCGATCGCGTGGAACGGGCGCGACGGGAGCGGGAGATGAAGAGCGAGGCGCGCGCGAACGCGGGGTTGGGGTTCGGACGGGCGAGAATGTTGGACGACTTGAACGTCGATTTGTCGGCGGCGTTGAGAAAGCGCGAGGACGAGGACGATGAGGAGGACGATGAGGAGGACGATGAGGAGGACGAGGATGACGACGACGCGGAGGGCGAGCGACGAAGACGGCGACGCGATGCGGAGGGACCGCGATTATTGAGCGACGGCGCGTCGGCGTTGTTCGCGGACGCGACGCGAGATCCGGCGCTGCGATACGTCGATAAGAATGGACGCGTCAAGGGCGAACCGACGGCGTTGGATCTGGCGACGACGAAGAAGGGAGACAGTAAGTATAACCTGCGCGGTTGGAATTACGCGCCGACGCGAGCGGAGAAAGGGCGGTGGCAAAGAGAGTGGGAAAAGGCGGAACGCGCCAAGGCGCTCAAGACGCCCGGGTACAGACCGCAGAGCGGAATCGCGATTAAATCGAAAATTAAGGACGCGACGTTCATGCCGGTCAAGGCGTTCGCGGATTTAACGGATGAAGAGAAAGCCGCGCGACGGGCGGCGGATCAGGTCAAGTACGCGAAGATTAAGGAGGACTTATTGCTCACCACGGCGGGCATGGCGGGCTCGGGCGCCGTCGCCGCCTTCGCCGTCGGCGGCGCGAACATGGGTTACTCTTGGCTTCTCGGCGCCGCGGGTGCGATCGTGTACGTCCGCTTACTCAGCGGCAAAGCGGAATCCGAGAGCGTTCAGGGCGGTCCACCGAGTATTTTAGTACCCGTCATTCTCTTCATGGCGCTCAACCGGTGGAACACGCTCTTCGCCCCCGACGTCGGCGTCGCGTTGACGCCCATCCCGATGCTCCTCGCGTTTTTCACGTACAAGCCCGCCAGCGTGCTTCAGGCGTTCAAAGACGTCTTAGCGAACCCCGAAGACGCGGACGACGCGGAATAGACGGACAACGCATGTAAAGTCACCGCCCGCGCGCGCGCTCGCCGACGGCGCCCCCTCCTCGCTCGCGTCGCGCGCGCGTCACGTCGCGACGCGTCACCGCGCGATGCCGCCCGATGAATCGCTCGAGGCGCGCGACGCGACGAAAGACGTCGCGGACGACGCCCGCGCGTCGTGGTGGCGCGAGGAACTGCGCGCGGTGGCGCACATTTGTCCACCAATCATGACGCAGTTCGGGTCGCAGCAGTTGTTGATGGCCACGCAGCTCGTGTACTGCGGAAACGAATCGCGCGAGGCGCTCACGACGATGACGATAGCGGCGACGATGTGGAACATGCTCTGGATGGCGATCACGGGCGCCGGAGGGACGATGGACACGCTGGGAAGCCAGGCGCACGGCGCGGGGGACGCGCGCGCCGTCAAGTCGTGGGCGCTGCTCACGACGTGCGCCATCACCGCGTTTTGCGTGCCCGCGAACGCGATTTTAGCGGCGGGGAAAGAGATCGCGATCGGGGTGTTCAAGGCTGATAAATCTAGGGCTGGAGAGATTCGCGACTGCGCGCTCATCATGTGCGGGAGTTTTTATCCACTCGCGGCGACTCTGGGTTTACAGAAATACTTGAGCGTTCGGCGGAAAGTCGGAGCCGTGGGGCTGACTTCGGTGGCGACGCTGTTCGTAAACATCGCGTTTCATCACGCCCTCGTCAAGCAGCACAAAATGGGAGTCATCGGTAGCTCGATCGCCATGGTCGCGGCTCGGGCGATGAACCTCGCGATGTTGCTCGCGTACGTCTGCGTGGACGAGCGATGGTGGGCGACGGGTGCGCTTGACGAATGGCGCTCGGCGAAGGCGGCGATAACCAGGGACATGGTCGCACGCGTCGCGCACTTGTCGACTCAAGGCGTCATCATGGTGTTCGGCGAGGCTTTCTCGTTTGAAGTCACCGTCGTTTTGGCTGCGCAACTGGGCGAAGTATCCCTCGGCGCGCACATGGTGATGCTCAATATTTGTACGATGACCTTCATGATGGGACCGATGTCGTTCGGCACCGCGGCATCGATTAGAGTTGGAAATTTATTAGGTATGCGAGACCCGCGCGGAGCGAAGCGTTCGGCGTGGTTAATAACGTCGATGTCTCTCACGTTTATGGCGGGGTGCGCGTTTATGATACTCTTCGCGATTAAACCTATCGCGAGGCTGTACACTGGAAACGACCCCGAGATCACGGCTACCCTCATCAAGATCGCCCCTTACGCCGCCGCTTTCCAGATATTCGACGCCTCGCTCGGATGCTGTAACGGCATCCTTCGCGCGTGCGGGAAACAGGCGTTCATCGCGAAGAGCAATCTCGCCTCTCTGTGGTTGTGCGGTTTGACCTCGGGCGCTTTAATCACCTTCGTCGGCGACGAAGGGGTGAAGGGTTTATGGGTGGGACTCATGATCGGCGTCGGGATGGCGGGTTCGTTTCTCGCATCGGTGGTGTACCGTTTAGACTGGCAACACGAATCATTTTTAGCCACCCGCGCGGCGACCAACGTCTTTCGCGGCGGCGCGGCGCTGTAGACGAATTAGCACAACAACAACGGCTGGGAACTAGTGGCTCGCAAGTTTTTCATGTATTTCACATCCTTCATTCATCTCACCCGGCGAACGGAGGCAGCCCGTTACTCCAAAGAAACGCCGCGAACAACCCGGCCAACACGACGGCGCTCCTCGTCACCAAATTAATCGTCGGCGTCCAGATGTCGCGCTCCTCCAGATCCACCGCCACGGGTTCGGTGACGAATCCTTTGTAATACTCCGCGTCTCGCCCGTCGACGGCGCCCCGCTCGCCGTCGTTCGCGTCGTTCGCGCCGTTCGCGCCGTCGCTATCCACGCTCTCCGCGCGCGCGAGGACCTCGACTCTGTCGACGCGCGCGCGCGCGCGCCGCGTCGTCGTCGCGCGCGGCGCGGTGTTTCTCGTCGTCGTCGCGCGCGCGGCGCCGAGCGCGCGCGTCGACGTCGCCGTCGACATCGCCGCGACGTCCGTCGCGTCACTGCGTGACGTCCCGAGCGACCGCCTGGGACTTTAAATGTCGAAAGACGACGTCCCCGAAGCGCGCGTGCGCGTCGCCATCGCGCCGAACGCCATCGATGAGCGCGCACACATAGAATACGTCCGCGACGCGCGCGCGGGGGCGATCTCCGTGTTCGTGGGGACGACGCGAGACACGTTTCGAGGCGAAAAAGTGCAAAAGTTGAGCTACGAGTGCTACGAACCGATGGCGCTGCGAGAACTGCGCGCGATCGCGGACGAACTGGTGGTGAAATACGCGGGAGACGGTGACGAGGGAAACGCCTTGGACGGACGCGGCGGGCACGGGATCAGGGCGATCGATATCGCGCACAGGGTCGGGGACGTCGGCGCGGGCGAGACGTCCGTCGTCGTCGCCGTGGCGAGCGCGCACAGGAAAGACGCGCAGGACGCGTGCGCGGAGGCGATGGAGGCGCTCAAGGCGCGCGTACCGATTTGGAAAAAGGAAATATTTGAGGGCGCGAGCGCGGAAGGGGTCTGGAAAGCGAACGGATTGGGCGCGTTCGCGGCGTCCGAGGCGGCGTCGTAGCCGAGAGCCGGCGTCCCGAGAGCCGGGACGTCATCGCGCGACGCGCGCGGCCGCGACGAGATGGCGACGACGTGCGTCGGTGCGTTGCGCGTCGCGGCGCGCGCGAGCGGTCGTGGGCGCGGACGCGGCGCGGGCCGTGGGCGCTCGAGCGCCGGCGGCCGCCGCGACGGCGCGGCGAGCCGTCGAGGTCGTCGGTCCCCCGACGTCGCGCGCGCGCCGTCGACGACGCCCGCGCCGACAATCGACGAAGGCGTCGTCGCGCGTAATCTCGATGCCGTCGGCGCGCTCGTGAGGACGCTCGTGAAGCACACCGAGGGCGCGGACGGCGCGGGCGGCGGCTCGAGCGGCGGTTACGAGGGCGACGGGTTTCGCCTCGTGCGGTGCATGCCGCACCTGAAACGTCGCGAAGCCGACGCCGCGGTGAGCGCGGGGCGTGTACTCGTGAACGGTGAGCTCGTGCGTCCGTCGCAGCGCGTCAAGGCGGGAGACGTGGTGACTCTGGACGGCAAGGTGATGCTCTGGGAGGCGTACGCGAGACGCGTCGAAGAGGAAATCGCGAACGACGCGACGTCGTCGTTCGTGTATTTGTTGTATAATAAACCTCGTGGCGTCGTGTGCACGATGGAACCGCATCAACGAACGTCGTTGCATTTCGCGCTCGAACGCGAGCGCGCTCGCATGAAAAAGATACGAATATTTCCAGTCGGTAGGCTCGACAAGGATTCGAGCGGGTTGGTGCTGTTGACGAACGACGGACGCGTGAGCGATGCTTTGCTCGATCCGAGCAGGAAGGCGGAGAAAGAGTACGACGTAGATGTCGATCGTGACGTGAGCGCGGCCGACGTCGAGCGTCTGGCCGCGGGGGTCGTCATCACGACGCTTCAACAGCGAACGATGACGGAGACGACGGCGCCGACGCAGCCGTGCGAGGTGAGAAAGATCGGACCTAGGACGCTGCGTTTCGTTTTGAAGGAAGGAAGAAATCGACAGATTCGAAAGATGTGCGAAGCTTTGTCGTACGACGTTACGCGATTGCATCGAACGCGCATCGCCGAGCTCGAGCTCGGCGACTTGGAAATCGGCGGCTTGCGTCCGCTCGACGTCGACGAGCTGCGCGTCGTGTCTGATCGCGTTCGCGAGAGAGCGAAGGCATCGACGCAATCGACGCAGAAGCAATCTTCCGAGAGTCGCCGTCGCAAGGCGGCGATCGACGCCAACCCGAGCGGATGGGGGTCAAAGATTTACAAAGATTCGCACACGACGTGATTTTCTACAAATTACGTACTAGAACAGCTAGCTATGATGTCATATCGCGAAAAACTTACCTCGCCCACCTCGCCCATCGGCGCCGTGCTTGATGAACGTGCCGTTTGAGTTAGACGGCGCTCGCGGCGAAGACTTCAAAAATGACCCGGCGCGTCTCGTCTTGTTCGTCGCCGCCGACCCGCTCGCCGCCATCTTTTGTCGCTTGCGCTCCACGCGCGCGTCGACGTCGTTTAAAATATTCGCCAAAACGTCGTCTTCGACGCCATCGTCGTCGTCGTCGCTCACCAAGTTGATTTCGTCGCGGTTTGACGTACGCTTCGGCGGCGGCGGCGCCAACTTTTTCATCAATTCGTCGTCGCCTCGACGCAACGACTTCTTCACGACGCGCTTCTTGTCCGCGACGCGTTGCGTTGGCGGATACGCGAACTCGCTCGGATCATCCACTCCCCACGCGTGCCTGCTATTGGCGCGACCGCCGAGCTGGAAATCGCCCGTCGACGTCGGCGGCGCGGGCGCCGCCGGCTTTGGTTTCGCCGCCGTTTGCGTCTTCGCGACGTCGCGAAACGCGTCCAATTTCGCCTCCAGCGCCTTGACGTCTTTTTCCTTTTCGCGAACTTTGCGCGCGAGCGCGTCGTATTGCTCTTGCTGCGACGCGATTTGTTTATTCTTCGCGCACAAGTTTCGCACGAGCGTCGTCATCGCCAAGCGCGGATCGCTCCCCTCCAGCCTCTTCAACATCTCCCTCTCTCCGAGCGACGACGCGCTCGCCGCGACTTCTCTCTCGATGCGCTCCTTGTCTTCGAACTTTGACAAACTCCGCGTCAACTCGTCGTTCTTCTCTCGCAACGTCTTCATCTCCCTGGCGTCCCGGCGAACCTTTGACGCGAGCGTGTCTTGCGCCAACCGAATCGCGCTCAACTCATTCTTCGCCTTTTCCAACGCCCGTCGCGCGTCATCGCTCTCCGTCGCGCGTCGCCCGATCGCATCCTTTTCCCGCTTTAACGTCTCTATCGCGTCCAGCGCCTCCCGCATCCGCTCTCGCTCTCGCCTCAGCTCTCGCGCGCACTCGGCGTACCGCTCGTCCGCGCCTCGCGCGCCGTCCTCCCCCCCCCTCGACCGCCGCCTGCCCGGCGTCGGTTGACTCCGCCCCCCGTGCGCGTCGTCAACGCCGTCATCCATCGTTTTATGATCCAGGTATATCGTCACGCAATCGTCGTACGCGAATTCGCGTTTACACGTCGGACACGTCGCCTCGCCGCAATCGTCGCGTCGTCCTCGTCCTCCCCTTTCCTCCCTCGCCCGTCGCCGCGTCTCCACGTCGTGCCACTTCGAGATGCATCGCACGTGATACACGTGTCCGCATCCTCGCAGCGCCTGTCGCGCGACGCCCGTCGCCCGCGTCGCTCGTCGTCAGTCGTTCGTTCGCGTCGCATCCGTCAAACGTTCGTTTCAAATCGCGCCTTCGTCTGTTCGTCATCGGCGTCGTTCGTCGCGTCGCGTCGCGTCGTTCGGTTCGTCGCGCGCGCACGCACCACACACTTCCCCGCGCACGTCTCCAGGCACACCGCGCACCGCGACATCGCGCCGCGCCGCGACCTGCCGTCCCGGTCGCCCGGGCATCCATCCATCCATCCATCCGTCCGCGCCCGTCGCGAAGAAACGTGCACGTGGATTCGACGCGTCGCGCGCGCCGGCGTCGCGCGATCCACCGCACCGCGCTTTAACTCCCGCGTCGTCGATATTTTTTTTTTCTAGCGCGACGTCGACGGCGGCGACGCGACGATCGCCGCCGACGCGTCGCGCGCGCGGACGCGCGTCGACGCGACCGCGATCGATCGCGTGCGGCGTAAAAATCGCGATGACGTCGCGGTCGCGCGCGCGCGAACGACGACGCGCGCGCGCTCGAGCGCGGCGAGTCGCGGTTATTTTTCGCGCGCGTCGTCGTCGCGCGTCCGCGCGCGCGTCGTCGTTCGCGCGCGCGTCGTTCGCGACGCGCGCGAATCGAATCGTCGCGCGGCACATCGCGCCGATGCCGATGATGACGTGTCCGACGACGACGACGCGTCCGACGACGACGCGGGCGAGCGCGCGACGCGCGACGCGGGCGAACGCGCGACGCGCGACGACGACGACGACGACGCGCGCCGTCGCGCGCGACGACGACGACGCGCGCGAGGAACGGTCGACGCGACGCGCGATCGTGATGATGACGGCGACGATGCTGGCGACGGCGGCGACGACGCGCGACGACGCGCTGGCGTACGGCACGGGCGGGTGGAAGGATTGCGAACCGATATGCGATTCGCTGAAGAACGGACGCGCGGAGCAGTTGGCGATGCAGGAGGAGATGATGCGGTCGATGGGGCGGGACGCGAGCGCGAGCGCGAGCGAGGGCGAGAGCAAGCGAGAGCGCGAGCGGCGGGCGGAGCGCGAACGCGCGAGGGGAGGGAAGTGAGCGCGAGCGCGGGTGAGAGAGGTGGATTCGACGCTTCGATTCGATCGATTTTGTAACGACATGGACGCTTTGGTTTCGCGCGCGCGCGATTCGTCATTCGTCGTCTACGCGAGCACCGCGACGACGGGGGCGGTGGCCGGGGCGGTGGATGGTTTCAGACGCACGACGCGATCGCGAAGGACGCGCGCGCGGACGCCGACGCCGTCGGTGCCCGCGCGGGCGATTTCGGTTTCGGCGAGGACGCGCAACGCGCGGGTGACGCATCGCGACAGCACGATGGCAACCTCTTTGCCGCCTTCGATGGCGTACTCGCCCTCGAACTCGACCTCGTTCACGAGGGCTTCGAGCACGCGGTCGTCCCACTCCAATCGCGCGAGCTCGCGGCGCGCTTTTTTCGTCTCACCGCGTCGCTCGAGCTGCGCGTGCACGATGGCTTTCACCGCCGCGCGATCGAGCGGGACGAAGGGCACGAATATATCGATCGCGCCGACCACCTTGAGCGTGTCCTCGCGATCTTCGCAACCATCGCTCGTCCACTTTTCGAACAACCCATCCTTCAGCTTGCGCTGCAACGCCGTGAGCTCGTCGCCCGTGGGCGCGCCGCCGCCCGCCGCCGAAGCGTCGTGCACGTCCATGAATCCCATATTCGCCTCCAACACGAATATCGATCGCCCAAACGTCACGTTTCGATCGAACGGGTTCGCCCCCGTCCCCGCGCTGCCGTGTTCGAGCATCTGCTTCAACATTCCGCGCGCCGGACACCCTAACTTATCGTACTCCTCGACGACGACGACGGATTCGGGATACTTTTCCAAGTGTCGCGTCACCGCGTCTCGCAACATCCTCGCCTGCGTCTCGCGTTCGCGCACCACGTAGTCCGTACCGAATATCACCTTATACCCCGGGCATCCCGCCCCCGGGCACGCCTCGTTTCGTCGTCCTCGTCGTCCCGAGTCGAAATCGCTCTCTCGCGTCGCGTTGTACGCCGCGCGCGCCAATATCCTATGAAACAACGACTTCCCCACCCCCGGACTCCCGTGCAGCGACATCACCAGCGGTTTCTCTCGATCACGCGACGATTTCTCCGCGTGATCGCACACCGCGTCGACGACGAGCGCCGCGCCGACGTCTTGCCCCAGCAACTCTCGCGTCGTCAGCGCTCGCGTCCGCGCGCACAGCGCCTCTTCGCAAAACCATCCATCGCGTCCGCACCCCCTCGCGCGTCGATCGAGCGCGTCCCGCGCGTCGCGCGCGTATCGCACCGCGGCGTCCGCGCCTCGGCGCGCGACGTCGAGCGCGCGTCGCCACGTCTCGACGGTTTTCTCGCGCTCGCGCGCGAACGCCAACTGAAATCCACAAAGAATCGCCAGCGCGACGCACGCGCGCGCGATGACGCGCCGATCGCGCGCGCCGGTCGCGCGCGCGCGCTGACCGCGCGCCATGTCGCGACGCGTCGCGGACGCGCGGCCGGCGCGCGGCGTCGAGCGCGACGAAATGCCGCCGCCGCCATTTCGCGACGCATCGTCGACGCGCGCGATGGCGCTCTTCGCGCCGTATCGCGCGCTCGGCCTCGTGAACGCGCAGCGAGGATGCGCGCTCGTCGTCAAGCGGCGCGGGACGGAGACGTTCGTCACGGTGAGCGCGGAGGACGCGTTCGCGGTGTACGACGCGCGAAAACTCACATTGGTCTTTCGAAGCGCGCGGTTCGCGACGAGCGACGCGCGAGGGATCGGGGCGATGGCGGTGAGGAAGGATTACACGTTTTGCGCGATCGGACGGGAGATAAGGTGCGCGAAACGATTGGCGGAGTGCTGCGAAGGACTGGGGCGGGACGACGGCTCGGGACACGACGCGCGGGTGACGACGCTGCACGCGTTCGGACGACACTTGGCGAGCGTGGACGAAAATGGGGCGGTGAAGATGTGGGACATCGATGATGACGCCATGCGGGCGCGCGAGCGGGCGTGGGCGGTGGGACGAGGAGAACCGACGGGGCCGGAGGGCGAGAGCGACTCGGAGCTCGAGCTCGGCGCGCGAGCGATGGAGATGCCTCGGACGTTCGCGGCGACGACGGTGTGTCATCCCGATGGATACGTGGATAAGTTACTGTTTGGCTCGAGCGATGGGCGATTGGCGCTGATGAACGTGCGAGCGGGTAAATTGGTGCACGAATTTGCGGGCTGGGGGTCGGCGGTGACGGCGCTGGAGAACTCGCCGGCGACGGATGTCGTCGCCGTCGGTTTGGCGGATGGGCGCGTGCTTTTGGTGAACGTATTAGAAGATAAAGTTTTGTTTACGCTCACGCCCGAGCGTGGGGTAAAGGTGACGGCGCTGGCGTTTAGAACGGATGATCAGGACGACGTGCTGTGCGTCGGCGACGAAACGGGACGCGTGACGGTTTGGGATTTGGAAAAGCGCTCGTTGCGCACGCTCATCGTGCAATGTCACGAAGGTCCGGTGGTTTCGTTGAAATTTCTCGATGGACAACCGGTGATGGTGTCGAGTGGGTTCGATAACACGTTGAAGGAGTGGATTTTTGATAGAGAAGACGGCGACGCTCGACTCTTGCGCTTTCGCGCCGGACACTCCAAGCCGCCGACGAGCGTGTCGTTCTACGGTGAAGGCAAGAAACTTTTAGCGGCTGGGAGCGATCGAACGTTGCGATTTTTTCACGCGTTTCGTGATCAGCAAAACATCGAGTTGAGCCAAAAGAATGTCAGCAAGCGCGCGAAGAAAATCGGCGTCGCGGAGGAAGAGTTGAAACTTTCTCCGGTTACGAAGATGGCGTGGGGCGAGCTTCGCGAGCGCGATTGGGCAAACGTCGTCACCGCGCACGAAGGTTCAAACAAGGCGTACACGTGGCGTATTTCCAAAGGTGCGCTCGGTGAACACATTTTGCAATGTCCGAAGGACGACGGCAAGTGCGAAGTCAAGTCGGTTGCGATTAGCGCGTGCGGCAACTTTGCCTTTCTCGGTGCCGCAAACGGGGCGATCCATCGATTCAACTTGCAATCGGGCGCGCATCGTGGCGCGTTCGAGCGCGTCCTCGACGCTGATGAGGTGATGCGCACAAAGAAGAAGAAGAACGGAAACGAAGGGTACAATTTCCCCGGCGGCAAGCGTTCGTTTTGGGCTCTCGCGAATCAAACCGGTGGAAACGCAGAGGGAAAATTGCGCGTTGCCGCGCACGACGGTGAAGTGACGTGCATACAAGCACACTGCGCGAATAGAAGCGTCGTCACCGCGGGTGTCGACGGGATGATTCGCGTGTGGAAATTTAGCGAGTTGAAGATTGACTTGGAAATCGACGTCGGGTGCGGCGTGCGGTGCGGTCACTTGCACGAGGACTCATTGCTCGTCGTTGGATGCGCTGATAAGCACGTGCGCGTATACGATACCATGACGGGTAAACGTGTTCGCACGTTCAAGCCACGCGGTCAGGAAAATGAGGCTGGAGATATCACGAGCGTGCAAATCAGTGAAAACGGTAAATGGATCTTCGTCCTCGACACCACCGGAACGATACGAGTGTACGATATTCCCGCCGCGAGATTGATTCAACACATGATTCTCGGTGCGGATAAAGTCACCGCCATGAGCTTTTCACCGCGAATGGACTTTTTAGCCACCGTGCACGAGAACAGGGTCGGGTTGTATTTGTGGGTGAACATGCCGATGTTTGATTACGACACCAAATTGGCGTACGGGCGCAAAGTTTCCATCGCACTTCCGAGAAAACACGCGGAATCCGACGCAGACGGCGGCGTGCGCGATGCGTCTGAGGAGACGAACAAGGAGTCCAACGATACCGACGTGTACATTCACCCGTTCGAAGAAGACGAAGAAGAAGAGCATCGCAATTTGCAAGAGTTGGAAGAATATTTCAAAGAAATGGCCACCGGCCCGAAACAAATAGCCCCTGGCATGATTACTCTGGCGATGATGCCTCAGACGCAAATCGAAATGCTACTGAATCTGGAGACGGTGCAAGCGAAGAGTAAGGTGAAGACCGATGACAAAGAACCGGAATTGGCGCCGTTCTTTCTGCCCACAGCCGCCGCGAGCGACGACGTGCGTCGATCTGTCTTCGATCCCGCGCGAGAATCCGAGCTCAACGCCAAAGACGACACCGGCGATGATGATTCCAAAGCACCGAAGAGTCGAATTTTGCGTCAAGGCGCGGATCTCGCCGGCGCGTCCGCGACGCCGCTCTTGACGTTGATTCTTCGAGGAGAACGATCGGAGGACTACACCGAAGCGCTCGAATTCTTGAAGAATGCGTCGATACACGTCGTCGACGCCGAGCTGCGATCGCTCGGACCTTGGGATCACAAGTTCATGTCCGAGGACGACGTGAAAACTTTGCGGAGCGCCATCAAATTTTTCACCGCCGCAATCGCGAGCGGCATGTACTACGAGATGGTCAACGCCCAACTCAACGTGTTTCTCAACGTGCACACCACCGCGATCATGCAATCCAGCGCGCTCGTCGACGAGTGTCACGCCCTGCGAGAGGCCATGCACAAATCCTACAGCAGGATCGACGATTTGTTCAACGAAATTCGGTGCACGCTCAGTTTCCACATCGGCGACGCCGGCGTCTAGTCCCGCGGCGACCCCACCGGCGCCGATCGCGCCACCGCGAACGTGTAAATCAAAACAAGCGTTTCAACGCCATCTCACGCGCTTCGCGTTCGTCCACCATCCGTCCCGCGTCGTCGTCTTCGCTCGCCGCACTCCCCGCCGCGTCCCATGTCCGCCTTCGTCCCCGTTCCCGGCTGCGCCACGCGCTTCCGCGTCCTCAACCAGGCGCCGCCGTCCGCCCCCGTCGTCGAGCGCGGCGACGTCGTCGTCGTCCACGCCAAGGGCGTCGTCAAGGAGACGCAAAAGACGTTCTGGTCCACCAAGGACCCGGGACAGAAACCGTTCGAGTACACCGCCGGCGTCGGCGGCGTCATCACCGGTGCGTCGCGCGCGTCGTCGTCGCTCGAGAACCGAGCGCTCGCGCGCCCGCGACGCGCGACGCCGCGCGACTGACGATGAACGATCGCGAATCGAATCGCCGCAGGCTGGGACCGCGGCTGCCTCGGCGCGCGCGTCGGCGAGACGCGCGAGCTCGACATTCCCGCGAGCGAGGGCTACGGCGCCGGAGGATTCCCGGCGTGGGGGATCCCGCCGAACGGCGCGCTCGTGTTCGAGATCGAGGTGCTCAGCGTGCGCGGAAAGTAGAGCGACGAGCGACGAGTAATCCGACGACGCGCCGAATGAATCAAACCGAACGAACGTCACCGCGCGACGCGCGCGATGCGGTGAGGCGCGGCGCGAGCCCGAACGAACGCGCGCGCACGCCGACGATGCGCCGGGACGCGTTCCCGGCGTTCCCGTACGCGACGGCGTACGGAATACAAAAAGATCTCATGCGACACATCTACGACGCGTGCGAGCGACGCGCGACGTTCGGCGCGTTCGAGAGCCCGACGGGCACGGGGAAGACGCTGAGCGTGTTGATCGCGGCGATGTCGTGGATCGACGATCGACGACGGGCGCGGCTGGCGGGGACGAAGTTGGACGACGAGGACGACGGGCGGGACGGCGCGGGGGAGACGACGAAGAGCGCGGAGGACGACGAACCGGATTGGTTGCGAGAGTACGACGCGAAGCGAAGGAAAACAGACGCGGATGAGGTCGAACGAAGACGAGGGGAGATACGGCGGGAGATGCGAGCGAGGGCGAAGACGGCGGAGACGCGCGCGCGGTTGCGGCGAGACGCGGAGACGCGGTTGAGAGAAAAGATTCGCGGCGGCGACGCGAGGGACTCCGCGGTGAAGAACGATGAGATCGATAAGCATACCGCGGAAGAGCGCGAGTTTTTAGCGGATGAGTACGACTCTGGGGCGGAAAATGCGAAGGAGGATTTGCGAACGTTGCTGCGAGACGGCGACGACGAGAGCGACGACGACGACGCGCACGCGGCGAAGGAGGAAGACGATGCGTTGCGTCCGGCACAGCAGGTAATTTTGTGCTCGCGGACGCACTCTCAGCTCACACAAGTGATTGGTGAGCTTAAGAGGACGGTATTCGGTGGGAGCGTGGCGAATGCGGAGGAACAAGTCGCCGTCGCCGCCGTCGCCGGTCGAGCGCAACTGTGCGTCAACCCGGCGGTGAAAAGCTTAGGCTCGGCGGCGCGAATCAACGAGCGTTGCTTGGACATGAGCAAAGGCAAGGCGAAGCCAGGGGAGAAGACGAAAATCAAGGCGTGTCCGTACTTGTCTAAGCGTCGAAAGGCGATGCTCGAGCTTAAAGAAGCGGCGTTGGCCAAGCCGATGGACATTGAAGATTTAGCCAAGCTCGGCGAGTCGAGTCGGGCGTGTCCGTATTACGCCGCTCGCTCGGCGTTACCGGAAGCGGACTTGGTGTTGATGCCCTACGCATCTTTGTTGCACGCGGACACGCGCGAGATTTTAGGCGTCAAGTTGGAGAATGCGGTGGTGGTTTTCGACGAGGCGCACAACTTGGTGGACGCCGTGCACAATTCATACGGCGCCGCGGTGACGCTCAACCAATTAAGCGACGTTAACGACATGCTCACCGAGTACGTCGAGCGATTCAAGACTCGTTTGAGCGCGAATAACTTGCGTTATCTGCGTACGTTGACCAACATAACGCGCGCGTTCGTGAAAGTCCTCGCGAAAGAGACGGAAGACGAGAGCAAACCTCAAAAACGATTGACGACGTTGAATGATTTCTTGTTTGAGTGCGGACAAGACACTGTGAATATGTTTAGCTTGCGAAGATACTTGAAGGAGAGTAAGGTAGCGCATAAGATCGCGTCGTATGGCGAGCGTGTGCGCTCGGGGGAGAACATGAGCGTCGACGGCGTCAAGATGGAAACCATCGGACGTACGAAAGTCGCCGTCGCGCCGGATCCAAATGCTGCCCCGCGCGTGGGCGCGGTGCACGCGTTGACGTCACTCATCGATGCGTTAGCGAGCGCGGATAGTGATGGTCGAATGATTTACGAACGCGCCACGCCTGAAGGTGATCCCGCAACGCTTCGTTTTGTCCTGCTTGACGCCGCCAGCCGGTTCAAGCGCGTCGTCGAACAAGCGCGTTCGGTGATTCTCGTCGGCGGAACGCTCGCGCCGATTCCCGAGCTCGTCGCCCAGCTCTTCCCAGATTTACAGTCGCAAACGGCTCCAGCACCGGGTGCTCGACAGCTCAAGACGTTCACGTGTGGGCACATCATACCCCGCGACAACTTGTTACCCATCGCCCTCTCCGCGGGTCCCACTGGCGTGGCGTTGGATTTCACGCACGGCGCTCGCGCTGACGTTTCCGTTATTGATGAACTCGGGAGAATCCTTCTCAACGCGTGCAGAGTCTCTCCTGGCGGAGCGTGTGTCTTCTTTCCGTCGTTCAAATACGCCGACGAAGTGTACGCGAGATGGGAGTCCACGGGCGCCATGGCGTCCATTCGCGGCGTCAAGGACGTGTATCGCGAACCGCGCGACGCGAGCACTCTGGAGCAATGCTTGAGAGATTACGCGGCGTCAGTGAGCCGAGGCGCGAGTACGCGAAACGGCGGCGCGGTGTTGTTATGCGTCGTCGGAGGTAAGTTGAGCGAAGGCATCAACTTCAAGGATGAACTCGGTCGACTCGTCGTCATGGTCGGCTTGCCCTACGCCAACGTCGCCGACGCCGAGCTCAAGGCGCGCATGGACCATCTCGATACCGGTCCTGGGAACCAAGGACGCGGTCGCGCGTATTACGAAGCGTTGTGCATGCGAGGCGTCAATCAAAGCATCGGGCGCGCGATTCGTCACGTCGGCGATTACGCGTGCATTTTGCTCTGCGACAAGCGATGGGGCGCGTTTGGGAGCGCGACGAACGGCTCGCGCACCAAGGCGGCCAAAGCACTTCCAGAATGGATAGAACAACGACTTGTGGTGCCGCAGCGTAATTACGGTGAAGCGCACGGTCGCGTGGCACAATTCTTTCGCGCGCGCGAGGCGAAACAAGGACACTAGCGTTCGGGGCGCGGCGCTCCGTAGCATTTTTTAGGAATGATGATAGATTAGTGCGTATGCTTCGCGGTGCGTCTTATTCGTCGCTGTCGTCGTCGTCGTCGTTCGCGTCGCTCGTCCACAGCGTGAGATTGTCGCGCAAAAGCTGCATGATCAAGGTGGAATCCTTGTAAGATTCGTCCGTCAGCGTGTCCAAATCGGCGATGGCTTCCTCGAACGCCGTCTTGGCGAGTTCGCACGCCTTGGTCGAATCGTTGCCGATTTCGTAATGGAACACCGAGTGGTTGAGCGCCAAACCGAGTCGCACGGGGTGCGTCGGCGGTAATCCATCGGTCGAACCCTTCCCGTTCGCCATCGTCGTCGCCTCCGCGTACGCCTCGTCCGCGTTTTTACTCGCCTCTTCGCGTTCATCACCGCTCGAAACCTCGGCGAGGTAGCGATAGTAATCCGCCTTCATCTTCAGGTAAAACACCACGCTCTCCCCATCCCCCGACGCCTTGCTCAACAATCGCCCGTCGAGCACCTCCAACACGTCGGCGCAAATATCCTTCAACTCCTTCTCCACGCGCGTTCGATACCCCCTCACCTTTTCCGCCTGCGCCTCGTGTCCCTTCCCTCGCTCCTTCTCCTCGATCGAGTTCAAGATTCTCCACGACCCGCGTCGCGCGCCGATCACGTTCTTGTACCCCACGCTCAGCATGTTTCGCTCATCCGTCGTGAGCGCGTCGACGCCCTCGAGCGCGCACAGCGCCCGCATCGCCTTCACTTGTTCTGCGTCCGCGTCGCGCGCCGCGTCGCGTCGATCCGTCAGTCGCCTCGTCCCGACGCGTCATCGCGCCCGCGCCGTTCGCACGCGTCGATCGCGTCGCGCGCGCGACGCGTCGATCCGCGACGCGCCGCGCGCGCCCGCGCGCGCCTCGACGCGATCGATCCTTCGTTCGTCCGTCGCGCCGTCGATCGCGCCGTCGATCGCGTCGGACGTCGACGCACCGTCGTGTCGCTCCGCCTGCTCGGCGAGTTTCGCCTCGAACACGCATCGCTGGCGCGCGTCGAGCGACATGGCGCTTCGCTTCGCGACGCGACGCGACGCGCGATGGCGCGCGACGCGGCGTCGCGACGCGCGTGTTTTTATCGATGACGGTCGGTCGTCGCGTGTGTACACGGCGTGAAAAACGCCGATCGCGAGACGCGCGATGGTGGAAAAGGCGGGCGCGCGAAACGGCGTCCGCGTCAGCGCCGATGATCGAATGATGCGTCGCGACGCGACGACGCGACGCGGCGACTCGGCGCGCGCGATGGCGACGGACGCGCGCGCGAGGGCGACGCGCGCGGTGTATCTGCGCGAAACGGTGATCTCGAAGCTGCGATTGGCGCGGACGCTGAGCGATACCGCGGTGTATAAATCGTACGCGCGGCGGTCGGCATTGGCGATGAAGTACACGCTGACGATTTATGAGCAGCGGAAGATGCTGTTCTTGGCGGTGGCGCACGCGATGGCGACGATGGTGGTGTGGTCGCACTTTTTCTTGGTCAAGTATCGCGCGACGGCGAAGGTGCCGCGCGGGGCGAATTTGTATTGGTGGAAGCGACTGACGCCGCCGTTTGAGTTCGGGGCGATGCACGCGATTTTGTTTCAGATGGCGCTGCTGCCGCTGACGATGGCGCGACAGAGCGTGGCGGCGCTGTCGACGACGTCTTTCGGAAGGAAGTTTGTCCCGCTGCACAAAGTCGTGGCGATGCACATTCACCTCGGGTACGTCATGGTTTCTTTCGTGTTCGCGTCGACTATTTTGTTCTTCGTGTTCTTCGGACAAGGTTGCGCGCAGCAAAAGTCGGGTAAAGAGCCGACGCCGGGCGGGCAGCACACGTTTTGTCACAAGATGACGAGCGAAATCATGGCCACCGGGTTGGCGATTATGGGATGCTTGCTGCTCGTCGCGGTGACGTCGTACGCGAGAAATCGAATCAAGTACGAGATCTTTTACTACGTTCACCACTTCGTATTCATCATGTTTGCGCTCGCAATCGCGCACACGCTGGATGATAAGGCCCGACGCGGACAGGTGCGCTCGCAAAACTTTAAGTGGTTCTCCGCATCGCTCGTATGGTACTTGACGGACCGATTGCAAGCGTCGTTCAACATACGAGATTGTGACGTCGTGGAGTGCGTCGCGCTCGGTGACGACGAGCCGGAGTCACGTAAAGTGGTGCACTTGCGCATTGTGCGCCCGGAGACGTTCATTTTTCGTCCAGGTCAATATGTCTTTATCAACGATCGCAACATCGATTACACGTGGCATCCGTACTCGATTGCGTCGTCACCGCACGAGGATACGATTGACTTTTACATCGAAGTCATGTCGACGAGCAGAGTCGATGGCGCAAATAGCTGGACGAATAAGCTCTGGCGCGACGCCCGGGATGGGTTTGTATCCAAAATGCGCATTAATGGACCGTATGGCACCGGATTTAACGACATCGACGACAAGACGGAAATCGTGGCCATCGGCGCCGGGACGGGCATCGTTCCGATGCTTTCCTTGGCGAAAGCCAAGGTGAACGAGTTCGTACGAATGAATGCTCAAGCGCGGTTGTCTGACTTGGCCGCCAGAGACGCCAAAAATCGCAAGTTCGCGGACAATTATTTCAAAGAGTCTTACACGCTGAAGGACTTCGTCTATAAACAGCTCGGCCTCGCGAAGAAGGAATCGAAGGCCAGCGAAATGTGGGCGAGTCGAAGCGTTCAAGACATATTTTTGCATAAGCAGTGCGCTTGGCGCGAAGCGAAGTTGCGAGAAGAAGGTGATAACGCCACGAAACGTCATTACGAGAGACTTCTCACGAAGAATGTCTTGCACGAAGTCGTGGACCTCACGCAAATCGGGTTCCCGCTGCTCGACTTAACCTCCATCGCGTTACTCCTTTCTTTCTCGAAAAACTTTGCAATCGCCACGCAAGCCATGCGAGAAGTCCCACTGTGGGCTTTCTTCGTATGCCACTGCTATTTCTTCGTTCACTGGGTGTTCACCAGAATGAACGCCCCTATTTGGTGGATAGATCTCATCTTCAACGCCACGTCAACCGTGGCGTTCACCGCCTGGTACAACTTGATTCGTGAAGATCGTAAGGAATGGAATGTCTACATGATTTGGGCGTTCGCCGCACTCTCGGTGTACCGAATCGCTCGAATCTCCAGTGACGTTCTCTTAACAGGCACTCCTGGCTCGCGCGCCGTCAACGCGTATCTCGAAAAAACGGGCGACGCGACGAGCGTGACTGAAAAGTTCACGCTCATCTTCATGACGCCGCAGGTTGACTTCTGCCAAATCCTCTGGCGTGACTTGGACTCTCTTCATCAATCGATTACAAAGAATTATGGCGAGCAAGCTTCGCGTGTTTTCGACATTCAAGTCTATTGCACGTCGAGAGACTCGGCGGAAAACGAAGAATTGAAGAAGCGCGTCAAGGGCACTTCGCTCGGCGCCGCCGGCGCGCTTCATATGGAGCGCCCTGACTTGGACGAGATCACGTCTCGCCCCGTTCTTCAACAAGTGCTAAAGGATCAATTTACCGGAGAGGACAGACCATCGTTCACGGCCAGCCTCGTCGCCTTTTGCGGCAGCACGCAGCTCGGTTCAAAAATTGCGCTCGCCGTCGTTCGCTCGAGAGCTCGCGTGAAAGCCTTCACCGAAAATCACTCCATCGAGTTTCTTCAAGAAAACTACGGCCAAGCGACGCCCGCGAAAGATCGCGGTCGCGCCTCTTTCAAACAGGTCAGAGTCGAGCCTGCACCAACTGTATCCGGCGTCGTCGGCAACATCGTAAACGTCGGCCGCGCCGCGGCCAACGTCGCCGCCGTCGCGCTCAAGACCGTCGGACCGAAGACGACGAAAACGTCCAATTGAACGGCCACCGCGCCGTGATCCCAAACGTCATTGTAAATTAATCATCTTGTAATTTTGCCATCTGCCCGCGCCCGCCCGCCGCTCTTCGCTCGACGCTCGACGCTCTTCGCCGCTCTTCGCTCTTCGCTCTTCGCGCCGCGAGTCGAGTCACCGACGTTCCGCGACGCGCGACGTCAAAACGCTCGATCGCATCGAAGCGCTCGATCGTCGCGAGGGCGTCGCGACGCGCGCGCGGCGTCGCATCGCGCCGACGCGAAATCCAACGGAATCCAACGGTGCGCGCTTAAATCTCGTCGCATGGCGCCCGCGGACGCGATGGACGCCGACGCGCTCGCGCGCGAGTTGCGCGAAGAAAACGCATCGCTCAGGCGCGAGATCGAAGCGCTGCGGGAGCGTTCGGCGACGCGCGAGATTGAATTCAGGCAAGAGCTGCGCGCGTTGGCGGCGCAGTGCGCGAGCCTCGCGGCGGCGGCGGCGGTGACGAGCGCGAGCGCTGCGGCGACGACGGAAGCGACGCAAACGGAAGCGACGGTGAGCGCGGACGCGCACGGGGGTGAATGGCGCGTCGGAGGAGGGCACGGGGTCGGCGGGCGGCCGCGGCGAAGCGCGCGCGCGCCGCCGACGGCGTGGGAGGTGCCGAACGCGTGGCCGATGGGGGCCGAGAACGCGGATCGGGCGTCGGCGAGGTCCGGAGAGGTGAGCGATCGCGTTCGAGACGCGGTCGAGGAAGAGGCGAGGCGGCGCGGGCGAGGACGCCGCGGCGTCGACGCCGACGCGTTCGTCGGCGACTTGAGTTCGTTCTTCTTCAAAACGGCCAAGCACGAAGCGCCGGTGTGGGAGTCGAAGAAAAGCACGAAAAGTAACGATATCGACGCGACGTCGATATTGCGAAGCGCGCGCGACGGTGCGAGCGAGGACGACGTCGACGCGGACGCCTTCGGCGCGTCTTCGCGTCCCGCCCGCGAAACCGACCCGTTCGACCGGAGCCGCGGACGTCCCGCGTCGTCCCTCGACGTCGAAGACGAGCGCGAGGCCGATCTCACCGATAGTTTACGCGACGACGACGACCTCGTCGACGCCCTGCTCCGCGGCGGCCGCGACGGCGAGCGCGCCGCCGAGACCCTCGCGTCTCGGCTTCGCGCCGTCGGCTTCGCCGATTCCTAGTCCACCGGCTTCGCGCGCGTCTTCGCGTCCATCTTTTAGCGATCACTCGCGCCGCGTCGACGCCGTTCGATCGAACGCGAGACCTCCGCGGCGACGCGCGTCGCGTCTCTCCCCCGCGCGAGCGTCTTTTTTCGCGACCGTTCGGTAAAAATCACACCTCACACCCTGTTTGCACTGTTTGCCCATACGCATCGCGAAACGAACACTAAGCGTCGAAACGCCATTGATCGGCGTCCCTTGACGCGTCGCGGCGCGGCGCGTCTCGGCGCGCGTCGCGGCGCGACGACCGGTGCGCGCGCCCTGGACGACGCGGTCGATGCGCGCGGAACCGCTCGACGCGACGGCGTCGAACGCGTCGGCGTCGTCGCCGCGGGAGACGAGGAAACGCGCGAGGGAGGCGATTTTCGCGCGCTTCGACGCGCTCGCCACCGCGCGCGGGGCGAAGCTGGCGAAGAGGCGAGGAAAAAGGAACTGCGTCGAGCTGGAGTTAGAGGCGTTGGGAGGCGTGAGCGACGAGACGCTCGCGAAGTTTGCGACGTACGGGGACAAAGTGCAGAAAATGATGCAAAAAGCGACGCCGCGAGGGGCGACGCCCGGGCTCGCGCCGATTCGGTACGCGGCGCGAGGGACGCTTTTTAACGAGCCGTATCGCGTGTCGGTGGACGAGCAAGGCGTGCATCGCGTGGTTTGGGGGAAGGAAGGCGAGTCGCGCAGGGTCGTGCGGTCGAAAGATGGGGCGCGTACCCCGCAAGAGGCGGTGGAATGCGTGCACGTCGAAATTCTGAGGCGAATGAATGAAAACATTGCCTCAGTCAGCGACGAATCGCATGATGGTACATTCGAAGCCCGCATATGCAGAAATTGTCTATGCGACTGCTCGAAGACGCCACTGATGCGTCGTGGTCCCGATGGGATCGGTACGCTTTGCAACGCTTGTGGGCTGTGGTGGAGTCGACATCAAACGATGCGCGAGTATCCGTCGGTGGTGCCAGAAGAAACGCCGCACAAGGCGATATTTATCCGAAATCCAGTCAAAAGCCGAAGAGCACTGAAAACGTTAGACGTTTTTGGATACTATTCATCGAGCGTGCAAGCGACGCTCGCCAAGGCTTGCGCCGCCGTGCTCCAAGAAGAACGGCGTTCACTTCGGCTTCCGCGCGTCAAGTCGAAACCAGACGTACGATACGACTTCAAGCGAGCTATCCACGACGTGTTCGATCGGTGCGACTGTGTCTTCGCGGACTCCCCTTCTCATTCAGATGATTTAGGATGGGAACATTACCCCCCATCGATCACAGACTTCGCAGCTGAACAACTCGAAGAACTCGAAGGAGTCAAACTCGAAGGAGTCAAACTCGAAGGAGTCAAACTCGAAGGAGTCGAACTCGAAGGAGTCGAACTCGAAGAACTCGAACTCGAAGAACTCGAAGCTTTCGCGTTCGGTTTCGAGCCCCCGCGGTTGGATCCAGTCTGATAGACGTCGGCGTCTTGTATTGTGAAAAAGTTGAAAAGTTGGCCTAGCTTTTGTAACACCGGCGCGTTGGCAAGACGAACGCGCGGTGCGCCGCACTTCGCGCCGCTCGCGCGCGCTCGAGGTCGCGTCGCGCGTGCGCACGCGATCACTTCGACCGCTCGCGCGCCGCGGAGCCGGCGCGAAACGCTTCAGGGCGCGTTCGTCGAGTTCACCTCGACCGATCCAGTCTGTCCCGGTCGATGGAAACTTTCGCGTCGCACGCCCCGCCCGCCGCGCACGAGGACGCGATCGCGAGATGCGAGATCTTAGAGCGTGAACTTCGAGCGTTACAAGCGGCGGAGCGGGCGTCGCGCGCGCGAGAGACGGCGCTGGCGTGCGAACTGGAGACGCGGCGGCGACGCGCTCGAGCGGGACGGCGAGCGACGGAGACGGATGACGACGATGAGAGCGAATACGGCGGACGTCGCGCGATCGGTGCGTCAGCGAGCGTGCCGTTGAGAGAGTACGAGGGTCTACGCGAGCGGTGTGAGGCGGCGGAGGCGCGGGCGAGGCGGGCGACGGAGACGCTCGCGCAAGTCGCCGCCGAACGCGGGGAGATGCGAGAGAAAGCGGCGAGCGAAGCGGTTGAAAACGCGGTGAGAGAGGCCGAGGAGAAGTGGCGAGCAGAAATGGAAGAGTTGAGTCGAGCGGCGCGGGCTGACGCGAGGGCACTGAGTTCGTCGCGAAATAGAGCGGGCGAACTCGCGGCGGAGCTGCGCGAGGCGAAGGCGCTGCGAGACGAGTGGCAGAAGCGAGCAGAGGCGGCAATGGAAACGAGCGAAGCGACGTCTGATGCGCTTGAGCGCATGCGTAAGGCGATCATAGAGAGTGAGAATATGGGTTTAAGCGAGCGAAGTGTCAAAGACGCGGAGAGGATTCAAAAATTGGTCAAGCAGTTGGCGACGACGCAAGAGCAGCTCGCGATTGCGCAAAGGGAGGTCCACAAACGCGATTCAGCGCGGGATAGGCTCGTGTTCGATGCTCAAAAAGCGCAAGAACGCGTCAAGGAGATTTCGTCGCGTTTGGCCGAGGTGCAAGCGGAACGCGAACACGCGAAGGAAACCGTTTCTGTCGAACGCGCTGAGAAGGAACGCCTGAACGGTGAGGTGGTATATTTAAGAGGCGAGTTGGACCGAATTCGCTCGGAAAACGAAAATGAAATGAGCGATTTCACAGATTGGCGCACGCAGACGGAAAAAACGTACAATCGTGAGCTCAATCAGGCGCGCAAAGACGCGGCGCGCCACGCGATGACTGTACGTAAACTTCAGCAAAAATTGGCGCAAGGCAAGGACGCGAGCGACGCCCGTAAAATCGCGCAGTTGGAGCGCGAGTGCGCCACCGTTCGTGAGACAGTGCGTGAGTTGGTCACCGAGCGCGACGCGTTGGCGCGACGCGTCCAGGATTTGACATCATTCCGAAGCGACGCTCGGCATCAAAAGGGCTCTGCGAACGCGCGTCGAGCCGTCGTCGCGCACGACGACGACGAGGTCGACGACAATATCGACCCAGGCGCGTTTGGCGTCGACGACGACTTAGATATCTCCGGCGAAGACGACGAAGACGACGACATCTTCAACGAGGCGACCGAAAATCTCTTCAAAGAAACCGTCGACGATTTCTTCGAAGACGACGACGCCGAAGACGCCCGCCTCGAAGCCGCGCACGCGCACGCGCACGCCCTCGCCAAGCGCCTACAGTCCATAGAATCCCGCGCCGTGGCATTCCTAGGCGCCCGCGACGATTTCTTCGAAGACGACGATTTGTAACCTCGCCGCGCTTCCACATCCAAACCGCGGCGCTCGCGCCGGCCGCACTCGTCGCCTCCCCGAAACCCATGGGTCGCAAGAAATCCTCCTCCGTCGCCGCCGACGCCTCCAGGGACGTCCCCGCGCACTTAGTCACGACCGAGATCGACGTCACGGCGCTCACGTACGAAGAAATCCAAGCGCGACATCGCGAGCAGCTCGAAGAAATCGAATCGCTCGTGACGAAACTTTACGGCGCGACGCCGGGGAAGAAAGACAAGGAAAAGGCCATGCGCGCCGTCGGTGTGGTGAGCGATAGACATTATCAAGAGATGATGGCGTGGGAAGACGCGAACGAGGCGTCGGAGGCGAACGAGACGAGCGATGGGGAAGCGGACGCGAACGCGGCGGCGGCGGCGCTGCGCGACCAGGCGACGCTGACGAACGACGACGACGATGACGAGAAGGAGGCGAAGGAAAGCGATGAAAGCGAGAAGCAAAAGAAGCCGTCCAAGGCGATGGCGCGCAAAGCGAAGCGTGCGGCGGAGGAAGCGGCGAGAGAGGCGAGGATCGCGGCGGAAAAGGCGGCGCTGGGACCGAGCGCTCAGGCGATGGAGAGCGAAGTCTTGAGGTCGAGATTAGCCCCGCTCGGGTTGCGCGTGAAAGAAATACGCGCTGATGGCCACTGCTTGTATCGCTCGATCGATGATCAGCTGGTCAAGGTGACGGGGTCGGGGCACGAGGGCGGATACGAGGGGTTGCGCGCGACGTGCGCGGCGACGATGAGAGACGACGAGGATTCGTTTCGACCATTCATCGGCGATTGCGCCGAACAAACGCCCGAGGCGGACGAACGGTGGCGAGCGTACGTGCGCGAAGTCGAGAGTACGGCGACTTGGGGAGGTCAGTTGGAGATCATGGCGCTTTCGAAAGCGTTGCGGCGGCGGATCCAGGTGTTTAGCGCGACGATGCCCGTCGTAGTCATGGGCGAAGACTTTGACGAGGACGGCGCGCTGCGCGTGGCGTACCATCGGCACGCGTTCGGTTTGGGCGAGCACTACAATAGCGTGGAAGACGACAAGAAATAATGTGATATTGCAAGAAAGAATATGCTAGAGATGGAAAGGAAAGACTCAGTTCATGCCCGTCCCGTGCGCGATCAGCCCTAGGAGTCCGCCGAGGACGACGACCAACGGGGCCTGGATCAGCGTCCACGTTCCCCTTGGCAACTTGACGACGTGCACGCAAAACGTGCAAATCATTCCGATGCACACGGTAGCGTTCGGAAACGGACTCAGAGATTTGACCTTGAACGCGATGTTGAACGCGGCGGCGACGACGAGTCCGACGGCTGACGCATTCAGTCCGGGCAGAGCGCGTCTGTAGACGCGCCATTTTCGAAATTTCCCCCAGAACGGAAGCACGGCGAAGATGAGAATCACGCCCGGACCGAACAACCCGAACCACGCGCACATGATGCCGACGACGACGTTCACGCCCGCGCGTCGCGCGGCGACGGCGCCGAGGTACGCGCTGAGATTAAACAACGGCCCCGGCATGGCTTGCGCCATGGCTAAACCGGCGAAAAACTGTTCTTCGGTGACCCAAGACGTGAGCGACTCGCTTCTGACGCAACTCGTCGCGCCACTCGCGATCGAGCACGTCGTTTCGTACTGCACGACGTCGTTCAACAACAGCGGAAGCACGACTTGACCGCCGCCGAAGATGATCGAACCCGTGCGCCAAAACGCCTCGAACCAATGCAACTCCTTATTCGACGCGTAATCCGTCTTCGACACCGCGATCCCGAGCGCGACGAGCGCGACGATCCACCCCACGATCAAGCACCCCCCGACCGCGGGCGTGAGACCGAGATGCGCCACCTCCTCCGCGTCTTCGTCTCCGCTCGCGTCCTCCCTCGCGCCGCGCGTCTCGCCGTCCTCCTTTTTCGCCCACCTCTCCCGCGCGCGCGCCTCGCACGTCGTCGCGCATCCCCCGAACGCGATCAACGCCGGAAACAACCACGCCGTCTGACGATAACACGCCACCACCGCGCTCGTCGCGCACAAAACCTTCGTCGTCGCCGTCTTCGCCCGCGACCGCGTCAGCGACGCCGCCGCCGACGCGATCAACCCCGCGCCCGCCGCCGACAGCCCCCCCGCGAGCGCTCGAAGCGTTTGTCCTGGATTCACCAGCGTTTCCGCCGCGCCCGCGCCCGCGAGCGACATCAGCAGCAGTCCCGGATACTGAAACAGCGTCCCGCTCAGCGCGCCCCCCGCGACGCCGCCCCTCGCGATCCCGATCGCGAACGACATCTGCGTCGACGTCGGTCCCGGCAGGCACTGCCCGAGCGCCAGCAGCTCCGCGAACGTCCCGCTCGTCATCCACGGCCGCGGAGCGCGCTTCACGAAGGTTTCGTTGAAGAGCGCGACGTGCGCGGCGGGACCGCCGAACGCGGTCCAGCCGAGCAAAGCGAACGACGACGCGATCTCGCGACGCGGCGACGGCGCGACGTAAGACGCGCGCTCCTCGTCGCCGTCTCGCGCGATCTCGCGGTGCGCCATCGCGCGCGCGCAGGTGCGCGACGCGCGACGCGCGGCGCGCGAGGGCGACGAGGACGCGGCGCGCGCATCGAGGGTGAAAAAAAAACGCTCGAGGAGACGAAAAAACGGCACACGACGACGCGCGAGCGACGCGCGAGCGACGCGCGATGACGCGCGATGACGCCGACGGGGGCGCGCGGGATGATTTATACGACGCGCTCGGCGTCGCGCGGGACGCGACGAAGACGGAGGTGCGCGCGAGACGACGCGAGGACGACGCGACGAGGACGATGGATGCGTTTCGATGACGACCGCGTGGATAGGGGAGGGGCGACGACGACGACTGACGGCGAGGCGCGACGACGGCGCGACGACGGCGCGGCGTAGGTGCGACGGGCGTATCGAAATTTGATCACGCGCGCGCATCCCGATAAGGGCGGAGACGCGGTGACGTTCGCGAGGATCCAACGCGCGTACGACGTGCTGAGCGACGACGCGAAGCGCGCGTCGTACGACGAGACTGGGACGTTTGAAAAGACGGTCGAAGAAGAATTGCTCGATGAATTCGGTGGAGGGGTGTTTCGCGATAAGATGAAGGAGGAGGAAGCGCGCAAGGAGTCTCTGGCCGAGGCGCTCGTGAAGACGGAGAAGGAGAAGGGGTCGCACACCGCCGGATTCGAAGCGTGGCTCCGAGCGCGCGGACCGGATTCGAACAAGACGATCGGGGTCGAAGACATGATCGATCGATTCGGGGTGAACAAAGGTTCGTACGACGAAGTGGTGCTACCGAAGATTCGTGCGTACCAGGCGAGCGTCACAGCGGCGAACGCGATTAAATTGGGATCGGCGGCGATTCCTCCCACGCTCGAGTGGGGCGAGGTGCTCGTCAACGTGCGCGTCGCGCCGATTAATCCCGCCGATATCGACGCCAAGACGCTCGCTTCGCGCGCGAAATTCCCTTTCGTCGCTGGATCCGATGGTGTCGCCACCGTGGTGAAAGTCGGCGCGGGCGTGAAATCTCTCAACGAAGGCGATTGGGTGCTGCCGTACAAAGCCGAGATGGGCACGTGGCGCTCGCTCGCGGTGTGGAAGGAGAAGGACCTAATCAAGCTTCCTTCGGACATTTTACCCATGGAATACGCGGCGATGATGCGTGAAATGTGCGTCGCGTACCGTTTACTGGAAGACTTCGGAAGCTTGAAACCGGGAGACGCCGTGGTGCTCAACGCCGCGACGTCCACCGTCGGTCAGTGCGTCGTGCAACTGTGCGCCATGCTCAAGCTTCGCGCCGTCGCCGTCGTGCGCTCGCGGAAAGATTTCGACAAGACGGCGGCGTGGTTGAAATCACTCGGCGCTTCGGAGGTGTTGAAAGATGAAGGCTCGATCGCGACCGAGCTCACGTCGCGAAACTTGTTCGCCAAGCCGAGACTGGCGCTCGACGCCGTCGGCGGCGCCTCGGCGGTGCGTCTCGCCGAATCCCTCCAACCCGGTTGTCCGCTCATCGTCTACGGCAACATGAGCGGTCGCGCGGCGACGTTCCCATGGCACGCCTGGACGCAATCCGCACTCATCGTTCGCGGGTTCTCGTTGCGCCAATGGATGACTGAAAACAAGAAAAAGGTGCCCAAGATGATGGAGACGCTCGGCAAGCTCGCGCGCGCCGACAAACTCGCGATTCAGTACACCGACTACGAACTCTCGAGCGAGTTCGAGGAGGCGCTCGAACACGCGCGCGAGGACGATCGATGCACCAAAGTACTGTTACGCGTGAACGATATCGGGACGACGTACGACAGCGCCGAAAACGCCGCCTCGCCGACGGCGTGAGCGGTCCCGCGACGGGCGTCTCGACTCGGGCGACGGCGACCGCGCGGGCGAGACGAGACGAGACTATTCAGGGACGAAGACTACACGAATAAATGCACGAAACTGTAATGATAATATTTCATCCTCAGTTCCTAAACTGCGGCGACCTATCGCGTCGCCTCTTCAAAGCGCGTACGTACCGAGCGTCGACGCTCGATGGCGTCGTCCTCGCTTCGCGGCGCGCGTTTAGTAGAGTTCTTCCTCCATGTGCGTCTTGACCGTGCAGTCCGACGTCGGGTACGCGACGCACGTGAGCACGAAGCCGTTACCCATTTGGTCGTCGTCCAAGAAAGATTGGTCGGATTGGTCGATGGAACCAGCCTGCGCGCGATCGTCTCGTCAGTCTCGTCATCCAGAAACGTCCCATCGTCGGTTCGCGACTCGTCGAGAGTCCCTCGCGGGCGAGTGACGTCAACGTACCGTGACCTTACCCGCGCACGACGAGCATGCGCCCGCGCGGCACGAGTACGGCAAGTCGATGCCGGCTTCCTGCGCGCGTCGCAAAAGAAATCACCCCTCCGTCAGTCTCGCGCCCTCGCGACGCCCGCGCGTTCGCGCGCGACGCGCCCGACGCGCATCGCGTCGATCGCCCGATCGTTGGGCGGCGCCGCGTCAGCGTCGCGCGACGCGATTCGCCCCCGTTCCCGCGCGCGCGACGCCGCGCGCGACGCCGCGCGCGTCGCGACCCGACGATTAAAAATTCGCTCGAGCGTTTCGCGCACTCACCTCAGCGGCGTCGAGGATGTACGTGTCGTCCGCGCACTCGATCGCTTGCGCCCCCTCCGGGGTTTCGAGCGTGACCTGGAAGCGCGCGATCGTCGATCGGCGCGCGACGGCGGCGGAGGATCGGCGCGCGCCCGCGAAGGACGCGACGGGGGCGGCGGTGACGGACATCTTCGTGACGGCGGACATTGTGTCTGTGTGTTACTGCGTGGAGTAGTGTCGACGCGTCGTCGGCGAACGAGCGATCGACGCGACGCGATCGATCGAGGTCGGTCGATCCCCCTAACCTGTTGATTCGTCGAGTCAGCACTCGTCGACGCGCGCCGATCGAAAAAACCGTCCTCGCGTCGATCGACCGCGCGCGCATCGTCGGTCGCCGTCGAACCTCGCGCCGTCGATCGCGCGCGCGCGCGTCGATCGATCGATCGATCGATCGATCGCGCGCGCCCGCACTTCGCGCCGACGGCGACCATGCGCGCGATGTCGACGACGACGACGACGACGACGCGCGCGATGACGTCGCGCGCGTCGCGACGCCGACCGACGACGCGACGTCCGACGCGCGCGTACGCGCCGCGCGCGCGATCGAGCGACGACGACGACGACGCGACGGCGAACGAATCGTCGACGTCGGCGACCGAGCCCAAGCTCGACCCGTTCGGGTTCGGGGCGCGACGGCAGGACGCGCCGGACGAGATCCGCCCGGGATTCGACACCGCGGAGGGGGGGAAGGTGGGACCGGTGGGGACGTTTTTCATCTCCGCGCTGCTGATCGCGCTGTTCGGGGGGTCGTTTTTCTTCACGAGCGTGCCGCGGGGGAGCGTGGAGGAGCTCGCGGCGAGGCAGTTGGCGGACGATCCGAACGCGCCGACGCAGAGCTTCGCGAGACGGTGAGGCGGTGGGGGGTGTGAGGGTGTTGGTATTTTTACGGTGGGCGTCGCGCGGGGAAGGGTAGATTGGTTGGTTGTCAAAACACGCGCGCTCGCGCTAAACTACGTAAATCTCTACGACGCGACGCGACGCGACGCTTCTAACTAAGACTAGATTCCGATCCGATCGACGACGGCGCGGGAATCGAAGAATGATGCCAAGGCGGTGGAGAGCGGTGCGCGGTGCGCGCTTCGGATGGCGTCGATGGCGTGGGGGGCGATTTGGGCGACGACGTCGGCGTCGGCGAAATCGACGAGGGACGCCAACGCGCGCGCGGCGAGACGCTCTCGCGTCGGCGTGAGGGCGTTGGAGCGTAAACACGCATCACCGTCGCGCGTGTTTTCTTTGTCGCTCTCGCGCGCTTCTCGGTGGATGACTAAGCATCGCGACGCGTGTTCCACGAGGCGCTCTCTCGCGTCGACGTCGCCTCGCAACGCTCGTAAAAGCGCGTCGCCGGCGGCAAACTCGAGACGAGACAACGTCCCGAGAGATCCTTCGGCGTCGTTTTCTTCTCTCGCGAACGCGTAGGCGTCGGTGATGATGTCCACGAGTTCCGAGCGCGCGCTCTCCGGAACGCCGACGACGCCTCGCAAATCGGCGCACGCAGCGACGCACGCGAGCGAGCGACTCACGACATCGCTCGCGTTCGGTAAGTCGAGCATGACGACGTCTACGACGACGCCGTACCGCAGAACTTTGCAAATCGCACGCCAAGTGTCCACAGAAGAGTCACCGCGAGCTATGACGACGTCCATCGCCGAGCGCGTCGCCGCGAGCGCGTCGGGAATCGCTCGAGGCGCGGCGGCGCGCAAGACGTTCGTCACGAAGGACCAAATCGCCGGTAGCAACGCGTCGTAGGCTGATTTTTTGTCGCGCACGAGCGCGATCAGGCGTGGAAGAATGAGATCCAACGCCCGCGTGGCGTCGAGCTTGGTCTCCAATAAGCCCTCGACCGCTCCAGCGCGCGCCACCCCCCACGCCTCGGCGCTCAGTCGCTCGACGTCGTCGTCTTCGAGAACGCGGAACAACGCGTCGAGAGCGCGATCGTCTTCGCGCGCGAGCGCGCCGATAGTTTCGCACGTTGCCGCCCAAGTCGTCTTCAACCACGCGTTCGCGTCCTCGTCGCCCATGGCGAGTCCTCGGCGGCACGCCGCGGCGATCGTCGCAACGGCGCGTCGCGGCGGCGAATCCTCGTCGTCCGAGCCAGCGCTCGCGCGTCGTCGGCGTCGCGCGAACGTCCCGAGCAAGCACATCGCTCGTGGGACGCACGCAAGCGGTAGGCCGAGGTAGTCGTCGTCGTCCTCCGTCGCCACCTTCGACGCGCTGTCGCCATTTTTTTCCAACGCCGCGGCCAGCGCCTTCTCCAACGCCTCGCACGCCGCGGCTTCCGCATCTCCCAAAGCGACATCGCTCGACGAACCGTCACCGTACACGTGTTCGAGCACTTCTAACGCTGGATCCCAACCCAAATCCAGCGAGTCCCCGAATCGCTGGAGCGCTTGAGCGACGCACGACGAAATCAAATCTCTCGCGTGCGCGTTTGGGGCGTTTTCGATCGCCGCGACGAATGGCTTCATCGCGTCCACCTGCGTGGCCGAACGCGTCGCGCGCGCGCGTAAAAGCAACCTATTCGCCACTTGTCGTAGCGAATCTGTGGCGTGTAACACGACTTTATCGTCGGGGTGCTTCACGCTCTCCACCAGGTGTTCGGCGACGACGTTCCAAAGCTTGGACCACACCAGGCGCACGCGCGTCATATTCGTCGCCGCGACTTCGGTGAGACGTAGTAACGCCGACACGTTACCGCCCGCACCGTCCCAGAGTTCATGACGAGATACTGTGGCGATGGCGGAGGCGTAGGCGATGATCTCATCGGAATCGAATCGAGTGCTCAACGCGAATACGCGCTCGATGGCTTCGCCGCCCGCGGTGGACAACCACTGCGTCACCGAAAGCTCCGCCGGGGTGAGCGCGTCGGGGCTAACATCGCCGCCCGATTGCGTCGCCGATTTCGATGACGCCACTAGTTCTTGCATGCGAAGCGGTGCACAAAAAATATCTTTCGCGCGCGCGGTATCGAAGGATACGCCGGCGCCGACGACGGCGCGCAAGTTTTCCAACCGCGTCACCATTTCCAACACGCTCGCCCACGCCTGGACGCCGCCTAGATTGGATTCGCTCGCCGCGAGCTCGAGGAGCGTGCTCAAAGCTTCTTTACTCTGAGTTGCGATGCCTTCGCGGCGTCCAAACCCAGGAGCAGAGACTAAGAAGGTGCAGATATCGTCGCGCAACATCGGGAGTTGCAGTCGCGCCGCGAGCGACAGCATCGCTCTCGCGCCTTCGAGCGGCATCGCTGCGTGCGCTTCATCCGGGGCGGAGTCAAACGCGCTGGATAACGCGATTAACATGCATTTCCCCGCCGCCTCGAGCATCGGTCGCGCCAAGCCTGGTTCGGAGGCTCGGACGAAGAGCGCGCTCGCGGCTTCGTCGCTCTCCTCGGCGTGCTTGAACATCGCCTTCGTGGACTTGAGTAACTCTACCGTTTCGTCGCTCGCCTCTTTGAGCGTAGATCGGTTCTTCCAGGGAGCTGCAAAGTTTAGTACTTGCGCCATCGTCTTCTTCGCCCGCGCGTTATCGCCACCGTTCGCTTTGGTCGCCGTCGATGGCTCCGCGGCGTGCATTTTGATTTCCTCGGCAGTGACGCGCGCGTAAATCGCGGCGACGGCTTCCACATCCAAATCTTTTGTCGCCTCGGCTGCGGTGGCCATGAGCACGAAATCACCTTCGCTCATCTTCATCGCGGCGTCTGTGAGGGGGTTGTGCGCATCCGTGTTCAACATGACGATCGCGAAGGCTAAGATGTACGCGGCGTCCGCGGACGGGTACGCCCCCGGATTGCACGCGCAAAACCTCGCCGCGAACGCCTCGACCAATCGATCAATCTTTTGTGCCTCCCCTGGGAGCTTGAACCCACCCAAAAACAAGCGCATGGCATCATCGATGCTCATCGACGCAAAGTCGAATCTGTGGACGTACGCGCGCATGACGACGAGCGCGTCGGCGTCGGGCGAGCCGAGTAACTCGCCGATGGCGGCGGGCGCGACGCGCGCGCTCGTCTTGCGCAAAAACTCCGCACACACATTTGGATCCTCCGAGCGCGCCGCGACTCTGAGCGTCTGCGTCGAAGGATCGACGTTGAAGGCTTCGACAGCCTTTTCCATGGAGGCCTTCGTCTTTTTCGCCTTTTGAAATCGTTCGGCTTCGGATTCCACCGCGGCGGACGGGGAATTTACACACGACGGCGACGACGGGGAGTCTGACGGCGACGTCGGAGCTGTCGCGATTTTTTCTTCGCGATGCGTCGGCGACGTGGGCGTGGAAGGTCCATCATCGCCGGCGACGACGGCGACGGTCGCCGCCGCCGCCGCCGCCGCGATGCTCCCGATGGGCGTCGTCGCGCCGCCTCCCGATTTGAGCTTGCGCAAGGCTCGTCTCGAAACCGCCGGTCGAAGCTCGCCGTCGAATCCGTCTTCGTCCTCCATCGAGACGTCGGCATCGTTATCGTCGATGTCCACCGACGCGTCGTCGACGCCGTTCTCTCCGCGAGCGTGCCACGACTGCAACGAGCGTAAAATGCTAAACAAGCACGTCAACACGGCGTCGCGTTCCAAAACGTCCGCCACTTGCGCCGACTGCGCCAGCGCCATGACGGTGCGTTCGTACAGATTGGCCGCGTGTAAATCGCAATCGTAGTTGACGAACATATCCACCAACACTTGGGAATCCGACGCCAGTCTTCGCACGAGACGAAGCGCCGAGACTCGCATCGCCGCGCTCGCGTCGCCGCTCTCGAGCGGATGCAGCGACATGATTGGATACAACGCCGCGACTTGCTGCTTCCACGTCGCTCGCGCGCGAACGACGAGCGTGCCGTACGCCATGCGCGCGATCGAAACCAGAATTCCCACGCTCTGCTCCGCCTCCGAGCCTCGAGGTACCTGAAGCAACGCGTTTCGCATCAACGCGATGGAGAGCGGTTGTCGAAGCTCGGCGTGAAAGCACTCGAGCCACACCGTCGCGCGCGGACCGTCCATGAGCTGCCTCAAGATATCCAGCGCCAACGCCTTGGAGTGCGCGAGATAGGCGTCGACGTCCACCGCGCCCTCTCGCGCCGCGATTTTACACAGCGTCGTCAACAACAGCGACACGTCTCGCGTCGCGTCCGCGTCCGCGCCGTCGTCCTCCACCGCATCTCCCCGCGCGATCGCGTCGAACCCTCGCTCCGCGCGCTTAAACGCCGCGTTGATTATCTGCGTCAGCGCCGTCTTCGCCGCGCGACGCGTCGCCTCGTCGTCGGCGATCATCGCGACGTGAAACACCGCTCGCGTCGCGCGCATCAACGCCTCGCCTCGCGCGCGAAACGTTCCCGGCGCGAACGTCCCCGACGACGTCGACGCCTCTCCGCTCGAATCGCGCCCTCGCGCGTTCTCGTCCTCGTCCTCCGTCGTTCCCGCGCACGCCGCCAACGCGAACGCCGTCGCGCCCGCGCCGCACCTCGCGCGCGCCTCCGCGTCCCCGCTCGACTCCTCCGCCGCCGTCTCCCCGCTCAGTTCCCCGCACGCGCACGCCGCGCGCAGTAACTCCCAGCGCAACCGCGCGCCGTCGTCGTCGTCCTTCGCGTCGTCGTCGTCGTCGTCGAGCGCGCCGTCGCACCGTCCTCCCAGCGCGCCGATCCGCAGCAGTCCCCCGAGCGCGTCCAGCGCCCACGCGCACCGCCGCGCGTTCCTCGGCGTCGTTCGCATCGCGGACGCGCACGCGAGCGCGCCGAGACGCGCCAACGCGCGCGGATCGACGTCGCGGTCGTTTTTGGATTTCTCGACGTCGAACGCGTCGAGCGCGGCGATCAGGGACGCGCTGGACGCCCCGAAGCGCGCGGCGAAGAAGCCGACGTCGTCGCGGATCGATCGCAGGGGCGCGGCGGCGACGTCGCGGATCGCGCCGGGCGTCAACGCGGACGACATGGTGATTCGGCGAGCGCTCGGCGTCGCGATGTGACGACGCCGCGACGACGACGAAGGAAGGCGCGAATGAATGAAGGCGCGAAGGCGCGAATGAATGAAGGAATTAAAGACTAGGAATCTAAGAGGACGCGCGCGCGGCGTCGAGATCGAGATCGCGGACGAAACGACGTCGTTCGTCTGGGTCGTCGACGACGGCGAGCGCGGCGACGGCGTCTCTGAAATCGTGCGCGACGACGTACGAGGGAAACCGATCGACGTCCTCGGTGATTGAATCCTCGCACGACGCGTCCAGGGTGATCTCGTAGATGACGTTCTGGGAGAAGGTGTTCATTCCGGGCGCGCGCTCGCGCGCGCATCCGGTGAGATAGGCGAAGATCAACCGCAGGATGGCTTGGTGGGAGACGATCAAGACGGGTTCGGTGTACGACTCCATCTCTTGGATGCACGGCTCGAGTCGGGAGATCAAGTCGAAGTAACTCTCTCCGCGCGGATAGCGGTAGCCGATCTTATCCATCGAGCGCAAGTACGCGGCCTGCGGGTTCTTCTCCACGATCTCTTCGGGCGTCATGCCCTCGCAGTCGCCGGCGAAGATTTCGTCGATGTTGCGATAGACGCGCGGGGACATTTGCTCCCACTCGCCGTTGTGCACCGTCGGGTGCTCGATGTTCGCCGCCGTCGCGATCGTGCGCAGAAGCGATGACGTCCACAGACGCGCTCGAACCGTGCGCGGGGTCTCGCACCACCGCCCTTCGCCGTCGTCGCCGTCGTCGTCGCGACGCTCCATGCCGCAAATTTTTTCCAGCGCAAAGCGACTGAGAATTTCCGAAAACGCCACGCCCTTGGCGGTGATCCCGGAGTTCCCCCCCAGACGTCCCGTGACGTTGTACTCTGACTCTCCGTGCCTGCACAGATAAATCTTGTGCGCCGTCGGGTGCGTGGCGGTGAGAAACTGCACGATGCGTTGAGGCAAGTACGCGCGCATCTTATTCGTCTGCACGCGCTCGCCGTAATTGTACAGCTTTATGTACGATAAATCATCCTCGGAGCCGTCCTCTTGCAGCGTGACGTAAAGTTTTCGATACTCGTCGAGCCGTCGTCGCCACGACTCCTTCGCCGCCTCGATCTCGTCCTCGCGCACGCGCCCGTTGCGCGCGTCTCTCGCCACGCGTTGCGCCAAAACCTCCTCCACCAGCTCCTCCCTCGTCAGCGTCGTCTCGATGAAAATCGTCTTCACCTTCATCCTTCGCGGACCGGTGCTGTCTAAATCTCGCTCTAAATCCTCCAACTCTTTCAAGATCGCCCTGCGCCGCTCCTTGCTCGTCCCGCTCCACGTCTCGTAAAACGTCGCCGACGCGTCGCTCGAGTACACCACCGCCACCCGTCCGCTGTCGACGTGTTTCGCCGACGCCTCCTTCGCCTCGATCCCGTACTCCGTGCACACGTCCGTTATCGCGTCTCCAGATCTCAAGAAATCTCGCAGATTATTCACCAGCGACGACGTCGCCGCGTCGCCTCGATGTCCCGCGTACGCCACGTCGAACGCCCGACACCGCGCGCCGTGGAAAAACCGCAGGTACCGCGTCAATCGCAGCGCGATCGTCCGCTTCCCTCGCAGCGGCAGTCCGACGAACACCAGCACGTGTCGCTCGCCGATGTTTCCCGCCAGCGCCGCGATCGGCGGCGGCACCGTCGTCGGCGCGGGATTGTGCGCGCGCGCCGTGAGCAAATCTTCCATCGATTTCGCGTACAATCGCGGCGACGACGCGCGATCGGCGTCGTCGGCGCGCGCGTCGCGCGTCGCGCGCGCGTCGTCGCCCATCGCGAGCTCGAGCGCGCGTCGGCGCGGTCGCGACGACGCGTCGGCGTCGTAAAGTCGCGTCATTAACCTCCTCGCGACGTTCGTCGACGACGTCGCGCGGCGATGGCGCTGCGGACGGCGACGACGACGGCGCGACGACGCGTGCGCGCGGCGTCCGCGACGTCGTCGACGCGCGCGCCGTCCGCGCGCAGGCGCGCGCTGCTCGCGATGACGAGCGCGACGATCGCGCTCGGCGCGGCGGCGAAGGCGCGCGCGGACGGCGCGCGCGCGACGCTCGACCTCGACGCGCTGACGCGCGCGGTGCCGGATCCGTGGCGCGAGGCGCGCGAGGCGCGAGGCGCGAGGCGAAGGGAACGACGACGGGAGGTGGACGCGACCGCGGCGGCGGAGCGACGCGCGCGCGAGGCGGAAAACGAACGCGCGAGGGCGGTGTACGCGGAGGCGGCGGCGAAGAAAAAGACGAGGATACGACTCGAGCGCGAGGATGAGCTGACGGAGGAGGAGATCGAGGCGGAGGTGGCGCGGGCGGGACGAATGGCGCGGGAGGGCGTCGAACGCGGGTTGGCGGCGGAGGAAGCCGAGTTGGCGGAGTACGAACGATTGATGGCGGCGCGGCGGGCGTCGGCGGAGGCGAGGAACGCGGATTTTTTGGAGCGCGCGGAGGACGTGTTGGAGGCGACGGGCGAGGCCGCGGAGGCGTCGGACGCCGAACGCGGATTCGTCGACGCCGGGAATTTCTGGTGAGCGACGTCGAGTACGAGTATTCGCGATTTTGTAACAACAACAACAACAAGCGACGAGCGACGACGCCGCTCACTCGCGGAACACTTCGTCGAAGCCGGCGATTTTGGGGACCAGGTAGACCAAGATGTGCCGCAGCGCCGCGCTCTCGCCGTACGAGACGGGCACGGAGACGAAACTTTTGTTCCCGCCGCTCGTCGTCTGCAAATTCACAAACAATCCGCCGCTGCCGTCGGGCATGGGTTCAACCTTGAACGCCTTGTTCACGTTCCCTCGATTCGCCCCCCCCGCGCCCGGATCGTGAAAGAACGAGCACGGCGCGTTGCTCGCCATCCTATCCGCCAACTCGGCCGCCTCCGTCGCGCTCAGCATGAACGACCCTTTATTCCCCCAATCGTACTGTCGAGGCGCCGTCGCGTTCGCGAGTTCCAGCAGCACTCCTCCCGCGCGTTTCATGATCCGTCGCCCGCTCGCGTCGCTCTCGAACGTCGCTCGAACCGCCTTGAGCTTCAACGCGCCCTTCGTCTTGTACACGCCGTAATCCACGAACGCCCCCGTCCCGGACGCCGCGCGCTCGCTCGAGCGCGTCGGCGGCGCGCGGACGCCCGGTCCCGGTCCCGGCGAAGCGCCCGCGAGCGGCGCGCCCGCGAGCGGCCCGAACGACGCGCCCGTCGAGCCGCCGTTGTTTGAATTCATCATCGACGCCATCGCGCGCGTCACCGACGGCGCGCGAATGCGAGCGCATCGACGACGAGACGCGAGCGACGCGATTGATGCGGTCGCGAACGACGCCGCGGACGCCATCGGGAATCGCGACGGGACGGGAGCGGACGAAACGCGGAAGAGGCTGAATGTGAGGCGGTTGGTTGGCGCAAACATTTTGTAGACATTGAAACTGTTTCATTGATTGATGTCCAGGTGTTTCATTGCAACGCCACCGCGCTTCGTCGCGATTGGGCGACGCGCAATTGAAACGACGCGGCGATCTCCGCGACGGCGCGCTCGTCCTCGCGACCGCTCTTCGTAACGCACCGCGATTCGATCAGCAGGTGCGCGAGTTTTTCGTGTAAATCCGGCGCGACGATCGTTTTCATCGCTTCGAAGAGTTCGGACATCGATTTCGGCGCAGGAAGGGACGTCGGTACCGCCGAGTCGGTTTCCGGCGCCTCTGTCGACGGCTCGCGCGACGGAGCATCCAGCGCGCGGTCCCTCTCATCCATCGGAAAGCCAAGGAGTTCGCTGAGCGTTCGTCTAACAATCTGCGCGCCGGAAAGGATTTCCTCGTGGTCTTCCCTCCACGGCCGCTGCGCCGCGACGATCGGTCCGCGAACGAAAAATTCCTGTTCAGCCCTGTCGCGTCCGCGTCGACGAGCGTAATCGTCAGTCACACGCGCGCGAGCGCCGCAAACGTTCGAGGCGAACCGGCGTCGTCTCCGCGTCGCGCAGACTAGAGTGCGCACCAGACTCCAGTTCGCCTGCACTCCGTGAGTACGGGTTTCGTGAAAAGAAGTATGAAGGAACTCGTTGGATACTGTTCCGACAGCGCGGAAAGGCGCTTTTTTAAACCGCGCGTCCTCGCTGCCCATCGAGCGAGGACGCGTTTTTTTCCAGCCTTGTTCAGCGCCTCGATATCGCTCGGCGTCAACGGCGGCGCGCGACCGCGCGGTGGTACTGGCCGCCGCCGCGTCGCGTTCGCCGCCTCGCGATCGTTTTCGCTCGCGCGCTTCCGCGGGCTCGCCCTCGTCATCGCGCGCGTCGCGCCGTGGCGCGCGTCGTCTCGTCGCGTCTCGTCTCGTCTCGTCTCGTCTCGGACCCGAACCGCCGATTGGACAATCGGACAATCGGGTATGGTCATCAGTGAGACGTTTTTTAATAAAAATGTCCGAAAAGTGGGTGTGGCGATCAGTGAGGAGGTATAAATGACAAAGTTACGATTGATAGGGTTAAAAAAAGATAATGTGCAACCACCGGGAATCGAACCCGGGTCTGGTTATTAGGAGAAAATCGACGTTAACTATGGGTCAGTTTCCATTTTCCATTTATATCCTTTCGAGCTGTTTATCGAGCTTTTCGGACGGAACACTCACCTCCTGCGCGCTGCTATTTTGTATGCAGTGACGGCTGTTCGCCGTCAGGAGACCATCTCGCCCGAGCTCGACCTCGGGCGACGACTGGATCATACGCTGCTGAAAGTGCCGATTGGCAGGCAGGTATTCTACCACTAGACCATGGTTGCCTAGGTCTTCCGCACGCTTGACTACGTGCTTCGGATGTTAGGAACAGCGATAAACTTCAAGTCGGAGAATGCGAACGTCAATGCGATCGCGGTGTTACGGGTTGGTGGTAATTACGAAATCATTGATTTCGTAGTAATAATAGCAAAATTCTGGACTAACTATTGTGATTCATCTCTTCATCGGCCTAAATACACAGAAAACAAAACGAACCGGGTGCGCTCGGTGAAGTCGGACCGCCGATTGGTTGGTTGGTTGGTTGGCCGCGCGATGAGATTAGTTGTCGGCGCGCGCGTGGACGGATGGACGGACGGACGGAGAGACGCGCCCTTCGCGATGGGTCGACCGTACGCGTGGAGACGCGGCGCCGGCGCGAGCGCGCGACGACGAAAGCGCGGCGACGGCGACGACGACGACGACGAGCCCGGACCGGTGATGCGTCGGTTCACCGAACTCGCGCGCGCGCATCGATCGGCGGAGATGGTTCGAGCGGCGGCGGCGGTGGCGGCGGCGGCGAACGCGACGAGCGACGAACGCGAAGAGACGCGGCGCGTGCGCGTCGAGCGGACGCCGAACGGCGAAAGCGTCGTCGTCATGGACGACGCGAAGGAAGGCGATGATGGTGACGACACGGCGGCGAAGAAGACGTAGAGCGAGGTCTCGGACGACGATCGATCGAACGCCGGCTGCTGAAAAACGTTCGCCGCGCGACGCGAAATGATTCATTCATTCATACATACATTCATTCATACATTCATACATTCATAACGAACAAAACGCACAAAATTGTTGTTATAACAAGGACAACGTGATTAGATAAATTAATTATGTAGGACATCAACGTTCAACGTTCTTTAACTCTGTCACGCCGCCGTCGGCGTCGACGACGTCGACGCCGCGGTGAGCGCGGCTTCGACTTGCTCGCGAAGTTCTGCTGCCTCTTCGGCGCTGCGACCGTACTTAACCTTCATCTGCCAGGTGATGGCTTTGCCGCACCGCTCGACGCTCTCGCCCTGATCCCAGAGCTGCATCGCTCGGGCGACTGCTTTCTTTTGCGCCTCGAAGAGCTCCGGATCCGTCGGATTGGCGTCGGCCTCGACCTGCGCTTCAGTGTAACGAGTGCAAATGTCGTGACTGTACGCGGCGACGGTGGACGAAATACCTGTTGGATCGAACAGCGCCGCGACTTCGGCGGCGGCTCTGATGCCGTCAGCCTCCGTCTCGACGGACATCATGTCCTCGATGCCCCCGGCGATGCCGTCGGCCGTGCTGACGACCTGATCGATGTTGTCGTAGGCGTCCTTCAGCTCTTCCGCAGTTTTCTTAACCGCTTTCGCGGTGTCACCGATCTTGTCAGCGGCTTTGGCGCATTTCGTCGCGGTTTTGACTCCGATCTTAGCCCCCGTCGTCGCGCCAGAGCTCGCACCGAGCGTGGCGAAGAAGGCAACCATCTCGAGCGGGCCCATGATCTGGTCGGTAACGACCAGCGCGCACGTGGCGTCGTCGGCGGCGGCACCCATGCCGCATTCGACCCATCGATTAGCGTTCACTGTAGGAGGTTCGCCCCAGCAGACGAACGCCGCGCCGACGAATCCCTCTTTGCAAGGCTCGTAGCAGAGGCCGGCGTCGTACTCGTAGCCGGGGGGACAGGTCGCCGGCTCCATGCCTGGGGAGAGGTGAGTGTGTTTCGTGCAGCTCGGGGCGATGCCGCCCTCGTAACCTTGATCCTGGCAGTCCATCGTGCAAATATTTGATCCAAAGTTGCTGTATCCGCTCCTGCACTTGTCGTAGCACAGACCGAGGTAGTCCTCCTTGCCTTTTTTAGTGCAAAGATCTCCGCCACACCGCACACTGAACGTGGACCAGCTCCATTCGCACTCGATGGTACCGACGCCGCGACCGTAACTCGCGTCGGGGTTGGAACATAACAATCCGTGGTCGTCCCAACCGCTCGAGCACGACTGATGACAGTCGTAGCCAAAGCGATAATAACCAGCGCCGAAGTTTGAGCACTTGTCGTAGCAATACAAACCACCGGCGATGATTTCTTTTTTGCCATCGTCGCCGCAGTACTGCGGAATGATGCCGTCGCGCGTGTACGATTCGCGCCAGCAAAATCCCGAGCCTTCGTCGACTTCTTGGGCGTACTCGCCGATGATCTCGCTCGACCAACTAGTGACGGTGCCCGCGTGTTCGACCACGTTTCCTACCCAGCCGAAATTGAGTCCGAGCGCGGCCGTGTCGTTCGACGCTTTACGGCGTTTGTCGATTTTCTTACGCTTTCGCGCCGTCTCCTTCTCCCGGTCGCGCGCCTCCGCGACGCGCCTCTCGAGCGCCGCCTGAACCATCGATTCCTTCGACGCGCACGTGCCATTCGTCGCGACGGCCCTCTCCGCCGCGGTGAGATCGGACAACTCAAAGGTCGACTTTCGCAGCGCGCGCTCCGCCTCCGCTTCGACGTCCGCAGCCTTCGCCGTCATGACGGCGATCGTCTCGTTGAGCATCGCCTCTCGCTGCCTCGCGTTCACGGCGGCGCCCAATCGCGCGCGAGGCGTCGGCGTCGGCGTCGGCGTCGCGTCGACCGCGCGCGCGACGCGCGGCGTCGTTCGCGTCGTCGGAATCGTCGTCGTCGTCGTCGTCCCGCGTCGACCCGCGAGCGCGACGACCGCGCACGCCGCGACGCCGAGCGCGACGACCGTCGTCGTCCCGGCGTCGACCGCGCGTCGGTCCCGTCGCGATCGTCGCAACAGCGGATCGCGCTCGCCCGGCTTCGACATCGCGACGGACGGCGTCGCGGGGTGGCGATCCGCGTCACCAGGCGGTCGGGCGGCCAACGGCCGCAGGCTGGACAAAACGCGCGCCACGTTTGTAAGCTCATGGGTCTAAATGGTACTAAATACACAGAAAACAAAACGAGGTTGCACACTCGATGCACTCGATGAATGAAATGAATGAACTAGATGAACGCGAAACGATTCACTCATTCATTCGCCCCCGACCGCGTCGAAATCGAAATCTACGCCGACGCGCTCGCACGCTCGTCTGAAGTCGTCCGGCACCGGCGCGACGATCCGGGGCACGCCGGCGAAATCTTTCGCCGGGAAGCGAAGCGTCCACGCGTGCAGCGCGTGCCTGTCGACGACGTCGGCGTCGAGGCAGCCGTACGCGGCGTCGCCGACGATCGGTAGACCGATCGCGGCCAAGTGGACGCGAATCTGATGCGTGCGTCCGGTCTTCGGGCGACACCGCACGAGGGCGTGTCGGCGATTTCGAGCCACAATCGTCCACTCCGTCGACGCCGGTTTGCCGTCGGCGGAGGACGTCTCGACGAAGAACCTCGCGCCGTCGTCGCGCTTCGCCAACGCGAGATCTATCGTCCCGGACGACGCTCCGCCTCCCGAAACATCAAATTCATCGCACCGACACAGCGCCAAGTACGTCTTCTCGACCTCGCGACGCTCGAACGCGCCTTGCGCGCGCGCCGCCGCCTTTGCGTTTTTGCACACCACGAGCGCGCCCGACGTCTCTAAATCCAATCTATGCGCCACGTACGGCACCAAACTCGCCCCGAGCACGACGTTCGACGCCAACGCGCCGTCGTGCGCGTCGACGAGTCGTCGCCGCCACCGCGCGACGACGAGCGACGCCGCGCTCGAATCCGCCACGCGCGACTCGGGCGTCGACGCCGTTCCCGCGCGTTTATTCACGCACGTCATCTCCTCGTCCTCGTGCAGTATCTCCAGCGCCTCCACGTCCTCCGTCTCGCACGCCAATCCCATCGGCGTCGCCTCGACCTCGCGTCGTATCGTTCGCGCGACGCTTTCGGCGTCGACGCGACCGACGCGTCTCGCCACCTCGCTCGCGCGCGTCGTCGCCCCCCGCGCGCCTCGCGCCCACCCGAACCGCCACGCCATGATCTCGTGCGCTCGAGATCGTTCACCGTGCCTGCGAACGACGCTCGCGCGCAGGATATCGCGCTCGCGCGCCGCGAACGCGTCGCCGCGCAGCGCGTCCGGCGCGCACAGACTCAGGTGTCGCGTCTTCGCATTCTCCAGCCCGCAGCACGGACACCGCGGTCGCGGCGCGGCGTCGCGTCGGCGCGTCGCGTCGGCGCGCGTCGTTTCTCGTCGCGCGTCGCGCCGGCGCGGTCGCGTCGCCGCGATCGTCGCGCGACGCGCCGCCATCCGACGGCGCGTCACTTTTTGACGCATTCGATGTCGCAGCGGACGTCGTGCGCGCGCGACGCGCCGGTGAAGCGCGGCGCGCGCCATCGGTGCGCCGCGGCGCACCAAACGAAACGCCTCGCGCGGCGCGCGGCGCCGGCGCCGCTGTTCCAGCCGGGATCCGTCGTCGCGCGGTTCGTGGACGCGGCGAAAAATCAAATCGATTGGGACCGCGCGGTCGAGTGGGCGAACGGCGCGACGGACGGCGACGGCGACGCGATCGCGAGCAATCCAGCGATCGGGTTGATTCTGGGCGAGGTGAGGACGTGCGGCGCGGACGCGGCGGCGCTGCGAGGGACGCGGTCGGGGAGGTACAAGGAGTACGCGCTGCAGCGGACGCTCGGGATGAAGGCGGTGCTGACGCGAGCGACGACGGAGGCGGGAGTGCTGGACGCGAAGACGCGGTGCGCGATCGGACGAAAGCTGGCGGATCCGTCGAGCGGGGCGTCGCTGTTTCACGCGTACGCGAAAAACGCGGACGCGGCGATGGACGCGTTCGTGAGGGGGGTGGAGGAGGATTTGAGAGAAATCGCGGACGGCGACGAGGCGGCGTTGGATTTGGCGAGAACGAAGAATTTTTACGGCGAACGCGTGACGGAGAGACACTTCGCGTTCGTGAACGAACAACTCGCGAACGCGCTCGCGAAGGCGGACGAATCGCGCGGGTCGGCGGCGCAAAAAGTGAAGGTGGTTCCGGTGTTGGTGCCGAACACGGACGCGACCGAGGACGAGGAAGAGGACGACGAAAACGCCGACTTCATGTTTGGTAAAAAGTCAAAAAAGAAGAAGAAGAAGGCCGCCGCCAACGTTTCTGCGGCGAGCGTGGCGTCCATCGCGAGCGAGGTGTCCGCGTCTTCCACGTCGTTCGTGGACGCGTTGACGAAGATGGTCGCCTCGAAGATGGGTTCGACGAAGGAGCCGGCGTTCCCGGAGATCGAATCGTGGGGTCAAACGACCTCGGCCGAGGCCTCGGGCGCGGTCGTCGCGCTTCTCGCCGGCGCCCCGAGCGGATCGGTGGTTATTTTACCCAGCGAATTAATGCTTCGAACGCTCACGTTCGACGTCCCCGCGGGCGACGCCGTAAACTCAAACGGCGCTCGCGCTTTTTGCGTCGATTCGATTCCAGACGACGTCGACGCCGAGTGCGCGCTTTGGGTGTCCTTCGACCCTAACGACGCCACCGAAGGCGCGTGGCGAGATCCCAAATTCAAGCGCGCGTTCAAAGCGCTCGCGAAAGTTCCCGTCGTCGTCGCGCTCTTATCCCGCGTCCCGGATGTGCCGAGCGCCGACGAGCTCGTCGCCGCCGCCGCCGCCGCGAGTTCGCGCGCGCACGAACGCTTAAACGCGATCGAGGATGAAGAGTAATTGATTATTTATAGACATCTCACTTATAGCCCGAGACGTCACACCGCGACGCGTCGCCGCGAACCGAGCCGGCGAAGGCGAATGTTCCCACCCATCGCCACCGCGTGCGTCGCCACCGCCGCGCTCGTACACGTCATCCACGACGTGAACGATCGTCGAAGGCGCGCGAAGCGCGAGAGAGAGCCGGTGCGTCGTCGATTTTCCGCGTCCGCGACGACGAATGCGTGAATGAATGATTCAAAATAATCAATCATCTTCGACGCGCGCGCGAGACGCGCGACGCGAGCGACGCGCGACGCGAACGACTGACGACGATCGCGCGATGCCGCTTCGTTCGCCGCGAAGCGCCCGGCGCCGAGATACGCGGGAAAACCGACGCTGTCGGTGTCGCTCACGACGGCGACGCCTCGGGCGGCGTACTGCGGCTGTTGCGAACCGACGGACAGCGCGCCCGAAGCCTCCGCGGACGGCGCGTGGACGTCGCCGCCGAAGACACCGCTCGCGGCAAAAAAGCCGGACCCGTTCAACGCGTCGGCGCGACCGCGGTATCTGTCTTGGGATGATTATTTCATGTCGGTGGCGTTTCTGAGCGCGCAGCGGTCGAAGGATCCGAATAAACAAGTCGGCGCGTGCATCGTGGGGAAGGATAAGCTGATCTTAGGCGTGGGGTATAACGGATTTCCTCGCGGATGCCCCGATAACGCGCTGCCGTGGAGTAAAAAGAGCGCGAACGACGATCCGTTGGAGACCAAGTACGCGTACGTGTGCCACGCGGAGATGAACGCGATTATGAACAAGAACTCCGCCTCCGTCGCCGGTGGATCGCTGTTCGTGACGATGTATCCGTGCAACGAATGCGCGAAATTGGTGATCCAGGCTGGGATCAAGGAGGTGGTGTACTACGAAGGGAAAATCAGTGGGACGAGGGAGACGCCGACGACGCCGGGCGACGCGCGCGTGGCCAAGCGCGACGACCCGATTTACGCCGCCGCGAATAGACTTTTAAATCTCGCGGGCGTGCGCGTGCGTCAGCATCGACCCGAAATCGCGCTCGAGGTGACGTACTTGGAGCACGAGGACGCGGATTACGGTCAATCCGCGGACGCGTCGGCGTGACGAATAGGCGAGAGGTGGGTTGTAATTGTATAGCTGTGGCGATTTATATTGAAAGAAACGCCGCGATGGTGTCAACGTGAAATTCGATGAGTCGCGCATAGTACGAATCAAACGACGACGACGACTTAATCTCTACCCTCCTCGCGGCTCTTCGCGGCGGAGATTTCTTCGACTTCTTCCCAGGCAGCCGGGCAGTCGTCGGTGCACTGCTTCGCCGCCGCGATGGCGGCTTCCAACGCCGCCTCCATCTTTTGCATGCGCGCCGTGTTCACCTTCTTCGTGACTTCCTTCATGCCCGCGGCCGCGGCTTCGATTTCCTTCAACGTCTTCGCATCGACTTGACCCGCCGCGCGCGCCGCGGAGATCGTCTTCTTCGTCGATTCGATGAACGCCTTGTCCGCCGCCGAGATTTCGACCTCCTTCATGGAGTCTTGTCCCTTGTCCTTGGACGCCGCGCTCAATTCCTCGACGTCGTCCCAAGCGACCGCGCAATCATCGACGCACTCCTCCGCCGCCTTCAGCGCCGCTTCCAATCGTTCGCTCGCGTCCGTCGCTCTCGCGACGACGCCGGCTCTTCCCGCGCGTCTCGTCGTCGTCTGTCGTCCGCGTCGCTCGCCTCGTCAGTCGTCCCGTCCCGTCCCGTCCCGTCCCTCGTCGTCGCGTCGATCGCCGACGACCCCTCGCCTGCGTCGCTCGGTGCCTCCGTCGCGTCTTCCGGCGCGTCGCGTCCATCGCCGTCGTCGTCCGCGCGCGCGATCGATCGATCGATCGATCGATCGCTCGATCGATCGAGCTTATCCTAGATCGCGTTCGCGCGCGCGAATGCGCCGCGTCTCGCGCGCGTCGCGTCGCGGTTCGAGCGGTTCGCGCGGTCGCGTCGCGGTCGTCGTCGTCGCACCTTGCGCGAGAATCGCGTCGACGCGGGGCGCGCGATCGCGGCGGTCGTCGTCGTCGGCGTCGCGAGCATGGCGGGCGCGGTGTGCGGGGGCGGGCGCGGCGCGGCGCGTTTACGGCGACGTGGGGGGTGTGTTGATGGTGGTTTCGAGTGTTCGAATATGGGCGCGTGGGGTTAGGGTTTTGAGTGGCGCGCGGTCGATCGGTCGGTCGGTCGGTCGTCTACGATTCGTGAAGTGGGTGTCTACTGGTCGCGTCTACGCCTGGCGGTCGATCATGTACGTCACGGCGGTGACGACGTCGGCGGCGCGCTTGACGACGGTCTTCTCCATCTCGCTGGCGTACGGCACGGGGGCGTCCTCCATGCACAGACGCATCACGGGGGCGTCGAGCTCGTCGAAGAGGTTTTCGCCGACGAAGGCGCTCACGGTGGCGCCGACGCCGCCGGTGCGCGTGGATTCGTCGAGGATGACGAGCTTGTGCGTGCGCTGAAGACTGGTTTGGATGGTTTTCCAATCCACGGGCTTCATGCACGTGAGCTCGATGAAGTCGGCGTCGATGCCCTTGGTGTTGAGCTCCGCGATGGCTTCCTCGGTTTCCTTGACGCCGTGGAGGTAGGTGACGATGGTGACGGCTTTGTCGTTCTTGACGGATTCGTCGCTCGCCAAGTGGTGAACGGTGGACTTGTGGAGCGGGAGGAAAGAATCTGGCGTCACCGGTCCGCGAGATTTCATCATCTTCACCGGAAGCAACAGCACGCCCGGGCCGTTGTCGCGAATCATAGACTTGGCCAAGCCGTACGCCTCTTGAGGCTTGGACGCCGAGCAAATCTTCAAGCCGGGAATGCCCATGATGTACGCGTGGAACGGTTGCGAGTGTTCGGCGCCGAGAGATTGGTTCGGGGCGGTACCACCGGCACCGATGACGGTCATGGGCATTTGAAATTGCCCTCCAGTCGTCGCGTACGTGTTCCCGGCGGACGAGAGCTCAGCCATGCCGTAAATACCAAAGTTGGCATTCATGAGCTCGACGATGGGGCGGTAGCCGTTCATGGCCTCGCCCAAAGCCTTGCCCATGAAGTGACCTTCGTCAATGATTTCATCCGCCGCGCGAAGCGTGCCGAAGGCTTGCTGCGTGTTGGCTGGAATGTTGTAAGAAGAACCCGCTTGGAGATCTTCAGCGTGCGCCACGCACGTCGGGTCGCGCAACATTTCTTCAAGAATGGCGAGGTTGACGGCGTCACCGATGGAGATCCCGCGCGGATCCAAGCACATCGCGCGAAGAGCTTCGATGCGTGCCTTGAGCGCGGCGAGCGTCTCCGCAGGCACGATTTTCTCCGTCACAGCCTCCGCCGAGGCGAGACCTTCGACGGGTTCGCGCGCGGCGTAGTCGACTTTGCCGCTCGGATCGGGGTACTCGAGCTCGGCAGCCAAGTTGGCGGGCGGCGGCGGAGAAGCATCGGCGAACGCCAAAGCGCGCTGAACTTCTTCCTTAGCCTTGGCAGTCTGTGCCCCGAGGTCGATGCGCTTGGCGTCGGCAGACTCTTCGAAAATCTTAATCGGGTCGCACTCGGCGCGCGCCCAACGCTTTTCATCCTTGCGGTTGCGCTCGTGCTCCGGATCAGCCGGAGAGTGCCCGTTGAATCGGAAAGTGTGCACTTGCAAGATCGCCGGACCTTTCGTGCGCACGTGCTTGATCGCTGCGCGACCGACGCGCAAGACATCTTGCACGTTTTGACCATCGACGAGCACGCCCGGAACGCCGTAGTGCTTGCCTTGGTTGAAAACCTCTTGGTTCGTCGCGACATCCTTGGTGAAGGTGTTGATCGCGCGACCGTTATCGATCACCAAGAAAAGAATCGGCAAGTTCTCCTTCGCCGCCGCGTTCAAGCACTCCGCCATGCGCCCGTTTTGGGCGCCACCTTCGCCGACGAAGACGACGGTGACGCGGTCGTGCGCGTCATCGCGCCCGAGCATCTTGTCGAGAACGATGGATCGCGCCGCACCGACCGCGTACGGCAATTGCTCCGCGACGAGCGCCCATCCACCTTGAAAGTTCGTATCCATGTCGTACACGTGCATCGACCCCCCGGTACCTCGGCACGTGCCACCGTCCTTACCGAACAACTCCGCCATGACGGCGCCGCTATCCACGCCGCACGCCAAGGCGTGGCAATGGTCGCGGTAGTAGGAGTGCTTCAAATCATCCTTACGGATCGCGTCTGCCAGGAGCGCCGGAATCGACTCTTGACCGTTGTCAAGGTGCATGAAACCGCGAATCTTACCCGCCATGTACGCTTGGTTGCACTCGTTTTCAAAGTCCCGGCACAACTGCATCGTGTAATACGCCTTATTCAAATCCTCATCACTCAAGTCCTCGCATCGCTTCAACTCCTCGTCCGTCGCCCCAAACTCTTCCTTCAACACTTGCTTCGCCTTATCCCACGGCGTCTCGATGCGAAACCGCTCCAAATTCGCCGGCGGTCCCTTCGTCTTCGTCGCTCCCGCGCGCGCCGCCGTCCCTCGTCTCGCCGTCTTCGCGCCTCGCGCGACGTGCGCGCTCGTCGCGGTCGCCCGCATCACTCCTTGCATCGTTTGAGGTTTCCTTCGAGTTCTCGCGCGCTCGTTTCCTGCGTTCGCGCGTCGATCGCTCGTCAGTCGACGGATAACGCGCGCAAGATTGTCCCCGCCGCGATCGAGATTCGCGTCGCGCGCGCGCGCCGCGCGCGTCGCGGCGCCGCGCCGACCGCGGCGTCGGCGCGAGCGCTCGATTCGCGCGCGTTCGCGTCGACCGTTCGCGTCGAGAGTCGCGCGTCGCGCGCACCGAGACGACGAGAAGTGCCGCGCGCGCCGCGGAATGCGAGGTTTCCGCGAGTCAAAGTCCCCGTCGCTGAGTCCTGACTCGTCGATTGGACGGACGGGATAAAAAGCGGCTCGAAAAGCGCTCGCGGGACGCGCGACGACGCCCGCGCGACGGACAACACGATTTCTACACGATGGCTAATGAATTAGAGTGCACGAAACGCACGGCGTAAAAGATCCACGCCAACGGACCGACGATCCACACGAGGTTGGCGGCGAAGACGACGACTTTGCTCGTCGCGGACGCGCCGACGTCGTAGCGATTGTAGCAATAGTTGCAATAGTACATCACGGTGCCGTAAAACATTTGATAATTCATCACGATGGCGACGATGCCGACCGAGCGCGGGGTGAAAGACGCGATCATGGGGACCTCGGGCCAGGACGTGACGGCGATGGAGAGCGCGACGGTGGGGACGAGCATGGTGAAGCCGTTGCCGACGTCTATCCAAAAGCTCCACGACGTGTGCTGGACGTACGACGGATCGAGACTGGCGTACTGCGCGAACACGATCGACCAGTGCTTCAGCGACAGCGCTTGCGCGAGCGTAATATCTTCAAATAAACATAACGGTCTCGGGAGCACCTGCGCGCGCGTTCGTCATCGCGCGTCGTCAGTCCGTTCGTCGTCATTCGTCCCGTTCAAACGTCGCCGTCCCGCGCGCGTCCTCCGCGTCTGCGCGTCCGTTCGCCTCGCCATCGCGCACCCTGTTCCCGAACTTTTTCAGGTACCCGCGGTGTAGCTTTTGCACGTTCGCGCGGTGCGTCCAGAGCGCGATCTCCCACACGCATATCAGCGCGTTCACGGCGTTGAACAGTAACAACAGCGCCAGCTTCGGGTTCGCCTCGCGCGCGAGCGCCTCGACGACGCTCGCGCTCGGCGGCGCGCGCGATCGCGCGTCGGCGCACACGAACGGGAGCCAGAGCGTCGCGACGAAGCCGCAGACGTAGACCGCGGCGAGCATCGCGCGCGGACGCGAACCGTCGCGCGCGCGAGAGTGCGGACGGACGCTCGAGTCGAGCCGACGCGCGGCGACGGGACAGCGCGACGCGGCCGCGGACGGGACGTCCGACGGAGGCGCGCGACGCGCGAACGCGCGGTGAGAATATTTTAGCGACTCGACTCGGACGGGACGACGCGCTCGGCGCGCGCGACGCGACGGACGCGGGCGACGAGGCGCTCGGGAAGACGAGCGGACACAATGGCGTTTTCGCCGACGGCGCGCGCGACGCCGGATGGGTTGGACCTGGTGCTGTTCGACGTCGACGACGACGACGGTGGGTTTGATTTTAGCGACCACGGCGAGACGGGGACGGACGACGTGCCGTTCGACGCCGACGCGTGGGACGACGTGCTGAATGCGTTCGACGCGTATCGCGAAGACGCGAGCGCGTTCGACGTCGACGCGTTCGGATGCGCGGCTTGGCCGGACTTGGACGGTGAAGCGAAGGACGACGATGATTTCGATGGTTACGATGCGTCGCGGCGAAACGCGGCCAAGGCGGTGCGCGAACACGTCGCGAGCGCGCTGAGAGACGCGCTGAGCGCCTGCGAGAGCGAATTGAGCTGGGCGAGCGACGAGGGCGAATGGGAGACGAAGAGACGCGAAGCGGAGGATGCGGCAAAGGCGATCAAGTACGTGCGATCGCGCGTGTACGCGCGATTGCGTGCGCTGGGAGCGTCGACCGACACCGCGACGACGAATCGTTTGAAGATGTTGCGCGACATGTTCGTCGCAGAGCTTCGAACGTTCGCCGCGCGCGCCGACGCGCTCGAGCGCCGCGCGGCGGAGACGCTCGTCTCGAAGAACTTATGCTTGAATCTGCCCGATCCGAAGTTGATGTTGAAGAAGAAGTTCAATACCACACTCACGAGTGTGCTTGATTCGTTCGACGCGGCCTTCGAACACGTCGTGGCCAAGGCCAAGACGCCCTCGACCAAGGCGCGCGCCGCCGCATCTCGACAATCTGAACAAAATTCGGGTAACTCAAACGCCGTGGAGCAGCAAACCGCACAGGGAAGACACGAGACGCACGCGAAGAAGATCTTGTCCGCGTGGCTCTGGGATCATTTCTACCCGACGGACGAGCGCTTGAAACCGATTCCGACGCGCGCGGAAAAAGAAGATCTCGCGCGCCAGACGGGATTGACGACGACGCAAGTGGGCGACTGGTTCGTCAACGCTCGCGCACGTTTATGGAAACCTTACATCGAAGGCTTAATTCGCGGCGTGTATAACGACGCCACGGTGAAGAAAGCGCTCGACTTGCAAGCCGAGGCGGCGGCGTAAAGCGTTCGCGTCGACGGCGAAGAGTCGCTCAAATATAATCACAAAATAATCAACCGCACCGCGCGCGCGGTTCCTCTAGTCGGCGCGCATCGAGTCATGCGGGCCGTCGTATTTAAATGACGAGCGCTTCGTCCGTGGCGTCTTGCATCTGCGCGTCCCGTTCGGCTTGATACTCCAAGAACTCTTCGCTCGGCTTTGGGTGCTTTTGTCCCTCCTCGCTGTCGTAAAAGTCCTTCACCTTGGGAATGTGTTCGGGAACGATCACCTGCCCGACGTAATTCGGATCCGCGCCGTGCTGCTTCAACTTTTCCATCATCTCTTCGTCTTGAATGTTCTCCGCCCACTGATACGCGGTATCCCCGGCGTTATTGCTCGCGTTCACCTTGGCGCCGAGCTCGACCAACGCGTCCACGCCCTCGCACCACCCCTCGTACGCCGCGCACATGATCGGCGTCGATCCCGCGCCGTCCACCTCATTCACGTCGACCCCTTCCGCGATCAATCGTCTCACCAGCGTCTCATCGCGATTGAACACCGCTCGATGAATCTTCATCTCTCCCACCGTGCCTCGCCCTCGCATCGACCCACCGCCGTCCGCCTTCACGCCCACGCACCCGTACCGCTCCGGAAACGGTCCCTTGACCCGCTTGTACCACGGGTCGATCTCCGTCTCGTTCCCGCTCATCCCGCGTCGCGTCCCGCGTCGTCGCGCGTCGTCGTGTGCCGACGCGCGCGCGCACCGCTCGAGCGTTACGCTCGAAAACGCCTCGAAAACGCCTCGGCGTCCGCCGGCGCCGCGGTCGCCGCGCGCGATCGCGCGTTCGCGCGCGCGCGTCGCGCGACGCCTCGCGCGCGTCGTCCGCGCCGTCCCGCCGCGCGAGCGCGCGTCGAGCGCGCGCCGCGCGCGCGCGAACCGACACTCTGCGAATCAGCGATCGTTCGCGCGCCATGGGCGTCGCCGCGAGCGCGCGCGCGTCGCGTCCGAGCGACTTCGTCGACGCCGACGACGACGACGCGTGGCGTCGCGCCGACGCGGGCGCGCGCGCGCGACGAGGGCGCCGCGAGACGAGCGCGGGGTCGTTCAGCGCGATCCCATCGGTGAGCTCGTTCGGCGGCGGATTGATGAACTACGAGCGGCAGGGCGCGCGCGTCACGCGACGGTCGCCGTCGAACGAGGGCGGTGACGTCGAGCAGGGACTGGCGGACTGGGGGCGGGACGACGCGTCGATCTCGCCCGGCGCGACGAAGCGCGCGAGCGGGGCGACGCCGGCGCGGGTGTGGGGACGCGAATTGCGCCTGAGCGAGGGCGCGCTGCTGGCGACGCTGAGCGCGGGGGCGCTGTTCGCGTACGTCGCGTTCACGATGACGCAGGAGGGGGTGTTCAGGAGGGCGACGAAGGAGTTTAAATACGGCGGCGCGGTGTCGCTGTGCACGTGCCTGGTGTACTGCGCGCTGGCGCAGTGCGAACGCGTCAGTAACGGCGATCACGGCGCGCGAAGGGGGAATTTGAAAGATTACGCGATGTTGAGCGTGATGACGAGCGGATCGATGTATCTCACGAACGCGGCGTTGAGTTACATCAACTACACGACGAGAATAGTCGCCAAGTGTTCAAAGGTGATACCGGTGATGATCGTGGGGACGTTTATGCACGGTAGACGGTATGGATCGGAGGATTACGCCATGTGCGTGTTACTCGTGATTGGGATCACGATGTTCACCATGGGTGATGTGGATTCGTTTCCGAATTTTAATTATCGCGGGGTGACGTACATCACCATCGCGCTGTTCACGGAGAGCACGGCGGGGAATTTTGAGGAACGACGCTTCTTCAACATTCCTCAACCAATCTCGCACTGCGAGGTGGTGTTTTACGTCAACGCTATCGGAAGCGCGTGGATCGCGCTCGGTTTGTTCGCCTCGGGCGAGCTCTTCACCGCCGTCGCGCACTTGCTCGGCGAACCCGACGTGCTCGCGGCGATTTGCGTCGCCGCCGCCTTCGGATACATCTCCGTCACGTGCATCTTGCTCTGTCTCCGTCACTACGGCGCCACGAACACCGAGGTGATCAAAGCCGTGCGTAAGATGCTATCTTTGGCGTTATCACTCGTGGTGTACCCGAAACCGATGGGGTGGAAGTACGTCGTCGGCACCGGCGCCACCGCGACGGCTCTGTTCGGCCTGTACAAAATCAAAATGCGACGCCTTCGTCTCGCCGGCGGCTCCATGGAGGCCGCCAAATAGTTCCATTTCTCTGTAGTTCTATTCTTTTCGACCTCGTTCGTCCCGACGGCGCGCGTCATCGATCGACCGAGCGACGTCCTTCGCGTCCCGGACCAACCGTCTCGCCGCGTCCCGCGTCCCCGACCTCACTCGTCGTCGCGGCGTCGCCGCGCGCGCACCGCCGCGCGCCGCGCGCCATGGGTCCCGCGCGCGTGCACCGCGTGTTCCGCGACGCGCGGCAGACGAATCAGCGCGACGCGGCGGAGTTGATTTCGATTCAACCGCTCGACTACGAGCAGTGGCTCGCCGCGTGGAGCGGAAACGAGGGCGAGGATCCGTTTTCGAGCGGTGCCGCGACGGCGGCGACGGCGGAAGAGCTCGCGCGCGTCGTGGTGCGCGCGCGCGAGGGCGGGGAGAGCGCGGACGCGTGCGCGATATGCTTGACGGCGATGCGGGACGGCGACGAGGAGTCGCGCATGCCTTGCGGACACGGATTTCATCCGCGGTGCGTCGAGAAATGGCTCGCGCGGTCGAAGTGCTGCCCGCAGTGTCGACGGTCGTTGGCGGACGCGGAGAGCGCGCGCGGTGAGGCGAGGGCGAGTGGGAGGGACATACCCGAGGACGCGGCGCCGACGCCGGCGAATATACCGTGGTCGGCGACGAGCGATCGAGAGTCGAACGAAACGACGGAAATCGAGCGGCGGGAGCGGTATGCATCGACGCTACCTGTGCTTCATGAGCTGAGGAGGGAGTTTGAGTTAGTGTTGAGGCGAAACGTCGTAGATAGTGAGGTTCCAGAGCGCGGGGCGTCGCGCGTCAAGGAGGCGCTGCGAGGGCTGCTGACGAACGAGACGCCGCAGCCGTGAGGGCGTGTGAACTGCGCTGTATATCAATGTAAATTAAGTTTGAGGAGTGTTATGTACAATCTATCGACGGCTTCGTCGCGTCGTCGGTGCTTTGTGTGTGCCCTCGACTTCGACGGGCGCAGGCGTCGTCGCTTCCACGAGCGCGTCGAGGTCCACGTCGTCGATATCCATCTTGTCGACGGCTTCTTGCGCGTTGGCGGCATCCGACGGCGGCGCTTCGAGCAAAGCTGCCAAAAATATATCCTCGTCCGCGCTCGACTTCTTAATGTCTAACGAACCCCAGCCGAGGAACGAGAAGACTTCGGTGCACGAGCACGCGTCGGCGCGAGTCTTGCGTTTCTTCCGCGTGGGCGACATCGCACCGTCTAAATCCTGTAAGACTTCATTCAAACGGAACGATCGCGCACCACCTTGACTGGTGAAAATTTTGCTTTGTGAGCTGTGAGAATCTTGACTCGTCGCGGGCGAATGCGCCTCTTGAAGGTCGTGAACGATTTCTTTCGCCGCTTCATGAAAATCCTCGGGCATGGATTTGTCATTCAGAGAATTTTGTTTCGGCGTCGTTGCGAACCGCGGGGTCTCCTCGAACTCCATCGCCGTCCCTTCTTGAACTTTGTCCAACTCTTCGAGCTGTTCGACGTCCACCATCGCCGGTTTAGCGTCTAAAGCCGTGCGCCGCGACATGACGACTTTGTGACGAACCTGGAACTCGGCGCCGAGGCGTCCGGCGATGCGGAAACTTTGCTCGGCGGTGTCCCACTCTTGGCGCGAGCACGCGACTTCGGCGATGCGCAGAAATCCCGCGGCAAATTCTCGAAGTTTCGAATCTCGCATGAGCTTGCGAACGTTCTTCCAAGCCTTAGTGCTCTGATCGTTACGAAGTTGACAAAGCACTCGGTTCGTCGCGAGGATGGGCTCGAGCGCGTCGAGCGCGTCCGAGACTTCGTCTTCGGCCGAGTTCGCGATGACGTTCAGGCCGCACGAATACAGCTCCGATGCACCGCCGAAATGACCGACCCAAGAGAACACGTTCCCGATGGTCAAGCACACGCACGATCGATCGTACGCGCTCAAATTGTCAAATCCGGCGAGGAGAAAGGCGTTGTCGAGCCAAGTAACCTTGGACTGGTCGACCTGCTTCTCATCAGCGCCCGCATCAGCCTCGGGCGAGGTGCTGGCTTTTTGTGATTCCATGTTTTTCATCACGAAAATGGTCTTCGCGCGCTCGAGGAATAATATGCGATCGCGGTACATGCGCTCGTCGTCGCGCCCGGCGAAAAGCACGCCCGAGCCGTACAGCATCGACTGACGCGCTCGCACCCAATCCTCCTCTTCTATGCACTTCGACGCGCTCGGTCGAGCGGTGACCGCGGTCAACTCATCCGCCGAGTCCCCTTCGAAATCTTCGCTTCGAATCGAACCGTTCATTTGCTTCCCCTTGAGCGTCTCCGCCGTCTTCGCGTACTCCTCCGCCAAATCGCCCGCCGCTTCCGTCTCCTTCAAGACGATTCCCATGCGTTCGTGCATCTTCGCCCCATCCGGCGCGCAATCCAACGCCGCTTCCGCATCTCTCAACGCCTCGCACCACCGTCCCGATCGAAGCCGCGCCACCGCCCGTCCACTCAGCGCCGTCCCCGCGCACGCTCGATACGCCACCACCGCGCACTCCCCTCGCTTCGCCGTCGTCCCTCCCTCCAGCATCCCGCACGCGTTCGCCACCAGCGCCGACACCTCCGCGCGCCCGTTCATCCACGCTTTCACGCATTTCTTCAGGCACTCGTCGTACGCCGTCACCGCGCGATCGTGGTCCCCCTCGCCCAGCGCGCGCTCGCCCCTCGCCAGCGCGTCCAGCGCGTCCAGCAGCGTCCCCTCCCGCGCGCTCGCGCTCGCCGTCGCCCCGCTCCCGTCGCGCTCGATCCTGGCCGCCAGTTCCACCAGATCGACGTTCAGCGCGCGCGCGCGCTCGAGCGCGCGCTCCAGCGCCGACATCGCGGCGCGGCGTCGCCGATTGTTTCAGAATTTAATTTGATTGAAGAGTTCGCCTCGCGAATGAAACGCGCTTCGCTCGCGATGCGCGTCCCTGGCGCGTCGCGGACGCGCGTCGAGCGCTTTGAAGCGTCGCGCGCGCGCGTCGCGCGTCGTTCGAGGCGCGCGCGCGCGTCGCGCGTCGTTTTGGCGACGCGGCGACCGACCGCGATGGCGCGTTGCGCGCAGAAAAAATCTTTGTATGGGTAAACAGTGTGGACGTTAAAACCAGCGGGACATCCCTCGCGCGCGGCCGCGCGCGCGACGGCAGACGGCGATGCGCGACGTCGAGCGCGCGCCGACGCGCGCGACGCCGCCGTCGTCGCCCGCGCGGCGCGCGACGGCGCGGAAGAGCGACGGCGGCGACGGCGCGCGGTCGTCGAACGACGCGCTCGAGCGCGAGAAAGGTCGCGAGTGGGACGACGCGCGCGACGACGCGAGCGACGACGACGACGACGCGCGCGACGCGTACGTGATGCCGCCGTCGATCTGTCGACCGCTGGTGTACACGAGCTGGTTTCCGCTGGCGCCGGCGTGCGCGGCGATGGCGCGCGCGCCGCGGGACGCGCGCGCGCGGGGACTGGCGGCGCTGAGCGCGGCGCTGATCGTGAGCAGTTTCGGACACTGGCGGGCGCCGAAGTGGGACAGCCCGAGGCGGTACTTCGATCTGTTCGTCGTGTGGGCGTCGGTGGGGTACGGGTGCTGGTTGGCGACGACGATGGAGTGGGCGTACGCGCGCGGGTGGTGGTGCGGCATGCCGTTGGTGGGCGCGGCGTTCGTGGCGAACGAGACGGCGTTTCATCGAGAGTTGCGCGCGTGGAAGACGTGTGGGGGGGCGACGAGGGCGCATCGGTGGTTTATTTATCGTCGGACGACGTGGACGCATCTCGTCGGCGTGCACGCGGGGAGCTCGACGGCGGCGACGTGGCTCGCGTTGGGCGTCGCCGGCAGTCGCGGTTAGTTTTATTCGTAGCGCATCAAGTCATCTAAATAGTAAATAGCACATCTATGGTTTGTCGCTGCTGAATCGAGGCTCGTTGGCGACGCCAGAGGCGACGTCGGGGTCGTTCGCCGCCGCTTCGTAGTAACTATTCGGCAAGCCGAGCCAATACTTCCACATTTCTAATCCGCGGTTCCACTCCACGGGAGTTTCTTGCACCGGGCACGGATCATCATCGCTCGCCAAGTCGAACTCTGTCGATGTCGAAAGGACACCGTCGGTTGTGATGGCGCTCTCGGCGGCGCGACGCCTCAGCTCGCGACTTTTCGTCGCCCGGCGACGCGGGTTGACTCGCCCGGCGACGCCTTCGGATTTCGCCTCGACGGCAGCCTTGAGAACAAATCGCAGTGTTCGTGATTCTTTCGCCGACGCTCCTCCCGCTGCTTGTAAATCCGCGATGACGCACTCGGCAATGTCCGACATTCCGTGCAAACCGCAACCGTAGATGAGCGACTTTCGCATGCGAGCGTCCGGCGCCAGTCCAGCCGACTTTACGCACAAATTGTACACCTTAAAAGCCTCGCCCACGTTCCCTAGGCGAATGTACCCTTCTAATATCGAGCCGTACGTGGATACGTTGGGCGTGATGTTCTTCGCCTTCATGCCTTCGAGCGTCTCGACGGCGCGGCACATGTCGCCTTGACGCGCGTAGGCGTTGATTAAGCAATTGTACACGCCGACGTCCTCGACGACTTGTGGATCGGTTTCCAATTCGGCGATCACCCATTGCGTCGCCGAGTCGTCCCCGACTTGCACGAAATACTTCAGCAGCGTCGTGTACGTCACGACATCGGGCTTCAAACCAGATTCTGATATCTCGCGCAAAATGTTCCACGCCTCGGCGGGAGCGCGAGCATTGATGCACGCGTCAATCAACGTGTTGTACGTCACCAAATCCGGTGGCACGCCGTCGTCTCGCATCCTATCAAACATCTCACGCGCACGTCGGAGAACTTCATCCGTGCGATCCGCCTTGCCGATGCCGCGCACGACGCCCTTGAGCAAGGAATTGTACGTCACGACGCTCGGCTTGATTTTTGCGCGGCGCATCTCCGCCAGCGCCGTCTCGGCGAGCCCAATTTGCGCGCTTTTCGCCAAGCCGTCGATGAGTGTGGAATATGTGTACACGTTCGGCTTGACGCCGTCTCGAGCCATCCGACGAAGGAGCTCGTCCGCCTCGACCACTCGTCCCGAGTGCGCCAATCCTTGCACGAGCGCCGTGTACGCCTGCACCCCGGGCCGACGTTCGACGCGCGGAGAGAATCGTACGCCCTGCTCAAGCGTATCCATGGCTAAATCTAATCTATCGCAGCTCACGTAGGCGTTCACTTTCGCCCCCCACGTCGCTTGATTCGGCGTCACGCCGAGCGTACGCATCGCCATCGAGCTCGCCTCGACGCCTCGTAAATTCTTCTCTCGCCCGTACCCGGTGATCAGCGTGTTAAACAATCTCGGTCCCGCCCTGACGCCTTCTGCAGTCATCTCCCTCAGCACGCGTTCCGCCTCCTCCACGCGCCCTTCGCTGACGTACGCCCCCACGCCCGCCGCGAACGCCGCTCCGTCCAACCGCAGCGGCGTCGCCCGCAACATCAACCACACCTCCACCGGACTCGGCGTCGCTCGCGCCTTCCCACTCGCTCTCGCATTCGCCGCACACCGACTCAACGCCGCGATCACATCCGTGTACGTTCGCAGCGTCGCGTGTTCATCGCTCGTCGCTCCCGGACCCTTCTTCGCAATCGCGTAAAACGCTCGCGTCGTCGCCAGCGTCACCGACGCATCGTCCCTCACCCCGCATCCCAGCCGCGCCACTCTTTCGAACGTTTTAGCTCTCACGCACGTTTTACACTTCGCCTTCGCGCACGCCTGCTCGACTTCGCGTATCAGCGCGCACGCCTTTTTCGCGCGCCGCGCCGCGTCCCGCTCGCTCGTCCCCGCGCCGTCGTCCCGCGTCAGCGCTTCGAGCGCGCCTTCGATCGCGCGCGCGTCGAGCGCGTCGAATCCATCGCGCGCGCCGTTTCGCACCGCTTGGACGGACGCGAGCGCGCTCGCGAGCGCGCGCGCGGTGGTTTCGTCGTCCGGCGGCGGCGTGACGTCGCGCGTTTTCGCGCGCGCCGAGCGCGCCGCGCGGCCGCTCGTCGACGGCGCGCACCGCGCCGCTCGCGAGAGCGACGGCCGCGATGGCGCGCGCGCGCCGAGCGCGAGCGCGAGCGCCATCGCCGCGGAGTGCGGTCGAACGACGGCGAATGGGCGATTGAGGAGTTGGATAGAGGCGGGACGACCGGGACGCGCGCGCGACGCGACGACGAAGCGCGGTCGACGAGGGCGAACGATCGAGACGGAAACGGAGAAAGAATGATGATTGAACGCGAGCGAAACGACGCTAAGGGCGGTCGGGCGCGGTCAACAGCACGCGCCGCCGGCGGGGGCGGCGCTGGATGAGGCGGCGACGGGCGACGGACCGCAATCGAACAAGCCGTAGTGCGTGGAGCGGTCGCCGACGAGGGTGAAGTACTTGCCGAGCCAGGTCTCGCCGACCATGGATCCCGTGTTCCCGCACACGAGCATGGGTTTGTTCTTTTCGAATCGGTGATGGTCGTCGAGTTGGTACGCGTTCGGCGCGCCCGGTAAGCCGCCGTTGTACACGGCGTATTGGCCGTAGTCTTCGCAGAGCGTCTCCAAGCAACCCGGGGGAAGCTTGAACAGGCGGTAGGTGATGGAGTAGAACTTGGCCTCGCCCAAAAGTTCTGCGAGCGCGGGATCGCGCACTTCGATCTCGTGACCGGCCAAAACGCGCGGATCGGTAAAGCCGACGGCTTGGCAAAGACGCTTGAAGTCTTCGACGTACATGGCGCCGCCGAGGCACTCGCCGAGTAAAATTTCGTGCGAGCGCAAATCTTCCTGAAGTCTTCGGTCGCAGTACACGTCGCTGAAGTAAAACTCGCCGCCGTTCGCCAAGACGCGGTACGCCTCGCTCAACACCGCGGGCTTATCGGGGCTCAGATTGATGACGCAGTTGCTGATGATCATGTCCACCGACGCGTCGGGCACCCCCGCGGCTTTCAAATCCTCAATGGTTCCCTTCTCAAATCGCATGTTCGCCTTCGCGTACCCGAGCGTCTTCGTGCAGTATTCATCCACGTATTTTCTCGCCACCTCCAACTGTCCATCCGTCATGTCCACTCCCAACACGCTTCCGTTTTCGCCGACGAGCTTCGCCGCGACGTAACAGTCTCGTCCGCTTCCGCTTCCCAAATCCAGCACGCGCAGTCCATCGATCCCGATCGGCGTCGGACTACCGCATCCGTAGTATTTCGCCTTGACCTCATCCGGCACCTCTCGCAGCGCCTCGCGCACGGCTTTCGGGATTTGTTCGCTCGGCGTGCAGCACGCGCTCGTCTTCAAGTCGTCGCTCGTGCTCAGCGTCTCGCCGTAGTACTTTTGCACGCTCGCGCGCACGCTCGCGTCGCCGCCCGGTGCGATGATCGTGGCGCCGAGCAGCGCGTCCAGGGCGCCGCTCGAGCTCGAGCTCGCGCGCGCCCGCGCGCGCGTTCGAGCCGACGTCGCGCGCGGTGACGTCGCGCTCGAGCGCGACGAATCGCGACGGCGCGTCGCGCGCGTCGCGCGCGCGGGCGCGGCGGTGACGGTCGCGGACGCCATCGTTCGCGCGCGCGTGGATTTCGGCGCTCGCGCGCGCTCGCGTCGATCGCGCGCGCGTCGGTGTGGAGATCGCGCGTCGACGCGCGCGGGTCGAGTCGGGACGCGCGAGCGGCGGCGAAGCGCGCGAACGAAGGCATCGCGATGGTGACGACCGCGGCCGGCGGCGTCGAACATTGATGACGCTAATTAAATCCCGCGATGACGTTTTCGGTGCCCCACTTGCCCCAGTCCGGGAGCGCGGCCGACGCCTCGTTCACGGCGTCGACGAGGGCGCGCACCAAATCGTTGTTCATGCCCTTCGGCGGGTCGGGGATCTTTTTGGGAGGGTACGCGTGGGAGTACGAACGCTTGTCGAAACGCCAGGCGCCGATTTTCCCCGGAGTGAAGACGCCGTCTAAGTCGTAATCCATGCCGTAGGTGAAGTGGATGGAGATGAAGTCGCCGACGGCCTTGTCCCACGGCGGCTGCGCCGCCATTTGCGGTCGCAAATCGTGCGAGATCCCGAGCTTGTACGCGGCTAACGTGTATCCGTACATCTCGATCACCCATCCCCACGCCGCTTTGGCGTCTTTGTCTTTTTGTAGCGCCACCGACATCTCCGCCCACGCCGGGGCGAGACGCTCGAGGTCGTCTTTTCTAATGAACACGGGCGAGCTGCCGATACCGTCGATATCCTTCATCTCTTCATCCGTGATTCCCGGCAAAAACCGCCTGACGATGTCCGGTTTCTCTTTGGGATTGATGTAAAAGAATGGAAACGCCGCCGGCGTGTCGCCGCGCATCAAGTTTGGCACGGGTTTAATGTACAAGTGGTCCGGCTCCGCCATCAAGATGAAGTCTTCTTCGATTTGCGGACACTTTTCAAAAAACTGCACGAACGCAAACGGGCGGCTCAAGACCACGAACCCTAACTCATCCTCTAATCTATCCACGATGCACGTCGGAATTTCGTCCTCTAACCCATCCGCGACGTCGTGAAGCACGCGCGTGAACCCGCCCATCTGCCCGTTCGGTCCTTGCGCGGCTTTTTGCTTTTGAAAGTGATAATACATCACCCGCGCCTGCCACCCCTGATACACCGCATTATTCGTCGTCATCACCACGTGAAACTTTCGCGACGGATCGGGATCGCCCCGCATGTCATCCTGCACGTATATCGATCCGCTCGTCCACGGATTACCGCCGCCCTCCGTCCCCGTCGTCATCGTCGCGCGCGCCTGCTTCTTCAACCAACACGACTTGTGAGGTTGTCCCAGGCACCCGCTCTCGAATCCACACCACACGAACACCGTGCATCCTTCGTCTCGCATCTCCACGCACGCGTCGTGACACGCCTCGGCGCTGTCTTTCAGGAACTTGTCTCCCCACTTGACGACGTCGCCGCCGGCTTCGAAGCCTTCGCGCGGTTGAAAGCCGCTCAGCTTCAACGTCTCCGCGCGCGCGCGACGCGTCGTCCGCGCGCGCGGTCCGACGCGCGCGGTCGCCACCGACGACGGTTCGGCCTCGCTCGGCGATTCGGGCGCGTCGACGCGCGCGCTCGACGTCGAGCGCGCGTCGAGCGGCGCATCGATGGATGTCAAAGTTTCGCGCGCTGTTCGCGCGCGCGACGGCGGACGAGGCGGTGATTTCACCGCGGGGTAACCCGTGAACGCGATGTACGCCAAGCACAGCGCGAACGCGGCGCGCGCGAGCCCGCGACGGCGAGGTTTCGCCGCCGGCATCGCGGCGCGCTGTGCGGCGCGACGCGCGAGACGCGAAGACTGGAGATTACACGCGCGACGCGCGCGCGACGAATCTACGACGACGATCGCGGCGACGTCGGCGATGCGATGACTGGTAACTCGACGTCCGACTCGCGACCGGCGACGCCGGCTTCGACCGCCGAATCTCTCGCGGCGGCGGCGGCGCGCGCGGCGGCTTCGTCCGACTCGGCGATTTCCCTCGCGAACGTCTTCGCGCTCTCGTCCTCGCTCACTCGCGCGTCGAAGCGCACGCGCGGAGGCCCTATTTTCGCGAACCACACCTCGTAGCAATTCTTCAACACGCTCCCGGTGTTGTACGGATTCGCTCGCCAACCGTGCGCGTCTCTAAAATTCTCGTACGTCGTCTGATTCGTCGACACTAAATACGCGTGAAAACAACTCAACGCCCCCACGAACACGAACGCCACGAACGCCACGAAGAACACCGCGATCGCCGCCCCAGATTTCTTCATCCCTCGATAGCTCACGCTGTATCCGCACGTCGTCATCGTGAACGCGCACAGCGCCGTCGTCCCGTACGTAAACATCAAAAACGCCCTATAATTTCTCTTCCCGATCGTCGTCCCCGTCCACGGGCAGTGATGATCGAACTTTTCCACGCAATCGTTGCACACGCTGCAGTGATGCGCGCGCGGCGGTTGGAAGTACCCGCACGTGTCGTTCCACCTCGTCGTCGTCGTCCGTCCCGTCGTCGCCACCGTCGTCTCCCTCGTCTTCCCTCGCATCGAGCTCGTCCGCCCATCGCGCGCCAATCGCGGCAGAATTCCGGGATCCGTCAGCGCCGTCTTCGCCAACCATCCCAGGCACCACGCCGGCAGCGCCACGCCGCACGCGAGCGTCCACGCGCCGAGTTTCCGTCGCAACAGCGGTTCGATGACGACCAGAAGATTCACGAGCGACGGCGCCGCGATCAGCGCCGCGGTGCACAGCGCCGCGCGCGGCCGCGGACCGGCGACGCATCGTCCATCGCACGCGAACGTCTCGTTTCCGGGCCAGCGCTCGTGCACGCGAGGCGACGGCGCGGCGATTTCGGAATCCGGCGACCGGGACATCGTTCGCGCGTCGCGCTGTGGCGGCACGGCGCGACGCGCGATGCGCGCCGACGCGCGCGCGGGCGAAGGCGCGAGACTGTTGGCGGCGTTCGCGACGCGCGTCGTCCCGCGATTGGCGCGCGCGCGCGCGCACAAGGGGTCGCACGGCGGGAAGATCGCCGTCGTCGGTGGGAGCGAACTGTACGCGGGCGCGCCGTACTTCGCGAGCGCGGCGGCGATGCGCGCGGGGTGCGATCTGTGTCACGTGTTCACGCACGCGAAATGCGCGCCGGTGATGAAGGGGTACGGGCCGGACCTGATCGTGCACGAGGCGTGGTCGCGGGACGCGCGCGAGGCGACGCGCGGAGCGAAGACGGAGACAGAGACGGAGAACGAACGATCGATCGATCTCGTCGAGGCGTTCGGGAGGTTTAGGATCGATAACGCGGTGATCGGACCGGGATTGGGGCGCGGGGCGGCGCTGGAGGCGGTGGAGGCGCTGAGAGAGGTCGCGGCGGCGTGCGTCGTGGACGCCGACGGGTTGAAGGCGCTGGAACCGACGAGCGCGGACGAGGACGGCGCGGAGGCGGCGCGAGGGAGAAATCCGACGGCGCTGGCGACGCCAAATAAGATGGAACTGTGGCGATTGGTGCGAAAGGCGTCGGGGGCGTTCGAGGGGGGGGTGACGACGATGGATTTGAGCGCGCGCGAGGACAGGGAGAAAATAGCGAGCGCTCTGCGACGGTACGCCGGCTATAATTTCCTCGTCAAGGGCGAAGACGATTACTTATTCATTCAACACTGGGACGTCGCGCCGTCGGTGTGCGACAGCGAGCGCGCGGCGAGCGGCGACGCGTCGATCGTTCGGCTCCGTTTCGACGGCGTCGGCTCGCCGAAACGTTCCGGCGGTCAGGGCGACATTCTCGCCGGCGTCCTCGCGGTTTTTCTCCTCTGGTCCCAGCGCACGGACGCCACGACCGCGAGCAATCGTTTAGACGATTACGTCGCCGCCGTCGGCGCGGCGTGTTTCCTCGTGAAAGCCGCCTCGAGCGCGGCGTATCGCGAGTACGGTCGCGGCGCGCACGCGCAAGACGTCCTCGCGCGCGTCGCCTCGACGTTCATGGCGCATTTAGAACCCGATCTCTCCTAGTTAGCGTTTTGCGATAGTCATCGACGGCCTCCGCCGTCGTCCGCGATCGGTGATTCGTTCGTTTCTTCGTCTCGCCGCCGGCGCCTCGCCGCCGTCCCCAAACCTCGAAGCGCCGCCCGCCATGCCCCCGAAAAAAGTCGTCCAAGAGGAAGTCCTCGGCCCGTGGTCGCTCGGTCGATTCTCGAGCAACCTCAAGGTGCGCTTCGACGCGCTCGATCGCGCGTCGTCGTCGTCGAAAATCGCGTCCCGAGGGTGGATGCGCGTCCCGATGACGATGCGCTTTTCGCGCGCGCGAACGACGCTCGACGACTGACGCGCCGCGCGTTTCGCGCTCTGACGCCCGGCGTAGGTCGGCATCGTCGGTATGCCCAACGTGGGGAAGTCCACGCTGTATAACGCGCTGACGAACTGCGCGATCCCGGCGGAGAACTTTCCATTTTGCACGATCGAGCCGAACAGCACGCGCGTCAACGTGCCGGACGCGAGATTCGATTGGCTCGTCGAGCAAAACAAACCCAAGAGCGTGGTGGCGCCGTATTTAGAGATTGTCGATATCGCGGGGTTGGTGAAAGGGGCGTCCACGGGCGCTGGACTCGGAAACTCGTTTTTGTCGCACATTAAAGCCGTCGACGGCATCGCGCACGTGATGCGATGCTTCGAGGACGCGGATGTCATACACGTCGAGGATCGCGTCGATCCGGTGGATGATATCGAAATCATCACATCTGAGTTGCGGGCGAAGGATTTGGAATTCATGAGCGCGCTGAAGGAAAAAACGGAGAAGGAGGTCACGCGCGCGGCGAACGCGATGGCGGCCAAGGAGCAAAAGCAAGAGTTGGAGACGATTTGTAAGGTCGTCGATTGGCTCGAGAGCGGGAAGGAGGTTCGTCACGGCATGGAGCAGTGGACGTCGAATGATGTGATGTACTTGAACAAGTATCAGTTGTTGACGGCCAAACCGGTGATTTACTTGGTCAACCTGAGCCGTAAAGATTTCGAACGCAAAAAGAATAAATTCTTGGTCAAGATTCACGAGTGGGTGCAGGCGCACGGTGGCGGCACCATAATTCCGTTTTCCGCCGAAGTCGAGAGCGAGCTTCAACACGTCGCGGAAGAGGACAAGGCGCAGTGGTGCAAGGACCGAGGCGTGCAAACGATGCTGCCGAAGATTATCACGACGGCTTTCTCCACCGTGCACTTGATTTACTTCTTCACCGCGGGACCAGACGAGGTCAAGGCTTGGTGCATTCGTAAAGGATACAAAGCGCCGCAAGCCGCGGGCGCGATTCACACCGATTTTGAGCGCGGTTTCATCTGTGCCGAAGTCATGGCGTTTGACGATTTGAAAGAGCTCGGTTCCGAGCAAGCGGTGAAAACTGCGGGCAAGTATCGACAGGAAGGGAAAACGTATACGGTGCAGGACGCCGACGTCATCTTCTTCAAGTTCAACGTCAGCGGTGCGGCGAAAAAGAAATAATCGATCTATACGTACTTGAAATATTACACTACACACCGATGATGCTCTATTGCGCTATCCTACGCGCGGTGGCTAAATTTTTACAACGACGTCTAACGCCGCCTCGTCGAACGGCGAAGAAGGCTGCTCGCGACGCCGACTTCGCCCGCGCTCCCGGCGCTGCTCGAGTCGTCGTCGTACGAAACATTGAGCCCGTAGTCGACGTTCCCTGGAAATGCATCTATGAAGTCTCGTTCTAACTTCATCAACTCCCTCAGCGCTATCTCGATGGAGTTGAATCGTTTTCCCTCGTCGAACGCGACGCAACGGTTGAGCCAGGCCTGCAGGCTCGGCATCATCCACATCGTGCTCGGCACCATGCGACCGGTGGAAATCAACATCACAAGCTGCGCGTCGACGAGCATCTGTCGTTCGTTTTCGTCCGGCACGACGTCTTCGATCACGTGTTTGGCTTGCCCAAACTGCGCGTAATAGAGCAACTCCCACGCCGCCAAACCGATGCCGTACAAATCAGCCAGTCGATACTTATCGGGCGTGATTGACCCTGGCACGATTTTCAATCGCTCGGGGGCGACGTAACACAGCGTCCCGGTGAGTCGCGCGCTGGAATCAAACATCATGTTACCCGCTTTCGCCAAACCGAGGTCTGAAATCTTAATCACGTGGTTGCGGCGGCATCGCCTCGAGAGTTGCGAGCCGCGATAGCCTTGACACTCGCACGCCACGAGAAAGTTATCCATCTTAATATCACGATGCACCAAGTTTGCGGCGTGCACGTGCGCGACGCCTTGAATCATCATCTTGATGGCTTTGAAAATCGTCGCCCCGTCGCGCGGGTACGTGTTTTCTTTCAAGCAATTTCTCAGCGACCCGTGCTGACACAACTCAAACATCATCATCCACGTTCGACTTCGCGGTTCCACGACGGGTCCGAGGTATTCGCACAAATAATCGCTCTTTTTGATCGTTTCCAAGAATCCAATCTCCGCCTTGGTCTTGTACCTGTCGTGCGGTTCCTTGATGGCGACCAAAGTCGTGACGGTGAAATCGTCCGGGTCGCGCACGGACGCCAGGTACACCACGCTATTCGCTCCCCGACCGATGATGTCTATGATCGAGTACCCCGCGATGTTGAGCGACTTGTGTGACGACGTGTCCCGACCGTAAGCACCACCGCCGCTCAGTTTCGAGTGTTGGATGGAATCCGCGTCGTCCAAGTACGAGTTGTCGAGGTCGAGGTCGGAGTGATCCCGCCCGGTTTCGAAATCAAATCTACCGACGGCGTAGACGACGATGAGGACGAGAAAGCCGGCGAAGATGGAGAACGGCACGAGCAAGGTCAACTGTCGACCGTGGATGTACGAGCCGTACGTCCGAGCGACCGACGATGATTCGTCGTCGCGAATCGCCGCGCCCGCGAGATTTTCCGAGACGTCCGCGCACCGCGAGACTTTCAGTGCCTCGACGAGTTCGAAGAACGCGCGATGGTTTCGATCGTCGTCGGATGATTCGGTAACGTTTTCCCCGAAAGCGCAAATCGAATCGACCAAAGCGTCTGGCCAATCGATGTCGTCGAGGGATCGAAAAACCATCGGATTGAACACCGCGGAGAGCTTGTAATCGAGGCCGAGATACAAACCGTTGTGCCCGACCGCGGCGACGACGGCGGGCGCGGCGTTCGCCGCGCACCGCAAGGAATCGTAAAGATCACGCGAGCGTTTCCCCCACGCCCGTCGCGAAGTAAGGGCGCGGTCATCCCACGCAGAGACGACGCCGTGTTGAACGGCGGACGGGAGCCTGCGCCCGACGTAGTCGAGGACGTATTCCGGATACACGTTTTCGCTCGAACCCAAGCGCGCGATCGCCGAGGCGATCGACGATCCCGAGGCGATCGAGCCCAAGCCACAGTTCTCCGCGGTGTGTAACGCCGCCGTGGCGAATATGAACGATTTCAAACGCCCCGAGACGTCGTAATACGGCGACGCGTCCGGCGACGGGTAATCGACGTCCACCGACGCGTCGTAAATCATCGAATACGAAAACGTATCGCCGAGTCTTTCGAGAAGAGACGACGACGATCCGCGCGGCGCATCGTCCATGCCCCCGTCATCCCGCCGCTCCAGGATCAACGTCGCCAAATCGTCGTAAAACGTAATCGGGTGCTCTTTTGACTTCTTCTCCGCGTCGTCGTCTTCGCAACTCGGAATTCCGTCGCAATACTCCCACGCCGCCGTCCCCTCGTCCACGTAACACCACGGTCCGTACCGCAGCGGGTGTCCGCGCCGTCCGTTGCGACAGTAATTACGATCCGCGTCGTCGACGACCGCGTCGTCGACGCGCTCGACCCTCGACCACGCCGCGCACGTCTTCCCGCTCGCCGACGCGTCGCGCGTCCCCGCGTAGTCCGACCCGCGCCCCAACCGCGCGACGATCCCGCCGACGGCGTCGAAGTACGCGCACAGCGGCGTCGGCGGCGGCGCGCCGCGCGCGAGCGCGTCGGCGCACGCCGCGGTGCGCGCGCGAGGCGGGCCGTACCCGGCGCGAGGACGCGCGCACGACGCGCTCGACGCGCTCGACGACGACGCGACGCACGCGACGCACGCGACGAGGGCGACGACGACGCGCGTTCGCCGACGACCGCGCGATCGCGCGCGCGACGGCATCGCCGACGACCGCGCGTCGGCGGGTGTCACGCGCCGACGTCTCCGGCGCGCGCCCCCCCCTCTCCGGTCGGCGAAACCCGTAACAAAAGCGTTTCGACCGCGACCGGGGCGGGGGGGGTAAATTTACGCATCAACGAGTATCTATTCAAGGGTGTGAAACGCCCATGTATGTATAAGCTCGGTTAGCTCAGTTGGTTAGAGCGTGGTGCTAATACATTATACGTAGCATTCGATTCGAGCGCGATTCAGTTCGCGCTTCAGACACGTGGACGTTTGTATTCAGTCTGATGAAGAGAAACGCCAAGGTCATCGGTTCGACCCCGGTACTGAGCATAGCGTCAGTGAACATTGTTCCCACTTTTTTAGCCTATCAATTTTTATCACTTTTTTTATTTCATCTCACTGTATTCATAACCAATTGTCCGTTTCGAGCAGCACTTTTCGCGTTGTCGCGACGCTCGACGTGCGTTCGTCGGGACCGACGAATGACTCCGGTCGGACTATTCATATCGCAATCGAATATCGTTGGCGTAGTAACTTTGTGCTCGCTCTTACAAAGGTGGTGTGGCTAAGAATGTCGGTGGCGGTGGTGGCGACGACACCGCGCGCCGACTTCGGGACAAACGACCGCGGTCGTCAATCGTTTTATCACTCCGCCGTTCAACGAAACGAACGGACGATTAGTACGGCACTTGACCCGCGAGGATTTCCCCGGCCGAGATAATCGTCGCGAACGAACCCGCGGCGAGAACGTCGACGGCGGTGAACCCCGCCGGATCGCGCGAGCCGATGTTCTTCGTGCTCGCTTGTTCCACCATCGCCGTGTGGCTCGACGCGCCGTTGTAGTTCTTCTTCACGCTCGGCATAAGGCCGAAGCGCATCGCGCCCATGATCGCGGCCGTGTTCGCGCACACAATCTAAGATTTCGAACGATTCGTCGTCAGTCAGTCGTCGTCGTCGCCTCGTCGCCCTAGCTCGAATCCTCGTCTTCTCTCGTCCCGCTCGCGCGTCGCTCGCGTCGTCTCGACGCACCATGTTCTCCGTGGACCCGAGCGACCAATCCGCGCGCACGCGCACGTCGCGCTTCGCCGCCTGTCGTCGCGCGATCGCCGCGAAAGTCAGTCCAAAGTCGCAATCATCGTCAAGATACGCGTATCGTATCGCGATCCGATCGTTCGTCGCGTTCGGGCGTCGCGCGCACCTTTGCGACGCGAGACGCGCGCTTGACGGCGGAGACGTCGGCGATGGAGGTCTTGGAGGACACGATTTGCGTGCGTTGCGCGATGGAGGCGTGCATGGCGACGAGTTTTGACGCGCGATTCGTCGCGCGCGCGGGACCGCGGACCGCGCGATGGGCCGTGTGTAATTTTGTGTGTTACTTTACTTACATGTACAGAAACGCGCGCGGCGGCGGTCACGGCGCGGCGTCGCCGGCGACTTTGATCTCGAGTAAGCTCTCCACCGGATTGCGACAGATGGGGCAGACGTTACCCGTGAGCTGCGAGCGCAGTGCATGCGCGCACTCGGCGCACATGCACAGGTGGCGACACGGGAGCACGGTGGTGTCGCGAGGCTCGGTGAGACAGATGACGCACTCCTCGCCGACGTCGGCGGAGCTCAGCCCGACGTTGTCGCAACTCTCGATGCCGTAAATCTCTTGTAACTCGTACGACGAACCGTGGACGTAGATTTTTTGTTTCGTGACGTGGGCGGTCCACTTGCGCGGCGCGCTCGTCTCTCGGCGAAACTCGGCGTACGTCGTTTGACACTGAACCCACGGCTCGGGCTTCGCTAAGCCCCCGATCGGGTTCTCGGGAAGGTCCGCTAACGTCTTTCCATGATTCGCCTCGGCGTCGGACGAAACACACTCCAAACGAATCACCACCGGGTACGTCTTCGCGTCGACGTTCGTCGTCGTCAGCTCGCGTTCGCCGCCGAACGATCGCACGTCCACGTAATCCTCCGCCCCTTGCGTGAACCGCGCGCCGAGTCCGGCTTCCAAATGCGCCACGTTCGTTCCTTTCGGGTTCGTTCGCGCGATCGGGTTCGTCGACGCCGGTTCGAACGCTCCCCCGGGCAACTCCCTCGCCACGTACGCCACCGACACCCGACACGCCTTGTCCGCGTCCACCTTGAACGTGATCCCGAACTTATTCGCCCCCGCCCCGGACGACAACGACGGCGTTCCACCGGATCGTCCGCCCGCGCCGCCGTCGCTCGTCACGCACTCGAGCGTCGATTTGTTCAAGTTGACGTGATTGCGAATCGTCGTCGTCTTGTGCGTCCTCGCCGCGCTCGTCGTCGTCGTCGTCGTCGCGCCGCCGTCGCTCTCGACGATCGCACCGCGGCCGTCATCGTTCGACGCGCGTCGTCCTCCGCGGCGTCCTTCGGCGTCGGACGCGGCGTGCGCGCGCAGATCCGCGCGCGGGTCGAAATCGACGTCAGCGCGCGAAGTCGCGCGACGCGCGCGCGAGGACGACGCGCCCATCGCGGTGCGCGCGCGAGCGCGCGCGAGCGATCGTTCGCGCGCGCGCGGCGGTCGATCGGATTCGCGGTCGCGAGGCGTCGTGTGCGGCGGAACGCGAGCGGCGCGCGAGGCACGCGAGGCGCGCGAGGCGCGCGAGGAACGAGGACGCGAGGAACGCGAGGCGCGCGAGGACGCTCGTCTCTCTCGTTCGCTAATAAATCGCCGGGAACTACTCGTCGTCGCTATCGCTGCCGCTACTTTTCAGTCGACGCCGACCGAGCGAGATCGACGGCGGCGGCGGCGGCTCGCTCCGGCGCCGCCTCCGTGGCCTCGAGAACCTTCTCGAACGCGGCGACGAGTGCCGTCCAATGGCGCTCGTCCTCCATTTCCACGGATGGCGTGTTGACGTGGGCGTGGGCCAACTGCGCGCCGCGAAACTCGCGGGCGACTCTGAGGCAGTTCTTGCGCGAGACGCCGAGATTTGCGCCGAAATACGCCAAGGCTTCGACGACGGCTTTGCGCGTCTTCAGACTCGGGTCTTGGAGCGAATCGCGCGCGCGCAATAACTCGTTGAGACGAGCTTCGAGGAGTCGCCGAAGGTCCGCGTTCCAGACGAACCGCGCGCGGCGCGTTTGTCTCGTTCCTCCGGCGTCGGCGGACGCCGCCGCGCCGTTCGCGTCGCGACCTTCTCTCGTATTCTCGTCGTCGTCGTCGTCGTCGTCGTCGTCGTCCGCATCCATTTCATCGTTCTCTTTGCTGTCGTCATCGTCGTCTTCGCTCGGCGTCGCCAAATCCCAGCGACAGATGAGGCCCGAATCGCACGCCGCGACGACGACGTCGCCGTCGCGATTGATGGCGCACTGACGAACGACCGCGAAGCCGTCGAGCGCGATTTCGGGCGCAACGTTGTTTGACGCGCTACGCCTGACCGGAAACGCCGCCAATCTCGCGGGCGCGCGCGTCAACCCGCCGCGCGCGTCCAAGCGCCACACCAGCACCAAACCTTTAATGTTGCCCAAAGCGAAGGCGTTTCGCGATCCCGAGACGGCGAAGCGTATCCACCACAAATTCGCGTCTTTTTGCTCAAACGCCGACACCGAACGAAATTGGTTCCCTCGCGCGTGCACCACGCCCACGGGTTCGTCTGGCACCCAAAGCTTCACGATGCCGTCCACGCTCTTGCTCAACACCGCGTCGCCCAACCACCCGACACAATCGACGTAATCGTCGTGCACGCTGCTGCTCGAAAACATCGGCGTATCGATGACGATCGTTTTGAAATTCGCGAGTGGTTTCGTCCAAGTCGCCGCCTTCGCCATGGAATCCGCGAGCGGCGGCGTGGCCCAAACCTTGACGCAGTTGTCCATCGCGCCCGTGACGAGCTTCATCTGCCCTTTCGCGTCGATGGCGGGATGAAAATCCACGCTCAACAACTCATTTCTATGGCCTCGAGCCCCGGCTAATATCGCCATCGTCACCCCGGTGTTGACGTGCCACAGACGAACGCTCAAATCCTTGCTCGCCGTCGCCACCACGCTCGGCCGCGACGGGTGCGACACGACGGAATTCACCGTCCCTCCGTGTCCCACCAGATTCACGTGCAGCCGCCCCGTGACGCAATCTACGACGCGCACCACCGCTCCCTCCCCCGCGAGCGCCAGGCACGGCCGCAATTTCCCCTTTCCCGTCGTCGTCGCGTCGGCGCCGCTCTCCCGTCGTCCCACCGAGTCAATCGCGCACCACTCGCACGCGTAAAACGCCTCATTCGCGTCGCGCGTCTCAAACGACGCCACGAGCACGACGTTTCCCGACTTTTCGCACTCCCACACGTCCGCCCGCGTCCCCGCGCACGTGGCGAACGTTCGCTGAAACTTTCCATCGACGCCTTCGATGGCGCAAAATCGCGCGCAGTACACGTGCGCGCGCTCCTGACCGTCCCGTATCGCGCACGTCGGCGCGTACGACGCCCGTTTCGCCTCCCGCGCGCGCGCCATGTCGCGCGCGTCGCGCTCTGACGGTTTTCATTCGCCGCGAGCGCTTCATTCGTCGACGCCGCGATGAGACTCGACGGCGACGCGCTCGACGCGCTCGACGCGCTGGAAAACCTGCTGAACGCGGAGTCCGCAGACGTGGTGAACGACGTCCTGGACGACGCGTGCAAGGCGTGGTGCGACGGCGCGCGCGAAGGCGAAGAAAAACGAACCCAGCGTTTGAGGAAAAATTGTGAAAAAATCAAAGAAAAACTCGAAGTCGAGAGCGACGACGAGGCGCTGCGAACGACGCGGGCGTGCGAGACGGTGGTGAGGATGTCAGTCTGGGCGCTCGGCGCGAGCGGCGGTGAAAACGCGTCGATGGGGTTCGAACGCGCGGTGACGCACGAGAAGCTTCGAGCGCTGCTCGTCGAGCGCGCGCTCGAGCGAAGAGGAAAATGGCGCGAGAAAATCACGAGCGCGCGCGCGATGCCGGTGGAGGTGTTAAAAGATTTCGATTGGTGCGTGCGCGGGACGACGGGCGGCGCGGGCGCGGCGACGGGATCGATCTCGGTCGCGAACGCGCCGACGTGTCGCTTCGCGCTTCGGTTGCGGCGCGGCGGCGCTTCGGCGGCGGCGGCGGCGCGAGACGTGCACTTCAGCGTCGGAATCGATGCGCTGGACGTCATCGCGGATAAGTGCGCGGAGGCGCGCAGGGCGATCGAGACCTTGGCGCCGGGCGCGACGCCCGAATCGTAGCGTTCGTAGCGAGCGTGTATACAGTGTAGAGTAAAATAGGACCCCACGCTTTCACTTTTTTCCACGAAGCGAATCGTCCCGCACCGCGCGACGCGCGACGCGCGCGACGACGCGCGACGCGCGCGAACGGATCGCGATCCTCGCTGCGTCGTAAACCGACGCGCGCGACGAGCGACGACGACCGCGCGCGCAGCGACGACGCGAAACGCAAAAAGTTCAAAAACATAGAATCGCCGCCGCGCTGGGTCGAGGCGATCGGCGAGAAATCAGCGCGCGCTCGCGACATGGCGCGCGAACACTGGAGCTCGGACGCGTGGACGATAGATCCTGGTATATTTGACCTGCGCGCGCTCACGCCGACGCCGCAGACGGATGGAGGAGGGAAAGAGAAACAGAAAGAGGAGCTGACGAAGAGCGGACCGTCAAAGGCGTCGACGACGACGCAGGCGGGAACGAGCTCGCACGGGAAGGCGACGGAGGATGCGCTGCGATTGTGTGAGGTCGATGGGTGCGAAGAGCGAAGGAGCTCGCACCGCGGCGCGGGACTGTGCGATAAACATCGACACGCAGAGTCGTTCGTCGTGCGAGGGGCAAACGGAGGGAAACCGATGCGGTGGTGCTTTTATTGTCATCGCGCGCACGATTTGGGAAAGTTTACCTCGGCGAGTCGGTCGATTTGCTATGAGAAATTCACGCTGAGACAGGGACGGAGGGCGGAGAAGAAGCATCAGGAGGCGCGAAAGGCGGCGTCGGCGTCGGCGGTGCTGGGAGCGTTCGGCGCGCCGGGCACGAACAGTGGCGGGGATAGCGGAGAGACATCGGCGATTGATACTTCGCTGTCGAAGGCTCTTAGTCAGGTGCCGCTCGTGGATGCGATTGTGATGAAGCATCGCTCGCAAGTCGTCCCTCAGGGCTACGACACAAAGTTTTGGGTCGCGCATCCGCGTGAGCTTCAGGAACGCATGGACATGTGGGATCTCGTGCGTCGATTGAACTCCACGGAAGAGCCGGTGGGAATGTACGGGACTATCGTTCCAGGGTGCGTGCGTTTCACCGTTCGCGGTTGGCAAGGCACGGAAGCGACGCTCGCGATGCAACCGTTGGATCGACGCGGCGTGTTCGCCCTCGGCGACGAGCGCTCCGTCTCCGTGAGCGAGATGGCGGCGTTGGACATGAAGCCGAGACGCGTCTTCATCAATAAACGCGGGAGCGTCACGCGAGGCCCTGTCGGTGCGTGCGGAGAGGCGATCATCGACGCCGTCTTCGCGAGCGCTCGAGAAAAGCTGTACGTTCGAACACCGCGAGATCCACGCGTGAACAAAATCCCCGTGCGCTTCTTCTCCGAATACGTCGATCGTGAGGTGTCGTGCGTGGACACAGAGGAGTTTGTTTCAATCTGTCCGTTGTCCGATGCCGGAACGCGTGGCGCAGTGATAGATCACGTGCTGTCGATTCAGTGCGGCGGTTACGGCGCGCCTTACGAGCACGTCGCCGTCATCGAAGACGAAGACATCGCGCGCGAACTCGTCGAGTTAGACGCATCTACGACAGGTATCGAGGCGAGAAAAGCGTTGCGTAGGTTTGCTTTAGATTACGTATGGCTTTCGAGTAGCATCGAGACGGCGATGTTTTACGAGGAAGACGTCAAACGCGCGATGTACATCATCGACTCGGCGCGAAATATTTTCGGCGCATGGGGACGGGCGCCGAGCGCGCTCGCTCGAGTGGAGACGCTGCGAACAGAAATCGTAGAGTTTGGCACGTCGATTTCGGATGAATCACGGTGTCGTCCGAGGGTTACCTCGTTTCTGGAGACGAAGAAAATAAGAGCGCGGCCACCGATTTTTTACGGCGCGACAACTTTGCTGCTCCGCAAAGAAAACTCATCGATATAACATTACTTAGACCTGACTGTAAAGTTGGATATAACATCAGTACTAGTGATCGTTTTCTTCTGCTACTTCTACTGTCTAACTCTATTTAAGAGACGCATCTCCTGCAGCCGCACGAGTTTTGCCGCTTGTCGACCGACGACGCCTCCGCCTGCGGGAGGCCGACCGCCTTCGTCGATCGTGTCTTCCGCCTCCGCACCGTAACGCGCCAGACGAGCGTCGATAATTGCTTCGAATACGTCATTTGTTTCAACTTTTTTGTTCTCCACCTCGACCAAGGCATCTTTGATCTTCTCCACGAGCGCGAAAAATTCGTCTTCGACGCCGTTCGCTCCCGTGATTTCGTAATACTTGCCCGCTTCAAAAAAATCGAGAAGCGATTGCTTTCGCTCTTCTTCTGCGGATTGCAAAGATACTTTCATTGCATCATACACCGCGTGCATCTTCTCTCTCCCGTACACGTCTTCGAAAAGGCTCACGTGCAAGTTTACCGTGACGTTGTCCTCGTTGTGAAACTCGCAAAATCCATACTTGTGCAGCAAGCTCGCGTTACTCTGCTCGCCGAACGTGTTAAACAGCTCCTCCCCAGCCTTAGCTTCAGCCACAGCCTTGATTACCAACGAATCACCGCTATCTCCACCATCACTATCGTCACTATCGTCGTCGTCCTCGACGCCGTAAACCGCCACTGAATTCGTCCCCGTGCGGTGGTTGAACAAATCCGCACACGGCACGAGACACTCCCCATACTCCCCACCTACGTAAAACGCCCTCGATGCCGCGATCGACGCCGCCGCCTTGAAGGTTTCCAGCGTTAGCCCCATCGCATTCGCCGTTTCCTCCCCTAAAGCGTCGCGACACGTCTCAAAATCTTCATCAAACGCCTCGTCGTCCTCGCTCAAGTGCGCCGCGAGCTCCGTCCCGCGCAATTCGTCCCGAAGCTCCGCGTCCCAAAACATCGGCAAACTCCGCTCGCCACGGCGCGGCAATATCGCCCTAAACCCATCCCAAAACCCTTTCGCCTCCCGTGCCGTCTCGTCGTCGCCAAACAACTCGCCGACGGCGACGACGTTGAGCGCCAAGCCGCCGCCCAGCCGCGCGCCTTCCACCGCTTCCCCGTGCGCGCGCGAGTTCTTCCCGCACAGCACGCACGATTTCGGTATTTCAAATAACGTTTCTCCGATCTCGATCGCTCGCTTCGCGAACACGGCGTAGTGTCGACGGTCATCCGCGAACTCGTCGTCGCTCTTCAGACTACGAATTTCCAACGCGTCGTCGTTCGTCACGATTCCCACGTCCTCGCACCACGCGCGGAAGCGTTCGAGGTTTTCATCGATCGCGATCGCGTCGCGCTTACGTTTGCGCGCGTCGTCGCGCATGTCGACGCACCGCGCGACGCGCAGTGCGGCGTTGAAGGCGCTTCCGCGCGGTTTCGCGAACCGAACGCCGTTCGAATTATCAACGAATTCCGCACACGCGCGCGCGCGCACGCGCGATGAGCGCGCGCACGCCCGGGAATCCGCTGTGGGATAAACTCAGGCGTCACGTCAACGCGCCCGGGTCGGCGGAATCGTACAGGTCGCGACAAACGAGCGGACGAAGCGAACGATTTCGCGACGATTACATCGAAGAGGAAGATTATCGACGCTCGGCGTCGTACGCGCGCGGACGAGACGACCAAAGGACGTACGATCGATCGTATTCCTCGCCACGGTCGCGTGGACGGTCGCCGTTGCACGATGATCGAGACGAACGACGATCGGGACGACGGGACGAGTTCGATCGGCGCGCGCGGTCGCCGCTGGGCGAACGGGACGAGCGGTACGAGCGTGAACGCCGGCGAGGGTACGACGAGCGAGACGAAGATAGGACGGCGATGAGAGCGACGCCCGAGCGACAGAGGTCGTTTGCGAATCGAGGGGAGGAACGACCGGTGTTGGGTGGCGGAGCGACGGGGAGCGCGGCGGCGCGCGAGGAGCCGTTCGACGCGGCGTATTATAAGACGAGAATCGCGAGGTTGGAGGAGAAACTCGCGAAGGAGCATCAAAAGGTGAAGTCGACGGTCAAGTATTACGAGGATCAGTTCGAAGCTCAGGCGAAGAAGCTGAGCGAAAAACACGAAGAGGAGAAAAAGGCGGCGGAGGAGGAGGCGACAAAACTGAAATCGCAGGTGGAGTGGCTGAAGCAGGCGCAAGAGTCGTTGAAGAGCGAACGCGCGGCGCGCGAGGACTTGGAAAAGGAACTCGCGGCGCTTCAAGAAGAGTATGCTGGGAAGGAAAAGATCGCCACCGACGTGAAGACGACAGATGCAAAATTGAAGAAGGAGATCAAGGAGCTCAAGGAGGCGGTTGAAATGGCCAAGCGAGAAGCCGCTGAGGCTGAAGAGAGGACGAAGAGCGCGCCGCCAAAGCAACCCGAAGCTGACCCTGCAGAAATTGCCATCTTACAAAAGCAATTGGATGAAGAAAAGGCGCAACGCGACACCATCGAGAAGAAGTTTGCCGCATTGAAGGCGGAATCCATGGATCCATCTGAAGTCGGTTTGCTGCAAAAGAAAGTGTACACCGCGGAGTCCGAACTCGCGACCGTTCGTGGAGAACTTGATCGCGCGATGGAGGATAAGCAAGAAGCCACTGTGATTAAGGCGAGGTTGGACGTCGCTGAGAAGCTGGTGTATGAGCTCAAGACAAAGGCGCAACGCGTCGACGAACTCGAACGCTTTTACGCCGACGCTTCGAAGGACAAAGAGCATTTGCGCCAGGCGTACGACAAGATTCAAGAAATCACGGACAAGTTGCTCGCGGTGACGAACGAAAAGGAGGTCCTCGTTCGCCACAGCGCGCAGCAAGCGCACGTTGAGGCTCAACTTGAGCAGACGCGAAGTGAACTCAATCGAATCAAAAATGAAGTGCACACGGCGCAGGTGGATAAATCAAACAGCGAGATGAACTTCAAGTACGTCGTTGACGATATTTCCCGCACCCTTCGCGAACATGCCATGACGTCGATGCGCTGGGAAGCCCGCATGGCGAGTGAGATAAGTGAAGCAAGCGAGGAACACGCGGAGATTCGCCGTCAAACGATGAATCTCGTATCCACCGCCGAGTCCGAAGCCCAACGAGTAATGCGAGACTCCATCACCGTCGTCAACGATGCTCGACGCATGTTACAGGATAATCACAAAAAGTCCGAAGATATCATTGAGGACGTCATTCGCGCTGAGCGTCATCGTATGTCGGACGAAACAAAGACGATGAAGAGCCAGCTTGTAGAGGCTGAACGTAGAGCGCTACAGGCAAATGCGCAGATTGATGACTTATCTGAGCAACTGCGCCAAATGCGCATCGATTTGCATCTAGCAAAGGATGCACACGCGGCTTTAACAGCGACGAGATCAGAAGCGCCTTCTATCGTGGACACGGCGAGAGATTTCGGGAGCGACGGCGTGGCTTCGCCGAGTGGCGAAAAGGTTGATTCGCTTCGACAAAAGTTGCGCACAGCTCAGTTCCAGCTGCTCGCATTGAAAGCTCGACGTAAGTTTGAGATCGACCCGGATCGTGAGGAACTCGAGGAGAAACTACAGTTCATGCGTGAAGAGCGCGAGCAGCTTCTGGCGAATCGCCCTGCCGCCGCGTTTGAAGAAACCGCCGAAGTATTGGGGCTTCAAGACGAACTTCAATGGTGCCGTTCCAAGATTGCAAAGCTCGAGGGAGATCGACGAGAACAAAGCCGTGGCTCGTCAGAACGAGAAAAAAGTCTCGAGGATCAGCTCGAGCGCACTCGGTCGGAGCTGGAAGAGGTTGAGAAGACGATGAGGCAGCTCAAGAAGCAGCAGCTCGACGCATTTGAAGACGTCGCGGAAGACATGGAATCACATTTGCGAATCAAGCTGACTGAAATGCGCGAAGAGCTCATGCTCGCGAATGCACAACGTGAGAAGTCACGTAATGAGATGAATCACGCGCAAGATGAGCTGATCGTGCTTCGAAGCGAGCGCGATAACGCCATCACAAGTGTGAAGACAATGCGCGAAGAGCTCGCCGAGTTGCGCCAGACAATCTCAGAAATGTCAGCGTCAAGAGCGGAAATCATGACGGCGGGTCGGGAAGAAGTTCGTGCGCGAGAGGACGAATTAAACGCCGTGCGCAGAGAGTTGAGTAATATTCGCGGTCAGAAAGAAAGTGCCTTACTTACTATGGAGGAGTTGAAGTCGCGACTGCTCGATACTGAGGCGCGGCTCAGTGAGGCGTCCGAGCAGCGTCAGCAATTGGAGCTCGCGCGTAACGACGAAACGAGATCGTCGTCTGAGCGAAATAGATTAGAAAACAAGGTGCTGGTATTACAGACAGAGCGCGATGAGATGCAAACGAAGCTTGAGCAGGTGATCATCTCGCGAGAGGAATTGGAAGAGGAACTCAAAGTGTTGCTCACAAAGTTGAACCAGTCCGAGGAACAAACAACGGCAACGGTGGCGCAGAGCCGCTCTGAGGTATTTATGGCGAACCAAACCATTTCATCACTTCGTGCACAGCTTGACGAGGTTGAATCGGAGTTCGCCTCGGCGAGCAAGTCGTTCGAGCGCGTTCGCGTCGACAGGGATGTCGCCACTAAGGCGCTTGAGGAAGTTCGCGAAGACCTCGGTCAATGCGAAGTCGAGCTTAAGCTATCTCAGAGGGAGACCGAAATCAAAGAACGCGAACGTCAAGAGGCGATCGCGATGATGCAACGGGCGCAAGATGCTCTTCAAGAGACGCGACAGGAGCTCGAAAAGACTGAAGCTGAGCTCGTGAATTTGGTGGAAGTTGTCGAGCAAGGCGAAGAGACGTTACAACGCACCAAGGTCCAAGTCACGCAAAAGACTCACGATTTATCTACGGCGGAAGCACGATTGAGTGATTTGATACGCCAAGCGGATGCATATGAAGCCGAGAGGGACGTCGCAAATGAATTGTTGAGTGAGTCTCGCGGCAAACTCTCTGAACTTCAAGCGCTATCGCAGATCCGCGAAAACGACCTTCTCAACTTGCGAGTGCAACGCGATAAACTCGCTGAAAAGTATGACGAAACGGTGAACGAGTTGAAGCTGACTGAGGCGTACTTGCAAAAAGCGAGCGTGGCGGTTGAGAAACATCGCGCGGAGCGAGACGGTTTGAGCCAAGCGCTCGAAGCGGCCAACGACACGTTGAGCGCGACAGAAAGCCAGCTTCAAACAGTTTCAGCGCAACTCGCGGAACTATACGAAGAAGTGGAAGAGTATAGAACGCAAGGAGGTAGCGAAGACGAAGAGCTGATCGAAACTCAAAAAGCTTTGGACGCCGTCATTGACAAGTTCAAGATTTTGCGGGACGCGCACGAAGAGGCTTTGGGTAACTTGGAAGCTGAAATCGCCGCGCGACAACGCGAGCAACGCGAGCACAAGCAAGCTATTGAAGCTGCAAGAGTCGAATACGAAGAACACGTGCGAATATTGAAGCGTGCGGTGAATGCGAATTCGGATCAAGGTGCACTCGCGAGCGAGCTCTTTGCCATCTTGAAAGATTTCCAGCAAGCTCGCGCAGACGCCGAGGTCGCCGGAGATGAAAGTGAGAAGAGAACCGCGGCGCAGTACTCAAGACAGATGGTCACATCCCCTAATGAGGCCGCGTTTGAGTCTTTGATGCGAATCAAGACGACTCTCGACGACCTCAAGCAACGACTGCAAAGCGCCGCCGTCCGCTCGGGCGACGGAGCCGACGTCGAAACCGAAGCCCTTCGAACCAACCTCCGACTTCGCGTCTTGGTATTCGAAACCTTTATCGATCTTGTCTCCCAGCGTTCTCGCGTCGGCGCTTACAAAGGCCAAGTCGAGGTCGACGCTCGCGACCGCGCCGCCGAAGAAGACGTTCGATACGAGGGCGTCCCGAAACCCGCCCTCGTGCGCAAGCGCAGCATCGCCGGTTTCGCCCCGAACATCAACTTTGGCATCAAGCTCTTCGGCAACAACGATCGCGATTGATTCGGCCTGTAATTCATTTCACTTCAAGCGCACGCGCCGTCGTCCGAGTCGAGTTCGCGTCTCGCCGCCTCGCCTGAAATAAATTCTCGAATGAATCCAGCCGCCGCCGCCACGAAAAGTGACATTTTCGCGCACCGCACTTTTCCGCGCGCCGCACACGCGTCGACGCGCTCGACGACGCGCGAAAGCGATACACAACTCCCCGAACACGCCTCTCACCGCACGCTCGACGCGCGATGCCGAAGAGCAAGCGCGCCAAGGTGGTGTCCCTGACGCAAACCAAGAAGAAGGACCGCGAGTGGAAGTCAACGCTCATCGAACGCGTGCGCGACGCGCTGAGCGAAAGATCGTCCGTGTACGTGTTTAAATACGAAAACATGCGGAACGGAACGTTCAAAGAGATGCGGGCGGCGACGGAGGCGACGACGACGTTCTTCGTGGGGTCGAATAAAGTACTGCGAGTGGCGCTGGGGCGAGACGCGGAGAGCGAGGCGAGCGAGGGCGCGGCGACGCTTGGAGCGCGCGTGAAGGGCGATTGCGGCGTGATGTTTACTAATTTATCCCGAGAAGACGTTGAGAGCGTGTTTGAAAGGTTTGCGGTGAAGGATTACGCGAGAACCGGGGCGTTGGCTAGAGAGACGGTGACGGTGGAGGCGGGACCGGTGCACGGTCCGAGCGGGGCGCTCATGGAACACACACTCGAGCCGACGCTGCGCAAGAATGGGATGCCGACGAAACTGAATCGTGGAGTGATTGAGTTGGAGGCCAATCACACGCTTTGTAAGGAAGGACAACACATCTCTCCGCAAGGGGCGATTTTGTTGCGATTGTTTGGGCACGAGTTGGCCGAATTCAGGTGTCGTCTGACGTGTGGCTTGGTGAACGGCGAGCTCGAGGTGTACGAGGAAGATGATGAAGGCGACGACGGCGATGATGGACCCATCGACCGATTTGCGCACGACGGCATCACGGATTCCATGATGCTTCCTCCGGGAGTCAAGTAGACTGACGCGTACCTTCGTAATAAACACAACGTAGTTCAAATCGACAAACGACGTTCATCTCTACAAGGCATCACTGCCGCTATCGCTATAGTACTTTTCAACAACCTCACGCACAAACCAGTCCAGCGAGAGTTGCATGTGTCTCGCGGCCGGCACGAGTCGCGCCTCCAGTCGACCGTCGGCGTCGAGCGCCGCCAAGCCAAGACTCTCGTACACGACGTCGTTCCTATCGTACGGGATTATTTCCGATCTGTTACTTCCGCCGACCACTCGCGATCCAAACCACGAACTTTCTTTCGGGAACACCATGTCATCGAATTCGAACATGAACATTACGAATCGCTCCAACGACGTCAACGCCTCGCGCCGAGACGCTCCGTCTCTCTCGTTCGCGGTCCCCTCGTTGTTCACCCACGGCAAGAACGCGTTCGTCTCCAAATAGCGCTGGTATTTTGCGTTCGTGGACGTATCCCGAAAGTACTGCGCCTGCACGATGCGTCGCCGCGCGAAATCGCTCGCCGATAACGCGCTCGCCATCGCGTTCATCGCTCGACACGCGCGCGAAATCGTCGCCCAATCCCCTCCGCATCCCGGCAACGCATCCACGCCCAAATGCTGCGCCCCAAACGTCACCAACGTCGTAAACTTTACCCCGTCGCACGTCTCCACGAGCGCTCTCGCGAACTGCCCTCCCTGCGAGAACCCGAGCGCGTGCGTTCGCGTCGTCCCGCTCGCTCGCCGCGTCTCGTCCCCGACCACCGCCTCGCACACCGCGCTCACCTGCGCCGCGACGTCGCCGACGTACGAGCTGTATCGATCCCCACCGCCACCATCGATTCGCACGCTTCGCGCGCACGCGCTCGGGCGTCGCGCGAGCGCCAGCGCGAGTTCGTCCAAGCCTTCGCCCGTGTCTCCCATCCCGTGCCAGAGGTAAAACCAATCGCGCGTCGTCTCGTCGCACGCGCCGCGCGAGACGAAGCTCGCGCGCGGCGTCGTCGACGCGAGCGCGCCGAGCGCGAGCGCGCCGAGCGCGCGCATGGACGCGCGCGCGGCGGTTTGTGGCGACGCCGGCGCTGCATCTAACCGTCCGGGACGTGCGGCGACACAGCGTCGCGCGCGAGCGGAGCGCGCGCGCGCGGAGGGCGTCGAGCGGAGCATGGGGTGCGCGTCGTCGCGCGACGACGTCGCGCGAGGCGAAAGCGACGGAGGGACGACGCGGCGGGGTCAAGATGATGACGATGATGTCGTCCTAGAAATCGTCCCGACGACGACGACGGCGAACGAAGACGACGCGAGCGAGCGAGAGGGCGGTGACGATCGCGCGATGGTGGCGGCGCGGCGCGCATCCGCGGATGAGGAGGAGCGGAGAGGACTGGTGGAGGTTGAACTGGGAGCGACGACGACGACGGCGGACGACGACGAGAAGGAAACGATTTTGCGACGACTGCGGGCGATGGAAAGTCTGGTGCAAGTGTTACCGCGAAAGTGTGAGGCGTTGGAGATGGAAAACGCGGCGCTGAGAGAGCTGCTGGACGACGCGAGACGGGATGCGAGACGGTTTTGCGGAGAGTGCGAGATTGAAACGGAAGTCGCGATGGAACGCGCGAGGACGGCGATTTCGGACGCGCGAAGGGTCATGCACGAGCAGCGCGTGCGGTATGAAGATACGATGGCGGAATCTGAACGCGAGGGGCGGCATCGACTCGCGATGGCGACGTTAAAGTCAAAATCAGAATACGCACGAGCAAAGTTACGCGCGAGCGAAGCCGTCGAGGAATGCGAAAGATATCGAGCAGAGATTGAGAGATTGAGGGACGAGTTGGAACGATTGAGAGACGAGCGTGTGAGAGATGCAGCACTTCCATCGACGACGAATCGAGAGGATGATTTGTCGACTGTGTCTGATTTTGGTCGCGATAGCGTCGTCCATCAGATGCGCTGGCGACTTTGGGCGTCAGAACTCACTCGAAATGACGAGCGAAGCTTGGTGCGCGACGCGGAGGATAGCTTAGAAATGTTTGCTCATTTGCAGGTGCAGCTGGATGAACTAAAGCGCGAGAAGCGAAGTGCGACATCCGCTTTGGAGGAGATGAATTCGCTGTTGATTGAATCTCGAGACGAGGTTTACGATTTGAAGCACGCGCTGAAGCTCGACCTAGAAGAGGACCTGTGAACTAAGGACTAAGGATCGCAAGATACACTAATTGTAATGTACGGATTACACGCACCAATCACCGCGGCGGTTGTCGACTCACCTTGACTGGGCTGAATGGTTCGCTGAATCGCCGGTCGCTATAGTACGTGCTCTTAGTTTGCTCCAATAGAGAAACAGAAGCCGACGTCGCTCGAGCAAACGTGGCGCGCAAGGCTTCATCGCGCGCGAGAAGGTCAAATTGGTCTTGCAAGCTTTCTCGAACCGTCGACAGGGCTTCGACCTCAGCTTCCATGGTTTGAACGTCGCTCATCACGGCACGATATTGCTTTTCGTACGAATCTGGTTCGACGACCGTCGGCATCGTTCGAGGCGATGCTGTCGGAGTTGAATATCGAGAGCCATACGCGAATTCCTTCGACGCCACCCGATTGCGTCCGAGAAGACGAATATTTTCTTCGTAAGACTTGTCAAAATCCCAACCTGTCGAAATCGTCGGGCGTTCATATTTGGTGAGCGAATACGTCTCCTGCGCGCCGCTGGGTGATCGAGCGTTCATTTTCCATTCGCTAAAAATCTTGCGAACGACTCGTTTCTGCCTATGCTCGGTTTTCAATCGATGGTACTTCATCACTTCCGTGAACTGTCGCCACGAGCGCAAAAACTTTCGTCGAGCTCTGTCTGCAAGAATATCGTGCATCTTCTTCACCGTGCGATTTCTGTGCTCAGAAATTCTTTGCGAGTACCGCACCCAGGCCATGAACATTGGGTTTCTGTAGATGCGCTCGTTACGAGCGAGCCCCCAGCGCATGGCTACGTTGACTCGGACCATGTCTGAAACCGAGGAATGAGTCACGTGCAGTGGCGCTATGGCGCGCTCGACATTTTGCAGTCGCCGTTCGACGACACGGAAGGAACGTATTTGCTTCATGTATCCCGACCAACTATTAAACGCTTTGACGAGAGCCCGACGGCGCATGCGTTGCAGGCTGGTAGAAACGAGCTCTTTTTGTCTGCGTATCATCAGCACGTGCGTGGACCAACCATCAAAGGCCTGCGCCAGCGTTTTATTGCGCGCGCGGTGCAAAGACTTTGAAACGAGCGTCCTGTGACGCTTTTGTTCGATCATCTTGTAGTTCCACGCGTTGAAAGCTCGAGAAAGCGTTCGATTCAGCACTTTTGTCAAAGACATCTTCACTGCGCGTTCGATGCGACGTTCGTACGCACGAGACGCGCGAGCTTCGTCCACGCTTTCAATCCAAGAGTAAAACGCCCTGACTGTGATTCTGTACCTCATTTTCCTCAAACTGTTCGCGACGAGTAGTCGATTTCGCTTCTTTTTGTGCACGGCGTCTAACCAACCGTCAAAGGCATACGCTAAGTGACGCTGCTTCACTCGAAGAATCACCATGTGAGCGGCGTCCATGACGCGTCGTCGTTCATCGATGAAAAATACCCAGCGGTTGAACGCACGGGCTACCGCGCGCATTCGCGCTCGCGCCAGCACACCGCGTGCTTTGCTTTCATTTACTTTCATTTGCTTGATTTCCTGTACATGATCGCGCCACTGCATGAATGCGTAACCGAGAGATTGCCGCTTCACGCTTCCTAAGATTTGCGCCAACTTGTTCGATCGAAGTTGCTCTTGTTTCATGTCAGCCATCCTACGCATTTTCGCCTCCTGCGTGGCGTGAACCCACGTTTTAAACGTTCCTCGCAAAGATCTGTCTCTAAATCTCTCGTAGAACCTGCCGATGATTGCTTGATAACGTTTCTTTGTTTGAACGTGGTCGAGCCAAGTATTGAAAGCTGTGAAAATGACTCGTTGCGTGAGACGTGTGAGAGCCCGATCCATCTTCCATCGATCGATTCGCTGCTCGCTCGCTCGTTGCTTCCACTGCTCAAACGCACCTGCCAAGAGTCTGTTCCTGATCCTTGACACGACTCTCTCGATCACTTGTCGTTGATGTCGCAGCGCCGCGGCGGTGCTCGACCAGTCGTAAAACGCCACGTGCAAACGTCTTCCTCTGAATCGAGAAACGGCGCGGTTAAGCAACGCGCGTTGGGTCTTCTTTTCGCCGACGCGCGCAACCCATCCTGAAAACGCGTAATACAGCTTGCACTGCGACATCTTTTGAATCGCTTTCTGGAAAATGACTCGATGCACCTTGGCTTCGTCGACACGTTCTGCCCAGGTATCAAACGCCATACGAAGATTGTTTCGTTGCATCTTTTGCGTCACACGAACGAGCGTTCTTCGCTGCTGCGCAAATATTTTTGCCGACGCTCTCCATCGTGCGAAAGCTTTAGCTTGCGCCTGCTTGCGTATGGAAGTGATAGCCTTTGCCACCACCCGCCGCTGACGCCGCGTGTGGACAGCGTAGTCTTTCCACTGCAAAAACGTTCTCTTCAGTCGTTCTTTCGCGGCATTCTTCGCTTGAAGGTTGACGATATTTTCAATATTTTTCAAATGAATTTTTGCCGCGATCGAATCCGCGGTGACTTCGCGCCAAGCGTTGAAAGCGCATGAGATGAGACGATTCGATGCGCGCATCAAAACGGTTCGCATGAGCTCACGTTGACGCTTCCTGTCCTCAACCACTTGCACCCACGTGTTGAATGCAGTGAACTGGAGTCTAGACGTCATACGATTCAGTGCGAGAGTCAATTTCAATCGTTGATCTCGCTGGCTCATGGCATACTTGTACCAATACACGAAAGCTGCTCTCGCCTTGCGAGTCGCATGAATCTTGCAGAAAATGTCCAAACGCTGCTCCAAGAGTTCGTTCGCCAACTGCTCCGTCACGCGCACGTTGCGCGATTCTTGGGCGATAGAAAGCCATCCCCAGAAGCACATTGATAGTGCCGCTGTCGAGGAATTTATTCGCATTTTTTCAGCCATTTTGTGAGCTTGCACGCGCACGTACTTTTTGTGCTCCACGACTTCGCTCCATTGCGCAAATGCCTTGGCGAGACGTCGCTGTTGCCAACGTCTGATTGCTTTTTCCATCGCAACCTTGTACACAGAACTTCGGTGTAGCATCTCTTTCCACTCATAAAATGCGTTGCACAGCTGTAAGGATGTTCGCCGGGTGATAAATCTCGCCGCCATTCGCTGTAAGCGCTTACTTTCTCGCGCGACGCCGACCCACTGCGTGAAGACTCTTCTTTGCGTCGAGCACAAAAACCACGTGATGGCCTTTTTACCTTCCATCGCTTCCGCGCGCGCAGTGTCTACGACTAAGCGCCACTCGACGAATGCCTTAAATATCAGTCTAGTCGACAGTTTCGCGACGCTCTGACGTGCCTTGGCATCGTTCATGCGACTCTGCGTCACGGCGTCTCGCCAACTGTAAAATGCCGAGTACAGCTTGTGGTTCATCATTTCCAGCATCATACGCTCGGCTCTTCGTTTCTTTTCTCGATCGACCTTTGATTTATCAACATCGCTTTTCCACACACTCAAAACCGCGAGTTTCATTTGTCTTTCGGACTTTTTCAAGCATCGTTGCACGGCTAATCGACACCACTTGTCGCGAGACAGACGGTTTTTCCACTCAAAAAAGTACTCGCGCAAAAATCTAATTCTAATTTTCTGATATCGCTCATCAGCCTTTAGCACCATGCGTTTTTTGCGATCGCATCGCTCCCTCCACTCATCGAAGACGTTCCGCACCGTCATGACGATGCGTTCGCCGAGAAAAGCACCGGCCCTTCGAACCGAGATGTTGTACGACTTTGATTTCATCGTCGAGTTACGCCACGCGAAAAAGACTCTGTACGCAATCTTATGATCTCTCTTTTGACGCATCGCGCGAATAATAACATTATTCAAATGCGTCAACTCGTGCTCGTGTCCGTCTCGCGCCTTTTGAAACGTGCGAACGAGATTTTCCATGGCGCCAAAGCCGTGTGTCACAGCCTTCTCCGTCGCCGCGTGCCAGTGCTCTTGAAACGATTCCTTTCGCGCGCTCACTTCGGCCGGAGTCTCCAAAGCCTTCAAAATCACCTCCCACGCCCCGAAGCACCGCCGATTGATCAACTTCAAGCTCCCGCGCTCGCCCTCGGTCGCATCAAACTGTTCGTTGACGCCAAACTTTGTGGAACAAAACACCAACTTTCTCGATCCGCGCTGTCGGCGCTGCAACAGCAATCCACTCTCCGCGTGTTCAAATCCGTAATAAGTCTTCATCACCTCTCCATTCGCGTCGTCGCTCGCCTTTTCCACGATCCTTCGCTCTCGCACGCGAAATCTCGTCCGAGGATCATGGCGTCCGCTCGTCGACGCCGCGTCGCTCGACGCCGTCTCCAACCACCCGCGCACAGTCCCGCCATCCTCCTCGTTCGCCGCGAACACCAGCGCCGTCCCGGACGCGGCGTCGACGAGCTGAACGTACGATTGACTTCGCAGCGCGTCCAGGGACGCGTTCGCCGTCGCCATCGCGTCGAGATCGAGCGTTTCGCGTCCCTCGTCGAATCACGACCGTTCCCCTTCTGCGCCAATCGACACCGCGCGCGGTCGCGATGCGCGCTCGAGGGCGACGCGCGCGCGTTCGGCAGCGTCTACTCGAAGTTTTCTACGCGTGCGCGGTCGCGTGGCATGTCGAACGCGCGCGTTCGTGTGCGGGCGCGCGATCGAGTCGCGACGACGGCGATGCTTCGGGACAGCTCTAGAGGCTAAAATTTCAAGTCAAAGGCGCGGAGCGCGGCGGCGAAGTGCGGGGGAGGCTCGGCGACGACGCGCGTCGAAACGCCCGATTCGGGATGAACGAATTGTAACGCGCGAGCGTGGAGGTGGAGAGGGATCTTGGAGACGCCGCGGAGGGATGCGCGACGAAGCTTGCGCCAGAAGTCGGATTCTTTTTCGGATTCGACATCGGCAGATTCGATGTCAGTGAAACGACTCTTCCACGGCGCTCGCCGATCGTTGAAGCCGTACTTGTAATCGCCGATGATTGGGGACGATAGGGCTTTGGCCAAGTGCACGCGAAGTTGGTGCTTGCGACCAGTGATCGGAGTAAGTTCTAGGAGCGTCGGCCCGTCCTCGCCGGCGCTGGCGAGCACCTTGAAGTGCGTCATCGCCGCCTTGGACGCGGGTGAGCCCGCGTCGTTGGATTTGTCTCTCATGGATTCTCCCGTGCCGACGACGACGCCGCCGCCTTTCGCATCGTACACTCGCCAGCCGCCGACGAGACGCGCCGTGGAGTAGCCGTCGCCGTCGCCCACCTCGGTGAGAGGCGCCTCGATCCATCCCGAGCGCGCGCCTCTCGGCGGCGGATTCGACGTCAGCGCCCAGTACGTCTTCACCACCGGATCGTTCGACAGCGAAGGCGCGTCTCCGCGCTCCATGTCCGCCCGCATTATCTCCGTAAAATCCATCCTCGATTTTTTGGCAAACATCGCGTTGAGCCTGTTCGCCGCAAACGCGGTCCGCGCCAGCACCAACACCCCCGACGTGTCTCGATCTAATCTGTGCACGACGTACTCCGAATCCAACGCGTGTCTCAAATCGTACACCGACACGTCCACGCCGTTCCCTCGCGTCGTCGCCAGTCCCGGCGGTTTATCGACCACCGTCACGTGTTCGTCCGCGTGCAGAACGCGCGCTCGAATCGCCTCCACCAACGCCTCGCTCGCCCCGTCGCGATCCCTCGCGCGCCTCGTCGCGTCGCCGTCACCATTCGCGTCTTCATCGCCGTACTCTCGCCACGTCCATCCCTCGCGCGCGATCGGCACCGCGAGAAACTCGCCCGGCGCCAGCGTCCGCGCCCGTCCCGCGCGCCGCAGCGACCGCGCGTCGCGCTCGACGCCCTCCCCGAGCGCCCCGCGCCCGACTCGGACGACGCGCGCGCGAAACAGCTGATGCACCGCGCTCCCGCCGCGCGCGCCGCGTCCTCGCGCGTCGCCCGCGCCGTCGTGGCGGAGGTACTTTCGCAGCCAGCGCAGCGCGGTGACGGCGTCGTCGCCGACGCGCCAGCGCGGCACGGGCGGCGTGACGACGCGGTGCGTCGCGTACGCCGCGCGCGCCGTCGCGCCCGCGCGCGCGAGCCGCCGCAGCGCCGCGAAGACGCGCGCCGTCGCCATCTGCGGTCGGCGAACGACGCGACAGATGGCGACGCCGCGCGTCGTCGGCGACGCCCTCGACGCGCGCCGCGGCGCGCGCGCGACGTCCGCGCGCGTCGCGCACTACGGACGCGCGTTCGACTGCGCGTTCGCGCCGTGGGGGCGACGCGCGAGCGACTCGTCGAGCGCGTGGGACGAAATCATCGTGACGTGCGGCGAGGACGCGACGGCGCGCGTGCACGGCGTCGACGCGCGCGACGCGAGCGCGCGGACGCTGGCGACGTGTCGCGCGCACCGAGAGGAGGTGGTGCGCGTGGCGTTCGCGCGCGCGAGCGGACGGTTCGCCACGGGGTCGGCGGACGGGACGTGCAAGGTGTGGGACTTTGACGCGCGAGAGCGCGTCGTGCGCGAGGCGCAGAGCCTGGACGGACACCCGGGGGAGGTGTACGGGTGTTGCTTTCTGGGCGACGGCGACGGAGGGGTCGTGGCGACGTGTTCGGAGACGGAGGCGCGGGCGTGGGACGTGGAGCGAGGGACGACGACGGCGAAGACGGCGCCGAGGGATGATTTAGGGACGTCGGGCGCGCGCACGCCCGAGCGTTGGTCGCCGGGATACTTGTTTTCCATGGCTCGAGGCGATGGGGTGCTGGCGTGCGGGTGCTCGGACGGGATCGTTCGAGTGTACGGCGACGGTTCGAGCGGGACGTTTGGAGAACGCGTGGCGGAGGTGACGGCGCATCCCAACGCCATCGTCGGATCGACGAGTTTTATCGATGGTGGGCGAGTGTTGTGCTCGGTAGGACTCGACGGGACGGTCGTGCTCACAGACGTGCGAACGTGGGGGATTTTTCGGCGGATATCCGCGGGTTCGACGCTGACGAGCGCGTGCGGCGTCGGCTCGGGAAGTTGGTTAGCGATGGTTGGGGAATCGGGCGTCGTTCGAGCGATCGACGCAATCGGAGACGCGTCGTCAAGCGCACAGTGCGTTTTTGAGCCGAAAGGTGAACCCGTGCCGCTGTTTTGCGTCGCAGCGAACGAAAGCGGGACGATGTTAGCGTGCTCGGGCGCGGGCGTCCCGTCGAGCGCGCCGACGCTCGGCGCGACTTTCGGCACGAAAACACCCGATCCAAGTCGCTTGGACGTATGGATGGCGTCGAGCGAGGCTTAGCGAATTTTCTAGAATTTTATCACATTTTTAGCGCGCCGCCTCGCATCTATCTATGACTATCCTAAGGTGATGTACTAATCGAACAAGCCTTCGCGCGGAGGCGCCTTCTTCACTTCCTTCGGCTTCGTGGAGAAGAGCCCTCCGTCGTCGGAGTCTGAATCTGAATCAAACAATGCCGTTGGTGACTTTTTCGGCTCCGGTACCGCGATCGACATGGACGCCACGGCGGACGACGGCGGCACAAGCGTTTTTGCGTCTGTTTTCTTAGATTCCACCGATTTCAACGCGTCGAGGGGATCGGTGATCGGCTCCGAAAACAAGTCGCCTCCCGACGGACGTCTGGTAATTCCGAACAAATCGCCGTCGTCGTCATCGGAATCGGAATCGAACAATCCTTTCGGCTTTTTCGGCGCCGCCGCGGGCGGTTTCGCAGGCGCAGACGCCAAAGGCGCGGGCGCGGACGCCAAAGGCGCTTTCCCGCTCGCGCCTCCGAAGAGACCACCGTCGTCACCTTCGACGTCATCAAATAATCCGCCTTTTGATTTGCGAACGTCGTCTCCGAACACATCGTCGAAAGATAACGCGTAGGACGGCGCCGCCTTCTTCGCGGCTGTCGTCGCCGACGACAAACCGACGCTCGAAAACAAGCCATCGCCGCCGGCGCCAGCCAACGCATACGACCCATCGACGTCACCAAAGTTATTTTCAACGTCCGCTAAGTTATCCTCCATGTCCGAATACTCCCCCTCGCTCGACGTCGAGCTCACGAATTCGCTCGAGATATCGCTCTCGAACTCGTCGCTCGAATCTTCGCTCACCTCGCTCGAGTCCTCGTCATCGCTCGATATGTACGTCCCCCACCGCGCCGGATTCGGATTTTTCGCCACCTTTGGATCCAACCCACAGCTTTCGTCGTGATAGTACGCCGTCGTGCCGATCACCGCCGGCAACGGTCGCCAATGCTCGTTCCCCGTGAGCGCCAACCCGCCGTCGCGCGTCTCCGCCCACCGTCCACGTATCGCCTCCATCGCCCGCCGCGCCGCCTCCGCGTACGCCTCCGGCGTTTCTCCATCCTCGTTTTCTTTCGTTTCGCTCGCCGAGCGCGCGCTTTCTTTTCCAACGCCGTCGACCTCGTCGTCGTCGTCGTCTCGTTCGTCGACGCGCTTTTCCAAAAACTGCGAATTGCTCAAGATTCTGAATCCACAGCTCACGCTCGCGATCTCGCACGTCGCGTACGACGTCTCCAGCGCGTTTCCATCGACCGCGGTCGCCGTTCGCGCGCACCGCTCCAGCGCTCGCGCGTCGCTCGCGCGCGCGCGTTCGATCAACTGTCGTCAACGTCGTCATCGCCCTTCGTCAGTCCTCGCGCGCGATTCCGCGCGCGACGCGCGCGTCGACGCACCGCTCGATCGTGTCCGAGTCGCCACGGCTCGCGCGTCGCGTCGAGCGCGTCGAGCGCGTCGAGCGCGTCGAGCGCGTCGTCGTCGCCTCGGGACATGGCGCGATGCGCCACACGGCGACGAATGGCGTCGCACCGAGACGTCGTGCGCGACGCGTACGCGCGCACCGCCCTGAGCGCGGGGCGCGAGGGATGCTGCGTCACCCCGCTCGACGCGCGCGTGAAGATCGGGTACACGCGCGACGAGCTGGCGCTCGCGGGAGGCGCGAATCTGGGCGTCGGATGCGGCGCGCCGCATCAGTTCGCCGAGCTGCAGGCGGGCGAGGCCGTGTGCGATCTGGGGTGCGGTGCGGGCGTGGACGTCGTGCTCGCGGCGCTGAGCGTCGGCGAGCGCGGCGTCGTCGTCGGGGTGGACATGACGCCGGAGATGTTGCGCGAGGCGCGAGCGCGCGCGGCGGAGGCGAGCGAACGCGCGAACGCCGACGGCCGCGAATGCGCGCGCGCGGAGTTTCGGTTGGGGGAGCTGGAGCGTTTGCCGTGTCGAGACGGCGAGTTCGACGTCGTGATGTCGAACTGCGTGATTAATTTGTGCGAGGATAAGCGCGCGGCGCTCGCGGAGGCGTTTCGAGCGTTGAAGCCGGGAGGACGGTTGTGCGTGGCGGACGTGGTGAGTCGAGGAAACGCGCTGCCAGAGGCGCTGAAGACGAACGAGGCGCTGGCGTGCTGAGTGTCGGGCGCGCACGAGCAGGACATTTTGCGGGATATGCTGCGAGACGTCGGTTTCGTGCGGGCCGAGATTCGCGTGAAGGAAGAGTCGCGCGAATACATCAAGCACTGGATGCCGGGTTCGGGGGCGGAAGATTACGTCGTCGCGGCGGAGGTGGTGGCGCATAAGCCAGGGACGCTGACGAGCGTCGTCCAGGGCGCGTGCAAGCGCGTGGGTGAATTGCTGTACGCCGCGTGGTTGGCGCAAGCGCGTCATCACGCCGCGCACACCGACCACTCCCAGGACGACGACGAGCCCGAATGCTGCGCGCCGGGTCCGGCGAAAAAGCCGCTTCCCAAGTGCTGACGATAATGCACCCCTTCGCGCGCGTCGCGAAGGGGTGAAACGGCTTCTGAAGGCCCTCTCGGACGATTTGGAGATTTTCGTGACGAAGCGACGGGTGAAACGGTTTCGCGCCGGCCGTCGCTTCCGACTTTTTTCCATCGCGAGAACGGTCGCTCAAAGGCTATGCCATCGTTCTAAATGGTGTTACAACATTGTAAGAATGTCTCAGAATTTTTTCAGATTTTTTCACGCGGGCGAGATCACGTTAATCGGCTCACCTCTGAGAAACGCCTCCACGTTCGCCGCCACCATGTCCACGAGGCGTTGTCTCGTCTCCACGCGCTTCCACCCTATGTGTGGGGTCAAGTACACGTTCTCCAGCGTGTACAACGGCGAATCGTCGGACGGGGGCTCGTTTTCTTGCACGTCGAGCATCGCGCCGGCGATTCGCTTCTCTCTCAGCGCGACTATTAAATCTCTCTCGTTGACTACGGCGCCTCGCGCCGTGTTGATCAACCGCGCCGTCGGCTTCATCATCGCGAGCGCGTCCGCATCTATCATCCCGCGCGTTTCCTCCGTCAGCGGACAGTGCACGCTCACAAAATCCGACGTCCTGAGCAGCGTCTCCAGGCTCACCGCCTCCCACAACCCCTCCTCGTCGCGCGCGCTCCTCGAGTGACACGTCGCCCGCATCCCGAGCGCTCGACACGCCCTCGCCACCGCCCTCCCGATCGATCCCGTCCCGCCGATCAGCCCGATCGTCTTCCCTCGCAGCTCGAACATCGTCGGAAACGTCGTCAACCCACTGAAATCGCGGTTAAAATCTCGCCGATCCCCCTTCCGCAGCGCCGCGTGTCGTTCGCACAGCCCCACCGCGGCCGCGCTCGCGTACGCGACGACCAACGCCGCCACGCCGTCGGTCGAGTACTCCGGCGCGTTGCACACCGCGATCCCGCGCCTCGCCGCGGCGGTCGCGTCGATGTTATCCGTCCCCGTGCCCGCCTCCGCGATCAATCGCACGCTCTTCGGCAAGCGCTCGACGTCCACTTTAATCTCCTTCGTCACCAGCACCACCGCGCCGTGCTCTTCGCATCGCGTCGCGATCGTCGCGGCGTCGCAGTCGCAGTCGTCGTATCGACGCGCGTCGCCCACGCGCTCGAGCGAAGTCCAGTCGAGCGCGTCGTCGAAGTCCACGCGCGAAGCGTTGACGACGACGATCGTCGCGCGCGAATCCATGGCGCGCGCGGCAAATAATGACGACGGCGGATCGCGGCGCGACGACGATGCCGCGGTCGATCGCGCGCGAGCGCGAGGCGTTCGCGCGATGGCGCGACGCGCACGCGACGCGCGCGACGTCGCCGACGCGCGAGCGACGCGACGGGAGGTTCGAACGCGCGGCGGATTACCTCGCGCACTACCTGAAGCGGTCGAGGCGACGCGCGAGCGAGGACTACGAGGCGTACTGCCTGTGCATGTGCGAGCGCGCGAGGGACGAGAGAGACGCGGAGGAGGAGTTTTATTACTACGGCGAACTCGTGCGGGCGGGCGCGCGAGGGGCGCGGCGGGCGGGGCGACGGGGCGAGGGCGAACGCGAGCGAGGCGGCGCGCGAGAGCTCGTCGATTTACGGTTGAGACGGGTGATGGATTTAGGTTTCGCGTTGGAGGGGACGGACGCGAGCGCGGGAGCGCGGATGCACTTGGTGGCGAGCGAGTATTACGCGTGGTTTCGCGAGGATTGCTCGGAGGCGGCGCTCGAACACGCGGGACTGGCGCTGCGATTGGCGAAGGCGTCGGCGGACGGCGCGGCGGCGGTCGAGCAACAGATCGACGCGCTCAGGGTGATGAAGAGCACGCAGGCTCGGGAGGGGAACATGTACGAAGCCGTGGCGCTGGGAGCGCGTTTCGTCGCGCTGGCGCGAAGCGCGTACCACGCCGAGGATGGCGACGAGCGAACGGTGGACGACACCGTGCGCTTCGTCAAGCGACTGTTCGAGCACGCGATGATGCTTCGCGGATGGCGCGAGCGACCGGCGAGACCGTTGACGGCGCCCGAGTTAGAGCGATATGCCGCCGATATCCTCAAAGAGGCGAAATCCGCGCTCGAGGAGGCACCGGCTCACGCGTCCAAGGATTGGCGCAGTCACGCCGGCGCGCGCAAGCTGTACGTCGCCGTGCTGTGTCACCTCGCAGACTTGTGCGAAAATCACCTCGATTCGAGCCACGTCATCGTCGAAGACGACGACATCGAGGCGTTTTCGCACAAGAGCCATCGTCTGCACCGCGCGCTCGCCGTCGGCTACCGAACCCTCGCGAGCACCGTCGCGCCGCGCTTATTCGAGCGTCCGTGCTGCTTCTGCGGTCTTCCCCTCGTCAAGAGTGGTACATGCATTCTCGACGACGCCTTCGACTCCGACCGCGACGCCGTCGCCCTCGTTACCCTCGCGTGCGACGCGCGCGAGCCGCACCACTTCCACGTTCGATGTCGTCTCGCCGCCGTCGACGCCGACGAGGCCCACGCGGACCGTTCGTTGGAGCGCGGTTTACCCTGTCGTTTCTGCGTCCACGGCGACGACGCGAGCGACGAAGACGAAGACGAAGACGAAGACGAAGACGAAGCGAGCGACGACGACGCGCGCTCGCCGTAGATTAGATAGCGCATAGCACGTAGCGGACGCCGCGGCGGGGCCTGAAAAAAATATTCACATCTCAAATCTCGCCACGCGTCAAATCCGCGGAAAAGCGCCGTCGTCGACGCGAGATCGCGATCTTAAATAGAGTTTCATGGCCTTCGACGCGCACTGAATACGTAAACAGCGATCGACCGCGCTGACGCGGAATCGCGTCAGCGCGGTCGATCGACGCGGACGCGACGCGCCGCACGACGCGACGCGCGAACGTGCGCGCGGTCGACGGCGGTGAAGGCGCGAGCGCGTAAATACGCGGACGCGGCGCGCGGACGCGGAGACGCGAATCGCGGAGAAGCGACGCGCGCGGACGCGAATCGTGAAGGACAATCACCCCCGCGTCGCGAACGAGACGGATTCGATTGACGCGGACTGTCGCCGACGCGACGACGGGCGACGCGCGGGAGACGCGGGAAACGAAGGGCGGAAATAGTGCGAATTTTGGACGCGGGTGAGGGCGAAAAGACGCGGGACGACGATGTCGAACGGGTTCGGCTTCGGCTTCGCCCCGAGCGGGGCGGCGACGGCGACGCCCGCGGCGCGCGAGGAACGCGGACGAGGGGCGAATGATCTGAGCGCGATGTTTGAATTGGCGGCGGGAATGCCGTTTCCGAGTAAGGAACACGTTGGGGAATCGCTCAAGGCGCTGGGGGAGGTGTGGCCGATGGTGTTCGCGAGCCTCGTGGCGGCGTTTTACGTGCTGTGGCACCCTCGATTCGGGGCGCTCGCGCGAGGGTTTCGGATGCAGATGCTGACGAGTTCGTGGCCGGGGGCGCGGTGGACGTGGATGGCGGTGAGTTCGGTGGTGACGACGCGATCGATAGTGATTTGGTTGGCGCACCGGAACGTGGTGGTGAGGAGAATCGTGGAAGTCACCGGTCTCGCCGTGGCCCTGGACGCGAGGAGAGGTCGAAGACAATCGAGGAATAAGGAGCACTCGTCTAAGCGGTGTCACCAAGATAAGTACTCCGATGTCGGACACGAGCCGACGACTTTCGCGAGCGGAGTTACGGACGTGGTGCAAAGGATCGATTACGAGCGATTCAAAGCGCGCATAGGGTGCCTTCCGGCGGGCGTGCCTCGCGAAGACACGGGCGAGTGGCAGCTGATGATGGATCGTACTGAGGAAACGAATAATTGTCACTACAAGGCTTGGAGACACATTCTGCCGTACGGTGGCACGGAATATCTCTCGGTAAGCTTGTTCGAGAACGCCACGGCGGAGGAGATTTGTGACTTTTACAACTCTGACGTGACTCGTGAAAAATGGGACGGGTTGCTTCTGAAGCAACATTGCATCGACAAGGATCCGCGAACGGGCGCGGAGGTCTTATTCTGGGAGCGTCAGCTTCCAGTCATTAGCAATCGCGATTACGTCTTTAGTCGACGTACGTGGAAGGATGGCGAGTGTTACTTCACCATCACAAAGGGCTTGCATCACCCGAGTCAACCAGAGAATCCGAAAGTGATTCGGGTCGATCCGTACTTTAGCGCTTGGCGCATGCGCACGATTCCGGGGAAAGTCCCCGGCACGTTCGCGGCTGAGTGCGTGTTGCTGCACTTTGAGGAACAAAAAGTGCAGCAAGACGTGGCGCGCATGGCGGTGAGACATGGAATGTGGGGCGTGGTGAAAAACCTGTGCTCGGGATTCCGTGACTTCCAAGACACGCGTAATCAAGAAGAAGCGACGCAAGACGCTGGTGGCGTGAGTCTTAGACGCCCAGACGACTTGAGTAAGGAAATGAGAGGTTTCCGCACACGCATGAAGAAGACGATTGGTTTCGCGCTACCCGTCCTCTTGGGCGTTTTGATCGCCCAGCAAGGCACTGGCAACCTCTTCGACGTCTTCACACATGCAAAACGTGGCTTAGTGGTGGTTCAATCCGCCCATCGGCGACGACGCACGCTCAAGGCTCTTCAAACAGCCGGCGTGGTCGCCGCCGCCGCAGTGGCCGAACGCGTCGGCGAACGAGCGGCGGAAGACTCGGCCGGGGAAGACTTCTCGGTTGAGCAAGTTTAGACAATCTTATGACGTCGTAGCACATTCACGCACGCTATTTCACGCACATATCGCGATGTCATGTACCAATAGCGCTTCCGTATTGAATACAAGAATTACACTCTCGTTGCACTCCTATTTGTTGTAGCTAAACGTCGCACTTGCGCTCGACGATTTCTATGAGCTCGCACAATTCAGAATCGTCTTCACCATCCGTTCGACGCTCGCGAGCCATTCCTTCCAACACGTTCAACAACCTGGGCGCCGTCGTGAACACGTCTTCGTTTTCTTCATCCCCCCCCAGATCCTCTCCGTCCGCCGGCGGCGTCAACGCGTCCTCCACCGCCGCCGCGCGCTCCGCGCCTCGCGGTATCGTCAGCAACACCTCCGCTATCCTCCGCTCCGGCGCTACAGATTTCAAACTCTCGAACTCTTTCGCCCCGATCTTCGCCCGTCCCGCGATTTCCGTGATCGCATTCCTTCGAGACGTCTCGTTTAACGCCGACTGCTTCGCCGCGTTCGACTCCCCCGTCGTCGCGAGCGCGCTCGCCATCGCCCCCCACCGTCGTCGCAATTCCTCGCCCTGCGCCGTCGTCAGCCCAGTCTCCGTCGTCGTTTCGTCCAGCATCGCTCCCGGAAGCGCGATCGCGGCGTTCGCGATGATCTCATCCATCGCGTACTCGGCGCGCGCCGCCGCCGCCGCGCACGTCTCGTCCAGCGCCCGCGCCTCGGCCGCTCTCCCCCCCCGCTCCAACGCGCGCACGCGCGCCTCCGCGACGTCGAAGAACGTCACCGTGAGTCCATCGCGTCGCGCGCGCACCAGATCGTCGAACGCGCCGTCGCCCGCGTCCCGCGCGCGCGCGAGTTCGTCCAACAGCGTCGTCGCCGCCGTCGCGTCGTCGTCGTCGTCGTCGTCGCGTCGCGGCGCCGTCGCTCGACGCCGCGTCGACGCCGTCGCCGGCGCGCGCCTCGATCGCGCGCGTCGAGCGCTCGACGCATCGCCGCGCCTCGCGACGGCGTCGAGACGGGCGACGCGCATCGCCGCGTCGAGTGCCGGCGAACGCCCGTGGCGTGGGAAACCTTCGATGCGTTCGATTCGTTCGATCGATCGATCGAATCGAACGAACGAACGAATCGAATCGATCCAATGAATCGCTCGAATCGCTCGAATCGAACACTACCTATATCTTTATACGTACACATGACACATACTGTACACCACCTTAATACCAACAAACCATCTCGCGAGAACACCCCGCGCGCTTTTTCGCACCGCGGAACCCTTTTCACTAAGACGACGATACACGCGCGTCTCATGGCGTTCGCGCGCGTCTCAATACGCGACGCGCGCATTGAGACGCGGACGCGCGTCGACCGCGAACGCGACCGCAGACGGCGCCGCGGCGCGCGCGCGCGCGATGGCGCGACGGAAACCGCGCGACGACGACGACGACGACGACGCGAAGACCGCGAGCGACGACGACGACGCGCGTCGCGATGGGATCACGCGGGCGCGGGTGACGACGCGCGACGACGAAAGGGCGAGGGGGCGAGACGAGCGCGAAAAGACGCGCGGGACGTCGGCGACGGGACGCGGCGACGGGAGCGCGACGACGAGCGCGAAGAGCTCGGAGGCGGAGGAGATGGACATCGTGCGAGAGATGATCGATATATCGGTGGGCGAGGCGCGAGGGCGCGGGAAGGGGGGCGGGACGCGAGGGGACGCGCGCGCGGAGAAGGCGACGACGCGGTCGGGGACGGCGCGGGCGCGGGAGATGGCGAAAGCGGCGGCGGAGACGACGGGGGGGGGTAAGGAGACGTCGGCGATGGGGAATTCGAGCTCGGGGAGCGATGATAATAACGCGACGGCGACGACGACGCGGTTGGGCGAGGGGAAGTACGCGCTCGGAGGACACCGCGCGTTTTCGCCCGCGTTATCGTCCCCGCGCAGGATGAATTCCGTGCTGAAAGGGTCACCGAGAAACGCAGAAAAGGTGCGGACGTTGCTCAGCCGCCGTACCGGGAAGGATCTCGCGCAAGGAGGCGGAGGGTTTGATTTTAGCGCGTCGCCGCTCAAGCGAAGCGAGTCGAGCGTGGACATGGCGATGAGCGACGTGAGCGACGGTAGCGAAGCGTCGGCGACGACGGTTGCGGGTCATTCCGAGCATCAACGCGCGAATTATCTCAGAGGAACGGCCAGCGCTTTGGATTTACGAGAGTTGACGAGACAGCAACCCGAAGTCGCGCCGCTGCAGTTGTCGCACATCGGAGGTCAGGAGCGCGCCAAGCAGAGAGAAAAGCCGAAGACGCGAGAGGAACAGCGCGGAAACTTGGGTAGCGAATTTGTCGAGGCTGAGTACGCAGAAGGTGTTCCAGACTCAGGAATGATGAAAAACGCGACGTTCAGAGACTTCATCATCCTTCGCGAGCTCGGGCGTGGATTGTGCGGCACCGTGTACTTGGCCAAGTATCGCTTCACCGATCAACTCGTGGCGTTCAAGGTTATGCGAAAGCAAAAGCTCATTGACGTTGGAGAGATTCGACACGCCGTTCGCGAGCGCGAGGTGCACGCGACGATAAATCAAGGCCCGTTCATCGATAAGCTTTTGCATGCGTACCAGGACAAATGGGCGTTGTATTTAGTGCTCGAGTACGCCCCGTGTGGAGACTTGTTTCAGGCGATGAATTATCACGGTTTGCCCACGCTGCAGGACGCTAAGATGTACACCACCCAATGTGCGCTGGCGCTCGATTATATTCACAGATGCGGGTACGTTTATCGAGATTTGAAGCCAGAGAATATTCTGTTGGACGTCAACGGGAGCGTGCGACTCGCTGATTTTGGCATGGCAAAGAAGTTGGACGACGGCGAACGCGCGTTTACAATTTGCGGTACGGCGCAGTACATGTCGCCAGAAGTACTGACGCACCGAGGCTGTCGATTTGAAGCCGACATATGGGCGCTGGGGGTTTTGATTTACGAGTTATGCAGCGGCGGAACGCCATTCGGCGCGGACAAAGACTCTCGCCAGGAGCTCTATCGTCGATTGATGCATCACCGTAACGAAAGCATGACATTTCCGCCCTGGTTCGACGCCGATACGTGTTCCATCGTCAAGTCTTTCCTACACGAAGACGAAACGCAACGCTTAGGTTATGGTGGCGCTTTCTCGCTCATCTTTGACCATCCTTGGTTCGCGCCCACGCGAGCCATGGACGTCTTGAGCGGGGCGCGCGCACCTTTGCTTCAGCCTCGTCGTCGTAACATCGTGTACGATATGAAGCTTCGCGAATGCATCACTCAAGGCGAAATTCCATGGGAGTGCGGTTCTGTCGTCACCGACCCAGCCCACTGCGAAATCTACCGCACGTTTGGCGCGTGAAGCGCGCCTTTATTCTTTCATTTTTCCCGCCGCATCAGCGTGCGGCACGAGCGAAACCACTACAGACGACGACGACGACACGTCTCGTCAATTTTCAACATTGATTCGATTTTTTCAACGTCTGCTGCGATGCATCACGCAGCAGACGTCCCACGACGAAGATGAAGACTACGGCGCTTCGCGTTCGCCGCTTCGTCCCGCCGCGCGGCGCGGCGTTAGACGCCCGCCCATTTTTGTATAGAATGTCAAACGCATTGTGCCACGCGTCGCGCCGTCGCGCATCGCCTTTCGTTCTCGCCCGTTTCCCTCGTCGTCGCTCGTCGTTCGCGCGCTCGACGCCGCGCGCGTCGTCGTCGAGCTCGAATCGTCCAATCGTCGCCGATCCGCGGCGACCGCGTCCAGCGCTCGATCACGCGCGCGCGCGAGAAACCTCCGCGCGCGCGATCGATCGCGGCGTCGTGTGGGCAAACAGTTCGAGCGCGGCGACCGACCGGAAGATTTGACCGTTCGAAAAAAAACTCGCAGGCCCCGTGGCGCTGACGTCGCCGCGCGCGCGCGGCGACGTCAAACCCGCGCGCGCGCCATGGACGCGAACGAACACGACGACGCGATGGAGGACACGCAGCGCCAGATCGCGAGACTGCTCCCGGACATCATCCGCGGCGCAGACTTGGAAAAGGCGACCGTGCGGACGCTGCAAAAGTCGCTGGAGGATTCGTTGGGACGGGATTTGGGCGAACACAAAAACTTTATACGCGCCGAGGTGCGAGCTCGAGCGCGCGCGCGATCGAGAAGAGACGCCCGCGCGATGATTGATTCGCGGTTTGGTGCGGTTTGGGAGGGATTCGACGCGCGACATCGACGACGTTGCGTGAATTTTGGTTTAAGATCGTTGAGAGGAATGATTGAATTCGCCGCGCGACGACGGCGGCGCCGGCGCTCTCGGACGAGCGCGCGGTGTGGAACGCTCGATGACTGACGCACGCGATGCGCTTTAACCGTGGCAGGTGGAACACTTCTTGAAGGGTGCGGTAACGAAGAAAAGGGCGGCCTTGGATGAGGAGGGTTCGAAGGGCAAAAAGGCCAAGGCGCAGAAAAAAACGGGTCGGGGCAAGACGAAGGAATTAGTGGACCCAACTCGACCGAAAGGACCGAAAGGGGCGTACATGTGTTTTGTGAGTGCGCGAAGATCACAAATTAAGGATGCAAACCCCGATATGACGTTCCCAGATATCGCTCGCGAGCTCGGTGTGGAGTGGAAGACGATGTCGGAGGCGAGTCGCCATCGGTACGAACAAATGGCAGAGTTGGATAAAGATCGATACACGCGGGAGATGTTGTCCTACGTTCCCTTGAGTGATGAAAAGATGCAGGAATTGAGAGAACAACAAAGCAGGCGAAAGGCCGCGGGGGGTCTCCAAGTCATGTACCACTGTTCGCCCGAGCTCACAGCGTTTCTCGGCGGCGCGAAGACGATAAACCGCAAGGAACTCACGACGAGAATCTGGAAGTATTTCCGTGAGCATAATTTGATGGATCCAATCAACAAGCGATTCATTGTCCCAGATACGAAATTGTCCAAGCTTTTGAAGCTTCAAGACGGCGAAAGATTCCTTGCGTTCACCGTCAGTCGCTACCTCAATCCGCACTTGGTGAAGAAAGTTGAGAGTCAGTGATACCAACATTGGTCACTATTTTTAAGAACCCTAGGGTGCGAGTAATGAGTTTTCAGTTTGACTTGCGGTAGCATGAGTTTGAGTCGACGAACCAAGTTTTGAAATAAACACCGATTGAGCACCATATCCACCAAGCCCTCCTTCATTCGACATTCCGAGGTGTTGTCGCCAACGACGCGTTTCCTCGTGAATACGCGAGGGAGCTTCACTCCAAGGCTCGTCGACCTGAATTCAGTTTCGTGGCGACTTAATCTTGATAATACGATCATTCCTGGCATTATGCACGTTCCACCGGCGAAATCACCGCCGAAATCGTCGTCTTGGAGAGCGTTCATGTTTTCCTTTGTCTTCACGCTGTTTGCGTTGGGAGTTTTCACACACCCAAAAACCATGGTTGTGGCACACGAAGCGGTCTCGCGCGCGTCAACGCAGGGAAAAATGTTGCATAAAATCGTTACCGATCCTGAGCGGAGACAAGAGGCGTGGATGAGCGCGAACGAGCGAGCAAATGTCATCAGCGAGGGCATCACCGCTGTGCGTTTTCTTTGGATTTCGCCGTGCGTGCAATTTGCCGTCGGCGTGCTTGCCCTTCTCTCGTCGCTCGTCGCTGCGGACAGATTCTTTCACTGCTATGTTGCATTCTATTGGCGGTATATATCGCGCAAAAGCGCTCTCAAAAGGTTCGACTATTTCGAGTTGGAGGGCGACGAGGCTAAGTATCCGTCCGTCGTCGTTCAGCTGCCCATGTTCAACGAGACGGACGTCTGCGCGCACGTGATACAGTGCGCTCGTGAAATCCAATGGCCAAGAAATAAGTTTTTGATCCAAGTTCTCGATGATTCCACGTGCGCTGAGACGCGCGAGACGATCGAAGAGTGTTTGCATACGTGCAACGAGCAAGGTGTGCAAACCCAATATCGATGGCGTTCCAATCGAACCGGCTACAAAGCGGGAGCGATGGCAGAGGCGATGGATGACATCGTAGATTACGACTACGTGTGCGTTTTCGATGCAGATTTCAGTCCCGAGCCAGACTTCTTACTTAAGACGATACCGTGGATCCATTCGAACCCCCAATGCGGTTTCGTTCAAGCGCGTTGGGTGTATGCAAATGCGTCTGAAAATCTGTTGACGCGCGTGCAAAGTATTTCGCTCAACTACCACATTCGTTGCGAACAATTCGCTCGATTTTCAGCAGGTCTTTTCTTCAACTTTAACGGTACCGCGGGAGTTTGGCGGAGAACGTGCATCGAGGACGCAGGAGGCTGGGATTGTCGCAGCACGGTGGAAGACCTCGACTTGTCCTTGCGCGCGCATCTTCGTCGATGGAAGTTCATTTTCCTCGATCACGTCACGTGCTTAAACGAAATACCCGCGCAGTACGACGCATTTCGTAAGCAACAGCATCGCTGGAGCGCCGGACCGATGGCGCTTTGGCGCAAAGCTATGACATCGATTTGGGAGGCGGACATTCCGTTCGCGTCAAAGCTGTATTTGAACATTTTCTTCTTCGGCACTCGCATGGCGGCGACGCACTTGGTTTCGTTTTTCTTCTACCTCTTGCTCATCCCCCTTTGCGCGACGATGCCCGAAGTCGTCGTCCCGTTCTGGGCGTTGGTCTACGCCCCCGTGCTCGTCACGATCAGCACGTGCACGTTCACGAAAAATGGCTTATTGTACGCGATACCGTACGTTTTATTCGAAAACGCCAACACTCTGGTCAAGCTCAACGCCATGATCAGTGGCTTACTCGGCTTGGAGCACGCCAACGAGTGGGTCGTCACCACGAAACTCGGCAAGTGGGTCGCTCAAAAAGTGGAACGAGCCAAAACCACCCGTCTCGCCCGGCGTCTCGCCCCGACGCTCCGCGCCAAACCGTTTCACTTCAAAGAGCTCCTCATGTCCGTCTTTTTCCTATTTTGCGCCGTTTGGGGCGTCCTCAGGCATCGTCTCTTCGGTTACAGCGTCTTTTTGTGTCTCCAATCCGTCGTCTTCGCCGTCTTCGGCTTCAACGTCGTCGACGCCCTGTGACGTCGGCGCCGCGTCGTCATCCGCGTCGACATCACTTCGACCGCTCGCGCGCCCGCTTCCGCGCGCGCGCTCGAGTCGACGGTGGTCAACGTAGTCACGCGTCATCCCATCCATCGCACATCCGTTCCAGTACCGTTTCCCGTCCCTGATCGCGCGCACATCGACGTATTCAAACCCCGGTTTCCCGCGACAAAGGCGCCGATCGCGCTCCGCGCGCGCCTAGCATCGCGATCCGCCGTCGCGCGCGCGTCGCCGCGCGTTTGCGATCCGCGGCGAACCCTCGCGCGCGGCGGAGCGCGACGCGCGCGTTCGAGCGCCGCGTCGTTCGCGCCGACGTCGAGCGCGAATCGCGACTCGAGCGCGCGCGCGACGGTGACGCGAACGACGACGGACGCGATGCTCGCGCGCGCGACGCTCGCGACGCGCGCGACGCGCGCGACGACGACGACGACGACGACGCGGCGAGCGCGACGCGATGGGCGAGCGCGCGCGACGGCGGCGACGCGGGCGACGACGAGGACGCGCGCGAAGGTCGAGGGGCGGGACGCTGACGACGACCGAAGCGCGATGGTGCGGACGCGCGGGACGACGCGCGGGACGACGCGCGCGCGCGGGACGCGAGGGACGGCGACGCGCGCGGTGCTGGGAAGCGGCGACGCGGACGAGGACGACGCGGCGGCGACGCGAGCGACGAATCAAGGACGGTTGCTGCTGGTGCTGGTGGCGATGGCGTACGGATCGCTGAGCGTGTCGTTGAAATTGGTGTTCGAATCCGCGGGCGCGCCCACGGCGGGCGTGCTCGGCGGCGTGCGAGGTTTGATGACGATTTTGTGCTTCGCGCCGATGTTGATGGCGAAGGATTCGAAGGGGGGGGAAGGTTTCGAAACCGGCGCTGGATTTTGGCGAAGCGCGGCGGAGTTGGCGTTTTGGAATCTCGGGAATCAGGGATTGTGTAACGTCGCGCTGTTGTTCACCGACGCCACGCGCGTGAGCTTCTTCACGCAAGCCTCCATCGCGTTCACGCCCTTCATCGCGAGCTTGGGGGGCGATAAGGTGAAGTCCATGACGTGGCTTGGGTGCGCGTTGGCGTTCTGCGGCGTCGCCGTGCTCGGCATGGATGGTGGCGCGGCGGCTGAACTCGGTGGGAATTTCAATCTCGGCGATTTACTCGCGCTCGCGGGCGCGGCTTCGTATTCCATGTACGTCTATCGCATCGGGCAATTCGCCAAGCAGGGGTTTTCCGGACAAGGATTGCAGGTGTGGAAAAACGTTTTTCTGGCGGCGATGTACGGCGGTTGGATGCTGTATGATGTGTTCGCCTTCACTTCTGGCGTGCCTGGAGCCGCCGTCCCGTGGGCTGGTTGGCAAAATTTGAAGATTTGGGTCCTGCTCGCCTTCACCGCCATCGTTCCCGGTTGCCTCGCCGATTTGGGGCAAGCCAAAGGGCAAGAAACCGTCTCGGCTTCTGAGAGCTCGGTCTTACTCGCGGGCGAACCATTGTTCGCCGCCGTGTTCGGTGCTGTCACTTTAGGAGAAATCCTCGGCCCTATGGGTTACGTGGGAGGAGCGCTCATCGTCTTCGGTGGGCTGGTCGCCGGCGACGTGTTCGCGTCGAAGAAATCTTTGACCAAGTGAAGTCACCTTCATTCGTGAGAACCATTTTTGTACGCATCATACGATTGCATATTATTTCTAGTTCTAGGTGACAATAGATTGATAGATCAGTTTTCTAATCGATACAACGTATGTCTAATACCGCCTCATTACCTAGTATCGTCGGACACTCGACGACGCCCCGTTCATTTGGTTTTAATTGGCCGTGCTTGTTCGAGCCGAACCCCCACACGCGATTGGTTTCATCGACTCCTACGACATGTTTCGTACCGGCGCTCACCGACACCAACTTGGGGAGGCCTTCGAGCTTCTGAGGCACGTACACTTTCGACCCGACATGCCCGCACGCATAGTCGTCGTTCGAGCCCCACGTGAAAAGCTCGCCTTCGTCCGTGAGGCACGCGGAGTGCGCCCCACCCGCCGCGCACGAAACAATCCGATCCGAAACGTCGATTATCGCCATCGCTGGCCAATTCCTAGGGCCATCTCGCCCGAGCTGTTTCATCGAGTTGTCGCCCCACGAGTACAAGGCGCCGTCGGTCGTCACCGCCAACGTGTGCTTGGCGCCCATGTCAAAATCAACCACGCCGTCGATCGTCGCGACGAGCACTGGAGTGTCTCGCACGCATAAGTTATCACCAAGTCCTAAGTTTCCATTTCGATTGTCTCCAAAGCAATAAAGTCTACCGTCGATGGTTTGGCAGCCCGAGGAATACCGGCAAGCCCGTATTTTAGCGATACGTTTATCCTCGAGCGCGACAATCTGTCTCGGTGCGCTCGGTGTGTCGAACAATAAAAAGCTCTGGTGCGGTGGCGGCGAACCGCCGCCGTACGTGCGCGATTTTCGTCTACCACCGCCAGCCGTCGGGGACCCGCCCAGAGAGATGCGAGACATCGCTTCGCCCATGCGAAACCTCCCGTGGCCGCATTGCCCAGCGGCGTCGCCGCCCCACGACCACACTTTCCCATCATCCGTGAGCGCTAAAGCGTGCACTCGTCCCAGCGCAAGCTGAACCACACGTGCGTTTGGACCACCAAAATCACGAGGCGACGGCGGCGTCAGGAGCCCCCGCAGCTCGTCGCGCACCGCGGACGAGTGCCCAAACATCCCCGGTGGCGAGCCCCTCCGCCCGAAACGCGCCTCGTCGTTGGCGCACTCTGTCGCCGTGACTAAAACCTCACCGTTATGATTCACTCGAATCACGCACGCGTGTCCAGCCACCGCAATCATCGCGCGACCTAACGCGTCGTCGTCCGCCTCGGTCCCGCAGCCTCGCGTTCGCGTTCGCCCATCCCTCGTCGTCGTCGTCGTCGCGTTTTCGTTCGCCACCGCCACGACGTTTGGAACATTTTTATCGTCCCCCCACATCCGCTCTCGCGCCTCGACGAACTTCAGAACATCGATCCACGTCTCTCCGCGTCTCGGCGTCTCCTCCGCGCCGCGTCTCCGCGCGCGCCGCTCCGCCGCGCGCGCCGCGTCTTCCCCGAACCCCATCCGCGCCAGCGTCGCCAGCGCGTCCGCCGCGCAAAACGACAGCGCGTGTATCCGCACGTCTCTCGGCAGCGCGTCGAGCGCGCCGAGCTCGGGCGCGTCGTCGCCGTCGCGTCGTTCGTTATCCCGGCCGCGTCGTCCACCCCTCGACGTCGTCGCGGCGTCCCCATCGCGCGCGCGCGCGTCGTCTCGACGCAGACTCGCGCGAAGCATCGACCGCGCCGTCGACGCGCGCGCGCGTCGCGTTCCGCCGTCGCGCGCCGCGTCGACGGCGCGCGCGCGCCGAACGAACGGACGCCGCGCGAGGCGAAAATCAGCCGCGATCGCGCGTAACGAAGCGTCGAAACGGCCCATGCGAAACCGCGGCGCGCGGAACGATAAAAAGTGACGCGCGGCGCGTTCGGGGCGCGGCGAGTCACGGTTCATGACTCGTCATGTGTGTAGGTACTCTCTCAAGGGGCGATATACATTTTTCCGGCGAGATCTCGAGTATTTTCGACATTTTTTATCACGGTTAAACAGTCTTAACAGGTGATATAGTACGTACATACAAAATGATAAAAAGTTGCTTCCCGGTGTGATTTAGCCACCCCCAGATCTCGCGTCGACGTAACTTTTTATCGATCACGAGATACGCATTGAAGTATCATCCGAGACCATGTATATAAAGTAAATCGTACAACATTCGGTGATGCTCGAGCAAACAGTCCGCGAGTGGTTTGAAACTCGCGGTCGGACGGACATCGCGATGCACACGCGCGCGCGACGCTGACGTCTGCGTAAACAGTGTGTTCGGACATGCGGTGAGTGGTGTAAAATACGTACATATCCACGGTTCATGACTCGTCATGTGTGTAGGTACTCTCTAAAGGGGCGATATATAAATTTTTCCGCGTCTCGGCACCTCGCGCGGCGCGGTCTCGGCACACGACGACGCTCGACGACGACGCGAACGCGAACGCGAACGCGCGAACGAGCGAACGAACGAGCGAACGAACAGCGAACGAACGACGAACGACATGGCGCTCTCGACGACGGTGCGACGCGAGCGCGAACGCGCGAACGAACGCGACGCGAACGCGAAGATGCGCGAAGATGCGCTTTCGGTGCCCAGAAGGACTGACGGCGGACGCGCGACGACGCAGATGGCGCGAGACGCCGATAGCTTTTTTCGTGACGTCTTCAGAGACGCCGACGACGTGCGTACGCGGTCGCGCGCGTGGGGGGGGCGAGGGCGAAGAACGCGCGAGGGTTCTTCGGTTCGACGTCTCGTCTCGACTCGTCTCGTCTCGTCTCGTCTCGTCTCGCGCGCGCGCGAGAAGCGATGCGCGATATTTCCTTTCACGGAAAAAACTTGATCAGAAAGGACATCAAAATGACTTGATGACTTTGTTGATTTCTTCAGGCACAAGGGTAGAGATGGACTGACTGAATGCACGCATCGCTGCGCAGTGGTTTTCGAATTTTCATCTCGCGCCCGGAATGGGTAACCCGTGGATGCCGTTGGCGCAGCGCACGCCCGGGGCGAGCGGTGCGTTGGCTCCGCTTGCGGGCGGCTTGCGCGTCATTCCTGTCGACGTTTTAGAGGATGAGAAGTCTTACGTCTTGCGTGCGGATCTTCCCGGGATGAAGAAAGAAGACGTCAACGTCGAAGTTGATGGACAGATCGTTCGAATCAGCGCGACGAAGAAGGACACGAAGAAGTGGGAGGACGAAGGATACAAGTACCATCGCGCCGAACGCCGAGACACGATGGAGTACTCGCAACGCGCGTTGAGAATGCCGCAAAATACTGATTTCAGCAAACTCGATGCGGCGTTCGACGATGGCACTTTGACCGTGACGTTCGGTAAGCAAGCGACCTCGACGCCGACGGCGAAGCAAATCTCAATCAAGTGACCTGCTTCGCGTTTGTGAGGGATCGAAATCAAGACCATGAGCCTCGATACGTCGTTAGCATCTTTTGTTTTTGATTTTTGATTGTGATACACAAACGATCAGCACTTTTACAACTCCTAGAGAATTTCCTCTTCCTAATAACGTAACGGTGGCATCTTTTGTTTTTGATTTTGATACACAAACGATCAATATTTTTACAAATCTCCTAAAGAATTTCTTCTATCTCTTCCTAATAATGTAACGCTCACTCTCCATCTAGCTACCCAATAGCGGAGCCGTATCCATCGGTCCCCGCTTTGCACCAAACCACGAACGCGGCAAGCAGGGACAAATCGTGTCGCGAGAATATCCCTGACCTGGAACGCGGAGCGGAGCTTGCTCGTAGAATATACCGCACGTCATGATTGCTAAAATCGCGTACGTTCCTTCGATGGTCGTGTGCTTATCCCAAATCATCCAATTGACGAGTTCGGAGATGAACTTGTTGCACGTCGCCACGACGGAGACTGAAGTCGCGGAGAGCGTCTCGCGGATCCACATCGTCGAAAAACTCATTCCCAGTCCCATGAAACACGTCGCAGTTAAAACACCAAGTGCCTTCGACGTTAATGTTGTGTCCATGAGCGCCGTGCTCTCGCCAGAGAGCGCAAACAGCACCACGGCGAGCGGGATGCTCAGCACGTTGATGTTGAACGACCTCGACCAGTTGTTGAGCGGAATCTTATCAATCGTATGCTTGGCGATCAAGCCTTCCGACACCGCGGCGACGATGAAGAGTGCGCAGAACGCGTACGCGGTCGCCGTGGAGAAGATGTCTAGATTCACGTAAAATACCGCCCCGACGACGATGCCCACCAGCGCGAGCGCCGACTTGGGTGTCGGCAGCGCTCGACCTAGGAACAGATATTCATTCAACGAAAACACCACCGGCGTCAGCGACTTGACCGCGATGAATGTTTCTAACGGTGCGCGCTGCATCACCTCCATGCCAGCCAGTAACAGCGCGAAAAAGCTCAACGTGAGGGGCAGGAACGCCAACGCAATCTCCTTTGTGAGCGGCTCCACGGTGACTAATTTCAAACCGTGCGCCGCGAGCAAAAGCAACGTCGTCGCCGCGAACTGGCAAAACAAGATGAAGTTCGGTGCCGGTATCATCGTCACCGCTACCTTGTTTAAAACGCTCAGCGAGCTACCGATGGCGCAGTATAAAACGATAATCCCGAGCACGCGCGCGTTGGCCCACAAGTACGTCGTCGTTTGCGCACCGTCGCGTCGCTCACCATTCGCGCTCGGCGACGTGGGCTCTAAATCAGAGTCATCGCTCTTGTCTTGCCGAATCGGCGCGTATTTCGCCATCTTCCGCGCGCGTGGCGTCGACAAGTGCCGTCAAGCCAAGCGCAAGAGCCAGGGTGTTGAGACCGGGACGACGACGAGACGATGACGCTTTGCGCGACTCGTCTCACGCGCGCGACGGACGATGCGACGCCGCGATGGCGAAGAAATTTTTATACGATTACTCGAGCTTACAACCTCGACTGAATCTACCGACTCCCACCACACTAAGAAAGAGCGCGAAGACCCGTGCTAATACGTGCGTCTTCGCGCGCGAGACTTTTGAATCCCGGACGCACGACGCGCCTAGTAGTTCGTCGTCACGTGCTTCTTCTTGTCACCGCCGATTTCGAACATCTTGCAACGCTTGATCGGGTGCATGTGGACTTGTTTGCACGTACCGCACTGCAAGCGCAAGACAATCTTCTTCGTCGTCTTCGCCTTCTTGTGGAACACCGGCTTGGTTTGGCCACCGTACCCCGCTTGTTTGGAATCGTAACGACGCTTCCCTGTGTTCGGTGTGCGAATCGCGCATCGAGTCGTCAGTCACGCGTGTCGACGAGAAGAATACGTTTCACGCGCGCGTCGTCGCGCGCGTCGCATCCGCGCCATAGCTCGAGCGCGCGCGCGATCGCGCGCGTCGACCGTCATCCGTAGGGTTTTCGCGCGCCACGCACCTTGCGCGTACAGGCTCGCCTTGCCCGTCTTGTACTGCGTCACCTTGTGCGCGGAGTGCTTCTTGCACCCCTTGCAGAACGTCTTCTTAGATTTCGGCACCTGTTCGCGTTCGCGCGCATCGGATCCGTCGTCGTCGTCAGTCATCACCGTCTCGAGCGCGATCGCTCGCGAGCCCTAACGCGCGCGCGTCCCGCGCCGTCCCATCGCGCGCGCGCGCGTCGCGTCGCGCGTCGAGCCGCCGCGTCGAACGCGTCGAGTGCGTCGCCATCGTCTCGACGTACGTTCACCATTTTCTCAACCCCACGCGCGCGTCAAAGAGGCGTCACGCGGCGTCGCGCGCGCGCCATTTGTCGCGCCCGGGATGGACATTTGCTGAACCCTGGCGCGAGGTGAATTTCCAACGACGCCGCGCGCGTCACACGACGACGCGACGCGGCGGTGCGTCCGATCGTCCCGAGCGACGCGCGACGCGAGCGAAGAGCCGACGACGACGACGACGACGACGACGCGCGCGCGCATCGACGCGCGTTCGAACGCGCGATAACGCGCACGAAGCATGGAGAAGCACCACAAACTGCGACGACCGCAAGGGTCGTCCATACACGGGTGTAACATATGCGGGATCGAGGGACATCAGGCGGCGTTTTGCATGAATGGGAACGTGGATTGGGCCAATCGATGGCCGCGCGAGTGCTTCGTCATAGAGCCGCCGCAGAGCGCACCAAAGGCGAGGAAGGAGCCAGACTTTAGGAAGATGGCGCGCGAGGCCAAGGCGTACGCCAAGAAAAAGATGCGCAAGGAGGAACGAGAGAAGCGACGGGCGGCGGGGGAGGAGGTGTCTGAGAGCGAAGAAGAACCAGCAAAGACGGAAACCGCGACGGGTGGTGCGAAGGGGGCGATGGTGGAGGGATGGGTGATGTATTACGACAAGCTCGGACGGCCATATTACCACAACAAGCTGACGAACAAGACGCAATGGACGGCGCCTACGGCGTAGAGAACGCGATGTGGGAGAGTTTCGAGATGTGTATCGATAGTTAGATAGTCAAAGCGGAAGATCGAGTGTAAAACGTTGAAAGCAACACGATTAAGGCTACAAATTCCCCGCCTCTTACACAAAGCTATTCGCGACGTCGCCGCGCAATTCTAAAGCATTCTCTTCAACAAATCGTGATGATCGGCGTCAAAGTATTCACCTAGCTCCTCTTTCGTCACCCACGCGTGCTCGACGTAACCATCTTGCAATTCTAACTCACCCTCGATGTATGAACCGCGGTAATAAAATGTCGTGCCGTCGGCGGTTTCGTAGTGACCCTGCGGCGCATTCCCGACCACCCAACACTCTAAAGAATCTCCCGCGAAAGCTTTCAGCGATCGCTCAGCCGTTTGGCGCATCGTCTCTCCGTCATCGTGTTTAGACTTTGGGAAGCCCCACTTGCCGTCTTTTTCCTTGACGACGAGGAAGAGGAACTCGGGAAGTTTGCGATGCAGCGTACTTCTGTCGCCCGTGCGATCCGCCTCCGTCTCTCTCGGTGCCGGCTCAAAATCCGGCAAGTTGTCTAATAAACCTTTCGCTTCGACTATTTGATCGGGGAGTTTCACCCTAAACTTGTCGCGTCGCGCTTCGCTCCATTCCTTGTACTCGCGCTCCCACGCCGGGGCTTCGGGAATTACGACTGGGATGCGCTCGACGAGCATAGAGCCGTACAACGAGTTATTCGCCGCCGCGCTCGCCGCGACGTACGATCGTGCGCTTGACGCCGCGGTCGAGCGTCCATCGCGGCAGGCACCGAGCGCGGACGCCGCGCACGACGTCCCACGATTGGCGTTGGCATGACCACGACGCTGAGCTAAACTGTGACGAAACGCCTGCGCGCGAGCGCGTCGCGCGGCCTTCAGCGCCTGACGAAACATGTTTTTGACAGTGCGCGCAGGCTACCGAGCTAGTATCGAATCCGTCGCCGACACGTCTCGAGTTGAAGAGTGAGGAGGCACTGAAGACCTCTGCCGCCCTACTTTGAGCTTGTCAAAATCGAGGACGCGCTGCATCTAAATCTTCTATGATTGATTTCATGGCTACGTCTAATTGATCAATCTATGAATTTTCTTGCGTCGCTGTCTTCTCAAAGTCAGCGTACGCCTGAGGACGACGAGTTTTCTCGTCATCATAAAACGTCAACGCAGAATCAAACGCACCGAGCAGCGGCCTAAGGCGCTGAGAAGCGATATGTCGGTGGGCGGAAGGGAGCGAACTTTTCACTCCTTCGAGTTTATCGTACAAGATCTCGACGGATTTGCAGACCTTCGTCGCTTTCTCCCATCGCACAGACGTTATCATCGGCGTGGACATCCAGAACTGACGTAGCAGCTCCCCACCAGTCGCCGCGCTCCGTCTCAGTTGCTCGTTCACATTCTCAGGAAACGCAGCCACATCATCAGCGTTACTAAAACTTTGCTGTGACGCAAATTGAGCGCTCAAATCTTCAACTTTAGCGAGTGATTGCGTGACCTCTTTCAACACTTGCAGTGCGATGTCGGGATCCAATGCGCGTTTTTGCTTCTTTTCGGGATGCTGGAGCGTACTCAGAGCCGACGTCACGGCCTCTTTGAACGGTTCGATGACGACATGCGTCTTCGAAGGCTTACTCACCACGGGTTCTTCCGCGATAGATGAAAAGTATTGATGCGAATCACGAATTTTGAGCTCCTTTGGCGGCGCCGCGGGCTTCGGTGCGGCGAGGTCGTCAATCGAGTAATCGGGCTCTTCGAACCCTATTCTCGCGCTCTCTGCGCTCTTTTCATGATCTCTTGCGGCGATCGCCGCGGTGCGAGCATCGACGATGTTCACTTGCGGCTGACCTCGAAGCACAACGGCGGCGTGATGGTTGAGCTCCAAGAATACCTCGGGTAACGGACCAGCTTCTTTCGGTCGGCGATCATCTCGAGAGCCGTCTCGTAGCAAACCATATCCCTCTCCGAGCCCGTCATCGAGGTCCGCTTTTAAGTTCACACCGGGCTCGATCGCTTTGATTTGTGCCTTAACCGTGGTTGCATCTGGTGGTTTTCGCGCAAAGAGAGCCAAATCTGCAGCTTCCTCTTCTCCTTGCGGTGGTGCTCCCGCGCGCATCTGTTTGAAATACTCCGATCGTAAGAATCTCGTCCAAAACTCGCGTTCTGTCATCTTTTTTGGCACATTATTCAAAAATGCTTCGCGCACCGAAGGTCTTTCGGCGAAGATTCTGTGCATCTTTTCGTTCGTCAAGTTACACGTCACCGTGTCTGACATCCCATCGCGTGCGCCTTTGAGATCGCCATCTAGCGTATTTTCGATTCCATGTTTCTGTCCAGTCGCTTTTCTCGCCACTACGTCGCTGAATAAATTCCTACGTGCTTCCCAGAAGTCTTCATTGCTGATCACTCCGGCTTTCACCGTCTCCTCGTACAGCTGCGCAATCTCTACGTTCGTCTTCAGCAACTGGCTTCGCGCCTCCAGCTCCGCCGCGCTCGGCACGCCTTTCATCTCTTCCTCTAATTTTCTTATCTGCGCCTTTATCGCATCGCTTAACCCATCTCTGTCGCTCTCCGCATCGAACGTCAGCACAAGCGCCCGCTTGGCGTCGTTGTCCGGCACCAACCTCAGGCTCGCCGTGGCGCTACCCGGTTTATTCCTTTGGTGCGCGGTAACGCTTAGCAAAGTCACGGTCTTCGCACCGGTGAGATTCCCGGTATCCGCGGGCGTCCACGTCACCGTGCGCGTGCGCACGCACGCCTCACCGCGCGTCTTCGCCCCAGCCACCGTGGACGCGCACGCACAGCGGTGGAAGACGACGTCGTCCACGTCGGCGTCGATCATGACGTCAAAGATCGATCGCGCGAGCGTCGTCGGCGGCGATCGACGCGCGCGATCGAATCCACGCGATTCGCTCCGCCGCGTCGGCGAGGAATGGGGTCGACCGCCTTGCGTCGCAAACGAAAATCGAATCGCGCCTCGAACGCGCCGCGCCACTCGAGGCCGCGTCGCGTGCGATGTTCGCGCCGATGACGTCGCCCACAGCCAACAGGGCGATGACTTGGAGCGCCAACAGGCGAGCGCCCGGTCGAACGCGAGGTCGCCCGACGTGGTCGTCCAACGGATCGAGGACGCGCATGGAGGGCGGGTGGGTGAAGAATAAAGCCACGGTCGTCGCCCCGGTGCCGATTCAAGTGGCGTGGGAGCTGTGGCAAGATCGAACGAGGATCCCGAATTGGATGCCTTGGATCTCCTCGGTGTCGTATTTGCCCGACGACAAGACGAAGACGAAGTGGACGCTGTCGACGGATCAATTCGGCCAGCACTTTGAGTTTTCGTGGCTCGCGCAAGATTTAGAACCGGTCAAGTACGAGCGGATCTCGTGGGAGTCTTTGGAGGGATTAAAGAACAAGGGCTCGGTGAACTTTAGCAAGGAACCCGCCGGGACGAAGCTGGAGATGGAGATTAGCTACGAAGTCCCAGCCCCGCTCGTGCCGTTCGGCGCCGCGGTGTCGCCGCTCGTGGAGTCCATCCTGAGCGCCGACCTCAAGCGGTTCTCGACGTTCTCGGAGAAGGTGGCCAAGGCCATGTCCAAGTGATGGACGGCCCCAGTAAGTAGAGTATCGCCGCGAATGACTTTATTATTATTGTAAATCGAATGAATCATACACACAAGAGCTTGTCCGCGACCGCGACGCAAACGTTATCGAGCATCACAAAACGCTCACGAACGGGCGCGAAACGCGCCAGATTCGTATCCACGTACACGCAAATAAATTTCAGTAAAATCTGAGACATACACGACCGAATTCTACACGCGATCGAAAGCATACGCTCGAGATGATAGTGTTCGTTTACTTCAGGCCGTGGAATTAATTAATTAATTCAATCACTCGCGCACGTGCTTCGACGAATGCGATAAACGACCATAAGCGCACAGACCTGTTCAAAAACAATAGTGTGGCACATAGATTTACTCAAAGCTCGCCCGAACGCGAGAGAAGTACGTGTCCGCGATGTACTTTGGATGAAATAATTCGAGATATTACTTGCAATTATTGAAATATTTTGTTTTTCACAGCGCCACTCGATGTTTACAGTGTGACGAAAATCCAGAGAGTATTCACACATGTCGTCATGGTAAGTGCGCGCTCTAAAAACTAATCTCGATCGTTTACGTCGTCTACGCGTGAGTTTTTAATAATTAATTGTTGTCCAGAATTTTATTAATTAAATGTGCGCTCACGCGCACAGCCACTACGATCGACACGCGCTGCACGTGTTCGCCGTGTTCTACTTTCTCGGCACTTGAGCTCCAGTGCGTCTTCGGGTGCACGGGCGTCGTGTTGAGCGAAGAACACCACTCACGTCTTTCGAGCAATATTTATTTCTTCTTTCGATGTGCAATTAATTATAGGTCCATCGTCACTTCTTCGTTGTCTACGCGCGTATGGACGCGAAAAGGCGCAGTTATTTATCCGACTTATATTAAAACCCAAGGCTGTGCGTGGGGCTTCCTTCGCTCGATCACGAGGACGCAAACAGTTTACGCTCGTTCTCATTAAATTATTCGTCAACAGCGAACGGGTGTGTGTCTACGTCGTCTAAGTCGATATCGAACGCAGATGCGTTCTGCCGTGCGCTACTACTATCTTTAGGGATCCCGAATACGTTACTTTTATCGTCTTGGCCGTAGTTCACGAAGAAGTTGGACAGGAGCGAATGAGGTTGCGAGCTGAACGTTTTCGCAACAGACCGAAGACGGGCGCATTCGCCGCGGAGTTCGCTTGTGGGCTTGGGAACTGGGAATCCGATGGCGCACTTCACCCCTTTTGCGTCCTCGGGACCACAAAACCAAGATTCCGCTTTTAGCGCGATGTTCATATCCGAATCAAAGCTTTTCGCCGCGGGAGAAGATGCTTCGCTGTCAAACGCACAAAACGACGTCAACGCACCATCGACGACGAGCACTCGCTCTCGGGCAGAGCCTAGAGATTTCAGAACCTGCGTGTCGGTCGCAAACGGACCGAGTGCGTATTTTGCTTCTGAATCTTTGTCTACTGTCGACACCTCCGCGACGCTGTTTCTTATGGCGTCTGACGTTCGCGCGTTGTCGAGAAACGACCACTCTCTAAAGTTTGCCCCACCCTTCTCCATCGCCGGCAGGTTCATGATGTGATCCTGCGGACATCCTACGAACGGTGGATGCAGGTAACCTATCGCGCACGAAGGTAACGCATGGCCCCAATACCTATCGCACATGCACGTGATGCGTGGCAAAATCACCGTACGATTCAACACTCGACCGAGCGCTAGAAGGTTTCTAATCGAGGCGCGATACCACGCGGCGGCGAGGAGATGATTATGCACGCCAGTCGCGTTCCAGACGCTCGGTAATTCATCGCTCATGGCGATAAAGTTGCCTTGTGTGTAATAATCGTCCTCTTCGACATCCCACAAACCGTGCTCGCGGAAACGTTGGCGTTTGCCGTGTACTTGCGAAAATTGAAAAGTTGCGTGCGCGCACAGCGGCTGTTCATCCAGTCTTGTTTCGCGCTCGTGTAATCGTTGAACGAAATACGTGTGTCCCGAAGCGAAGAGACGCATTGGCAACAGCGCAAACTGAACGCCTCCCTCGAGTCGTTTCACGCGCACGCGCCTTTTGATCTCGCGCGATTCCGATGTGGAGGATCGTTTGATGAGCAGTTTATTGAAAATCTCTTGGTCTCTCTCCGTGGTATCTTCCGTGGCTTTTTCCATCCCATCGACCCAATCAGCTATGAACTTTTTCGCCGGCTCCGTGGCGTTAAAGTAAAGAATCCCCGTGTTTGTCGGCGCTCCCCAACACTTTCCTTCGTCGTCGTCGCGAGCGTTGAGACAATCCGTGCTCGCGGCGACGTCGACGTCTGTCATCGCCTCGCGCATCCATTCCCTGGGATCTCTCAACCAAGCCACGTCAGCATCACTCACTAATACATCGTGTCCACGGTCGAGAAGATCGAGCAAGAGCTTCACCCGCAGCGTCGTCATTTCGCGCATCGCCTTGGCGGCTTCTGCCACGCTCGCCGCCTGTCGCGCGCCGGAAGCGTCGCCGAGCGCCGTGCCTCCGGTGGCCATGACCCCTCCTTTGTACCTATAATTCGCGCCCCCAAAACATGGCATGGAGTGCCGCTCGCAAAATCGCTCCGTGGCTTCGTCCAGAGCGAGCATGACGATGTTCTCATCCTTTTCGTTCGGCTGCGCTCCCTTGGCCTTGCGCAACAACTTCAGCCAATTCAACGCGAACTCGTGAAAGCCGTCCGAGACATAGGACACGAAAACCAAACCATCCCGCGCGAGCATCGCGCTCAAAACGTCACCGCTCGCATCGCTCTCGTTAAACTTCGCCACCGACTTCGTGACTTCCTCGCCGGCGGACGCGACGTCCTCGACAGTCGCCGCGTAGTCGACCTCGACTTCGACTTTGCCCGCGCCTTCGCTCGCCGCCTCGCGCGTCGTCTTCCTCGTCGCCATCGCCGCCCCTCCCGCCCGTCTCTCGCGCATCGTCCACGCCACAAAGATCCCAACGCACATCACGAACAAAATTCCGCTCATTCGTCGTCGTCGTCTCCCCTGCGCCGGCGCCATCGCGCGATGGTTGGGATGTCCTTCGCTTCGACGCGCCACCGACTTCGTCCCGGTTCGCGCGGTCCTCGCGCGTCGCGCGCGCGTCGCCGACGCGGTTCGTCGGTCCCGGCGCGCGCGTCGCGTCGCGTCCCGTCAGCGACTCGACCGGCCATCGTCGCGCGCGCCGTGCGAGGGGCGCGCGCTGGCGCCTCGATCCCCATCGCGCGCGGCGTCGAACCGTCGAATCGTCGTGCGGTCGCGGATACGACGCGATCCGACGACGCGGGCGGATAACGCGATAAAACGAGACGCGACGACGCGAGACGCGCGGGTCGGCGATGACGACGACGACGACGACGACGACGACGATGATGATGCGTCCGACGACGCGCGCGACGACGCGACGGACGACGACGGCGAGGCGCGCGATGGCTTTGGCGAGACGCGAGACGCGCGCGATGGGCGTCGTCGCGCGCGCGCGCGCGGGCGCGGAGGAGAAGGTGGCGGTGACGTCGGCGTGCGGCGCGGTGGCGCTGGCGACGATCAACGCGATGTTCCCGGAACACGCGAGCGCGCTGTCGATTCGGGACCCGGTGTTCGGGGACATCGAGGTTTGGCAGTTCTTGGTGCTCACGGCGGGATACTTCATCGGGATCGAGATTTACTTGGATAAGAAGTACGACGATAACAACAAGACGGTGATGCCGACCGTGCAAAAGAAGAAGGAAAGCGACGAGGAGACGAGCGCGGAAGAGTGAATCGGGGCGCCGCGCGGAAGAATGTAGAGTGAAAAGAAGAAATTTAGTTGTTATGGTTGAACTCGATTGCACACAAACGCCGCGTCGAACGATATATACACACTTTACTCCGCACGAACGCGCGCTCCTCATCTCGCGAATGGGTTTGACGCGACTTTGGACTTTTTCGCCGCCTTTGAGGGCGTCGGCGTCGCCACAGCGTCTCTCTTACCTTCCACAGTCGCGCGCTCGTTTGAGTCTTTGTTTTCGTCGCCCGAGCTGACGAGAGGCGGCGCCGCGCTCTTACGAGCGAGCGGATTGCCTTTGGGAGCCGTTGGCGTCGATCGAACCATCGGCGCCGGAGTGTAGCTTTCGGGTTGCGTGTACCCTTGCGTCGGTTCTGGGTCGATTGTCGTTTCGATGAGCTCATTGATTCGCTCGACGAGCTCGGGTTGACGCGCCACCGCCGGGAGCTTGAGCACCGCTCGCAAACTGTTCGGCTGTCGGAACGTCTCCGCGATGTCTGACGCGCGCGAGAGCTTGTTCGCCTTGCAGGCGGTGTGAAAGAGCTTGATGGCTGCTTTTTCGTTTGCTCCCAAAGCCAATCGAGTGTCTTCTCCGGCACTTTGTGCGACGGACAAAGCCAAGCTCGCTCGGGCGGCTTCGTCTTCGAGGTCACCGACCGATTGTTCGGGAATGATGATCGGCAAAGACATCGGAAGCATAGAAAGCACAGGTCTTGGGTTCGGCACCGGTCCCGCGCTCGTTCTTGTGATGATGCAATATAAGGTGGAAGCGCAAGATGAAACAATCCAGTGGTGCTGACCATCCGTGGCCCGCGCTGACGAAGAACGGAAGACGGGCGTCCATGAGCCACCGAATGCGTCGGTGCGCATACGAACGACACCTGCACTATCGCGAGTAACCAACATGCCTTCCTCAGAAAAGCCCAAGTACGTTAAAGTCGATTGGGTAGATAAAGCAACGCGACCACGCGCGAGTTCCGAGGAGTATCGCACGTTGTACACGGCGTACGCGAGAACTTGACTACCTGGGGCTGGTCCGATCGGCGCCGCTTCGTGCCAGACGACAGCCAACGCATCGTCGCTACCGGAAATTGACACCGCGTCACCTTCGAGGGAGATTATTTGTCGCTGCGCACCACCTAAAGAGTAAATGCGAAGGTAACGCTTGGACGTCACAGCGGCGACCCAAGTCGAGCCGGTGGCGATTGAAAGTATATCCTCTCCCGCTGGCATCGTCACTTGCCACTCACCATCGTTCGCCCAGTTGTCATACTGTTGAAAGTAAAGCACGCTTTCGTTTTCGGAATCCTTCATCGGACTCGCGAGCGCGCATCCCTTCTCCCCCGCGACGCCCATCGTGTACCCGTTGTAGTCGGTGATGGTAGGGATGCGTCCCATGCGCGACGTGTCGTGGAACTGGAATTCAACAGAGTTGAATCCTCCTTCGACAGTGCTCGTAATAGATCCAACCATGGTGTAGGATAAAAACCGACGGTTGCTTCCCGGAACCGCGGCAACGGATCCACTTTGGAACGCCGGTTGCGGCTTGGGACCGGCTTCGACGTGCACCACCGACTGCTTCACGTGACTCTGACGGCGTCCTTTGACGTCATCGTCGTCGTCGTATTCGACGAAGTCATCTTCTTCATCCAAATCTTCATCCATACCGTCTGCTTCATCGTCGACGAAATCGCTCGCATTCGTCTCATCGATAGCGCTCACAAAGTCTATCTCGGAAGGCGAAACCTTCGCCGAGGGCGACGAGTACTTGGATGGAACGACGTCGTTCCACATCGCCCACTCGCCGTTAACGTTGATGAGCGCCAAAGAGTTACCAGTAGGGTCGAACGAGGCGCCGCAGACGAGCTCGGTGTCCGTCATCTTCGCAATCGCCAACTTTTTCTTGACGTCCCACACGATGACACTCTTGTCCGCGCTCGCCGTGACCAAGTATTTCCCGTTCGGGGACCAACGGATGAGGGAAATCGCGTCGGTGTGCCCTTTCAGCTCCCATTCAATCTGTTTAAACGTACCACGCTCGAAGAACGTCACGTCGTTCTCCCGCCCCGGCACGGCTAGGATTTGTCCATCCGGTCGCCACGCCACGGCGTTCAAAAGCGGCGACTCGCCCGTGGCCAACGGCGCCTCGGTGGCGTGTAGTTTTACATCCCCAGCCTCCTCGTCCTCGCTCGTGGGCTTCAACAGCCACACGACAACCATGCCGTTCTCATCCGTTGCCGCCAAGTAATCTCCTCGCGGATCGAACGCCACGCTCTTGATGCACTTGCTTCGCTGACACGGAAACACGTGCAAGACGGTTTTGTCCTCCATCTTGATGACTTTCACCTCGGCGTCCTCCCCCCCCGCGGCGACGTACTTCCCGTCCGCGCTCCACGCCACGCAGTGCACTGGCAATGAAAATCTCGTCACGTTCGCCTCGAACGCCTTCTTTTCCAGCGAAAACAGCTTCACCGAGTAATCCGAGCTCGCCGTCGCCGCGAGCGTCCCGCACGGCGACGCCGCGCACGCGTTGACGCAGTCCGCGTGCGCGTCGTCGAAGTTCTGTTCCACCTCTCCCGTCTCCGCGTCTCGCACGATCACGAACGAATCCGCGCCGCACGTCACGATCTTCTTCCTCCCATCCACCGCGCCGCGCGCGACGTCGCACGCCCCCGCGATGTGGGCGTATTCGAACGCGCCCTCGCGCGTCTCGAGCGCCGTGACGACGGCGTTCGCACATCTATCCATCGCCCCGCGTTCGAGCATCGCTCGCTCGGTCGCTCGATCGCTCGATCGATCGCTCGCGATCCGTCGCGCGCGCGTCGCTGCGGCGTCGGACGCGCGTCCCGATCGACGCCCGTCGTCGTCGCGGATTCAAATCAATCGAATCGCGCGCGCGAGCTGTCCCGCGCGTCCGCGCGTCCGACCGGACTTTGGAAAAATTTATATATCGCCCCTTGAGAGAGTACCTACACACATGACGAGTCATGAACCGTGGATATGTACGTATTTTACACCGTTTAGTGCCATCTACAATAGAGTATTCCTACCTCGGTGAAAAACACGTTCGCCTCGCCGGCGGACGGGAACGAGCGCGCGCGTCGCGGGCCGGGCGGGGCGTCGACGCCGACGCGAGTGCGCGACGCCGCGCGGCGAGACCGAGGCGCGCGAACGATGACGGTGACGGTGACGCGAGCGACGACGTCGCGCGCGACGTTCGAGCGGCGACGCGCGCGCGACGGCGCGACGACGCGCGCGCGATGGACGCGGACGACGACGACGGGGGGACGAAGGCGCGCGGCGGTGACGACGCGAGCGACGACGGGGGAGGCGCTGCGAGCGCTGCTGGACGCGGCGAGCGCGAACGGGGAAGAGGGCGCGCGAAGCGTGGCGGAAGCGCGGGCGCTGATCGATCGCGCGCGGGCGGAACGAGCGCGGAGAGAGGTGACGGCGCCGACGAGCGCGCGATTGGCGGCGCTGGAGGGCGAGGCGAGGGAGTTACGAGCCGAGGTGCGACGATTGAAGGATGAGAATCGAGAGGCGATCGATGCGCTGCTCGAGGAAGCGGCGGAGTTGGCGGAACAAACGGCGCGGACGGAAGAAGTGGAGGGCGAACTCGAGGAGGCGCGACGAATGAACGCGCGACTGGTGAGCGCGGCGAAGGAGCTCGCGGAGCTCGTGGACGACGGCGCGACGGAGGCTCTCGAGGCCGATCTCGCGGTGAAAGATGCGGAGATTGAGGTCTTAAAGGCGAGCATGCGTGAGCTTGAGCATAAACTCGAGGATCGCGACGCCTTGTTGGCGACGATTCGCGGGTTGGAAATCGAACTCGCCGACAGCGTCACGAACGCCGAGTTGATGGAACTTGCCGCGGGCAAGCTCAACTCGCCCGATTTGATCATCGCCCTGGAGGCCGAAAACAAAGAAATGCGTGCACGCATAGCCGCTCTCCTCGCAGACGGCGGAGAGCTTCCGGCGGTGACGAAGAAGTACGAGGCGGCGGCGCTCGAAGTCGTCACCCTCAAGTCGCGCATTCGCCTGCTCGAGGTTCAGATGGCTGACATGGTCGATCAAGAAGAGTTGAGCGAAATTCTCGAGCAAGAACGAAGCAAAGACTCGGAACTCGCAGAAGTCACTGCACAAAAAGATAGTTTATTGAAGCGCATTCGCGAATTGGAGGTGGCGATGTCCGACATGGAGGAGGCCGACGTGTACCTCAAGGCGAAGAAGGAAGCGGAGTCGGCCAAGTTGCGCAACATGGACTTGTCTACGCTCATCGAATCGCTCACCGCCAAGCTCGCGGAGCAAGTGGATGCGACGCAAAAAGCAAAGATAGTGACAGACGAGGCATTGGCCAACGTTCGCGCCCTCGAAGGCGACATGGCGTACATGGATTACGCTCCCGGTATCGCGAGCGCGATGAAGGCTGCGAAGCAAATGGAGAGCGCTGCAGAACGCGCGGTCGAGCTCGCTGCTGGGCTCCAGCAGTTGGAAGTTGGCATGACGAAGAAGAGCAGCAGTCGCAAGACGCCGTTCAAACGCGGTGGTGAGAGCTTTTCCCTTCGTAAAAAGGTCTTCAACGCGAGCGACGAGCAAGCGCCCGTCGACGGCGGTTTCAAACGCGCTCCTGCAGAAGCGTTCACCCTCCGCAAGCTCGACTTCACCAAGATCAAGGCCGAGTCATCCGTGAATAAAAGTCCATTCAAGCGCGCTCCGGAGAGTTCGTTCAAGCTGCGCAAGATGACGTTCCCATTCTCCGCTCGCACGGCCGCCGTGCCGAAGAGCGTGTTCCAGCGTACCGGCAACTTTGAGTTACGTCGGTTCATCTTCACCTCCGATCCCGTGGACGTCGTCGCATCGGCGTCTTTCGAACGAAACGGTGAGTTTACTTTGAGAAAATTAAAGTTCCCTCCGCCCAATCGCGGCGCGGACGGCGTGAAAACCTGGGACCGAGGCGAGAAGGGAACCGTCTTCAAATTTTAAATCTTTCAAAACGCCCGACTCCCGAGCGCGCGCGTTGAAATTCCGCTGTAACGACTAGTCATTGGTTCACTCCACGAGCTTGCACGCAGCGTTTCTCGAATCATCCAATCATCCACCCTCTCTCGATCGAGCGCGACGCGCGCGCGCGTGCACTCCGGACATTTTTCTGGACCCTAGGCGCCGCGCGCGCGCGCGACGTCTTTGCCTTGTTGTCGCCCATTTCCCACGCATCGCCTCCGCGTCCCCCCGCGACGATGTCAGACCGGCGCGCGCGTCTCGCTCGAGCGCCGCGCTCGAGCGCGTCGTTCGCTCGTCATGGAGCGCGCGTTCGAGCGAATCAAGCCCGGCGAGGACCCGCCGCCGCCGCCGCCCGAGCTCTTGCAGTGGGCGCGCGAGACGACGTACGGATTGTGCGGTGGGATCGTCTACGGCGCGGCGTCGGCGCACTACGCCGAACGACGACGCGTCGTGGACGCGATGGAGAGCGCGACGAAGCGTAAACATCGAATCTGGACGCGAACGATCTCCGACGTCACCCTGCACGGGATGCGACTGGGAAGCTTTGTGTCCGTCTTCAGCGCGGCGCGCTTGGGATTGGAAAAGCGACGCGACGCGAGGGACATGTGGAACGTCGTCGGGGCGGGAATGTTGACGAGCGCGCTCACGGGGATGGCCATACCGGGCGGTGTCGCGGTGCGAGCGCGAGGAGCGGCACTGGGCGTGGTCGTCGGCGGCGCTGCGACGCTGCCGTTCGGGTACGCGATGCAAGAGTTGGAAAAGCTCGTGCCGGAACTCGTCGCGCCGGCGGCTGCGGCGGCTATGAGTGAGGGCGAATCTAGGAAATTAGACGTAACTGAGATGTTCATAGAGCAAGTAGAAGCAGAATTAGAAGAGTACAGGCGAGAGGAGCGCAAGCGAAGACGAGGTTGGTTTTGGAAAAGTTGAGAACCAAATGAACAACGGATTAGCGAACGAGCTCTTACCACATAGGTATCTAGGATTTTTTATCATTTAATCATCATGCCCGGCGACCATGGGAAATACCCATTATATAATCGCTGAGAACAAGTGTCGATGTGCAACCAGAACGCGCTGAGTATCTTCACCTGCGAACTGTATGGTGCGCCTTCGTTGAACGGATCGCGATCGAGACGCTTCGCCGCGAGTGCGCCTCGACATCCGAACGGATCCCGCGCGAACGCCTCGCGAACTTTCACCTCGCCGGCCTCCATTTCCTTTTCATTCAACGCCTTGGTACCGATATACGTGAAATTGCTTTCCGGATACCCGATCGCCCGGAGATGGAGCTTCTGGAAACGGTCGCGCTTGCTTTCAAAACCCACGACGGTGATTTTTGACGGGAACTTTCGAGTGAGCTCAAAGAAGCGACACACGCTGAAAAGCAGATTCTCAAAGCTATCCCGTGCGTGTTCCTCCGTAAAGCTTCTAAGCTCCACCCCGGCGTCGACCCCAAACCAATCAAACGCCCTCGACACCTGCCAATACGAGCTCGCCTCGCTAATTGCGCCCGCCTCGCGTCTCGTCTTACCACCGCTAAATACGAGCATAGCGCGCGGATTCTTCGCCAACTCGCGCACACCGCGCTCCATGTGCTCCATGAACGCCTTCGCCTCACCTTCTAGCAATTGATGAGGCTCTAACGCCCAGTTACTCTCGTCTTTTGCCTCCAAAAAATTATTACCGTAGTACACCGCGTGCCCCGGCACGACGACGAGTTCATCCACCCCGTCCACCTGCGCCGGCGTCTTTCGCTCCACCACGCTCCTTCGCATCACCGGCATCACTCCCATCGCGCTCGGCACGCGATTCTCTTTCCCATCGAACACCGTCCGTCCGACGAATATCAACGCCAGCAACCCCAACCATCCCACGCGTTCGCCCCGACTTATCGCCCGCCGCGCGCGCGCCAGCGCTCGCGTCGTCGCGCTCGCTCGATATTTCCCATTGTCGTGATCGTCCTTTCTTCGATACATCGGCAGCGTCTCGACGTCTTCCACCGTTCCGAATCTGTACGCGCTGAACGCCCGCGCGCGCGCCGCGTGCGTCGCGTTCGCGCGCATCGCGATTCGCGTCCGATGGGCTATCTCCGGCGCCCGCGCGCGCGCGTCCTCGCGTCCCGACCGTCGTTCGCGCGCGCGCGCCTCGCGATCGATCCTCGCGCGCGTCTCGCGCGTCCTCTCGCGCCGCCGCCCGTCGTCGTCGGCGCCGTCGACGAACGGACGCGTCGACGTCTCGCGACGCGCGACGCGCGCGACACCCGAACGACGCGCGCGGCGCCCGAACGACGCGCGTGCGAGTACGGGCTTTTTTACGTTACGTCTACGCATACAATCGCGATCGAGCGCTATGTCGTGATCGCGTCGTGTTGTGAAATAAACCACCGAGCCGTTGCCGCGGGCGCCGCGCGCTACGGCGCGTCCGCGTCCGCGCGCTGGCGGCGACGCGCGCCGCCCGGCGCGAGGTCCGCGATCTCGGCCTCGTAATCCCACGCCTCGGGCTCGACCTCGGGCGGGTACAGGACGTGCTTGAGCTTCAACAGCGGCGGGACGCTGAACAGGAGCACGGAGAAGGCGAACATGAAGACGTACACCTGGTTGTCGGGGTCGCCGTTGAGGTACGCGCCGAGGAGCGCGCGACCGCGGCGGACGACGGCGTCGGGCGACGGGGACGACGACGACGGCGCGGCGTCGACGGCGTCGACGGCGAGCGCGCGCGCGAGCGGTCGCATGGCGCCGCGCGTCGACGAGTGCGAGGGCGTCCACCGCCGAACGATCGGCGTCGATGGACGCCGATCGACGCGACGTCGATCGACGCGCGACGCCGATCGACGACGCGCGGGGCGGGCGGCGGGCGGTCGTCGTTTGACGCTTTGACTTCCTCGCGACGCGCGCGAGGGCGCACAGGACGACGACGAGGGCGCACAGGACGCGCGCGCGCGGCGGTGATGACGACGTCGACGACGACGTTCACGCCGCCCGCGCCGTCGACGCCGACGACGCTGTGCGATTCGCAAAACGTCGCGTGCGTGAACACGGATGTCGCGGATGCGGAAGTTTTGAGCGCGTTCGCCGCGTACGTGTGCGCCGCGCTCGCGGTGTTGACCGCGTTCGGGATCGCGAGGAAATACGTGCCGATTTATACCGGTCGAGAACACCTGCGGTCGCTGAAGACGAGCGGGTGCGCACCGCCGCGATTCGACGCGAGCGCGAATCGCGGCGGCGCGCGAGAGGCGTGCTCGACCACGTACGGATGGATCGCGCACGTGTTGACGGTGGCAGATTCTGACATCGTGCACACGGCAGGATTGGATGCATTAGTATTCTTAAGAATTGCGCAGTTCGGGACGCAGTTGTTCGCGCCTTTAGCGTTGGTTGGAGTGCTGGCGCTCGCGCCGACACACCTGTCGAGATCGTATTACGAGACGACGACGACGAGCGAGTCGTCTGCGGCGCGCGAGAGCCACGTGTTGATGCGAATGACGATCGCAAACGTGGAACCGACCAGTTCGTTGATGTGGATGCACGTAGTGATGTTTTGGGCGTTCACGGCGTATGCGCTGTGGTTGCTGACGGCCCACTATCGCTCTTACGAGTTTTTACGTCAAGTGTACGGAACGACGACGGGCGAGTCGAATCCTTGGCGCGCGGTGCACATCCCGCAAACCGTGCTACAGAAGTTTTTACAGCAAGGAATAAACACAAACAGAGAGTTCATGACGGAGACTATTGAGGAAGAGGAAAGAGAGGGCGGACAGACTCCTGCGGCGAGAACCATGCCGACGACGATGCTTCTCGAAGCGTTGCTTGGGCCGAAACGCTCGAACGGTCAGATGTCGACCGAGCAGAAGCTCAGACGTTTTCCTAGGGCATCGTTCATTGAAAGCACTCGTGGACCATCGATGGCGACGCCATCAAGAGGCTATCACTCCCACTTCGGTCCCCTTCGAGTGACGGAGACGCCGCGTGAAGAATCGTCTCGATCGGTGTCGGAGATTTCCATGGCGTCCATGAGTGACTTTGACGAAATGTCCAAAGAACATCACTTAGATAAATTGACGAGCGATAGCGAGGATGTCGCGATAAGACACAATTGGTGGGAAGGGTTAGACATCGCTGAAGAGGTATGGAGCGACCAATTGAGGAGTGGGAGCGACGGATTTGGATCGACCGATGCGCTCTCTGCTCCGCGGCAAATCAAAGTTGATATCGAGGGGCGATTTCCTTGCAACGACGCATCAACGTGCGATATTAACCCAGTACCATCGATAGATGATAGACGGTACGTCTCAGCCGTCGCGGACGAAGTCAGCGAAGACGGCAGCGAAAAGGAAGTGGTGGTCAGCGTGTTGGTGCAAAACTATTGCGTCTTGATGACAGACGTCGGTGGTAATCTTCCCGAGGGGGCCGCGGATCCGTGGGAAGGTGTGCGAGCGGTGGAGACATTTTTCGGAGGCCTGTTTCCAGACGACTTCCTAATGGTGATTCCTTTACAGGACTACCGCCCTGTGGACGACTTACTCATCGAGCGCGACAAGCTCAAGAATGAAATCGAGAAACAATCGATGTTGCAATCAAAACGGCATGGACACCGTCGTATGCGTAGAGGGAGCGGTTTTCGGGATGAAATCACGGGTTTACGAGACAGAGTAGCAATTTTAGACCACTTGGTTGTTCAGGAGCGCACCAGAATTCTTCAAACCGAGCCCGGGTCGAGTTGTATCGTTGCTTTCAAAAGCCAGTATGCGGCGGCGTGCGCGGCGCAGTGCCGTATCACATCGCGTCAGCGTGATCTTTTTGCGATCGAACCCGCGCCGGGACCCGACAATCTCAATTGGCAATCGGTATTACTTCGAAGACGTCAGCGTGAGATCCGATCGATGGTGATTTTCCCGCTCATTCTCACCATCATACTCATTCCGACGGGAATGTTCACTGGCGTGATGTCGTCGCTATGCGTAGCAAATCAATTCGGTGCAAATCACAACGACGGCTTGAAGTGGTACTGCTCGAGCGATTCCGCGCGGTATCTACGAATTCTAGTGCAAGGTATTTTACCACCCATTCTGCTGACACTCTGGGAAACGTTTGTCGTTTCGTTCGGAATGATGTATCTCGTTCAGGCACAGAGCAAGTATTCTAGTCTGAGTAAAACAGACGAGTCGTTTGCGGAGTACTACTTTCTGTGGGCGTTTCTGAATGTGTTTTTCGGCACTGTATCTGGTTACGCCATTCAACGATATTTGAACGCGCTCAACACGAAAGGTCCGGATGCCATGCTGCAACTTCTCGGTACGTCGCTGCCGCTCACAAGTAATTTCTTCCTACTTTGGATCGTATTCAGAGGGGTATACCTCCCCACTCAGCGGTTGATTTTCCCTCATCCCGGAGTGCTATGCATGATCGTCAATCGCTGGCTGTGCTGTTTGGGATGCAACGTGACCGCTCGAGATAGAACGATCAAATACAGCCCGAGATCGGTTCGCCTTGGTCGCGAAGTCGGTGTGTTCGCCATGGTGATGATGATTGGTCTCGTCTTTTCCACAGTCGCACCTTTGATCACATTACTCTGCACCGTATTTTTCGTCTTTAATTTTGTCATATGGCGTTATCACGTCCTATATGTGTACGAACGCTCGTACGAAGCCGGCGGGGCGATGTGGACAACGTTTTGCAACTTGACGATTTACGCGCTGGTCATCGCGCAGAGCTTTTTGTCGTTTGTCCTCTTGTCCAAGCAAGCGTACGCCGGAGCACTCATTCTCTGGATCACTGTCTTACCGGTTCTAAGCAAAGCCAGTCACAGATTTCGATCGATCGCGAGCGAGCTTCGCTGGTCCGTGCCCCTACCACAGGCGTCCATCGCGCCTCGCGCCGAGTTCAACGCCGAGACTTACATGCATCCAGCGCTCAAGCGCAACTCCATGGGATGGCACCCAGAAATCGGCAAGGTCTGGCGAGGGTACCCTAACGTCACCGTGAAAGAGACTCGGATATTCAGAAGACGTCAACGACATAGATGAATCATGTAAAGACGCGTGCGCCTCGCCTTTTCGCTCGCCGCCTCGCCGCCGCACAACGCGACGGCCGATCGATCTCATCTCGCATCGACGAATGTCAGCGATAACGTTTAAAAACTGAGACAATGGCGACGACCGCTGTACCTGCGCGCACGCAGTGCCTCACGCGCGCGCACAGTCGTCGTAATCGCGCGGTTTCGTCGTCGTTCGCTTCGACGTGCATTCCGCTCTCTCGCGCGTTTCGGACGGCTGTGCGCGTCGATCGCGTCGCCCGCGAGCGCGATGCCGCGTCCAGAGATGGCGCGCGGACGATTGGCTTGTGTGCTCGGTCGCTGAAGCGCATCGTGCGCGCTAGGGCGAGCGAAGGTGTCATCGAGCGCGGAGGGCCGAGCGAACCGACGGCCACGACGCAGCCGTGGTTTGATCGATTCCTCAAACTTCCGAGCGATGGAAGCGAGATATGGGAAGCGAAGTGGGGAATGAAGGTGATTATTCAAGTTATGGTGCTGTGGTTTTGCGCGTTTTGCGTGATAGGAAACGCGGTGTTCCCGTACGCCGCGGGCGTTCTCGGGTTCGACACGTCGAGCTTCACGCAGCGAGGATTGGCGACGTACAGTTTGTGCTTAGATTTCACGCAAATGCTCATGACTTGGTTCGTTTTGCGTCAATCCTTACGTCCATTTCGGCCGTTCGGGGTGAATTGGTTCCCAGTGCGCTGGTTTGAGGACAGAAAGTACCTGAGAGACGTCGCCGTGGCGTGCGTGGCGTTTCCATTCGTCGTGTGGTTGCACGGATTGAGCACGACTTTATTGGAGCACATCGGCTTGATTGCTTTCGACGAAACCGTCACCGCGGCGTGGGAACAAAGCATGAAGTCGAATGATATCATATCGAAAGCGTTCTACATGCTCTTGGCCTCATTCGCCGCCCCCGTGTGGGAAGAGCTCATCTTTCGAGGCTTCTTCTTCGCCTCCCTCACCGCCTTCACCGGCGCCGCGCGCGCCATGCTCATCTCCTCCACCCTCTTCGCCTGCGCTCACTTCTCCCTCGAGCAGTTCCTTCCCCTCACCTTCCTCGGCTGTCTCATGTGCGTCGTCTTCGTTCGCACGCGCAACCTCCTCGCCCCCGTGCTCGTGCACAGCGCGTGGAACGCCTGGGTCCTCGCCGGCGACTTTCTCCCGCCCCTCGACGTCGTCCTTCGCGCCGTGTTCGCCGCCGCGCCGTAGCGCGCGTCATCGCTGTCATCGCCGTCATCGTTTGTCACGGAATCCTCATCCTCATCGCCGTTCGTCCTCGCGTTCGGCGCTCGCGTCGTCGTCTCGTCGTCTCGTGTCTCGCGTTCGGCTCGTCCGCGCTCGCTCGGGCGCCCGCGCGTTTGGTGGGCATGGCGAATGGCGATCGCGTCACATCGCGCCGCTCGTGACGCGCGAACGAGCGCCTCAGAGCACGCGCGTTTTCGCGCACGAACGAGAGCGCGCGCGCGCCTCGCGTCGAACGCCGTCGCGAATCGCACCGCGCGCGCGTCGTCGCCGACGTCGCCGACGTCGGTCGACGCCGCCGACATGGATGGGTCATTCATAGGATCGACCATTTACCTCGTCTCGCACTCCGACATACGATACGAGGGCGTGCTGGTGAACATCGACCCGGTCGAGAGCACGCTGACGCTGCAGAACGGTGCGAGAGTGCGAGGCGAGACGACGCGGAGAGGGCGCGGAGGGCGGACGCGCGCGCGAGATCTGAGAGAGGCGACGATCGCGGACGACGAGGAGAGACTGACGACGGCGAACGTTGGACGCGAGCGCAGTGCGATCGTTCGGAACGGAGGGAAGACGGACGAATGGGGTGCAGATCCCGCCGAGCGTGGAGGTGTACGAGTACATCACGTTTAAGGGGGATGATATCCAGGATTTGGAGATTGTCGAAAACGGCGCCTCGGCGGCGGCGCAGCAGCAACAGCACGCGCAGCAGCCGCAGTACATGCAACAGCCGCAGTACGGGCAGCAGCCGCAGTACGGGCAGCAGCCGCAGTATGGGTACATGGGCGCGCCGCAGCAGGCGTACATGGGATATCCGCCGCAGCAGCAGTACGGGATGCCGCAGCAATACGGCGCTCCGCCGCCGGCGTGGGGACAACCGCCGCCGCAACAGCAGCAACCGCCGCCGCAACCGCCGATGCAACAGCAACCGCCGGTGCAGCAGCAGCAGCAGCAGCAACCGCCTGCGCCTGCGCCGAAGAAATCGGCGTGGGGTAACCCGAACCCGGCCGCGGCGGCATCCGAGGGCGTGATCCTTCCGGCGGCGCGGAACGCGCCCCCGGCCGCGGCCGGCGTCGCCAAGACCGCGGCTACGGTCGCCGCTCCGAAGGCCATCGCGAAGGCCGCCGCCCCCAAACCGAAACCAACCTCGTTTGCTGCCGCCGCTCTCAACGCGATGGCTCCCGAGGAAGTGGCTCGGCTCAGGGCTGCGCCCAGACCGGCGCCCACGCAGGGTGGCCGCGGGGTTCCGGCGCCGAGAACGGGCGGTCGTGGCGCCGGCGGTGGACGTGGTGCGGCTCCAGCGGTGCCGAAGGAAGCGTTCAACTTTGAGAAAATGTTGCAAAAATTCAACAAGGAAAAGTTAGCGCAATCTGCCGAGGCGAAGAAGCTCACGACCGAAGTTCAATCCAACCCGGTGTACGTCAAGGATGACTTTTTCGACACCATGAGCAGCGAAGCTACGGAGAAGGCTGCTGGGGGGAACAGAGGTCGATTTCACGAACAACGTCGCATGGACGCCATGACGTTTGGCTTTGATGCGGTGAGCGCATCTCACGCCGCGCAACGCGCGGCCGCTGCCGGCAGAGGTGGCCGTGGCGGTCGAAGCGACGGGGGCCGAGGCGGCGGCCGAGGCGGCGGTCGAGGCGGTCGCAGATGATAGGGAATCGGACAGAAAGGGAAGACGACGGAAACACAATAGTCTCTAGCGTGACTCACTTCCAGTGACTCACTGAAACGATATGTGAATACGAATATTTCGTTCTCAAACTACAAATGCTGTGTGTGTTTATACAAATCAAAACGCCTCGCCGTCGTCCGCCGCCTTCATCGGTACATCGCCTCCGATTGCAAGTTTCTCGCGATCTCCTTCTCCCATCGATCACCGTTAGAGAGTAACTTCTCCTTATCGTACAGCAACTCCTCGTGCGAAAACGTCGCGTACTCAAAGTTTGGTCCCTCCACGATGGCGTCCACCGGGCACGCCTCTTGGCAAAACCCGCAAAAGATGCACTTCGTCATGTCTATGTCGTATCTCGTCGTTCGTCGACTTCCGTCCTCTCTCTCCTCCGCCTCGATCGTGATCGCTTGCGCTGGGCATATGGCCTCGCACAACTTACACGCGATGCATCTTTCCTCACCCGTGGGATACCTTCGCAGCGCGTGTTCGCCTCGAAACCTCGGCGACAGCGGTCCCTTTTCGAACGGGTAGTTGATCGTCACCTTTTTATCGAAGAAGTACTTCAGCGTCAGCGACATCCCTCGCAGGAGCTCCGTGAGCACGAGCGTCTTCGCGCTCGCGTCCAGGACGCCCGCGAGATCGGTCGGCATCGCCTTCTCCGCGAGTTCGCGCGAGCGATCGGCGCTCGCGGTCGTCGCGGGCGATCGCGGGGTGGAGTCGCGATCGACGACGGCGCCCGCGTCGCGCGCGGTGTCGCTCGCGAACGCGCGAAGGGACGTCGAGGGCGAGCCCTCGGTGGCGCGCTTGAACGCGGCGCGCGCGCCGTGACGAAGCATGGCGCGCGTCGATGTGCGGCGGACGTCGGCGTCGACGCGTTAGGTCTAGGCTGGTCGACGCCCGTCGACGCGACGCGCGAGCGAGGGAGTGTTTTACAGATTACTACGATCACGAGATGGCGATCTTATCCATGAGCGAACCGTGCATCTTCTCCAGTTTCATGAGCTGATCGTACACGTTCAAGATTTTATTCGTGTTGATCTCGAGCACCAACCCCCCGACGATTGTCTCGTCGAGCACGGTGTACGCCTTCGGAGAGTTGAAAATCAAATCCAATTCGCACACGTTCTCGAACACCCGATCGAGGGTTTCGACGTAGACTTGAATCAGATCCAGCATCGCCAGCTCGCTCTCGCTTCGATCGCTCAGGATGCAAAAGTACAGCGTCGCGAAGTGTCTGTACACCAGCTTCGTGTCCGGGCCGAACGTCTTCTCGTCGTCCACGAACGAGCACAGGTGATCCGGTCGCCCCGTCACGAGCTTGTACACCGTCTGACACAGCTCCGTCTGTTTATCCACCCCGAGCTGTTCGTAAAATCTACACAATCGCACCATGGCGTGGTTATTCACCACGATGAACGCCTTGATCATCGTCCTCGTCGTCCGACAACACCAATGGATTGACCACCCAAATCAACGCAGTGAATGAATGATTCGTTTCGTTTCGTTTCGTTTCGTTCGCCGACGCGAGGTTCGCGCCGCGATCGTCGGACCCCGCGCGGCGCCGCGATCCGTCCTCGATCACCGCCACCGTCGCGCCCCCGTCCGACCGCGCGTCGGCGCGTCGGCGTGTCGCGCCCGCGCGCGATCGACGCGACGCGACGCGCGAAACACCGAAAAACCGAAAAACCGAAAAACCGAAAAATCGAAAAACCGAAACCGAAAACGAACCTCGACCGCGACGATCTCGAGGGCGTCCGGGGTTCCGTCAAAACCCTACATACTGTTTCCCCACACGACACAAAAACCGGTCGGTCGGACACCCATGCGCGTCGCCCGGCGTCGTCGCGCGACGCCGCAAACCCGCACGCCGCGCGCGATGTCGAGCGACGAGGAAGAAGCGCCGGCGCCGGCGATGGAACACGGCGAGGAGGCGCGTCGACGACGACGCGCGCGAGCGATCGACGCGCGCGCGGAAGCGCGAGAACCGCGCGCGCGGGCGAACGACGGGCGCGGGACGAGGGCGCGCGCGCGATCGGGGGCGAGGCGGACGACGCGCGACGACGGAGAAAGAGGGACGGGACGGGAGAGGGCGACCGGACGACGACGACGACGCGAACGATGGGATCGCGATGATGGGGACTGACGGCGCGCGACGCGCGAATCGAGCAGGTTTCGGCGCCGGAGCCGACGGCGAGCGCGGGGGACGTGGAGGTGCGTTTGAAGGCGACGCGCGCGCGAGGGGCGGGGAGGGGGACGAAATCACGGCGCGATCGATGAGACTGACGACGATGCGCGCGCGGTGGTGGATGTTTGGGTTCACAGTTGAAGACGACGCCGTTTGATCCGCGATTCCCGCAGACGAACCAAGCGAAGCACTGCTACACGAGGTACAACGAGTTTCACAAGTGCCAAGCCGAAAACGGCGAGGGCGCGGAAGAGTGCGAACCGTTGGCCAAGTTTTATCGCTCCATCTGTCCGACAGAGTGGACCGAGAAATGGAACGAGGAAAGAGAGGAAGGCACGTGGCCGGGGCGCTATTAGGAGGACTCGTGTGTGTGTAAATGTACGACGCGACGCGCTTTGGAAGCGCGCCAAGTCCGCGTCTTTTAGAAATCTAACCATGTAACGGCTGACACATTTCTGTTTGCGAAGCTAATGCGAACGGCGACGACGACTGTTTAAGCGCTACGCGTCGTCGTCGCGCTATGATCTAGCTATTTTCGAGCCCACTCCCCGCTCAGCATCCAACCGAACTGCACGACGACGCGATCCCACGCCGAACTCGGGCCGTCCAGCGCCGGTCGAACGTCCAGATGCATCGCCACGGGCGCGTTCCCACCGTACGGCACGGCGTTATAAAAATCAATCACGTATCGAACCTCGGTTCCGCATCTATCGACGATCCAATCGTGACGATCGAACGGCAGTTTGTATCCTAAAAAATTCAGAAACTGCGCCTTGGGGCTGTAATCCTTCGGCCGTCCTCGAAATTTCAACAGCTTGGGATCGGGGCACCGTTCGCAGTGTCGCCTCTCCCAGGCCATGACGTGCGCCCAGGCCTTTTCGTTCACCGCGTTGTGTATCTTTACCACGTGTTCCATGTCGTTCGCGCTCGGTTTCCACCCCTTGCGCTTCATGGCGTTGTAAAACATCTCTTCGCTCGGGTACCGCCACGTCGCCTCCTCGCGCTGATGTTTCGGCAGCTCCGTGCGCGGGCTGATCGGGATCGAGCTCGACTCGCGCGCGTCGCGCAGCGCTCGCGAGCGATCGCGCGCGAGCCACGTCCACGGCCGCGTCCAGCGCCGCGCGGGCGTCGACGTCGTCGCGTCCCCGTCGAGGCCGCGCGGGATGTTGTTCGGCGACGACGCGCTCGACGCCTCGGACGCGCCGTCGACGGGAGAGAGATCGCGCGCGAGCTTAGCGAAGAGCGTCGTCACCTTGGGGTCGTTCATGGCGCGCTCTCGCGCGCGCGACGCGCACTGCGGCGAGGCGCGCGAACGCTCGGGACGGCGACGGCTTCGCGCGCCGCGCTACGCTACGTTTCCATTCTAAATCATCGAGCTCGACGCCGCGCGCACGGCGGCGTCGGCCTGGTACCAAACTAAATCATCCGAACTCTCATCGTCGCTCGCGTCGTCTCGGTCGTCGCTCGCGTCGCCGTTCACGACGACGCGAACGCGCCGGCGCTCGACGCGCGCGCGCTTCGCCGGCGCGAATCCCGGCTTGGGCGCGTATCCCTCCACCTCGTCCGTCGTCGCGCGCGCCTCGACGAAGAAAAACGCCCTCAATCCCGCGCTCTGCGGCGGATTTAACGTCGCCATCACCGGCACGAACGCCCGCACCGCTCGTCTCGACACCGCGTCCGCCGTCTCTTCGCGTTCGTCCTCGCGCGTCGTCGTCGTCTCCGCGTACGCCACCCCTCGCAGATCCATCTCGTACGCCTCCCTCGTCCGCGTCGCCGTCGTTCCCAGCGTCATCACCACCCTTCGCGGTCGCAATCGTTCGAACGCGCGCGCGTCGAACGCTCGCGCGAGCGCCCTTCTCGTCTCTCGCGCGCGTCGTCGCCGCGTTCGCTCGCCGCGCGTCCTCGCCCGCGTCCCGCGCGCGCGTCCCTCGTTTCGCCGTCTTCGTCGCGCGACGCCGACGGCGCGCGAATTGAACGCATCGTCGTCGTCGCGCGCGCCGTCGTCGTCGCGCGCGTCGTCGTCGCGCGCGTCGTCGTCGTCGGTCGTTTCGTCGTCGTTCGGCGCCGGTTCGCGCGCGCAGTCCCTGGCGTAGAGCGCGAACGCGAACGCCGCGCGCGCGGCTCTGGCGATGACGAACGCGTCGCGCTCGCGGTGCGCGTCGCGCCGGAGCGCGAGCATGCGTGTGACGCGCGCGAAGAAGGCGAATCGCCGCGTCAGTCCACGACGCGTCATGCCGAGCCCGACGCGGACGCCGACGACGAGCGCGGCGACGTTCACGCGCGCGCTGCGCGGAAGCGCGAGCGATCGACGTCGCGCGCGCGCGCGGCGCGCGCTCGCGGCGACGCGCGGCGCGCGCGCGGCGGACGCGGGCGCGGCGAGGGGGACGATCGCGCGTCGCGCGCGGGGCGTCGCGCGCGCGGACGCGCGATCGCTCGGCGGACGCGATGGCGCGGACGCGCGGCGTCGAGACGCGAGGCGTCGCGCGACGAGCGAGGAGAGCGAGGACGACGACGTGGATTGGGCGCGGGAGGTGGACGCGGGGGACGGCGACGGCGAATTCGTCGTCGAGGCGTTCGATACGAGGGACGATCTGGCGCGGGCGCTGTGCCTGGAGGTCGAGGAAAACGCGCGGGGGTGCTTGCAGGAGCGAGGGGCGTTCACGATGGCGGTGCCGGGAGGGAGCGTGGCGAAGGCCCTGCGCGGGCTGCGCGAGGCGGAGGGATTGGATTGGGACAGGGTGCACGTGTTCTTCGTCAACGAGCGACCGGGGGAGCAAAAGTGCGCGAAATTGGCCAAGGAGACGTGGACGGAGGCGTGTGGGATTCCTGATGCGAACGTGCACTGCGTGATGGCGAGCGATGACGTGGAAGCGTGCGCGGCGGATTACGAAAAGCAAATGCGGTCGCTCGACGAAAACCAAATGCCGATCGACGAGGAGAACGGAATGCCGGTGTTTGATTTGATCTTGCTCGGAATGGGGGCGGATGGACACGTGGGGAGTATTTATCCGAACTCTGCCGCGGCGAACGACGAGACCGGGGCGTGTGTGCTCGGAGTGGACATGCCGGGGAAGCGGACGGTGACGATGAGCATGGCGCTCATCAACACCGCCGATCGCGTCGTGCTCGCGGCGACTGGGAGTGAGAAGGCTGAGACCGTGCGAGCGGCGCTCGAGGACGAACTCGAGTGGGGGGAAATTCCGGGCTCCATGGTGGACGCGTTCTCGACGATTTGGTTCCTCGATCTCGCGGCGGCGTCCAAGTTGAGCGCCTACGAGGACATGGACATGGACACGGACGACGACGAATGACGCGCGCGTCGACGACAGGCGACGACAAGGAACGTATTTTTATCGATCAAAGTTTGATAGTAATACGAGAAAATTTTCCCATGAGGTGGTGCATTAGATTGAGTTTGAAATTACATTTCAATGCGTACAACAAAAGACAACTTTCGAGCGCCGCTCGAGTCGCGCAATCACCAGTCTCCGCTTCCGATGGGCTGCTGCACGCCCTGCGCCGCGCGCATCATCTGCACCGCGCGTTCTCGAAGCTGCGCGACGTCCCAATCGAGATCGGTGATTTTATGCTCGTAGATGAAGCCCTTGGAATCGAGCTTGTACTCGGAGATTCCGTCGAACCTCGCCTCGTCGGCGCCGATGGAGCCGACGAGTCTCACCTTGCCGCGAACGCTCCAGCGCACGCGGATCGTTCGAAGGCCCGACGAACCCAAAGGGGACCAAATGCGAGACACCTCCATCGTGCTCTGCGAAAACAACACGGCGGCGATGATACGAATGATCTTGAACACTCGTTTGTACTCGGACATGTTCGTCGCCATGACGCCGTTTCGTCCCTCTCTTCCCGGCCCCGCGAACGTCATCGTCTCGTCCAACAGCCCGATATCGTCCCTGTAGATCGTCCATCGAGGCTCTTTGGTCAACAAATACGGGTAGTCCTCGCGAAGGACTCGAATCGCCTCCCCAGACTGCGCGTAAAAATCGTCGTCCTTGCTCGAGCTCGGGCCGTCCTCGTCGCGTCCGCCCGACGGTCCCTTCGATTCCGTCGAATCCACGATCGCGGGCGTCGTGGACACGCTGTAATCTGTCCCACCCTCCACCGCGACGCATCGCAGCGCGCGCGCGCGCGTCGTCGTCGTCGTCGTCGTCGCCCTACTCCCCGTCGCGTTCGACCTATCCCGTTCGAATCCCCCCTCGCTCGTCTCGCTCGGCGCCTCGATCTTCACCGTCACTCGCACCGCGCGCCCTCCGCCCCTGCACGCCGGACACGCCGTCACTCCCGTGTATCCACACGACCCGCATCCCTCGCCGTCGCCGCTCCATCGCGTGCACGAGCACGCCGTTCGTCCGCTCCCCTCGCACTTCGGGCACGCCTCGTCCGCGTCGTCCCCGTCACTCGTCATCCGCGCGTACGCGCACAGGATCGCCCCGCACGTCGCCGCCTGCTCCGCCCACCACACCGCGTCGCCCGCGTGCGGCATCGCGCGCGTCCGCGTCGTCCCGCGCGCGCGCGTCGTCGTCGTCGTCGTCGTCGTCGTCGTCGCGCGGTCCGCAATCACCGCGCGTTCGACCGCGCCCCGCGCGCGCGACGCGCGACGACGCGTCGCGGCGACGCGCGCCGTCGTCGCGCGCGCGCCGTCGTCGCGCGCGGTCGACCGCGCGGGCGCGATCGCGCGCGCGACCGCGCGCGCCATCGCAGATCCCCCGCGATTCGCCGCGACGTCGAGTGCCGACGGTCGACGCGACGACGGCTCGATCGCGCGATCGCGCGATCGCGACTCGATCGACGACGCGCGTTTCGACGCGCGCGCGCGATCGACGCCGCGAGGTTCGCGCGCGACCGCGCCGATCGATCGGCGTCGACGCGACGACGGCTCGATCGCGCGATCGCGCGATCGCGACTCGATCGACGACGCGCGTTTCGACGCGCGCGCGCGATCGACGCCGCGAGGTTCGCGCGCGACCGCGCCGATCGATCGGCGTCGACGCGACGACGGCTCGATCGCGCGATCGCGCGATCGCGACTCGATCGACGACGCGCGCTTCGACGCGCGCGCGCGATCGACGCCGCGAGGTTCGCGCGCGACCGCGCCGATCGATCGGCGTCGGCCGCGGTCGCGCGCGCGACTCGCGCGACGCGCGCGCGAGACGCGCGCGCGGTGGACGATCGCGACGCGGGCGTCGACGCGACGGACGCGCGGTCGACGATCGATCGGCGCGCGCGACGGGCGCGAGGGAGGCGCGCGCGACGCGGGAGGCGCGCGCGGCGGTGCGGGTTCGGAGAGACGCGCGCGGCGGACGGACGCGCGGGGGCGCGGCGGAGGCGCGGAGACGACCGAGGCGCGGTGAGGGAGTCGAGGGGATGCGCGCGCGAGCGATGGTGGGGGTCGAGGGGGGCGCGCGCGGGCGCGCGCGGGCGGTGGGACGCGAAAGAGGGAGGGACGGCGGGCGACGGCGACGCGCGGCGACGACGAGACGCGCCTCGGTCGTGGATTCCGACGCGGAGAGGGCGGGGAAGGATAAGGCGACGAAGGGATCGAAAATGGTGACGAGCGTGGCGGAGGAGGAGGAGGATGGATTGGAGCACGTGTACGAGAAATCGCGGTGGTTTGAGATTCGGGACGTGGTTCGCCCGACGCAGGTGGCGCTGGGGTGGGATTGGACGTTTTATAAGCTCGCGAATTTTAAAGACGCCGACAGCGCCAAGGCGTACATGGCTCGGAAACCGATTCCGTACGTTAAATACCGAGGGTTGCGGTACGTGGTGGATCATCATCACACGCTCGCCGCGCTGAACCTGGCGGGTTGGGACATCGACGTTTACATGGAAGAGATTTTTGAGTACGACGACGACATCGGGGACGACAGGTTTTGGGGTAACATGGAGGGTAAAGGTTGGAGCTTCTGTTGGGATTCGGATTACTCTCGCTTGTCGCACGAATCTATCCCGAAATCGTTTGAACTGCAGGCGTTTAGAAACGACATCTTTCGCTCGCTCGGGGGGTTCTGCCGGAAAGCCAAGCTCCTCAAGCGCGGCAAGATGCTCGAAGAAAAATTATTTTTCGAGTTCCAGTGGGGATACTTTTTCTGGCTCCATAGAAACGACGCTTACGCGCTCTGGCCGTCGTCACAACTGCAACGCGGTTTTGACCGTCTGCTCGCTATGATTGAGCAAACGGACGACAGCGAATACATCGGCGAGGGACATCTTGAGGCGAGTCGTGACGTCGCAGACATGATCTTTCTCTCGGACAAAGTTTTGCAACCGCTTTACGAAGTGCTCGTTGAGTACGTCGCGCCCCTGGCGTACGCGTACGCCACCTTGCCCGACGACGCGCGCGTCGTCCACGGTTTGAGAAAGAGATTCGGCCGCGAGACTCTTCCCGGTTCCGTCATCACCGGCCAGTTTGACTTCTTAACCGAGCGTCAAAATTTCACCATGCCCGAGGATGGGAAGAAGGACAAGTCTAAGGATGGAAAATCGAGCTCGAGCTCGAAGAAGAAGGACTAAAAGAACGCCGCCCACCACCCGCCCTCCCCACTAGCCGACGCGCTGCCTGACGTGCGAGCTGTAATACGCACCAAACACCACGCTTACAATACGCGAGCGCGCATGGTACACACCGCGTCGCGCGCTCCGCTCGCGCTACGACTGGCGTCCCCGCGCAGCGTCAGGGACGGGGACGTTGTCCGCCGAGTCGCCAGCGCCGCGCCCGCTCGCGACGATCTACCGCAGACCTCGCGCGCGTCCAACGCGTGCTCCACGCTCATCGCTATCGCGCTCACCGCCTCGGCGCCAGCGTGGGCTTTCGACGGCGACGCCGCTGGGGCGTTCTCCTCCAGAGGTTGCGTCGGGTGCCACGCCGCGGGCGGCAACGTCGTCGCCGCGTCGGCCACGCTCTTCGCTCGTGATCTCGAACGCAACGGTGTGGCGACCAAAGAAGATATTTCGAACTTGATAGAGCGAGGGAAAGGGAAGATGCCGGGGTACGGGGAGTCGTGCGCGCCCAAGGGCGCGTGCACGTTCGGCGCGCGTTTGGACGCCGAGGAAATCGACGCATTGGCGACGTACGTCCTCGATCGCGCCGCGGTCGATTGGAAGTGAAACGAAATTGGATTGTTAGTTTTCATCGTCGCCGAGCTTTGTATTTCAATTATAACTGTACAGGACATCTTGTCGAACGCTCGGCTCACCGCGTTGCGAGCGCTTCCGACGCCCCGCACGCCTCTCGAAGCGTCTCCACTAAGTGCATCATCTCCTCAGCGTCGCACATAAAATTCACGCGCTCGTCATTGCCCGAACCATCGCCTAAGACCCACGATATGTGAAACGCCGGCTCGCGTCTATCTCCGTTGGCCGACGCGCTCACGACGTAATCCGCCCGACACGCGTGCGATTTCAACCGTTTCACCGCGCTCGACCGCGCGTGTCTTCGCAATTCCCGCTCTAACTCTCCTCTAATTTTCTCATATGCAGCTGCGACGCGCTGCGCGTTGGTTTTCGACGTTCCAGCGTCCCGCTCGAGCGTCGACGCGACGTCGCCGCCGTCAAAGCCTCGTCTCGCCGCCTCCACGAACGTCACGGACACCCCCGCCACGGCGTCGCGCGCCTCGAGCGTCGACAATACCTCTCCAGCGTCTTCCACCGTCGTCTTTGACGTGAGCGCGCTCGAGACGTGCGAGAGGACGGCGTTTAACGCGTTCGCATCGCACCGGTCGATGGATTCCAGTCGTTTTCGTACGCTCGCCTGCGCGCGTGAGAGCGATCGAGGTCGTCAGTCAGTGACGTGCGAAGCGCGATGAAACGCGACGTCGAGTCGAAATCGAATTTCAGGTCGAACGCGCGTTTCGTCGCACCCCGAGGTCCATGGCGTTGAGTTGTGCGGTGCGAGACGCCGCGCGCGCAGATTTTAATTTTTACTCGAACCACACTACAATCGCTACTTTGAGCTAAACCGCTCGAACCGCGACATCGTCGTTGGCGTGAAATGTTGCGATCCAACCATGCTTGAGCACGACGCATTCGTGCCCGAAGAGATGCGCATTCTTTCTCGCGGATGTGGCGAACGCGCGCCGAAACGCCGGCGCGTCCTCGACTGCGCTCAAGAAGACTTTGTTGTGCCCGATGCAGAACGGTACGCGCGTGCCACCTTGTGCGAGGTACTGTCCAAGCCCACTGATGCATCCGGGCCAATCGGGATTGAAACAGTCGTCCAAGATAATGACGCCGTGAGCGTGTGAGCACGACTCGGCAAGGCGTAAATCAGCGAGCGTGCACTCAGCCGTGTGAGAACCATCGACGCTAAACATGCGCACATCGATCGCGTCGGCACCATCGCCAACAACATCGCTCGGTTTTAAATCTGTCGAATTTCCCTGGATCACCTTGATGAAACTCGGCACGCCGTTTTCGTCCGTCGGCGTCCAACCGTCGACGTCGGCGCAAAACTTTCGGCAATTCTTTGTAAATTTACGCAAGTTCCCTCGTCCGCTTTCATCGACGTTAAAGTCTTGCTCCTCGAAGCAATCAATCGCTATGCACCTTTCTTCCTCGCGCCTGCGTAGCGCCGTCAGAGCTAAAAACGACCGTCCATGATAGACGCCAATTTCGCACAACGCCGTCCTCTCCGCTGTCCCCAAACCGAACGCGTCCTGCTGCACCCTGTCGATAGTCTCGTACGCCTCCACGCATCCCAGCTCAAAGAACCCGCTCACAGACGTCAACGCTTCCATCACCCGGCGCGTTCGCTCGCTCGCCGCGCTCGCGCACGACGCAGCGTGTTCGTTTCGTCGTCGCTCGGCGGCTGAACGAACTTTCGTGTCGTCGAACGACGACGACGCCCGCGCGGTGGCGGTGCGCGCGCGCGCCGAGACGACGCGCGGGCACGATGACATTTAAATTATGAATCGACACGACCGCTTGTTGAGAACTTTGTTGAGTTATTACAACGACTCGCGTTGTGCGGCGAAGGACGCCGGCGTTGAGAAAACGCCGAGACGCGTCGCGGCTTGACGCTAGCGATAGATAGACCGTGGGAAAATCTCTACTCGAAGAACGGGATTCTTCGTGGTAATGAGTGAAAGTTTATTGTTTCATTCGCGCCATCGCCCGTGATGCTCGCGAATGGGGTGGCTCGCGCGTCGTCGCGACGACGTTTACAACTTCGGAATGAAGGAGTTCGTCGGCGTGCACTCGCGCATGAAAACCATGGCGGCGCCGAGGTGCATGGCGCTCAGAGCGCGGCCCCAGGGCTGAACCATTTGCGGCGCCAAAGAAGTGGCGACGATGAGAAGCTCGAGGCACAAGAACAACGCGGCGCGTCGGGTGGAGTAGCCAGAGATGTAGCCCAAGGCGACGCACGTGCTGACGACGTGGTGCAGCGGGTGGAAGATCAAGCCGGCGACCGGGCCGAGGACGCCCGGACCGGTCATGCCGGCGGCGGTGAACTTGGCCATGGACGAGCCTTGCATCATGAGGAAGCTCATCATCAAGCCCGGAACAGCGATCGCGAGCTTGCGAAGCGCGGCGGCTTGCTTGGAAGAAAAGTAGCCGCGCGCCTTGCGCGTCGTGAGCAACAAAAGAATGGCGTTCGAGTACTTGAACGCCATGGCGTTGCGAATGAACACATCGCGAACGCCGTGCGAAGAGCCGGCGATCATGGTGTTACCGCATAAGAATAAGCTCATAGCGGTGAAGAGCGCCGGAATGTCACTGTTCGACCCGATGCCCAAGATGGCGCCGAAACCGATGAGAAACTGCACGAAGCTCCAGTGCGCGCCGAACCACGCGGCGCCGACGGGCGCCAACGGCCCGGACGCTCCCTTCAACCCGAGCGACTTAAACATCGCCGCCGTGCCTCGTCCACCGAGCTCCGGCACGCCCGCGTACGCGATCGACGTCGCCGCACCGTACGCCCCGAGTCGTTCCAAAAACGTCTTCAACCCGCTCACCGACGTCAGCATCGTCGCCGTCGCCTTCGCGTTTCCGAGCACGTTCAAATTCACGAGCGTCGTCAACGGATTCCCGATCTTCGGCAAACTCGGAAGTTTAGACTTCGGGCTCGAGCGCGTGCTTCGCGCCGACTTCTTCGAGCTCGATCTCTTCGAAGGCGCGCGTCGCGCGCCCGCCATGGTCGCTTCTCTCGTCGTTGAATTAATTCCCACGCGCGAATGTCAATTCGCCTCCTGAGGTCGCGCTCGCGCGTGTCCCGCGCTCGACCGCGCGTGAACCGCGCTTCGTGCGTTCGCGCGTGAAGCGCGTTCGTTCTCTCGCTTCGATGCTTCGATGCGTCGGTGGTCCTCGACGCGTCGTTCGCGAACGTTCGTCACGCGCGCGTCACGAAGTGTCGCGCCGCGCAACCGTCGCTTCGCGCGCGTGTCGCGTCGCGTCGCGTCGCGTCGCGTCGCGATCGTTCCCCTCTCGACGCGTACTCTACGCGTTTTATCGCCATCGCGCACATTTTCCACACGTCCCCAAAGTGCGCGCGCCAGCGCATCGGTCGAGGGGAACGAGCGCTGACGGCGCGAGTCACCGAATGTCCGAACCATCGCGCGTGATCACCGGTCGTGACTCAAAAAGAGTCATAATTCAATAAAATACGGTACGCGACGCATTGAGAGTCACAAAAACCCTAAACGACCGAAACGTCGATCGGCGTCGACCGACGCGCCGCGCCGCGCGTCGATCGACGCGCGACGACGGCGCGAGATCGCGACGCGACGCGATGGCGTACGCGGGCTACGCCCCGGGACACCGCGTCGTCGAGCGCACGCCGCTCGAGCGCGCGCTCCGCGCGATCGCGCGCCCGGAGACGCTCGATCTGCTCGAGCGACTGAGCAAGAACGTCGCGCGCGCGCCGAGCGAGGCCAAGTATCGAAAGTTGAAGCGCGCGAACGCGACGATCGGGCGAGAGATATTCGACGACGAGCGCGCGATGCGGGCGATGATGACCATGGGGTGGATCGCGGAGACGATCGAGGGGTCGGAGTGCCTGACGCTGCCGAGAGGGACGACGACGACGATGCGAGAGGTGCGCGCGATGGACGAGGCGCGGACGGCGCTGCGACGAAGGCTGGAGGAGGAGATGCGGGCGAAGATACGAGCGAGAGCGATGGCGAATGATCCGCGGAGAGCGGCGCTGAGGGAGGCGGTGGAGGCGGATCGAGCGGAACGCGCGGTGAGGGAACCGGTGACGACGGGGTCGCGCGCCGCGGCGCGAGGGACGGGGACGACGGTGACGGCGAAGGAGGTCGGCGCGTCGGGAAGCTCGGGGTGCTGAGGATAATGCGCTATTACGCGACGGCGCGATGTGAGCGGACGAGACGCGGACGCACCCGCTCGCTCGCTCGCTCGCGCGCGCGCTCGTCGCGTAATAGTCGCGCCGCGGCGCGCGTTCCGCGCGTTCGATTGGAACGGTCGCGCGCGATCTCGCGAGGAATTCGTTCGCATCGTCGCCGTGCGAAAACCATGGCTTCGACGATGACGACCACGACACAGTCCTCGCGACTCGCGCGCTCGTCGTGACGCCAAGTCGAGTAACCGTCGAGCGTCTCCGCGCTCGACGTTCGTCTTCGCCGATAACCGCCGAACAATCGACGCGAACGCTCGCGTAAGATTTATCACATCATTCATTTCACGCGCCATCATTCTTTGTACGTTGTTATACACTACACTCATTCATACGCGAACGCTCGCCTCGCCGCCGTCTCGTCTCGCGCCCGCCGCACTTTGTCCCTCGCGCGTTCGCCGTCATGCCCATCATCGACGTCGCCATCGGCCCGTTGATCCAAATGGCCGAGGCCGCGTCGCTCGGCATGCCGTTTGAGGTCTGGAAGACCCGCATGGGTCGTAAGCGCGACGAGAGCACGCTCCGCGCGTTCGCAAACATTTACCGCGAGGGCGGCCCTAGCGCTTTTTGGCGCGGAACGCAGGCGAAAATGGTGGAAAGCGCGACGAAAGGGGCGATATTGATGTACGCGAAGGAAGGCATAAACGATGGGTTACTCGCGAGCGGATGGACGCCCGGAGCGGCGGGCGTGGCGGCGGGCGCGGGTGGTGGGATCGCGCAGGTGAGCGTCATGGCGCCGACGACGTACTTGGTCACGGGCGCGGTGAACTCGCCCGGCATGTCGACGATGGAGCGGATACGGACGACGTACGCGCGGGGAGGGATCGGAGGATTTTATCCAGGCGGTGTCGCCATCGCGTTCCGGCAAGCGACGAATTGGGCGTCGAGACAAGGATTCACAGAGATCGTTCGCGAAAAGGCGCGAACGGCGATTTACGGCGACGCCGAGGGCGCGAAATTGACCAAGTGGGAAGAAGTCGGGTGCGGGATCGTCGGTGGGACGTTGGCGTCGTGGAATCATCCGTTTGAAGTCGCGCGGATCGAGGCGCAGAGTCGTGGGAACGCCGGAATTCCCACCGGGAACATGGTGAGCGTGATGCGCGACATCGTCAAGGAGAGCGGCGTCGGCGGTTTGTTTCGCGGCATCGTTCCTCGCATCGGATTGGGAATTTGGCAGACGCTCTTCATGGTGACCGGGGCAAAGATGGTGAAGGAGACTTTGAAAGAGAACGGGTATCTCGAGAACGCCGGTTCGGGCGGGCATTAATCAATACGATCTTTTCGTCAGTCTTTGTTGAGCGCGACTCCTTTCTAATCCTCCGAAACATCACATCTCGTCGCGTCGTTCAAGATGTCAATCCGCGCCGTGCTCGCGTCACTCAACGATCCGCGCGATCGTCGATGCGTGCGCATCGTCTGCGTCGCGTTAATCGCGTTCGAACTCGCGTTGTGCGCGGTAATCATCGCCAAAGTTGCCTACACAGAAATCGATTGGATCGCGTACATGGAGGAAGTGCACGGCTATGCGCGAGGCGAGCGCGATTACACCAAACTGAAAGGTGGCACTGGACCTTTGGTATACCCAGCTGGGTTCGTGTACGCGTACAAGGCGCTGTATGATTTGGTGGGTGGGCTTGAACGCGGGACGAGCGCGCGCGGCGTGGCGACGGCGCAAGTCGTCTTCGCGTTAGTGTACGCCGCGCATCAAGCGCTGGTGTTCTCGATGTACGCGATGTGTGAAATTATACCACCGTGGGCGTACGCATTGTTGTGCCTGTCGAAGCGCGTACACAGTATTTTTGTGCTTAGAATGTTCAACGACGGCGTCGCGATGGCGTTGGCGTATGGCGCGACGACGTTGTTTCAACGCAAAAGGTGGATCGCGGGGAGCGTGGTGTTTTCTCTCGGAGTGTCGGTGAAGATGAACGTATTATTGATGCTTCCTGGGTTATTGGTACTGCTGGTAGGAGGTACGAGCGCGGGAACGGCCATCGGAGCTGTCGCGGCGATTGTGGGGACGCAAATCGCGCTCGGCGCGCCGTTTCTTGCGACGTATCCTCGCGAGTATCTAAGCCGCGCGTTCGAGCTCGGTCGCGTGTTCACGCACAAGTGGAGCGTCAACTTCAAGTTTGTGTCGGAAGACATTTTTGTGTCGAAGTCATTCGCAAAATACCTACTTCTTGCGCACTTGGTCTGCTTGTTTGTCTTCGCGCACCGACGGTGGTGCGCACGCGAAGGGGGATTTTTCTTCAATTTCGTGCGAGATTTCTTCAAACGCTTGCTCCTGAGGAACGTTGATGGCGTGCAATCGACGTTTACCCCCGCGCACGTCGCGCTGGTGCTGGCGCAGAGTAACTTGATCGGCATCGTTTTTGCGCGTTCGTTGCATTATCAATTTTATTCGTGGTACTTTCACACTATACCCCTGTTGCTTTGGTCCAACCCACGAGTGCCGGTGGGGGCTAAGCTCGCAATCATGGGTGCGATAGAGTGGTGTTGGAACGTCTACCCGTCCACGCCGACGTCGAGTAAGATTTTCGTCGTCATTCACCTCGGTGTTCTGGCAGTTGCTTACGCCGCGCCGACGGCGTCGAGACGTGGCAAACAAAAGAGCGCGTAGTGTGAGTAGTGTGTAATAGCCTAGCTTAGAGCCCACAATTGTACAAAATGATAGATATATATACAAAGCAGGTACTAAATCTGAATCCCGAAGAAACGATCCCAAAACGTCGCCGTTCGCGTGACGTAGAAGCTTCGTCCCGACGGCGACGTCAAAGGTCCTTCGTAATCCACGGAGTCCGTCATCTCGCCGTAGCCTTTACCCGCGCCAGCCATGACGCGATCATCGTCGTATTCTTCTAGTAAGCCCGCTTCTTTGAGTTTATCTTGAAGCTCCGACCGTCTGGCCTCCATGGTGAGCACCAAGTCGCCCAACGCGCGCGTGCGCTGACGATCAATTTGACGCAGCCTAGCCACCGCCTCGGCTTGCTGTTGTGCCTGTTGCAGCACGCTTCGCGTCTGTTCGATGAGTTCAAACTGCCCCTCGTCGTTTAATTCCTTAATCTCGACATTAATCGACACCGGTCGCTCGCCAATCAAATCAAACTCGTTTTCGCGTTGCTGCAACAAGCGCCGCACCGCCTGCAATTCTCGCTCCTTTTCTTGATGCTGCGCGTGCAAGTCCTGCATTTTCTGCGTCAACTCCTTCACGCGCGTGATCAAAACACCATTCTGATGCTCCACACTCCCAGGAAGCGCACCCCCGGTCTGCTCTACCGTCTGTCCCTGCAGCGCCGCCTTGCGCACCGCGCTCAAAGATTTCGCCGTCTCTCGCAATATATTCTCCGTCACCTCCCGCTTCATCGTCTCTCGCACCAGCGTCGCCTGCGTCTCAAACAACCTCTTCTCATTCGTCTCCACCTTTTCCTCCAAATTCATCTCCTCGTACCGCTTCAACGGCGTCCTCGACCGCGCGCTCGCGCTCGTCGCCGGCGTCCTCGTCGCCGTCTCTCCGTTCCCGCGCTCTCCGAGCGTCGTCAACCGTCCGTTCGTCGCCTCCGGCGCCGGCACCGGTCGCGATCCGATCGCTCGCGGCCGATTCGCGGCGCCATCGACGACGCGTTTCGTCACCGTTCGCACCGGGATCTCGTCCACGGTTTGAATCGTCTTCACCGTGCGCGTCACCGTGCGCGTCACCGTCGTCCCGTCCGCGAGCGTCTCGGTGTTTTCGTTCGTTTCGCGCGCTTTCGCGTCGCCCTCGCCCATGGCGGTCGTCGCGCCGTCGCGCGCGCGCGTGTGACGTCGTCGCCGCGAATCGAATCGGGGTGTCGGGCGCGCCGAACCCTAAACCCTAACTAAACGCGCGACACTAATCGACGCGTCGTTCGATTCGCGCGAACGACGCGATGGCGACGAAAGCGCGCGCGGTCGGTGCGTGAGAGCGCGCGAGGGCGCGCGCGAGCGTCGACGCGACGCCTCGACGACGACGACGACGACGCGGAAGCGCGCGGTCGATGAGATTCGTGACGATTGATTGATTTCTTCGTGACGCGACGCTTCCATCGGGACGCGACGCCTCGACGACGACGACGACGACGACTGACGAGCGATGGATTGGACGCGAGCGCAGCGGCGACGAAGGCGAGCCTGGACGCGTTCGAGACGATCGACGTCGAGCGACACGCCGTCGGGGACGATGACGTGAGCTTCGACTTGGCGTATTGCGGTATATGCCACACCGACCTGCACTTCGCGATGAACGACTTGGGGAACACGCGGTATCCGATCGTTCCGGGACACGAGCTCATCGGAACGGTGACGGAGGTTGGTAAAAATGCGGCGTCGAGAGGTTTCGCGATCGGGGACGTCGTCGGCGTGGGATGCATCGTGGATTCGTGCTTGGCTTGTAAATACTGCGCCTCGAACGAAGAACAATATTGCGAAGCGGGCATGACGATGACGTACGGCGGCGAAACGAAGCATGGGCGAGCCGGCCCGAACGGTCAAATCACCGTCGGTGGGTACAGTACCAAGCACGTCGTCGACTCAAGATTCGCGATTAAGATTCCCAAGGGCGTGGATGACCTCGCTGCGTGCGCGCCCCTTATGTGCGCCGGTATCACGCTGTTTGATCCCATCAAGGCGTTCGGCGTGCGAGAGGGCATGCGAGTCGGCGTCGCGGGTATCGGTGGATTGGGTCAAATGGGGATTAAAATCGCCGCCGCGCTCGGCGCCGAGGTCACCGCGATTTCTCGCACGAACGCCAAGGAGGCCAAGGCCAAAGCCGCCGGCGCGAAGCACTTCATCGCGTCGTCGGACGCCGAGGCGATGAAGAACGCCGCGGGCTCGCTTGACTTGATTCTTGACACCGTCTCCGCTAGCCACGACAGCGAACCGTACGCGGCCATGCTCGATAAGAAGGGCACACTGTGCTTGCTTGGGTTACAAACGGCGCCCGTCGCGGTGAACGCGACGCAGTTTGTCTTCAACCGCATCGCCGTCACCGGATCGTTGATCGGTGGCATCAAAAATACACAAGAGATGATCGATTTTTGCGTCGAGAAGAAGCTGTATCCGGAAATCAAAATTATCGACGCGAAGGAAATTCCCGAAGCGCTCAAGAACTTGAACGACGGTAACGACGCGGGCGTTCGATACGTCATCGACTGCAAGACAATCAAGTAGATGCGCGGATCTCTTTTATTTTTCAATCTTACGAAATTCTTTACTACAGCTCTGCATTTCAATTTCAAATCATTCGCGCTAAGACGAAGAATCCTCCGCCGTGACGCCTGACATCACCGTCGCTTCTCTTTCCAATCTCTCTAAAAGTCGAATCTTGTCCGCATATTTCCAATACGGATTGGCGTCGAGCGTGTTCACCGCCATCTTCGACATTTCGCGCAAGACGTTGTCTTTGTCGATGTCGGAGACGACGGCTTCGAGCGAGGCGCGTTCGGCGAGGAAGTTATCGCGGAAAGGAGACAAACCCGCGCGCTTACGCATCAAACGTTCGTAATCGCGCTGCTGCGCTCTCGCCTCCACCGCTTCCTTCTTCAAAAACTCAAACTCTTCCTCGCTCTCCACCTCGGCGGCTTGCATCAGCCACTCCTTGTTCGCTTCGACGTACTCTTCGTCGCTCTGCGCTCGTTCTTGGCTCCCAAGGCGTGGCGTTTCGATGATATGCGCAACATCGAGGTTTTCGTGGAACAAAAGCAAACTCTTACGATCGAACTCTTGCCTGTCATAATCGTAAGTCTTGTTCTCGGCTTGAAGCTGACGCGCGACGCGAATGCGCTCGGTGAGCGCCTGTTGAATCTTCGCGTCTTGCGCGTCGCCTCTCTTCTCGCGACGACGCGTCGACGGCGCAGCGCGTCTACGCTGTGCGATACCCATTCCCATGGCGCCATCCTTGCTACGTCGCGACGACGTGGATGCTAAAAGCGATGGATCAAACTTCAAATCATCCACCGAGCCGCCGTCGGTGCGTCGCTTGTAGCGAGGCACGAAAAATTTAACATTTTCTCGCCCCGCGGCGACGCGTTCGGCACGCCGCGCTTCAGACATCTCCCGCGCCTTTGCCTTCTGATCCATTAACTTTTCTGCTCGAATCTTGCGACGATTTGCAATCTCCGCCTCTCGCCTCTCCAACGCCTCCGCCGCCGCCTCCGCGTCCAACGGTTCGCCGTCGTCGCCGACGAGCGACGTCAAATTCTCAATCACTTTTCGCGACTTTCGCCTCGGCGTCGGTGACATCTCCTCAACTTCCCCTTCTTGCGGTTTCTTTGCCGCTAATCGCAACACCAACGCCCCCGGCGCGCCGTCCAGCGCCCCCAACTCGCCCTCGCTCGCCGCCGCGATCGCCTTCTCCGCGTGTTCCGCCCTCACGAAGCGCACCAGCCCGCCCGGCCACGGCCCCTCGGGATTCAGCGCTTTCGCCGATAATATCGGTCCATACTTTCTAAACGTCCGCTTCAGCATGTCCTCGTCCACGCCCGGCGGCATGTTTTTCACGTAGACGTTCGCCGCGTCCCGAGGCGACGGTTCGAGCCTCGCTCGCGTCTGCGCCGTCCGTCGTCGCGTCCGCCGTTTCGCCGTCTCCGCGTCCCGCGCCGTCGCGTCGTCACCCTCGTCATCGTTCGTCGCTCGCGTCGTCGTCGCGTTCGCGTCCTCGCCCGCGTCGTCGTCGTCGTCGCCGTTCGTCGTCGTCGTCGACAGAAACCTAAGCGCGATCGCGCGCCCGCTCGCGCGCGTCGCGCTCGCGCTCGCGCGATGCGACGCCTCGTCGGCGAAGCGCGCGCGCGTCAGCGCCTCCGCGAGCGCGCCGCGGGCGAGCGCGCGAAGCCGCATCGCGCGCCGCGCGTCGCGATCTGCGCCGCGTCACATCGCGCCGCGTCATCGTCATGACGCTCGCGCGGCGCGCACCGCGCGTCTCGGTCGCCCTCGCGCGCGACGAGGGACGATCGCGACGACGCGCGCCCGAGCGCGCCCGAGCGCGTCGCGGCGCGCGCGCGCGGGCGAAGGAATCGAGCGGAGACTTCATCACGGACGTCGTCGGGAAGATTTTCGGCGCCGACGCGCTCGCGGACCCCGAACCGTTCGGACTGAAGCGCATGAACAAGGACGAGTGGCCCGATCAGTGGCCCGCGGAGACGACGGCGTCGGCGGCGGCGCTGGCGAGCGACGAGGGGGAGGTGAGGGAGATTCGACCGGCGCTGAAGCAGACGCAGTTGGAAAAGTTGGCGCTCGGGTGCGCGTACGACGCGAGGACGCACGGGTGGTCGGCGCGCGCGTTTCACACGCAACTCGACGGTCAGGGCGCGGCCGTGTTGGTCGGGAAGACGGCGGACGGGGAGACGTTCGGAGGATATAATCCGATCGGTTGGTTGGGATACGGCGAAGCGCGCGACGCCATCTCGGCGTTTTTGTACGTGCTCGATCGAAAAACGGGTAAAGCCGTCAAGCTGCCCAAGACGGGCGGGAGCGGCATGGCGATCATCGATGAGGATGGGAAAGGGCCGCAGTGGGGGCCGGACGGGTTGAAGATTTCGCTCGAGGGACGAAGCGCGAGGTCGCGGTTGGGGACGTATTACGAAACCATGCCAGACGGCGGCGACTGCATGTTCGCGAACACCAAGCGCGGATCACCCGTGGAACTCACCGAGCTTCGCGTCTACGTGTCCTTAGAGGACACCGAGATCGCGAAAAATTACCAGCCGAACGCGTTGCAGTGGCAAAAGGGGGAACTGGAAGAGATTCGATCGAACGACGACGACCCAAACCACATGGACGGGTTCTTCGGCAAACTCTTCGGCAAGAAAAAGTAATATGTATTAGCGGCAGCTTTTAATCGATGTTGTACAACGCGTGCGCGCAAATAATATCGATTCGTCAATCTATTGCCCCTCCGGCATGGCGTCCGGCGGATTCTCCGCGAGCTCGCGCTCGAACGCCTCGAGCGCTTCCTCGTCTTCGCGTTTCAGCCGCATCCCTCTGTGCCCGCCCGGATACCGTCCCTCCACGAACGCCTTCGCCGCCGTCAGGCTCATCCGCATCTTAAACATCACGTACGCCACCGCCACCGACGGCGCCTTCGACCGCCCGCTCATGCAATACACCAACACTCTCATCGGATAAGACTCGTACGCCCTCGCCGACCGCGCGTGCAGCGCCTGCAAGCGCTCGCACGCGTGTCTAAAATCCAACCCCCTCTCCGGCGGTTCCCTCGCGTTCAGCGTCACCACGCTCAAATACTTCCCACTGCAGCACGGCGTGCAGCTCGGCACCGCGTTTATCACCGTTCGCACCCCCGCCGCGAGCAGCGCGCGTTCGCTCGACGTGTGCTCGAACGCGCCCACCAGCATGAACCTCTCGATCACCTCCACCACCGTCGTCGACTGCGCGCGCGCCCGAGCGCCGCCGTCCCGCGTCGTCGCTCGTCCGCGCGCGTCGCGGGACGCCTCCGCGTCGCGCGCGCGCACGTGCCCGCACTCCGCGCACGTCGTCCCGCGCGCGTGGTAGTGCTCGCACGTCTCGCAGCGCTCGTCCGCGAGCGCCTCGTCGCTCGCGCGCTTGGGCATCGCGCGCGCGGCGACGGCGACGCGATCGGCGTTCGATCGCGATCGCGTCGCGAGCCGACGCTTCGCGCGCGCGGCGCACTGGCGACGAATCGACGAATCGCCGCGCGTCGTCGTCGCGTCGCCGGACACGACGGCGCGCGCGCGAACGCCGAGCGACGACGCGCGAGACCGCGACGCGCGGCGATTCGTCGATTCGCGCGACGCGCCGGATCGCGCGACGCGCCGGATCGCGCGAGAGGACGCGAGAGGACGCGAGAGGACGCGCTTCGACGAGTCGGCACCGATGCCGCGATCGCGCGCGACGACGCGCGACGACGACGACGCGTGCGATGCGAACGGCGACGATCCGTGCGCGATGGGGGCGCTGTTGCTCCTGGGGGCGCGCGACGCCGCGCGCGAGGGACGCGGGCGCGCGGCGGGGGCGCGGCGGGAGCGACGCGGCGAAGGGACGCGCGAGGGAGCGAGGGACGACGATGGATCGGTAAAAATAAAAATCAACGAAAGCGCGCTGAAGATGAGGCTTGGGATCAAGAATGCGGATCATCGGCGGTTGATTTATAGGTGGACGAACGCGCTGATTCGCGCGGTGGGGTTGAAGGTGCCGACGGGATTGGGGGCGATTGTTTTGCATAACGCGAAGAACAAGCGGGAGAAATTCGATAAATTTTTGTTGCATTACTACGGGAAGGAGTCGTTTTCGCCGGGGACGTATTGGTACTCGAACGCGAACGCGCTGGCATTTTTTAGCGAAATATTTTACGTCGCGACGAATGGACGCGTGCGGTGCAACGACGACGACATCATGCAAATCTTTTCGAAATCCGATCCAAACAGGCAGGCGAGCACGTGGGTGACGTCGTCTGCTACGTTGGAGCGCTTTGGAATCACTCGCATGGAAGTTTTGGCGATTTATTGCGGTGAACCTCGCTTTGAGAACGGTTGGCCGAAGGGGCAACCGCTTCGCGTGCAGCCACCAAAAATCGTGGTGACTCAGCGCGATGGCTCGGTCACCGATAAATCTGACTTGACAAATGTGAAGACAAATACCGCTCTCGTCGACCCAGGGCGGGTGGCGCTCAAGCGCGAAAGATCGAAAAAGCACGTCGTCTCCGTGGTTGGTGTCGACCCGCGAGTCACCTCGTTGGGTTGGAAGCGACAGGCGGTGGAATCGGGACACGCGATGCAGAGGACGACGCTGCTGGAGCGTCAAGCGATTGAACTTTGCAAGCACATCGAGCCGAGCGAAGAAAACTCACCAATAATGATTATGCCTCTGATTTACGATCAGATTTTACGAGGCACAAAGTGCTGCGGACCGCGATCCCGACCTTGCGAGAGAAACAAATTTAACAAACACTACGGTAAACTTCTGTCTACCGACGTCTTCTTGCCTGAAGACGTCGGTGTCGCGCTGAAAATCAAAGACTCCGCGGTTGAAGTGCAAGAGCTTTTCAGGAAGTTCACCAACGCTTTCCTCAAGCTTAAAGTTGCCATGGCGGATTTGGACGAAGTGAGCGCTACGCGAGACTCAGTATCGACCACGTTAAACGGTGTACTCTCGGTCTTAAATACCGTGGCCGATACGAAAAGGAAAAGTGAACTCGAAGCCATCATCACCGAGCAACGAGCTCACTTTCATGGGCTCGAGTCGGAAGTCGCGCGCTTGAATAAAATTGTGGACAGCGTTCGCGTTGAGTTCGACAAGTCGGAGTCCGCGGCGCGTCAGCCCTATTTGGATATCGTACGTCGTTGCTACGAGCTCGGTAGTTTGGTGCAAGATCGAATGCAAAAGAGTATCAACGCAACTCTTGACTCGTGCATGACTGATATTGCCGCGTGCGAGATCAAGCAAGTTGGAGCCGACACCGACGAGCTGAACGCACTGTTTGTAAAACGCGATTCGTTGAAAAGTCTCAACGACACTTTGCGCGACTGCAAGGCGTGCTTTGCTTTCTCGCTCAATACGTTGGACCAACGCTGGGAACAGTTTAAACCGATGCGCTTGTGAACTGTACTTTTCGTTGAGTCGCATTGTATTAATATCACCACTAATTTTCGTTGCGTGTACGAAAGATGATCGGTAGCTAGTTACAAGAAATCTATTTCAAGCCATGAAGGTTATGAGGCTAAGCCATGAGACCCGCTAAAAACGCTTTGCGACGCGCTTCACACTCGCGCGGCGAAGGTCGATAGTACTTGAGCATACCGTCCCAGGGTACGGCTTTCAAACCCGCGCGCTTGCATATCATTCCTCGCACACGCTCCGCAAACTCGATGCTTGTTTCATCCTCACGTTTTCTCTGTGGCTCCATGTACCATACATCCGCGACGACGGCCCAAGAGCTCATGAGTGTGCACAAGTGCCTGGAAAAGCTCTGTCGCCGCGAGTTCCAAAACGCATCGACGAAAATGTTGTTGTACTTTATCGCCACCGGCACGACGTCCACGCCGAGATCAAACGCCCCTCGCTTGAACATCACGCAATATTTGTTGTTCACGCACGTGCCCTCGGGGAAAATCAACAGCGGCAACCGCGACTTCTCCGCCACGTGCTGCTTGAGTCTCGTCGCCACTGTGTTGCGGTCTTTGATATCAGTGCGGTTGAACTCGATGCAATCTATCGCATTCATCGCCGTTCTCTGTAACAGCCCCACCCATCCTTTATGCTTCTGCTGTATCACCGCGAACGGTGAGACTTGCGTCATCACTAAGTAATCGATCATCGACGTGTGGTTACTGACGTACACCATCCCTCCCATGTGTCCTCTTCGCGACGGTCTCGGCCCGTGATACTTGATCACTCCCGTCCACGAAACCACAAACGCCGCCGCATACAGCTCCACGCACTTTCTCTCGAATCCCCACCGTCTCGGTGTGCAGTAGTGCGAAAACATAAACGCCAACGCGAACGCCGCGCTCGCGCTCAAAATGAACCCCAGTCGCAACGGAAACAAGACAAAGTGTCGAATCACCCATCCGCACCACCACAGCGGCAGCAGATAAAAGTTAAAATTCCAATTCGCCTCCGCGGACTCTTGAAAGCATCGATTGAAGCTGTCATCGATCATCGCCGCGCACGCGTCTTGCAATATGCCGGAGCAGTCCAACAACCTCGCGAGCGTCGCCGCGTCCTCGGGCGTCGACGTTCGCGACGCCGTCGCGCGTCTTTCCAGCTCGATTCCGGGCGTCACGCGCTGAACCTCTTCGCGCTCGAGCTCACCGTCGCCGAAGCTGTCGAACGGGGCGAAGGACAGCGAGCGCGCGCCCATGGATGGTCTCTTCGCCACCTCGGGCGTGGACGCGCGATCGCTCTCGCGCGCGTCGTCGTCGTCGCCGTCGACGCGCGGCATCGCTCGCGTCGACGCGTCGTCTCGAGACGCGTCGGTTTGCGCTCTGGGCGGACGCGCGTGCGACATCGCGCGCGCGAGTGCGGACGACGGCGCGGGTCCCGCATCCTCCCCTCGAGCGCGCGGGGCGCGCCGGGCGCGGCGTCGAGCGTCGGTCGGTTTGATTTTAAAACTCGTGGCTATGACGTAGATTAGGTAAATACGACGTTACTTTTTACTCTCGCGCATCATTTGCACGAAATCCGCGAAGCAGCGATCGGAATCGTGCGGACCCGGAGACGCCTCGGGGTGGTACTGAATCGTCATCGCGCGCTGCTCGGGCCAAACCATGCCGGCGCACGTGCCGTCGTTGAGGTTGACGTGGGAGACTTGAACGCCCGCGGGCAAGGACTTGGGGTCCACGGCGAAGTTGTGGTTCTGAGAAGAAATCTCAACCGCATCGTCGGGGCCGCGAACGGGGTGGTTACCGCCGTGGTGACCGAATTTGAGCTTAAACGTGGACCCGCCGAAGGCTTGGCCGAGGACTTGGTGGCCCATGCAAATGCCAAAGACGGGAAGCTTACCGAGGATTTGCTTGGCGTTCTCCACCGCGTACGGCACCGCGCTGGGATCGCCCGGACCGTTGGAGAACAAAATTCCATCCGGGTTCATCGCCATCACCTTATCCGCCGGGTAAGACGCCGGAACGATGGTGAGCTTGCACCCGAAAGAAGCTAAGCGGCGCAAAATGTTGTGCTTGACGCCGAAGTCGTACACCACGACGTTGAACGAATCCTTGTTCGCCTTGGCTTCGTTACTGAATTCCCACTCCGCTGTGGTTTCCTTCCACTCGTACGGTTCCTTGCACGTCACTTCGCTGATCAAATCCTTCCCGACGATATTATACGCCTTCGCCTTTGCGACGAGTTCGGCGTCGCTCAACGAGGCATCCGTCGTGAGCACGCCATTTAAGCAACCAGTTTCCCGCAATCGACGCGTGATCTCACGAGTATCGATATCGGTGATCCCAATCACCCCTTGTTCTTCCAAATACGTCCCCAAATCCTTCACGCTGCGGTAGTTCGACACGTTCAGCGACAAGTTTCTCACCAGCATCGCGCCCATGTGCACCTGCTTGCTCTCCATGTCGCCCTCGTTGATGCCGACGTTGCCGATGTGCGGGCACGTGAACAACACGAACTGCCCCGCGTACGACGGATCGGTGAGAATTTCCTGATACCTAAAATTTCATCAAACGCGCGATGCGTCGTCGGCGTCAGTCAGACGATCGATCGAAGTCCGCGAAGCGCGCGCGCGAGATTTCAAAAACCGTCGGCGATCCGCCCCTCGCCCGCGCGCGCTTCCGACTCAACCATCCCTCTCCGCGCCTCGCGCCCTCGCGACGCGCGCGAACGACGTGACGTACCCACTGAGCGAGGTGTTAAACACCACCTCACCGACCTGCGTCGCCTTGGCGCCGAACGACCGCCCGTTCCACACGCTCCCATCCTCCAAAACCAAGCGGCAGTCGCGCTCTTCCCACGGCTTTTTCGCCGTCGCGCTCGCGCGCGCGACCGCGGCGCGTCGCGCGGCGCTTCGACGCGTCGGGAGCGAGCGCGCGGGCGTCGCGCGCGTCAGCGGGGTGGGCTTCGAGCTCAGCATCGCGTTCGCGCGGGCGCCGCGATGTGAAGCCCCAGCGCGAAGCCGCCATTCGAATCGCGCGTCCGCGCGTGTGTTTCATGGCTTACTTTGATCGCTCAATGCGCTGTTTTCGCGCACGAGTCTGTCATAAATATGTAAATTCGGACATTAGGGTATGTGAGATTATGTGAGATGATGAAAAAGATCGATCTGGGGACGCCACCTCGTCGCGCGCGCCGCCTCAAATCATCGCGCGCCATGCTCGCGCCGTCCAGCGCCGCGGCGCGAACGACGCCGCGCGCGCGCTCGACGACGCACTCGGTGACGCGCTCGAACCAGCTCCGAATCGCGACCGGCCGAAAAGCGCGCGCGACGACGGTTCGAGCGACGTTTTTCGATCGATTGAAGAAATCCACCGACGACGACGTCGACGCGGAGGGCGAGGCGGGGGACGGCGAAGACGAGGGCGAGGGCGGAGAGGCGAGGAAAATGATCGAGCGACGCGCGTCGGGGGCGAGCTTGGACATCGACGACGCGATGGCGAGCTTTAACGAGTTTGGGTCTGGGATGTTGGATAAGATCAACGCGATGGTGTCGCAGACGGTGGACTTGGACGTCGTGGAGGTCGTGGAAGAGGACGTGTACGAACGACCGAAGCCGAAGTTTAAGGCGCCAGCGTTTGGAGGACGAAAGGAGCCCGTGGAGGCGCCGAAGGAGAAGAAGGAGCGCGCGGGAAGGGCGCCGTCGTTTGGTTTCGGCGGGCGCGTGAGTCGAAGCGTCGACGAGGAAAAGGTGGAGGAAGAGCCGAAGCCGAAGTCGAGTGGGTTCGGGGCGATTCTAGAGCGGAGTGCGAGACGGCTGGATAAGACGAGGGAGATTTTAGACGAGGACGTGAAGAGGGGGGAGGCGGCGAGGATGAAGTTGCGCGCGGGACGGGAAGGCGGTAAAGCCGTCGCGGCCATCGCCGGGGACAGCCGTTTGGCTGCGGATGGCACGTGGACGCTCACGTCGGTCGTGGAAGAAGGTACAAATGGTAAGAAATTACCTTCGTTGAAGATCAAGCGCGGCGAGTCGAAAATTATCGGTCGTGCGAAGGGGCCTGGGGTGGACTTGGTCGTCCCGCTGCCGTGCGTCAGCACTGTGCACTGCGAACTCGAGACCGAGGGCAACAAGCTTTACATCACCGATCTCGGCTCGACGAACGGCACCTACGTAGAAGGTTTCGAGGTTAAGCAGAACAGGCGATTCCGTATCTTCAACGGCGCCCAAGTGCGACTCGGCGCCGAAAACTTCAACGGCGAGCCGTACGCCACGTTCAAGGCTTCGTTGTCGGGCGCCAAGGAGTTAGAGAAAGATTCCGAGTACGGTCAGTTGAACTACTTTATTGAGTTCTTGGGCGGTCCCCAAGTCGTGGTCAACTTCTTGTTCATCAACTTTGCCTTCCAAATGACCTTCTTCTTCATCATCACTTCGCAATAGCGGGAGTCGAGCAGAGGCGTGTAAGCTAAAATCCCTTTCAACAATATCGTGCGAATAGAATAACAACTAAATCTAACAAAGAATGCTTCGCGAGACGTGGACGGACGCCGCGGCGGTCGCGCCGCGCCTCATCGCGCCTTGTTCAACGAGACGGCATCGGCTAAAAAGAAACCTGTCCCGAACACGAAACTCACCGAGCCGAGCATGTAGAAGACGCATCCGAGGAGATAATTGGACATGATTGACGATTTTACCCGCGGCGCGTCCTCGGTCGTCCCCTTCGCGGGGTGGACCGCGATTACGACCTCCGAAATCGTCACCGTGGCGCGCGAGAGTGTGGCGCGGCGGTTGGGCCGGCGGAATATTTTACAATTTTACACCACTTCTAAAGCTTGCTTGCCCCTTGCGCGCGACTGCTTGTCGATCATTTGGACGCTAGTTGATAATATTTCCTGCGCACGCCTCTTTCTCACGTCGTTTCGTCGCTTGATTTGGCGATTCTCGACGGCGATGTACAGCGCTCGTGACGTCGGCACGAGGAAGAAAATGCCCGCGTACACGAGCAAGAGCGGCATGAGGAGTTTGAGCAGTTTGGGGAACAGCTCGAGGATAAGAATCACCAACGGTGGTTCGCCGTAGTCATCGATCGGGACGGTGCTCGTCGTCGGCGCGGCGTCACGGAATCTTCCCGCACGACGTCCCATCGTTTGTTCGGCTCTTCGTGGAAGTTGACTTTGGCGTGGAGGCTTGAAGTCCATACCACCGGCGGCACGGAAGATGAAAATAAGTGCTACGTTCAAAAATCCCAGGGCGACAACAAGCGGCATCTTCGCACCGCTCTCCCACAGAGGTCGGACTCGCTCGTAAATTGGCGGCGGCGTCGGAGCCTGAACGCTGCGCGACGGCATCAGTCGCGACGAAGAGGGTTCGACCGCGCGAGCGGTCACTTGCAAAGATGGGAACACGTATATGAGCTCTCCAGCATCCGAAGCTTCGGCAAATCCACCGAAACGCGTCAAGACCTCGAGCATGTAGCCCTCGTGCATCCTTCGAACGTCTCGCTCGGCATCCGCCTTCCTTCTGAAAAGTCGTCGCGCGTGCGCGACAAGGTCGAAAACCACGGCAAATAACCCGTTTCGAACTTCGCTATGATCCTCTTTCGTGAGGAGATACGTGTCTAAAAACGGCGCCACTTGCTCGGCGAACACGCAGCCTTTGTTCACTCGCAAAAGCGCCCCGACAGCGCGCCATCGCCTGGTTTCCAAATTATCGTTCGGATCACCTCTTCCGAAAACAAACGCGAATATGCTTTCAAAAAATGACAACTCACGATCGCGGTCGAGCCAATCGTCTTCTTCCTCTTCTTCATCGCCATCAACGCCGTCGCCGCCTCTTCGCGGGCCGACGTTTGTCGGTGGCGGCGCGTTCGCTCGCCCTGCGGGATCCCCACTTCCTCCATCGTCACCGCCACCGCCACCGCCACCGTGTCCGCTGCCGCCAACGCGCGGTTTACTCACTGGAACGCCCTCCGCGACGCCATGCGCGCGATCAAACGCGCGCGCTCGTTCGAATCGCATAACGTCGTTCCAATACGCTAGTTCAATCAAATCGCGCATCCACAGATAGTACCAGAAATCCGCGTTCACCCCTCGTCCGTGCCCGACGTACGTGGGTAACACCGGCGTCGACCCTCCACCTCCTCCTCGTCCCTGGTGGCCTCGAGAAAGCGCGATGACGACCAACGCGATGACTGCGAGCGCCGTCAACGCCGCCGAGACGACGAGGAAAGACCCAAACGCGGCCCTCACCGCGCGCATCGTCGTTCGCCACGCCGCCCGACGCGCTCGGCGCGCGCGTTCGCTCACATCACGGGCTAAGATGGCCGCGCGCACGCGCACGGGGACTACGTAGATGACTTCTCGGGTTTCTTCGTCGACATCGAGATGACCACCGCTCAGATGGACGGCAAAGATGACGCGTTGGCGCAGAGCGTCCGCGGAATCATCCAGCGCGGGGCCTTCGGAGAGGAGTAAGTCACCGAGCGTAAACCGCGGGCCGACTCTTTCGAGCGCGAGATGGAGCTCGCGGTCGCTCATGGCTCGGAGTGCGGATTAGCGGCGCTCGCGACGAGCTATTTGTTGAATACAAAGCTAAATGCGAACAACGTAGGACGAACTCTTGGTCATGTAACGAATCCATCTGTGTGGATTTCGCGGTGGGTCATCGCGATGACGAGGCTCGTTGGAAGAGCCGACGACTTGGAGGTAGCGCACGGCGAGGTCGCTCGCGCTAAAGGTTGGAATCTGAAACGTCAACGATAGCGGACCAATCTCTCGACGAACGTTTGGAATGCGCTCGGATTGCAGCGAGATTTGTACAGAACACTCGTGATCGGAACCGCCGGGTAGTTTTTTGAACTGCCAGACGATTTGCTTTTCGGCGGCGTCGTACATGACGTGCTGCGTGCTTGCCGTGACGTGCTTTGGCAATCGAGCAGTGGCGCCAATCGCACCTTTGGGGATTGGCAAGGTTACGATACACCCCGTACACGTGTGTTTTGCGTTAAAGTCAGCGTAGAGCTTGAGCTCGATGCCCACTTTGTACGGTACGCTCTCGTCGATGATCGGTACGATTCTAAATGGAGGCTTGAAGTCGTCGGCGCTTCGATAGTGCATCAACGAAAACTCCCCTTGTGGCGGTCGTAAACTTATCGTACGATCGATGTCGAACTGATCCAAGTTTGCCGTCTCGTGGAAGTTGCAATCATCGAGGATGACGCCTGTATACGCGCCACCCGCGCTCGCACCTTTCCCGCCAATGGTCAAGTCTTCCGACAGCGCCAGCTTCACCTTTGTGTCCTCACCTTGCAAAAAGTTCCGTACTTGAATGTGCCCATTGATCTCAGACGTTACTACATCTCCATTCGCGTTGAACGTCACGTTCACTTTCTCGATGATGTCCACGAAAATCTCATCCCGAGTCGTCGCGCTCGACGCGCTCACCACGCTCTTTTGCGTCGCGCTGCTAGAAACTCTATTCACCCCACTCGCCACCGACGCCGCGTTCATTAAATTAATCGCCGCCTTGGTCGGAAAGTTGACTCTCATCCCCAGATTATTTTTAAACATCGTCTCAACCTTCTGTCCCGCCTTGAGCGCCCCCGCCGCGATTTTCGTCGAATCCGCCTTTGCGCTCACCAGCATCCCCGCCAACCCCCCTCCGATTTCCACCGGTTCGTTACATACCCTCTCGCGAAGCATCTCCGTCGACGTCGTTTGTGCGTATCCATAATCCATCGCCTCATCGATCACCTCGTACACCAACGTCGCGTTTTTCCTCACCGCGTCCTCCGTCAGCGCGCCGCAATAATCCTTCACCAATCTCGCCAACCGATGCAAAAGTTCTAATATCACGCTCCCGCTCGCGTTTCGCGTCGTCGTCGCGACAAAGTACAGCCCACTCGCCTTGACGTGCGCGTAATTCACCCCATCCTCGCGAAAAACCGCCGGCGCGCCGCTATATTCCCGAGAATGTTCGCCCATCGCCGATTCCTCCGCATCCTCTTCGCCGTCCTCACGCCGCCGCGAGCGCGCCCACGCGCGCACGGTTCGATAAAACGTCTCGTGCGTGCGTCGAGGCAAGTCCCTGCGGAAGTCTTTCGTCACCAGCGCGTCCCCGCGCGGGCTCAGGATGAAGAATTGCGACAGCATGACGGTCGCGTCGCGTTGTGTCGCGTTTACGCGCGCGTCACAGACGCGCGCGCCGCGTCCACGCGCGCCTCGCGACGCCGCGCGTCGCGCGAGACGATCTTCATGTCCGCCGCGCGCTCGGAGGCGCCGACGTCGACGCGCGCGACGACGAACGCGACGACGACGGTTCAAGATGCGAACGACGGCGTGAGCGCGGCGTTCGCGCTGACGCTGAGCGTCGTCAGCAGCGTGTCGCTCGTGATCGTGAACAAACACTTGATCAGCATTCTCGGGTTCAGAGAGGGTGCGTCGCGCGCGACGCGCGAGGGCGCGCGCGAGGCCGGAGGGCGTCCGCTCGCGTCCGGACGCGTTTCCGGAGTTTTGGATTTTTGGAAATTTCGCGAGACGCGGGGCGACTGACGACGGAGAAACGCGGCGCGATGGCGATCGCAGTGACATTTTTGACGGCGATGCACATGGTGCTCACGGCGTTGGTGCTTCGCGCGGCGGCGAGGATGGGGTACTTTGAAAAGAAGTCGGTGGGGAGGGCGGAGGTGGTGAAGTTTGGCGTGTTGAACAGCGCGTCGATCGCGCTGTTGAACTTATCGCTAGGATTTAATTCGGTGGGGTTTTATCAGATGACGAAACTGAGCATCATTCCCGTCACCGTGGGGTTACAGATAACGTATTTTAACAAGAAATTCAGCGCTGGGGTGAAGATGAGTTTGTTGGTGCTGCTCCTCGGCGTCGGGGCGTCGACGGTGACGGATGTGCAGCTCAACGCGACGGGGAGCGTCGTCGGGGGGTTATCCGTGGTCACCACGGCGTTAGGACAGATATTGACCGGATCGATGCAACAAAAGCATCAAATCAGCTCAACGCAGCTGCTATGCGCGTCGGCACCGTGGATGGCGATGACGCTCATGATCCTAGCCCCGCCCGTGGACGGCGTCCTGAACGGAGGTAACATCCTCGAGTCGAGGTACTCCAACGAGGTCCTCATCGTCGCCTTCATCTCGTGCGGTCTCGCCATCGCGGTAAATTTCGCCACTTTCGCCGTCATCGGCAAGTGCTCCGCCGTCACCTACCAAGTCGTCGGTCATTTGAAAACCATGCTCATCCTCGGTTTCGGTTTCGCCGTCGTCGGCGACCCAATCGTCGCCAAGAACGTCTTCGGTTTGCTCGTCGCTCTTTGCGGCATGTTCCTCTACGCTCGCGCCGAGATGCGCGATCGCGCCGTCGCCACCGCCGCGCCTCGTCGCGCTTCGGCGGACGAGGAATCAGCCGCTGGAAAGTAGTCGTGCAATCCGATTCGCGTCCTTCGCCTCGCGAAACCCCGGCGCCGCGACGGGGCCTGCAAAACCTCAAGCCCGTCGCCCCATCGCTCGTCCCGCACACGCGCGCGCGCGACGCCCGCGACGCCCGCTGCGCTCGCGCGAGATGCCTCCGGGTGATCTCAGTCGCATGGACCCGCGCCAGGTGCGAACGCGACGCGACGCGACGCGACGCGACGCGCGCGCTCGCGCGTCGTCGCGACGCCCCAGGGCTCGAGCGCCGCGACGCGCGATGAAAACGCGCGCGACGACGCGCGGACGCGCGCGAAGGGCGATCGGCGACGAAGACGCGAACGATAACGTCAATAGACGCGCGACGCGCGCGCGAACGGACGAGAGCGGCGAAGAGGGACGCGCGAGACGCGACGGGAAGGCGCGCGAGGACTGACCCGAGCGGGACGCGCGCGCGACGGACGAAACAGGTGCCGGCGCTGGTGATGCGAAGCGTGGAGAACGCGCGGACGGCGTTAGACGATGGAAAGGTAGACACGGCGATAAAAATGATGAAGAGCACGGACGCGCTGTGCTCGAGGGTGGTGGCGCCGCCGACGGTGCACGGGATAGCGTTGAGGGTGCTCGCGGACGCGTACATGGAGAAGGCGGCGGGACGGACGGAGAGCGGGACGGTAGAGGCGAGCGAGAGCGGAGAGGACGCGGCGAAAGATAATGGTAAAGAAGAGGCGGAAGAGGAGTCTGATTACGTTGATTGCGCGAAGAGGACGCTGAAGAAGGCGCTCGATATTTGCAAGGTGCACGACGGGAAAGCCGGGATGCCTCGGTTTATGGTGCAGGATTTAGCCGGTCGCATGGGAGATCTCTACGCAGCGCAAGGGGAAATTTTTAGACAAGAAGGGAACTATAAAGAAGCGCTTCGCTCGCTTCGCCTGGGCATAGGAAAGTTTGAAGTGCTCGGGGCGAACGAGTTTGTCGGCGCCACCTACAATCGCGTCGCGTACTGCTACATGGAGAAAGAGCAGTGGAAAGAGGCTCTGGAAGAGCTTCAAAACGCCGAGCGAATCGTGAACGGGGTCGAGGCCGAGTCCGCCATCTTGAGCACGACTTTCGCCTACCGAGGCGAGTGCTTAAAGAGACTCGATAAAATCCAACTCGCCCGCGCGGCGTTCGAAAGCGCTCTGAAATTCGGCATGGCGAGCGGTAACGAGGGCGTCGTCCGCGAGGCCGAAGAATTTCTAGCCCAAACCCAACAGCACAGCACCGTTGACGACTCTGCTTTCCTTTAACGGACGGCTGGGTGATTTTTCGGCGATTAGACGTCTCCGCCGCGTCTCGGCTCATGAGCGCGTCCCGAGCGTCCAAACCTCTTCTCACTCTTCGCCGCGCGACACTTGAAATTGACATAGCAGCGCAACATTCACTCGCGCCGCCGCTCGCGCGCCCCCCCGTCGCGCTTTCGCGGCGCCGTCGACGCCAGTCCTCGACGCTCGACGCTTCGTTCCCCACTTCCCCACCGCGCACTGTTTACCCATACGACATCGCGCCCTCGAAAATCTCGACGCCGACGCGAAAAAGCGCGCGATTGATTGCATCCACGTCAGCACACGCCGGCGCGCGCGCCGCGGAGCGCCTCTCGACGCGCGCTCGACATGCGAGGCGCCGCAAAACTTCGATCCGATCGCGCCGACGTCGCGCGCCCGAGCTCGACGAGCGATCTCGCCGCGCGCGGCGCGCGACGGTCGACGAATCGCGACGATCCGAACGGCCTCGGCGCGTCGACGACGGCGCGACGCGCGAGCGACGACGACGCGCGAGCGATGGCGCGATCGAAATCAACGCCGATCGACGCGCGACGGGAGCGAAGGATGAGCGCGGGCGCGCGAGACGCGAGGACGTGGCGAGCGTTCGCGCGGGGACGGGTGGACGGCACGGGGGTGCGGTTGAGCGCGCTGACGGTGTTGTTTTTGTCCTTCGTCGTGCTCACGGAGTGGATACGCGATCGCGAGGGAGAAAAGTTTAGCGCGTTTACGCCGAGGTTGATTCGGTCGAGACACGTGCTGGACGTGACGACCGGGGAACGGGTGATGATGACGGAGGAACGCGCGCGAGGGAGCGGATTGAACGCGGGGAACGCGAGCGGAGCGGCGGCGGCGAATTTGCGAACGTACATGGATCACGGCGTGGTGCGACTGGAGGCAGAGGTGTGTGGATCGACGTCGCTGATGGCGCTCACGGTGTTCGCGGTGTGCGCGAGCATTGGGTTGAACGATATCATGTGGACGGCGTCGAGACAGAGGCGAAGAGTGAGTTCGACGGTTATGTACATCACGATTATCGCGTGTTACACGCACTATTTGATGGTTCAAGGGTCGGATTTGCTCATGAAGAGCATTGAAGGGACGTACTACTCGCTGTTGCGATATTTGGAGTGGATTTTCACGACGCCCGTGCTGCTGATTTTGGTGTTTCAACTTCACGCTCTCGTCGTCGGCGGAGCAAAGTCGAGATTTCGCACGGAAATGTACGCCATCTGCGTCGCGGATGAAATCATGCTCATCACCGGCATGCTGGTGAATGAAATGAACGGCACGGTGCGAGGTATGCTTCTCACCGTGTCAATCGGTTGCTTCATGTACGTCATCACTACGTGCATTCAACTCTTTCGCGAGGTGCTCGCGAACGAGCTCACCAAGGGCGATCGCACGAGATTTGTCATCCTCGCCATCGCCAAGACGGTGTGCTGGACGTCGTTCCCCTTGGTCTTCATGGCAAAAGAGCTGAACTACATCGATACGAGCGCCGAACACGAGTGGTTTTTGAGTTGTGACGTGTTGACCAAGGCGGCGTACTGCCTATTGCTCTCCGCCGGGAACATTCGCGTCCTCGACGCCGCTCGTGACGAAGAGATGGCTGACATCGAGCGCTTGACCAAAATGCAGCGAGATTTCTTCTTCAACATCACTCACGAATTGCGCATGCCTCTGAACTCCGTGATAGGCTTCAACACCTTGGCGGTGGAATCCGGTGAGTTGACGGATGTCGCCGACGGCTTTATCAAAAATTCCCTCACCTCAGCCGAGGCGTTGCTCGGGTTGATTAATCAAGTCCTGGACTACGCCAAGTTCAACCGCAAGGGCGCCGAAGTCGACCAGGCGCATGGGCTAGAGCTGACCAACGACGATTTCACCATCGAAGAGCTCATAGATCAAACTTTGAGCATCTCTCAGCGTCAAGACTACACTGGAAACGTCTTCGTGCGCATCGATCCGAGCTTGTTTCGCATGACGTACAAGAGTGACTTTTTCCGTTTGCGTCAATGTCTTGTGAACGTCGTGAACAACGCGTTGAAGTTTTCCAGTAATCTCGATCGATCAGGGAACGTCATAATCGATGTTCGCGGCTATCTCGAGGAGCAGGAGGCGCGCCTGACGTTTTCCGTCGAGGACAACGGTGTGGGCATTCCGGAAGAGAAACAGAGCGCTGTCTTCGTGCCGTTCAGCCAGCAGTCCGACTACTCCGCGCTCCGTGTGCAAGGCACCGGTCTCGGTCTTACTATCACGAAGACTATCATCGAGCTCATGGGAGGCGTTATCGACTTCACGTCTCGAGAAGACGTCGGCACAAAGTTCAACATCACGCTTCCGCTCGGGTACAAGGCGACGGAGAAACAACACACGGCGCCGCGAGACTTGAAGGTGCTCATCGGGCTTCGCCCTGGCTTGCAAATGCGCACCGTTCGAAATATTTTAGCGTGCTATCAAGTTAACGTGCAAGATATGCTCGAAGTTGGTCTCGAAGACGCTCAGGATCGCGAACAAGTGGAGCATTACGTGCGACACTCGCACAAGGCAAACAGACCCGCGGTGTTGTGCATCGAAGAAGAGCAGTATTTCGCACACGAAAGCTGGTTGAATTCGATCGATCCCGAACCTCACATCTTGATCATATCCAAGTCTTCGAGAATGAAAGACTTGCCGCATTCCGCGTGTAAGCGAGCCATCATGAAGCCGATAGCGATGTCAGCGTTCATCGAGACGCTCGAATACCTCGCGGCGGACGCGAAGAACGGCGAAGTCGACGAGAACGCGATGAGAACACGCGGTCTCGGAGGGAGAGACGAGAGCACTTCGAGTCTCGCTGAAAACTCTATGATGAGAAGTGAGAGAACTTCAAGTGACTCCAAACGTGCGCCCAAGTCTAGCGCAGAGCAGCCTGACATCGACATCAGCTCCATGCGCGTGCTCCTCGTCGAAGACAACAGGCTGAATCAGCAAGTGGCGATTCACTCGATGAAAAGATGTAACGTATTCGTCGATGTCGCTGAGAATGGTTTGATCGCGACGCACAAAGTCGAAGACACCATTCGTGGGAACTCCAAACCTTACGACGTCATTTTCATGGACATGATGATGCCCGTGATGGATGGAAACGACGCGACGAGGCGAATTCGCGAGATGGAACAAAGCGCCCCGCCTGGGTACAAGCGTAATCTGATCGTCGCCTTGAGCGCAAACGTCGGACCCGAGCATACACTTGCGGTCACGGAAGCTGGATGTGATGGTTCACTCGGGAAACCATTCTACCCGAGCACGTTGCGCTCGCTTTTGTATTCCATCTTTCTCGACGAATACGAAGGCTTCGAGGGTGAGACGATGAACACGGCGTCGAGGCCCGGACACTGAAAACGTGATCCGTGCGATGCAACTACTACTACTGTACAGTATAACTATTATAACGAACGTGACGCCCCCCGCGCGCGCGCGCGGGAAATTTTGTAACGAAGCTTGTATCACGTCACGTCGCGCTTCCTTCTCGTAGGCGCTCTTCGACCGCGTCCATCGCCGCGGCGTCGAACCCCAAAATCTCGTACCACATTTTCCCATTCGCAGACTTCAAGTCTTTTTCACACTTCAAATTGACGCTCGCGCGGCGCACTGCCGCCGCCGCGATCGTCGGCGCCTCCTCTTCCCCCACGGGCTCCGCCGTCGCGAAGAGGGCATCCAACAGCGTCGCGCTCGCCGCGCACGCCAATTCCCTACTACCTCCGATCACATGTACGATGTGAAACATGTACACGTGCGGTTGCGCCGTGTTCAACTCATATTCCATCGCGCGAAGCATCTCTTGCTCCAAAACTAAGATTCGATCCTTGTACGCGTAATACAACGCCCCCGTCGCCGCGTTCATCGCGTCGCCGTCGCGCGCCGCGTTCATCGCCTCCGCACCCTCATCTCCCGCCCCACGACCCACGACCGCGTACCCAGCCAGCATTTCACCCTCCGCCCGTTCTCTCGCGTCCGCCTCGCTCAACCGCACGTCCGCGCGATCATCCAGCGCCACCGTTCCGTCCTCGCCGTCGAGCGTCGCCGCCGTCGCCGCCACGACGTCCGCCAACCGCACCACCGACTCCTCCAGCTTACACGCCAGGTAGATCCCCGCCTGCACGACCAATTCGGGCGAGACTTTCGCGCGCTTCCGCGCCTCGTCCTCGCTCGCGCGCTCGATCGCGTCGCGCCGTTTATAAAACTTTAAAACGTTCGCCAGCGCCGTCACCGCGGTGTCGATCGGGAGGTTCAGCAGCTCGCACGCGCGCCGACACAGCGCGCGCGCCTGCGCGTTGCGACGCGCGCGACGCGCGTCGTCGCCGTCGCTCGACGCGACCGGCGCGCGGGACATGCGTCGCGGTGTGCGGAGATCAATCGACGTTCTAAATTTATGGCGCGACGTCGTCATCGCGCGACGCGACGCGTTTTCGGCGCGGTCCCGTCGCGGCCGTCGACGCGGCGCGCGACGCGACGCGCGCGACGACGCGCGAGGCGGTTCGCGAGGACGCGCGGACGCGCGAACGCGCCGGAAACGCGTCGCGACGGTTCGTTTGAGCGTCATGGGGAGCGATTACGCGCGACGCGTGCGGCGCGCTCGCGCGCTCGCGCGCGATCCCACGACGGCGCGCGACGCGCTGAGGGCGTTTTGCGCGTCCGACGCGAGCGCGGTCGGCGCGGTCGCGACGTTGGCCACGGCTGGGGCGAGCGGGTGCGGGAAAACGGCGCTCGTGCGGCGATTCTTCGCCGAGTCGCGGCGTCGACGCGGATGCGCGAACGCGGACGCGAGCGAGGATCGGCGCGCGACGCGGACGATCGGGATGGATTTCGGCGTGATGTCGTGCGCGCTCGAGCGCTCGGACGGCGACGAGGACGGTGGCGAAGCGCGCGCGCCGGCGCGCGCGCGCGGACGGTTTTTCGATCCGAGCGGCGCCGCGGCGCACGCGGCGTGTCGCGCCGCGGCGTACAGACGCGCCGACGGCGTCGTCTACGTCCTCGATCAGACGCTCGGAGACGTCGACGCGCGAGCCATCGAGCGCGGGCTTCGCGAGATCGTCGACGCGCGGCGCGGCGAGACGCGCGGCGTCGTCCGCGTGCTCTTCGCGACGCGTCGGCGCTCGGGCGTCGACCGAATCGACGCCGCGACGACCGTCGACCGTCGCGCGCGAAAGCCGAGACCGACGCCGCGAGACGATCCATTCGCGCTGCTGCGCGACGTCAAAGCCGCGTGCGCGGCGGTGCTGACGACGAATCCGCTCGACGTCGCCTTCGTCCTCGTCGAGCCGCCGCGCGGGGCGTCGCTCGCGCGCGCGCTCGATTCGCTCCGCCATCTGACCCTCGTCGAAGTCGACGCTCGCGCTGGAACCGGCGTCGTCGACGCTTTTCACGCGTTATTCGCCGTCGCGCGGCGCGAGTGACGCGCGCCGTCATCGCGCGTCTTCGTCTTCGTCGTCGTCGCCGCCGCGTCCCGCACACCTCGCCGCCCTATCCGCGATGTTCGCCGTCTCGACGTCCACCGTTGCCCTCCGCGCGCCCGCGCGATTCACCGTCAAGGTGCGTTTAGAGCGCAGACGGCGCGTTCGCGCGCGCAGAGCGCGTTCGCGCGCCGTCGCGGCGACGAACGCGAGCGATCACGCGGCAATGACGTGTCCCGCTGTCGCGACGAAAGACTGACGAACGACGCGCGCGCGCGATGGATCGAGCAGCGAAGCGCGCGAGGCAACGCGCAGACGCGCGCGCTGTTTGGGAAGAAACCCGCGGCCGAGGCCGAGAGCGCGCCGGCGACGAAGAGCCGGTTCAAAGCCAAGGCGAAACCCGCGGCGGCGGCGAAAGCCGTCCCGGGCGAGCCGTACTACGTGGACGGTAAATTGTGGGTGTGCCAAGGGTGTGGATACGTCTACGACGGCTCGAAGGGGGCGTGGGCGGAGGGGAAGCGATGCCCGGCGTGCGGTGAGCGACGATTCGCGCTGAAGTCGCCGCAGGAATTGCAAACGGCGATTTACGCCCTCGCGGCGTCGGTGGCGCTCATCGGCTTGCTCTTCATCATTCCCCGATTGTGATGACGCGCGCGGTGGGGTGGGATGATAACATCGCGCGCGCGGCGAGTCGGTCGGTCGGTCGGTCGGCGCGCCACGCGATTAATTTTTTATGACTATCAATCGATGAAACAAAACTTTTCACTCTCGCGGCGGCTCGCCGAATGGCTTTAAAATCCCTCGCGCGAACGCTTGCTCGAGCGCGAGCGCGGCGAAGGCGTACGTCAGCACGCCTTGACCCGCTAAGAGCGCCGCTTGCGCGTACGTCGCGAAATCGGCGTCGCCGTTCAGAGACGCGGCGCGTAGATAGACGTCGGCGGCGCTCAAACCGCGCGCCAATCCAAACGCGCCGACGACGCCACCCTTGAGCTCGTTATTCCCCAGATCTCGTCTCACAGCGTACCGATACGTGACCCCGAACACCGCGCACGACACGGCGACGATGCCGATGGACACCAAGCCGCCGCCCTGCGACACAATCAAAGGCGTCGCCAATAAAGCGCCCGACGCGCCGCCGACGGCGGCTGACTTCGCGCTCTCCGCCTTCTCCGCCGCCTCATCGATCGACGTCCCGTCCGCCCACTTATCGCCCGCACCGTTCCCACCAGACGCGTCTTCTTTCGCTAATTCCTCCCGCAACGCCGCGCGTTCGGCGTCCAACGCCCGCATCTTCGCCTCGGCGCGCTCCACCGCGTCTCGCTTCAACGCCAGCGTCTCCTCCGCCGCGCGCTCCGCCTTCGACTGACTCGCTTCCGTCTTCATCTGCACCTCCTCAAACGTCGTTCGCACGCGCTCTCGCTCCATCTGTTCAACCTTTTCGATCTCCCGCGCCGCGACGTCGCGCGCGTCCCGCCCCGCCCGCTCCGCCTCCGCCCGCACGCTCGCGTCGCTCGCCATCATCGCCTCGATCTCCCGCGCCGTTCGCGCCTCGAGCGTTTCGATCGACGCGTCGATCGCGCGCGCGACCTCGTCCTCGCTCGCGTCGTCCAGCGCGCGCGCGCGCGTCGCGCGTCGCCGTCGCGTCGCCGTCGCCGTCGCCGTCGCCGTCGCCGCGCGCGCGCCGGACGACGACGCGACGCGCGCGCGCGCGATCGCGACGCGCGCCATCGTCGTCGTCGTCATCTCGTCGTCGCGCGTCGTCGGCGCGCGCGCGCGTGCGCGGTGTCGCCGACGCCGACGCGCGCGCCCGCGACGCGCGCGTGGTCATTAATATAATCTGTTTCATTAGCGCTAGTGGGACATTTTCGTTAGTTGTGTGGGTAAACAGTAGCGGCAGGCGAGATGGAAAAAAGGGACTCGACGGTTCGTGATTCGAGAGGTGGCTTTTGGAGCGGTATTATTATTTTTGTCCGCGCTTGAAGAACGGAAAAAAATGCACAAAAAAAAGTCTCGTCGCGTTTTTTGTTTTTTGTCCATCTACCGTAAAGTGAATGTTAAATACGTAACCTCGTTTGAGTCCGCGTTAAGTAGTTTGGGTCCGTTTAGTGGTATATTTTATTTCGGATCCGCCCTCGGTGGTCACCCGTCGCGGCGTAGACCCTCGTCGATGCGATGCGGCCGCCGATCGCGGGCGCGCGCGTCTCGCGCTCCGTCTCTACGCGACGCGCGTGTTTAGGCAACATGGCCCGTGGCCTCAAAAAGCATTTGAAGCGTCTCAATGCGCCCAAGCACTGGATGCTCGACAAGCTCGGCGGCGTCTTCGCCCCGAAACCGTCGCCCGGTGCGTGTCGCGCGAAGGGTTTCGCGCGCGCGGGACGATGGGCGACGCGCGCGCCTCGCGAGCGCGCGATGACGCGCGATCGAGATCGCGATCGACGCGAGCGATATCTCGTCGACCGTCACTGACCGTTCGTTCGACGTCGCGATCGCGCGCAGGTCCGCACAAGTCGCGCGAGTGCTTGCCGCTGTGCCTCATCCTTCGCAACCGCTTGAAGTACGCGCTGACGTACAAGGAAGTGACGACGATTCTCATGCAGCGCGTGGTGAAGGTGGACGGGAAGATTCGCATGGATAAGTGCTACCCGTGCGGGATCATGGGTGCGTGGATCGAGGCGACGCGACGCGAACGACGCGCGAATTTCAGCGATCTCGACTCTTGGCTTAGGGCTTGCGCGACGCGCGAGACGCCGGACGACTGACGAAGGACGACGACTTTGACTTTGACAGACGTCGTGAGCATCGAAAAGAGCGATGAACACTTCCGATTGATTTACGATAACAAGGGACGATTCGTCGTGCACCGCATCGAAGCCATCGAGGCGCAATACAAGCTGTGCAAGGTGAAGAGCAAAAAGCTCGGGGATAAGGGCGTGCCGTGCGTCGGCTTGCACGACGGACGCACGATTCGATACCCCGATCCGCTCATCAAGGAGGGTGACTCCGTCATGGTTGACATCGCGACGAACAAGATTACCGATTTCGTCAAGTTTGACGTCGGTGCGTTGTGCATGATCACGGGCGGCCGCAACGCCGGTCGCGTCGGGGTGATTCAACGCCGCGAAAAGCACATCGGAAGCTTTGAAATCGTGCACTTGAAGGATGCCGCGGGTCAAGAGTTTGCGACGCGCGCGACGAACGTGTTCGCGATCGGCACCGGGAGCAAGCCGATGATTTCTTTGCCCAAGGGTAAGGGTATCAAGCTCTCCATCGTCGACGAGCGCCACTAGGCGCCGAGACGACGCTCGAGCGGCGATTCTCGAAGTCGCGTTCGCGTCCGATGATTTCGTCCGACGCATCGTCCGACGCATCTATCTCGACCGTCTGTCCGTCTGTCTTCGATCACCACCTTAAGCGCTTCGTGCGAGGATCCAATAGCCCGGTAGATTTGTGATTTTCTTCAAGCCGAACCGCACAACAAAAGACGTTATTTTTTGCCACGACCGCGGGCGTCGAATGCGTGCGCGCGCAAACGCAATTGGCGTCGTCGTCGTCGTCGCGTCGTCACACCGCGACGCGCTCGACGCCCGCGCGCGCACGCACGCGCCCGATCACAACGCTCGATCGCACCGCCCTCGACATGCTCGCCGCGCGCCGCGCGCTCGACGCGCGCGCGCACCGATCGCCGACGACGCATCCGCGTCAGCGTCGCCATCGCGGCGACGCGCGGCGACGAAACGACGCGATGACGCGATGCGCGCGCGCGAACGACGCGCGGAGAGACGCGCGACGATGCGCGGTGACGACGGGCGCGACGCGCGCGCCGGCGGGATCGGCGCTGGACGCGGCGCGGGCGTTCAGTAATCTCGTGCTGGATTCTAAAAAGTTCGCGAGCGAGGCGGAGGCGGAGGCGAACGCGATGGATTTGGGCCCGCGGGCGGGCGTCGTGAGCTCGTGCGTGCTGCTGTACAGCGTGAAGAGCGGAGGACGCGACGCGGGGGCGGTCGAGGGGGCGATGGCGGCGATACCGGGAGGATTGAACGCGGAGAACGTCGATTTCGTGGTGGACAAGGCGAAGGCGAATTTGGCGAGCATGTGGTCGACGAAGGTGGACGGTCGGGTGAGCGTGGAGCTCGGATGGTGGTTGGTGAACGACGCGGACGCGTGCGAGAAGAAGGCGATAGAGATGCTCGCGCTGTGTGATGACCTGAAAACGCCGAGGGATAAGCTGCTGTTTAAGATTCCGGCGACGTACGCGGGCATCGAGGCGACGCGAAGGCTCGAGGCGCGCGGCGTGGCGTGTCACGTGTCGCACGTGTACTGTCGCGAGCAAGCGAACGCGGCGATCGATGCGGGCGCGTCAGTGGTTCAACTGTACTACTCTCGCTTGAACGCGTGGTACAAGTCCAAAAAATCGCTCGACGCGAACGCCGATCCCGGGTACGAGCTCGCGCGAGACGCCTTGGCGCGCGCCAAAGCCGCCGGCGGAAAGACGAAAATCATGGTGGCCAGTTTAGCGAACGTCGACGCCGTCAAGCGCGTTTTGGGAGCGGACTACTTGTTAGTGGGCCAACGCATCATCGACGAGCTGGCGAACACGCCCGCGAGTGATCTTGGGGAAACAATCATCTCCGACGCCGCGAGCGTCGCGGTGGGCGCCCCGGCGCGCCTCGACGAAGCCGCGTACCGCGCGGCGTGCGACGCGTCCCCAGCTTCGGAAGAGCTCGAGATCGCGCTCAAGCGCAACGCTGCGAGTGACTCTGAACTGATCGATTACATCAACGAGCACAAAGGCGGCGGCGGGAACGCGTAAAATTTTGGCCAGTCGGGCTTCTCGGCGTCCTCGTCAGCGCGTCGCCCACCGCCGAGCGAGTTCGACTTTCCCGCGATCGATCGTCGACGCCGTTCGACGTCGACGACGCGCGCGCGCGCGATCCACGATCCGCGTCACGATCTGCGCTTTGTAACGAATAACGATGACTTTACGACGACTTTACGACTGCGTCGTCCCGCCCGCGTCGTCCCGCGCGTTCAAACGAAACCGTTACGCTCGGCGCGACTCGGCTCGACCGCACACGATGGCGCGCCTCCGACCGTGCGCCGCGAGCTGGCACCGCGGACACGGCACGAACAGACTCTTATGCGCGTACGAGTACTCGCCCGAGCGCAAACCGCGCGCCGTCGTCGTGTTTTTGCACGGCATCGGCGAACACGCCACGCGCTACTCGAACCTGTTTAAACGACTCACGAGCGCCGGTCTGCGCGTCGTGACGTACGATTGCGTCGGACACGGCGCGTCCGAGGGCTTGCCCGGATACTTCGAACAGTTCGAGGACGTCGTGGAGGACGCGCGCGGGTTTTGTGAGATGACGCGGGCGCGGCGAGCGGGACGCGAACCGCTGGTGCTGTGCGGACAGTCGTTCGGGGGACTCGTCGCGGCGACGGTCGCGGCGAACGACGCTCGAGCGAACGCGCGGTTGATCGATGGTTTAGTGCTCACGGCGGCGAGCATCGACGTGAAGTGGAACGCGGTGCTGAGGGCGCAGGCGGCGATGGGGGCGCTGTTGGCGAGAGGGGCGCCGCGCGCGCGTTTGGTGCCGGCGGTGCGGTTGGAAGACATGTCGAACGATGCGGCGACTTTAGAGTCGTACGCCACGGATCCGTACGTGCAGTTAGGACCGGTGCGTTGTCGCACGGCGTATGAGATCCTGCGCGGGTTCAAGGCGCTCAGAGCGAGATACGGAGAGTTGAGGTGTCCGCTCTTGGCGCTGCACGGCGCCGAGGACGCGTGCGCGGATAAAACCGCGAGCGAGCGCCTCGTGTGCGAGGCATCGAGCGCGGTGAAGCAATACGTAGAGTTACCGGGGATGCACCACTTGATTCTTCAGGAACCGGGAAGCGGGACGGTGCTGAATCGAATAGTAGAGTTTGTCGACGGCGTCGCCGGCGCGGCGTCGCCGGCCGCCCGGGACCAACCTCGATCGAGGCTGTGACGTCGTCTCGCTCCCCGCCGCCGCCTGTACATTACGAAACCTACGACGTCACGCATCGTCACCGAGCGAGCGAGCGCCGACGCGCGCCATGCCGCTGTAATATAACGTTTCGCGAAACCGTCCCGAGCCGCCGCGCGCGCGTCGTCGGCCCGTCACACCGCCACTCGCGCGTCCCGCTCGCGTCGCGCCTCGCTCGCGCCGCACGTCGCGCGCGATCGCGAGTCGCTCGAAATGCCCGCCGCGAGGCGCGCGCGCGCGGCGCCCGCGCGCGCGCAGCGAAAACCAACCACCGAGAAAGAATCCACCGCGCGCGACGATGTCGACGCGAAACCCGACGACGACGTCGCGGTGAAGCGCGAACGGCGCGCGGCGGACGCCGACGCCGTCGCGTCCGACGACGAGTCGACGCGGGCGACGAAACGGACGAAATCGAGCGAGACGGGGACGGGGACGGTTGGCGGCGGCGGCGACGCGTGCGACGACGATTTCAAGACGCTCGTGCGCATCGATAACAACGCGGGCAGAGTGATCGGTAAGGGTGGCGAAAATGTCAAGTACATCGAGAACACGTGCGGATGCGTGGTTGAATTTCGCCGCGATGAAGGCGTGGCGGTGGTTCGGCCGAACGTCGTCGGCGCGGGCGGCGCGCGGCGAACGAGCGAGGAGAAGCGAGCGAGCACGCAACGCGCCAAGGCGCTGATCGAAGAGGTGGCGAACACGGGACAGATCATGGAGATGTTAACGGCGCACGTGCCGAGCGATGTCAACGCCGGGATACGGATCGATGTGAGCGTGGTGCCGGAAAGCGTCATTTCGGGGGACGACGAGGAGGAAATCGAAGTGGCGATTCCGTGCCCGGGGAAAGAGGGTCGCGTGATCGGTCGCGGCGCGGCGACGATTCGAGAGATAAGCGCGAGGAGCGGGGCGAGTTGTCACGTCGTTAAAGGTAGTGGCGTGTGCACGGCAAAAGGAAAGCGCAAGTGCGTGAGAATCGCGTATCAAATGGTGCACGACACGCTGCAGCTGCAAGTAGATAGATTCGCGGCGCCGAGCGCGCCGGCTGTGGCGCCACAGATGCAACCACATGCTTTGCCGATACAAGGTTTGCCTCAAGGCGCAGTGTTACTTCCGAATGGCATGGCCATGGTGCCTCTGGCCGCGATGGGACTCGCGGCGCCGGCGCCGACCGCGGCGCCGGCGACGACTATCGAGGTTCCTTGCGCCGGGAACGAGGGACGAGTCGTCGGTAAGGGTGGTGAAATGATCAAACATTTACGCGCCGTAACGGCGTGTGGGGTTGATATTAAGAATAACAAATCGCCGCACGCGGTGGTGGCGATTACTGGGCCGCTCGCGAACGCGCAACTGTGCGCCTCGTACGTGCGCGAAGTCATGGAAATGGGCGACACTCGCGCGACAGGGGGATTAAGCGGAGCGCCTCTACACGCGGCGCCGGCGAACACACCTCCGTTCATCGTGCCACAGCAGCAACAAGCGTATCAACACGCGCCGGTGACGCCACATTACGCGCCGGCGCCTCACGGAGCCGAGACGTGGGTACGATACTACGACGCCGAAGGTAAGCCTTACGAGCACAACCCGGTGACGAACGAAACGCGTTGGGTGTGAGGACTTTGCGACGTGAGACGAATGGATAACTTTAGATTAGCAAATCGTAGTGATTTTCGCCGTTGTAGAGCAGCTTAATAGCCTTTCGCTTACCCTCCTTCGCGAATTCCTCGCCGTACGTCTGAATCGACACGAACCCACTGCCCTGCGCGTTCTTCGCCTGACTCGCGTGTATGAACACCTTGATCGGTCGGCGAATCAACCTCGCGATCACTAACAATTCCGGCTCGCCGCCCCAAAACGACGGGTCCAGGATCCGTCGACAATATTGCTCCAAACCGTACTCGTACGAAATCGCCATCACCGCCTCACTAAAATTTTCCCGTTTCTCCGACGTCCGGCACAAACTTTCCGCCACGGCCAACCGCAACTGATCCGCCTCGAACTCCTCCTCCCCGCTCGTCATCGTGCGATTCGCGATCGCCGCTAAACCGAGCGCGAGCGACCGAAACATGCACCGCCCGTCGCCGCGCGTCCGCACGACTTGATAAAACTCCCCCCTTCGCGCCTCCCTCTTCGTCGCTTTCGTCGCTCTCGCGATCGAGAACACCTCTCGTCGCGCATCGCGCGTCGTCGCGTCTTCGCCGTCGCCGTCGTCGCGCGCGCGCCGTTCGGGCGCCGCGCGCGCGCGCACCGGTCTCGACGCTTTCGGGTTTTCATCGCGCCGCCGCGGCGCGCCGCGCGCGCGCTCGGCCGCGCGCGCGCGTCGCGGTTCGTCCATGTCGCGCGTCGTTCGCCGCGCGCGCGTCGCGCTCGAGGGCGTCGCGGAGTGCGGATCGCGGTTGCAAACTGTCCCGAAGAGCTAGCCTAGAGAGATTCTCGCGCGGCGACCGTCGCAGTGACTGAACGTGCGCTCGACGCAGTACGTCGCGCTGCGCGCCTTGAAACGGGCGCCGCGAAGGGCGCTGGTGACGGTGGCGCACATGGCCTGCACGGCGCGCGCGCGCTCTGGGTCCATCTGAAAGCCGTCGGCTCTGGCGAAGAGTCGCGCGAGCGTGCAGTGCACCGTGTCGTTCTGCGCTCGCGCGGCGCCGACGGCGCTCCGAGCCAATCTCTCGCGAATGGTCTGCACGTTCCCGTGAACGTCGTTGAAACAAAGAATGAGACACCCGCTCGGCGCCAGGCAGACGCGATCGACCTCGAGCTCGCACTCGCCGCACCCGCGCAGCGCCTCCGCCACGGCGCTCTCCTCGTACGCGACGGCGTCCTCGCGCGCGTTCGGCGCGTTCGGCGGCAGCGTCGCCGCGCTCGCGAACTCCACCGGCGCGCGCACGTACTCGAACGTCCGACTCAGATGAAACAGCGTCACGTGCAGGCTTCCTCGTCCCGGCGCGTACGCGTCCATCGTCGTCCCGCACAGCCGCGTCAACTCTCGCGTCGCCCGCTCCGCGGCGCTCACGATCGCCGGCGCGTCCTCCATCGTCAGTATCACCAATCTCGCGCAATCGCTCGGCATGCCCATCTCCGCGTACGTCTTCGGCCGCGTCCCGACGTCGGCGCGGCGCGCGAAGCGAAACCGCCGCCGCGCCGTCGTCGTCGTCGCGTCCAGCCCGTGCGTCGCGAACGCGAGCTCGAGCGCCTCGTACGTCCGCGAGACCTCGCGCGTGTGTTTCACGTCGATCGGCGCGCGCTTTTTCGACGTCGACGCTTCGGCGCGCCTCGTCCGCGCGTCGTCGTCGTCGTAATCGTCGTCATCGTCGTCGTCGTCGTCGTCGTCGTCGTCGCGCGCGAAGACGCGCGACGCGCACGCGTAATACGCCCCCGCGCCGCACGCCGCGCCCGCGAGCGCGGCGAGCGCGATCGCGCGCGTCCGTCGATCGAACATCGCGTCGCGACGTGCCGATCGATCGCATCCGTCACACCGCGCCGTCGCGCATCGCGACGGCGCGCGTCGCGACGACCGCCGACGCGCGCGCCATCTCCGGCGCGCGAACGTTCCTGCGACGCCGCCGCGATACGCGACGACGCGGCGCGAACGATGGATTCGCGATTCGCGTGCCGACGCGCGCTCGTCCGTCGCGCGCGCGACGCGTGCGCGCTGACGCTCGCGGCGTGCGCGCTGATCGCGGCGGTGAGCGCGGCGGCGACGCCGACGACGGCACAGGTCTCGATCGGGGCGCGGCGCGCGCGGACGGGGGCGATCGTCGCGGCGTGCGCGGCGGCGGCGTGCGCGGCGGCGACGCGCGCGCTGGATCGGGTCGGCGCGCGCGCGCGGTTCGTCGGACCGGGGTCGCAGGACGCGCGGCGCGATGGGCGCGCGCGCGGGGGGGGGTCGGGCGGCGCGGGAGGGGCGCTGGAGACGCGGGCGTGGAACGGAAGCGCGTGGGTGGCGCGAGACGCGGCGGCGGCGGCGCCGGTGACGCGATGGATGGGACGCGATCGGAACGCGAGCGACGGCGTCGACGTCGTGCAGGGGACGGGGGCGTTCGGGTACGGTGGGTATCAGGAGGGGGTGGGGTACGAGGACGCGCGCGCGCGCGCCGAGGCGGAGCGCGCGGAGCGGGAAAAGTGGGCGCGGTGGGAAGCCGAGGACGAAGAGCGCGAGTCTCGCAAAGCGGAGAAGAAGGCGGAGAAAAAAGCGGAAGATCGGGCGAAGAAGGAAAAATCGCGCGCGAGGCGTTGGCAAAAGTACGACGAAGCTTGGGCGCGGTTGGACGCCGACTCGGGCGCGTCGTCGGAACCGCTTCGCTACGCCGACGTTCCTTGGCCGCCGAAAATGAAAGAGCTCCTCGACCGCGAAGCCGGCGGCGCGAGCGCCACCGATCGCGAGCGCAAGCTCGCGTACCACCGCTGCGTGAAGCGGTGGCACCCGGACAAGTTTCTCGCCAGATTCCGCGCGCGCCTCCGCGCCGACGACGCCGAGCGCGTCGTCGAGCGCGTCGAGGCGGTCGCCAAATCCTTGACCATCGCCTACGCCGCCTCCGCCTCGTAGTCTCGCCGCTTGTATTTACGTATTTATGTAACCTCCTCTCGCGCCTCTCGCGCGCGTCGCGTCCGGGATTCATCGACACCGCGTCGGTTCGATTTCGTCGCGCCGCGTCGCCGTCGCTCGCGCGCGCGCCGACGCCCAACCTCAGAGGGCGCCTCGCGAGCGCCATGCTTCGCCCGCTCGCGCCGCGCCGCGTCCCGAGCGCGCGCCTCGCTCGCGCGTCGCGCGTCGCGCGTCGCGCGCCGCCCGCGCGCCCGCGCGCCCTCGCGCGCGCGTCGGCGGCGGCGTCCCGAAGACTCTTTCGCCGCGACTCGGCGCGCGACGACGGCGCGCGCGACGGCGCGCGACGCCCGATCGCGCGCGACGCGCCCGTCGACGCCGCGCTCGCGCCCGCGGCGCGCGAGGACGAAAACGACGCGCGCGAGGCGAGGCGCGGGCGCGGGACGAGAAGCGGGACGAGGGACGACGACTCGAGCGACGACTCGAGCGACTCGAGCGACGACGACGACGCGACGAAGGAGGCGTCGGTGAAAGATTTGATGCGATTCACGCTGCCGACGATGGCGATATGGCTGTGCGATCCGCTGCTGTCGCTGGTGGACACGTCGGTGGTCGGGCTGAGCAGCGGGACGCTGGAGCTCGCGGCTATCGCGCCGGGGAGCGTGTACGCGGGGTATCCGTTTTATTTGCTGGCGACCGGGTTCGCCGTGGCGACGACGTCGATGGTGGGACAGGATCGATTGCTCGCGAGACGCGGTGGGGCGGAGGATGAAGACGAGCGCACGGTGGCGTCGGCGATCATGACGGCGTCGGGGGTGGCGGCGATTTCGGCGGTTTTGTTAATCGCGGCGCACGAGCCGGCGCTCGCGAGATACGTGGGGAGCGCGAATGTGGCGCTTTTGCCCTACGCGAGCGCGTACAGCGTGATTAGAATATTGGCACTTCCCGCGGGGATCATCAGCGCGGTGGCGCAGTCCGCGTTTTTAGCCGTTCGCGATCCGTGGACGCCGCTCAAGGCGGTGACGCTGACGACGGTGCTCAACCTCGTGCTGGATTTATGGTTCGTCACCGGGTTAGGTTGGGGGATCGCCGGCGCCGCCTGGGCGACGAGCGCATCACAAGTCATCACCATGGCGCTCCTCATCCGAGCGCTCGTGCGTCGAGGGCCGCAAATAGACAAGGTTAAGGAAATGTTGCGCGAGGCGAAGGAGCGCGCGAAGACGTCGGCGTTTTCGTCGACGAAGGAATCGCGCGCGGTGCGCAACGTGGGCGCACCAGCGTTGCGTCTACCATTTAAGAAGCCGAGAAATGATTATCTCGAGCGTTTGAAGTCGATCGCCGGGCCGGTGATGATGGTGGCGCTCATAAAGTGTATCTTTGTTGGTGCCATAGTGCGATCCGCGACGGCCATCTCCCCGGAGGCGTCCGCGGCGAACGGCGTGCTCTTGACCGTGTACTTTTTTTTCGCCGTCGTCGGCGAGGGCGTGAGTCAGGCGGCGCAGGCCTTCTTACCGCCTCAACTCGGTAACTTTGAAAAGGCTTCCAAGCTCGCGTTCAACATCATGCTCGTCGGAGTCGTCATCGGCGGCTTCAACGCCGCCACGAGCGGTTTAGTGCCGAGCCTGTTCCCGCAAATGTTCACGAAGAGCGCGCCGGTGATCGATCTCATGAATCAAGCCATCCCATTCATGGCCTTGGCGCTTTTCGCGCACACTGGTAGCATGGCATCCGAAGGTTGTCTCCTCGCCGCGCGCGACGGCGTCTTCATGTCTCTCTCCTACGTCCCCAACGCCGCGCTGAGCTGCGTCACCCTGTCCATTTTATCCGCCAACGGCTTCGGCGTTCGCGCTTCCTGGATCGCACTCTTCCAGTTCCACTGCGTTCGTTTGGTCATCAACGCCGTCCGTTTACGCGCCGCGAACAGCCCTCTGCGAAAGTCGTTATCCGCCGTCGCCGACGCTTCGAAAACCGACCTCGCCGCCGCCGCCGACAATTTCGCCGGTCTCGAGGGCATCGCCGACGTCGGCCAAACCCCAACCCCGACCACGTCTTAATAAACGATGGAACACGTGTATCGTGACCTGTAATACATAACGTCGTAGACACAGTCGCGCGTCGTCGCGCGCGCCGTCGCGCGCGCCGTCGACCCGCGCCCTCGCCAAAATCCGTGTTTATCACGATACTCACGCACGCGAAACCCTTCGCGCGCGGCGCGTCCCGCTCCGTCTTTTCAACGCGCTCGCGAACGAGCGTCGACTCGAGGTGCGACCCCGACGACGCGACCGCGCGATGCGCGCGCATCACTCTCGTCGCGCGACGCCGCGCCGCTCGATCGACGTCGCGCGCGCGACGGCGACGACGCGACGACGGTCGGCGTTAGGGCTTTGCGACATCGCGATCGCGTCGAACGCGAACGCGCGTCGCGCCGCGCGCGAGCGTCGAACGACGCGCGAGGGCGTGGAATCGGATGACAAAAACGCTCTCGCGTCGTTCGCGCGCGCGTGGGGTGGGAAAGGACGCGGGCGTGGGATGGAGGATGGCGATCTGTGATCGACGGACGATGGGACTGACTTTGGGACGCGACTGTCTCGCGCGCAGAACACAGCGAATAATGTCTGATCGAGGCGGATTCTCCCGCGGTTTCGGCCGCGGTGGTGAACGCGGTCGCGGTGATCGCGGTCGCGGTGATCGCGGACGCGGCGATCGCGGACGCGGACGCGGACGCGGACGCGGACGCGGCGGCGACGACAAGGATGTGTGGGTGCCGTGCACCAAGCTCGGTCGTCTCGTGCAACAAGGGAAGATCAAGTCGCTCGAACACATCTTCTTGTTCTCTTTGCCGATCAAGGAGCACCAAATCGTTGAACACTTCATCGGTGGGGAGCTTAAGGATGAAGTTATGAAGATTTGCCCGGTTCAAAAGCAAACCACGGCGGGTCAGCGCATGCGCTTCAAGGCGTTCGTCGTCGTCGGCGACTGCAACGGTCACATCGGTCTCGGTGTCAAGGCGTGCAAGGAAGTCGCGCACTCGATCCAAGGTTCTATGATTTTGGCCAAGCTCAACATCGTTCCGGTGCGCCGAGGTTACTGGGGCTCCAAGCTCGGTGAGCCGCACACCATCCCGACCAAGGTTCACGGCAAGTGCGGTTCCGTGCACGTTCGTCTCATCCCGGCGCCGCGTGGTGCGGGTATCGTCGCGTCCGGTACCGTTAAGAAGGTGCTCGCCATGGCGGGTCTCCACGACGTGTACACGTGCTCTAGAGGTCACACCCGTACGCTCGGTAACTCCGTGAAGGCGACGTACGAAGCGCTCAAGAATTCTTACGGCTTCTTGACGCCGGATTTGTGGGCTGAGACTCGTTTCGCGAAGCCGCCGGCGCAGGAATTCACCGATTTGCTCTCCAAGCCGGACCGCAAGGCTCGCGATTACTAGACGTCGACGAGTTTTACGTAGCTAGAGTTTATGATACAACAATCTTCGTAAACAAACTATCGCCCGATCCGCGCGGCGTTGCGAATGCGTTCGTCGTACTCGAGCCCATCGATGCGCTCCAACTGCGCCACGGCGTGCGCTCGAAGCGAGTGGAGAATGCGTACGAGCGCTTTACGTTTCTGCGCTTCGCGACCATCGCTGACTGGGACGTGCGGTCGAACCACCGCCTTCTCGTTCCGTCTCTTCGCCGTCTGGCGCTCTCTAAATTCCATCGCGCGATACAAATTCTCCGTCGCCTTCGCCTTCTCCATCGCCGCATCCCGCTCCGCCGTCGCTCGCAGCACCATCAACCTCGCCTCGAGCACTTCTTTATCCCTGACCGCGTCCAACGCGCGCTGTCGTTCGCGCGCGCTCTCTCGAGCCGCTCGAAACCACGCTCGCAGCCAACCGCGTCGGCGTCGTCTCGCCCATCGCGCGCGATGCGCCTCCAATCGCGCCGCCGGATCCGCGCGTGCGCTGCGCTCGCGCCAAGCGGAGAACGCGCGCGCGAGCGCCCGCGCGCGACGCGCATCGGCGACCGCAGCGCGCGCCGCGCGGCGTCGCACCGCGTCAGAGGCGACGAATCGCCACTCCGCGAACGCGCGTCGCATCGTCTCTCCGCGTCGAACGCGCGCGCGCGAGACGGATTTCCATCGCGCGAACGCGTCCGCGGACATCCGCCGCGCGCGCGCGCCGCGCGCCCGGTCGACCGGTCGCGCTCTGACGCGACGACTCGTCTCGTCGAAAAGCGCCACCGAGGTGAGCGGGACAGCGGGACAGCGGGACAGCGGGACGCGTAGGGACGACGGGACGCATCGCGAGCGAGCGAGCGAGCGAGCGAGCGAGCGACGTAAGCTCTAATGTAATACTGAATGTTGGCCTACGTCGCGTGGTGCGCGTCCATCAAGACGCGCGCGCGGGGAGACGCTCGAGCTTGGCGAGCGTGTTGAAGGCGGCGACCTGGCTCAAGCCGTCCGGCCACGTCACGGACATGGCGTAGTTTCCGATGACGGACATTTCTATCGGAGCGATATCGTCCGGGATCGGGGTGCCGTTTAAGAGCCTGTCCGGGGACTCGTCGCTGCCCTTGACGCGAGCGCTCGTGTCGGACATGCGAACGTTTTTCGCCGTGATCCAAAACGGCTTATCGTCATTCTCCCCGGGAAGTTCGACGCGAAACGCGCCATCATAACCTGGATCGATATCGACGCGCGGCTTCTTTCCGTTGTTAAGCTTGGCGACCTCTCGAACGACGGTGGCGGCGACGTCTTGGTACCTCGAGCTCGTCTTGCACGCCGGGTCTCGCAACACGAGCGGCCGACCGGTGTCCCCGCACGCGCTCAACTCGGGCACGATGGGCATTTGCAGCAAGTTTGGCACGCCATATTGCTCACAAATCGCCGCGCCACTGCCCTCGCCGAAGGGTTTGTGTTTGACGCCGTCGACTTCAAAGTAACTCAGGTTTTCTACGACGCTCACGCACGGCACCGCTAGCTTGGCAAACATGCGCACACCTTTTTCGACGTCGATGAAGGCTAACTTTTGCGGCGTTGTCACGACGACCGCAGCGGTGATGGGGACGACTTGGCACAGCGTCAACTGAATATCCCCAGTTCCCGGTGGCATGTCGAGAATTAAATAATCCAGCTCGCCCCAATCCGTCGTCGTCAAGAGTTGATTAATCAACCCGCTCACCATCGGTCCGCGCATGATGGCGCTCCCTTGTCCGGCGAACCCGAACGAGACCACCTTCACTCCCTCGTACTCCACCGGCGTGATCGTTCCCGTGCCTTTATCCATCTCTAACACCGGCGATTCGGGCGAAATCATCGTCGGCAAGCTCGGTCCGTAGACGTCGGCGTCCAAAATCCCCACCTTTGCCCCCATCATGGCCAGCGTGTACGCCAAGTTCACGCTCGTCGTCGATTTCCCGACTCCGCCCTTACACGAGCTCACCGCGATGATGTGTCGCACTCTGCGCAATCCCTCAACCGTCTCCGGCGCGTCGTTTCTCGCCGGCTGCGCCGTCATCGTCACCCGCACGTTCTTCACCCATTCCAACTCCCCGACGAACGCCTTCGCCTGCCGTTCGAATTCCGCCTTCACCGGGCACGCCGGTGTCGTCAATTCAATCGCAAACAGCACGTTTCCCGCGCTTTCGTCCACGTTCAGCGCTTTGACAAAGCCGCAGTTTACGATGTCCTCGCCAAAGTCTGGGTCGATCACCCGTCGCAGCTTTTCCAGCACCGCCGCCTCTTTGCTCCCGTCCGGGGCGCTGTAAATCGCGGGCATGGACGTGGTATCCACGTCCGCGGCGTCCAACGCGTCGTGACCGTCCACCGCGGCGTGACGCGCGCGCACGGCGGCGCGCGGGCGTCGAGCGGCGTTATCCAAACGCTCGCGCGGCGGCTTCATAGCGCGCGCTGACGGCGCGAAGACGCGCGCGGCGCCGACGCGAGGCATCGCGGCGCGTTCTATCGATCGCGCGCGCGCGTCCGGAGAATCGCGCGGGCGCCGACGCGCGCGCGTGCGTGTGCGCTCGTCGCGCCTCGTCGCCTCGCGTCTCGTTCGACGTTCAACGTACAGCGCTATTCCTATTCCTATTCTCCGCGCTCGTCGCGCGCTCGCCGCGCGCGCGCGACGTCACCTCGCGATCACCCGATGTCACCCGCGCCCGCGCCCGCGCCCGCGCGCGCCCCCCCGTCGGCCGAATTCGCCTCGCCGTCTCGCGCGCAGCGCCTTGTCGACGGCTTTGCTCTCTCGCAGCGCCGCCTCGAGTTTCGCCCCGCCGTGCGCGCGCTTGAACACCCACAAAAAGCACCCCGCCTTGGTGCGTCGTCGCCAAATCCCGCTCCCGGTCGCGCCCGCCTCGTACTTCGACCCGCCCTCGCGTTCGATTCGAAGCGTCTCTCGCAGCGCGGCGTCCATCGCGTCGCCGCCGAACGCGCGCGCGAGCCTTCGCATCAGGTGTCGCTTCGGCTCCTCGATCGTCGCCGCGACGCGTTCGGCGCACTTGAAATCTTCTTCGCGCATCTCGACGCGCGTCGGATCGTCGACGTCGAGCATCGCGTCGTCGTCGCGCGTCGTCGTCGTCGCCGCGCGGCGCGCGTCCCGAGCGTCGCGCGCCGTCACCTCCCCCTCCTCGACCTCGCGTTCGGCGTCGACCGCGCGCGCGTCGTCCATCGCTTCCATGGCTTCGTAATCGATCAGCGCGTCCTCGTCGTCGTTCGCGTCGTCGTCGCGCGCCATGACGGTGCTCGCGCGCGCGAATCGATGTCCCGTTGCGTCACAATCTGCCGCGCGCGCCGTCGCCGTCGCGCGCCATGGGCGCGGCGCTGAGCCAGGCGCGGACGCTGTTCGACAAGTACTTCGGCAACGTGGACATGCGCGTCGTCATGCTCGGCCTGGACGCCGCCGGGAAGACGACGATCCTGTACAAGCTGCACATCGGCGAGGTCCTGAGCACGGTGCCCACGCTCGGGTTCAACGTCGAGAAGGTGCAGTACAAGAACGTCGTGTTCACGGTCTGGGACGTCGGCGGACAGGAGAAGCTGCGACCGCTGTGGAGGCATTACTTCAACAACACGGACGGGTTGATCTTCGTGGTGGATTGCCTCGATCGAGAGCGCGCGAGACGAGCGAAGGAGGAGTTTTACAGCATCGTCAACGACGCGTTCATGCGAAACAGCGCGATATTGATATTCGCGAATAAACAGGACCTGAAGGGGGCGATGACGACGGCGGAGCTGGTGGAGGCGTTTGAACTGCCGTCGCTGAAGGGACGGAGGTGGCACGTGCAGGCGTCGTGCGCGACGCAAGGGCTGGGGCTGTACGAGGGACTGGATTGGTTGTCGAGCACGCTGACGAAGATGCGAAGGAATGGGGTGGTGACGAGCGTGGGGAGTAGCGGAGAGCGACACGGGGCGGGGAGACAGGGACGCTCGGCGCGGTTTACGTAGGCGAGGCGAGCGAGACGCTTTAGACTGGGAACGCGGTCGCCTCATAGCAGCGGCGTCGGGTTCGTGTAATAAGACGACGATACGTGTGATGTGATGATGATTTTCGCGTCGGCGCGTCGCGCGATGGCGAAGCGTCGACAGTCGTCGACGATGATTCGAGTAATACAAGTACACACAACGTAGGGCTACTTTTTACGCGCGAGCAGCAGCTTGGCTTCTTCGAGTTCCTCGCGACACTTGCCGCAGCCCTTGGCGGCGTAGCGACACTTCGAGCACCCGAGCTCGGTGCGAGGCGGACGCAACACGCGAGGTCGACCGCGAGCGGGCTTACCGTCCGCCGTGCGCACGGGGACGAGCGTGAGCTCCGTGACGATTTTCCGTTCGCCCGTGTTGATGTCGATGAACGCCTTCGCCTTTGACTTGGATGGGAACTTGACGTTGACTCCCTTGGCGCTCTTCGTTTGAACGCGCGGGGCCGTCTTTGCCTTGGTCTTCGTCGTCTTCTTCGCCGCCACCGCCCTGGTCTTCGGCGTTCCACCGCGAGGTCCGCGTTTTGAGCGCGGCGTGTCTGGATCGCACGCGCCGCACCCTGTGGATGCCCAACGACACTTGCTGCATCCTTTCCCGACGACCACGAGCGCCATGGAATTGTCCGCGCGAACGCTCGCCTTCTTCTTTGGCGCCTTGGTGGCTTTCTTCGCCGCGAGTGCCAACTTTTGCGCAGCTGGTCCGCGCGGAAGTCGCGCGGTGCCGGGATCGCATGCGCCGCACCCGTTCGCGGACCATCTGCACTTGCTGCAACCCTTGGTGCCGTAGACGACGAGCGCCATCGAATTCGATGCGGTGGCTTTCGCCGCGCTCTTCGTCTTCTTCGTCGCTTTCACCACCGTCGGAGCTTTTGTCTTCTTCTTCGCCGCAGCCGCGCGTGGCCCTGTCGGCGCACGCGGCGTGTCTGGATCGCACGCGCCGCACCCGTTCGACGCCCATCGACATTTGCTGCATCCTTTCGAGCGCACGAGCGCGAGCGCCATCGAATCGTCCCTCGCGGGCGCTTCGACTCTGGACTTTTTCGCCGGTGGCGGACCGTTTTTCACCTTGGGTGGGCGCCCACGGCGCTTTTTTTGTGGCTTCGAAGCTTCTGACTGCGTCGTCGCCGCGTTCAAGTCGACGACGCCGAGCGGCGATCGCGTCGCCTCGACGACGGGCGCGACGTCCACGGCGACTCGCGCCACCGTGACCACGGGCGTGCTCGCGACGGGCGTTTTCTCTCGTGGAGGCGGCATGTCATCCTCCGGCTCGCGCGCGTGCTGTAAGTACATCGGCGGCGGCAATTCGACGAGTTGTCGGTTCATGAGCGGATGCCATCTCGGTCCCGGCGTGCACGAATCGATGGCGGGCGTCATCGCGTACGGCGTCGGCGCGTACGGCGTCATCGTGAATGGACCCGGCGTCAGCGCTTGCACGCTCATTGGACTTCTCTGTTCGACTTCTTCGCCTTCGTCGTCGTCTTCTCCGTCGTCCACGTCCGTGCACTGCACGCTCTCCTCTGGGAAACTCGTCGGGCGCGCGGGCGTGCACCCGCCCATGGGCAGCTCCAAATCGTTTGCTTCGCGGAAATCCACCATCTCCTCGATCGCCTCGTCCGCGCTCCACCGCTCGTTCGCGTCGACCCAGGTCGTGGACTTCAAAAACTCGTACAACACGCGACATCCCGGCGCGACGCGGTCGTCAAACTTGGCGAGAATCTCCTTGACGCGCGTCTCTTGACCCGCCGTCGCCGCAATCTTCTTCTCCAACTTCAGCTCCCCGAGCGCTTCTTCCAGCTGACAATCCACCAAAACCTCCACGTCTAAGCACATGGACGCGGCCCAGACCAAGAACGCCCACATATCGGCTTGAAAGTCGTAATGCGGCCCGCGCGTCTCCGGCGCGATGTACCCGCACGTCCCCGGTCCCTGCAGCGTCATCCTCCGCTTCCCAACCTTTGGCAGCCGCACCGCGGTCCCCCAATCCGTGAATCCGATCGTCACCTTCGTCACCGTCCCGAACGCGTTCCTCAGCGCGCTCCGCACCAACAAATTCTTCGCCTTCAAATCCCTCCACACCACGCGCGCGCCCTTCAGCGCCTCCAGTCCCTCCGCCACCTGCAAGAACAAATCCAACTTCACCCGCTCGCTCAGCGCGCGTCCGCTCGCCCGCTCCCGCGTCACGAAATCCTCCAAGCATCCGTCCTCGCAGAGTTCGCTCAGCACCGCCAGATACTTCTTCCCGTCGCTCGGCCGCGTCGTCGCCGCGCACCCGTGCACCTTGACCGCGCACCGCGGCAAATCGCTCACCGTCGCCACCTCGCTCACCACCAGCGATTCCTTGTTCGAGTCCACCACGCGCGCGCACACGATTTCGTTTCGAAACCGCGCGGCGTACGCGGTGCAGAACCCGCCCTCGCCGAGGACGCGCGCGTAATCCACCTCCACCTCGGGCTCGGCGAACTGCTTCATGTCCGGGCGGTGCGCCGCGATCGCGCGCAGGCACCGCGCGCACTCGTCGGCGTTCATGGCGACGTCGAGGATTAAATTTTTGGCGTCGCGCGCGTCGTCGACGCGCGTCGGTCGCGTCGCGCGTCGCGCGATGGCGCGCGCGGGCGGACGGCCGTTGGACGACGTCTTTCCCCTGGGCGCGTCGTTTTATCGCACTCGTGTACGCATTGTGTGTACGTTTCAGCCCATGTGAGTATCACGGAGCTGGTATTGGTGTCGGACACATGGGTATGTGTATTTAGTAGTGTATAAATAACACACGAACGCGAGGAAACCCTCGGACCGCGCGCGCGATCGGCACACCGCGGCGTCGATCGCGTCTCCGCGCGCGCGCCGACGGTCGACGCGCGACGAGAGCATGCTCGCGTCCACCGTCTCCGCGCGCGGCGCCGCGCCGTCGCCGCGCGGCGCGAGCGCGCGCGCGGGACCGGGACCGCGCGCGGGCGCGGCGACGACGACGCGACGCGCGGCGACGGCGAGCGCGCGCGCGACGCTCGGAAACTACGGCGGATTCGTCGATGGGAATAAACTCGCGCGCGGGCTGGCGCGAGGCGACGGACGACGACGCGCGGCGACGTTCGCGGAGCGCGCGGGCGGGGCGGTGCGCGCGCCGAGGACGCGAGGCGGACGCGCGACGAAGACGATGATGCCGATCGGTGTCCCGCGCGTGCCGTACAAGACGCCGAACGAGAACATGTGGCAGTGGGTTGATATTTGGAATTGCTTGTACCGAGAGCGGATCATCTGGATCGGGCAGACGATCGACGAGGAACTCGGGAACCAACTCGTGGCGACGATGTTGTTCCTGGACAGCGCGGATCGAAACAAGCCGATGTACCTGTACATCAACAGCGAGGGGGGGCAGATCGTGCCCACGATGGCGATCCTGGACACCATGAAGCATCTGAACGCCGAGGTCGGGACGGTGGGGTTCGGAAGCGCGCGCGCGATGGGCGGTTTACTCTTGGCGAGCGGGGCCAAGGGCAAGCGCGCGGCGCTCCCGAACACGTGCATCATGCTTCATCATCCCTCCGGCGTCGCCCGCGGTTCGGCTTCGGACGTTCAAAACGAGGGTAAAGAGCTCATGCGCATCCGCGGTCAGATCAACAAGAAGATCAGCGACATCACCGGTCGTCCCGTCGAGCAAGTGTCCGAGGAGATTCGTCGCGACAAGCACTTCACCCCCGAAGCCGCGCTCGATTACGGCATCATCGACAAGATTCTCTACCGTCCGCGCGCGGGCGCGAGATGATCACGACACCGTTCGCTTCGTTCCTCGCATTCGTTCGCGGCGCGCCTTACGCGCGTTCGTTTGTCATAGTTTGATTCTTCGCGCTTCGCGACCGCGTCCCCTCGTCGCGCTATCCAGATCCCGCGCCCTCGAAAACGCCACTGATGGGCTCCAGCGCCTCTTCAATGCGTCATCCTAAAACCCTAGTTATGACGTCCCGTGACGTCGATGATGCGCCGACGTCACCACACGTCGACGCGCTCGCCCGCGCCCGACCGATCGCGCGCGCGCGAGCACGCGAGCGCCTCTCGCGCCTCTCGCGCCGCGTCTCCCGCGCCCTCGCGCCGCGACTCGGCGCGCTCGACGACGCGCGACGCGACGCGCGCGCCGACCGAGGGATCGACGGCGACGGCGCCGCGCGACGGCGACGGCGACGCGGCGCGGACGCGGCGCGCGCGGTGAGGCGCGATGATGCGCGCGACGACGACGACGACGACGCTGAGCGCGCGCGCGGGATGCGCGACGCAGACGCAGGAACGGTGGACGAGCGTGAGGTCGATGGCGACGAGTCGAGGGGCGAGCGGGACGCGCGGGACGGCGACGCGAGGCGGACGCGCGAGCGCGAGAGCGCGCGGAGAAGGCGCGACGGTGAGATCAGAGCGCGAAAGGGAAGAGATGAGACGGAGAACGGGCGCGAGCGGCGGCGCGAGAGGACGGACGTGCGCGCGGGGAGGCGCGAGGAGACGCGCGGTGGCGCCGGATGCGGCGCAGGATAAGAGCGGGACGCCGATGGGGGGACGAGTGGCGACGTCGTTCGATGAGCTCGATCCGGAGCATAACACGTCGTTCGGATCGAGTGATGAGGGGAAAGGATACGACATCGCGCAGATCACGGCGCCGGTGGCGGAGGATATGGAACAGCTGCGCCTGAATTTGAGGGATATCATCGGAAGGAAGAATCCGCTCCTCTTGGCGGCGGCGGATCAAATTTTTGGCGCTGGAGGGAAGCGGCTGCGACCGGTCTTGGTGTTTCTCGTCGCGCGTGCGACGGCGGAACTGATGCATATGAGCGATATTACGGATAGACAGAGACGGTTGGCGGAGATTACGGAGATGATTCACACGGCGTCGCTCGTGCACGACGACGTGTTGGACGACTGCGATACGCGTCGCGGCAAGGAAACCATCCACACGTTGTACGGCGCGCGCGTCGCGATTTTGGCCGGTGACTTCTTATTCGCGCAGTCGTCGTGGTTCCTGGCGAACTTGGACAACTTGGAGGTGATTAAGCTCATCTCGCAAGTCATCGCGGATTTCGCCGACGGGGAAATTTCTCAGGCGGGCGCGCTATTCAACTGCGACTTGACCCTGGACGAGTACCTCGAAAAGAGTCACAACAAGACGGCGTCTTTGATCGCGGCGTCGTGCAAGTCCGCGGCGGTGTTCAGCGAAGTGACCGAGTCGGTCAAGGTTGACATGTACGAATACGGTAAGCACCTCGGGTTGGCGTTTCAGGTCGTGGACGATATCTTAGACTTTACGCAATCGGAGGAGCAGTTGGGTAAGCCTCAAGGCCAAGACTTAGCGAGCGGAAACTTGACAGCCCCGACGATTTTCGCGCTGCGGGCAAAGCCAGAGTTGCGTGCGTTGATTGAGACGCAGTTTGAGAACGAGGGCGATCTTCAGAGAGCGATTGAGATCGTCAACGAGTTCGGCTTGGAGGAGGCTCAAAAACTGGCGAAGAGAGAGGGCGACATCGCGCTGGCGTCTCTCAGGCAACTCCCCGATAGTGAAGCAAAGCGGTCGTTAGTAGGCATGGTTGGGTACGTTCTCGAGCGTATCTATTAAAAGCACATCCAGCGCGCATTTTTTAGGTTGCCAAAACAAAACAAGTTCCAACATCACTAAAACACTCCCGATCGATCAAATATTATCTATCGTTTCCGTTCGAATACACCGTGAGAGGCGATGGTATCGTCATCGCGCTTCGCCTCGTCGAGCGAGCGCACGTATCCACCGGTAATACCTCTCGATATGCGATAGAGGAGCGAGTTCTCGGGCGCGCCGTCGTCGACGATGACGTCCCGACGCTTCTCCATGGCTTCGACGTTTGGCGGGAAAAGCTTCGGTTGATCGAGGCTTTCTCGCGGAATGTGCCTCGCATAGGGCAATCCCGGACGACACCGATCATACGCGTGTAGAAGCGACTCAAATGTTCGCTTCCACGTCAACCCACTCGTGCTCGCCACCGCTGCGGCAGACATGCGTTTCGCGAGCTCTCTATCCTTCATCAATCGCCTGATTGCGTTGACGTAGTTGGTAACGTCGCCGGGCAATGGTGCCGTGTTCTTCACAATGATCCCGCTCACCTCATCTTGCACTATAGCTCGATTCACACCAACGTCATCCGTGATCACGGGCAACCCTGAAGCCATGGCTTCGATGAGATTGTTTGGAATCACCTCTGTCTTCGACGGGAAGAAGAATATATCTCCCGCCGCGTACGTTTTCGCGAGATTTGTCCCACCTTTATGACCTAGAATCACCACGTTTTCAAACTGCTTCAAGCTTGATCGCACCCAAGCCAAATCCGGTCCATCGCCGGCGACGACGACTCGAAACTTTGGTAAATCCGCCTCGCGCTGCGCGACCTTGTTCAACGACTGGATCGTTTTCACAAAGCTCCCGAGACCTTTCTCGCGAACGATGCGAGCGACCCATAGAATGACAATATCGTCGCTCGATGCGCCGAAGACATCTCGTCTGTACTCGTCATCGCGCATCGATGGGTTGTACAACGTTTGATTGACTCCTCGCGGAAAGAATCCCATCTTTTCTCCGGGAATCCCGATCGAACGGAGATGGTTCGCCGCGGCGTACGTCGGTACGGCGACGACATCGCACATGGAATAAAAATCTTTGAGCAAGTGTTGGATCGGATGGGTCAACAATCTGACGCGATAGTACTGCATGTAAGTGTCAAACGCAGTGTGATATGAACACACCGAGCACGCGCCAACTTCTCTGGCCCAACGCACCGCGCTGTGACCGAGCATGTCAGGTGCGGCGACGTGCACGACGTGAGGATTGTACGCCTCGAGAACAGCGCGTTGCCTGGCTTGCAATGGGGCCGCCATCTTGTATTCTGGCCGTCCAGGAACTTCAACGGCGGGCACCGGCGCCACGAGTTGGTGAACGCTGTGGTAATTGTTCGCCTCAACGTAATCTCGCTCGGCTAGATCCGGAGACATGACGAGCACACTCGCATCGTCCCGATCGCGTAAATAGCTGGCAAAGCGCTTCATCGTTCGACTTACGCCGTCAACGTGCTCCCAAACAGTAGTGACGATGGCGATTCGACGCACATCCAGCGCGACTACGTCGGACGACGCCTCGCTGCACGCCAACTCCGGACACGTCTTGTCGCTCACGACATTTTTTGCTTCCTTCAGCGTTGTCGCCAAGTCTGACGTCGCTTTACGCGCGTCTTCCAACCCGCACGCTTCGTACGCCGAAGCGACTTGGTACAACTGTTCCACCGCGCCCTCGTGCCACTGGTAGTGCTGCACGGAAATTGGCACTGGGAAAATGTTGTCCTGACGAATGTCCAACGCCGTCGCCGGAACAACGTCGTCGTGCGCGAAATCGTGCAGCGCACGCACATCGGCGACGTCAAATTTTAGCTTATGTGCGATCACCATGCCTTCGCGCGGAAGTACTTGACCCGCTCCATTTGTATTCGGCGGCGACCTTCGCACGTCGCACGCCGGCCCCACGTGACACTTTCTCGGATAGCTCTTGTGCAACGACGTCTCCGCCTCGCGCTCGACAAGGGAACCATCGGAAGAGATTCGATCGAACCAAACACCGTTCACGAGCTCGAAACCGAGCGCGTCCGCGCGCGCCAGAAACGCAGGAATGCTATACTTTTCGCTCCCCAAATCCGCTTGCTCGGGGACGAATAAATGTTCATCAATGTCGGCTAAAATCACCCAATCTTCCTCGCACGCCACGCCCGCGAGTTGCCGTTGCCAATATCTCGACAAATCGCTGTGTAAAAGCGTCTCGCCCCAGTATTTAGAGTACGTCACCCCGCGTTTCTTCATCACCGTTTCAAATTTCCCAAACCGCGATTTCGAAGCCTCTCCGACGTGCACCACCATAAACACATTCTCCGCCGGAATCTTCCCGTAGTCGACGTAATGCGTCAAAAATTCCTCTAAAAGTCTCACCCCAAACGTCGCGTGCGCGTGCACGCCCGTCAACAGCACCGTCTTCGCCGCCTTTCCTCGTCCGAGCGCCTTGTCCAACGCGCTCCTCCGCCGTCCCGCCGAGCTCACTCGCCGCGGTCTGTACCTTCGATTCGGTCCCTCGAACCGTCCTCGATCGCCCGCGTCCAGGTCCCCACAGCTTAATTTCTTCGCCCGCCGTCCATCGCCTCCCTCGGCGCCGCTCCACGACTCGAGCGCTCTGTCCGCGCGTCTCGCGCTCAGCGCGTGTCGCCGTCTCGACACCGCCCGTCCGTCGCTCATCCATCGCACCGCCCACACCACCATCGCGCACGCGCACGCGCGCGCCACCATCACCCGCGCGCTCGCGCGTCGCTTTCGTCCGCTCCGCTGTCCTCGCTCCCGTCGCGCGCCGTCGTTTCGCCACGCCGCGCCGACTCTATCCATCATCTTAATCAACTTTTGTCGCCACCGCGCGCGGCTGCCGCACAGCGCGCGGTGCTGCGCCCGGTCCCAGGACGTGTGCGGGGAGCTGTCGCCGCTCGCGCTCAGCGCGAGCGGCATCGCGGCGCCGCGCGCGCGCCGCGCGTCGAGGTGTGTCGCGTCGTATGGGCAAACAGTGACGCGCCGCGATCACAAACGTCTCGAACGTTGAGACCGACGCCGCAGACGACGACGCGCGAGCGCGCGCGCGCGGCGACGCGCGCGCGCGCGCGAGGCGACGACGGCGAAGGCGACGGACGGCGCGACGCGGCGAGGCGCGGGCACGGCGGCGCGCGCGCGCGACGCGACGCGAATCGTCGCGAATCGAATCGAATCGATTCATCGCACTTTTTAATCGCGTCGAGCGATGGTCTGGCGCGCGCTGGGACGCGCGTTCCGCGCGATCCGAGGACCGTTTCATCGACCGCTGGAACCGCTGCTGTGGCTGGCGAGCGTGGTGAGCGCGCGGCGAGTGTGGGCGGGGAAGGATGCGAAACACGCGGCGGCGCGGGCGGCGATGGACGCGCGATTGGCGGCGATGCATCCGGCGAGACGGGCGCTGCCGCTGCTGGCGGTGATCGCGCAGTGGAGGGTGGACGGCGCGCGGTGGCAGGTGGTGCCGGCGTACATCGGGACGGGGGTGTGCATGAGCGTGGGGGCGGCGGGGAGTAAATTGCCGCTGTGGGCGCGGCGCGCGGCGGCGCTGAGCGGAGGCGCGACGACGTTCGCGAGCGTGCTGAGTGGATTGTTGATACCGGTGTTTCGAATGCCCAAACCCACGGGACCGCATAAGGTTGGAAAGAGGACGCTGATGTGGACGGATCGATCGAGGAAGAGTTGGTTGTTGAACACGAAGGGACGCGGGGCGTTTCCCGAGCACAGAAAATTGATGGCGAACATTTGGTATCCGGCGTGCGAGCGCGGGCTCAAGGAGGTGAAGAAGCCGCGCAAGGCGAACTGGCTCGAGCCCTTGCTCGCGAAGTCTTTAGCGGTGAGCTTTTGGGCGCCAGAGTGGTGCGTGAATTACTTTCGATTGGTTCGCATGGAGGCGCTGGAGGACGTCCCCGTCGCGGGTGGACGAGGAGAGCAATTCCCGGTGGTCGTGTTTTCGCACTCATTCACGGGGATGAAGGAGCAAAACAGCGCGCTGTTGCAAGAGCTCGCGAGTTGGGGGTACATCATCGTCACCGTCGATCATCCGCACGACGCGGCGCTGGTGTTGTATCCGGACGGGTCGACGGCGGATTTCAGAGGATACGACATGCCGAACGACACCGTGCCGTTCAACTGGTGGAAATTTAGAAATCAGCACTTGCGTTGGCGCGCGCTGGATGTGGCTTTCGCCCTGGATCAGGTGGTGGCGATGAATGCCGATCCTGAAAGCGACTTTTACGAGCGATTGGATTTGACGCGCGTCGCCGCCATGGGACACTCGTTCGGCGGCGCCGCGGTGGGGATGCTCGCGCAAATGGATTCTCGAATCCAGTGCTGCATCATGCTTGATCCTTGGATGTGGCCTTTCGGGTACGAGCGCATGAAACAAGGCATCCCATGCCCAGTGTTGGTCTTCGAAGCACCGCGATTTCTGGGTAATCGGGACATCTTTTGCATTTCCAACGCCGAGATGACGTCGGACTTGTGCGCCAACACGGCGCCGGCGGCGTGCTCGAAAGAGGTCGAGCCCCGACGTTTGTCCGAAGTTCTCGAAGCCCCCGACGCGAGTGCGACAATAGATGTCGCCGGCGAGCAATCGCCGAGCGATGAGATCGATTACAGAGAAGATGATGCGTCGAACGAAGAATCGGCTCGCGCCGCTTCGCCGGGACGTCCGCCGCGTCCGCCGCGTCGCTCGAGTGGTGCTGATTCGACAGATAGGCGTGCGACAGACGCCCGCGCGTTATCACAAAGTAGAAACAGTAGCTGGGGATCTTTCATGTCGGTGGATGAGCAACGCGAGCCGAGCGGTGTGGCGTTCAAGGCGGTGATCGAAGAGACGATGCACTTTGATTTCACCGATCTCGCCATGGTCGCCCCGTTGACGACGCGCTTACTAGGCGTCGTCGCGGTCGGAGGATACGAAGTTCATCACATCACTTCGGCCGCGATTTTGCGTTTCTTGCACGGGTATAATCATCCGCACAAGTTTGAATCGATCTTCAGCGCGGAGGAACTCGACGAGCAAGCGAGAGCGTTGTACCCGGGGCCTTGGTTGGGTTGCCCGTTTGACGAAAAGGCGAAGCGTGTCGCTGAAAAAGAGTCTTTGGACGCCCTCGATGGGCGTGCGACACCACTCAAGACGCTTCGCGAGGAATTGTCGAAACCGCGATCGAGCGGCTGGAAGGAGAAGGGCGGTATTTGCCGATGGATCCCCACCGAAGAGTTTACTCTCGACAAGAGACGACCGTGGATCGACGAACAAAATCGCGAGATCCGATGGTTGTGCGCCGAGACGGAGGACAAAGGTGTGCCACTAACGGACCGCGATTTGCACTGCATGTTCCCCACGCGTTCGTTGAAGAGTACGCGAGACGCCATCCGGGCGTACCGAGACAGCGATGAAGTGTTTCCCGAGCCGACCAAGTTAGCGTGGTTGTCGCAGGCGCTTCTCGACGGCGATGCCGCGGATTCAGGTCCAGACTACGCATCACTACGACCGTGATGAATGTAAAATATAGCTCAAGCACGCGTTACGTTGCCATATATTATTGATATTAAAAACCGCCGCTAAGCGCGCGACGAGCGAGCAAAACGCAAATTTTACGGGACGCGCATCAATTCCGTTTGCCCACGTCCAACTGGAACCACTGGTCGGCCAAAGGTTCCACACCGCTTTGCGCGTAGTAGTACGCCGCTATAGTACTCGCGAGGCGCTTCTTCTTCACCAACGGTCGTTCGTTCGCGTCGTTCCCGCCTCCGTCCACGATGAAATCCGCCGCTTTCTTATACCACGGCAAACGTCGCTCCATAATCTCCCGAAAACTCTTCGACGCGTTCAAATCTGGCCTGTTCGAATCACCCGCGATCCTCTCGATCAAATAATCCACGTCTCGATCGAGAAACACGATCACTCCCCCCTTCGCCTTCAGCGCGTCCACCTTGCGTTGCGAAAACACCTCCTCTCCGTTTTCGTCCAAATCCGTCACGACCCCGCCCCCGGCGTCGATCAGCGCGAACCCATCGAACGCGCGTCCCGCTTTCACGCACACCTCAAACTCTAGCTCACGAAATCCACGCCATCCGCGCTCGTCCACGATCGCCGGTATCGACGCGCCGCCGGCTTCGTACACTATGAGGTCGTCCAGCGACATGTGTTTAAATCTTTTGTCGGCCGCCGCCAACCGTCGGCACACGCTCGACTTCCCGCACCCGCGCCCGCCGATGACGATCAAGTTCAACCCCGCGCCGGCCGATCCCGCGTCGGTCGATCCCGCGTCGGTCGACGCCGCGCGCGCGCGCGCGCGCGCGCTCGCGGCGTCGACCGATGCGGCGCTCCGTCGACGCCCCGCGACGCGCGCGATCGACGCGCGCGCGTCGCGGCGCGTCCAACACGCGCGCGCGGTCGTCATCTCGCGTCCCGCGCGCGCGCGCGCGACGTCGAGCGCGTCGACGCGCGTCGAGCTCTGCGACGCGCGGCATTGCGCGACGCCGTCATGACGCCCGCGGCCGCGTCGACGACGCCGCTCACGCTCGAGCGATGCGCGACGATGAAAGTCAAGGAACTTCGCGACGCGCTCGACGCGCGCGAGCTCCCGAGCGACGGCCTGAAGGCGACGCTGCGGGCGCGTTTGGAAGAATTCGTGCGGCGGGGCGATGGCGGCGGCGACGACGACGACGACGCGGAGCGCGCGTCGGACGCCGAGGCGAGCGCGACGGCGAGCGAGGGGTCGACGTCGGAATCGGCGTCGGTGGAGGACGCGCTGGCGAGGCGAATACGGGCGTCGGCGCAAAAGGCGGCGAGCGCGGCGAACGACGACGGCGACGGCGGCTCGAGCGACGAAGGCGACGACGAGAGCGAGGACGAGGCGTCGAGCGACGAGGAAGAGAAGAGGGAAGAATCGGAGTCAGAAGAGTCGGATTCGAACGGTGTGGAGGAGGATAAGTGGCGGCGGAAGGATGATCCGGTGCTGCATGAATTGCTTTCGTATTACGTCGCGCGCGGCGTGGAGACGGCGTGCAAGCTCGAGGCGTTTCGGAGACGCGTGGAGGATCCCGCGTTTGAACCCACGGCGGAGGAGGCGGCGTTCGTGGATGAATTGCAGACGAAGCTGATCGAGGAGTTCACGCAGCCGTTGCCGACGCTCGAGAGCGAGGCGAAGGCGCAGAGGGAGAGGAGATTAAAGGAGGAGGGCGGCATCGACGGGAGCGCGCCGAAGGCGCGAGGGGACGAAAAGCGGAGCGCGATGCCCACGGATGGTTGGAATCGCACGCGGAAGAAGGAACGCGTGAAACTAAAAAAGAACGACCCATCCGCGCAAGGGACGTACGAGACGCGTAAGCTCATCGAGGAAGGCGCCGGATTGTTCGTCGCCCCGAACGACAAAACCAAGGTTCGTCGAGAGTTGCGAAAGATGGAACGCAAGACCGCGGGCAAGGGATGGTTCGACATGAAAGCCGTGGAGTATACTCCAGAGTTACGCAGAGAGATGCGCATGCTCAAGCTTCGCGGGGCGTACGACCCGAAGCGTTTCTACAAGAACGCCGATACCTCCAGGCTGCCGACGCACTTTCAAGTCGGCACCGTCGTCGGCGGCGCCGCGGACTTTTACTCCGCCAGGCTCGCCAAGAAGGATCAAAAGCGCACGCTCGCGGAAGAAATCATGCACGACAAAGACATCGAGCACGTCAGACGCCATCGTTTCGCGAAGATTCAAGAAAAGAACGCCGGAAACATGGGCCGAAAAGCCAAGCGTAAGCTCGGCGGCCGCGAGCGCGGCAACGCGCACCACAAAAAGAAGAAAATCTAAGCCTCACCGCGACCTCGCGCTCGAGCGCGTCATTCGCAGCACCCACATCACCGTCGTACATCCCAAATCGTCGGAGATTGTAATAGAAATCATCCGCGTTGTATCGCCTCGTCCCGCGCCGCAGCCGTCGCCACTCGTCGCCTCGCCATGGGCGCCAAAGTCTCCACGTCCGCCACCGCGGACGACCCTCGGGCGCCGCCGTGCGAGGGCGGCCGCGCCATGTACGATCGCGCGCGCGAATCTAGCTCTGCCGCCGCCGACAGCGCGTGTCCCGTGCCGGAAGAGTACCGAGGAAACCTGGGGGTGTACAACGTGTACAACACGAAAATCGACGCCGCGCAGCCGTCGACGTCGAGCGATGGCGACCGGAAGAACGAGCGCAGAGGCATCGCTTCGTGGTTCGGATTCGGGGCGAGCGCGCTGGACCCGCGAAATAACATGCCGAGCGAGCCGGCGCAAGGGCGGGCGCCGGGACAACGGGACGCGCTGAGCGTCGCTCGCGAACGCTCGACGATTCCCAAGAGCGGCAGCGATGGTGGTACGTGGACGTACCCGTCGCCGCAGATGTTTTATAACGCATTGGTACGTAAAAATAAAGCCGAGGACGTGGAGGAGAGCGATATGGACAGCGTGGTGATGGTGCACAACGCGATGAACGAGGACACGTGGCGACGCGTGGCGCAGTGGGAAAAGTTGCACGCGTACGCTCGCGGGCAGCCGATGCTGCTGCGATTTCGCGGACGACCGGACGAGTTGAGCCCGCTCGCGATGGCGCGATTGATGACCGGGGGCGCGCGACCGTTCGATAGACACGATTGGTACGTCGATCGCGAAGGGCGCGAGGTGCGATACGTCATCGATTACTACTTCAACGAGGACAAGGCGGGGACGAGCGAACAATTCGACGTCGTCGTCCGTCCCGCCCTCGACAGCGTCGACGCGGTTTTGGACCGAATCAAAATGAACATTTACATCACGTGCGCGCGATTCGGGATTCCGTGTCCCGTGAGCGGCCACGGCGGCGAAATCGAAATCGACTAGCGCGCGTCGCGCGACGAAACAAACGTCTCTCAACATTCTTTACGCGTCGTCATTAAATCAAATCATCGACGATTCCCTCACCACAACCCGAACGGTCCCTTCTTGTTCGCCCGCGCTTCCTTCATCTTGCGCTGCGCCTCCGCCTTTTTCGCCGCGATCTCCGCCTGAAACTTTCGATAATCTTCCGCCGTCACCTCCTTGGAGCCCTCCTTGATGAACGACCCGAGCAAGCCTTTCTTGATCGCCAGCTCCCCGTCGCGCAGTTCCCGCGCCGACTCGCCCGGCGTCTTCGCGACCGGCGTCTCGTTCGCCTTCGTCTCGCCCGACTTCCACGCGTCGATCCACCGCTGCGCCTCCGTCGCGCGCGCCTCGGGCGTCCGCGTCGCCGACGCGATCGTCGTTATCCGTTTTCGCGATCGACGCGGCGTCGTCGCGCGACGGTTCGCGACGGCGCGCGGCGCGGCGTTTGCAGCGAACATGCGGCGAGTGAGGTTTTCGCGCTTTTGACGACGCGTTCGGGGCGGTCGCGAGGCGCGCGCGCGCGTGTCGACGTCGCGCGGATCGGCGGATGAATGAAGATACGCGCGCGACTGGAACCGACGTTCGCGATGCGATCCGACGACGCATCCATCGATCCGTCGTCGTCGCGTCGTCGTCGCGCGCGAAAAAGATCGCGCGCGCTCGCGCGTCGACGCGCGCGCGCGATGGTGAAACGCGCCCGCGCGTCGGCGCGCGCGGCGCGGCGTCTTCGTCGCGGGCGCGCGCGCGGCGAGACGATTCGCGCGTTCGCCGCGCGTCGACGCGTCACACCGCGCCGCGTCGACGCCGTCGATGGGGTGCGCGTCGTCGAGCGCGCCGCGCGTCGACGCGCCGCGCGCCGCGGACGACGTCGAGACGGCCGACGCGACGCTCGGCGGCGCGAACGCCATCGATTCGTGGCGCCTGCCGACGACGCCGTACGCCGTGGGCGACGACGCCGACGCGCTGTGCACGCGCGACGCGCTCGCGAGGCGACGGGATGAGTTTTGGGACACGGCGAGCGCGTACGGGGGGTCGAGCGAGGTGTGGGGGGCGCTGCGGGCGTGCTGCGAGGGGCGATTCGACGAGGAAACGTCGCGCGAGGTGCTGCGAGCGAGCGGCGCGGTGAGCTGCGACGCGCGATTGGCGGTGACGTTCGACGCGCTGGGACGGCGGTACGCGCTGCCGGCGTTCGTGCGAGGGACGCCGGATAGGTTCGAGGAGGATGGGTGAGCGAAGGGCTCGCGGGGCGGCGAGGGACGGAGCGGCGACGCGTTCGAAGTAAAACGCAGCCGCTTACGGTTTAATCTCGCCAGACATCGCCGGAAGGGGTTCGATAAAACGCGGGCTATCGCTACTGCTACTGCTACTGCTAACGCTACTCCTCCACGAATAACTCGGGCTCGTGCACGCGGAGCCAGACGCACAGGCGATTGCACAGCGCCACCGCCGTCGTCGTCGTCGTCGACGGTTTGAGAGTTAAATAAATCTCAAAATCTCCGCCCACGCAGGCCAAAACGGAAAAGCGCGCGCGACGCTCGTATCGAACGCGCTGCGCGGCGCCGATGAATTTGGGTCCGGGTCCGCTCGCGTCGACGACGCCTTCGGTCTCTTTCATCGAAGTGTACGTCGACGCGTACGCTCGAGTAATCGCCTTGACGTCGGCGCCGTTCAACGACGGACTGAACGCGGAAGAAACGTGCTGATGACGCGCGGGGCGGTTGTACACGAAGTGCAAGAGCGGCTCACTCGCGTCCTGAAACCCACCGAGGGCTTCGGATGGAAGTTTAGCGATGGACATCGATTCGCCGGCGGCGGCGACCATCTGCGCCAAAGCGCCGTCGTCGTTCAAGCGCTTTTCCAAGGCGTCTCTCGCCGCGCGACATTCCTCCATCGCGTCCGCGGATGCGGTTATGATACAAATCCCGATCGAACCCGACGACGCGCGCGTCGACTTCACCGGTTGTCCCTCATCGCCCGCCGCGTCGCCGTCGCGCGCCCGCAGCCTCGCCGTGTACGCGCGCATGAACCCGTCTGGATTAAATTCCGGCAAACACACGCGCGTGAACGAGTCTTCGTCGCCTTCGCAGCGCGAAACGACGCGCAGAAAATTCATCAACACGATCAAATCGCTCGCCGCGATCGTCGTCGGTCGATGTCCTCGCGGTTTCGCGTACGCCCCCACGCGACCGTCGTCTCCGAACGCCACGCACGCGAACGGTTTCGTCACCGTCTTCATCGCCTCCACCATCGCCCGCGCCACCGTCTCCCGCACCTCCGCTCGCACGCGCACCGCCGTGTACGTATCGAACACGTAACACGTCTCCCAGCTCAAATTCCTCGCCAACTGCCCCAACACCTCGTCCGCCCGCGTCGCCGTCGCCAGCGCCCGCCCGACGTCAAATTTCGCATTCTTCGCCAGCGCCGTCTCCAATCCCGCGTTCGTCACCAGCATCTTCACCCCCCGCTCGACCCACTCCAGATGTTTCTCCAGCGTCGCCGCGCTCTCGCCTCGATCGCTCGACGTCGCGTACGTCATCGCGCCGCTCGCCCGTCTCGCCAACCGCCTCCCCCCGACCTCCGCGCCCTCCAGCTCCCCCCCCATCGCGCTCGCGCTCACCGCGCCCAGCGCCTGCAGCGTCGCGCACAGCCCGCTCACGCCGTGCGTCGACCCGTACCGCGTCCACGCCGGCTTCCCGGCGCTCGTGAACGCGAGCACGTGTCGCCGTCGTCGTCGCCAGTCGTCGTGCTCGTCGTGCTCGCGCGCGCGCTTGTGCGCCGCCGTCCACGCCCGCGGCGCGCGCGCGTCGCGCGCGCGCGTCATCGAGCGCGCGCGCGTCGACGCTCGATCGCGCGTCGCGCGTCGCGGCGTCCGACGGCGTCGTCCGAAACGCCGCTCGATGCGCAAAAATCAAATCAAACGAAAGAATGTAATCTTCTTCGCGATCGATTCGATCGTTCGAGCGCTTTTCGATCCCTCGGCGCGTCCGTCGACGCGATGTGACGCTCGCGCGTCCGCGATTCGCGATCGCGCGACTCAACGCGTCGCGATCTGCGGCGACGCTCGAACGAGTCAGAAATTAAAACGCCCGACGACGTCACAGACGACCGCCGACGCCTCGAGCGATGACGACGCGCGTCACGATCGGCGTCAAGCACGGCAAGGAGACGCACGACGTCGACGTCGACCTCGACGAGAGCGGCGCGACGTTCAAGGCGCGGCTGTGCTCGCTGACGAAGGTGCCGATCGAGCGCATCAAGGTGACGGGACTGAAAGGCGGACGACCGCTCGCGGACGACGCGGACATGCGAACGCAGGGCGTCGAGGCGCTGGCGCGACGAGGGAAGAAACTGCTGATGCTCGGGAGCGCGGCGACGCTGGCGAAGCCGGCGGAGGAGGTGGCGTTTTTGGAGGATTTGCCGGAGGGGGAGCGGGACGCGGCGAACGCGGGGGAAGGATATCGACCGGGGCTGACGAATTTGGGGAACACGTGCTACGCGAACAGCGTGGTGCAGTGCCTGTACGCGGTGGAGGGGCTGAGGGACAGCCTGGGGGGGTACGCGGGAGGGAGGGACGCGCGCGGCGGGACGGCGGCGCTGACCACGGCGCTGAGAGATTTGTTCGGCGACGTGAAGACGGCCAAGGATACGGTGATGCCGGTGCGGTTTTTGAACGTGCTGAGGCAGTTGTATCCGCAGTTTGCGCAGCACGGACCGCAGGGGGTGCCGATGCAGCAGGACGCGGAGGAGTGCTGGTCGGCGGTGATGCACACGCTGGCGACGGAGCAGCCGGAGGAGACGCGACGGTTGTTCGGAATCGGGATGCGGCGCGAGTTGAGGTGCGCGGCGACGAACGAGACGCGCGTGGAGGATTCGGTGGAGTACACGTTCAAGTGTAACATCACGATCGAGGTGAACCACGTGACGGAAGGGTTTAAGATTGCGCTGAACGACACGCGCGAGCTGCGCTCCGAAGTCCTCGGCGCCGACGCCGTGTTCGAAGGGCAGTCGAAGATATCCAAGCTCCCGGATTACCTCACGACGCAGCTCGTGCGGTTTTATTACAAGGCGGACATTCGCGCCAAGGCGAAAATTTTGCGCGCGGTGACGTTCCCGATCACCTTGGACGTGTACGAATTTTGCACCGACGAGCTCAAGGCGGAGCTCGAGCCGGCGAGAAAATTAAAATTGAAGCGCGAGGACGACGAAGCTCTGAAGCGCGTGAACGAAAAGAAGGCTGCTTTAGAAGACGTCGGCGCTACCGCGAGCGGCGAGGGCGACGCATCGACGGACGGCGCCGCGACGGCGGCGGCGGCGAGCGAACCGGCGACGACGAGCGAGCCGGCGTCGATGGAAGTCGTCGACCCTCTCGAGGGCACTCGATTCACCGGCTTCTTCGACCTCGTCTCGGTGTTGACGCACAAAGGTCGCAGCGCTGACAGCGGTCACTACGTGTCGTGGGTGAAGAAGGACGACGGCTCGTGGACGGAATTCGACGACGAAACGCCCATTCCGAGAACAGAGGAAGACGTGTTGGCGCTCAAGGGCGGAGGCGATCACCACATGTCCTACATCTTGTGTTACAAGGCTCGCAAGATTTAAAGAATTTGAACTAACTACTGTACGTTGTGGAAATTTGAAACATCCATCATTCTTTCTGACGGTCGCGTCACGACTTCCAAACCTTTCTCCCGCGTTGTTGCTTCCCGCGTTGCACGGGTGCGTTTCGTCTGCGCGTGGCGGCGAACACGCGCGCCGCCAGCGGTAAGGCTTTCTTCTTGTCCTTCTCCTTGTTGCTCGAACCGCCAGTCTTCTTTTGTTTGCGCGCGCTCGACGCGCCGTACTCGTTGTCCTCGCGACCGGCGAGGACGGTGGCGAGACGCGACGCCTTGTCGTGCGCCTTCTTCAAGCCCGTCGCGGCGAGCGAATCAGGGTTCACCCGACGATCACTCGCGCGATCCGCCTTGCGAAGCATTAATCGAATGTGATCGGTCGCGACGTTCGAAGCCTTCATCGCGCCCGCCTTGGAGAGCGCGGCGTTGAGTTGCCGCTCCGTTTTGAGCGCCTTGATGCGCTTGAAATCCTCGTCGGTGAGAATGCGCTCTTGCTCCACCGGTCCACCCAGTTCGGCTTCCTCGGCCTCTTGCTCGGCGCGCACCTCGGCTTCTTCCTCTTCTTTACGCCTCTGCATCATTGCCTTGTGGCGACGCTTGAGTTCGGCGAGCGACAACTTGCCATTCTTACGAATCTTTGGCGGCGGCGCGTCGGGATCGATGGACGCTTCTTCGTCACTCTCGCGTCCGCGTTTGCCAATCGCTGGCGGCTCTACCTCGTCTTCTTCTTCTTCGTCCGCGTCTTCTTCTTCTTCTTCGTCCTCTTCCTCTTCTTCTTCGTTGTCTTCGTCTTCGTCTTCGTCTTCGTCGGAATACTCTTCCTCTGAAGACATTTCGACGGCTTCCTCTTCGCGTTTACGTTTCAAAATGTCGCGTTGAAGCAAGTCGACGCCGTCGATGCGACCCACCACTTCAGCTTCACCGAAACCCTTGAGCGTTCTTGACATATCCGCCGCTTTCCCACGATCCTTCTTGTCGAGGAGGCCGGGCGCAATTTCTCGGAATAAAGCGATGAGTCCTCGCGCTGCGTTTGACACCGGCTTGTCGCGCGATTTTTTGTATTGCGTCAAATCTTGAAGTAAATCTTCATCCATCACCAAAGGACAGCGCGCACAAATTTCACGCACCGCGTTCAAACCAACCGCGGCAATTTCAGGGCGCGCGCGATCGTGAATGAACTGGTTGACGAGCTGACGCAACATCGGCGCGAGCGCGTCCGGCGGCACGAGTTCGTGGCACGCCGTCGCGGCGGCGGCGAGAAGTCTCGTCACCTGCGTAAATGATGGAAATCAAACGTCAGTCGCGCATTCGATTATGCGTAAACGTAACCGCTCGATGCGTTCGCGTCAGGTACTAAGCGGAGGCGTTGGTATGGGTCATATTTGGAATGCCCTTGGCCTTGAGTTGTGTCGTCATTCGCGAGCGGGCGGCGCGTCGTCGAGCGCTCGATGAATCAATGCGTACCTCCAGCTGACTCGGTTGAATATAGCGCTGCAAAAATGGATACACATTGAGCATGATGAGTTGATGCATGCCGATGATGCGACACATCATGAGGATGCACAGCATCTTCGTGTCGTACGACATGTGCCCGACTTGAAGCTTTCCGAACAGCAACTCAGCAAACGCTTGCGGATCGTTGATGAGCTGCATCGCGGCGAACCGAGAATCAATCGCTTTGTCCGCGTTGCGTTCTTTGCGCTGCATAGTCTTAATCGTCCGCTTTAGCTTCTTCTGCTTCTTCTTCTTAGACGAGGCGACGCCCTGCGCGATCGGAAGAAACGAGCGAGACAATTTTCGTCAGTATTTCGAACACTCGCTCGCGGCGCAAAGAAAAGAGCAAACGAACGTCGCGAGAAAAGCCTCAGAGATCTTGGTGATTGATTGTCGTCACTGTCGAGCCTCGAGAGTAGCAAATATATTTGAACATCATCGGCTTGCACGTCGTCGTGTTTGAAAAAAAAGAGCGTTGAAAATGTGAGGCACCACGCACCGTCTTGTACGCCTTGAAAACGTCTTCCTTGGAAACCTGCGTGCGCGATTTAATCTCCGATTCGCGAGTCGACGGATCGTCGTCGGAATCGCTCCCATCCCCAGCTTCGGCTGCCGCCTCGGCGGCTTCGTCTTGACCTTCAAAAAACTTCAACGCGGCGATTAAGATCTTTTGCGATGGATGCTTGCACGCCTCCACCACCAAGTTGACCGTTTTCGCGTCGGTCCATATATTTCTCCGGTACATCTCCGTCAGCACCGCGAGCGCCTTCTTCGCCGTGGCTTCGTTCTCATCCTTTATCGCCGTGTGCAAAAACGACTGCACCGTGCGATTATACTTGTCATCCGTCCTCTTCTTATTCGCCGCCTTCGCGTCGCTCACGATGTGTCTGAACATCAGCACCCGCAGATTTTTGTCCTTCACCCGGAACAGTTTAAAAAACAACGGCAGCGTCACCTCCACACCGATCACGCCCTTGTTCCTCAATAAAATCAACGCGCTCGTCAAATTCTTCCTCAAGTGCGGGTCCAGTATCGCGTAATGTCGCTCCAGCACCTCCACCACCCCTTTCGAGAACCCTTTCGTCTGTTCCTTATACACCACGCTCACGTGCGCGATGAACGACACCAACTCACTGAATTCCTTATGATCCCGCGACGGTTTCATCGCGAAGAGCGCGCGCAGCGCCTCGTAGTGTCGCAGCTGCAGCGCGAAATCCTCCTCGTATCCCTCCGGGTCGCGCTTACACGCGCTCTGCAGCGTCAGCAGGTCCATCGGTTTACGCGTCGACATCGTTCGTCGCCGTCGCTCGTCTCCGGCGCGTTCGTCGCCGTCGCGCGTCTCACCGCGTCGATTCGCGCCGCGCGTCGAAAAGCGTCCCGGCGGCGGCGGCGCGTCGCGCTCGTCTCCCTCGCGCGCGCCCTCGCGTCGCTCGGCGCGGCGTCGGGACGCTGCGGTTCAAACGAACGATCGCCGCGGGTCCTCTCGCGCGCGCGTCGACGCGCGAGCGCGAGCGCGCGTCGAAAAGTGATGCCGCGCGCGGCATCACTTCGCCGCGCGATGTCCCGACGCTCGCGCTCGCGCTCGCGCTCGCCGCGTCGCGCGCGCCGCGCGCGCTCGCGCTCGCGGTCGTCGAGCGCGTCCGCGCGCGCGCGTCGCCGCTCGCGGCGGTCTCGCGACGCGTCGTCGTCGACGTCGGACGCATCGCGGTCGCGCGCGCGAAATCGCTCGCGACGGCGCGACGCGTCGCGCGATCGCGACGCCGCGCGGCGACGACGGTCGTCGCGGTCGCGATCGACGTCGCGCGAGCGCGCGAGCGGCGCGGCGGTCCCGAACGCGATGGAGGAGGCGTTGCGAAAGCGGCGGCGACTCGAGGCGGCGCGGCGACTGTTGGGCGTCAAGCGCGGAAATCGCGACGAGGACGCGAACGAGGGAAGAGACGCGGGAGATGAGGGTTTGGATGGCGTGGACTCGTTGGACGCGTACATGGCGCGCGAGGTGGATCCGGAGGTGGAGAGGCGACGTCGCGCGGAGGCGACGGCGGCGGCGGAGGCGAAGCGACGACGCGCGATGGAGATCGCCGAGGCGAAGGCGCGAGGCGAACGCGTGCGCGCGCGAGAGGACGTGGTGATGTTAGAGCGCGCGGAGGCGGAGGCGGAGGCGACGGTGACGCCGGACGAGGTGATTGAGATTCCGAGCGGTAAGGTGAAGTTGCTGATAGGCGCCGGCGGGTGCAACGTGAAGGAGGTGATGCGTAAGAGTAAGGCGATGGTGCAGGTGCTGAAGAGCGAGGGGGCGATGAATGAAGGGTTTTCGGGGATGGACATACACGCCGCGAACGCGGCGGCGCGCGTCGCGACGCAGAGAATGTTGGACGCGATTACGGCGAGCGTCGCCGTCGGCGAGGACGTCGGCGAGGAAGACGCCGGCGAAGGCGACGACGTTTTAGCGCCGAAAGATAAAGCATCGAACGCGACGAAAACAAAAACCACGACGGATGCACCAGCCATGACAAAAATCATGATCAACGGTAGTGAAGAGGCGCGAACGATGGCGAAGCGGTTGATCGAGGAATTGTTCCAACGCGCCGTCGAGGAAAAGCGTGAACGCCGCGGCGAGGATCGCGAGCGTAAAAAAGAACAGCGCGCGCGGGAGCGGCGAATGTACCACTTGCGACACGTCGCTGATTACGAGCGTTTAGAAGTTCCGCTCGGGGCACCGAAGGACGACGTGAAGTCGGCGTATAGAAAGCTCGCCGTGCGCTGGCACCCCGACAAACATCCCGAGGGTCCGGCGCGCGTCGCCGCGGCGGAGCGCTTCGCCGTCATCCAAGCCTCGTACAATAACCTCATGACCACGGACGAGGAGCAAGGAATGATGGGTTCGATCGCACACACGTCGACGCAATCGAAATCGGCGAAGCCGCCACCGAACGTCGTCGAAGCGCGCAAGGCGCTCGAGACGCGCGCCGAATTCGAGCGCGCGCTCAAGGCACAAATGGCCGCCACCGAAGCCGCCGCCGCGCGCCGCGCGTATAAAACTTTGTAATCTTTATAGAATCGTAGCCCTCATCGAGCGTCAGTCGCACGCGCGCGCGTTGAGGACGCCATCGAAAACGCCGTCTCGCGCGCGCCGAATCTGGATCCTCACACCGCGTCCAACCTTTCATCCCACGATGCCCAGCTGCCCGCGGTTGCCCTCCTGCACGGGTCGCTCTCCGGTACGCGCGCGATCTCGCGCGCGCGCCTTCGCGCCGTCGTCGCGCGCGCTCGAAAGACTGAAGAAGCGTAACGACGTCCACTTTGAAACACTTTGACGACAAAGACTGACGACGACGACCGCACGCGCCCGATGACGCGCAGTTACCGTGGACGATGATCACCTGGGGCTTGTGGATCATCCTATCGAGCATCAACATCGCGAGTGTGTGTTTGGTGGCGCTCACGGCGAAGGTACGCTCGGCGCTCGGCGCGCGCTCGGCGCGCGCTCGGCGAAGCGAATTTCATTCGGGCGCTCAAAACGACAAAGACTGACTGAATGCGTTCAATTCGCGCGCGCAGTATATAAAAAATGTCGTGGACCCGGTCACGGCGAAAGATTTGTTGGAACCAATTCATGCGATGAGGTCTTACATGGCGGGCGTGTGCGTGGCCGTGGTGGCGTTTCACGTGATTTCGTTGTTCACACTCTTGTACAAGACGACGAAAAAGGGTGGCGTGACGCCGTGGTACGGTTTCGTTCTCGGCGGAACGTTTTACATGATATTCATCATGATAGGTCAAGGACTCTTTGCGGGCGCGTTTCATCCGAATTTCGCGGCGATTCACGACTACCAAGTGTCGCAAAACAATCCGGGAATTTATGGAAAGACGGAGTCGGATCGAAGCAAGGCGTTGGAGGGGCTGTCGTACACGAGCGCGGCTTTGTTCAGCGTTTCGTTTCTGATTTTGTTGTTCTACCGGGACACGATTTGCGGTGCGACAGTACCACGAGAAGTGGCATCGGCGCCGCCGCCGGTTGCGTCGTCGACGCGGTCAAAGTCAAAGAAGGGTGCGTTTCGCGCCACGCAGCTGAGCGACAACGCGGCGTCTCCGAGCCATTCGGTTGTGGAAATGGGCGAGAGAAGCGATGGAGGATCGTCGCTTAGATTCGGCGCCGATAGATTTGCCGCGTCTTAGCCGCCGGCGTTCTCTTTGAAATGCAAGATATGTCTAAGAGTACGACGTCATTTGTGCTACTTAAACGCACGACACCGTCGACACCATCGATGGTGATGAGCTCGCCGGTGTCGCCGCGGGACGCGTCTCCAGAATCGGTGACGATGATGACTGACGTCTTCTTTTCCCGGTCGCACGATCTCGAGCTCTTGTCAATTTTCCTCTTTCGATTCAAACGAGCCAAAGAGACCCTGTCCCTTTGCACGGTCCGTTCGGTCGATGTCGATCGGCGGAACGCTCCAATGCATTCCGAGCGCGTCCAGAGCCTCGATTTTTCGCGCGCTCAATTCGCCAGCCTCGCGTTTCACTCGCATCTTACGAATCCACTGGTGGAGTTTTTTATCGCGCCTGGCGAGGACGTGCGGCGAACCATGAGTTTCGACGTACTCGGCGAAACGCGCTATATTTTTCTCAAATCCCGCGGCGCGCTTCACCTTCCACTCCACACACACGCCATCGAGCGCTTCGACACGTTCGAGCTCGAGCTCCCCCTTTTCAAACCGCCGTCGTTGCTGCCGAATCCATTGAAACAGCGCGTCGTCTTCGCTCGATCGCGGTAACGCGCCGCGCGTCTCGTAAAACGATCGCATCGCAGACAACCGATCTTCCCAAGATTTGTGAACGGTGGAGCGCACGTCCCACTCCACACCGAGCGCATCGAGCGCTGTTTCCCGCTCTTTAGAAAGCTTCCCGTCCCGCTTCGCCTTGCGTTGGTCGAGCAGCCAGAAATAGAGACCGTCTTCCTCGTCTTCGCGCACGCGACAGTGCCCGCGCGTCTTCACGTACGCCTCCAACGCCTCGCACCGAGTCTCCCACTGCACGACCCTCCGTTCCTCCACACCATCGAAGTCCACCCCCAAATCCCTCAACGCCTCGTACTTTTCGCGCGACAGCGACCCGTCGCGGTGATCCGCCACGCAGTGACTCACCCACCGCGACAACGCCTTCGATCGCGGCACCGCCCCATCCGACGCATAACACCTCGCCAGCTCCCTCAACCGCGCATCAAACGTAAATATCTCCTCCGGCACCTTCGTGATCGCCTTTCGCAGCTCGAACGTCACCCCCAGCGCCCGCAATCGTTCCATTCGCGTCTCGCTCAGTTCGCCTCGCCGCGCCAGGTACCGCTGCCTCGCCAACCATCGTCGCTGCGCGTTCAGCTCCCGCGGCAACCGCGCGACGTCCGCGCCGTGCATCGACTTGAACAGCGCGACCTCGTCGAACCTGTCGTCCCAGGACGCGCGCGCGCGACGCGGCGTTCCGTTTTCGTCGTCGCGAGACGCGCTAACGGTCGCGCATCTTCTTCGCGGTCTCGCGTCGCGCGCGGTCGCGCGTCGCGCGTCGCGGCGCGGCGTCGCGCGCGGTCGCGCGCGCGCGTCCGCGCCGCGCGCCGCCGTCGCGAGCGATCCCGGCATCGCGCCGCGCGCGCGTCGGCAGATGACGTCGCGCGGCATCGCAATCATCATCGCGCGCGCCGTCGCCGCGCGTCCGCGCGCGCCGGTCGCGCGCGTCGGCGCGTCGCGCGTCCGACGCGCTCGACGCGTCGCCTCGATCGCGCGACGCGACGACGCGCGCGACGCGACGCGCGCGCGCGCGCGAAGTTTCACGCTGCTCGTCGAGCGGTCGCCGAGCGTCGACGTCGTCCATCAGCGCGCCGCGCTCGACGCGTGCGACGCGATCGTCCATCCGGACTTCGGCGACGACGATTCGAGCGACGCGCGCGGCGAGGACGGCGCGCGCGCGTCGGTGCGGTCGGTGTCGGGGGCGCGGTGTCGGGACGCGGCGGCGGCGCGCGCGCGAATCTCGCGCGCGGTCGCGCGACGGCGCGATGCGGGCGGCGGTGGACGGTTCGCGCTGTTGTGCGTGAGCGGCGACGGCGATCGGGGAGGCGGGATGACGAGCGAGGACGTGTTGAGGGAGGCGCGCGGGATGCGGGCGCGGGGCGAGGTGCCGCGGGAGACGACGCTGCTCGCGGCGGTGAATCCGATGCTCGGCGCGTCCGAGGCGGTGCGGATGCTGCGAAAGAGGGAATGCGGCGCGGATGGATTCATCTCGCAGCCGGCGCTGTTGCAAAATCGGTTCGAGGCGTGGCGGGAGGCGTGCGAAAGAAGCGGCGCGTTGGACGGCTTGGACGGCGGCGGCGACGGCGCGCTCGCGGGATTGTTTCTGGGCGTGTCCACCGCGAGAACGGCGAAGAGTTTGGAGTTTTGGTATAAACTGACCGGCGTCGACGTCGAGGACGCCGATGCGCGCGCGCTTCGCGATGAGTACGTCGAACGCGCGCGGACGATGACGCGGGAACGATTCGACGACTGGACGTTTGAACGCGTCGAGCTCGCCGCGGTGCACGCCATCTCCTTCGCTCGCGCCTCGGGGTTACACGTCATGCCCGTGACCGCGGGTGGGTACGAGCACGCCGCGCGACTCGCGCGCGACGTTTTACCGGCGTTTAGGCAAACATCGTAGCGCGCGCGACTCCCCTAGCCTTGTAGCGTCGACGCGTAGTCACAACTTCACACCGACGCGCGCGTCGGCGCGCGGCGTTCTCGCGCGTGGCCCACTCGCACGATGCGGTTTCTCGTGTACTTTGTCCATCGTCACAACGACTTCAGGTGCGTCGCGCGCGCTCTCTCGCGCGTTTCGAGTTCGAGTGCACTTTTTGTCCCATCGGTGGCGGCGGAAGTCCCGAACGTCTCGCGCGTCGCACAAAGCGTGAATCGCGACCGCGCGACCGCGAACGACTGACAACAATAACGTATTTGCGATTCACGCACGCGCAGGCGCGCAGAGTTTGAATCCGTGGCGGAAATGTGCGGAGTGTCGAACGTGGAGGACTTGGCGTGGACGCGCGCCGACGGCGGCGACTGCGAAGAGACGCCGTTTTGGTACGTCGAGCTCCCGGACGAGCGCACAGCGCGCGCGATCGCATCGCGCGCGCTGTTAGTCAAAGCGATTTTAGAGGCGTGGGGTTCGGCGCCGGACGAGGGTGGGCTGCGGGACGCGGTCGCGGCGTACGACGAGTCGCGAAAGACGCCGTATTTAGCGCCGGGGACGACGTTTAAGGTGGAGGTGGAGGATTTCGGCGTCAGGCGCGGGTCGAAAGACATCTTAAAGCGCGTCGGCGACTTGGGATTGCCGTTTCTAGGGAAGGCGGATCTTAAGAATCCGGAACATTTATTTTGGAGCGTGGTGAGCGACACGAAGGAGACGCCGAGTTTACCGCAAACGCCGCGGCATTGCTTCTTCGGGCGCGTCGTCGGTCAGAGCGATCGCTCGACGTTGAAAAGGTACGACTTGAAGCAACGTTCGTATTTAGGGCCGACGAGCATGGACGCGGAGATGGCGCTTTTGATGGCGAATTTCGCGCAGGCGCGTCCTGGCGGCGTGATATTAGATCCGTTTTGCGGCACGGGATCAATGCTCGTCGCCGCGGCGCATTACGGTGCGATGACGATGGGCATAGACATAGACATTCGCGTCATCAAGCATGGGAAATCGGCGCGCAAGAGCGGCTCGAAGTTTGGCGTAAAAGCGAGCGATGGTTCGTCGGTGGACGTGTGGACGAATTTCGCGCAGTACGGTTTGCAACCGCCGGTGGCGTTGTTTGTCGGCGATTTGCACGCGTTGCCGACGCGACGGTTTGGTTTAGAGGGTACGCTCCAAGGTATCGTCGCCGACCCTCCGTACGGCGTCCGCGCCGGCGGACGCAAAAGCGGTGGGCGCAAACCGCTTCCCGAAGACTACGCCATCCCGGAGGAGATGCGAGAAACGCACATTCCGAGCACCGCGCCCTATCCATTCGCCGAGATGAACGACGATTTGATGGAGCTCGCCGCTCGGTTTCTCTCCATCGGCGGCCGTCTCACGTTCTTCCTCCCCGGTTCCACCGAAGACGCCGAACGAGAGATTCGCGACCTCCCCGCGCACCCGGCGCTTCGCCTGCGATGGCACTCTCTAGAAACCTTCAACCAAATCTGGGGTCGCCGTCTCGTGACGTACGAAAAAATACACCCCTACGACGTTGAAGTCGCGCGAAAGGCGCGCGAAGACGCCGTCGCCGCCCGCGCGGCGAGCGACGAGCCGGATTTGATCGAACGGATGCGCGCGTTGGTGTACGACCAAGTCCCCGCCGAGGCGAAGCGTCGCAAGCGATACGAGAAATTCCACGGCGTGCCTCCGCCAGACGCGCTCACCGAGCGCGCGAGCGCAGAGACGTAAATTTACGCGTCACCCACGCGCGCGCATTAGCCTCGACGCGCGCGCGTCGTAGCTCTAGACTTGAAATTAGCCTCCGCGAATGAAATCTGTCCCGCTCGGCGAATATGTTATCGTTGATAACGACCTGCGCTGCAAAGCACCGCGCGCCGGCCTCACCGCGCGCGACCGCCCGCGCGCGCGCCGAGCGCGAGCGCGCGATGCGCGTCGCCGTTTGCGCGCGCGCGCGCGCGACGCGCGTCGCGCGCGGCGGCGCCAGCGCGTCGAGACCGCCGACCGGTCGAGTTTCAGTCCCGCGCGCGACGCCGCGCCCTGGCCGCGCGAACGCGTCTCGAGCGATCGTGATCGCGCGCGCGCGCTCGAGCGCATCGTCCCTGGCGCCGGCGACGACGCGGGCGCCGATCGAGACGATGGATGCGTACGTCGCGCGCGTGGCGGATTTCGTCCCGCCCGCGGCGTTCGCGGCGACGCTCGGCGCGTTCGCGTTCACGGCGATTGGATTCATGCTCGGGTGTCTGCTGACGCTCAGAGAGCTCGTGCGCGCGTGTCGCGAGGCGACGCTGGCGTCGCGAGCGGTGCGGAACTGTGCGAATTCGATAGAGGTGTCGTGCGCGAGCGTGGATAGGTGCACGAAGAACATCGACGCGACGTGCGCCAAGGTGGACGATTTCCTCGAGCAAGCGAACACGATCGGGACGACGACGTCGAATATTCTGACCGAGGCCGGGTTGTTGCAGCGACGGGTGTCGGAGCTGCCGAACGCGCTTTTGGGGTCGCTCGGGGATTCGGCGGAGGACCCGAGGTCGCGATCGTTCCTCGCGGCGCGAGGCGCCGACGGCGCGGAACTCGCGGCGGAGATGGCGCGACGAGATATCGTGCTAGGAAAAGAAATCACGGGGAGGAGGTTAGGGAACGGGTGGATCGGGTCGACGATGCATCGGTTCTTTTTTTCAAGAGATAATACTTTTAGCGTCGGCGAATACGTCGCGGTGAAGCGATCGAATAATATGTACACGTGGGGCGTCGTCGAGGCGGGTGATTCAGACGAAAGCGAGGACGGCAAGGGAGTGGACGGCACGGAGTCGTCGAGCAATAGCGCGGTGGACGTCTCGCAGGCAGAACCCGCGGTGTGCGAGTGGCCGCCGCGCGATTATCCCGCGGAAGCCGCGGCGAAGGAGATCGAAGAGGCAAACAAAATCACGCCCATGAAGGTGTTCAAGGCGCTCATTCGCATGCCGTTGCCAAAGAACTTGGGCGAACCTGAGAGGCAGTATCGCGTCGTCGTTGAAGTGGATAGAGATTTGTACCGTTTCAAGTACGTCGACGCGTCGCTGTTGGGCAAACGATACTGATAGAGATGACACCAAGAGACTTGTAAAATCACAACCCGAGCGATGAATAGTATTTCGCCACTAGTTGGCTCAAACGATTGCCATCGGCGCCGCTAAATGTTTCCGCCTTGCGCCCTTCGCAATACACCGCGAACGTGGGCATGGACGAAACGCGCTCGTAACCCGCTATGTCTTGCGCCGCGTCGACGTCGACTTTGATGAAGTGCGCCGCCGGATACTTGGTCGCGAGCGACGTGAACACCGGCCCAATCATCTTGCAAGGCCCGCACCAGGTCGCAGTGAAATCCACAAAGACTAATTTCATCGTTTTCGTCAAACGTTGGTACTCCGCCATTTCGGTCACCTCTCGACATCCGGCTTGGACTTGCGGCTTCTTCAGCGCCGCTCGACATCCGTTCAAACTCGCGACTAAGCTCACATCTCCCGGCAAATCCTCCCACAGCCTCGTGAATACAACATCCGCTTCGGCGTATTTCCCTAAAGCCGCCAATGCCGTCGCTTTGCGCAGCGAAGCCTTTTGATACGTTTCGCATCTCGCCAACGCTTCGTTCGCGTCGGCGAGCGCGTCCTCGTGTTTGCCCGACGCCGACTTACACGCCGCGCGATTACAAAACAACAGACTCGCCCCTGGAACATCGCTTCCACCGTTCGCTAATCCCTCGCTATACGCCTCGGCCGCGCTCTCGCGATCGCCCGCCTTGAATTTATCGTTGCCGAGCGCTCGCGCCGCCGCCAAGCGTTCCAACTTCCCCTTCGCGAGCGCCTCCGACGAATCTCTCAATCCCTCGACCGCCCCGTCCAGCGTCCCCGCGCGCACGAACAACGACTCCAGGCGCGTCTTCGCGCGTTCGTACGACTCGCACGCCGCCCACGCGCGCGCACAGGCGACGACGGCGTCGTTCAGGTGTTGTCCCAGTCCCATGGCCATCAGCGCCGCCGCGGCGTTGGCGCGCGCTTTCGCGACGTCCAGGGGCGTCGAGGCGCATTCGGCGGCTTGTTCGTACAGGTCTAGAGCTGATTTAAAGTCGCTATTCTTCAGGGCGTCGTTGCCGCGCGCGCGAAGGTCGGTGGTCATCGCGAGCGGGCGAGTGCGGCGCGAGCGCGGCGCGAGCGAGGAGCGTGCTCAGCCATACGGAGAACTTTCTCGCAAGATACGTGTCCACGCTTCTCGGTTCTTCTCTGCGCACTCGTGCAGGAATTCGTCTCGCTCTCGCGGCGTCATGGCGTCTAGGTACGCTTTGTGGCACTTCTTGCACATGCGCGTGTACGGATGGTGCCAATAGTACTTGCCGAGATTCGCACGGTACTTCCGCACGCTTCTGTCCGTCCCGCACGCTCGGCACGTCATGCCCTCCGGCGCCGGCGGCGTCGGCTCGCGACGCTCCATCCAAGCTTTCGATTTACGCCGTCCCGCTGCCTCGGCGCACTGTTTGTCGAACTCCTCTCGTGCCTCGGGCGTCATCGCGTCTAGGTGCACTTCGTGGCACTTGACGCACATGCGCGTATGCGGACGTTCCCAACAGTACTTGCCGAGATCCGCACGGTACTTCCGCACGTTTCTGTCCGTCCCGCACGCTCGGCACGTCATGCCCTCCGGCGCCGGCGGTCTCGGCTCGCGACGCTCCAGCAGAGCTTTCGATTTACGCCGTCCTGTTTCCTCGGCGCACTGTTTGTCGAACTCCTCTCGTGCCTCGGGCGTCATCGCGCCGACGTGCGCTTCGTGGCACTTGACGCACATGTGCGTGTGCGCACGTCTCCAATAGTACTTGCCGAGATCCGCACGGTACTTCCGCACGCTTCTGTCCGTCCCGCACGCTCGGCAGGTCATGCCCTCCGGCGCCGGCGGCCTCGTCCCGCCGCCGCCCGACTCCGCCCTCAAAACGACCGCGCATCGCGCGTCGCTCAGGCACGCCTCCCCCAAACGTCTCGTTATCGTCTCCAGCGCCCCCCGCGCGCCGTCCCGTCCCACCGCGCGTCGCGCGTCGACGCGCGTTCGCCCGTCCCGACGCCCCCGAGCGCACAATCTCGCGTCGACCGACACCGACGCCGACGCCGCGCGCGCCGCGAGCATCGCTCCCGTCGCGCTCGACCGCGCGCGGCGTAATTTACCGAACCGCGCGGCGCGCGCGCGTCGCGCCGCGCGTCGCCCCGCGTCGCGCCGCGTCGCGATCTGCGTCCGTCGCCTTCGTGCGTTTTCGACGTTTTCACCGAAAACACCCGGTCGATGCGATGTCCGCACAGATCGTCGCGTCGCCGCGCCGCGCGATGTCCGTCCTGCGCGCCCTCGCGCGGCGCGCGCGCGCGCGCGCGCCTTCGCCGCGCGCCGCCGCGCTCGCGACGCGCGCGCGGGCGCCGCCGCCGCCGATGACGTCCGTCGACGCGCTCTGGGAGGAGGTTCGCGACGCGCGCAGCGGACAGATTTACTACTGGCAGACGGAGACCGACGAGACGACGCCGCTCGGCGCGCCTCGGCCGACGACGTACAGCGCGCTCGACCCGACGATGCCGGCGCCGACGCGATCGGGGACGCGCGCGCCGCCGCCGTCGCGAGATCTCGGCGCGGCGGGAGGGTCGGCGGCGGGCGGATTCGGGTCGATGATCGCGCAGGGCGCGGCGTGGGGGATGGGGAGCTCGTTGGGACACCGCGCGATCGGAGGGATGTTCGGGTACGGCGGGTACGGCGGCGTCGGCGGGGTCGGCGGCGGCGAGGGCGCGATCGGGGAGGCGGGAGGGACGGAGGCGCCGGCGCCGCCGGATTTCGGCGCGAGCGAGTTCGACGACGACGACGGATTCGGCGACGGTGGATCCGACGGTGGATCGTTGTTTGATTTCTTTTCCGAAGACTGAGCGCGCGCGCGATCGCGCGCGATGTAATTTTGAGGCTGGGTGATTTTGTTCGTTTCGTCTTCGGCGTTACAAATTTCCTTCGCGAGCGCGAGGCGGCGGCGCGATCTTTCGGGTCGTTCGCTCACGCGCCTTCCCCCGCGGTCGTCTCCACCGCGCCTTCGGTCGCCGCCTCGGCCGATGTGGCCTCGACGACCTCCTCGCGCGTCGTCTCCGACGTCTTCTCCGCGTCTCTCCGCGGCGACGCCGCCGCCGCTTCCTTCGCCGCCGCCGCCTCGTCCTCCGCCATTTTCTCTTCAATCCACCGTTTCAGCGTCCCGCTCCCGAATCCGTACGCGCCCGGTAATTTCACGTAATCTCTCGTCTGCTGTGCCGGTTCCTTGCCCCAGTGTTTCGGGAATCGCGCCATCCACGGCGCGTCGCTTCGTCGCCACTTGACGTACGCGTACTTGTCGTTTCGCTTCGTCCCGTCCTCGTTCTTCAGCGGCGTCCCGTGCTCGTACTTCGTCCCGCGCGCGTCGCCGAACATGTTCACCTCGTCTCGCTGGGCGTACAACCACGCGTCGATCAGGCTCTTCTCCTCGAGCGAGACGGCTTTCGGGTTTTTGAGATGATGAAACTTTAGGATGTCGGTTTTGATCACCGAGACTTGGGTGAGTTTGCTCGCCGCTTTCGCGAATTTGCGCGCGTTGGAGCCGGTGGCGTTGAGCGCGAGAAACGCGCCCGCGACGGCGACGACGAGGGCGGGGATTTTCATGGCGCGCGAGGCGAGGCGCGCGACGCGGAATGCGGAACGAGGAAAGTGCGAGGCTGGACGAGGACGGCGGCGTCGGGACGCGACGCGAGATCGACGACGACGACGACGACGACGCGCGTCGACGCGAAAAAGGTTCTTCGTGATGATGAGAGTACATGCGTTGACATCGGTTACGCGAGGATTCGTCGGTGCGCCGAGGCGGCGGCGCGTCGTCGTTCTCTTCGTCGTCGTTCTAATAATCGTACGGTTGGCGCCGAGCCGTCGATCACGTCGCCTTCTTCGAGCGCTTGGACGCGCCAGCCCCGGACGCGGGCGCGGCGGTCGACGCCTCTTGTTTTGCCGCGCTGCGTTCGGCGGCGGCGTCGCGTTTTTCGCGCTTCATGCCCTTCATCTTCGCCGCGCCGAGCGCCTCTAATCCGGTTTGCTTTTCCACGTACAGGCGACCCACCTTGCCCTCCAACATGTCGTGCGACACGTTCTTTTGCTTTTTCGCCACGCGAGCTCGTTGGTAGGCCTCGCGTTTGACGTCCGGTGGCGCCTCGCGGTGACGTCCGCACGTGAAATCAAAACTAGGTCCCATCTCGGCGAGCTCGATCAAAGGCAACCGCGTGCCGGATTTCTTATACTTGATCGCGTACTGTCGAAACATCACGATCGGTGGTCCCCCGGGATTAGCCAACGCCGTGCACACGATCGCCCGATCGATTCCTTTCAAATTTATCCTATCCACCACTCGTCCTCGAAATATATCGCTCATCACGTTTTTCACCAGTCGCAACCCGTCGTGCGTCTCGAAATCCTCCCCTTGAAAGCACAAGCACGGCTTACTTCCAGCCACCGCGTGCTTTCCCTCGCCCCCGAACGATTGCATCGACTTATAATTCCTCACCAACATCTCCACGCAATCGAACAGGTGATATTCAAAGAATCTGCCCGCCGTCAAGCAGTTCGGTCTCTTCTTTTGGTGCGTCCCGAGCAGAAACGCCCCCGCGTCCGCCTTCTTGGCGAAGAATTCCAGCGACGTCTCCCCCCCGCCCTCGAACGGACGTACCCCTGGGTTCTTTCGCGTCATCTTGTGCGCCTCTTGGCCCTTGGTTCGCGCCAGGTCGGCGAGGAGACGCTTCAAAACTTCGGAACTGTTTTGCCCGTGCAGACACAGGGTGGTTTTGCCAGCCTTTTCGACCTTTTTCGGCGCGCGCGCGAGCAACGCGCGCTTGCCCGCGGTCGTGGACGCGCGTTTGATCTCCATTTTGCTCTCCATCGCGGCGCTGTCCGCCATGGCGGCCGTGCGCGGGCGAAAAGTGAGGTTCGTGGACGATGCGAACGCGCGTGGCGGCGGCGGCTGAAATTTGGCCTCGAGCCAGACGCGAGGTAGAACGACGACGAGAGCGACGCGCGACGACGCGTGGACGCCGGGACTTGGGAAAATACGTTAATAATAATACAACACTCGCGTCACGCGAGCTCGCTCGCGACTTCGCTCGGGAGTAAATTGGCGGATTTCAGGGCGTCCGTGGCGTCGAGCTTGATGATGGCGGCGCCCAGAGCCAAGGGATCCGAGCGCTTGGGTAAATCGTTGACGGCGATGCGGTTGGAGATTCCGCCCGTGGTGGAGAGCAATACTTCATCCGTGACGTCGTCGCCGATGCGGTCGACGAGAGTGATGGTGGCCAGGGCGTCGTCGTCACCCTTTTTGAATTTCATGCACATGACGCCCGAGCGACCGCGGCCGAGCAGGCGGTACGAGTTCGCGGCGACCACTTTGCCTTTACCTTTCTTCGTCGTAAATAAGATAAACGGACCGAATTCTTCGCTCGCGGACACCATGCGTTCACCTGGGACGATAGCCATACCGACAGTTTTCGGCGGCAAAAGTTCGCCGTCGTCTTCGTCGTCGTCTTCGTCGTCGCCCGCGTCTTCGACGACGGCTTCTGCCACCTTCTTCTCGCCCATGGTTTTGATGCCCGAGATTGGCCTGCACGCCGACTTCACGACTCGGAAGTCTCCGACACGGCAGTGAAGGATGAGCCCTTTTCCAGCTTTCCCGGTGCCTGTGATGAAGAGATGGTCGGACGTGCGCGCGAACATCACTTGCTGCAACCTATCGCCCTTGTCGAGCGTGATCACCTTCTTACCCTTGTGCCCGAGCATGGACGCCGCGGACGCCACGGATACCTTACCTTGGCTTGTTAACATCACCACCACTTGGTCGTCCGCTACTTCACCCTGTTTCATGTTCGTCGACAACATGGCGGTGACGTTTTGGTTGCGCTTTGCGAACGTGTTCAACAGACTGGTCGCTGGAACTCCTATCGTGTTCAGTTCGGATTGCGGAATCGCCTTCGCACTGAGCTTTTGGACTCGCCCTCGATCGGAGAAGAATAATATTTGATCGCTGTCTTTGCAGTGCATGGCTTTGGAAAGCTCATCGTTGGCGCGGAGCTTGCTCATGCGCTTCCCTCGAGTGCCTCGATTCTGCGCGCCAAAGTTCTTCGGGCAGATGCGCTTGACGTATCCACGCTCAGAGAGGGTCAAAATATTATCCTTTGGTGGCGAATCGTCTTCGACGCCGCTTAAAGATTCGATTTGCTCGACGGACGTACGTCGAGGACGCGCGAATGCCTCTTTCGCCTCCATCGCCTCTTGCACGAGGACGTCGATGACCTTTGACTTGTTGCTCAACAAACCTTGGAAGTGTGCGATCTGCTCGTTCAACTCCTTGAGCTCGGCGTCTAACTTATCCGCCTCGAGTCCGGTTAATCGACGAAGCGGCATGGCGAGAATCGAGTCGGCTTGGATGTCGGACAAACCGTGCGATTCGCGCAACTTTTTCGACGCCGACGGGCCGTCTTTCGATTTTCGGATAATCTTCACCACTCCATCCGCGTCGGCGAGCACGATCGAGAAGCCTTCAACGAGATGCTTGCGATCTTGCGCCTTTGAGAGCATAAATCTCGTCCGTCGCTCGATCGTATCGACGCGAAACTTGATGAACTCGTCGAGAATCTGGCGAAGAGGCATCACCGTCGGCTTGTTGTCTATGAGCGCGACGTTGTTCACAAAAAACTTCACTTCGAGCTTCGTCTTGGCGTAAAGCTCCTCCAGCACGCTCGCTGCATCATATCCACGCTTAATCTCGATCACGACGCGCATGCCATCGCGATCGCTTTCGTCGCGAATATCACTGATGCCGTCGATGGTGCGCCCGTTGACGTGGTCGGCGATTTGTTCCACCAACCTCGCCTTGTTGGTTTGGTAAGGAATCTCGCTGATCACCACCGCGTCCTTATCCAGCGAACCGCGCGCCGCCGACACGCGCTCGATCGTCGCCCGCCCGCGAAGCGTCACCCCGCCCTTGCCGGTTTCGTAAATTTCCTTCATCCCGCTCTTATTCGTCACCACCCCGCCCGTGGGGAAATCCGGCGCCGGCAGCAACGCCATGAGTTCGTCCAACGAGCAATCCGGGTTTTTCGCCAGCGCGCACAGCGCATCGACAGACTCACCGAGATTATGCGGCGCCATGTTCGTCGCCACCGCCACCGCGATCCCACTCGAGCCGTTGATCAAAAGATTCGGCACCCGCGCCGGCAGCACCTCCGGCTCCGTTTGACTCCCGTCAAACGTCTCCGTGAAATTCACGCACTCGTTCCCGATGTCCGCCAACAACCCCTTCTCCGCCAACTTATTCAATCGGCACTCCGTGTAACGCATCGCCGCCGGCGGATCGTCGTCCAACGACCCAAAGTTCCCGTGTCCGTCCACCAACGGCGCCGACATCGAAAAATCTTGCGCCAACCGCACCAGCGCCTCGTACACCGATCCGTCCCCGTGCGGGTGATACTTCCCCAGCACGTCTCCCACCACTCTCGCGCACTTTCGGTGCGGTTTATCCGCCCGCAATCCCAGCTCGTGCATGCCGTACAGGATCCTTCGATGCACCGGCTTCAGCCCGTCGCGCGCGTCCGGCAGCGCTCGCCCCACGATCACGCTCATCGCGTACGACAGGTACGACGTCTTCGCCTCGCTCGCCAGTTCAACGTCGATGATCTTCTCCTCCGCGCTTCCCGTCGCCGTCGCGTACGTTCGCGTCGCGCGTCGCGCCGTCGCGCGCGTCGTTCGCGTCGTCGTCGGTTTGAAATTTGAACCCATCGCGCGTCTTCGCCAACTTCTCTCGCGCGCGTCGCGCGTCGTCGCGCCTCGCGCCCGCGCGACGTCGCGCGCGGTCGTCGCCATCGCTCGACACGCGCGCGCGACGACGGACGCGCTCGAAGCGCCGAACGACCGCGCGCTCCGCGTCAACATGCACCGCGGCGCGCAGTGCGGCGTCAGAGCGCGCCGCGGCGCGCCATGAGCGCGCGCCTGCAGCCGTGGGCGAGCGTCCGGGAGTGGCGCGACGTCCGCGACGCGCTCGCGCGCGCGACGGAGGACGAGGCGCGCGGCGACGGCGCGCGACGCGGCGCCGCCGGGGACGTCGAAATCGACGCCGCGCTCGGCGTCGTGCGCGCGTGGCGCGCGCGCGGGCGCGCGCCGCTCGCCGCGGACGTCACCGCGATGCTCGTGCGCGCGTCGCGCGCGCGCGAGGGCGTCGATCGAGGCGACGCGGACGCGGCGCGGTCGGCGACGGCGATGACGCTCGCGAGACTGGTGAACGGCGTCGTCGACCCGAAGCAAAAGGGACGGTACGCCGCGCCGATCGCGACGCTGGCGCGAGAGGTGGGACTGCCGCGATTTTTAGTGGATCTGCGACACGAGTGCGCGCACGGGACGATGCCGAGCGCGGGAGCGCTGCGGAGGGGCGCGCGGCGAGCGTTGGCGTGGTGTCGACGATGGTATTGGGACGAACAGGCGCGGGCGTTCGACGCGGCGTTCGAACGCGTGCGGGGATGCGTGCGAGCGATGTGCGCGTGCGAAAAAGACGCGAGAGGGCTGCGGGCGCGGGAGGGACGGGGCGCGGTGGAGTCGTCGAGCGAGGAGATGGACGAGGACGGGGCGAGCGAGGGCGAAAACGCGGGACGGGAGAGCGAGGGCGGGACGTCGTTTAAGGACGTGCGAGAACGACGACGACGGGCGATCGGAACGTTGAGCAGCGTGTGTCCGAAGGGCGCGGCGCACGTCGTGGCGGAGGCGTTGCTCGACGGGGGGTGGCTCCGCGTCGTGGAGGACGAGACGGCGAGCGACGTCGACGACGCCGACGAAGCGACGTTTCGCGCGAGCGCGGAAGATTGGCGGCCGACGCTCGAGCGACTGTGTCAGAAATGGACCGGTTTGTTCGCGTATCTGTTCGACGCCGCGATTCGAGGCGAGAAACCGGGAAACGATGTGGGGTTTCAAACTTTGTTGAGCGTCGCGGCGAGCGGCGACTTCGCCGCGAACGGCGATCAGCGCGTCGCCGCGTTCCACGCGTGCAAACGCGCGCTCGCGAGCGTGCACGAAGACGATTGGAGCGATGACCCGGCGGTGGCGAAGAGAACGATCCGGACGCTGCAAAAAATTGCCGGCGTGTCAAAGGATGAAATCAAATCCGCGTCGCGTCGCGGCGCGGCGCCCGCGGACGCGCTCGCGAGCGCGAGAGCCGACATCGAGGCGCTTCGCGCGACGCTTCAGTCCGGTCGTAAACGCAAGCGCGATTCGCGCTGGGAACGGGCGGAAGATTGGACGCCGTCACCCATAGGCGTCGTCGCGGGCGTCTCGGCGCGCGCGTTGGTCGACGTCGCGCCGTCGTCGCGAACGATTCGCGTCACATCCGGTGTCAGCGCGTCGAGCGACGCGGGGTATCGAAGCGCCACGAAATCGGCGACGTATCCACGCGGCGACGACGGTGACGACGACGACGCCGCCGACGACGACGAGGACGAAAACGACGACGAGGACGAAAACGACGACGGCGGCGAACCGTCCGAACGCGTCGGCGTCGCCGCCGCGCTCAACGTCGCCGGCGGTCGCGTGGAGCTCTCAAAATCGCAAGCCGCCGCCGTGGCGGCGTCTGTGGCGTGTCTGCTTTAGCGCATAGCCTGTAATTCTTAAAATTAATTGTTGTACTCTACTTCGCGTACACGAGCGTGAGATTATTCGCCGGCATTTCCACCGGCGACTTCATCCCGTCCACAGACGCCGGCGTCAGCCCGACCGATCTCGCCTGTTCGTCCATCCACTCCAAATCCACCAGCCCAAAGTTCTCCGGATCCTTCAATCGCAACGACGCGTCGAACCGGGCGTCGCCCTCGGATCGAAACTCGCCGCCGACTTTAAACGGCCCGTACACGAAAACCAATCCACCCTTCCTCAACGCCTTCGCGCTCCCCGCAAACATCCCCAGCGTCGCCGCGCGACTCGATATGTGCGCCACATTCACCATCAGCACCCCATCCAACGATTCCGCCTCCACGACGTCCGCCATCGTCGTCGCGTCCATCGTCCGCGGCGCCGCGCACGTCCCGCTCGCCCCCGCGTCCGCGCAATTCTCCATCACCGCCGCGAACGACCCGTCGTGGTCGCACACGTCCGTCGGGTAATACCTCTTCAGGCACGCCGCGCCGCTCGCGCGCAGGATCTCCGCCGCGTGCGCGCCGACGCCGCAGCCGAGTTCGAGCAGCTCAAACTTTTTCTCCCGTCCCGCGCTCGAGCTTCGCACGAACGCGTCGACGACGCGCGCGACGTGCGCCTTGTTCCGCTGCGCCGCCGTCGCGCTCACCGCGATGTTAAACCTCTCCGCGCCGCGCGTCATCCCGCGCGCGCGGCGTCGTGACGCCGCAGAATCCGACGCGAAAAAGCGCGCGTCGTCCCGGCGCCGATGCGAAACTGCCGCGTCGCGTCGTCGCGCGCGCGCCTGCGCCTCGGCCTCGGCGACGGCGACGGCGACGACGCGCGCGTCCTCGGCGGCGCGTTCGACGACGAGCGCGACGCGCTCGAGGCCGCGACGGCGACGCGATGCGCGACGACCGGCGGCGCGGTGATTTCGCTGCGACGCTTTCGCGTCGCCGACGGCGTCGAGCTCGAGCCCGCGCGCGCGTGCGAGACGCGCGGTGATGACGTCGCGTGCGTCGGCGTGGCGTGCGTGCGAGAGACGGACGAGATCGTCGCGGCGTTCGCGTCGGGGGAATTCGCGGCGACGCCGCGGGCTCGGGACGCGAACGACGACGGGTGCGACGTCGTCGGTGAGATACCGTGCGGCGTGCGCGCGTTCGCGTGGTGCCCGGACGGAGAGACGTGCGCGGTGATGAGCGCGGAGGGACGCGTGGTGATCATGACGAGGGATTTTTATCCGGTGAGCGAGACGCGCGGGGACGGCGGGGCGGACGACGAAGACGCGGCGAACGAGACGACGAGCGGAGCGACGATCTCGTGGCGGGGAGACGGACGGTATTTCGCGTGCAGCTCGACGAACGCGAAGACGGGAGAGACTACGATGCGAGTGTGGGAGCGCGAGGGCGCGCGCGTGGAGAGCGTGGGGGAGACGAGGACGGCGTCGAGCGGGACGCCGGCGACGCTCGCGGCGGGCGACGGGACGCCGGCGTTGGCTTGGCAGCCGCGAGGGGCGTTGATCGCGGCGGCGGCGCGATCAGAATGTGATGTGAGCGATCGCGTGGTGTTTTACGAGCGGAACGGGCTGCGACGGGGGGATTTCGTGCTTCCAGGGGAAGGCGCGGAGATTACGAGTCTGGCGTGGAGCGCGGATTCGGCGTGCTTAGCGGCGGCGACGCGGTATCGCGACGGCGCGCACGCGGTGCAGATTTGGACGCGATCAAACATGCATTGGTACTTGAAACACGAAACGCGGTATCCCGCGCGCGAGGGCGTCGTGCGCATGGAGTGGGACGCCGAACGCGGAGACGTGTTGCGCGCGTACACGGAACGCGGAGCGATCCATCGTTACGACTTGTTTTGGGAAACCACGGTGAGCGATCGAGGGACGTGCGCGGTGATCGACGGCGACTGCCTCATGCTTACGCCCATGTTTCGCACGCCCGTGCCGCCGCCGATGTGCGCGGCCAAGGTGGTGTTTAGCGCCCCCGTAATCGCCGCGGCGTTTCAACCGGCTCGAGCTTCGCGAAATGAAACAGTCGTCGCGCTGTTATCGACCGGCGAACTCGCGTACGCGACGAGCGACAGCGGTACGGATTGGGCGTTGACGGCAGATAATTTCGCCGATAGTGAACGAGCCGCGACCTGGGCGCGGTGGTGCGACAACGAAATACCCGCGACGCCGTACTCGAGCGTCGCCGTCGCCGACGCCGCCGTCGAGCATTTGGCTTGGGTGCGCGATGACCACTTGATTGTCGCCGCGGCGCGCGAACACGAGACCGAATTATTGCTCGTGCCTTTCGACGAAACGAAAACGCCGGGCGAAGACGCAATGAGTCGACGAATCGTGCCGGTGGCCGTCGGAGCGTTGACGAGCGCCAACGGCGTCGCGTTCGCGGTGGCGCGAGATTCCGCCGACCTATACCAAGTGGACGTGACGGATACCATCGCGGCGGGAGGCAACGCATTTGACGATGCGTGGCTCGTGCGCTCGCACGGCGTGCCAAGCGCGGGCGGCGAGACTCTGAAAATAATCTCCTCGCGAGGATTAGACGTTGGCGATCGCTACGCCTCGGCGCTGGGAACGTCCGCGGATCGACCAAGCGGGGCGCTGGTCACGCTTGACGATCGAGGAAATCTCAGAATTGGAAACATACTCGTTGCGCCCAGAGTCACGTCGTTCGCGACGCACGTTTTCGGTGCCGATGGATGCGCGGTGACGACGCCCGAGGAGAGTGCAGAGGTGGCGGCGGCGGCGCGCGATTCCTCGCGTTGGCTTCCTGACGCCGTCCCATCGGCACGCGTGTGCTACATTACCCGAGACAATCAGCTCTTTGTCGCTGAAGTCGACGACGTGATAGCCAACGGCGGAGGACGCGCCCGAGTCGTGGGTGAAGTCGCTGCGGACGACGCGCACATTGGAAATTGGCTGGCCGAGCGTTCTGCGGCGGATGGCGCACGCATGGGCGAGCTCGCGTTTAGCGATTTGCACATGCGCATGCGCCGTGCGATGCGCCCCGAAGCGGCAAAAGTTGCCGCGGACGCGACGACACGACAAGTCGAAGACGGTGCTCGCATTGTCGCGTGCGCGCCGGGAACGACGAGCGTGGTTTTACAAATGCCGCGCGGGAATTTAGAGACGGTGGCACCGAAGGCTTTGGTGTTACCCGCGACGGCGTGTGCGCTACGCGCAGGTAGATATGGTGATGCCTACGCGCTCGCAGCGAGGCAGCGCGTGGATTTGAATCTCATCGTCGATTACGGGTGGCCAAATTTCTTGAACGCCGCCGACGCCTTCGTGCGAGACGTCGACAGCGCGGACGCGGTGATGGAACTTCTTGAAGCGCTCGATGACGGCGATGTCACGGCGCCTGGTGGAATTTACGAAGATCTCGTACGATTGTATCCGCCTCGCTCGAGCGATGCAGGCGCAGGCGCGAACGAGCGGCCGAACAAAGAATCCAAGGTACAAGCCGTGTGCGCGGCTATCAGAGCGGCGATCGAGACGCACGTCGGCACTGGTGGCGCCGCGAGTGTCGGTCGTTGGGAATTAGCCGCATTGACATCTTACGCTTCCGGCGAGAATCCCGATTTGGCTTCAGCGCTTCGTCGCGTCGCCGTATTGCGTGAGCGCGAGTTGGAAGACGCGGCGTCGAACGCGCTCGTCTCGTCGTCGTCGAAGAACGAAGGTGGGCGCGCCGTCGACGCGGCGGCGGCGTTGAAGCATTTACTCTTTTTGGTCGGCGGCAAGACTCTATATTCCGCTGCTTTGGGTACTTGCGATCTTTCGCTGGCGTATCTCGTCGCGCAACACGCGCAGATGGACCCGGGGGAGTACATGTCCGAGTTGCAAGAATTCCAAGCCATGCGCGAGCACGAGCGCCGCGCCGAAATCGCCAAACGGCTCGGTCGTCACGAGGACGCCATCACGGAATACTTGTTGGATGATAATGTCTCCGCCGCTGGTAGCGTCGCCGCCGAACGTAAAATGTTCCCTTGGGCACTCGCGGAAGCGAAACGATTGAACCTCGCGGACGCCCGGCGCGCACTGCTGTTGCGGCACGCCGAACATTTGTCGTCGAGCATGCGTTCTGAAGACGCCGCGATCGCTCGCCTCGCCGCTGGTGATCTCACTGGAGCATTAGACGAATACCGCGCCGGACTTTCGTGGCGTCAGGCGCTCGCGCTGGCGAACCGATTGGAAATGCCCACGAACGCGGTGCGCGACATCGCGGAAGAGCTGTGCGAGTCTCTCACGCTGTCGGATCCTCTCGCCGCCGCGCGCGTGGCGAGCGGGTATCTTCAAGACATCGACCGCGCGGTTGAGTTATTCGCAAACGCTGGTGCGTGGCGAGAAGCGTGCGAGACGGCATACGCGAAGAATCGCGCAGATTTGATGCAAACCACCATCGCACCCGCGTGCGCGGGCGCGGCGAAGGAACATTTCGACGCGTTCAAGGAAAACAAGTTGCGCTCGGAAAAGTACGTCGAGCGTCTTCGTGATTTGCGCAAACACCGCGAGCGAGCTGAGTTAGCGCTCGACGACGGCGGATGGTCCGAACTCGGCGGTCGCCCTCGAGCCGGCGTCGGCGCCGACGGATTGGAGGACGACGACGCGATGAGCGAAGCGCCGAGCCTCGCGAGCGACATGAGCGCCTACACCGATCGCACAGGCTTGACGTCTGTCGTGAGCGGCACGTCTGCGGCATCCACAATCGGCGGTCGCAAAGGCAAGAAACGAAAAGACAAGAAGAATAAAAACAATCGTAGCGGATTACGTGCGGGGTCTCCGACGGAGGAGCGCGACTTGGCGCTTCACGTCATCGCGCTCGCGCCCGTGAACAAAACCCTGGAAGAAATCGGCGAGTTGCTCGAGCTTCTGGTGAGTTTAGGACACGAAGACGACGCGCGCGCCTTACAGCGCGTCGTCAGTGAAGCCGTCGACGCCGCATCTCGCGCGAAAGTTGACGCCGAGACGAGTCTGGGAGAACTTATCGAGCGAGCGAAAAAAGCGGGCGAAAGCGTCGAGGCGTTCGAAAAGCACGCGAGTGCGTTCGACGCGACGCCAGAGTGGAAGTGGTCGCTCCTTCGCGCGGCGACGGGATCGAGCGAATGAACGAGCGACGTAGATGATAGAGAGGATATTTAGATTTGATAGCGCGCGCTTCGCGCATGTGTGAAATTTCAAAAGCCGACGGATGACGTCGACGAGTAATTAAGAAGTTGTCGTTGTGTTTTATCGTCTCGTAAGTAACGAAATCAGACTCGCGCTCGCCCGCTCGCGCGTTATCGCACCACATCGACGACGAGCTTGCGCGATTTCAAGTGACTCCACGCCCAGCGCTTGTAGTACACCGCTTGCACCGCGACGAGCGACAGGGCAAAGATCCACTTCGCCCCCATGAGCTTACGATCGTCCATCTCCGGCTCCGCCGCCCAGGCCAAAAACGTCGTCACATCTTTCGCCATCTGCGTCTCCGTCGCGGGCGTCCCATCATCGTACTCCACCCCCCCGTCGACTAACATCTTCGGCATCGCGATGAACCCCCCGGGAAAGTACGGATTGTAATACATCCCCCCCGGCACCTCCACCCCCGCCGGCGGTTCCCGATACCCGAGCAACAGCGCGAACACATAATTGATCCCATCGTGTCTCGCCTTCGTCATCAGCGATAAATCCGGCGGATACGCGCCGTTATTCGCGAATCGCGCCCCCTCCTCGTTCGCGTACGGCGCCGGTATCCCGTCGCTCAGCTTCCCCGGTCTATCGAACATCTCCCCCGTATCGTCCGGCCCGTCCCTCACCTCGACTTCCTCCGCCAGCGCCTTCGCTTCCGCCTCCGTGTACGCCACGCCGACCAAATTTCTGTACGCAATCTGATTCAACGAGTGACACGCCGCGCACACCTGCGTGTACACCTGATGCCCTCGTCGCACGCTCGCGTGGTCGTAGCTCGAGAACAACCCATCGTGCGGCCACTCGTACCGCGGCAGCGCCAGCCCGTGCTCGGCCTCGTCCGCGACCGCCACCGCCGCCGTCATCCCGCACGCCGCCGCGCCGAGCGCCGCGAGCGTCGAGGTTTTATCGCCGGACGCGCGCGACGCGATCGCGGCCGATCGTCGCGCGAGATCGCGCAGGTGCGCGCGCATGGCGCTCGCGCGGCGTCGTTCGAGCGTCGGACGCGCGCGCGACGCGTTCGTTCGATCGACGTCCGCGGCCGTCGGTCGGCGCGCGTCTCGCGCGTCGCGATCGCGTCGCCGTCTGCGGCGCGCGCGGCGGGCGCGATCGATCGCGCGATCGATCGACGAATCACGAACCGTCGCGGGGGGGGTCTATACGTATTGAAGAAGGAAAACGCCCATGTTTTGAATGCGGCGCCGCGGTCGCCGTCCGACGGCGACGCCGACGCCGCACACGGCGTCGCGCGAGCGCGAGCGCGCGCGTCGAGCGCGTCGCGGTCGGATCGATCGATCGCGATCGCGAGACGTCCGACGCGCGCGTCGAATCGAATCGAATCGAGCGTCGAATCGAATCGGAATCGAATCGAAACGCGACGACGACGACGCGCGACGCATGGCGCGCGGCGCGGACGAGCGCGATCGGACGCAGGCGATGATCGTCGGAACGATCGCGCATTACCTCGGGAAGAGGGCGGACGAGTATCACAGCCATCGATGGACGGTGTACGTCAGAGGGCTGGACGGGGAGGATTTGTCGCACTGCGTGGAGAGCGTGGAGTTCGCGCTGCACCCGTCGTTCGACGAACCGACGCGGGTGCTGACGCAGGCGCCGTACGAGGTGACGGAGACGGGATGGGGTGAATTCGACATCGGGGTGAAGATCACGTTCTCGAGCGATTGCGGCGAGGCGAGAACGGTGACGACGACGACGCCGTTGAAGCTGTTTCCGAGCGCGGAGGAAATCGCGAGGCACGGACCGCAGACGACGAAGAAACCGTTGATCAAGGAGCGGTACGAGGAAATCGTGTTTCACGAGTGCGATGGTGGGTTTTATAAGCGGATGAAGTCGCACGCGTGGAAGAGGGCGCCGAAGAGCGCGCACGACGACGCGTGGTCGTCGTTCAAGGACAAGCCCGAGCTCGTCGGCATCTACGCCGCGCGGGAGGTGACGAAGGAGCGGATCAAGATTTTGGAGCAACAACTCGAAGTCTTAGAGAGCATCGATGCCAACGCGTGACGGGGCGATGCGGTTTAGTTTGGAGATCGCGCGTCGCGCCGCGCGGTGGACGGCGCGTCGCGTCCGTCGTGTAACTCAATTTTAGACTCTTCTCATCCGACGACGCGACCAATGTGAAAATCGACGCGCGCGTCACACGACGACGCGGCGCGCGTCGCGGGTTTTCTCGCGAGGTTTCGAGCGCGACGCGCGTAAAAAATGCGATCGAGCCGCGTCGAGGACGGGCGCGCGGCGCGCGCGCGCGCGCTCGACGCCGTGATCGATGCTTTAGAACGTAACGCCGAGAAAACGCTCGAGGCGCAGAAACAGCTCGAGCTGGACGAGAAGCGAATCAAAGTCTTCGCGACGAGCGATTTACACACCGACATGCCGAAAAACATGCAGGTGATGGAAGAGTACGTCGAGCGCGAGACGGCGGCGCGTCGCGCGCGATCTGAGACGAACGAAGCGTCGGTGATCGTCGTCGCGGGCGACGTCGGCACGAATCTGGAGTGCGTCGAACTCACCTTGCGGTTGTTGAGCAAAGCCCACGACATGGTCTGCTACCTCCCCGCGGGAAATCACGAGCTGTGGTGCGCGACGACGGAACGGTGGTGCCGAGACAACGGACGAGAGTATCCGTGTGACTCGATCGGAAAGATGCTTCGTTTGATTGATTTGTGTACCGACATTGGCGTGTGCTGTTCACCGTTGAGCGTCGCCGGCGTGCGAATAGTGCCCATCTACGGATGGTACGACGATCTTTTCGCCCCGCGCGGCGAGATCCCGGCGAAATATTCCGACTTGGAGCGCAGGTTCGATTGCGCGTGCTCGTGGCCGTCGTTCATCAATCCGCCGAGCGAGGCTCGCAACTCGCACTCGCCCGCCATCGGAGCGTTCATGCGGGCGGTCAACGATCGCGTTCTCGATCGATTTCAAGACGCCGCGCTCGATCAAAACTCGCCGATAAAACACGTCATCACTTACTCTCATTTCATTCCGCGATCGGAGCTGTATAGAGGGACCTACGATCTGGTGCACGTGATGGGGAGCTGCAGAATAGACGCGGACGCCAAAAAATGGAAATCAACCGTTCACGTCTTCGGCCACTCGCACTTAAACGTCGACCGCTGCGTCGATGGTGTGCGATATATTCAATGCGCGCTCGGGTACCCGCACGAGCGTTGGTTCGGCGTCAACCACCCGAAATTAGTGTTCGACGCCTCGCTCGAGTGACCGCTGGCGACGCCGCGGACCGCAGACCGCGCCTCGCCAGGCCTCCGTCGTCCATCCGCGCGCGACGCGAGTCTGTCGGAGTCGATGTCGCGCGACTTCTCGCGTCGCGCACCGCGCGAGCGCGACGGCCGTCGTCGTCGTCTCGTCGCGTTCGCCGTCGCGGCGGTTGGATTAATCTGCGGCGTCGTCCCGGTCGCCGCCAAGCTCGCGCAAGGCACGGTGGTGCTCAACAGCGAGGTGACGGAGAAAGTGCTCACGAAATTTAGCGTATCCAAAGTCGGCGGGTCGCTGAAATTGAAGCTGACCACGGCGAAGACGGGTTGGGAACGCGGCGCGCATCAGCTCGAACTTTTGGTGTTGAACGACGAAGAATACTTCAAATGGCGAGCGATGATGAAGAAAGGGTCTCTGTGTCGCGATCGGAACGCCCTGGCGTCGCGAAGGCACCAGGTCGCGCTGCCGCATCCCGGGGCGACGCATCAAGCGTTGGGGTACGAATTTTTCATCGACCCGGAGAGCGGCGATAGCTATCGTTTGGATTTGTCTACTGGGAACACGACGTGGATGCACCCGAACGCGCATCACGAGAAGGCGTCCGCGATCGTGCATCGAGAGACGTCGTTATCGGTGGAGCTGAAGGAGACGAAAACGACCAATTCGCGGGCGAAAGTGGTGGAATACGGCGTGGCGAGTAATTGGTTCGTCGTGTTGAGCGACTGCGCGTTGGAGTTTTACCAAGCCAAGCCCCCGGCGTTGCATTACGAGTTGGAATTGAAGAGCAATAACAAACACTTACCGGAAGAACTCAGAGGGCTCGGGGTGATTTACGCGATCGCGTGGCTCGGTATGGCGGGCGCGCTGGCGGTGTTTTCAATTTTAGCGTTCAAAGAATACTCGAAAGCAAAGAGCGTGCACGCGCTCGTACTCGTCGTCATGCTCGCGCACGCGTGTCAGCTGACGTCGCTTGGGTTGGAATTCATGCACATCACCGTGTTCGCGATGAACGGGAAAGGTTTACGTTGGCGATACACGTGGTTTGCCGCGGATTTCGCGGCGGAAATGTTGCAAGGCGCAAGCGAGTTTATCGTCGAGTTCGTGTTATTGTTCCTCGTGTGCGGCTGGACCACGCTTTCGATGACGGTGAGTGGACTCGGGGGGAGCCTGTTCGCGTCGCTCGAGTCAGGTGCAGGCGGTAACGGCGCGCGACCGCATCCGCCGTCCGGCGCCGATGGTAGACAATCGACTCGAGCGATGCTGACGAGCGTGCTGAAATCCTTCTTCAAGGTAAACTCTGACGATCCAGCGGTGAAATATCGGGTTGATCTCGTCGCTGGTGCGTTACGTTCGCCCGTGAACATGCTCAAACGCGGCGCGGAGACTACGATTGGCGTCGTCATCTTAGTCTTCTTTGCCTTGGTGCACTTGACGCTCGAATTGATGTCGCGCAAGTATCACGAGGATTTCGAGGCATTTCACGATCACGATCACTGGCCCGGGTACGCGTTGGTGTTCATGCGCGTCGCGTTCGCCGTGTTGTTCATCGTCGCCGGCGGATCGACGTACGCGACGGCGAAATCGCAAGATCAAGCTCTGGCGCAGTTTATTAGAAACTTGCTCGTCATCGGCGCCGCGTGGTTGCTCGCGTTTCCATTCGTGATTTTCACCGCGCAAGGGGTTCCGTTGATTTGGCGCGAGCGATACGTCGCCGGAGGTTGTGCGTTTCTGCAATGCACCGCGCTCGCGGCGCTCGGCATCTTGGTTCTCGTGGACGGATCGTTTAAAAAGCTCAGCTCCGTCGCCGGAGGCGGCGTCGACGTCGCGGCTCGCGCCAAGCTCGGTCGTCGCGGATTTAGGGCGAAAGTGGCGATCGATTAGCGCGCGCGATGTAAAAAAACAAAAGTTGGCTTTGATTAATCGTTACAGCGTCGGTTTCAGTGCTTCGCGCGCTCGCTTCTGTACTCTTCGTCGTACGCCCAGCGTTGATAGTCTTGCGCCAAACCTCCGACGAAGACGGATTGAAGCACTCGCAAAGTCGTTCCGAGCACGGCGTCGCCCACGCGCTGGGAAACACCTTTCGGAACCTTCGCAAACGGACCGGGAGGATCGACGCCGACGCCGATATCGGTCCATCCCATGATGCACGCGCCCTCGCTCTCCTTTTCGCTCGCCGCGTCTTCGTCGTCGACGAACCCCGTCCGCGTCAACGCCGGTCCATCCAAACTCCCATCCCCTATCGATCGCCACCTAAACGCCGTCGTCCCGCGATTCACGAACATGTCGTTCAACCCCAAGCTCTCCACGAGCTTCCCCTCGACCTTGGCGCTGATTATCTCGATCAACACGCACGGCCCCCGCATCGCCGCTCTCCGCGTCTCCGGTCTCCGTCCCGCCTTCACCTCCGCCTCTCCGTCCACGCCCTCGTCCCACGCTCGCCCGTGCCACGTCTCCACCGTTTCCTCGTCCCCCAAGCACCGCACGCGCACCGTGATCACCGGCGCCACCTCCAACGAAAAAAACTTCAGTCCCGGTATCGTCAGCTCAAACGTTTCGTCCCGCGTCTCGCTCGCCGTCGCCGTTCTCACCGTCCCCTCTCCCAGCCTCGCCATCGTCGCTCCCAGCGGCAGCGGCACGTCCACGTACTGCGACACCGGCAGTCGCATGTAATCGCTCAGCGTCAGCCCCGGTTCGTCGCGCTCGTCCGTCGCCGCCCGCACCCGCGTGTGCGCTCGCAGATTCACCGCGTACGCGCAGCAGTCCCGTCCCTCGCCCGCGTCGAGCGCGCACTCCACCGACGACGCGTCGAATACCGTCGCGTCGCTCGACGCCGCGCTCGCGCGCCGCGCGCGTCGCGTCGCGTCGCCGTGCGCGCGCGAACGCGACGCCCGCGGATAAGGCGCGCGGCATCCGAGACGCGCTCGACGCGCGCCGCCCGACGCGCGCGTCGCGTCCGCGCGCCGCGTCGAGCGACGGTCGAGCGCGGCGCCGCCGGTTCGCGCGACGCGCGTCGAGCGCATGCCGCGCGCGCGTCGACGCGAAGTGGCGCCAGAGTCGAGCGCGACAAGCGCGCGAATCATGTCCCGAAGCGACGACGACGCGCGGAGCGCGCCGACGTGCGCGGTGTGCTACGACGACGTCGACGACGCGTCGCTCGCGCGATTGCCGTGCTGCGGCGCGCGCGCGCGCGCGTCGACGACGCAGTTTTGCGCGAAATGCGTCGAGATTTTGATTCAGACGGGGGACGGCGTCGCCGCGTGTCCGCGGTGTCGCGCGGCGATCGCGCGCGTCGATGGGGCGTTCGTCGCGGCGCCGCTTCGGCGGTGCGCGGTGTGCCGGCAGGCGAGGGCGACGGGAGAGACGTGCGAGGCGTGCGCGCTCGGCGGACGCGCGGCGCTGCGATATCGTTGCGAGCGGTGCGGCGGCGCGCAGCGCATACCGCACCCGATGTGGCGGTACATGGCGTCGCCGACGTCCTTGTCGAGCGCGACGTGGGCGTGTCACGGGGCGTGCGGGGATTACACGCGGTGGAGGATCGATTCGCGGGACGCGGCGAGCGTGCCGGCGAGCGACGCGCCGGCGAGTTGGGGATCGAGCGAGGCGTGGCTCGCCGCGGCGCGGGAGGCGGTCGAACGCGCGCGGGCGAGCGAGGCGCGGTTAGAGGGGGCGCGGACGACGCGCGTGGGGGATGGGGTGAAGGCGGCGGTGATGGTGGCGCTGTGGGCGGCGGCGGCGGCGATGATGGCGTTCGCCGACGGACCGTTCGTTGAAGAAGGCGGCGGCGGCGGCGACGCGCGGTCGTCGTCGTCGTCCTTCTTTTCGTCGTCGTCGCTCTCGTCGTCGTCGTCGTCGGGTGGCGCGTTGCGACGCGCGATTTCTAGATCGTTCGGCTCGTCGGTGGGGGGCGCCAACGTTAGTCGAGCGGACGCCGCCGCGTGACGATTCGGGGCGGTGCGCCCGCGGTCGCTGGCCGACGCGCGATGCGTAACGAAAATGAAATGTATTAACAAGCGGCGAGCAACGAGCAGTACTAGTACAGCGCGCGATCATCACACTGCCACGTCCGGCGCGGAGAAATCGCTCGGCACCGGCTCGACGACGGTTCTCGCGTTGGCCAATTTATCCCCTCCGCTCGTAACCTTGGCGCTCGTGATGCGCGCGTTCGTGCCGATTGAACCTAAATATTCTTCGCCCTTCGTCACGTACCCGAACACGGCGAACTCCCCCTCCTCGAACGACAAACCGCCGAGCCCGGCGCTTCGCTTGTCGAATAAATACACAAAGAATTGCTCCTTATCGCTCTGCCCGTCGCTACTTCTAGCCATCGCCACCGAACCGTTGATGCTGAGCGGAATGCTCGGAATCGCTTCGCCCGATTGCACGTCGAGCGGCGAGCGGTACAAAGGATCGAACGAATCGCTCGATTTAATCTCGAGCGGCACGCTCTCCTGCGAGTCGGCGTTCGTGCCGCCCATGATGCTCGTCTCGCTTCGTCGCAACGGTGCGTTGTCGTACACCCCCCGCTTGACGTTATCGACGAAATTTCCCGCCGTCACCGGCGCGTTGTAGCCATCGACGGTGATTTCGATCGTCGCCTCATCCAACTTATCCCCGTTGAGCAACCCAAATCCGCCGCCGTCGGCGTTCCGCACCTTCAATTCCACGGTCGCGCGCCCGACGAGTTTGGGCAACGCCTGATATTTCGCTGGAATTTGAAACGGCAGTCCCGGCGCTTGCGCGATCTGCACGACGGACAGCGAATCCAACGCTTGCGCGATTTTCGCGTCAAACGTATCAAAGTCTTGCGTCGCCGCCGCCCGACTCAACCGTTCCAGCGCGTCGTCCAATCGCGCGTACGCCTCCTCCGCCTCCGCTCGATCGTTCGACCGTACGTTTTCAAACACATCCGTCTTCTTTTCGAGCATTATTTTCCGCGATTCATCGACGTCTTTCGCCATCGTCGCCCAGGGCTTGCGCTGCGGTATGCGCATCAGGTACGCCGCGTCCTCGAGTTTGCGTTGGATCTCTCGCGTCTCTTCGTTCACCGCCGGCACCGCGCGTCGAAGCGCCGCCTTCGCGTTGCGCGGCAGGCGACTGTTCGGGTTGCTCAGCGCCGCCAGCGCGTCGGGCGTCGGCGCCGCGCTCAGCGTCGCGGCCAGAGCCAAAGCCAAGAGAGATCGACCGAGCGCGGCGTCGTCGGACGACGCGTCGCGGTTCGCGGCGCGCGCGGCGACGCGGTTTCGACGCCTCGATCGGGGCGCGGCGGCCGGCGCGCGCGGGGGGGCGGCGCGCGCGACGGCGTCGGGCATCTCGCGGCGCTCGCGCGCCGAGTGTGCGGACGCGGCGAGACGCGCGCGACGAGCGATTCGTCTCCGCGAAGCGCGACGGGCGAATCGAGCGCGCGCGATGTTTGATTTAAACCTAAACCTTTTTGAAACGTAAACCTAAGACGACGGTAAGTACTTGCGAACCATGTCGCGCGCGCGGGCGTAATCGACGACTTTGAAATTGTCGGCGCGTCGGCGCGCGGCGGCGTCGGGCGCGTCGGCCGCCGCGCTCGGAACGAGCACGTCGAGCGTGGCGCGCCAGCCTGGGTCGACGTCGCGATGGTCGAGTCGAGTGCTGATCCAGGGGCAGTAGGGCAAGTGCTCGTCGATGACGTTGAAACGCACGGCGAGCGCGGGGATGTTGAGCTTGGCGTTTTCGTCGACGGCGACGCGTTTGCGCTTCTTCGCCGCGGCGAGTTTTTTCGTCGCCGCGGCGACGACGATTGACGCAAACTTTGAACCTTGTTCGGAATCGAGCGTTGCCGACGGCGTAGCGTCGGTCATCGTGGTCACCGGACGCGGGCTACCGAATAACGGCGTCGACGACGTCGTCGAACCAAAAGGCGTGGAATCCACCTTCGCATCACTCGCACCACCGCCCGCGATGCTCGCCGTGAGCTTGGACAAAACGCTCGCGCCGGCGACGGCGGCGACCCATTTCGACTTGACGCTCGGCGAGTGCGCCGGTTTCTCCTCGTGAAGTTTCGGGGCGAACGGCGCGGCGGCGGCGGCGGCGACGGCGCTCCGCAACGTCCCCAAACCGTACGTCCCACCGGCGGCACCTCGAAGCGCCGCCAGCGTCGTCTTTGGTTTCTTGCTCGACGAACTCTGCGCCATCGCGAGCTGCTTACGACTCGCAATCAGAGGTGTGAATGTCCATTCCGGCGCGCGCACGCCGCAAAGCGCGCAACAATACGCCGCGCGTCCCTTCGCGTCCGTCTCCAAATCCCCATCCACGACCGTCGGCGACCAACCGAACAACCCCATCTCCGTCGCATAATCGATCGCCGACCTTCGCTCGAGCGGGGTCAAGTCATCCGCGTCGTCGCTCGCGCTCGTCTCCGCCTCCTCCGCGTGCGTCCGCGCGTCTCGCACCAACGCGCGAATCCTCTCCTTCTCCCCGTCCCCGATCGCCTCGCTCGTCGGTCGCGATCGTCCTTCGTCCTCTAAAGCTCCCACGACCATGGGTAATTTCCCTCCTCGACGCGCGATCGCGTCTACTCGACTCGCGAAATCCGCGCGCGTCTCGTCGGCGCTCGCCGCCGGAAATCCGCGCGCGCTCGTCGAGCATCCCGTCTCCCGCCACGCGCACCCGCGCTCGTGCGTGTCGACTAAGTCTTTCATCACGCGTTCGTTGACGTCTTTTCGCGCGTCTTCGTCTAATTTATCCACGTTTCCCGGGTACGCCAACAGCGCTTCGCACGTCTCGCACCGCAGCAAATCTCTCGCCTCGAGCGTCCACCCTCGCGCCGCGCACGCGGGCCCTTGCAGCGCGCTCGGCTTGTCGAAGTTCCATCGCACGCAGTCTCTGAACGCGCGCAGGCGCCTGAAGTAGTCGGCGCGCGAGAGCGGACGCGCGGGAAGATTGGCGGACGAACTGGCGTCGACGTCGAGCGCGACGTCGAGCGGCGCGTCGTCGACGCGACCGGCGTCGAGCAGGGTCGACGTGATCAGTTCGAAGCGCGACGACGGCGTGGGCGACGCGGCGGTGGTCATCGGCGTCGCGCGCGCGGAGGAATGGCGATCGGTCACTCAGTCGTCGACGCGCGCGAAACCAACCGGCGCGGCGCGGCGGCGAGTCGAGATTCGGTTGATTACAATCGGCGAGCTAACGCCCGGACGCGGATTTGCGATCGGCGATGAAGGCGGCGATCTTCTCGCGTAAGTCGTCGTCCGGGACGAGCTGGTCCGCGGTGAGGGGTTGGCGCGAGAAAGGGTCGGTTTCGTCGCTGAGCAAGTGTCGAGTGATGATGCTCCTGTCGCACGAGTGCCCGCTGGGAAGTTTGACCGGATCGCGCATGAGGGTGCAGTAGATCGGGTCGAGGAACTCGTCGGGAATGTCGCCGAGATCGGTCTCCTCTTCTTCGTCCTCGGAGGCGCGCGTGCGGGCGTCGGCGGCGAGTTTCTCGAACGCGGCGACGCGCCGCTCGGAGCGGAGCTGCAAACCGCGCGCGATGGCGGCGGCTTCGAGCATGACTTCGTCGCGATAGGACCGGCCGTCGGCGGCGATGGCGGCGATGAACGCTTTGTCCTTGTCCGCGGCGTAGATCTGGACGTAAATGTCGGTGATCATGCCGAGAAGCTCTTTAGGTTCCCAGCCGTACTTTTCGGGATTTTTAATCTTCAGCTTTCGGCGCTCGGGACCGGCGAGGAAGAGCAAGAAGTAATTCAGCATCGCAGCGACACGTTCGACCATCTCGGGGCGTAAGAATGGATGTGCGATGTCACACGAAGTGTACGCCATCATGCGTACGTGCACCATGGCGAGCGTGAGGTTAGATCGCAAATGACGCCGTGTCTGGCGAAACTCGCTCTCGCGTTCCTCGCGCTCTTGCTGCGGACGCGCCTCCCACGCCGCCTGGTCTTGCATGTCCGTCTCCGTCTGGCGCACCTCCGGAAGCTTTTTCATCGCCTCGTCTAGTAAGTAAATTGCATCATTGATGAGCATGTTCAGGAATCGAGTGTAAAATTCAGGGTCTTCGCTCGCGAGCTTGATCCATGCGTTTCGGTGCGATTGCACGGACCACAAGTATTCGCAAAGCTCACCGATTTGATATCGAACGTTGAACTTTTCGTAGAACTGGTTCGCGCCTCCCGAGAACTCGATGTCGACGTAGAGATACAGCAGACTCGGAATCAAGTTCTTCAAACTCACCGGGTTCACCTCGAATAAGGTCATGAGCTTTTGCGATTGGTAGCCATCCTCAAACGGGATCCAGTGGCGCAAGACTTCGACGAATTTGCATCGCAAGTACGGATTCTTCACGAATGCCGTGTTGCCCATGAATGTGATGAAGAAGTTCATAATCTCATCCAACGGCTCGTGATCGAGCGCGTCGGGGGCGTAGCGAGAGATGTACAGAATGAACTCCACCAAGTCCTCGATGACGTACTCGGGCAAGCACCCGAACGCCACCGGACACGTCTGAGGGAACTTGTCCATGGTGATTTGAGCAAAGGTGAATCCGTTCCCGGCCTCGTAGTCCCCATTCGTGGCGACGATACGCATGAGCCAAACAGCGACGAGACGATAGTACTGCATCGCCTCGCTGATCAGCCGCGGATCGCGAAGCGCGCAGTCGAATTGCAAATTTCTTTCGAGTGCGCGCTCAATCTCCGCAGTCATCTCTTCGTGTTTGCGCTCGTACCGCTCTCGCTCGGGCGAGCTCATCAATTGCTGGTCTAACATTCCTCGTAAATCCCGCACCGCCTCTCGCATGTCTTGGATCTCGCGCGTGCACGCCGCGTATTCGGCGATGCACTTGACGTAGCCCAAATGCAACGCTCGTCCGGTGATGTAAAAGCACTCGCAAATGAATCCCCAATCTTCTTTGTCTTCCGACGTCGACAATTTAGCCGCTACAGCTTCGTCCGCGGTGCACGCGACGCGCGTCTCGTCCGTCAAATTGATCCTGCACGCGCGACTTCGTACGTACGCCGGGCTGATTTTGTCGTACTTGCCGCTCTGCGGATCCAAAAACGGCATCGCCAGACGCAACGCCACCATGCTCAAATTGTGCGCACCACCGTGCGACGCGACGACTTGAGGATGGATGCGCATCTTGCCACGCCCGGCGTTGACGCGCATGAACGCATCTAGGTAGTTCAGCACGCCCTGGCGAACGTCGCCACCGTGTTTCAACATGACAAAGAGAATCTGATACAGTCCCTCGACCAGGCGATTGCCGCAGCCTCGTAACATGCCGTACGACGCCTCCACGTCTCGCTTCAATCGCTTCGTGACGTTACTAAAGTACGGGCCCACGCAGTCGGGCTCGCCGCATCCGAGAATGTCCGGCAACACGCTCGGTCTGAAGAACCAACCGAGCACGCTCTCCGTCTCAAACTGCCTCCCGTTAATCGCGCTCAGATGACTCTTCATCGGCACCCACCGCTTGTGCTTCACGAGCGCCGTCGCGAACGCTTTCACTGAGCACAGCTGATACATCACCTTTAAGTGCTCGTCAAACTCCCCCAACGGACTCATCCCTCGCGTCGACACGCGCAACTCGTCGAACACGCGCTCGGCGATTTCGTCCAAACCTTCGTCCTCGCACCGCGTCGCCAATCGCTCCAAATATCCGTGCGGTATCCCACCCACCGTCCGCATCGCGTCCAACAACTGACACGCCCCTCGCCCGGCCGCCCACTCGCTCTGCGGAAACGTCCCCGCGAGCGCCGGATTCAACAACAACCCTCCGTACGACGCGCAAAATTCCATGCAACTCTGCAGCTCCTCCCGCGCCGCCGTCGACGCCCCATCGCTCTTCGTCCCCAACCTTCGATGTTCCTCCGTCGCCCGCCGGTACGTCTCCACCGTCCACGCGTACGGTTCCGCGCGCTCGTCGAACCCCGCGTTCGCGCCGCCGCCGCCGCCGTCGTCGCGCGCCAACCGCGCGAAGAAGACCCGCTCCAGCGTCTCCCCCGTCATCCTCAACACCGCGCTCGTCCCTCGCTCCTCTCGCAGCTCGCGCGCGAGATCTCCCAGAAACATCACTCCACCATCGTCCGAGCCCGTCGCGGCGTCCAGCGCGCACCTGCGCGCGTCGTCGTTCGTCATCGAACGTCGTCGTCAATCTCAACAGAATCCATCGCTCGATCGCGCGCTCGCTCGCTCGCGCGCGCGCTCCCGCGCCTCGTCGCGCGCGCGCTCGACGCACCTCGTGCACCGCACCAGCGCCTCGTGCGCGCGCGCGTCGTCGTCGCTCGCGCGCGTCGCCATCGCGCCGATGAGTGTCGTCGTCTCCACACCTCGACCGCGCCATGCTCGACGCCGCGACGCCGACGCTCGTCTTCGCGACGACGAACGATGGGAAACTGCGACGCATGCGCGAGCACCTGCGCCGCGCGCGCGCGCCGGCGCGCGTCGACGCGTGGCGCGGCGCGGCGATCGAGGAGATACAGGCAAACAGTGTCAGAGAAGTCGCGGTCGCGAAAGCGGCGCTGGCGCTCGAGCGGTGCGACCGCGCGTGCGCGGGCGTCGTCGCGCACGACTGCGGACTGTGCGTGCGCGCGCTCGGTGGGTTCCCGGGACCGTACACGAAGGATTTTAACTACAGGGTCGGGGGCGACGGGTTGAGAGCGCTGCTCGACGGCGCGGGCGCGATCGATCGAAGCGCGTGCTGGGACGAGACGCTGGTGCTGGCGCGCGAGGGTCGGGAGATGGTGGTGTTCACGCGCGAGAAGGAGTACGGGGACGGGGAGGTGGGAGAGCCGAGAAAGTGGACGCGGTGGCGGGACGACGCGAGTCGAAGCGTCGGGAGCGTCTTCGTGGCGACGGGGTTCGGGTTCGATGAACCGCTCGCGGACGTCTCCGAGGATGAGTATCAACGATTTCGAAGGGACGCACCGTCGGTTTGGTCGAGCTTCGCGACGTTCGTGAGAGAGAGCGGCGAGTTTTGAGTGAGGAGTTTTTCGCTCGAGCGATTGGGAGGCGAACAGACACCTTTTTGCGAGCGGATAAAAACGCTCGGCGCGCGCAGACGACGACGCGCGGTCGAGTGAGATCGCGCTCGATGACGACCGATGGCGTCCATGCCGTCGCTGTCGTCGCCGTCGACGCGCAGGCGAAGGGAGACGCGCGCGATGGTGACATTCAGCCCGCGGCGGCGCGCAGGCCCCCCGCGCTTCGCGTCCCGACGCCAAAGTACGACAACACGATGAGTCCTATGGGGCCGCTCTCGTCGCGTCGGTCGACTTCGAGCGATTCCGCGGATGACACGACGATCGATTTCGACGATGACGACGAAGGGCCGATGAAGTCGTGTATTTTGCGTTTGCTAGATGGCGACAACGTCGCGAGAGAAGTCGTCGCTCGAACGCGCCGCCGCGACGTCGCGCTCCGACGACGGTTCAAAGGCGAAACGTTCGTCGTCGCGCGCGCACACACGAAATACGAGCGGGAAAAATGCTGCGCCGCACGAACGTATCAGATGCACGTGCTGCGATCGAGTGGGACGTGCGAGGAAACTTCTCGGTACGCCGCGGCACAGGCGTGTGAGGACGACGTCGCCGAGGTCAACTCCGATCCGGGCACGATGGAGTACTTCGTCGAGGTCGACGACCCGTTCGACACAAAAGTGTACGGCGTCATGCGTTTCGTACGGCGAGACGTGGACGCGTTGTTGAGAACTAGATTCGATGTTCCGACTCGCGAATCAATTTTGGGCGTCGACTTCGTCGTCGACCGGTTCTTCGCCACCACTGCGGCGAACGAAATCGCGGGCGAACCGGATGGGGCGACGTTTATTCGAACGCTCATGCTCGATGCCACTCGCAAGGAGGCTTGGCGAATGTCGCCGTGTCGCGCGGTGCCCATCTTGAGCGCAGTGCCGATCGACGTCGAAGGTGTCAAAGTCTTTGCGCATTCCGCGCGCGACGTCGCGGTGGTGGAGTGCGACGGCGTCGCGTGCGACGCCGACGTCATGGCTGAGCGTGAAGATTGGGTCACGCGCAAGTTTCTTACGTTATACGTCGTCCCGGCGTCGGCGCCCAACGAGGCTAAGAACGCGCTTTCGCCGGGCAAGAAGACTTGGCTCGCGTTTGCCGAGGCGCGCGGCGAGACCCTTCGCGACGATGCGACGAACGACGACGCACCGATGATTTTGACGCTTCACGCGTGTGCGCGGCAGAAAATCGAGTACAACGAGTCTATTCGACTATCATGTATGTATATCATCGCGGAAGCGTGCGGGGAAACGCTCTCGGATGAGGAATCAGCAGGCGCCGTCGTGGACGCGCTCGGGTGCGCGCTTCGCGACGATTCCGGAAAGATTTCGCACACGTTGGAATTCGAACGAAACGTCTCGCGAGATTTCGTCGATGCCGTCGAGTTTGTGCGCGGTGAGGACGCGTCGTCAACGAAACGCGCCGTGGTGTGCTTGCGCACCGCCTGCGATGACGCAGATATTTTTATGGAATCGTTGGAGTCGTCCATGCGCGACGCGGAGACGGATGCCTGCGTGCTCGTCGCTCGATGCTCGACTTACGGCGATCACTTGACGTTGTGCGACGGCGACGTGCTTCTTAGCGAAGCTTTAGCGCGCGCCGCATCGAGAGGTCTGTTCGTCGACGGCGGCGTATTCAAGGCGTTCGTGCGCGAGGACGCGTGTATCATCACCGCCCGTTTTGCGCGACGAGAATTCCGCGTTCGGCCGTCGACGCTCAAAGACGTCGACGCGTTGGTCGCCATCGAGGCCGAGGCGTGGGTTGAAACGCCAGAGATGCGGACGTCGCCGGAGACCGTGCGCGAGCGCGTTCAAAACAACGCGAGCATGAACTTTGTTGTGGAAGACATCAAGAGTGGAGACGTCCGAGGCGTCATGTACACGCAATACGTCGAAAGCGTCGACGCGCCGCTCGACGCCACGTGGGAGACGAAGGAGTCGAATCGCCGCGAGCCGAAATCGACGGATGTCGTTCAACTTCTGGACGTTTTTGTGGATCAGGCTTACGGCGCGAGGTGTGCGAGCGATTCGGGCGCGTCCGTCGGTCAAGAGCTTCGTAATTATGTGTTACACTACGCCGAGCAGACGGGATTGAGATACGCGTGCGCGGTGACGCGAACGCGAGGATTTCGCTCGACGCAAGCTTTGAATCCGAATCTCACGTACGAAGCATACGTCCACGGCGACGCGCTCGATCGTGGCGTGTTCTTCCACACGTCTGCTGGCGCGGAAATCGTGCGCGTCGTTCGTCCGTGGCGCGCGCGCGATTATGAAAACGAGGGGGCTGGCGTTCTCATTCGGTACGACGTGCGCGAGTACGCGTTTGCCGACGCCGCGCGACGCGGTCGCACCTCGCGCGTTCGCCGTCGTCCGAGCGACCCGACCGTGCGCGAAGGACGCGAATACGTCAACGCTCTTGAAAGCGTCGCGTGGGAAGCGCGCGCGCGCGCTTTTCCCGTGGAATAATTGGAACACTGTACAGTAACATTACACAATATGTACATTTACGTAACACATTACGCTAATCAGAGTCTGAATTATCGCTCGCGGTGAGTAAAAGATCCTTCGCGGCGTTGATCTCTTGCATCTTTTCTTTACCAGCCGGCCCGACCTTGTCCGTGTGATGCAGCTTCGCCTGTTTGTAAAAAGCTTTCGTGATCTCCCTTTTCGTCGCACCTTCTGTCACCCCCAACGTCTCGCGCGCCGACTGCATCGCGTCGTCGTTATCATCTGCGGCCGGCGTGGTTTTGATGATTTGACGCTCGTTCTCCGCTTCCTTGTTCCGTTGCGCTCTTCGCTTTCGTCGACGACGGCGAAGGATATAATCCTCCGTCGCGGCGTCTTGGTTGTTGTCCATCCCTCCAAACTCTGCCAGCGACGATCCCACTTCGACCTCCGGGGTTTCCGGTCCTCCCGCGTCGGCGTTGAGTTTAACGTGTCGATTAATCTCGTCGCCGACCCAATTCGCCTCGCGAGAGTCTCTCGCGCGCCCCGGTCTCGCCGACGCGCCGTGTTGCATGCTCAATTGCTGCCCTCCCGCGATTTTTCGGTTGTAGTACACGCTCAGCGCGCGCCGACCGACGCCGCGGTCGATGACGCGGTCATCGTTCGCGCTCGCGACGGGCGCATCGCGCGCGCGCGGCGTCGCGAGCGCCAACGCGCCCCCCGTCGCCAACACCATGATCGTCAACACCCAACGCGCGCGCGCGAACGCGCGGTGACGCGGGCGATCTCGCGAGGCGTCGACCTCGCGCGCGGGCGCGGTGATCTCGATGTCGGACATCGTCGACGAACGCGCGCCGCGCCGACGGCGAGTGCGGGCTCTTACTTGATCGAGTCTCAGGTCGGTCGAGGAGGCCTAAACCCGCCGCAGTCGGCGAGACGCGAGCGCGCTCACTGTTAATGTTCAATAAAGATGTTGCATTAAAGATGTCGCACTGTAAGTTGTACTGTAGAGTTGAAATAGTTAAAATGACGGTGTTTTGGATTTTACGTCCAAGTCAATCAGATGACGGAGCTGTAGCCGTCGACTTGGCGTGACGTCGTCGCGACGAGCGACGTACGTTCGGACATTTCGGCGTCGGCTGGACGCGCGCGCGCGCGGAACGCGAACGCGAACAGCGCGACGCACAGCGTGAACGCGAAGGGAGTGTAAAAAATTGCGACCTTTTGACTGCCGTCGATGTCATCTTGAGGGCTCGATGATGCGAGAGATGATTTTTGTCGTGGAGAAGATCCCGACGACCCTAGTTGTGGCGTTTCGGCGGTGCTCGCGCCGACGCGCACAGGTGCGACGAATTCAAACTCAGCCGCTGGGTTGCCTGCGACGTCGGTCACTTCCGTAACAGTCACTTTGTGATAGCCTTGTGAAAAGTATGGAAACTTCATCAACCAGTGACCACCAGCGCCATCGTTAACGCATTGAAGGACGTACTGTCTCAAGTCTTCGTTGGAAACGGCTTCGAAGGGACCCGTCGACGAGTTGCCTCGCTTGGCCGTGATCACTTGCTTCGTGCAATCAATGTCTTCCATGAAATCGACGCGTTGCGTTACCTGTGAGCTCACATATTTGAAATCACCGACGAGCGGGTCCTTCGTATCTATCTTCACCATGAGATTTTGATCGCTCACAAATTCGTGCACTGACGGCTTTGCGAGGTGAGATCCGCCCACGCACATTGTTTTCAATCGGATATCATATTTCCCATCTTTATATCCACTCAGAAGTTTGTTGTAAGGGTCGTTTAGATCCCAGTCAAAGATGCAACCGTCTCCACCCCGCGACTCCGGGCAAAGTAAATTGAAATTCTTATTCGTGCCGGCACCGCGCTCGGCGTCTTTCGCTGTGATCCATTCGCCTCCTGATACCGAACGATATTGCACGTAGACGTAGGCGAGATTCCCATTCGTCACCAACGCTTCGGACGTGGATGCAGTTTCCTTGGGCCAGAGAGAATATCTATTCGGATTTACGACCGAGATGCTCAAAACGCTCGAATCAGACGCTGCGCTCTTCTCAAAGTAACTTGCTTCCTTGCTGAGCGTAGACGAGTGAAAAGCAACTTGAGGGCAATCTTTACTCCACGACATGGCACCGAGTGTAACACTGCTCGAGATGATCGGGCGATACATGTATTCTTCAATCATCGACTCACACAAGCTCACCAAGGAAATCCCCAGGTACGAGCTTTCATACACTCCGTCGCTTGGCTCCACGCTCAGAAGCACGCGACTCTCGCGCACAACGCTTTGCGAATCCATACGCTCTCCAGCCAATCTTCGTAGAGGTAGGACTTCACCGAATGACCACATTTGAATACCATTGATCGAGAACTTCATTCCCTGTAGGAGTGTTCCTTGTGCTGTAGTGGTTTGCGTGAGACGAGCGATTGCGTTTGCCAACAATCTCCCTGCTCTGACGCTCATTGACTGTTCGTATGACGCTACGATGTCTTCAATCCGCGCCTTCAGGTCTTGAATGTCATCAGACTCTGACGCAAAGCATTCGTGGCTATCCGCCATGGCGTATGCTGCATTCTTTACGAACGTTGCGTTGTCCTCGTTCAACTGTGCCGCGTTATGAGCAGCCGCGATGATTTTTCCAACGCAGTCGGCGACTCCATCTACCAAACGAAGGCCCATGTTGGCCACTTCCTTGTAGGGCGACTCATTGCTGATGAGAAGTTGGATCAAAGCGTGCTCTCCTGGGTTCAGATTCGTGTTATGCGTCGACTCCTTACCTATGGTAACGCCAGCTTCTCGGAACATCGTCCATTTTTCTCCCGGACATTGACTTCTGCCGCCCATCGTGATGAACACTGGAGATCCGAAACGTTTGTCGGAACTGACCTGGAGCACAAACTTATCCCCAAAATCTGGGTCACCTAATGAGTACATCGTGCTCATGTGTTCATACTTTGCCCAGGCAAAGGCACGACTTTTTGAAACTGACTTGCTCATATCCGTGGTAGCACCTACATGCCCCTTGACGATGGCGATTGAACCCGCGAAGGAGTATCCGTTTTCAGCTGAGCCGTCCAGGCTGAGCGTCCATGCGTAATCTTGACCGTCGACGTTTTCGTTGGAAGAAAATATGTACTCTGTCGAAGCACCACCGCCGCTAAACGATAGTAAAATTGCTTCATCAGCGGGTCCATTCGAATCTGTGGTGGAGTAGCCGCGGGGACCCATACGCCCTGTAAACGACGCATCGACTCGTTTCGTATCGTTCATGTAAATGGATGCATCCTCTCCGAGCGTAAGATCGCTAAGATCGCTCGATTGAAGTAGTTGTGACGACACGTCTAGAGCCTGCGTTTTGCATTTTTCTGTGATGCAGGATGAAACCGTGTTGTTCAGATCTTCACGAGTGGGGCTATTCATCCCCATTGTCGTGACGAGCTCATCCGCTTCTTGAAATTGCTCGAGGAACTTCGGCTTCATCCTTTCACTCTTTCGTGACCAGAAAACCTTGCCGACGTCTGGGGTGGCGTCGTTATCGTCGTCGTCACCGCGGAACCCAAGGTTTCCACTCAACAAGTCTGAAAATAAAGTCCCGGGATTGCTAACGTAGCCACTGATGAGCTGGGACAATCGAGATTCATCCGTCTCATCCGAGAGAATGAAGTCGTTAAGTGTGTCTATAGTACCATCCGCGTCGCCCAAGTCCCCTGGAACGCCATGTATGTATGGACTAACTCTGTCGATTCTCTTCCAAGCAAGCTTCAACTCGTCTATTGGGGTAGAAATCGGACCGCTCGCGTCACTTATGAACGATGTTTCCATTTTCTCGGCTTCCATACCGAACGCGGATTGTTCATCCATAAAAGGAACCATGATGCGCTCCATTGCGCCGTAGTTTTTACCGTACAACACGGGAGCGCCTTCCGCAGTCGGCTCCATAGGAACCTTGTACACTGTTGGCGAAGCCCACAAAAGTGTGCGTTGCCACACGTTAATTTTGTCAGCGATGTACTGTGGCCAATTAGGCGCTTCCATTTTAGAATCATCCCCGACGATGAGGCCGCTTTCCACGACGGAAAGCAAATACCGCAAGTTTGGAATCACTTTCGCTTCAATCGAGTGTACCGTGAATATGTAGGACGTGGGTTTCCTCGGCATCCATGTGATCGCCGTCGATATCCGCAAGCACGGTTTATCGTCTTCCCTTAGCGCAAGATCGAGCGTATCGGCTAGCCTGTAGACAAGTTCAACGCCGCCACCTAGAATCGCATCGCCCTGTCGTCCCGGGATGGCGACGTCGGTACTTGTCCGTATGACACGATTTATCGTAGCCGTGAGATCCCAACCGACGGCGGAACTCTGAGCGACCGAAAATTCTGGTCCAGACTCCTCATGGTATGCGTCAAAATCTATCTTAAAGAGAGGCATTCCGAGCTGGAATAAAACCTCCATGCCATACCCAGCGCCGAACCCAGGTTTCGCCTCCACTTCGAGTTCTACGCCGCCACCGCCTTCGTGTGAACTCGACACAGACGCCGCTTGTTCGTCTGAAAGCTCCACGGACATGGTCACTTCCGTGCCCATAAGAAGTTCGGCGTAAGAGTTGCCACCGGGCGGATCATGTACCGTCATGTACACCAAACCTTCGAGTGGAACAGTTGCCCAATACACGTCATCGCTTTCTTCGCCGTAGATCCCTTCGCCTCGCGGTTTCGAGCCAAGAGAGATGAGCTCTCGTTTCAACGGAACTGTCACTGTCATCGAACCATCAAATCTACCCACAGTCAGTTCGACAGATCTGCGGTAATTTCCTGAGAGCTTAGGATCTCCCGCGACAATGAGTCGATCCGTCGTCTTCTCGCCCTCATCCGTGGGGAATAAAAGTTTGTCGCTCTCCGGATCGATCTCAACGTCAAAGTCGCACAATGGTCCTCCATTGCGATCGGTATGACATGGATTTTCGGCTATATCGGTGACGCTTTGTCTGAACATGGCCACCGTCATCCCGCCGCTCTCGGCGCTAGGCAGTGTCAAGCATTCATCGAGTGAACCATTCTCCACATGCAGTTCAAGTACTTTGGCGCTCACAAGTTTCGGCCCCAAAGCGTAGAGCCCTTCTCCACCGAAATCATCAAAAAATGGCGATATCCCAACAAAGTGGTTGTGTCTAATGCCACCAGCTTTCACGCCATCAACGTCCCAGCAGTAATCGCCATCGTCGGTGATTACAGAAAGATCTACGAACTCTGCGCACAAATAACCGTGGTACTTGTATCTCGCCGAATACCAAGTGTGCTCAGTGCGTAATGGTACAAGCCTTTCGATCGTTGTTGGATGCTGGCGGAAGTATGGAATGATGCCGTCTACTCCGACATGACACAACGCGTTCGGATATTTCTCCTCGCGCATCGCCGTGAAATTCGCTGTGGATGGGGCCTCTTCGATCACTACCGAGTAATCCATCGCGGCGAGTGGCCACCGTCTTCCATTCGGAACTTCTTGATATGTTGGTATAACGTCTGAGTTTTCCTTGTCGCGGTCAGGTAGAGTCCAGCCGGATACTTGAGCCGAAGTGAAGATGGCTGGTGGGTGACAGCCATTGATGGGGGTAATTTTGAAAGTCGCCCCTGTGTAAAGCTTTTCACACTCACCTTGATAGACACCCAAATCGACGTTTGCCGTCGTCGTGTCTGAGAAGAAAATGTACTTTTTCGATGATACGGCGTGGAGAGTAACTGTGGTCGGTTTACCGTCGCAGCTCCAAATTCTCGTAGCTTCCACGATGGTGGTTCCCGAATAGCAGATTTCGTGACCGGGATATTCCGCGGTTATCGTGTAGGTTTTCCCGTTTGTGACTGCGAATTCGAACCAGCCAGTCTCGTCTGTAGTGAATTGTCGCGGCGCACCAGCCTCGCTTTCATCTTTGACATAAATGCTTGCCTCAAAAAGTCCACACTCGGACAACTCGGTCCATTCTATTGGGAACATGACGGCACCCAAAATGACCACTGTCGTATCGTCCTGCATTTTCTGCTCTACCTGATGATTATGGGTCAGCTCCAGGTTGATGACATCAATATCAGCCGTATCCGAAAATACGGTATCACTTTCATATAGGTCACCATCGTCATCCGAAGTTCCAGCTTGCTTGACGACGTCATTGTTGTTGAATACATGCACGATTTCTGGCAGCTGCTGCGTGCTCCACAGCGCGACATCCAATCCAGGACGAGTGACGCGCGCGAACAGCGTCTGCGGATCATCTTGAACCACGTCGTGCAGTAGTGCGGCATCTAAGTCAACGAAAATCTTATTCGAGCCGGGAGATGTAGCAAGTAACGGTGTTGCATACACGGAGGTCTCATCGCCGACGACAATGGCATCGAACTCGGCGTCTTCGAGAGGGCGACAGTGATCGATTTTTGACACAACATCACCCCCACTCTCTGCGCTGAGCTCATCATACCACTCGTTCCATCCCTCGGAAGAGTACGGAACGTGGGCTGATGTCGATCTTCGAACGATGAAATTTTCGCACGCTTTGCCAAACACTTGGCTACGCGCATCCTGGTGAGACTCGTCGGCGATCGCAGCGCTAACACTCTGCACGGTGAACAAATCGAAGTCGTATGTAATTTTCCGCGGAGGGAATACGAGCACTGGCTCGACAAACAATGTCCGTTGAGCCAGACGATGCGCCACACTGAGGAATTCTTGTGCGTTCAGAAGTCCATCACCGTCCATATCCAACGACGAATTCCAAAGTTCTTCTGAAATTATCGCGTACCCATTGCTTGGAAAACTCGCACCTTTCTCGATGATGGCGGTCAACTCTGACTTATCGATGCCCCCGCTTCCATCTGTGTCTGTCTCGTCAAAATCGTGCATCGGTGGTGGAGGCGATGGCGGTGGTGGCGATGGCGGCGGCGGCGATGGCGGCGGCGGCGATGGCGGCGGCGGCGACGGCGGCGGTGGCGACGGTGGCGGCGGCGGCGATGGCGGCGGCGGCGACGGCGGCGGCGGTGACGGTGGCGGCGACGGCGGCGGCGGCGATGGCGGCGGTGGTGATGCGATGCGCTCGACCCAGTGAACGTTTGTGAGAGAACCGGCCTTGACAGAGATATCCGCATGCAGCGGGTACTCGGGAGTCTGTTGACTGGTGTAAAAGCGAATTTCATTCTTGAAGTACTCCACGGCTCCGGCGTCGTTGATGACGATTTGCAGCGAGTCGGACGAAGAGTAAGTCCCAGCCATCGTATACTCACGCTTGCCTTTCTCGTACACCTTGATCTGTTTGGTATGCGTACAAAAAATCGCAAAATCAAGACTTTGATAATTCGTCGAATCCGTCGTCGACTGAGAGTTCAAACCGATCATCCTGTTGTTGTATCCTCCGGCACAGACTGCGGAGATGCCACGCACAGAGTCAGAACCATTTCGAATAGCGCGCTGACTCACCGCACCGGCGTCCCAAGCGCCAGTCACTGCAGCCGTGCGCGTGACTTGGCCGCTTTCTGTGGATTCGACGCCGACTTGCGATACCCACGCGACATGATCGTCCGCCACCGCCTTTCCTGGCGGCGGCGGCGGCGGTGACGGTGGCGGCGGCGACGGCGGCGGCGGTGACGGTGGCGGCGGCGACGGCGGCGGCGGCGGCGACGGCGGTGGTGACGCGATGCGCTCGACCCAGTGAACGTTTGTGAGAGAACCGGCCTTGACAGAGATATCCGCATGCAGCGGGTACTCGGGAGTCTGTTGACTGGTGTAAAAGCGAATTTTATTCTTGAAGTACTCCACGGCTCCGGCGTCGTTGATGACGATTTGCAGCGAGTCGGACGAAGAGTAAGTCCCAGCCATCGTATACTTACGCTTGCCTTTCTCGTACACCTTGATCCGTTTGGTATACGTACAAAAAATCGCAAAATCAAGACTTTGATAATTCGTCGAATCCGTCGTCGACTGAGAGTTCAAACCGATCATCCTGTTGTTGTATCCTCCGGCACAGACTGCGGAGATGCCACGCACAGAGTCAGAACCATTTCGAATAGCGCGCTGACTCACCGCACCGGCGTCCCAAGCGCCAGTCACTGCAGCCGTGCGCGTGACTTGGCCACTTTCTGTGGATTCGACGCCGACTTGCGATACCCACGCGACGCTACCAAGTATCTCGCCCGCCACCGCCTTTCCTGGCGGCGGCGGCGGCGGCGACGGCGACGGCGGCGGCGGTGACGGTGGCGGCGACGGCGGCGGCGGCGATGGCGGTGGTGGTGACGCCATGCGCTCGACCCATTTAACATCGCTGAAGGAACCACGCATAATAAAAGCAACATCCGCGTGCAGCGGGTACTCGGGAGTCTGTTGACTGGTGTAAAAGCGAATTTCATTCTTGAAGTACTCCACGGCTCCGGCGTCGTTGATGACGACTTGCAGTGTATCGCTGTCCGTATACGCCACTGCAGCACCCTTAATTTTTTTACCACCTTCGTACACTTCAACTGCATCGGAGTGAAAATTGCATCTGATGCTGAAGTCCATTCGACTGGACACGGTCTCTGCCGCGGACTGCCGATTCAAGCCGATGAACTTGAGGCCGGACTCAGACCCACAACGAGCCGAGATTCCGCGCACTGAGTCCGTCAGGCCGTGGATCGACCGACGACTCACCGCACCGGCTGCGGAAAAATAATTCCACCAATTTGGAGATCGCCGCCAAACTTTTCGATTCGACGCTTTGGCTCTGCGAAGCGTCACCCAGACCACGTTGCCAACCGCCGCTTTTTCAGGCGGCGGCGGCGGCGGTGGCGACGGCGGCGGTGGCGACGGCGGCGGTGGTATGTACTGCGCAATGTTCCCCAGGAGGCGGCGCCCCCAGCGCTGCCTACCCAAGAGTGACGTCGTGGTTTCAGGAGATGACGAATCATCTTCCTTTAAGACCAATAAGACTTTACTGGGTACGTTCAGCGGGTCTGTCACGTCCGACGTTTGCAAGATGGGCTGCGTCGTCTTTTCAAAAACTTCCACTTTGTACGCCCCGATGTCAACGTGAGTTTTGATTGGCGTCATACCCGTGGAGTCTGTGATATGAACAACAAACGATCCTTCCGAATCAGTGACCGCGCTGAAAGGGCATCGCGTCTCACCACCCAATACTCTTATTTCAGTCAAATTGACGTCTCGAACCGCCACGACTGATACAAACTGCCCGTGCATCGCCTGCACAGTGTCGCCCCCGCCCCCCCCGCATGTAAACGTCAAACAGTCTGCGAATTCATCACTGACATCAGACGGATCGTGGTTACATGCATATCCATAATTAGTCGTGTCTTCGGGATCGATTTCATGCACGTGCACTTTCATCGGTAAACTAAGCGTCGGACTCGCCTGTTGCCGAAATTCAAATCCCGTTACTTCAACTTTGCTCGATTCCGCACCAAACGAAATCTCGGGGAAAGTTATGTATTGATCTTGAGATGATATGAGGGTGGCGTTGAAACGTCTCCACGATTCCTCATGTATGGTGAATGATTCCGTACTGGCGTCAGTGGCGGATGTTCCGCGCAAGTCGATTGACACCGCGCGTTCACCACCCAAAGACTTCGCCCAAAACGACACCACGACAGAATCTCCAGTCAGGGCGCGCAAAGACTCGCCAGGAACGTGCACCGTGACTGAAACGCCTGCGTCCACCGATTTTACAACGTCCTCGAAACCAGGTGGAGGCGCAGTTGGGCTCGCGGTTAAAGGACTGATGGCGCTTGTCTGAACAAGCTCGAGGCGTTCGGTGAGAGTATTAAGAGTGAAATGAGCTCCGGTGAAGTAGAACGTACTTTCCGACCAAGCTGATACAGTAAATCCGACGAAAGCGGCGTCCTCTAACGTGTGCTTAAGCCTTATTTTCCTCCATTTATTCGGTTCAGCTGTAATGACGAGCGCGTCACCAACGGTCTGACGGCCTGCTGCTGTAGTTTGTTGTTCATACCCTAAAATCTGGAAAGTCATAATCGCCTCCTTCCCGACGGCGCGTACCCAGCATTCCAACAACACTGTATCACCAGCTTCGGCGTCTAGTCGATCAGTATTTTTCGCCCAGAGTTTCTCGTCTGCTCGCACGAGTCGGATGACATCATTCTCGTAACGAGGTGGATCAACGATCACGTCTGGATCATCGCCTGTATCGCCAGAATACCCCAGTCGGTCGGTGAGAGAACCCTCGGCAAGTTGGCGTGCCTTGATCGATTGCGGCTGTAGACATACTTGAACACTGCCTATTGACATCCAAAGACCAAGATCGACGCGCGCGTAGCCACCCGTCGATACGACGACAGATTCACCGGTAGGTATGTGATTCCCATCGGTGAGCGTGTACGCTTGTTCATTCAAAGGGTTTGAGTATGCGTGCTTGAAAAGTGCGACATTGCTGGAAGATGATTCGACGTCGTCGCTCGGCCGTAAAGTTATCGTCGAATTCTCATTTTCATCCGCGTCTGGAGGCCTGGACCCTCGGTAATTTGCGACCTCCCCATCTATTACGATCGGGTCGTGAAAATTAGCGCATATTCGGACGTCGGGTACTGGAACAGCGGAATCACCGGCGTACACGTAACCACCTACCTCTCCGTGCCAGGGCGTGATGAATTTGAAAGGGACAGAGTTTATACTTCCACCGGATGATGTTTTCGTCACCACCTTATACTTCCAAATCTGTCCTGGGATTGCCGCCGCCTCTCTGTCGGCGAAAAGCAACGGCGCGTACGATCGATGACAGTACGTGAGGCCACTGTCAATCATCACCACTGACTCATAAGGTGCATCCGTCAGAGAATCCTGCATGCTTTGACGAAGAATCTCGAACCCAACGTCATTCCAGGCGGTATCACGGAAGCTGAAAGTGACTCCTACTGGATCCAGTTTTCCGTTGACGTCAATAGTAGAACCATCGTAGTACAATCCACCTCCACATTCAAACTTTGAGTAAGTTTCCTCGCGAGCGTCCGAAATGACGCCACTTAAACACACAATTCTTCGAGCTTTTGGTGCGGATGATTGACGAAGCACGCAGCGCTTGTAATGTCCACATCTTACGGTATCAATGAACATCACTTCGCGTATCACTCCGGTATACACTCGAACGTCGTCGAATTCAAAATCCACCGCGCCAAGCAGTGTAACGTCCGTCATTGACTCGAGCGCGCTCAGCGGCCAAGTTTCATCGCGCGTGTAAGTCGTATCATCGATTACTGTGGCCTTTGCGTCACTCGTTGGATCTACGTACAATGTCATGAAATTCACCGAGTTTACGGCGAACGCGATGAGGTGCCACTCCCCGTCGCACGCAAAATCAAGTTTCACATCCTTTGAGGATGTGAAAGCGCTCGGAGGATCCACAGACTCCTTGACCTGATGAGATGCCCGCAGTTCGACCATGCCGTCGCTCGTACGTATCTTGAGGTATACGTGGAGTCTGTGATCGTGAAGTCCCAACTGTCCTTGAAACTGAGCGACCGTCATGAGTGATTCGTCGTTGGAGGATTTGGGTTGCGAGCAACGACTTGGATCGATGCGCACCCATGTGCTCATCGCGATGTCGTGCCCAAGCGTATCTTCTTTATCAAGAGAGTATGAATAATCGTTCGTCCCAGGATCATCCACTGCTTGAAGGCAGCGAAATCCGTTGCCCCCCGAACATCCCGATATTGTGCGAGCGGATTTCGGCTGCAATCTCATCGGGACGGAAGACTGTCCGTCGACGATTGGCGCGACCGAATCAAGCGATCCGTCGTGTAAAGGGTCTTCATCAAACGTAAATGCTGCCACGAGAGAAGCGTGTTCGTCGAGAAAGTCACTCGTTGCTGGGCGAATGTCCGTGAAGGAGATGGGAAGTTGAAGCGTCGTGCCGCCGACTTCATACTCTTCAAAGCGCACATCGACGACGTCGTCGACTGTACCGTCGGCAACGTTGATCTGATTGAAGAGTATACCATCCACGTATGCGCAGACGTAATCGCCGTTCGTTGGCTTAGGACTGTACGACCATGCAGTGGTGAGCCCGTTGAGGCCACTCACACAGCGATTCTCCGTTTGCCAGTCGAGAGTCGGATAGGTGATGCTATCGATACTGAAACTGTTCGACGGAGCTCCGCTGCACTTGACGGGTCGAACGGGGATTTCCATCACGTCGACAATAGACACTGCCAGATCTGTGTCGTGCGCGGCGCGAAATTGGTCATTCCAAACGTTGAGAATGTACCTCGAAACGCTTTGTTCCACCAACATGGCCTGAAGTTCATTCAGTCGCAGCAGTCCGTCGCTGGGATCGACGTCGTGCCTACGAAAGATGCTTTCCTTTGTCTTGTAAATTTCGCCATCATCGCACAGCACGTTGTTGAATTGATCGTTACTCAGCAATATGTACCGGACCAGTTCTTCAAGCCCCGAATTCTGATTCGCGCTCGCTTGGCCGGCGGCGTTGAATCCGAGAGGCAGGTGCAAATCGCAACCCTTGATAACTTCGAAAGAGTGTTGACCAACGGTTTCCGAACCTGGAACGATGCCATCGACCGTAACAAAGTGACAGTTATAAGTTATGGTGTGAGATCCAACCGAGTGCGTCCCATCCAACTCTGTGAGCGCGAGCGCCTTCGGGAAAAAATCATTCCATTTGCGACACGGTAAGTTATCCGCGTAATCCGACTCGGAACACGACTGATCGTCTCGTTTCACGCGAACATCGCATCGGAGACCAAGCGCGTGATTGCTCACGCTCTCTTCATTCACATTCAGTAAACAATCGCTCGCTTCAGCGCACGCGGGATGATGCACCGCGACTTGGAAATCGTACGAGTACGCCGCAACCCTCTCCGTGGTGGAACCAAATCTCACTTCAATCGCAGCACCGGCACCAGGCGGCGGCGGTGGACTCGGCGGCGGCGGGCTCGGCGGCGGGCTCGGCGGCGGCGGGCTCGGCGGCGGCGGCGGGCTCGGCGGCGGCGGCGGACTCGGCGGCGGCGGCGGGCTCGGCGGCGGCGAACAATTCGCTATACCCTCGCAATTCTCCGTTCGTGTTTGTCCCTCATACGCTCCACAACTTCGTCCACCGTTTCGCGGCTTGACGGTGATCGTGAACGTCTGCGAGTACGTCGCCGGTCCGCAAAAAGCCGTGCAACTCCCTTGCCAAAAGCCTACACAATCCGTTTTCGGCGGCGACGGCGACGACCCCCCGTGGACCCCTCGCAGCGACGACAGCGCGCTCGCGACGACCAACCCGCGCATCATCGTTCGCGTCGCGTCCCATCGACGTCCGGCGCCATCGCGCGTCGTCGACCGCGACGGCGCGCGTCGTTCGCGAAGCTGACGCGGCATCGGCGTCGGCGTCGGCGTCGGCGTCGGCGGCGTCGTCCGTCCTCGCGCGCGGCCCTCGCGCGGGCGCCGCGTCGTCGCGCGTCGGGGGTTTCGGTTCGCTCCGCGTTCGTCGCGCTCGCGTCGCGCGATGCCGTCGCGCGCGCGACGAACGCGCGCCGCGACGTTTGGGGGAGGTGTTGCGTCTTTTCAAAAAAAAACGAGGGTGTTACAAGGGTGTTACGAGGGTGTTGCGCGCGGGGCGTTACAAAATAAACGTCTAGGCTAGTTGGAGGACGCGAGGTCGAACGGATTGTTTTCTTCGGGATTCAATCGAATTCTTCGGAATTCTTGGAGATGCGAGCTCCGCAGCGGACCTCGCGCCCTACGCCTTCGCCCGATTTCGGCGAACGAACGAACGATCGCTCGCCTTCCGGCGGCGGCGCCGACAGCCCCTCGGGACTGGCGACCACCCACCTGGGAGGAGGGAAATCCCTGACCGCGATGCGCACCATCTCGAATGCGCGCACTCGGGATGATCCACGGACCCGCGCGCGCGCATCCGAACGATGCGGTAGGGAGTTTCTTTCGACCGACGCTTTTTTTTGTTTGACTTCCGTCGCCCCCGAAGGCGCGTCGACCGCTTCCATCGTAAAATTCGCGCGCGTCCGCTACATCTCGCCGCACTCCGCGATCACGCACGGCAGCTTGGGCTTATTCCCGCCCCCCGTCGCCACGTTCTCCACCTTTCTAATCACCAACATCCCGTCTCCCAGCACGCGTCCGAACACCACGTGCTTATCGTCCAACCACTCCGTCTTCGCGCACGTCACGAAGAACTGGCACCCGTTCGTGTCCGGCCCGCTGTTCGCGCTCGACAGCAACCCCGCACCCGTGTGCCTGCCGACGAACGCCTCGTCGTCGAACTTCGATCCGTATATCGACGCGCACCCCGTGCCGTCGCCGTTGACGAAGTCCCCGCCCTGAATCATGAAATCCTTGATCACGCGATGAAACGCGCACCCCTTGTACCCTCGCGGCGCGCCCTCGCGCGAGCGAAACTCCCCCGCGCACATCTGCCTGAAGTTTTCGCACGTCTTCGGCGCGACGTCGGCGAAGAGCTCGAACGTCACCCGCCCCGCGCTCGCGCCGCCGATCGTCACGTCGAAGAAAACCACCGGATTCGAGTCGACGCGCGCGCGATCGTGCCACGACATCCTCGGCGACGACGCGCGGCGTCGCCCGCGACGCGCGCGCGCGGTCCCGGTCGCGCCTCGCGACGCGACGCGGCGATGAGTGTGGACGATTCCTCACATCACAGCGCGCGACGTCGACCGCGTCGACGCTCGGACCCTCGCGAGACCTTCTCTTTATGGCCGACGACTTAGTGTTCGGTGCGTCGACGCCACGCGCGCGGCGCGTCGCGATCGCGTCGCGGCGCGCGCGCGGCGACGCGATCGCGACGCGCGATCGCGACCTCGAATCGCGAACGATTCTTTCGGCGTCGCGCGGTTCGCGGCGCGCGCGCGCGCGAAGGGCGCGCGCGCGCGCGCGATGGACGCGCGATCGTCGCGCGCGACGGCGAGCGGCGCGAGCGGGGACGACGCGACGCGCGCGGGACGGGAAAACGGGACGATGGAGGGATCGCGCGGCGCGAGGGCGCGCGAGACGACGAGGCGCGCGGGAAGCGCGCGGATCTCGGACGAGACGCGCGAGGGATGACGAGGGATGACGAGGGATGGGGCGCGATGACGACGACGACGACGACGCGAACGAGAGACTGACGAGAGGCGCGCGACGAATCCGCGAGACGCAGCCAACGATCCCTTTGCTAACGAAGCGCTTGACTTTGGAGACGAAGAAAAGCCAAAAAAGGAAAAGAAGGAAACCGCGGACTCGGTTCAGGAGAACTACATTCACATTCGCGTGCAACAGCGTAACGGACGTAAGAGCTTGACGACGGTGCAAGGACTCAACCCGAAGATCAACAAGAAATTGGTGCTCAAGGATCTCAAGAAGAAGTTCAACTGCAACGGATGCATCGTTGAGGATCCCGATCACGGAGACATCGTTCAGCTTCAAGGAGACCAGCGTAAGCAAATCGCGACGTTCCTTCTCGAGGCGAAGATTTCTAAAAAGGCGTTGATCAAGGTGCACGGGAGTTAAAATCTCACGCGCGTGATTTCACGACGGACGCGACGAGACGTCCAAAATTTTACTTACACGTTACACGACGCAAACGCGCGACTGGGAGACGGCGACCGCCGAAAGACAGACACGTTGAGGGGGGGTAGATTTTTTACCCGCGGCGCTCGCGCCGCCGGTGTACTTCTTGTAGCTTTCTCTTAGCGTTGTCAGATACGAAATGATACGAATTGCGTGACTTTCGTTTACCAGCCAAACTTCGTCAAGGGCGCGCTCTCGCGAGACGTCGAGTTTAAAAGTTCAATCTCACACTACACACACCGCTCGTTCGATTCGTTCGCCGCTATTCTTCCTCATCCGGCGACGCGGCCTCGTCTTCGGTCGCCGCCTCCGCCGCGTCGTCGCCGCGTCGTTTCGTCCCCCACGAGCGCGCCTTTTCGTTCCTCGCCTTCGCCGCGGCCCTGCGCTCGTTCGCGCCCCCCCCGACCGGCCCGCTCACGACGACGTTCTTATAATTCTCCCCGCTCGACGTCATTTTCAGAATTTTAAATCCGCACAGCTCTCCGACCACGGGCGCGTCCACCTTCCCCCCCCCCGCCGCCGCTCGCTCCGCCGTCGTCGGCGGCGCTCGACCTCGATACGCTCTCGCCGGCAAAAACGCAATCATTCCCGCGATCCCCACCGCGTACCCCCCGTTCACCGCGTTCAATATCCTCCCTTTCACCGTCGCACCCGCGTCGCGCGCTCGCACGAGCTCCCTCCACACCCGCTCCAGCGACCGCCGTCTCGCCAGCCCCTTCACCTCCAGGTCGAGCGCGCCCGCGGGATTATTCATCCACGTCACCCTCGCCTCCACGACGTCCCCGACCCGCGGCGTCGCGTCCAGCTCGCTCAACTTGTACGTCACCGCGCCCCGGATCCCCGTCAGCGCGCTCGCGACGCCGTTCCGCGCGTCGACGGCGACTATTCTCGTCGCGATGACTTTGCCCTGCACGCACGGCATCAGCGCGTTGTGCGCCGCGTCGTCGCGCGTCGGCGTCGAGTGCGGCGCCGTGGCGTCGCGCGTCGTCGTCGTCGTCGTCGCCGCGCCGCGCCGTCCCGCGAGACGCGCGAGCGCGACGCCGCGTCGAATCATCGTCGCGACGATCGGGACGCGCGTCGATCTGCGGCGCCGCACACGCGCGCGCGGGAGACGCGCGGCGCGGCGACGACGATGCGCGCGGCGACGCGCGCGACCGCGGCGCGCGTCGCCGCGACGCGCGCGCGCGCGCGACGCGCGAGGGCGACGACGATTCGCGACGACGATTCGACGCGGCGTCGTCGCCGCGCGTCTCGCGCCGAGGCGCGGCGCGGCGACGACGACGACGGCGCGAGCGGCGCGAGGGAGACGGCGCCCCGCGCGTCGGCGCAGGCGCGGGCGTCGGCGATGGACGCGGTGTGGGCGCGCGCGCACCCGAAGTACCTGCAGTCGGACGCGCTCGACGACGCGTTTTGCGACGAGATCGAGCGCGCGGACGACGTCGCGCGACGGCGGGACGCGGCGAAGATCGGGGCGTCGTCGCGGGAGGGCGGCGCGGGCGCGGCGGGCGACGAGGGGGCGGACGAGGCGGTGGATTACATTTGGACGGCGATTCGAGAGGAGGCGAGGCGAGACGCGGCGAGGGAGCCGATGCTGTCGAGCTCCCTGTACGCGAGCGTGCTCAGTCACGACACGCTGGAGCAGAGCTTGAGCTTCGTGTTGGCGAATAAGTTGGCGGACAGCACGCTGCTGCCGACGCAGCTGATGGAGATTTTTAACACGGTGCTGACGGAGGAGGAGGAGACGGCGGCGGGCGCGGAGCTGCGCGAGGCGGTGAGGGCGGACGTCGCGGCGTTCAAGGAACGAGATCCGGCGTGCGTGGGGTACTCGCACGCGTTGTTGTTGTTCAAGGGGTTTCACGCGCTGGAGTCGCATCGCATTCAGCACGCGCTGTGGAACCGCGGGCAGAGACTCATGGCGTTGGCGATGCAGAGTCGAATCTCCGCCGTGTTCTCGATGGACATTCATCCGGCGGCGCGGTTGGGGAAAGGGATCTTGATCGATCACGGCACGGGTGTGGTGATCGGTGAGACGTGCGTGATCGGAGACTCGGTGAGCATCTTGCAAGGCGTCACTCTGGGGGGCACCGGGAAGGCGGTCGGCGACCGTCATCCCAAAATCGAGTCGCACGTCTTGATCGGCGCGCACAGCACCGTGCTCGGGAACATCAAAGTCGAGCGCGGATCGATGATCAGTGCGGGGAGCTTAGTGTTGAAGCCCGTCGCGGCGCACACCATGGTCGCTGGCTCGCCCGCGAAGGTCGTGGGTAAGGTTCGCGACAGCAAACCGTCGCTCGTCATGGACCATCACATCACGCCCATGGCGCCGACGTTTTGCGACGACTTGGAAGAGGCGGTGCGTCGACAAGTGAGCGAGGAGAAAGAGAAGTGGACTCGCACGGCCGAAGATGAGGATCGAGTGCGCTCGCAAGTGATTTCCGCGGACGAGAAGAGGCGGCGAAGACGCGATCGAGGCAGTAGAAGCGGCGGCGATTCGTCGACGCGATGATCGAGTTGTAACAAATGAACAGTAAATGAATTCACAGCTGCGTTCGCGCACGCCAATCGGACCGACTAAAGAATGTGTGTTAATCGAACGGGTCGATGCGAGGATCGTGCTCGGTCGCGAGCGCCATCCCGGTGCACAAGCACGACGTGCACATAACCTTCGCCGTGCCGCTGCACGTCGGACAAATACATCTCGTGTTCGACGTCGGATCGATCAATCGCCCCGGGCGGTTGCTCGTCGAGCACTCCGCGCACTGTAAGTACCCACTCCCCTTGCAATACATGCAAATCTTCTTGCGCTGCTCTTTGACGTTTTGAATTTCGATGACGAAGAAGGCGGAAATCGCCCCCACGGCGCCGCCCGTGAACGAAGCCACGATCGGATCAACCTGCGCGAGCTGCGCGGGCAAGTGCACGCTATCTATGAACTCCGCGTACGACGTCCCGCCGAGCCCGAGTTTCACTTCCGCCATGGGTGCGATCAACCCTCCGAAGAGGAGCAAAAATCCCACCGCCGCGCCCCAATAAATCCGATAATCCTTCACGCTATCCTCCGTCAACACCGGGAATCCCGGGATCACGGACTCGAACTCCCGCGTCTCCTTCACCTCATCGTCGTCCAACCCGATCGTCTTCACGCGCTGCTGCACCCGCAACCGTCGCAACTCCTCCATCAACAAAAACAATCGCTGTCGGCGACTCTCGATGTTCTGCGCGATCTCCCCCGCCTGCATGTCCGCGAAATCCACCACACTGTTCCGCCCCTCGATGATGCAATAATTCTCCGGCAACGCTTGCGAATCAAAATCTCGCGCCTCGCCCTCCGCGTCGTCCTCCTCCGCGTCGTCGTTCGCCGCCGTCGTCGCCGCGCCCTCGCCTTCGCCCTCGCCGATCGCTCTGCGCGTCCCTCCCGCGCGCGTTCGCGCCCATTCCGCGCGCGCCGTCCGCGACGCTTTCGCGCGCATCCGCACTCGCGCGTTCACCGCCCCCGTTCGCGCGCGCATCGCGCATCGCGTCGTCGGCGTCGTCGCGCGCATGGCGCGACGCTTTTCGCCCTTTCGCGTCTTCTCGACGCCGTCGACGCGTCGTCGGGCCGCCGTTCGGCGTCGCGAGGCGGTCGGTCGGCGCGCGCGCTCGCGCGCTCGCGCTCGCGCGTCGCCGCGCGCGTCGGCGTCGGCTCGAGGCGCGCTGTGCGGCGTCGACGCGCGCGCGGGTTATCCGGAGCGGCCGTCGCCGCTGAACCCTAGCTAGGGTTTAGACGTATCCATCGCCGACGCCGTCGCCGCGACACGGCGACGCGCGCCGACCGCCCGACGCGCGCGCGCGACGCCGACGCGCGCGCGACGCTCGCGCCGACCGCCCGCGCGCGCCGACGCGCGCCGACGCGCCGACGCGCCGACGCGACGACGCGAAACGTCGCGATGACGGCGGCTCGGACGTCGTCGACGTCGGCGCGCGCGACGACGCGCGGGACGGCGACGGCGAGGCGCGGAAGAGCGCGACGCGGCGCGGAAGAGCGACGCGCGATCGCGCGGCGCGCGATGACGCGCGAGACGACGACGGGCGGGAGCGTGCGGGAGCGCGCGTCGGCGGCGAGCGCGAGGGTTCGGGACGCGGGCGCGAGCGTCGCGGACCGCGTGAAATGGTTGATCGCGCTCGCGCGAACGCGGGGCGGCGACGACGCGTGGCTGGACGAGGATGGGAGAAATGCGACGACGCGCGTGATGGGGTGCGCGTCGGCGAGCTGGATCGAGGCGGTGGTGGATGAGGCGAGCGGACGGGTGCGAGCGCGATGCGCGAGCGAGAGCGACGCGACTCGAGGATACGGAACGTTGTTGTGCGAGGCGTTGAGCGGTGGGACGGTGGATGAGTGCTTGGAGCTGGGAGATGATTTCGTGGACGCGATGGAGATCGGGATCGGGTCCAAGGTGGAGAAGTCGCGAACGAATGGGTTTAAGAATATGTTAGAGACGGCGAAGAAGCAGTTGCGAACGCTTCGAGCCGACGCCGGAGGGGATCCGTTTCCGAGCTTGATCGTCACCGCGGACGAAGTGCGATCGCGTGGATCGTTTGCGGCGTCGCAGGCGTCGTATTTGGAGCCCGATGCGGGCAAAGTGAAGGCTTTGGTCGAGGCGTTGTCGACGAAGAAGATCGGCATCGTGGCGCACTTTTACATGGATCCCGAGGTGCAAGGCATTTTGATGGCCGCAAAGGCGTCGTATCCGCACATCGCCATCAGCGATTCGCTCGTCATGGCGGATTTAGCGGTGAAGATGGTCGAGGACGGGTGCGAGACGATCGGGGTGTTGGGGGTGGATTTCATGTCTGAGAACGTTCGCGCCATCATCGACGAAGCCGGGCACGCGGACGCCAAGGTGTATCGCATGGCGGCGGAAGACATCGGATGCTCGCTCGCGGAAGCCGCACAGAGCGAAAGTTACGATAGCTATCTCGAAGATGCGAGTAAGACGAAGAACTCGGTGCACGTGATTTACATCAACACTGGTTTGGACACCAAGGCGGCGGCGAATGCGAAAATTCCCACCATCACGTGCACGTCTTCCAACGTCGTGGCGACGGTTTTGCAAGCCGCGGCGCAGATTCCCGACGTGCACGTATTTTACGGCCCCGATACGTACATGGGCGGGAACTTGGCCGAGCTCTTGCGTCGGATGACGACGTGGGACGACGAGGACATCAAGGCGATGCATCCGGCGCACGACAGAGAAACCGTCAAGGCGCTCTTGCCTCGTTTGAAGTACTTCAACGACGGCACGTGCATGGTGCACGACATGTTCGGCGAAGACGTTTGCAACACCGTGCGCGCGTTTTACGGCGATGCGTACCAAACCGCGCACTTTGAAGTTCCCGGAGAAATGTTCAAGCTCGCCATGGAGGCGAAGGATCGCGGGTTGGGCGTCGTCGGCTCGACGCAAAACATCTTGGATTACACGTGCGCGCGCGTGGACGAAGCCATCGAGCGCGCGCTTCCCGAAGGCGAACGTTTGCGATTCGTGCTCGGCACCGAGACTGGGATGGTGACGTCCATCGTGCGCGCGGTGCAGGCGCGTCTTCGCGCGGCGCGCGACGCGGGCGTTCGCGGCGTCGAAGCCGAAATCGTCTTCCCAGTTTCCGCCGACGCCATCACCGCCACGGGCGACGCGGAGATCCCTGTCGTGCCCGGCGTCGTCGCGGGCGAAGGGTGCTCGCTCGACGGCGGGTGCGCGTCTTGTCCGTACATGAAGATGAACTCGTACGACGCGTTGATGAAGATGTGCGACAAAATCGGCTCCGCCGCCGGCGAAGCCGTGCTCGCCGCGCAGGAGCCGCGCAAATACGAAAGCGCGGACGGCGCGGGTCCATCCATCGCATCGCAAGGATGCGTTCCGATCTTACACATGCGGCATTTCCAAAAGAACAAGACGTTTAGCGACGCGTTGGTCGAGGACATCACCACTCGTTAATCCTTCGTCTCCGCGCGCGCGGCGAATGGAATCAAACGGAATCAAAACAGTTGTCGAGAGTTGCAATACTACAATAAAGTGATAGCACCACCCATCGCCGTCGCGCACTTCCTACTCCTGCGCCCCCTTGACGCCGCGCGTGATGGGATCCTTCGCCACGCTCAAAAGCTCCAAGTCGAGCGTCACCGTCCCGTTCGCCGGGATCTCCATGACCTCGTTCGGCCCGTACGCGTACTCCGGCGGCACGATCATCCGTCGCACCGTCCCGACGCCCATGCCCTTGATCCCCTCGTTAAACGCCTGTATGAACGGTCCTCCCGGCTCTCCCGCGGGTTGCCCGACGGTGAATCCGATCGGCGTCCCTCCCGTGACGCCCGCGCCCTGCCTCGACGTCCCCACCGTCACCGACCGAAACTTCAAGTCGTAGTGCACCGCCACGCGCGCCCCCTTCGGCACGCCCCCCGTCGCGCCGCTCGCGCCCTGTAAATCGTAGTACAGTATCGGCGGGTTCGTTCCCGGGATCTGCGTCGCGTCGCGCGTCGTCAGTCTCGCCGTCGTCGTCGCGTTCGTTCGCGGCGTTCGTCGTCGTCGTCGTCTCGCGCACCGGCTGAAAGTTCTCGATCGGCACCCCTCCCGTGACGCCTCCCGAGAGTTTCGCGCGCGCCGCGCCCGGCGTCGCGACGAGCGCCAGCGCGGCGCCGACGAGCGCGTCGCGGCGTCGCGCGACGTCGCTCGATGCCGACGCGGACGCGCGCGGCCGCGTCTTCATCGCGCGTTCGCGTCGTCCTCGCGTCGCGCCGACGCGCGCGGGCGCGACGGCGCGTCGACAGCGCATGGCGTTCGCGCGCGCGCGCGCGCGGGGTCGCGGATCGGCGCGGTGGGACGCCCTCGCGTCGAGGAATGGCGACGATCGACGCGTCGAGCGCGGCGTCGAGCGCGCGCGAGCGGAAGAAACGCGCGCGACGCGTCGAAGGCGCGGCGATGGACGCGATGCGCGCGCGTGACATCGCTAAGAGGTGGCTAATTCGGGCGCGTCGCGGTCGTCGCGGTCGTCGTCGTCGCCGGGGCGAACGCGCTTGTTGGACGCGGGCTCGACGGCGAGATTTTCGGCGGAGGAAGAGCGGCGCGCGCTGTTGATCGTCCCGCGCTCGCGACGGAGCTTTCGACGCAATTCATCGTAACGCGCGTGATCCGACTTGCTCACCGAGGGTTGCACCTTCGTGAACGCCTCTTCGAAGTGCTTCGTCGTCACCGTCGGCGTCGATTCGAGCGTCATCGATTTCAACGCCGCCACGCACGCTTCGCGCACGAGCGCCGCCAAGTCGGCGCCGCTGAAGCCTTCGCACGATCGACCGAGCGCGATTTGATCCACGCGTACGTCTGGTGCGATGGGCGTTCGGCGCGTGAGCGTCTTCAAGATGGCGACTCGGCCGTCCGGCGGCGGCAACGGAACGTACAAGAGCTTGTCCAAGCGCCCGGGACGCAGCATCGCTGGATCGATCATGTCGGGTCGGTTCGTCGCCGCGATCAAGAACGTCGCGTTTCGCGCTTCGAGACCGTCCATCTCGGTGAGAAGTTGGTTCACGACGCGCTCGGCTGAGGTGTTGTCGCCGCCGCTTCCGCGACGCGGCGCCAGAGAATCCATCTCGTCAAAGAATAACACGCACGGGCTCGCACTTCGTGCGCGCTGGAACAGCGTCCGCACCGCGCGCTCGCTCTCACCGACGTACTTATTTAATAACTCTGGACCTTTGATGGATATGAAATTCGCCATCGCCTCGTTCGCCGTCGCCTTGGCGACGAGCGTTTTGCCGCACCCCGGTGGGCCGTAGAGCAAGACGCCCGTAGAGATGTTCAAACCCATCGCTTGGAATCGCTCGGGATGAGCGATGGGCTCAGCAATGGAGAACTTCAACTCTTCGCGAATTTCTGTGAGCGAGCCAACGTCGTCCCAAGTCACGTTCGGCGTCGTGGTGAAACCTTCGCGTTGCGCCGACGGTTGCACGCGCGTGAGCGCGAGGGAGAAATCTTCCATGGTGATTGCTAGATCCTCGAGTTCGTCCTCGGTGAGCGGACGCGGATCCGCTAAGCGACCAGTCGCGAGACGAGTGTCCCCCCCCAGTGCGGGCGCGACACCCTCGTCCATCGTCACATCCGCGCTCGCCCTTTCCTCGTCCTCGAGCTTTTTAAAGATGCGCGTGACCGCCGACGCGGCGGCTTCCTTGGCCAACGCCGATAAATCCGCGCCGACATAGCCGGGCGTTTTCTTTGCGATTTCGCGCAAGTCTAAATCTCCATTCAAGCGAAGCTTGGTCGCCTGCACTCGCAAAATGCGCTCTCGCGCGGCTTCGTCTGGAATGCCGAGCATGATTTCGCGATCAAAGCGTCCGGCGCGACGAAGCGCGGCGTCCATACCGTCCGGTCTATTCGTGGCGCCGATGACGGTGACGTGGCGACGACACCGCGCTAGTCGATCCACCTCGTCCGTGCCATCGATTGTTGATTGAAGATCGTCCATGGACGCTAACAGCTGGGCGACAATTCGACGTTCCATCTCTCGCTGCGCGCTCTCGCGCTTCGGGACGATTGCGTCGATCTCGTCGATGAAAATCAGCGACGGCGCGTGCGCGGCGGCGGACTGGAACAACTCACGTATCTTCGCTTCAGACTCGCCACTCATTCCACTCACAATCTCCGTGGCCGCTATGGAGAAGAAGGGCACTTTCGCCTCTTGCGCGATGGCGTGCGCCAACGTCGTCTTGCCGCAACCCGGCGGGCCGTGAAGCAACACCCCGCGCGGCGGATCGACCCCGAGCCATGCGTACAACTCGGGATGCATCAAAGGGCACAGTATGAGCTCCTTGATGTCCTTCAGCGAGTCCTCGATCCCGCCTAAATCCGACAACTTCACCGAGCGAGGCGACGTCATTTGCGCAAACGCCTTCGCGCTCGTCGTTCGTCCAAACTCATCCTCATCCAAACTCTCACTGTCGCTGTCTCGGTCACCCTTCCGCTTGCGACGATGCCCCTTACCTTTTTTCCCTCGCTTCTTATCCTTGCTTTTCTCCAGGCGTTCGATTTTCATTCCGCGCTCGTTCAGCTTCACCTCGTGACCGCGCGACTTCGCCTCCGCCACCGCCCGCACCGCGCGTTCGTGCGCTGACTCTTCCTCCTTCACCGCCTTAGACCCGGACGCGCTCGCTTTCGCCTCCGCTTCCAACTTCAACGCCCGCTGCGCGGCCGCCGCGACGACCTCCGGCGCCGCGAACGCCGCCGTCGTCGCCGCCTCGTCGCCGCCGTCCATCCCGTTCTCATCCCTCTCGATCGCCCCATTCTCGTCGCTCGTCCCGTCCGAGCTCGTCGCTTCACTCGTGCTCGTCTCGGAATCATCGCTATCTTCGTGATCGCTCGAGCCTTCGCCGTCCATTCGACTAAATTTCTCGTCGTCGCCGTTCCCGTCGTCGCCGTTCCCGTCGTCGCACCGCCCGCGCGCGCGCGCCTCCGCCATCGCGCGCTCCACCGCCTTACGAAACGGATTGACGGGTTTGCGCGCGTACTGCCTGTACTGCGAGCGCAGGTACTGCGCGCACGCGTCGACGTCGCGCAATGCGTTGAGGCCGCCGCCGGCGCTCGACCGCGCGAACGCCTCGACGCGCGGCAGCAACAGCGGGTCGCTCGTGACGTACGACGACGACACCCCACCGCGGAGCTTCGCGGGGCGCGCGTTGGGCATGGCGCGCGCGGACGAGGCGGCGAGGCGGGCAATGGGGCGCGAGGGTGATGATTCGGCAAAAATCTCGAGGCGGCGACGCGAGGCGAGCTAGAATGTGTCGATGTCAGAATTTCAAGAAAGAATATCACGCTTCGCTGACGTTGCCGAGCAAGCTCATGCCGGACCTGTCTTCGATTTCCTCGAACCCGATTCCTCGCGGCGGGTTGGGGGGGATCTCGCCGAGCAAGTCGCGGCGGTCGAGGATGATTTCCAAATCTTTGTCGGAGATGTTGGCGGACTGCGGTGAATCCTCGTCGTTGGCGCCGGTTTCGCCCTTGAGGAGAGCCATGAGTTCGTCAGCGCCGAAAGCGCGACCGTCGTCGTTTTTCTCTTGTTTGAACCCGCCGTTGGTGACGACGAGCTTCTCGAGAGCGAGCTTGGAGGCGGCTTTTTTGAGCATTTTTCCTTCGACGGATTTCGCCGTGGCCAAGCGGTAGACGTGCACGGGCTTGGTTTGACCGATTCTGTGCACGCGATCCATCGCTTGCAAATCTTGATGCGGGTTCCAATCGCTGTCGTAAATGATAACGGTGTCACCGCCCGTGAGGTTGATGCCTAATCCTCCCGCGCGGGTCGAGAGCAAAAAGATGCCGTACTTCGGGTCTTCGTTGAATCGAGCGATGAACTCGCGACGGTCGTCTTGTTTCACCGAGCCGTCGATTCTGCACACCGGTTCGCCGCGCTGTTGGAAAAATGATTCGAGCAAGTCGAGCATGCGCGTCATCTGAGAAAAGATCAACACCTTGTGTCCGCGCGCGCGCAGGCGCGTCATCAACCTATCGAGGAGCTGCATCTTCCCGCACTGTTCCACGAGTTCGTCCGCGGAGGGGAACATGATGGATCCGTCCAGACCGCCGGTGATCAAATCCGGGTGGTTGCAGTTTTTCCGCAGTTGCATGAGCATGTTGTTCACAGCGGTGTGACCGACGGGAATGTGGCTGTTGCCCGCGAATTTCGTCAGCATCTCGGTGATGGTTTTGTTCACCAACGCGTCGTTGAACTCTTTTTGCTTTGGAACCATTTGCGCGTACAAAAGAATCTCCTTCTTGCGCGGAAGCGAAAGCTCGACGTCGCCCTTTAATCGGCGCAACAAAAATGGTCGCAAAATACCGTGCAACTTGCTCACGACGCGCGCGCGATGCTCTTGTTCATTCTTATCGACCACCTCCTGCTCTTGCGATTCGTCGTTCCCGATGTTGTCGGCAAAGTCAAACCAAGATTGGAACTGCGACAGCGAACTGAAGACGTCTGGGAGCAAAAAGTGCAAAAGCGACCAAAGCTCGGGCAAGTTGTTCTGGAGCGGCGTGCCGGTGAGCAACAACTTGTTCGCGGTGGGAATGTACTTGAGCTCGCGAATGAGCTTGCAGTCAAAGTTTTTCAATCTGTGACCTTCGTCCACGACCAAGTACTTGAAGTTGTACTTGGCCAAAAACTTGCGATCGGCCATGACGACTTCGTACGAGGTGACGATGACGGGGAAATCGGGTTTGATCGGCGTCGACGTCGGCAAGAATTCGATTCGCTTCTCCGCGCGTTCTTGCCTCGTGCCGTGGTACAAAAGCACGGGAATCGACGGCGTCCAACGTTGAAACTCGCTCACCCAATTGCTCAGCGTCGATAACGGACCGATGACGAGATACGGTCCCAACACGCCCTTCGATCGCAAGTGCGATAAAAAACCAATCGTCTGCACCGTCTTCCCGAGACCCATCTGGTCCGCCAAGATTCCGTTCAAGCCGTTTTGATATAAAGAAATCATCCAATTCACCCCCTTGAGCTGATAATCCCGCATCGAACCGCCCTCCATGAGCGGCAGCATCTTTCTCGTCGCCTCCAACTCCTCGCTCTCGCTCATCTTTTTCCGCTTCTTCGTCGCCTTCGCCTTGTCCCCATCCTTCCCGTGCTCGTCCTCCAGCGTGTCCATCTGCTCGCTCAAAAACTGCGAATAAATCGTCGTCTGATCCAGCAGCGCGTCCAACTGTTTAAACTTTTTATCGTCCAACTTCGTCGTCCCGCTCGCCGCCGCGCTCGCGTCCTCGCTCGCGCCCTTCCCGCCGCCCTTCCCGCTCGGCGACGCCACGCGCGCCTTCTGCAGCTCCGCCTCCGCCTCGATCGCGTGCGCCTCGATCCCCGTCAGCGCCGACGCCGTCAGATCATCGTACGATTCCTCCGCGTCCGCGTTCACTCGCACCAGCCCCCCCCCGGCGCCGTCGTCGTCGTCGCCGTCCCGTTCCGTCGTCGTCATCATCTTTTCCCGCGCATCTCCCCCCGCGTCGTCGTCCTCGCGCGCGCTCTTCGCCGCGCCTTCGCCCGCGATCGGCGACGACGCCTTGCGTCGCTTCGCCCCGTTCGGCGCCATCGTCGCGCCGTCGCGTCGCGTCGCGTCGCGTCGCGGCGTCGCGCGCGCGTTTGACGTCGACAGCCGACGTCGATCGTTCGAAACGCGCGCGCGCCCGTAATGTTCGCGCCTTTGGATCGTCGCGGCGGTCGCGGTCGCGGGCACGAAAACGCGTATTGTATGCGTTTTTCGTGCATTGTTGTCGATGTTTGTACTTTTTTTATCCGACTGTCCGACTGTCCGAACGATGATTCAAAATCCACCGGCCCCGCGCGTCAGAGGTCGTCGGATCGATCGAACGCGCGCGCGCGCGCGTCGAGCGAACGAGCGCGCGCGTCGCGGACGCGGACGATGTCGACGATGTCGATGATGCCGATCGCGTCGACGTCGGCGCGAACGACGCGAACGCGCGCGCGCGCGCCGAGAACGACGCAGACGCGGGCGCCGCGGATGAAGATGGGGCGGGCGACGCGAGCGACGACGCGGACGCGGGCGATCGCGAACGAGGCGCAGACGAGCGAGGAGTTGAACTTTTGGGGGAAGATGCGACAGGCGTATCGAATCTTTTTCCCGCCGAGCGCGGAGGAGAACGCGCGGAACGAGGCGAAGAAGCGCCTGCGAATGATTCTCGTCGCCGATCGGTGCACGATGAGCGAGAGCTCGATGGACGAGATGAAGGCGAAGATAATGACCGTGGTCGGGGAATTCGTGGACGTGGACGATTCGCAGGAGGTGGACGTGAGCATGAACACGGATGAGGAGTTGGGGACGATGTACGCGGTGTCGATTCCGGTGAAGCGCGTCAAGGCGGAGTACGACGCGGAGAACGACGCGTACATGTTGGGGGCGCAGTTCGTGTACGACGACGAGAACGTGTGGGACGACGAATGATTAATTTTACTCGCGCATCGAGCGACGGGCGACGGACGGCGCGCGCGCGACGCGCGTCGATCGAGGCGACCGCGACCATTGTAAGCAAATCAAACGACAGACGGACCGCGTCACTTCGCCTCGCGATGTCCGACGCGCGCGCGGCGTCGGGGCTCGACCCCAAAACGTGGGCCGGCGCCTTCGACTGCGCGCGGTGCGCGCGCAAGCGCCTGCCCGCGATCGAATTCAGCAAAAAGGCGCTGCTCAGGATGCGCGAGCGCGGCGACGATGCCGGGACGTGCAAGGCGTGCGTCGACGCCGAGGCCGCGATCGAGCGCGCGCGCGCGAGGGAGAGCGCGAGCGCCGTCGACGACGACGCGGACGCGACGTGCGCGGCGTGCGGGGCGACGAAACCGGCGAGCGCGTTCTCGAAGACGCAGCGGCGCGGCGCGGCGCCGCGGTGCGGCGAGTGCGTCGACGCCGCGGCGAGGGACGACGCGGCGCGCGGCGCCGCGGCGCTGGCGAAATCGTTGGAATCGGCGAGGGTCGACGCCGCGAGGGTCGGGGCGACGCTGGGGGATCACGTGCGAGAGACGAATCTGGACGCGGAGGCGGTGACGGGGTTGCGGGCGAAGTTCGTCGGCGCGCGGGGACGCGGACGCGGGCGAGGACGGTCGGCGAATCCGAACTCCATGCTCGGCCGAGGGGGGCGGAAGTGAGCGCGACGCGATGATAGTGACTAGCTAGCTCTATTCTAGAAGATTGCAACGTTGTTCGTTTTGCTAATGATTGCGCGCGGGCTATTCGTCTCGCGCCCAGACGTCGCTGTAGACTCCGGGACGCGAGCTCTTCGGCGGATTGGCGCGACGACGAATGTACGGCCCGCTCGATCTGAACCGACCGGTGCCGTCGTCGGGGAGCGCTAAAGCGACGTCACCGATGAGCGGGGTCGCAGCCTCGGTCCTGTCGGTGCGACGTCGATTGAATGAAATGGTTGAATCGTCGTCGTCGTTGACGCTGTACGAAAACGCCTTGACGGGCTTGTGCGTCGCCGTGCCGAATTCGTCGGCATGTGTGATGTACAAGTCTTCATCGAACGCCAAAAGATCGACGTCTTCGTCTTCGTCGTCGCCGTCTATGATGCCGTAATCATCGACGTCCCGGTTGAACGCGCGACGAAGCGTGCACACGCTCGCCGCGACGAACGTGATCAACACGACGACGGAAAAAGACAGGAAACGCCAGACATCCGCGTTGACCTGCGCCGAGGCGCGCTTGTACACTCGAACGTAGTCGACGTAATGAAACATGTCATCGTCGCACTGATTGAGCGCCGCAGGCATGCCGAACGGCGACACCGCGGTGTTCAGGATGAGATAAAACGGCCATCGCGGAATGATGGGCACATTAAAGCGCGTCAAGTGATGCACGGGATGACCGTCGACGGTGAACGTCAAGCTATCCTTCGACCACTCCACCGCATACGTGTGGAAATCCGCGCTGAAATCGATCGCGGGGTCCATCATGGGCGGGTACGCGCTTCGCGAGAAGCCTTCGGCGCCGCACTCCGCCTTTGGGGCGAAATGATATCCCGATTCCACCGTTCCCGCACGCGTCCCGGGCCCGCCCAAACCTCTGCCGTACGACTGCATGATGTCAATTTGCCCGCCAAGCGGCCAGCACGCGCGCTTCGGCACGCTCTTCTCGGGGTCAGGTAACATCCAGTGCTGCGGCCAAACGCCCGGACACTTGGACTCGGGAATCTTCGCGCGAATCTCAACTCGCCCGTACGTTTGCGTGAACGCCTCTTTCGTGTCCACCCAGCACGACAGGAACGGATACTGATCACCGCGACCACGATGACCCACGGCACCTCCGTGTGGCGTCGCGGCAGTGCGCACGCCTCGCTGACGCCGCGTCCCGATGACGAGCGCGCCGTCGACGACTTTACACATCTCGGGAACGTAAAACTGTTGCTGTCCGCCGTGTCGCTCTAAACCTGGCGCGCTCTCGTTCACCTTCGGTCGCCATTTCGATAAATCTAACGCATCACCGTCGAACTCGTCGCTGAACGTCAACTCCCATCCCGGCTGTCTCGCGTCCTTCGACGAGGCGCCCTTCGTCGACCCCGGCACGCTTTGCGGAAACCCACGTCGAGGGGTCGCGCCCGCGCGCCGCCGCGCCGCCGCGCGCTCTTTTATCGCCGCCGCGTTCGCTGGCGGTCGAGTCGGCATCGTTCTCGCCGCCGACGGCGCGTCTTCTTCCCCTCCCGTCGCGCCGTCGCCCGCGCCGGCGAGCGCGTCTCTCGCGCGACGCAGCGCCTCGTCTGGATCCTCCAACGCCCCCAGCGCCGCCTCATCGCGTTCTCTGCGCATTCGCGCCCGTCTAATTTTCATCATCTGTCGCTTCGTCGGCGCCCTCGCGCCCAACCGCGCCGTCGAACCGCCCGCGTCGTCTTCGTCCTCCTCCTCGTCCTCGTACGCCTCCTCGTCCTCGTCCTCGTCCGCCCCGTACATCTCGTCCGGATCGTCCGGCGCCTCGTCCTCGACGATCCTGCGCATCAACGCGTCGTCCATCGTCCCGAACCGCGTCCCCGCGCTCGCGTCGACGTACCCCGGCGCGTCGCCCGCGTCGTCCCGCGCGTTGGGTGTTGCGTCTCGCGTCGTCCCGTCCCCGCCCGCGCCTTCGCCCGTCGCGCGTCCCGATCGCGCCCTCGCGAGCGTCGCGAGCGTCACCGCGCACATCGCCGCCCGCGCGCGACGCGACGTCGCGCCGCGCGTCGCGCGCCGCGATCGGCGCCGCGTCGAATGCGCGGCGTCCATCGCCTCGCGCGCGTCGTCCCGCGTCGACGTCGTCGCCGTCGGTCGCCGCGCGCCGCCGCGCGCGTCGCCGCCGTCGCGCGTCACGCGCGCGACGTCGCCGTGTGTCGCGCGCCGCGCCGCGCGACCGACGACCGACGCCGCGCGCGGGATGTTGGCGCCGCGCATAAAACCAATCGCGCGATTCGTTCGCATCGCGCGCGCGTTTTACCCCATCATCGCGCGTTCGCGTTCGCCGACCCCGCGACGCGCGTAAATTCCGAGATGGGCGTCGCGAGGCGCGGAATGCGCGATCACCGATCGACGGCGTCGATGACCGATCGTGGGAATCGCGGTTACGGGCGCGACGCGCGATCGCGGAATTCACGCGCGCGCCGGCGCGAACCCCGCGGGGCGACCGGCGGCACATCGTCGCGCGTCGCGGAGCACTCAGGACGCTCTTAAGAAGGCAACGCGCGAGGATAAAATCATGGCTCCGAAGCAAGGATCGAAGAAGGCGGCCGAGGGCATCAACGCGCGACTGCAGATCGTCATGCGATCGGGGCGGTACACGCTCGGGTACAAGCAGTGCCTGAAGACGCTGCGCAAGGGACAGTCGAAGCTCGTGCTGATCTCGAACAACTGCCCGGCGCTGCGCAAGAGCGAGATCGAGTACTACGCGATGTTGGCGAAGACCGGGGTGCATCACTACGCCGGAAGTGCGTGCGCGAGGCGACGCGATTCGACGCGATGCGACGCGCGAGGACGGGGGGGTGGAAAACCCTAAAGACGGCGACGACGCGCGAGAGACTGACGAAGACGACGAACGCGTCGCGTGAACAGATAACGTCGATCTCGGCACGGCGTGCGGTCGATACTACCGCGTGTCTTGCATGTCGATCACCGATCCGGGCGACTCCGACATCGTCAAGGCGGTGCCGGAGGAGTAAACGCGCGAAGCCGTTCGGCGACGCGCGGGCGATTCTTCGGACGATGATTGGTTCGGGCGATCGCGACGCGATCGACGTCGCGAGTTTGCTTGTAATAGATCATCGACTCGCTTCGAGAGTTATTTTAAATCGGTCAAACGTCGCGGGTGGTGATGAAACTCTGTATCTGGTCTTCTTTCCACTGAGGAGACGTCGTCTCGGCGACGTCATGAAGAGAATGTCCGCATACCTTCTGAACCCAACTCTCTTTTGCGTCGCTCGTTCCTCGTTCGCTCGTTCGCTCGTTCGCTCGTTCGCTCGCGATAGAAATCTAGATTACAAAATGATGATCAACGTTCGACTACGCGGCGGCGGCGGCGGCGGCGCGCGCTGCCTCCCACTCGTCCACGCACTCGACGAGCAAACGATTGACGAGCTCGGGGGCCTCGTCTTGCGGGCAGTGTCCGACGCCCGGGAGCGGGATGAACTTATCGGCGTACGACGCGTATAGTTTCCGCCCTTGGTCGATGTTCTCCCACGGATCTTTATCGCCCCAGAACATGCGCACCGGGACGTCGCATCGAGGCAACAACTCCTCGGGCAGCGGACCGCCGCTGTACGAGATGAAATCCAAAAACACCTCCGCCGCGCCTTCGCGCAATCCCGGACTGAGAATCGCCTCCACGAGCTCATCCGTGACTTGCGCGGAGTCTCCGTACGCTTCGCACAAGATATTCTTCACCGTCCGCGCCTTGGCCACCGAACCGAAGAAGGACTTTCCCACGCTCGTCTCTCGAAGCGTTCGCTGCAGCGCCTTCACGAACGGTCGAATGATCGCCGGCTGCTTGCTCACGTGCAATCCACGCAGGCTGATATTCATCAGCACCACCCCGCGCACCTTCGTCGGCGCGTCCACGGCGGCTTGCAACCCCGCGACGCCGCCCACCGAGTTGCACGCCACGTACGCCGGCGTCCCCACCACCTCGTCCAAAAAATCCTCAATCTGCTTTCCCCACGTCTCGAAGCAGTATATCTCGTTCTGTTCTCGCAGCATCGGATTCGGTTTATCGCTGTACCCGTACCCGAGCAGATCGATCGCGTACACGCGCTTGCCAGTCGCCGCCAGCGCGTTTACGTTTCTTCTCCAGTGGTCCGCGTTCCCGCCGAATCCGTGCACCAGCACCACCGCCGGTCCGTCGCCGTCGCCGACCGCCTCCGTGTACCGTATCGCGTGCGTCTCGTTCGTGCGCGGCGCGCGCCAGCGCCAGTAGCGCTCGTCCACGCCGTAGCGCTGCGCGCGCGTCGCCGGCGTCGTCGTCCCGGTCGACGTCATCGCGACGCGCGCGCGCCGTCTCGCGTCGCCGCGCGCGCGCCGCGGCGCGCGACGCGCCGGCGAGCGACGCGCGACGTCGCGGAGCGTCGACGGCGGCGCGCGCGGCGCGGCGCCGAGCGTCATCGCGCGCGCGGCCGGCCGAGACGCGTCAGAGTGACGCGCGATGGGACGCGAGCGCGTCGCCGCGTCGAGCGCGTCCGCGGCGCCCGCGAGCGCGGAGCGCGCGCGACGCGCGCTCGCGGACGCGCCCGCGGCGTCCGCGCTCTCGGGGTGCGTCGACCGCGCGAGCGACGCGAGGGCGACGCGCGCGAACGAAGGCGCGCGCGAACGACGACTGACGACGCGACGACGCGCGACGACGACGCGACGCAGGTTCGGGTTCGGTGGATACGCCGGACAGGTGTCCCTGACGGCGCGCGCGGCGAGCGACGCGAGCGCGGACGCGGGAGAGGTGGACGAGGACGCGGCGCGCGCGCTGCGGCGATGCGCGCAAAAGTCGTCGACGGCGACGAAGGCGAAGGCGCTGCGAGAACTCCGCGACGCGCTGTTCGTCGACGCCGCGGACGAAGATTCGATGGAGGAAGTGGCGAAAAAGGTGAAAACGGTCGCGGGCGTGCTCGGGGTGTCGCGGGCGTGGGCGAGGGCGTACGATAAATTGGCGGGCGACGGCGACGCGGGATGTCGACGCGAGGCGGCGGCGTTGAACGGAGCGATCGCGGTGGCGGCGGGGAAGGGACTGGGGAAGATTTTGAAGAGCACGCCGATCATGTGCGCGTGGGTGCGGGGGATGTGCGATCCAAGCGCGGAGGTGCGAGAGATGGCGATGGTGGCGTTTGAGAAGACGTTTTCGACCGATGCGCGACGCGCGGGGGCGTTGGCGCTCGCGCACGAAGTGATTTTAGACGATTTGATCGAGGCTTTGAAACGGCGCGGGCCGCAGGATATGATCTTTAAGGAAGGCTCAGAGGCTGAGCAGTACGCGCGTTTCGAGTTGAGCGCGCGCGCGGCTCTCAGGGCGGTGACGTTTACGTGTGAGCGATTGAGCGCGTTTGAGGGAGACGAGAGCGACGCCGCGGCGAGCAAGTTTAGTTATTTGCTCGATGAGTTGGCGACGTTAAAGACGCAAATTCGAGGTGAATACATGGTCATACGCCGAGATGCGTACGCGACGTTGGCGGCGATTTGTAAGCGCGCGGTCGATGACGAAATCACCCCGGCGTGGCGAGACGCGCTTCGAGGCCAAGTGCCTAAAATTGCCTCGACGAGCTTCGCTCTGATTTCGTCCGAGACCGAGCCAGGAGCGATGCGTGATATGTGGGAGCTCATACTCGGTATCGCCACTTCGCACCCCGACGCTTGGGGCGCTATAGATGTCGAAAAAACCTTCATGTCTGGCTTGCGCAAGCACTTCAAACGCGGGAGCTACGGCGCCGCGAGTGTTTCGTCGCCGTCGCTCCTTCCGCTTCTCGCGCACTTGCCCCCGAAAGCGCTTATCGAGCGCGACGCCGATGGTCGCGCCATGTCGGGATTAGTGCGCGTCATGGACGCCGTTTTTGCGGGGTGGTGTTTCTTGAGTTCGAGCGCCGTTCGCTCAAACGAGGCGCGCGATACGCTGCCGGCGATGCGCGAAGGCGTTTTATACGGCGTTCTGAAGCTCGCCCCGCTCACCGATCACGCGGAAGAGTGCGCCACGCACGTCTTGGTCGATCACGTGGTCGATGTGTGGATGCGAGAGTTTTTAGCGCGCGGTAACGGCGCCGCGCTCGATTTGATGTGCGACGTGCTCAACGTGCTGAGCACAAAGCCGCACGCGAAGACCGCCGTCGTGGAGGCGTGGGCGAAATTAGGAGACATCACAGAAGCGGCGTTGGACGACCCCGAAAAAGGCGAACACGCAAATGCGATGTACGCTCGACTGTTTGCATCGGGGAAATTCGCGTCGTCGTCGCAGGCTACGGCGCCATTCGCGAAGGCTGTTTTCGCGCAAGCAGTGGATGCGCCGTCGAAGCAAACCTTCGAGCGATTGGCGACCTTGGTCGAGAGTCTAGGCGTTGAGCCATTCGACGGTGCGCAACGTTTGATGGACTTCGCACTCGCGGACAACGCGCCACAAGGTTCGGGCGCGGTCGTCGCTGCGGTGTTGAAGCACGACGCGAGCTGGTGGAGCGCGGTGCTGGATGACGCGAACGCGGCGGATGAATTGGAGTCGTCTTCGCGCGTGCGAGTCGTAACGGAAGCAATCGCCGCCACGAAATCGTTCGGTGAACTCAAATGCCCGGCGCTCGATGATCTCGTTCGTCGATGCGCGAAGCGATCGAGTGATGCTTCGTGCTCGCAACTGTTAATCGCCATCTCGCAGTTTTTTGAACCGGTTTCCGCCGACGTCGCATCCGACGTCTTTGAAAGTCTCGCTTCGAGCGACCTCGGCGACGGCGCGTCGAACGCGCGTAAAGCGCTGCGCGAGTGGATACTGATACCGCCTAAAGAAGCACTGAGTATTCCGTGGTCAAATGCCGTCGGTGCACTCTTCGCACACGTGCTCTTGGAAAGTCAGCACACCGTGAAGTGCGTGATTCACGAAGCCGAGAGCGAGGGTGAAAGCGAGGACGAGGTGGAATACGACGAGACGAAAGTCGGAGAAGTGCAACGCGATTGGAAAGCTTTCGAGTGCGACGCAGAGAGTAATCCAGTACTGTCACCCGCGCTTCAGGCCGCGTTCACAACCGCCATCGCACGCACCGCCGCGGCGACGGCGGCGACGCAACACCCAGGTGAATCCGATTTGGTTTTGAGATTGTGGGCGCAGATGACCGCGCGAGCGCTTCGAGCGTTCCACGTCGACGATGAGACGTTTGCAAAATGCATCGTCGACGAAATGGAAAATAACGTGGACGACGATGTGACTTTTCACTGGCTGAACGCCGTCGCGCGCGTTCTCGATTGGAGCTCGTTGTTGCGCGCGATGGATGCAGACAGGCGAAAAGAATTCACGGTCGACGCGTTAGCGCTGGCGCCGAGTGTCAATAAAGCGTTCGCGATTGCGCTGTGCGGTGATGCTGCGATGCAAACGCAAATATTCGTCTCGCTCGTCAACGCGGTGTTGGAGGCGTCGCCAGATGATGAATCTGCCGAAGACGCGTTGCTCAATTTTTCGCGTCGCGCTCGCGCGCTCGACGAGGCTTGGATCGACAATCACGCCGATGTCGTGCGCGAGTTCCTCGACGCGTCAAGCGCGAAGCGCGATACGTGTTCAAATCGTTTGACGCGAGTCATACCGTGGATATTACCCTCTGACATGTCTGGGGGCGCGCACGCCGAGCGTTTCATCGCTGAGCTCACGCGCGAGGTGATTGCGGATATCGAAAACCGTCGCCGACGATTGGATGGCGCTAAGATTCGACTCGTCGCCGCATGTTTTAGCCGCGCGGACGACTTGGGTGAAACGATTGTCGTGCATTCGATTCAAGACCCCGCGTGCGCGCCTCTCGTGGAGGTGTTTCGCGCGATTGCCAAACGAGAAGCGGCAGAGGCCGCCGCGAGCGCCGCCGCGGCGCGCTTCGGCGACGCTGGCGATAGCGAGTCGCGCGATGGTTCGAGTGCATCTGATGTAGGCATCGCCGCGCTCACCGCGGCAATCATTCGTCGCACCGCCGCGGATTTCGATTCTCGAGATTGGGGCTCTATAATCGGGCGATTGCACGCGTGGACGGCGTTGCGGGCGAAGATGGCGGAGACGTACGCAGAGAACGAAGCCGTCGACGGGGACGACGGTTCACAGTCGGCGCACGCTGCGGCGACGATCGTGTGTCTCATCGATGCGTTACCGATGGAACTTCTTGAAGCCACGGATTCGTCTTCGGGTGATCTCGTTCCTTACGCGGCGCATGGGTCGTCGATGATGACCATCGCCAAGGCGCTCGCGAATGCGTCGTGGCCGCGCGAGCGCGCCGAAATCGTCGAACGTTTATATCGTTGCGTCATCATCACCGGTACCGAGCTGCGCGACGTCGAAGAGGAGGACGACGACGAGCGTCGACATCGCTTCTGGGCCCGATGCCGGGACGAGACGCGCATGTGGATACGCATCGCTGACATTGCGTGCGGCGGCACGCCGACAAAGACGAGCGCGTGGCGAGCCGGCGTTTACGTAGACGCGTGGGACGATGCCCCGTGTGAATCCATAGGCGCGCTTTACCAGTTGCTCGCCATGTTGCCGACGTTGTGGTTCGACGTTTCGGCCGCCGACGACGACGAAGTATTGGAAGCGCTCAGGCGCGCGGCTTATGGTTTGCTTTCCAACGAAGCGCTCATCCAAGCCGCCGTCGTCGGCTTGGACGCGGGAATCGCAGACGTCGCCAAGGTGGAGCAAGCCCTCGACGCCGCGCTCGCGGCCGCGGACGAGAACGACGAAGCAGACGTCGGTAACTTTGGGACACCCGCCGAAAGCGCCGGATTGCGCGAAGATTTGGCGACACTCCTATCGAGCGCCGGGTACGAGCCACGCGTCGCGTGGTTAGGCTGGGCCTTGCTCTTCCGCTACGTCCTCGCCTTGCCCATCGAGTCTTCGTGCAGGGAGCGTTTGGTGAATTATACGCGCGAAACAAAGGCGATTCCATCGCTTATGCGCGACATCATGCGCTCGATGCCCCTTCCCGAGAGTGCGGACGTAGAAAGCGAAGACGATTTGCCGTCGTCGTGGCGAGGCGTCGATTGGGACAATCCCGCGTCGGCGACGCAAATTTATGATCCGAGATTCTCGTTCGAAGTCTTAATGTACGCCGCCGCGCTCCGCGCGCTTCCAGCGAGCGTTCGAGCGTTCGTAAGCGACATGAAACCTCAACGCGACGCCAAGCGTCTCGAAGGTGCCACCTCGGCGACGGTTTCGCCGACGCTCATCGCCGCCGAATTCAAAGCCGTCTCCGCCATGACGTTCGCCGGCGACGGCACGGGATCACTCACCGTCAAGCCCTCCATCGCCACGCGCGAATTTCTCACGACGTACGAAATCGACGAATCCTCCCTCGAGCTCACCGTGCGTCTCCCCAACGCCTACCCCCTCGCCCCGGCGGAGCTCGTCTGCGCCAAGCGCGTCGGCATCTCCGAGGCTCGCCTTCGCAAATGGATGCTCGGCATCTCCGCCATCCTCAAGCATCAAAACGGTGCCGTCGCCCAGGCTTTACTCCAATGGCAGCGCAACATCGACGCCGAGTTCGCCGGCGTGGAGCCGTGTCCGATTTGCTACGCCGTCATCCACCCCGTGGATCATCAAAAGCCTCGCCTGCGCTGTCGCCAGTGCTCGAACACCTTTCACGCCACCTGTCTCTACACCTGGTTCCGCACGTCGAGCAAGAGTTCGTGTCCACTGTGCGTCACGCCGTGGGGGAGTTCGTACCGTTAGTCTCGATCGAGTAGCTAGTTTAGACGATACGAGTCGAGTTAGAATCCGTCGGCGTCGGCGTCGACGCCTCACACGTCGAGGCGTCGCGATGAGCGCGCCGTCCATTTTCCTCGTCCTCGCCGTCGGCGCCCTCGAGCACGTCTACAGCGCGAGCGCGAACACGACGCACGTCAAGCGCACCGTGTTGATCGTCGACGGCGACCGCGCGCGTCGTCCGTCGCCGTTGATTCTTTGGAACGCCACGGCGAGATGCGAATTAAAAATCGGCGACGTCGCGTACGCGAGCGCGCTGCGGCGCGCGCACGCGTCGCCTCGATGGCGAACGCATCGCGACGCCCTCGTCGCGGCGCGCGGGTGCGAGATTCGCGCGGTGGCGAGCGCGGAGGCGGTGGCGGGACGGCGCGAGCGACGCGCGCCGGGTGCCGAGTTTTCAACGAAAAATGGATTCGACGGTCGCGCCGCGATGCGACGGACGATCGAGCGCGCGCGCAAGGAACACGCGGACGTGTTGCGACGCGCGGTGGACGCGGCGGAGGCGAGACGGCGGGAGAGCTTCGGAAGGGAGGCGGGGTACGTCGAGGTCGAGGCGCTCGACGGGACGAGCGCGGCGTTGGTGCACGTGCTGGGACGCGTCGTGCGAGAGACGATCGCGCCGAGCAGCTGGCGTCCGCGCGCGGGGGGACGCGACGGCGCGCGGTACGTGCGAAGGATCGTTTGGGTGGTGCAAACGCACGGGGGACGGTGCGTGGCGATTTGTTTACCGCCGACGACGGAGGCGGCGGCGGCGGAGCGATCTTTATTGAAAGACGGTGCGGTGATCGACGTGCGCAACGCGTTGGTTCGACGAAACGCGCAGACGGGCGTGTGTGACTTAGTGTGCGACGTTCGATCGCACTGGCGCGCGCTCGATGGGAAGGACCCGAGGTACGCCGACGTGTGCGCTCGCGCGCCGAAATCGGCGTTTGAGCAAACGCTGACGTTCGAAGCGCTCGCGCTCGCGATGCACTCGAACGGATTCGCGCGCGCGTCGTCCATGATTCGATTCAAAGCGTGCGTGCGATGGGTGAAGGTGGCCACAGAGCGTAGACGCGTGCCACCGATGCTTCGCGAGACGGACTCATCCGTGACGGCGGCGATGACGTACTTGGCGTGCCTCGCGTGCTCGCGAGAGCTCGAAACCGATCACAACAACGTGTACAAGATGTGTCACTGCACGTCAAACGACGCGAGGTGTGGGTTCGTGTGGCGGGACATCGTGCTCGGAATGCAAAGCGACCACGGAGATTCCAAGACGGTGATTCCGGTGCGGGCGCGCGGCGACATCGCGCGACGACTTTTATTCAACGTCGACGCGTCGAGCGTGTTGGACGAACACGCCAGCGACGACGAGTTTGACGACTTCGACGACGACGACGCAGCTCCGCGTTCAGATCACAAGAAGGTCGTGGTTGCCGCCATCAACGCGCTCGCCGCCGGCCGTCGAAACGCCGCCATGGATTGGCGAGTGAAATTCCCCGCGCTCGACGAGAACGGACTGCCGAGACGAGACGAGCTCGAGCTCGTGGATTTTAACGCAGACTAAGCCACATCACTCGTCGCCGCGTGGGCGATCTCTCGGAGCACGCGCGCGCGCTCTTCGACGAAGTCTAACTCGCGCGAGAGGCTCGCGTCGCCGCCGTAGGCGCGATTATCGCGTGAGCACCGACACGCCAGGTTTCGCACCGCCATCTTCGCCTCGGCGAGACCGCGCACTTTTTCCACCATCGCCCGCGCCCTGTACGCCGCCTCCTGTTGCAATCGCCCGTTTTCGCGCTTCAAGTCTTCATCCTGTTGTCGCAGCCGAGCGACGGACGCCGTCGCCGCCAACCGTTCCTCCTCCATGTGTTTCACCGCGCGCTCGTGCGCCGCGCGCGTCGCCTCCACGCGCTCGTTCGACTCCACCACGCTCGCGCGCAAGCTTTCGTACGTCCGCTGCAGCGTATCGTGCCGTCCGAGCACATCGGCGATGTCCTCGAACGCGTTTCCCCGCGCCGCTTCCTCGGCGACGCGCGCCAGAAACCATTCAAACACCCGCACCCGACCCAACTCCTCCTCCACGCTCGCCCCCGCGCTCGCGCGCTCGCGCAGGCTCCATCGCATCTCCGTCAATCGCGCGTCCCGCGCCTCGTTCGCCTCCCGCTCCTCTTTCGCCCGTCGCAGCGCCGACTGTCGCTTCACCTCGTTCTCCCGCACGAACGCCTCGAACCGCCCGACGTCCGCGCGCGCGCGCCGCTGCGCCTCGTTCGTCGCGCGCTCGCGCCTCGCGCACGCCTCCGCGCGCGCGTCGCGCTCGCGCTTCTTCGCCTCGAGCGCGAGCGACACGCGCGCGAGCGCCAGCGCCTCGAGCGCGCGCGACGACCGCGCGGCGGTTCGCGCGAACGCCGCCACCGCGCGCGCCTCGCTCGCATCGCTCGTCGCCGCCGCGTCCGACGCGAGCGCGGTGAGGAAACCCTCGCGCGCGGTCGCGCGCGCGTCGTCGTCCATCGCGTCGCCCGCGTCGCCGTCGTCGTCGTCGTCGTCGCCGTCGTCGTCGTCGCGGTTCGACGTGCGCGCGAACGTCGCTTTGTATCGCCAAAAATAACCGTCGACGCCTCGACGCGCGCGACGCGCGCCGCCTCGACGCGCGCGCGAACGCGCGACGGTTCCCTCGACCGCGCCGAAAACAGGCGCGCGCGCGACGCGCGCGCGACGGGCCGCGTCCGCGCGCGCGCCGACGCCCGGCGCGTCGTCCGTCTCGACGTCGAAAACGCGCGCGCCGCGCACCGTCGCGGACCGTCGCGCGTTAAAACGCGCGCGCTCGAAACGCGCGCCGCGCGCGCGCGATGAACGATGGAAAGTTTCGAGTCGTCGTCGCGGCGCGTCGTCCGTCTCGACGTCGCGCCCGCGCGACGCCGCTCGAGCGTCACGTCGCGACGCGCGATGTCGCGAATCGCCGCGCTTCGCGCGCTCGCGCTCGTCGCGTGCGTCGCGACGCTCGTCGATCGTCGATGCGGCGTCCCGTCGTCGTCGTCGGCGTCCGACGCGACGGCGTTCGACGAGTCGCGCGCGCGCGCGACGGCGCGCGCGCTCGAGGCGCTCGGCGCGCGACCGTGCGGGACGCCCGCCGAGGCGCGCGGATTCGCGACGCTCGAGCGCGCGACGACGACGATGGCCGAGGCGCTCGCGCGGGACGCGGGCGCACACGGCGTCGCGTCCTGGACGACCGCGGAGACGCGCGCGACGTCGACGTGGACGAGCGAGGCGTACGAGACGACGTACGCGAACGCGACGGCGACGACGACGAAGGCGATGAATCGGGACGCGATCGAGCGGTTAGGGTACGACGAGCGCGTGGTCGTCGTGAGCGCGCACGTGGACACGGCGCACGCGAGCGCGGGCGGGAGCGACGCGGGAGCGTGCGCGGCGATCGCGCTGGAGACGATGCGGGCGCTGTCGGCGCGAATCGCGGCGGCGGCGAACGAAAAGGCGAAGAGCGGAGGGACGGCGTCGCCGGTGATGTGCGACGCGAAAGCGCGGCGGTGCGCGTCGGTGGTTTTGACGTTTAGCACGGCGGAGGAGGACGGATTGGCGGGCGCGCGAGGGTTGACGGCGTCGCGGGAGTGGGCGCGGCGAGCGCCGCAGGCGATTTTAAACCTCGAGTCGATGGGCGCGGGCGGGCCGCATCGAATGTTTCAGGCGCGCGCGGACACGGCGGTCGGAAGGCAGGCGCTGCGCGCGTGGGCGCGCGTCGCGCCGCTCGCGAGCGGCGGCGTCTTCGGAGACGATGTGTTCAAGTCGGGGTTGATCAACAGCGGCACCGATTACTCGGTGTTTCGGAAATTTAGCGACGCCGAGGCGCTGTTCGATTTCGCGTTCGTCGAGCGCACGATGGTGTATCACACGCCGCGAGATCGGGTGAAATATATCCGGCCGGGGTCGTTTAAGCATTCGGGGGAGAATTTGCTCGAGTTTTTATCGGACTACGTCACGCGCGGCGGATTCGAGAGCGAAGGCGACGACGCGCGCGCGACGAAATCATCGCCGCCGGTGTCGTGGTACACGATCCCTGGATACGGCATGGTGGTGCACGACGCGCCTCGGCGCGAGACGCACGCGGTCTTCTTCGCCGCGCCGCTCGTCCTCTTCGCCGCGTTTTTGCACAAGGCGTACGTCGGCGAAATATTCGCCTCGTCGTCGGCTTGCTCCGAAGCCGCGCGCGTTCGCATGGAAAACACGTTTCGACTCATGGTGAGCGTCCCGTTCGTCATCGCGGGGTGCGCCGCGAGCTGGATGGGTGCCATCGCATCAGCCGCGCTCGCGCCCGCGACGGTGGCGTTCGCGTTCGGCGAGCCGAGTTTGTACGTCGCTCGTCCGCTCGCGCTCGGCGCGCTCGCGGGCTCAGCCGCGTGTCTCGCCTTCATCTGCGTTCAAAGGTTCACGCGCATGCTCGCGTTCGCGATGATGCCCTTACCGGTGAAGATGAAATCGAACGCCGACGACGAGCGCGTCGTCGAGTGGTCGCTGCTTCTGGGAAACGTCGCGATTTGGGGCGCGGCGGCGTCTCGCGCGACGCGCGCCGAGATCGGCTCGTCCTACATCCCGCTGCTTTGGCTGATATTGCCGTCGTCCATAATCATCGCGCCGGTTCTCGTGCCGTGGATTCTCGCGCATGGTCGATCGAGCGAAACGGAAGCCGCGCCGCCGCCGCCGACGCCGATGAACGTCGCGTTCGCCATCGCCGCGCCGGTGTGGATTACGTTTCCGAACGCCGCCCTCGTGCTTCGCGTCTTGCAAGGCATCGGCGCGCGTTCGCCTCTGAGTGATGATATCGTGTATCTCTACGACGCCATCGGCGGCGCCGTGGTCGGGATCTTCGTCGCCATGACGTGTAGCTTTTTGGTTCCGGGCGCGGTGGCGAAGGAGGACTCGGCGTCGTGGCGGCGCGGCGCCAGGATCTCAATCATCACGCTCGCTTCGGCGTGCGCGTATACCGTGGTTTTCATGCGCGCGAACGCGGGCGTGCACTGGACGGCGTTGTCGCCGCAGCCACTGGTCTTGACGCACATCTCCGACGCGTCGTTTTCTCGCTCGCGCGTCGTGTTGGCGCGCGCTGGAGCGTCTCGCACGCGACGCGTCGTCGAGCACCTCGAATCCAACCCCGCCATCGCTCGCGCGTTCACGTTCGATTGCACCGCCAACGCGACGTATGATTTTGTGAACACCGTCGTCAGGGGCGCGTGCGTGATCGATGCGAAACAGAAGACACCCGGCGTCGACGCGCTCGCGATGGAGGCGAGAGCCACTGGAGCGTCGCCGCCGAAATTTACGACGCCGCGCCAAAGACACGCACCGAACGTGCGTTCGGTGACGATGGACGTGGGCGAAAGCACGCGATGGGTGCTCGCGGTGGACACGCGGTGCGTCGCTCGCGTCGCCATCAAGGCGCTTTACGATGAAAACGACGACGAATCGCCCGAGCAATGGGTGCGCGTCGAGCCGTACGCGCCCGGCGGCAAGAAACGACACGTGCTCAACGGCGTCGGCGGCCTCTCGGCGCCGTCGACGTACGCGATTTGGTATGAAACGCGCGACGCGGAGACGCGCGCTCGTTACTTTTCGAGCGACGACGAAGCGCAAGCGCGCGCGTGCGCCAAAGGCTTGCGCGCGCGAACGGATTACGTCGCGCGAACGCCGAGCGTCGTCGCCGTCGACGCGGCTTTGCCCACATGGGCGGTGCCGTTCGGTAAACATCGAAGCCCGCAATGGCTAGGTTTCGTAGAAACGCACGATGTGTTGAATTGAATTAAATTGAATCGGCTCGTTCACGCCGCCGCCGCGCTTCTCGAAGAGCGAGTCTCCACGAAGAGCAAGTCTTCATCCGTCCCGAACGCCGTCCGCGCCTCGTCGAACCGCGCGCGAGAGACCATCACGTCGCCCCCATCCGGCGCCGGGTCGAATATTCTAAATCGAATCACCCTCCCGCCGTCGACGTCCGCGCCTCGCACGACGACGAAGTGCCCGACGAAATCGCGCTCGCGTTCGCGTTCGCCCTCCCGCGCCGTCAACAACCGCGCGTCCACCAGAGCCACGCACCGCACCGCCCGCGTCGAGAGCGCTCGCGCGATGTCCTCCGCGCGCATCCTCGCGCGCACCACCGTCGAGGCGTCCGCGCGCGCGAAGAGCCTCGCCACGCGCTCGCAGTCCTTTATCAACTCGTTCTCGTAAAAGCCGTCGTTCGCGTACCGCGGATCGACGCCCGCGCGCGTCGTCACCAGCGTCGCCCTCGCGCCCGTCGCTCGCACCGCGCGCAGCAAATCGATCGTCCAGCACGACCTCGCGCGCAGCGCCCGTCGCAGGGCGTCGCGCGGCGTCCCGCTCGCGCTCGCCGCCGCGCTCAGCCCGCAGTCCCACGCCGAGCGCTGTTCGCGCGGCGTCCAATCCGCCGCCTCGTCGCGCGCGCGCGCGGGAAACCGTCCAAACGTTCGGTCGAACGCGCGCGCCGTCATGGCGCGCGCGCGCGCGGTCCGGTCGTCGTCGTCGCGCCGTCGCGTTCGCATCGTTCGAACACCGTTACTCGAAATGTTTGATTGATGAAGGCGCGATTCGTCGCGCGAGGACGCGAAATGCGGCGCCGAGGCGCGCGCGCGACGCGCGCGACGGCGTCGTTCGCGCGCGTCGTCGCGCGCGGCGCGCGGCGCGCGGCGCGCGGCGGTGTGAGGAAATGGAGCGTCGACTCGCGCTCACGCGAGGCACGGGACGGCGGCGGCGGCGGCGAAGAGGAGCGACGCGCGCTCGCTCGCGGCGATGGCGGCGCACGCGCTCGAGCCCGACGCCGACGTGGTGCCGACGGCGCACGCGGCGCACGCGCTCGAGCCCGCGTTCGCGGCGAACGTGCCCGACGGACAGAAATCACACGCGCCGGCGACGCGTCCGCGCGCGCGCGCCCGGGATCGATCGCTCACTGTTACTCATACCCGAATGTCCGAAATCGTCGTCGTATTTATGCGCGACGCGCACCGTACTCGAGCGCTCTGAAAGGCCATCAGTAAAGCGTCGCGAGACGTCGCGTCCGACCGCCTCCCGCGCGCGCGTCGCACACCGCGACGCGCGCGCGCGACGCGACGGACGACGCGGAAGACGACACGGAAGACGGACGACGGACGCTCGAACCGCGAGCGATGCCGACCGCCGCGATGACGGCGCGAACGAAGGACGAACGACGACGATTCGTCGTTCGAGGCGCGATCACGCGCGCGCCCTGCCTCCCGGAATTGAGCGCGAAGGCGACGCCGGAAGCGCGTAAGAAGGTCGATTTCAACGAGGTGATGAAGAAGGCGTCCGCGCGGGCGTTTCGCGGCGGCGTCGCGGGATTCGCGGCGGGCGTGATTCAGGTCGGGACGTTCATGTGGATGCGAACGGCGATGAATTATCAGTACGCGAACGGCGGGACGATGCTGTCGAGCATTAAGGCGCTGTATAAGGAGGGCGGAGTGCCGAGATTGTATAAGGGGATGTCGTTTGCGATCGTGCAAGCGCCGTTGAGCCGATTCGGGGACACGGCGGCGAACACTGGGGTGATCGCGGCGTTGGAGGCGTACTATCCGCAAATGCCGGTGAGCGTGATGACGGGATTCGCGAGCGTCGGAGGCGCGACGTGGCGGATCTTTTTAACGCCCGTGGACACGTTCAAGACGACGCTGCAAGTGCAAGGGAACGCGGCCTTCGCGTTGTTGAAGGATAAGGTGCGAACTGGTGGCGTCGGAGTGTTGTACAACGGCGCGGCGGCGAACTTCGCGGCGAACTGGGTCGGCAACTATCCGTGGTTCGCGACGTTCAACTACTTGCAAAAGGCGATCCCGAAGCAAGACACGAAGTTGAAGAACAACGCGCGCAACGCTTTGATCGGTATGGCGGCGTCGATCGTGTCCGATTGCATCTCCAACTCTTTGCGCGTCGTGAAGACGGTCAAGCAAACCTCTGGCGACGCCAAGTTGAGTTACACGGGCGCCATCAAGGGTGTGCTCGAAAAGGACGGCATGAAGGGCTTGTTCGGCCGTGGATTGTCCACGCGCATCGCCACGAATGTGTTGCAAGCCATGGTGTTCTCTGTGGCGTGGAAGGCTATCGAGGAAGAGCTCAACAAGAAGGCTGAAGCCAAGAACGCCGCGCCGGCGAAGAAGGGCAAAAAGGCGTCCCTCACCGCCGCGCAAGTCGCCGGCGTCGGGTTACCCCCGCTCAGCATCGCGTAAACAAACGCGATTAATATCTGTAGATCATTCGATCTCTGTGCCGCTCGAAAACCGAGCAGCGCACATTTTTCTCGCGTCGACACGAAGCAGAGCGCTCGCGGGGCGAGCGGTGATACAATACGCCGTTTCGCTCTTCGGCGAATTCCAGCATGTGAAATAAACACGCACGTATATAATCATAATCACAATGCTCGTCTCTCTAACTAAAACTTAATATCCTCGTCACACGCGCGCTCACGCCGCGACCGGGTCGAGCTGCTTGTCCGTGAACACCCACTCGTCGCCCTTCTTGACGACGGCGATGCACTTGCTGCCGACGCGCCAAGTCGCCGTGGCGATGGGCGTCGGGTCATACAGGTACAGATCCGGGAACGCCTTTTGCAACGCCTCGGTGGCCTTCTTGGCGTGGTAGTGCGGGATGGTGTGGTTGATGTGATGCGCGACGTGCGTGCTGCCGATGCGGTGGTGCAAAAAGTCAAACACTGGCCCGTACGGGCGATCAATCGTCATAAACGCGCCCTTGACCAAGTTCCAGTCGTCGCCCTCAAAGTGCGGCACGTCCACGTCAGTGTGCTGCAACCACGTGTACAGGACGAGCCAAAAGTTGGTCACCATGTACGGTCCGACGTAGAGCGCCATGACGGTGGCGACACCGCTGTGCGCCGCCCACGCCGCGAGCGCTCCCAAAACCGCCACGACGCCGACGTCGCTCTGCCAAACCTTCTTCGCCCACTTCCCCGGGAACAACGCGTGCTTACCCTTCTCGCCCATGAACGGCAAGAAGTGGTTCGTGTTCCCGCGAACCGGCCCACCGCTGGCGCCGGTGAGCAAATAAATCGGCCACCCCAAGGCGAACACTCCGACGAGGTTCAAAAACGTAAACGGCCCTTCGCCGAGCAACCCGCGCAACTTGAACATCACGTTCGCGTCCTCCGTCCCCAACCGCGCCGGCACGTGCGTCTCTCCCTCGAGCACGTGATTAGTCCTCGAGTGATGCACCGCGTGCGACCGCTGCCACGAAAAATACGGCACCAACAACAACGAGTGCAGCGCGTATCCCACCGCGTCTTGAATCGTTTTATCGTCGCTAAACGCGCCGTGTCCGCACTCGTGCGCCGCGACCCAGCACCCGGTCGCCGCCGTTCCCGTCACGAACGCGTACGCCACCCACACCGGCCAATACGCCGCCGTCACCGGCACGCACGCCCACGCCAGCGCGCCGCACGCCAGCGTGATCGCCGTCGAGCACGCCGCGTACGCGAGCGACTTTCCCGTGTCCCGCTCGAAGCACTCCCTCGGGATCGCGCGCAGCACCTCTTGCATCGTCGGGAACGTCTTCGCCTCGGCGTTCAGCGCCTTGGCGTTCAAGCCCGAGCGCAGTTGTTCGTGTCGCGACGTGTCGTAGGTCGTCGCGGCGTCGGCGCGCGCGGCGCGGGCGACGCGCGCGCGATCGCGACGTGACGTCGTCGAGCGAGAGAACGCGGCGCGCGGGAGCGCGCGAGCGCGCGGGAGCGTCAGAGCGCGGAGCATGACGCGCGACTGTCGTTCGTGGATCGCGGTGCCGCGGGAAAGCGGTCGACGCGCGAGCGCCGGTGAGTGCGAACGCGACGACGCGACGGGAGAGCCTTATCCCGCGAGGCGCGAAGGCGGACGCGAGGCGAGCGAAACGCGCGAACGAATCGGGGCGTTACAAAGGCTAGACGACGCGCGAGAGACGCATGGAACGTAAAATCTTATCCACGAGTTGTGCGATCACGGTGTGGGATTGACGCTCGTCGCCGTGGTCGGTGAATAAAGACTTGAGCCTGGCGACGACGTCGTGGCGGATGATGAGCTCCTTGGGACGCTGGGCGTGCTCGTGGACGACGCCGAGGGTCTTGAGAAGGGTGATGCGGATCGTCGGTTTCGTGGTTGGGGAAGTGATGGCGTCCATGAGGGATGGGATGAAATCCTCGTTGGCCAGGGCTTGGCACAAGCGGGGGGATTTGGAGATGAGATCGAGCAAGGCTTCGAGGACGTTGGCTTGGGAGGTGGATTCGTCGAGGACCTCGAGGATGGAATCGATGGCGTCCGTCTCGAGCAAGCGAGCTTCGACTTTCCACGGTTCGATAGCGAGCCAGGAACCGACGGCATTGAGCGCGGAGAGTGTCCATCCGGAGTTCACGGCTATGAGCTGGACGTAGGTGTCCAACGCGCCGTGCTTCTCCAAAATTTCGCGCGTTTTCCGACTCGTCGACGCCATGTCGCACAAGAGCGGCACGGCGAGCGTCATCGCGGAAGAGCGCGCGGTGGTCGCGACTGCGGCGGTGTTGACTTTATCGCCATTCGTGGCCGTCGACATCGAGCCATCTCCGTTCTTTTCGTCCCGAGCGCTGGCGATGATTTGAACGAGGATTGGAATCAAACCCGCCACGGCGGCTTGCTCCTGACGCTCCTTGTTCACCGCGCACAAGTTGTGCAACGCCTTCAGCGCCATCTCCCACGATTGCGCGTGACCACTTCGAAAGTTACCTTCGACGCATTTCACCAATTTGGGAATCGCTCCGGCGTTTTGCAACACATGAAATGCATTCGTTTGTTGAGACAGCAAGTGCACCAGACCGAGAATCTTCGTCGCCGTCGAGCGAGGGACGACGCTCAATTGCGCCAAACATCCGTGAATAATTCTCACGTCCACGAGCGCCTTGGAGACTTCTGCGCATCCTTCACCACGTTTGGCGACACGATACAGCGTCTCGGCGACGAGTTCGCGGTAATACTTGCCCCCACTGGAACCTCCGCTGCGCGATCGACTGATCGTACTCGCGCCGCCGATTGATCCTGTCATCGACGAACCCCCCTCGCTGCGCGCGTCGTCGATATCGTCCGTGATCATCGCCGCATCTTCTAAACTCGCTGTGTGCGTTGCACCGAGCAAGGTGACAAGTTTCGGGAACAGGCCTGCGCTAGCAAGGGCAAGCGAGACGGTTTGAGCGAGTTGTTTCGGCAGCTGGTCGCCGCGCTCGATCTCCGCGGCAATATAAATCGCCCCGAGTGCGTATTTGGTGAGCTCGCGCCCGTTTCCGCTGTATCCGTAATCCAATACGTCGACTAATATGGGAAGCGCCCCGCATGCGACGAGACATCGTGTGAACACCGGTCCAGCCTTGGCGGTGGCGCGACACAGCCGCAACGCCGCGAGCTTGATCCTCATGCTTGAATCCTTCTTTTTCAGCACCTCTAAAGCCCTAGGTAGCACCGCAAGCGTGACGAACGATGTGAGTATATCTCTGCTCAACATACTCGCTGCCGTGACACACTCTAACGCCACCGTTCGCATTCTTGCCGACGCCGATTCATTTTCTAAGACGTTGACGAAAACGCCGCACGCTCGCGTGGTAAAGAGCGTCTCGTTCGCCACCAATACGCTCGTAGCGGTCTCCATCGCGCGTACGAATTCTGCACCAGCCTGTTCGGCGTCATCTATCGCCGCCACATCACTCGTTGACGTGCCGAACGCATCCTTCAAGCGATCGACGATTGAGATGAGCGATTTGTTGAAGTCGATTTGCGCCTTTGTCACGCCCGAGTCGCTCTTCATAAAGTTCCCCAAATCGCTCTTCATAAAGTTTTCTAAGTCCTTTTGCGAGCTTGAGCGCTCGCTCGCGGCTATTAGGGGTGACGAATTGGCGGCTGCGGCGTCGTCCGCCGCCGTGACGTCGCCGTTCACGCCAACTTTTGCCATTTGATCGATGACTTTAACGATGACGCCTTCCTCCGCGTCGTCATTCTGCGTTCGCCCACCGCTCGCGTCTCGTTTGGTCCACGTCTCGGCGAGCACTTTGTGCTCGTCCATCAACCACGTGTGGTTGATCAACTCCTCCGCGCTCGGTCGATCTTTCGGGTCCCTTTTGAAGCACAACAACAAGAAATCCCGCAACGCCTCTGAAATCCCCGTCGGCAGCGGCGGGTGCTCGTCGCGTACGATCCTAAACAACGCCGGCATGGGATCGAGATCAAAATACGGCGGGTTGCTGGTCAATAACTCTATGATAGTACATCCCACGCTCCATATATCCGCCGCCGCCGTGACGCTCCGCATTTCGATCACTTCCGGCGCCATCCAATACGGAGTCCCCAGCGCCTTGTCGCCCTCGCCCTCACCCTCGGCTCGCGTCCCATCGCCAATCCCGCGCCCATCGCTCGCATCACCATCGCTTCCTTCCGACCTCCCCTCCGCCCCGAACACACCACTCAACCCATCCCCCGACGCCCGTCCGCCCTTTGTCGCCACGCCGAAATCCGCCAACTTCACCACTCCCTCCTTCGTCGTCAATATATTCGCCCCCTTGATGTCCCTGTGCACCACTCCTTGCGAGTGCAAGTACGCCAACCCTCTCAACACCTGCGCGACGTACACCGCGCACAGGCTCTCCGGGAACGCCCCGAATCGACTCGGATGTACCGTTCGCGCCAGCGACCCATTCTCCGCGTACTCCAGCATGATGTACAAGCACTCCTCCACGCGCACCGCGCCCTCATATTTCACGATATTCGCGTGTTCGAGCCTCGACAGCAGCTCCACTTCGCTCGTGATGCGCTCGAGCTGCTCGACCGGGACGCCGCGCAGCGGAATCTCCTTCACCGCGCAAATCGACCCCGTGCGCTGGTCGACGGCTTTGTGCACGCGCGACGTCGCGCCGGAGCCGATGAGCTCGCCCAGGATGTGGTTACCGACGCGTTTCACCGCGTGGTGCGGCGACGCCGGCGGCGACGCCGGCATGGCGCGTCGGAGAGTGCGTTCGATGCGATTGAGATTGGCGACGACGGTTGAAAATTTGAGATTTCGGCGGAGGCGCGGTCGGCGACGGATGCACGCGCGATGCGGGACGCGCGCGACGCGAACGCGCGTCACGAACGAAATGAAAAGACTCGCATGAGATTACACGCGAGATGGCGCGGTTAGATCTCGGCCGAGGTGGAGACGTCGAGGATTCGACGGCGAATGACGCGGTCGGCGACGGCGAGTTGGGCGTCGGCGACGGAGGCTCGAACGGCGCGAATCGCGGATGCGGTCGTGGCGATGATGGCGATCGCGCCGAGAGGCGATTTGGGGGGTAACGTTCCCGCGCGAATGTGCGCGGAGAGGGCGTAGATGGCGTACACGGTGGGGATGGCTTGGAAGACGTAAAAGGCGACGACGGCGAGGCGTTGCGACGCGGCGTACGCGACGGTTTCGTAGTGAGGAAAACCGCTCGCCGTTCGGGCGAATGTGCGGAAGTGTACCGTGGCGTCGCGGAGTTCGGTGATGAGCGAACACGCGATTGCGACGACGAAAACGTCGTGGTGCAACGCGAGGAGCGTGACGGCCAAAGCGACGACGCGGCGAAACATCTCGCCGCGCTCGCGGCGGGCGCCGTCGACGACGACACGACCGACCATCACCATGACGTACACCTTGAGTAACTCCACCGCAGCTAACTTTCCAGCCTGCTTTCTTTCGTTCGGAAGTATCCACGAGATGGCGGCGGCGCGCACGTTTTGCGTGTCGTCGATGAAGCGATACGCCGCCGTGCCGACGGCGGCGGCGACGACTGCCTTGGTCAACGGGACGCTGAGCGCCAAGGAACGTTCCATGAGCGTGCCGTGTGCGCTCGATGCTTCGGCGAGCTTGACTTTACTAACCTTTTTACCGAGCTGCGGCAACGCCACGCTCGAGACGACGGCGGCTAAGAAGGTCGCGCAGCTAAAGACTGCGACGACGCCGACGAGCAGAGGCACAGCCATCGGGAGCATTTCCGTCACTGTTGAAGGATTGCGCTGCGCGAACATCGCACAGATGGCCACTACCACGGCTAAGTATTGAAATTCCGGCGCGATGGACGAGGTAGAAACCTCGCTTCTAGATGCATCGTCGCTCTTCTTGACCCACGTCATTTGCAAATCGTAAATCAACTTGTTCGCAAACGCAGCCTCGCAATACGCAAAGTAAAACTCAAACATGCGCAAAAACTTTCGTGAGTAGCCCATAGAAAGGATTCGTTGGGCGTGATGCATCATACGCTCGCGCCACAATCGCAAAGTGACGGCATAATGCAAGCCGATATCGTCGTATCCCTCGAGCACGAGACCACGCGGCGAAGCGCTCTTCATCGCCCCCACCGACGGCAAGTGGCCACCTGGGAAAATGTACGCACGAATGAAGTCGCTTTCACTGTTGCAGTATGACTCGTAGCGGCCGTCCGGCATAGTGATGACTTGGATCGCGGCTCGCCCGCCGGGTTTCAGCACTCTGTGCACGGTGCCAAAGAACGTCGGCAAGTGTTCGTGTCCGACCGCCTCAAGCATTTCAATCGACACCACCTTGTCGAACGTTCCTTGCACATCGCGGTAGTCACAAATGACGATGTCGATCAAGTGTGACAAACCGGCGGCTTTGACGCGCGCCGTTGCTTCGGCGTGCTGCTCGTGCGACAGTGTCAAACCAGTGACATGGCAATTCTTCTCGCTCGCCATGCGAATCGCGCACGTCCCCCAACCGCAGCCAATCTCAAGCACGCGATCGCCTGGCTTAATACCCGCTCGAGCGATCATGGCGTCTATCTTTAAATACTGCGCCTCTTCCAAGTGCTTTTCTTGGGCCTCGAACGTCTTGAACTTCTTCAAAACGTCTACGGACATCGCAGCGTCGTCGATAGCGCCGTGAATGGCGCTCGAGTACAACATGGTGTCATCCAAAAACAGCTTGTAGAACTCGTTTCCAGCGTCGTAGTGGTACTCTATGTTTTTACGAGATCCTTCTTTCGTGTTACTTAACGCCTTGTGTGCTGCCATCTCCATTTGCGCTCCTACCCAGTTAACCGCCTCCGTGAGGAGACCCACTGGGTCGAGACGCATCTTCGGCTTACAGCTCTCCGTCTCTGCGCCAGAAGCCGCGGGATGGCCTTTGCAAATCATGTCCATGAACCCAATTAAATCCACGTCGAAATCTCCGTTCATATAACACTCACCAAGACCGATATCTGCGCGCAAAATCGTTTGCATGAAGAGTCTTTGGTTGAATACCGTCATGGTAATCGTCTCCGACGACGCGTTGGCCTCTTTACCCATCATAAGACGTTCGCTTCCATCCGGTAAAATCATGCGGAGTCGTTTGTCGGCTGGTAACCACCCCACGCACGCGCGCTGGAAAAGCGGTAAGACCATCTTCGTGCTCATGGACAACTTTGGATCGCACGACCGCGGCATCCACGGCACGGATGACTTGCCGAGCATTTTGTCCACACAATCAACCGCTGATTTGATACCATCCTCGTGAAATCCGTAGCCGCACCACGCGCCGCAAAACCAAACCCGGTCTTTACCTTGTAACGCCTTGATCTCCTCCTGCGCCGCGATCGCGGCTTTGTTAAATAACGGATGCGCGAGCGTGACTTTGTGTTCGACCGAGCCTGCCTTCGGCTCGCGCGGCGGGTTCAGCGTGACGAACAAATCCTTCGTCCCAGGGGCGAGGTTTTGCAACAAGTTGACCCAGTAAGTCACACAAACGCTTCGATTTGCGGCTTCTTCGGCGGGAATGCCTAAGCGATCGCCGCGAAGGCAGTTCCACGATGCCCAGGCATCTTTGTTCCGCGGCATCATTGTTTCGTCGGTGTGCAAATACACGTCATTCTCTTGATACTTCACCGCCGACAGAGCCGAGACTTCTTCCTCGCTCGCAGCTTTGCCAAGTATTTGTAACGCTTGATCGCTATGGCACGCGAAAACGACGTCGTCGAAAACCTCGGTGGACTCCTGAACTTTTCCCTTGGCGTCCTCTGTCTTAAAAGTCACGCTCACGCCCCCCGCCACGCGGTACACCTTGGTCACGTACGCGCCCTTACGCACGTCTTTGAGCTCGCGCTCAACGGCGTCGACGTAAGCGCTCGATCGACCACTGACGACTCGCCAGAGAGGTCGCTCGATGATGTTTAATAAGTGATGGTTCACCCAAAATCGTACGAGCGTGCGCACTGGGAACGCCATCGCGTCGTCGTCGCTGCAGCTCCAAATCGCCGCACACATCGGCACCACGTACGACTCTTGAAAGAACGCCGAGTACTTGCGAGCTTTGAGGTACTCACCCAAAGAGACGTCCGCGAACTCGCTCGCGCGTTCCGGCGCCAAAACCTCTGGCGCCTCGCGACCAAAACGTAGAATCTCCCGAATCATATTCAAAAACCGTCCGCTCATCGCGTTCGACTTTTGCGCGAACACGCCTTTCAGTCCTATGCTCCCCCACTCGACGTCTCCCGTGGACAATGAAAACGACATGTCGCTCGGTTCGCTCTCGACGCCGAGCTCGCCGAACAGGCCCACCAGGTGCGGGTACGTCGTCAGGTTGAACACCTGGAAGCCCAAATCCACGTCGCACTTCGCCGTGCTCGAGTATTGCGTCAGTGCGTGTCCACCGAGCTTCGTCGACGCTTCGAACAGCGTCACCGCGCCGCACGAGGGCGTCGAGGGCGCGCTTTGCGCTTTTACACTTTTTGGTCCGCCGCCGGCGTCGTCGGCGTTCTTTTGGAGTAAATACGCCGCCGACAGGCCGCTGACGCCGCCGCCGATGACGGCGACGCGTTTACCGCGTGTGGTGGCTTCGTCCTTCATCTCGGCGTCGCCCGCGCGCGCGATGACGCGTCGAGCGCTGACGTCACTCTGAGGTGGTCACTTTAGGGGACGGCGGGACGAGGCGCGCGCGGACGCGAACGCGGCCACGTTTGGGCGCTACGATGATCTAATTCTAGTTACACGTTGTTGTGCTAATGTTTGAGCGCGCGCTACGTCCACACGATGTGCCGGTCGGAGGTGACCTCGTATCGGCGCTGGTCCACGAGGCGACGCTTTACGTGGTCGCATCGAAGGTCGGGGTGCGGGAACCGCGCGAGGTCGGCCACGCCGTCGTGGTCGAAATCGGTGGCGGATCGTAATGGAATGGCGGTCGTGGCGTCGGGCCCGATTCCGAGCGCGGCTTCGGCGTTGTGCTTGGTTTCGAGGACGTGCTGGAGGAATTGTTCCTTGTCGCGCGCGTCTCCGCAATACGACGCCGTGACGGTGTGCGCGCCTGGGAACGTACCATCGTCTCCCGCGTTGGCGGTGATGAAATTTCCCGATTCTGCGGTGCTCATGGCGTGGATGTGGAACTCTCCCGCCGTCGTCGGCACGAGAACGTAGTTGAAGTAACTCTGCTCCGGAAATTCGCCGTAGTTCACCTTGGATACTAATCGACTCTCCCCCTCGAGCCATCGCTCGCACAAACTCACGCTCCGCGTCGTGGCTGGGAAAATGACGAGCTTCGTGTTCATGTTTCCTTGCGCCTCGAACTCGTTACCGACGTCTGAGCTCACGACGACGTCGTACTTTTCGAGCGCGCTCGTCCACGCTTCGGTTGGATCGGACAAAAACACCGTGTCCGAATCGAGCATCACCACTGGGATGCGCGCTTTCAGTAATTCTAAGGCCGCGTGTACCTTGCGCCACGACATGGCGTCGCGCGCGACGCCATCGTTCGGATCTTGCCCGTACGCCCGCGCGAAGTCGGCGTCGTAAAAGCAATCCACGCCGCGATGCGCCTCGCACGATCGCTGCGTCTCCGTGTCGTACGTCAGCACCGTGACGTGCGGCAACAACGCCGGTGCCCATCGTTTAACGCTCTGAATCTGCAAATACGTCATCCCCCACTCGAACGGCTTGGTGAGGATTAATATCCGCGCGTCGTCGCTCGCCCGCTGCGTCTCTCGCACGTGCGTCCGCAGCCCCGGCACGCCGCGTCCCGGCGACCGCAGTCCCGGCACGCGCGTGCGCAGCGATATCCTATTTATCACATCCGCCTTCGCCGGCGCCCGCATCCGCGCTTCCGCGCTCAACGGCGCTCCGAAAAAGTTCCCTCGCTCGTTCGCCGTCCCGCCCAGCCTCGCCGTCGCCCTCGATCGCCCCGCCGCGCCCTCTCGCACCGCCGCGACCGCGAGCGCGCACGCCAGCGCGACCGCCACCGCGACCGCGATCCCCGAGCCGCGCGTTCGCGCGCCGATTCGCCTCGCGCGGCGCACCTCGGCGACGCGTTCGTCCTCAACACCATTCGCTTCCCGCGCGCGCGACTCCGTCCCGTACGCCGTCGACGCGCCGCGCGCCATCAGCCCCGTCGCGGGGTCCTCGCTCGACATCTCCGCGCGTCGACGCTCGCGCGCGCGCGCGTCGCGGTGTGCCGCGCGCGTCGCCCGCGCGCCGCGCGAAGATGTCGTAACACCCATCGACGGCGCGACACAAATCGTCGCGCGAGCGCGCGCGAGCGTCGCGCTCGACGCCCGGCGCCGACTCGAGCGACGCGCGAACGCGATCGACGCGCGATCGACGACGCGCGATGGCGCGAACGGAGCGCACGGCGCTGCTGCGCGGCGATGAAGACGTGGAAATCGCGTTGAAAACGCGTCGCGGCGACAAAGACGCGTCCGCGGACGACGCGCGCGAGGCTCTCGGGCGACGCGAGAGGCGCGCGCGCGAGTCGAACGGTGGCGCGGAGGCGTCGACGAGCGCGCGCGGGATGAAGACGGCGCGCGCGGTGGTGGTGGGGACGTTGGCGGCGGGGGCGATCGCGGCGGGCGTCGCGGCGTTCGCGGCGTCGCCGCGCGCGGCGTCGATGACGGCCGATCGCGCGTTCGCGTCGCTCGGTGAGCGAGGAATGGCGATGTTGGGCTCGAGCGAGGGCGCGGGTCGCGACGCGAGACCGGTGCCGGTGCTGTCGAAACGATTTCCGGGATACGCGGCGCCGTTTAGCGGACGTTTCGAACGCATCGGCGAGTGGCCCGAGCACTGGTTGGTGAAGTGCTCGAAGCACGTGGTGTGCGAGCAATCACACTTGGGAGCGTTTTTGGGGTCTCGTGACGCGCCCGCGCCGTATGCTAACCCGCTCGGGCACGGGCTGCCGCGTGGATACGTGCGGCCAGACCAGGCGCGCATAAACGAGTTCATCTCGACGTGGGACAGCAACGCTAGACAGGCGCACGGGGGGGTGTATGAGCTGCCGCAAGCTGGCAAGGCTAAAATGGTCGCGATGGCGCATAATTCTGCGTACTTTTACAACTTTGTGCACGTGCCAAAGGCGGGCGGGTCGTATTTTTCCATCACCGTCTTGATGGAAGCCCTGGAGCGCAGCGGTGAGCATCACGGGTATCCGTACAAACTCACGCACGAGCCCGTATCGCACTGGATCACGCTTCCACAGGTGGATCTTACGCAGACAAACGTGAAGGAGACGTATACACATTTCCAGGAAGGGAAGCCGGAGGGCATTTTTGGACCCGAAAATACCAAACAAATGTATAAAGAAGGCAAGCGGATGTTCGGAAAGGGCCAGTTCGGCATGGGACTGTGCGGAGTTATTCACGCACCGTGCGTGTACTTGACTGTGTTGCGCGATCCGGTGGAACGTTACTTGAGTCATTACAAGTACTCGTGCTTGGCCGGGTCTGAGGGCGCCGCGCAGTGGTTACCCGAGTGGAAAGAACTCGACCGTTGCCCGTTGGATCCGATCGAGTTCATGGACTACCTCGGACCAAACCTGGACTGGACGATCGAGCTCGCCCCTGGCGCGAAGAACGCGCAAGAGCGCATGGAGACAGCCAAAAGAAATCTCGACAGTAACTGCTTGCGATACCTCATACTCGAGAAGTACGAAGACGGGTTGGATAAACTCGGCGCGACGTACGCCGATTTCTTATTTTTGAACAAAGAGCCCGCGAAAGAAAGGCACAAAAAAAAAAACGAAAAGGCCAAAAACGCCGGGCACGGCGTGAGCGAAGGCGAGCAAGACAGGTTTGACATCTACATGAAGAACCAAACCATCGTCGACGCCATCGCCGCGCGTCACGCAAAGATGAAGGAAGTGTACGACTACGCGGTCGCCAAATACGAAGCCAACTGGGCGCGCGCGCCGGGGAGCTGCTAATCAGATCCCAAAATTAGAACCATAACTGTAACATCAACGCGCATCAACGCGCATCAACGCGCTGGATGGAGCGCGCGTCCAAAGTCCAAAATCGCCGAGCGCGCCGCCGGCGCCTCCGTCTCGTCGATGTCTGCTCGCGCCTCACTGCGCCGCGCGCGGCGTCTCGCGCGAACGCCCACGGCTCGAACGCGCGTCTAAAACGCTTTCGAGCGCGAGCGACGCCTCCGCGTTCGCGAGCGATCGCCGGCGACGCCCCGAGCGACGATCTCTCGCGGCGGGCGGGGCGTAACACCCTCTGGACGATGACGAAAGAAACGAGCGCCCACAACGCCGAGCGCGCGCCGTTGGTCGTGAAAACCACCGCGCGCGATGCGGTGGACGTAGAGATTGCCGATCGCGCGCGTCACGCGGGCGGTGAAGGCGAAGCAACGCCGACAGCGCGAGGAAAGTGGTCGATCGCGGGCAGAGCGGCGTTGGCGGTGGCGTGCGCGACGTTCGCGGCGGTGGGCGTCGCGCGCGCGTCCACCGTTCGTCGCGGTGGTGAGGTCGTGACGTTGTTCCCCGAACTAGGTGGGGTTTCGGAGTGGCGCAGGGACTTCGTGGCGGGGAAGATTGCGCCGGGGCGGAAGTTTAGCGACACGGTGCCGAGCAAGACGTGCGTGCGACAAACGAGCCGGAATAGATTGGAGGACGTGGAAAAGTATTACATCGTGAGGGCGATGAATCACGAAAACGAGCTGCATAAGGGTAATAAAACGATCGCGGCGATGCCGACGTACGATCACATAAAGGCGGAGTCGATGTTCATGACGGGCATGGTGAACAAGAATTCAGAGTCGCCGTACATGTTGCCGTCAAGCGGGTACGAGAAGAGCATCAAGCAGTCCGGAAACTCGGCGATGATGTATAATTTCGTGCACATTCCCAAGGCTGGGGGGACGTACTTGTGCGAAGTTTTGCAGCAGGTGCAATCTCATTTGGACGCTCGACACGGGAGCGTCTTTGGAAATTACAACCTGTACCGCGACCCATGGTCCATGAAACCGCTCTTAGACGCCACGTCGCGCAATGTTTGGCAAACCACGCATCTCATGAAAAGTAAGCTCAAGGCGTTTACCGACGAAAATCTGGCGAGAGGCTACGCCAAGGGCCAGCGGATGATGTCGAAGGGGTCGTATAATATGGGCTTGTGCTCAACCACGGAGGCGCCGTGCATGTACCTCACCGTTTTACGAAATCCCTTTCAGCGCTTTATGAGTCACTACAAGTATTCTTGCCTCGAAGGCGCGGAGAACCGAGCGATGTGGATGCCGGCTTGGAAAAAGCAAGGCTCGTGTCCACTCAACCCATTGGAATGGTTTTACTTCACGCAAGGCGACGATTGGACGCATCTGATCGCCCCGGGGGCGTTCCCGCGTGACTCCCAGTGTCACATCGACGCCGCGAAGAATAATTTAATGAGTGGTTGCATGCGATACTTGATCACGGAGAACTTGCACGACGGATTAGCCAAGCTTAAGAATAAGCTTCCAGATTTCGCGACGTTGGATCTCAACGCCGTCAAGTCGCTCTTCAAGAATGACAGCGCTGGTCGATTAACGCCGGCGCTGCAAGCGAGGTTGAAGCGGTACGAGGAAGATAAGAACATGATGCACCAGATCAAACAAGGACTGTGGCATCAAACGAAAATTTACAACTTTGCCGTAGAGAACTACGAAAAGTCGTGGGACAGAGACATTCAGACGTGCTGAGACCAATCGAGAAAATCTGTTGTAATATGCAAAACGCTAATTAGTGGTGCTAACCCGCTGAGATGCTCGCCTAGACCGCAGCCGAGCCGATGCCGCCCGTTGTGGCGGCGGCGATCCCCTCCCGATACGCCTCGGCGCGCGCCTGCTCGAGCGTGTGCCCGCCGCTGCGGAACGAGCTGTACACCCAGCGAATAGCCAAGACGGACAAGACGGAGTCCGCCGCGAACAGCAGCATGACGATGGTGTGCATGACGCCAATGGTCTTGTTGCCTTGCAGCGCTTCGTTGAGATTCAATATTCCGCACAGCGACCATTTCTGCGCGCCGAACATGTTCGGCGGCGCCAGGGTGGCGAAGAAGACGAATCCGATGTGCACCATGAACATCAAGAAGAACCAAAGGAACCCGAACGCGCGGTCGGTTTTGCACGAATTATAAACTCGTCTGTACCACAACATGTAGGCACCGGGGATGCCACACACCATGTATATGAACGCCATGAGAAACGCCGCGAAGTCCATGTGCAAGAACATGCGCGCCATGGCCACGAAAAAGTTGCTCACGAGGGCGAGCGCGAAGACGCAGTACACCGTGTAACAGAACTTCACGCACGATCGGTGCTGCGGATGAATCTCGTCGGAGATGTTGTGGTACGTGAACGCCCAGAACGAGAACGGCCAGTTCGGCGTCTTCCCTCCCCCTCCGCTTCGCGCCGACCGCTCGCGAACCTCCAAGTCGCGCTCTCGCCGTAAAATTTCCGCCTCGCGACGCTCGAGGTCGCGTCGCGCCGCCGTCAACGTCGCCGCCGACGCGCCACCGCCGCCCGCGCTCGTCCCCATCGCGCCTTGCGTCCCCCCCACCGCGGACGCGGACGAAGACCCGCCGCCGAACGCGCCCTTAAACGCGCTCGTCGCCGATCGAAACGCCGACCGCCCGCCCTCCGCGGCCGCCTCCACCCCTCCCGTCGCCCCAGCCCCCGCCGCGACGTCGTACGCCCCGAACGTCGAGTGCGGCGCCCCCCCGCTTCCCACCGCTCGCTCGTACGCGCTCTCCGGCATCGGCACGTCCGGCAGCGTCTCGCCGACCCCCCCCGCGCCGCCGCCCTCCGTCGTCGTCGACGCCCCCTCGAACGGGTTACTGAACCCATCCTGCGACTCGTCGCTCGCGCGTCGCGCGCGTCCGCTCTCGAACGGGTTCGACGCCCGCGCGGGCGTCGTCTCGAACGGGTTGCTCATTCGAACGCGTCGGATCGAATCAAATCTTCAAATCTTCAAATCTTTCGCAAATCTGTGCGCGTTCGCGCCCCTCGCGAAGCGTCGCGACGGATTCGCGCGTAAAGCGTCGCTCGTGGGCGTCCCGCGTCTCTCCCGCGCGCGAACCCGCGGCGGCGCGCGGCGTCAGCGCGCGAACCGCGTCGCGAAATGCCGAATCCGCAGCGTCACTGCGCGACGCCGATCGATCGACGACATGGCGCCGAGCGACGCGCTGACGCGATTGCTCGAAGAAACCCCGCTCACGACGGACGCGTGGGTGCAGTGCGATTCGTGCGAGACGTGGCGCCGCGTCCCGCGCGTCGTCGCGGACCGGTTGGGGGAAAACACGGCGTGGTTTTGTCATCAGAATTTGGATCAGAAATTCTCGACGTGCGACGACGCGCAGGAGCTGAGCGACGACGAGATCGATCGGTTGATGCGCGCGCAGGCGCATGCGGCGACGAGCGCGGCGAACGGTGAGGACGCGTGCGATGGGGATTCGAACGCGAGGGCGCGCGGGCGCGCGGTGACGAACGAGTGGTACAGGACGACGCGAAACATATTCGCGCACCGAGCGCCGAGGACGCCGTCGGAGGACGACGCGATGATCTGCGCGTGCGCGCCGGAGAGCGGCGCGGGGTGCGGGAGCGATTGTTTGAATCGATTGGTGCTGAGCGAGTGCGATCCGGCGCACTGTCCGTGCGGGAGCGCGTGCGGGAATCAGAGGATGAGTCGGGGGGAGAGCAGAGCGACGACGGTGCGACGAACGGGGAAAAAGGGACACGGGTTGTTCGCCGCGGAGCGCGTCGGCGCGGGGGAGTTCGTGTTGGAGTACTGCGGGGAGGTTTTGCACGAGGAGGCGTACAAGGAACGGAAGCGGCGGTATCAAGACGAGGGAAGGAGTCATTATTACTTCATGACGCTGTCGAGCAGCGAAACGATCGACGCGACGATTCGAGGAAACGAGGGGCGGTTTTTAAATCACTCGTGCGCGCCGAATTGCGAGACGCAAAAGTGGATGGTTCGCGGGGAGCTGTGCATCGGAATATTCGCCACGCGAGACATCGAGGAGGGGGAGGAGCTGACGATCGATTACAAGTTTGAGCGCTTCGGTGAGAAACCGTCGCGATGCTACTGCATGGCGGGCGCGTGTTGCGGGTGGATCGGCGGCGCGAAAGCCGCCGAGGCGGCCAAGGCGTACAACGTCGACGGCGACGACGACGAGGGGCACGAGGACGATCCGGAGCCGATAATGCGCGAACTCGACGAGGCGCTCATCGCGCAAGAAGAAGCCAAGGGACGAGAACAGATGGCGGACAAGTACGCACCGAAAAAGGTGGCCGTCAAGGCCGAAAACAAGTCTTGGCGACCGCCCGAGGAGGTTCGCGAAATCGAGCGACAGCGCAAGGCGACGGAACGAGACGAAAACCGCGCGGCGCGCGCGGCGAGATCGAGCGGTGGCTCCAACGTCCGTCGCGTCAAGATTCCCGCGGGTTCGTACGCGCAAAAGTGGAGCGCGATGTCCGCCGGGGCGAAGAAGCGGACCGAGGTCGATCTCACCATGGAGGAGTTGCAATCCACGACTGGGGGGTTGCGTTCGAAGGACGCCGTGTCGCACTGCGTGCAGCTTTTCAACTTGTGCTATCCAGTCGACGCCGACGGTGTGACGCAAATCAACACTCGCGATCTCGGTTTGATTCTCGAAGCGATTTCGTTGACGAAAAATCCCAGTCTGCAGCAAGAACTCGTCGGCGGCGGCGTCATGTCGTGCTTTCAAAAGTGCATCAACGTCCTCGGCGGTCCGACTGCGTCCGCGGCGCACGCCGCGCTTCAGCGCAAGATTTTGAAAATCTTGATGGATTTGATGCTTCATTTCAAAGAGTTTGTCATCACTCGCATCGGTGAAACGAGAACAGCGGCGGGGACGCTGATGCAAGCCATCGGCGACTTGCGCGTGGCGAACGACACGCCGTTGATGAAGCTGGCGCGAGATTTCGAGTACAAGTACATCGGCACCGGCGTCATGGGACCGATGCCCGAACGTCCGCGCGCGCAGCCTCCGCAGCAGCAGCTTCGTCGAAATGACTCGGGTTCGGGGTCGGGCGCCGGTTGGGGGATGCGATCTCCATCCACCGGTTCTTTGAATCGCTACGGGAGTTCGCCCGCGGGATCGATGTTCAACGGTAGCGCGCCGCCGCGAAGCGCGATGTCCGGCGGTCGAGGCGGCTTTAACGGTAGCGCGCCGCCAAGAAGCGCCATGTCCAGCGGCGGTATTCGAGGCGGCGGCTACGGTGGTGGCTACGGTGCGCCGCCGCAGCAGCAATCGAGCCTGTCGCAAGCGATGCGTCCGCAATCGCAAGCGTACCCGCCGCAACAGCGCGACGGCGGTTGGGGACCTCCGCCCGCCGCCGCTCCGCCGCACTCGTCGTACGACGACGGTCGAGGGATAAAACGCGCGCGCGACGAACCGCTTCGCCAGCCTCAACGACCACGCGCCACCGCGAGTAAGCCTTTGCTCACGCAACCGCTCCCGGCGCAATTCGAAGATCCGCGATCAGAGCTCTTCGCCGACGCCGTCACCGCCTTCGTGACGATGGAAGTCGAAGACCTCCGCGCGCCGAGCCACCCTTTGCACGATCCACGAGCAAACTACGACCGCCTCACCCAACGCTGGGCGCTCGAGGCGCTGGAAAACGAGCACGCGCAGTGGAACCAAAGCGACGCCCGGCCGCTCCCGGTGTCGCAAGTCCGCGAGCGCGTCGTCTCGCACGTCAGATCCGCCGCCCGCGCCTCCTGATCCCGATCCACGCCGACCGAATCGAAAGAATTGAATTGATGAATAGACTTGAATCGACGACGCGTCCGTCTCGTTCGCGCCCACCGTCCCTCGCCTCGCGTTCGTCTCGCTCGCCGCGCTCGCCCCACTCGGCGACTCGCGCCATGTCCGCCGCGCCGCGTCGCGCCCCCGATCCTCCCGCGCTTCGCGCGCGCGCGCGCTCGACGCGACACCGCGACGCTCGATGCCGCGCCGCCGTCGTCCGTCGCACGGGCGAGGACGAACCGACGCAAACGCCCGGCGTCGTCCGTCGCGCCTTCGCCGTCGACCTCGGCGGTCCGACCCCCGCCGCCGTCGCGCTCGCGTTCCCGGACGCCACCGACGCGGTGTGCTTCGAACTCACGCGCCCGCTCGGCGTCGTCTTCGAGCAGCGGCTCAGCGGCGCGACGACGGAGATTTTCGTGGACGAGGTCGTGGAGAACGGCGCGGCGGCGAAAGCCGGCGTCGAGCGGGGCGACGTCTTGCGCCTGTGCACCGCGGTGTTCGAAGTCAGCGCGCCCGTGGACGTCACGACGTGGTTGAATCCACCGGCGAAGCGCAAGGTGAAGGCGTACTACGAGTGCGACGCGAAACCGTTCGATTCAGTGATGGACGCGCTGGCGTCGCACGGCGTCCAAATCGACACGCCGAACGGAAAGGAGGACGTCAAATTCGTGGGGTTGGTGCTTCAACGCGCGCGCGCGTAGCGTCGCCGTGGATTTATTGAGAGTGTGGATGCGTGGACGCGCGAACGTGTGGATCGGATGCGCGCGCGCGCGAAATTAGAGCGCGATTGTAAACGACGAGCGTCGAACATCGAGGCGAGGCGCCGCGAGCGTCACACGCCGACGCATCCCACGTCCCCTCGAGCGCGCGCATGCCTCGCGTCATCGAACTCGACGACGATGAAATAATAGATCGTCAATCGAGCGCGGTTTCGGCGTCCACGACGGCGTCCACGCGTCGCGAGACGGTCGTTTTCGATGAAGATTTCGACGATGAGAGTGACGCCGAACGACCGAACCTTTACGCGATTCTCGGCGTCGACAGCGCGGCGACGACGTCAGAGATCACGCGCGCGTACAGGTCTATCGCCATTAAACACCATCCCGATCGCCGACGGGGACGAGCGAACCCGACGGGGCAGGATGACGGGGATGAAAAGTTTGTGGAGGCGCAGGCGGCTTACGAGATTTTAAAAGACGACGCGAAGCGAGAATTTTACGACGCCGGGGGATCGATGGCGGAGATGGTGCGTCGCGCGACGTGATTGTGATCATTTTGAGTGACTGACTGATGCGTTTCGGTGCACGTAGGACGTGGACGTGGAGGAGTACGTGGACGCGTTTAGAGCGTTGTTTGAGGAAAGATTCGGCGGCGAGGACGTCGCGGCGCTGACGAGAGGGATGTCCACGGAGGAGCTCGAGGCGATGCCCCCGTTTCCGTTTCCAAAGTTTTTGTTTCCGAAAGGAACGTTTCCAGACGGTTTGAGGTTCGACGAGTCGTCGTTCACGGCGCCGCCGAAGGTCAAGGCGTTCGTCGACGAACACGGAGAGGACGCGTTAGCCGCGCTCGCGAGCGAGTTAGCGGCGAAGGCTGCGAAGAACCGCGGCGCGGGGGGCGAAACACTGACCAGGGGAGGATTGAGCGAGGAAGAAGAGTTGCGCGCGTTCATCATGGACGCCATGAAGGATGAGCTTGACGGCTTGCAGTTTCCCGAAGGTGAAGACATGGACGAAGCCATGGCGCGCTTGATGGAGTCGATGCAAGATTTCGCGGGTGGCATCAATGGTTTAGGACGCGATTACGGCGACATTTCAGACGACGAGGATGGGGAATTCGGCTACGGCTCACCGAGCTACGGCTCGCCGAGCTATGGTTCCCCGCGTTTTGGAGGACGGCGTTCGAGTGGCGTCGCGAGCGACGATTCCGAGCGTTCGTACACGCACACGTCTGCATTGGAGGTGCGACGTTGGTTGGACGCAGCCAAGGCGGGAGATTTGATCACCATGCAAATACTTCATAAAGAACAGCCTTCGTTGGTGCACGAGCGCTCGAGCGGTGTCGGACACACCGCCGCGCACTGGGCGGCGGCGAAGGGACACGTCGGCGCGTTGACGTGGTTGCTCGACGCGTGCTCGTTTGATCCCAATTTTTCCAACGCATGCGGTGCCACGGCGTTACACTCGGCGGCGGCGAATGGTCAGGAAACGTGCGCAGCCCTACTCGTCGCGCGCGGCGCGCGAACAGATAAGGTGGATGAAATTGGCGAGTCGCCGTGTGATGTCGCCATACGAATGCAGCGAAGCGGCAAACTCATCGACATACTCGGCGGAGACACCGCGAGAACTGGCGTGTTTTGTGGCGTATGCGAAGAACTGCCGGTCGTACAAGAAGAAGATGAAATCCCAGCCATCGAGCTCGACAAGGATGCACAACGACGTTGGCTCGGCGCAGCCAAGGCGGGAGATTTGGGTGTCATGCGCACGATTCTCGATGCAGACGAGAACTTACTATACGCGAACGGTGATGGCACAAACTATGGTTTTTCTGGGAACACCGCCATGCACTGGGCTGCTTCGAAGAACCACGTCGAATGCATTCGTTGGTTGTACGCTCGCGGTATGGATCCGAACGTCATAAACAAGGGCGACAGCACGCCGGCGCACTCAGCGGCTGGTTCTGGTGCGCTTGAGGCGCTTCGCACTCTTGTGCACGAGTGTGGTGCCGATGTCGATCGCGCAAACGACGTGGACGAGCGACCGATTGATATTGCGACGCATCGAGGGTACCATGACGTCGTCACTTTGCTGAAAACTGGTGCCGCGCTCGAAACGTTGCGTGAAGAATTTCTTCGCCAAGGTTCGTACACGATCAAACGCGCCAAAGGTGTCCTGGACTCGTTCGCCGCAAACGATGCCTCGTGTCGTGGACTGGGCGAAAAGTCGGAAATTGTCGCCAAGATTCAGTCGTACGTGGACGCACTTCCCGTGAGAATTGAACGCAAGTGCGTCGCGCCGAAACCGCAGTTGCGTGGCGCCGTCACCGCGCCCGAACCTGTGGACGAAATCGTCACCCGGAAAGCGAGAGATCGCGCGAACGAGCTGCTCGCTGCGCAAGATTTCACGGCCGCCATCGCATCGTACTCTATGGCCATACGACTTGATCGCGCAAACGCCGCGCTGTTTTGCGAACGAAGCGCCGCCAACCTCGGCGCGGGCAAGATTGAAGACGCCCTCGCGGATGCCAAAACCGCGGTCAAGCTCGATGCGCGCCTAGGAATCGCGTACGCAGCACAAGCGGCTGCGCTCAGCGCCGCGAGTCTCCACGCCGAGGCCGTAAAGGTGTGTCGCGCCGGGTTACTTGAAGACGCCGAGTGCGACGCCTTGCGAACGCAAATCGTCGCGAGCGAGCGCGCCATCGCGGATGATCGCGCGAGGTACGAAAAAATGTGGGGCGACGAAAGAAAGGTTTAGGGTAATTCAATTCATCAACTATCCCTCAACTATCCAGTGAGCTATCATCGACTCATCACCGCTCGACCGCCTGCTCCCGCGCCGTTCGCCCGCGTCGCCGCAGAGCGCGCCAACCCGATCGCCGCCCTCATGCTCACCGACCCGATGACGTCCAAACCGTCGTCTGTGATGCAGTCGCAGACGCAGATGACGAGGATCGCCATGTGCGTCGTCGGCGTCGTCGGTTCTCTCATCGTCTACGGCATCTTGCAAGAACGGATCATGACGAGACCGTACGGGGTCGAGAGCGAATACTTCAAATACAGCGTCTTCTTAGTGCTGAGTAACCGCGTGCTGAGCGCGTCGCTCGCGGCGGCGATCCTGGCGTACACGAAAGGGATGGTGCAACCGGCGGCGCCGATTTGGAAGTATGCGGGGGTGAGCGCGAGCAACGTGCTGGCGACGACGTGCCAATACGAAGCGCTGCGATACGTGTCGTTCCCGGTGCAAACGCTCGGAAAGTGCGCGAAGATGATACCGGTGATGATTTGGGGATATTTCATCAATCAGCGACGGTATACACTGAACGATTACGTCATAGCGTCGTGCGTCACGCTCGGTTGTACCATTTTCGCGTTGTACGGCGATTTGACGCACAAGCACAGCGCCAAGAGTTCGAACACCAGCGCGAAAGGATTGATGTTAATGTTAGGCTATCTCGGTTTCGACGGATTCACGAGCACGTTTCAGGATAAGCTGTTCAAAGGATACCAAATGGAGACGTACAATCAAATGTTGTACGTCAACGGAGTCAGCGCGTGCCTCTCCGTCGCCTGGCTCTTATCCGACGGCGCGATTTGGCAGGCCCTGGAGTTCATCGCCCGTCACCCCGCGGTGTTATCCGATATCATCACTCTGTCATTGAGTTCGATGTTCGGTCAGCTCTGCATCCTGTACACCATCAAAGAGTTCGGCGCGTTGCTCTTCGCCGCCATCATGACGACGCGACAGCTACTCAGCATTCTTCTCAGCTGCGTGTTATTCCTCCATCCACTGACGTGGCAGCAATGGTGTGGCACCGCCTTAGTTTTCTCCGCGCTCTACGCCCAGGCGTATTTGAAGAACGCGCAGCCGCGTTAGCCCGTTTCTTTCGCGCGCGCGCGAGCGGCGAGTCACCGATTCAAATCTCCATCCTTCACCGCTTGTCCGAACACCCATATGTTACATACAATGCTAGTATCAGATTCATACACAATACCGTTTATTCCAACCCATCCAGACCGACCGCGTTATCCGACGACGTCACACGCGCGCGCGTCATGACGTCCGCCTCGCACGCGCGATGCGCGCTCAGCGCCCAGCTCACCGCGAGAAGACACGCGAGAGGTGCGTCGATGCGACCGCGACGCGACCGCGACGCGCGCGCGACGACGGCGACGCGCGCGCGCGGCGAAGACGATGGGATCGTTCGCCGGACGCGCTGGCGGACGCGGGACGGCGACCGCGCGGCGCGCGCGACGCGCGAGACGGCGACCGCGACCGCGCGGACGCGCGAGACGCGATTCGCGAACGACGCGCGACGCGCGCGCGCGGACCGGACGACGCGCGGACGAGGACGGGCGAGAGCGGGGAGACGCGAGGGATCGCGAGACGGCGCGAAGACGCGGACGACCCGGACGAAAGCGAGGGGTCGACGAGCGATGCGAGATGACTGACGAATGATGCGATGGTCGTTTTGAACGCGCGCAGTGTCCACGACGCAAACGGTGGCGATGCCGAGAATGGGGACGAAGACGCGAAGCATCACGGCGCCGGGGGTGATCGAGCTCGGGGACGAGAACAACGACGCGGTGGTTTGGAAGAGACTCGGACAAGAAGGCGTCGATAAGGCGGTCGAGTTGTGGAGTTCGGTGAACAGTGAGGCGGCGGCGGCGGCAAAAGGGGCGTGGGCCGGCGTGAAGCCCGCGCACAAGGTTTTCCTTTCGGATATTTTGGCGAGTCCGAAGCGCAACGCGTTTTTGAGAAAGTGGATTCCGACGGATATCACGTACGTCAGTTTCATCGGAGTCATGCACCTCGGGTGCCTGCTCGCGCCGTTTACTTTCACCTGGGGAGCGTTCAAGTGCTTCTTGGCGATGTATTTCATCACTGGTTGCCTCGGTATCACGCTGAGCTATCACAGGCAGATTGCGCACAAGTCGTTCCGCACGCCCAAGTGGCTCGAGTACGCGCTCGCGTACTGCGGTGCGTTGGCCATGCAAGGTGACCCGTTGGAGTGGGCGTCGAGCCACCGTTACCACCACCAGCACTGCGACACGCCCAAAGACCCGCACACGCCGTACGAAGGCTTCTGGTGGTCGCACGCCGGATGGTTGTTGGATAACGAGGCGACCATCGAGCGCGTGGGGGATCGCTCGAACGCCCAAGAGCTCGCGGCGCAGCCGTTCTACCGCTTCATGGAGAAGACGTACATCTGGCATATCGCCGCGTCCGCCGCTGTGTTGTTCGCCCTCGGCGGTTTGCCGTGGCTCGTTTGGGGTTTCTGCGTGCGCACCGTGTGGGTGTGGCACATCACTTGGGCGGTGAACTCGGTGGCGCACTGCTGGGGTTCGCAAGAGTTCAACACGGGTGATTTGTCTCGCAACAATTGGCTCATAGGTATCTTGGCGTACGGTGAAGGCTGGCACAACAACCATCACGCCTTCGAATTTAGCGCTCGCCACGGATTACGTTGGTGGCAAATTGATATGACTTGGATGGTCATCAGCGTGTTGAAGTTCTTCCGCTTGGCGGATAAGGTGAAACTCCCGAAGGAGGCGCAGATGGAACGCATGCGTTTCCAGCCAACCCAAGCCTAAGGAGTCAGCAATGGATACTACAATAAAACGGTTTTATTCACAGCCGCGACGACGACGCGCCGCTCGCTTCGTCGATCGCTCGCCACCGACTTCATTCTTCACTCCAGCAGTTTAAAAAGTAAAAAAAGTACAGGAGATTTCCAGCAGCTGCTCTTCGCGACTCCGAGCGGATGAAAGTTCCGCGCCTTATTCTTACACGAGGATCATCGATTGACTAAGACCATTTTTTATCACAAATCACTTTCCTCGACCACCGCGCGCGCCTCGGCGCCCACCGCCTCGGCGCCCGCCGCCACGCCCGCCGCGCACGTGAGCCTTGCTCGATAAATCGCGCGCCAAGCCGTCGATCGACGCATCGTGTGCTAATTCTAATTCTAACGCCTCGTCATCTATGACCGCCCCCGGCGTCGGCTCGAATCGCCACAAATCCACGGCGATTTCCACCGACTTTTCCCTGTGGTGCCCGTACGTCGCCGGCAAGTCGTACTTCAACTGCGCCAACACCTCCGCCTCGCGCGCGTGAAACCTTGTCTTCGCCACTTTCTCTATGTGCGCCCTCGTCGACGTCTTGTGTAAGCTATAAATCGCCCCATCCGCAATCTTAAACGCCGCGCGGAGAAACGCCACGTCGGCGCCGCCGCGCCACGCGCCGAACGGCGGATTCATCAACACCGTGTCGCACCTCTTCCCCCCCCGCCCCATCCGTCGTCCACCGAGCGTCCAACTCCCATCGATCACGTCCCCGCACACCAGTTCCACCTCCAGCGCCGGTTCAAACGCTCGCAAGTTCTCCGCGCACCGCGTCAGCGCGTCCTCGTCCACGTCCACCCCCACCACCACCGCCGCGTCGCACAGCGTCGCCGCGACGCTCAGGATCCCCGTCCCGCACCCTAAATCCACGACGAACTTCCCCTCGACGTCCCCTCGCGCGCGCGCGCCGTGCAGCACGCCCGCGGCGAGCGCGGCGTTCGTCGGGTACTGCTCGAGTCGCTGTTTCGGCGTCGCGAACGTCTCGTCCACGTTGGCGCTCAGCGCGCTCTCGAGCTGACGCGCGCGCATCGCGCGTCACCGCGTCGCCCCGGCGTCGCGCCGCGCGCGCGTCGCGTCGCGTCGCCGCGCGTCCGCGTCTCGCGCGCCGGTCGGTCGGCGCGCGCGGGCGGCGCGGTCGGTCGCACACGCATTCAGTCAGACACCACATACACCACACACCACACATGGGCGCACACTTCATAATATACGTCACGCGTATCGTGATAGTCTTAATCACATCCACAATGCGTTGACTCGCACGTATATCGATATACCGATTCCGACGCCGCGCGCCGTCGCGTCGCGTCGCGTCGCGTCGCCGCGGCGCGCCGGCGCGCCGGCGCGAAGGCGCGGCGTCGGCACAACTTTACGCGCGAGAAACATGAGCAAGGCCGAGGGACCGGCCATCGGCATCGATTTGGGCACGACGTATTCATGCGTCGGCGTCTGGCAACACGACAGGTGCGACGCGCGACGCGACGCGACGCCACGGCGACGATCGCATCGCGCGCGGACGGCGCGCGATGGGCGTTTCGGCGATGCGCGGCGAACGATCGCGGCGCGGGCGCGCGCGATTCGACGCGAACGACGACGGTGACGCGATGGGACGCGAGAAGGAAATATGCGCGAGCGAACGGCGGCGCGGGCGCGGGCGACGCGCGGTCGCGCGCGACGGGAGACGCGAGATCGGCGCGCGCCGTCGACACCATCTTTCGAAGCTTCTTGGACGTTCTCGCGGCTTCGGAGGGCCGTGTGTTGAATTGTATGACGCGGCGAGACGCGCGCGACGTCGGACGTCGGGGGGGGGTCGGGCGATCGCGCGAGGGCGCGCGAGAGCGCGAGAGCGAAGACTGACGAATGTGTGACGCGTGTGTCTCGTTTGACGCAGGGTGGAGATCATCGCGAACGACCAGGGGGCGCGAACGACGCCGTCGTACGTGGCGTTTACGGATAGCGAACGCCTGATCGGGGACTCGGCGAAGAATCAAACCGCGATGAACCCGATGAACACGGTTTTCGACGCGAAGCGTTTGATTGGACGCAAGTTTTCTGAACCGCAAGTGCAAGCGGACATCAAGGATTGGTCGTTCAAGGTCGAAGCCGGCGAGGCGGACAAGCCGATGATCGTCGTCGAGTTTCACGGCGAGAAGAAGAAGTTTTCCGCGGAGGAGATTTCTTCCATGGTGCTCGTCAAGATGAAGGAAGTCGCGGAGGCTTACCTCGGTAAGGACATTAAGAACGCTGTCGTCACCGTGCCGGCGTACTTCAACGATTCTCAGCGTCAGGCGACCAAGGATGCCGCCGTCATCTCTGGTTTGAACTGCTTGCGCATCATCAACGAACCGACCGCCGCGGCGATCGCTTACGGTCTGGACAAGCGCCACGAAGCCAACGGCGCTGAGAAGAACGTTTTGATCTTCGATCTCGGTGGAGGTACCTTCGATGTGTCTTTGTTGACCATCGAAGAAGGCATCTTCGAAGTCAAGGCGACGGCTGGCGACACGCACTTGGGCGGCGAAGATTTCGACGCTCGCTTGTTGCAGCACTTCATCGCTGAATTCAAGCGCAAGAACAAGAAGGACATCACGGGCAACCCGAAGGCACTCCGTCGTCTCCGATCTGCTTGCGAACGCGCCAAGCGTACCTTGTCTTCCACGGCGCAAACGTCCATCGAAATCGATTCCTTGTTCGAAGGCGTCGACTTCTACACTTCCATCACCCGCGCTCGCTTCGAAGAGCTCTGCATGGATTTGTTCCGCAAGTGCATGGACCCGGTCGAAAAGACGCTTCGCGATGCGAAGATGGACAAGTCGCAAGTTCACGAGGTCGTCCTCGTCGGCGGATCCACGCGCATCCCCAAGGTGCAACAGCTCTTGTCCGATTTCTTCAACGGCAAGGATTTGTGCAAGTCCATTAACCCCGATGAAGCCGTCGCCTACGGTGCGGCCGTCCAAGCCGCTATTTTGTCCGGCGAAGGCAACGAAAAGGTGCAAGACTTGCTCTTGCTCGACGTTTCCCCGCTCTCCATGGGTCTCGAAACCGTCGGCGGCGTGATGACGGTGCTCATCCCGCGCAACACCACCATCCCGACAAAGAAGGAACAAGTGTTCTCCACTTACTCCGACAACCAGCCGGGTGTGTTGATCCAAGTCTTCGAAGGCGAACGCTCCCGTACGCGCGACAACCACTTGTTGGGCAAGTTCGAGCTCTCCGGCATTCCGCCGGCGCCGCGCGGCGTCCCGCAAATTAACGTTTGCTTCGACATCGACGCCAACGGTATCCTCAACGTGTCCGCCGAAGACAAGGGCTCTGGCCAAAAGAACAAGATTACCATTACCAACGACAAGGGTCGCTTGAGCAAGGAGGACATCGAGCGCATGGTCCAAGACGCGGAGAAGTACAAGGCTGAGGACGAGGAGCACAAGAAGAAGATCGAAGCCAAGAACGCCGTCGAGAACTACGCGTACAACATGCGCAACACCATGAACGACACCAACGTCGGTGGCAAGTTGGATGCGGACGACAAGAAGACGATCGAAGACGCCGTCGAGGCCGCGATCACTTGGTTGGACGGTAACCAAACCGCCGAAGTGGACGAGTTCGAGGACAAGCTCAAGGAATTGGAGGGTGTGTGCAACCCGATCATCAGCAAGATGTACCAAAACGCTAGCGGTGCTCCGGGCGCCGACATGGGTGGTGCTCCGGGTGCTGAAGATGCCGGTGGTGCCTCCTCTGGCCCGAAGATTGAGGAAGTCGATTAAGTCTTCTCCTCGCGATTCCATTTTTGAGTACTGAAACGAAACGTTGTTCCGCGCCCGTGGCGGAGTTTTAGCCAGGTTTGCCAGCTTAGGATGCAATCAACACAATATCCATTCACTTAAGTCGCTTCGCTCGTGTCTTCGCACGTTCTTTTTACACAGTCTAATCTCTCGTCTACTTGCCGTCGCGCCCAAGCATGGATGCGAGTTGTTGGCGCGTGATCGAAACTCCAGCCCGCTGGTTGCGAGGAATCGGCGTCGCCGTGAATCGTGGCCGGCTCGCGTTTTCGCGCTCTTCCTCGTCTTCGCGCATTCTCGCAAACTTGCGTTCGTGATACGCGCCTCGGCGTTCGGTCGTCAGGTTGAAAGGTTTGATTTCGGTGAGCACGGCGCCCGTGATGGAGATGCGCTTGCGCTTGTTGTCGCGCAAATCAGGAGTTTGCTCGTCTTCTATGGCTCCATACATTGTCGGCGCTGACGTCCGTCTCGATCGCGTTCGACGCACGGCGTCAGCGGCGTCGTCGACCGCGCGTTCACTCGGCGCTGCGGCTTTGCTGGCTCGCGCCGATGTCAGCGTCTTCAATACTTTGGACTTGATGGTCGTGTACGGCGGCGCGTACGAGCTCGCTCGGCGACGAACCTTTTCTTTCTCCATCGCTGCTTTCATTTTCTCAATCTCCAACAACTCGCGCTCTTCCGTGGTCAATATCTTTTGTTTTATGCGCGTGTTCGTGAATTTCGGGCTTCGAGCCTTCGTCGTCGTCGTCGCGGCTGGGATCAGCGTCAGATCCTCGTAATCCGTCGTACGTCCCCCAATTTCGAACGCACGAAGCTTTTCTTTGCGCGATCTGAACTTTTCTACCCCAGAATCAGTGTTTTGCGTGCCCTTGAGCAAGCGAGACGACGCCGCGATGACCTTCGCCGACGTCTTCTTCTTCGCCGCCGACATCACAACCTGCTTATGTTTCGCGATCAATGCCGCGCGAGGAACAATGGGTCTTGGTGTCTTCAATATTCTCTTCGCCGGCGTCTGCGACGCAAATCGACTCTTGCGCGCCGATTTCGTCGTCGATTTCGTCGCGGCTGAAGCCTCCGAGCCGTCCTTCTTCTCGCTCGAACGCGCGAACATCAACGCCAAACGCGGCGACCGACGCACGGGCGTCTTCACATCCTCGCTCTTCGGCGTCTTTGCCGCACTTCTAACTTTCTTATCCGTGCTCGAACCCGTCACCACCTCCCGTCTCGGCGCGCCCAAGCGTCTCGGCGTCCGTCCCGGCGTCTCGCCGCCGCGTCTCGCCGCGCTCTTCATCCCCTCCCTCGGCGACGTCCGATCGACGTCCCCTCCCACTCCTCGATTCGCCGGATCGCTCAAAAAAGCCTGCGTCGCATCCGTGATGGCGACGACCGCGGGCGCACGCCACGAATTCGCCGGCGCCGCGGCCGTTTTGCCGCGCGGCGTCGTCAGTCGCGTCGGCGCCTCGCTCTCGAAGTACGCCTCGCTCCCTTCATCATCCGACGCGTCGGCGTCGAAGTCGAAATATTTCGGAGCCTCGAATTCCCACCTACGGCGCGTTTCGCGCGCGACGCGCGTCGTCAGTCATCGTTCGGCGTGGCTGTCGTTGGTCACCGTTTGAAAATCACCGCGGAACAGAAACGGCATCGCGAGCGCGCGAGGACGCGCGCGCGATCGAGAAACGAGCTTCGACGCGCGATTTACGACCGGGCACGCACTTGGTCTCGTCTCGCATGTCCGGGACGGGCGTCGTGGTGTGCGGCGCGGCGCGCGCGAGCGAGCGGGACGCGTCGGCGCGGCGAGACCGCGGCGAAGTCGACGGCGCGTCGGCGAATCGCGCGTTACGAGAGAGCTAATGATTGTTACTACAACAAAACCGAGCGAGACGCGCGCGCGTCCACGAAACGGCGCGGTGAGGCCGCGACGCCGGGACTCGAAGACGCTCACAAGAGTTCCATCTCGGCTTGCAGCGCCTTGAGTTCGGCTTCTTCGTCCGCGGCGATCGCGGGCGCCGGCACGGACGGCAACGGCACGCTCGGCATCGCGGGTTCTTCCTCCAACTCCCGGGCGAGCTCGGAATCGAGTAATTTGTCTTCGACGTCCAACGCGTCCAACTCGGCCAACTCCTCCTCCAGCTCGTCCTCGTCCAACTCCGCCGCGAACCCCACCGGTTGTCCCAACGCCTCCTGCACCTGCCGCATCTGTTCCGTCTGTTCGCTGATCGCATCCATCGTCGCGTCGACGTCCTCGATCTTCGTCTCCTTGACCATCCTTCGCATCGCGTCCGCCCCGCTTCGCAGCGCTCCGTACGTCTCGCTCGTCGCCTTCGATCCCTCCAGCATGATCACCTGTTCCTGCAGCTTCAACTGCGACGTCGCCAGCGCGTCTAACTGCGCTTCGTACAATTTTTTCTTCTTCAGGTGCTGCAGCGCTCGTCGTTTGTTTCCCTGTCGATTCGCCTCGCGCGCGTTCGCCAGCTCCTCCGCGATCTTTCTCGCCATGAGCGACTCCTTCTTCTCCAGCATCTCGAGCGTCTGTTCGTCGTGCGCGCGCCGCGTCCGTCAGTCTCCCGCGTCGCGTCGCGAAACCGCGCTCGCCGCTCGCCGCTCGCCGCCGTCGTCGCGCGCGCGTTCGCGCCGCGCGGCGACGCGTTCGCGACGGGATCTCGTCGCGAATGCGAACGCGACGACTCGACCGCGCGCGTTCCATCGCGACGCACCGTCTTGATCCTGTCGATGGCGTCCATCGGGCTGTGCGCGCGCGAGTCCGAGGACGCGTTGGACGCGCTCGTCGTCGGGCTCGCGCGACCGTGGCCGAATAACTTGCGAAACATGACGCGAGGGACGAGGAGTGCGGCGCGGCGGTGGGCACCGACGAGACGGCGACGCGAGACGACGGAGAGAGATGACGCGCACGAAGAGATCACACGGCGCTCGCGATGAGTTACGAATTCATGCTATCCGCGAGGGCGTCGAAGGCGTTGCGAGCGACGACGGGGGCGGGTTCGGCGAGCTTGGGCGCGGGCGCGGCGCGCTCGCGAGGCGCGGGCGCCGATTTCTCGGCGGCGGCGGGCTTGTCCTTGGGCGCGGGTGTGTCCTTGGACTTGCCGTCCTTGCCGTCCTTGGGCTCTGGTCTGCCTTTGGCGAAGCGAAATTTGTCGTCGAGCTCGAGGGAGAGCTTGGTGAGCTCGAGTTCGAGGTCTTTGACGTCGTCGCCGGCGTCCTTGGCGGCTTGAATCTTCTCCTTGAGTTCCTTCTCCTCTTTGAACTCCTTGCGCTTGACCGCGCCGACGGAGCGCTTGAGATCTTCGGCTTGCCAATCGCGACCGGCTTCCTTGAGCGCCTCTTCGCGCGGGCGAGCGCCGCCGAAGAGCGAGCTCTTCGCCGCGGCGCCGACGGGGGCGTCGGTGGAACGCTTTTGCAAGTTCAGTTTGGGCCTCGCGGCGCGCTCCTCGGGAGTCGCTTCGCGGAGTTCTTCCTCTTTGCGCGGGGCGAACGAAGACTTGCGGCCCCATCTGTCGCCATCGGAATCTTTCGGTTCGTCGTATTGCTTGCGCTCGGTACGTTCGGGGTTTTCTTCCGAGCGAATCGGAATCGCTTCGCGCGGCTTGTCCTCGACGTACTTGACGTCTACGGGCTTAGCGCCACCGAAGAGCGAGCTTGAGCCCGCGCTCGCGCTCGTAGGAGCGGCTTCCGAGCGTGGTTTGAGCTGAAGCTTCGGGCGATCGCCTCGCGGAGCGTAACCATCATCCGACGGCGGCTCGGCGGCGGCGGTGCGAGAACGCAAAGAGCCCCAGTCGCGGTCGCGTTCTTCGCGCGGAGGTCGATCGTCGTATCGCGAATCACGCTCCGGTAACTGTTTTCTGTCTCTACTCCAGCTGTCGCTTTCATCCGCGCGCGACGGTCCGAGATCCTCACGCGGCGGCCGGTCTGCGAAATCGCCAAATCCCGGTCTGCGCTCCTCGCGGTCGCCGTAGCGATCGTCGCCGCCGCCGTAACGGTCGCCACCTCTCTCGGCGTAACGGTCGCCAAATCCTGTTGCACGCCTGTCGCCGCCGTAACGATCATCTTGCGGCGGCGCGCGACGGTCCGCGCCCCAGTTAGAGCTCGTATCCGCGCGAGAAGGACCTTGCTCTTCGCGAACCTCTCTGTCGCCATATTCACCGTCGCGGCGGTCGTCTCGATCGTACCGACCCGGACGACGCTCATCACTGCGATCACCGCCGCCGTAACGATCACCACCGCCGTAACGATCACCACCGCCGTAACGATCACCGCCTTGGTTGAATCCACCACCGAGACCGACGCCTCCGTCGTCGTCCGGTCGCGAGCTCGGCCCACTCGGCAGCACGACGTCGTCGCCGCGTCCTCGACCGAACGCCGATCCACCGACTCGTCCCGGAGGCGCGTACGACGACCCACCCGACGCACCCGCGAATTCTGCGAGCGAAAGTTTCACCCCTTTCGTCTTCTTCTTCGGTTCCTTCACCTTGGCCGCCGCCCCGAGCGACGGAAACGCTCCGCTCGCGTCCGCTTCCGCCGCCTCCCCGCCGAGCGACGGGAACGCCTGCGCCGGCACCGCTAACGATTCCACTCCATCGTTTCCTTCCTTCGTCTGCGTGAATCGCGAAAGCGCGCGTCGTTCCGTCAGTGCGCGCTCGTTTTCGTCGAGTTTAGCTTTTAAAAATCGAGCCCACGTCCGAGCCGCGATCTCCGCGCGAACCGTCTCGACCGCGCCGCGCCCTCGATCGCGCGCCTCGTCGCCCCGGCGTCTCGCGAACGATGCGCGCGCAATTTCTCCATCATCTCGCGCGCGAATCGCGCGCGCGCGCGCGTCGCGCGCGTCGCGGGCGACGCGCACGCGTCGCCCCACGGCGCCGCCATCGGTCGGGCGTCGTTCGATGCATTTCGCGCCGCCGACGCGCGCGCGACGCGTCGCGCGCGTCCGCGACGCGCGACGCGCGTCGTGAGGATTTTTCAATCGCGCGCTACGATCGTACCTGTGCGCTCCACGCGCTGGTCGTGCCCCAAGCCATGTTTCGTTGTGCGGGACGATCGGCGCTGGGTCTTTACGCCGATGCCGGGCCGAAGGAGAGGCGCGGCGGCGAGGCGAGGCGAGGCACGCGAACCGATGTCAAATGAAGGTTTATTATGACAACTGATTATGAAAGATGGATGCGTGATGCGCGTGCGCGTTTAGGCGGCGGCGAAACCGAGCGCTTGGGCGATGTCGCGCTCGCTGGCGCTCTCGGCGGCGGCGATGATGTCGGCGGCTTCGATCGAGTCGTCCTCGGCGGCGTCTTCGGAATAGATGAGAGAGACGGCGCTGGAGGATTTGGAGTGGCGGCGCGCGGGCGAAGGCGCGAAGGCGTCCGAAGCGTCGCTTTGATTGCGCTCCAACATTTGAGCATACGAGCCGCGAGTGGCGAAATTGACGGTATTCCAACTTGGGACTCGGCCGCGGGAACCCATGCGGCCGCGACCGCGGAGGTTTTTGCGGAGGGAGGCGACGCACTCGTCGAGGACGAGTTCGATCCCGCACGCGTGCTCGATGGCGGCGAGTTGCGGCCAGATTTCTTTCTCGCCCATCGTCGCGGTTTCGAACAAGAACTCGCGCGTGGGATTGCTGGCGATGTGTGAAAATTGCTTCCACGTGTACCACATCACCGCCGTGGCGTCGCCCTCCCACTGTTGACCGAAGAGTTTGAAGACATCGAAGACGTCGACGCCCGGAATCAAATCCAACACTTGTCGACAGCGATGTTTCCACTCGCTCTCGATGAAGTACGCCCAGAGGGCCAGCGCGCTTCCGCGCGATGTAAACCACCTTTTCACTCGCAACAGAGGGACGATGTGCGGATTCGTCTGCGACACGATGAAGTAATTGCAGTTGAAGAGTTCGCGCAAGTTGTCCATGGGCAGATCCGCCTCGAGACTACCATCGCGCCAGCGTCGCGGTCCGAGTTTTCCTTCTGGGAGCCACGGCACGAAGGCGCCGCTGCGAGATTTTGCCAACAATGGCTGCGGCGGGAACAACGAGGGAAACGCGCACGACGCCGCGACGGCTGACCAAAGCACGACGTGCGGCGACGTGAGATAGTTTAACAGTCTCGGTTTTTCCCCAGTCGTCGTTGCACACACACACACACTCAGTATTCTGCCTCCACTTCGATCGTATGCCTCTTGAAAAGTCAAGTCGCCGAGTAACGCGCGGAGACAGCGCTGGAAAAAGTCAATGTCGTGCAACGCCCCGGTGCGCAAGTAGTGCTTCATCGCGCTCATCGAATCGTTGCCGCTGAAGAACGTCAAGTCTGGGAGCAAATCCCAAAAGTGCTCTTCGCTGAAGAACTCATCGAGCTCTTCCTGCGTGCGACTGCCGATAATGGCGGCGATGATGGAGCCGACAGACGATCCGGCGAGCACGCGCGGGAGCAAATGTTTCCGATTCAACGCGCGCGCGACGCCGACGTGAAACGTTCCGAGCGTCCCTCCTCCGCTCATCATCAGCGCCGTGCGCCCGAAACAATGTCTCGTCTCTTGCAAAAACACCAGCTTTTCCTGAATCGTCACCGTTTCGTCCTGAGCGATGCTAAACAGCTGACTTTTCAGCTCGGCCATGTACTGGCGCACCGCCCGAGGCACCGCCGGCGGCTCGGCGTTCGATTTCGAAAACCGCACCTTACAATCGCTCTGCAACGATCCCAAATTCCTCAAAATATCAGCTCTGAGCAAGAACATCATCTCTTCCACGTTCCCACTCGCGCGCTGCGCCTGCAACTGCCTCAACTGTTCATCGATTAACTCGACGTCGTACGACCTCGACCCGCTTCCCCAACCGTCGCTCCGCGTCGTCGCCCGACCTCCCGCCTCCGCTCGCGCTTCTTCTTCCGCATCCTCGCGTTCGAGTTCCAACGCCGCGTCTTCAAACGCATCGTACGACGTCGCATCTCGCATTCGCGCTAAGATTTCCTTTCGTTTGCGTCCGTGTCGCCGTCGCGCCGCCGTCGCCGCCGTCCCGTCGCCTCGCGCCGCGAGATACCCCGTCCTCGTCACCGCCACCGCCACCGCGACGCACGCGACGACGCGCGCGTACATTTCGTACTCTTGTCTCATCCATCTCCCGCGTCCGGCGCGGACGTACGCGCCGTACGGCGTCCGCGACGGCGTCGCGCGCGCGGCTGTCCCCGTCAGCATCAGCATCGGCGACGACGTTTTCACGCTTCGCACCGTCTGCGCCACCGCGCGCGCGACGTCGCGCGCCGCGGACGCCGCGTAGGACACCCCTTCGTCGAACGCGCCCATCGCGCGCGCTCGATTCGCGTCGCGCGACGCGCACTGCGGCGTAATCGCGCCGACGCCGACCGAAAGTTCGTTACGCGTCGGCACCTCAGACGACGACGCGACGTCGCGCGCCGTTCGCGCGCGCCCGAACGTCGCGCGGCGGTGAGAAGAGACTCGCGCGCGCGTCGCGAGCGCGCGCGCGACGTCGAACGCGCCGCACCGCGCTCGAACGATGGGAGATTCGCGCGACGTGGCGAATCGGCGGCTGGGACAAATCAACGATCACGTCCGCGGCGACGCGAAACGCGCGAACGGAGGCGCGAGAGCGGGCGGTGGCGATGGGTCGGACGCGCGAGCGACGCCGTCGGGGGGCGCGGGGGCGCTGCACGTGCGAGACTCGCGGACGGGGAAGGAGTATGAAATCGCGGTGTCGAGCGACGGCGCGGTGGACGCGTCGGCGTTTAAACAAATCACCGCGGGCGGCGATGGACGAGGTTTGGTGATGTACGATCCCGGATACATGAATACGGCGCCGTGTAAGTCGAAGATATCGTACATCGACGGCGAACGGGGGATTTTGAGGTATCGCGGGTACGCCATCGAGAGCTTGGCGAAATCGTCGACGTATCTGGAGACGGCGTTCGCGTTGGTGTACGGAGATATGCCGAATGCGAGTCAGTTGATGGAGTGGGAACGGACGATTGCGAGGCATAGTGCGTTGCCGGTGCAGGTGGTGCACGCGATCGAGGCGTTGCCGCACGACGCGCATCCGATGGCGGTGATGCTCGCGGGGTTGAACTCGTTGAGCGCGATGCACCCGGAGCAGAATCCAGCCATCGCGGGTGGGGCGATTTACAACTCTCACACCGTGCAGGATAAACAAATCGTGCGCATCATCGGCAAAATGACCACGCTCGCCGCGCACGCATATCATCGAAACACCGGGCGCTCGCCGGCGGCGCCGAATACGCGCATGTCGTACGCGGAGAATTTCTTGTACATGCTCGACGCCGGTTTGGACGCGCGGCATCGACCGCATCCGAAGCTCGCGAAGGCGCTGGACGTGATGTTTTTACTACACGCGGAGCACGAGATGAACTGTAGCACGGCGGCGTGCAGACACTTGGCATCGAGCGGGGTGGACGTGTTTTGCGCCGTGGCGGGCGCGGTGGGCGCGCTTTACGGGCCTCTGCACGGCGGCGCCAACGAAGCAGTGCTCAAGATGCTCGAACGGATCGGAAGCGTCGATAACATCCCGAGCTTTTTGGCCGGGGTGAAGGAAAAGCGATACGTGATGTTTGGTTTCGGACACCGCGTTTACAAGAACTTTGATCCTCGCGCGAAGATTATTCGCGACATCGCGAACGACGTCTTCGAGCTCGTCGGACGCGACCCGTTGATCGACATCGCCATCGAGCTCGAGAAGGCGGCGCGGGCGGACGAATACTTCGTCAAGCGTAAGCTTTACCCGAATGTAGACTTCTACAGCGGGCTGGTGTATCGCGCCATGGGGTTTCCCCCCGAATTTTTCACCGTGCTCTTCGCCATCCCGCGCGCGACGGGTTATCTTGCGCACTGGCGCGAGAGCTTAACGGACGCCGACAAGAAAATCATGCGCCCGCAGCAAATTTACCAAGGCGAATGGTTGCGAGATTACGAACCGATCGCCGCGCGCTCGCGCTCGCTCACCGACGCCATGGAGGATATTCAACCATCCAACGCGGCGCGGCGCCGCATGGCTGGAGACCCGCCATCCGGCACGGCGTGGGTCGGGAAAGGCGTGGAAATGTCCACGCCGGCGTGGCAGTCGGGCGCGTCAGTCGGCGACGCGACGAGCGGCGTGGAGAACTATCTCGGACGAAAATGAATTTACTGTAAATACTACACACACACATTTCTCGCTTAAAAGTATCCGTCAACGGTGACCCCTATCGATGCACTCTCGAGTGCCGAAGATGTTCGTCCGCCACCTCAAGCACGGCGCCGTTCCTCCGTTGATGGCGACCGTCCTCGACAGATACATTCGCTCGCGCGCCCGGCGCGGATCGCACAAACCGCTTTGCAGTTCGAACTCAGTGCAAAACTGATAGACTTCCTCGAGATCAGGCTGACAGTACGGCCAAGACAGCGGCGCGTTCATTCTCGAAATTCTTTCGCGGTACCACGAACCTCGATTTTCGTAAGTGCATCGTCGGAGCACCTCCTCGACCGAACACGGTCTCACGAGCGTCGCGCACCGCATGTAATCGTCCAGAGCGGTCGGATTCCCTGGAAAGATTGTGGAGAACCACGTGAGCTGCTGCATCAACCTACCAATCTCTCCTTGCGGCTCGAACATCACGCGCGAACCGTCCGCGTCGTACACGACGTACGCCTCGTTCGTAAACGCGACGAAATCAACCGGCGGGTACGCCGCGTCACCGACCCACGTCATCTCCAGCGCTCGCGCGTTCGCGATCCTCTCGAGATCGCTCTGAATGTCGTACGCGATCTCATCGAGCGTCTCGCGCATCGCGCCCGCGTCGGACGCGCTCGCCGACTCGATCAGGCTCAGCTCGAGCTTCGCCACCTCGCGTTCGACGTACTCGTCGTAGGACATCGTTCGCGCGCCCGAGTCGACGCCATCGCTCGCGCGCGCGAACTCGTCGTACCATCCCTCTCGCGCGTACCGCGCCTCGCCGTCGCCGTCGCCGTCGCTGTCGTAGCCGTAATCGTAATCGTAATCGTCGTCGCCCTCGTTTTTGCGAACCGTCGGCGTCGTCGCCTCGGGCGGTTGTTCGAACACGCGCACCGTTCGCGACCGCGCGGCGACGGAATCGAGCGCGGACGCCTCCGCGAGCTCGCGCCCCAGCTCGGCCGCGATCGCGAGCGCCGCGAGCGCGCGTCGCATCGGCGCGACGCCGAGTGCGGCGGAGGCGAAGCGGCGTTTCGCCTCGCCTCGCGTCGACGAACACACCAACAGACGAATCATCCCTCTTCACTGTATGCACACACCCGCATGTCCGACCAAAAGCAACATTTCGACGCACGCCTCTATTTCATATACCGCAAAATCGCGCTCGAATGCGATACACGCGCGCGATAAACCCGCGCCGCGCGGATAACGCGACGCCGCCGACCGGCGCCGACGGCGCGCACAACGCCGCGCCTCGGATACCGCCGCGCCCGCGACGATGACGACGACGATGCGCGCGCCCGCTCGACCGCGCGCCGCGCCGACGCCGCGTCGCGACGCCGCGCGCGCGCCGCGCCGCGCGTCGCGCGCGCGCGCGGGCGACGTGAACAAGCGCCAGGAAGACCTCGGCGGACTCGGCGGCGACATCGGCGCCCGCGATCCCACCGCGGGCGAGCTCGAGAGCAATTTCGGGACGTCCACGCTCGGACACGCGGACACCGATCACATCCTGCAGGTGCCGACGGCGATGGCGGAGATGATCATGCTGAAGAATAAAAAGTGCGCGCCGGGGGCGCAGGCGGAAAAGTTGGACTTTCAGGGGCAGGAGGTGCTGCGGAAGCAGGTGTGGGACTGGAAGATTCGCCCGGGACGAGGGAACTTCGAGTGCCTGCGTCGGGAGTTTCCGACGGCGGAGGGCGAGGCGGGGAGGCTGTGCGAATTGATCGCGGGGACGGCGACGGCGGAGGGATGGGCGCCGGCGACGTGCGAGGCGACGAGCGGGAGCAAGGTGCTCGTGGAACTCGGGAGCGATGCGCTCAAGGGCGTGTGCACGAATGATTTCATTCTCGCGGCGAAGATCGATGCGAACGAGGAGGCGATGGGGATGTTGGTGAAGGAGGCACCCAAGGCGCGCAACTGGTTTTGAGAACCCCTCGGCGAGGGGGGCGTTTTTTCGTAGCGCGCGTCGTAGCCTGCGTCGTCTCGCGTAGCGCGCGCGCGCGCGTTCGCGCGTTCGCGCGATCCATCAATCAATCTAGCGTTACGAATCGTCTTCTAACACTCAGATTAATTACACTAATTACTACACAACTCGTACCACACGCGCATTCACGGCGACGCGCAACGCGGTTTCAAAAATTACTCGTCGTCGTCGCCGTCGATTTGTGCCTCGCGAGCGATTTCGTCGTCCGATTCGAACAACGAACGGACCGCGGGAAGGAGTTTGGGGAGCGACGATAATCCGGCAAAATCGACGCTCATCAAATCGAACGCCACGGCCGTGCGCTCGGTGTAAGTCCCGTCAAAGATTGGGATTTTAGGGTATCGCTGCGAAAAATGCGTGAGAATGGTGCGATAGGCGCCGGCGTCGATGCCGGTTTGCACAGCCTCCTTGGTCGTCGAATGCCGCTTCTTCACGGCTTCTTCCTCCATACCGTTCTCGAACGTCGCTTCGTGGACGAGGAGCGTGGCGTCGCGCGCGGCCGCGACGAGACTCGGACACGGGCGAGTGTCACCAGAATACACCATCGTCCATCCTCGCTTGCCGACGAGCTTGGCGCCGTACGCGTGCGCGCAGTGATGCACGGGTACGGCGACAATTTCGTCCAAATCTGATCCCATGAGCGCGGTGCGCAGTCGCGCCACCTGTGGGCTCATCGTCTCGCTCGACCATTTATCCTGCGTCGTCTCGCTCAAGTCGATGAAATCACAGTGTAAGCGTTCGAGATCCTCGTAGTAGTCCAAGAAGCGGCGCAGCGCGCGAGGACCGACGACGGGAATGATTGGCGGCTCCACGCCGTCTCGACGAAAGATCTCGGCGCGAGCGGTGAGAATGCGCGGTAAACCGACGTGATGGTCGGCGTGAATGTGCGAGATCCACACCATTCTCATCTCTCGCAACTTTTCATCCACCGCGCTCGCGCCGAAGCGACGAATCATTTGCGCCAGCGATCCTTCGCCGGTGTCGAGCATGATGTTCCCTCGGTACCCTTCGCCGCCGAACTGCATGGAAAATCCCGAGACGTTGCGATACTTTGCCGGCACCGCAGATCCAGTGCCTAAGAATACGAGCTCGACGTCACCAGGTTTGAGCTTTCGCAAATATTCAGGCTCTGGAAGTTCCGCGCCCGGACGCGCCTCGGCGGACGGCGACGGCGGCGGGGTCGGTTTCATCGCCTCGTTCGCCAAGTCTATCGTCCTTTGCTCGATATCTCTACGATGTACGAAGCCAGGCACGTATCTGGGCACCGCGCTCATGTCCGCTCCGGCGTTCTTCGTCGGAATCAGCGTAAACTTGAACATATTTTTCCCCGCCAAAGCGTTCGGGACGTCTGCGGGCACCCCGTCGCGCCGCTTGTCATCTTTTGAAGGCGACGGCGGGGGCGATCTCGGCACATTATTCTCTGGAAACACGGTCGCACTGACTGCGTGCAGCCTGGCTTGAATTCTCGCCGACGACGCGAACACGGGAACGTCGTCCATGGCGTCGGAGTTGGCGAAGACGTGCGCCGCGTCTTTCGGCGCGCCGCCGAAGACGGATTTCACGAGCGCGGCGTACTCCTTCGTGGACACAATCGCCGCGCTGGCCAAGTGCACGACGACGCTCAAGTCTGATAGTTCGCCGAAGAGCTCGCCGCCGCGAGTCGTCGCCTCGCGCACGTGCGCCGTCGTGGGCGCGTCGAACACGACGACGCGCGGTCCCGGTTGCTCCGGTCCGACGCACATCTCCGGCGACACCACCGAACCGTCGTCCAGCGTGATCGACTCCCCCCGCACCAACCGCCCGCGCTGCGGCCCGTTCGGCACGCCTAATTCCACCGCCGCCCGCATGTCAAATTTTCCCGGTATCGCCGCCAACTTGACGTCGTAACTCGCCACCTCATCGCTCGCGTCCTCGTCCGCTCTCGCGCGCTTCGCCGCGCGTCCCACCGCCGAATCCGTCCCGTCGTCCCTCGTCTCCCCCCCGAGCACGACGGCCGATATCGCCACCTTGCCGTCGTCCGCGACGACGCTCCGCGCGCGCCTCGCCGCGCCTCGCGTCGTCAGTTCCACCGCGCGTCCGCTCCCGAACAGCGTCCGCACCGCCCGCGTCAGCGCGCGCAACCGCCCGTCCGGTCCGCACACCTCGACGCGCCTTCGCTCGACGCCCGCGTCGAGCCCCCGCCGCGTCTCCGCCTCGTCGCTCATCGTGAGCAGCGTCCCGACCAACCCGCCCGCCGCGCGCGAGTCCGCGCGCGTCAGCAGCACCCGCTCGCATCGTTTCAGCGCCTTGACGCGTCGCTCGACGCACAATCGCTGAAATCCCTCGCCGACGTTGAAGACGACGCGCGCGTCATCCGTGCACAGCAGCACCGACGCGCACGTCGCGTCGCGCGCGTCCGCGCCGGGGTGCAGCACCTGGACGTACGCGCCGCCGACGCGTCGCGCGCGCGACGGACCCGACATGCGCCGCGCGAGCGTCTCGACGACGCGCCGCGTCGACATGTGACGAAGACGCGCGCGTCGCGACGCATCGCGACGCGCGCGATGCGGCGCGCGCTCAGCGCGCGACGCACGAAGGCGCGCGCGGTGACGCCGCGCTGCGACGCGTCGCGCGTCGCGCGACTCGCGACGGGACGCGTCGTGTCGCGCGTCGGATTCGGCACCGCGGCGTGGGGCGACGAGACGCGCGGGTTCGGGACGCGCTACCGCGAGCGCGACCTCGCGGCGGCGCTATCGCGCGCGCTCGAGCGAGGCGTCACGTTCGTCGACACCGCGGAGACGTACGGGGCAAGCGCGCGGGCGTTCGAACAGGGCGCGGAGGAGATGGTGAGACGCGCGAGGACGACGGCGAGGCGAGACGACGCGCGAGACGACGCGTTCGTCGGAACGAAAGTGTTGACGGTGCCGTGGACGAACGTGAGCGCGGGAGGGGACGTGCGATCGACGACGAAGAGCTTGGTGGACGCGATCGAGGCGTCGGTGGGGAGGAACGGGGGGGAGGCGTACGATTTGGTGTCGATTCATTTTCCGTTTCCGACGTGGACGCAGAGCGCGCTGTGCGACGCGCTCGCGGAGGCGACGGAGCGAGGGCTGTGTCGGGCGGTGGGGGTGAGTAATTACGACGTAAGGCAGATGACGGAGGCGCATGGGTTGTTGGCGAAGCGTGGGATCGCGTTGGCGACGAATCAGGTGAAATATTCCGTGCTCGATCGAGGCGCCGAAAAGAGCGGGGTGCTCGCCGCGGCGCGGGATTTAGACGTCGCCGTCGTGGCGTATTCGCCCTTGAGCGGTGGGGCGCTGCGGACGAGCGCGGACCCGGAGATTCGCACGTTGGACAAGTTGCTCGAGTTCATCGGCGCCGTCAACGGTGGTTGGACGTCGGCGCAGGTGGCGTTGAACTATCTCGTCCGCAAGGGCGCGATTCCGATTCCGAGTTGTACGAGCGTCGCGCGCGCCGACGCCATCGCGGACGTCCTCGAATTCGAGCTCGGCGTCGAAGACATCGAGACTATCGATGAAAAAATGGATTACATCGAACGCAAGTCGTGACGGTGAATATTTTGCGCTCGTTCGTTTTTTAGCTTTTTAAATCGCGTTGTTTTTGTACATGAAATTTCGTCTCAATCGAATTCGTCGACGACGCCTTCGTCACGCGCAGTGCATTCGCGACACCGCGGCGGATAACCCCGTGCTCGATTTCTCTAGGTCGCCCAACGGACTGCGTCGCTCGATGAGTTCGTCGAAACTCATCTCCACGGTTTCGCCGTCGAACGCGCGCGGCGAATTTCCTTCCGAGCCTTGGAGGTAATCGAGCAGCTTTGCGCCGCCGGTTTGCGCGTGAATCGCTTCGCGGCCGCCTTCGTCGAGCGCGAGCACACTCAGCACACTGAGCGCGTCGTCGCGCGACGTGGCGCACCCTTCGCGCGCGAGCGCCATCAGTCGCGCGGTGACTCGATTCGTCATGTGCTCGCGGTTGCTCGGTTGCCACGCGAGCGCCCACAGCGCGAGCGCCGCGTCCGCCGCGGCGGGCTCGAGACTGTGCCGAAGCTCCAGGAGCGAGCTCAAAAGATCAATCATATCGTGAAAAAAATTCAGCCCACCGAGCGAGGACGCGGTGCCGTTCGCGTTCGCGAGCTTTTCCGCCATCGTCAACTCTTCGCGATCGCGGCGCGCCGAGGCCGAGTCCGAGTCCGAGTACCACCCGTCGTTCTGCGTCGTTCCGTTCATCGCCGACGCGCCGGCGTCGACGCCCGCGACGCTTCGCAGCGCGGCGAGCGACGCGTTGCGCTGTCGCTCCCCGCCCAGCGCGGCGGTGACGAGCGGTAACACCGCGCCGCATCGCGCCACCGCCCTTCGGCCCGTCGCGCCCGAGCTCGCGATTCTTCCGAGCGCCGCGCTCGCCTCCCCGTGCGCCACCGTCGCCTCGCTCATCAGCACCTCCACCACGCTTCGCACCGCGGACTCCGTCGTCAAATCTAGCGCGCTCGGATCGCTCGAGATCGGAAACAGCGCCCTCGAATCGTACGCATCGCTTCGTCCGCTCAACCGCCGCAGCGCGTCCGCCGCGAATCGCGCCGTCTCGCTCGCCTCTCCCGTCTCCTCGCTCGCCGCTCGCGCGCACGCCTCGCTCAAATTTCCCAACACTCCGGACCTTATCATCATCTGGCACACGTCCGACGAGCTCGCCATCGCGCCCAGCGCTCTCGCCGCGTCCGCGCTCGTCCGTCCCGCGCCGTCTTCGTCCCGCAGCCTTTGCGCCAGCGCCGGGACGGCGCCCGCGCGCGCCGCGCGCCGCAGCGCGTCGTCGTTCGCCTTCAGCAGCGACAGCGCTCGAAGCGCGCCGACCTTGTCTTGCAACCCGACGTTTCGGACGACGACGGAGATGAGCGCGACGAGCATGGCGCCGCGCGGCGTCTTCGTGAACGGCGCGGCGGGACCTTCGGCGTCGACGCACAGGTTTCGGAGTTGGCGCACGGCGTCGGCGCCGTCCGGCGTCGACGCGCGCGCGCGCTGGACGAGGGCGTCGAGCGCGCGCGCGTCGTCCGTCATGTCGAGTCGACCCCGTCGACGCGCCGCGGTGACGTCGCGGGCGTCGAGGAGTGACGCGTCCACGCGAGTGGCGAGCAAGGGCGACTCGGCGACTCATATTTTACAAAAGAATTGCGCTACGCTCGCGACGAGCGATGCGGGCGTCGTCGCGGTGCGTCGTCCAGATCGACCGCGCGCGGTTGACCTTCGTTATTTACGTCTCGTCCGCGGTCAAGTTGGCGTTCTTGTAGTTGACGGCGTATTCGCGAATGTTGCCGACGATGAAAAACGCGCCGCAGATGCGCACGGTGCGCGCGAAACCACCCTTGTATAACGCGCGAATACCGCCCGTTTTGTACGTTTCAGACAGAGCGTGCGTGGCGGAGGTGAATTTGGAGCCGCTCAAATCGCTCTGCATGAGCGTCTTCGACGTGTCGATCGGGTGCGTGAGGCCCGCGGCGAAGGTGCCCGCGAGCGACGCGCCCAGGACGCTCGAGGCGAAATCGCCCAAATTCGGTTGCGCTTCCTTGATCTTGTTCGTCAGCACCGGTCCGAGACCGAGGTATCCCGCGGTGTAGATGCTCTCGCGCGCCGCGCACGACACCGTCCCTCGCCACATCTTCGCGAGACCTCCTTGTTTCACGACGGCGGCCACCGTCCCCCCCGGACCGAGGCCCATCTTTTGCTGTTGAATCACCGTCAAATCCACCGGCGAGTACAGCGCGCTCGACACCGCCCCCGCCGCCATGGCGCATCCAATTTGCTCCGCGTCGCTCATTCCTCGCTCACCGTTCGTGATGACGCGCTCGATCGCCCCATTCACCGCCACCTGCGCCGCGGTGATGGGCGCCAGCGACGCCGCGTTCGCGAAGACGCCGCGGTACCATCCCGCGATCGACCGCGGCAGCGCTCTCGAGTCCTGCACGCAGATCTTAAACGTGATCAGCGGCACTGCGCGCGATTCGATCGCGGTCCCGTCAGTCTCCGCGCCGTCGTCGTCATCCGTCACATCGCGCGACCGCCGTTATCCATTACATTAATCACATCGCGTCACTCGACCATCATCGCGCGTCTCGCGCCGTCGCCTCGCCTCGATCGTCGCACGCACTCTGCACGCACGTCTCCACGATCCCCCCGAACGCGCCCACGGCGAGATTCTCCGCGTCCGACAGCGGGACGCGCGCCATGACGACCGCGCGACGCGTTTTCGCGCGTCTCCCCGTCGCGCGCAAGGCCCCTTGCCGCGACGCGATGGTCGATCGCGATGTTCGATCGATCGAGCGCGACGTCGACGCGAACCTCGATCGAGGTTCGCGTCGCGGCCGTCGATCGACGCGGTGAGGTTCGCGCGATCGACGGCGTGGGCGTCGATCGACGCCGGCGTCGACCGACGGCGGCGGCGGCGCGCGCGCGGCGACAGTGCGCGCGCGCGAATCCCGATCGCGATGTCGACGACGACGACGACGACGCGCGCGAGGGAGGGAAAGGCGCGGAAGCGCGACGCGGCGCGGGAGACGGAGACGGACGAGGCGCGCGCGCGACGTCGCGCGGCGAAGAAGGCGAAGAAGGCGAAGAGGGCGACGTCGGCGGCGACCGACGCGAGGGCGACGGCGGGGTCGGAGAGCGCGTCGATCGAGGCGCCGAAGACGCCGACGCTGAAACGAATCGCGTCCAAGGAAGACTTTCGAAGGGAACACGCGATCGAGATTCGGAACGCGTGCGAGAGGACGCGGGATTTGGAACCGTTTACGACGTTCGACGAGGCGGCGTTTCCGAAACCGCTGCGAGCGGCGCTGAAAGCGCAGGGATACGACGCGCCGACGCCGATTCAGGCGGAAGCGTGGCCGATATTGCTGAAGGGGAAGGATGTGGTGGCGATCGCGAAGACGGGGTCGGGGAAGACGTGTGGGTTTTTGTTGCCGGCGCTGGCGAGCATCGTGGCGAGAGGATCGCAAAAGGCGCCGGAGATGCAGTTGCTCGATGGACGATGGCGTCCGGGGGCGGTGACGCCGACGGTCATCGTGTTAGCGCCAACGCGGGAGTTGGCGATTCAAATCCACGACGAGTGCGCGAAGTTTTGCCCCGCCGCGGGGTGCCGCTCGGCGGTGCTCTACGGCGGCGCCGCCAAGGGCGATCAGTTGCGCGCGTTGCGTTCGGGCGCCGACGTCGTCGTCGCCACGCCCGGGCGATTGAACGATTTTCTTGAACCACCCCCGGGATTCACCGCGCCCGTGAGCGCGGTGAAGGCGTCGTACGTCGTCCTCGACGAGGCGGATCGAATGTTGGACATGGGATTTGAGCCGCAGATTAAAAAGATTTTCAAGCTCTGCCCGTCGGCGCGTCAGACGGTGATGTTCACCGCGACGTGGCCGAAAGCGGTGCAAAAGATTGCAGACTCTTTCACGACGAAGCCGATTCACATTCAAATCGGTAGCGGCGGCGATAAACTCACGGCGAATAAGTCGATTACGCAAACCGTCGAAGTACTCGAGGAGGAGGAAAAGTTTGACCGTTGCGTCGCCATCCTGAAGAAGGAGCTCGGTAAGGACGACACGTGCATTATGTTTGCCGGCACAAAGCGTCGATGCGATTTTTTGGACCGCAGATTGAAGCAGTCTGGGTTTTCCTCCGCCGGCGCTATTCACGGCGACAAGGACCAATACGAGCGCGAGATGGTCCTCGACAACTTTCGTCGCGGTCGTGGCAATATTCTCGTCGCCACTGACGTCGCTGCGCGTGGTTTAGACATTCCTGGCGTCGCAGCGGTTCTCGTGTACGATTTTCCGCTCCAAGTGGAGGATTACGTGCACAGAATCGGTCGCACCGGACGCGCCGGGAAGGAGGGCAAGGCGTTCACCTTCTTCACTAAAGATAACCGTGGCGCCGCAAACGAGCTCATCGATATCCTCCAAGGAGCCGGACAAACCGTACCTTTGGCGCTCCAAGCGATGCAGCGCAAGGGCGGCGGCGGCGGAGGCGGCCGCGGTTGGTCGGGCGGCCGAGGCCGAGGCGGCGGCCGAGGCCGAGGCGGCGGTCGAGGAGGCGGCGGCAGATTCTCGCGCGGCAACAAAAAGTGGTGATCGTCTTCGCGTCCCATTCATTCCGCATTATTATATTCGTGTATTGAAATCGTAGTGTATTCGTTCCGCTCGAGAAACGGCGTCGCTCTTCGGCCGCTTCGACCTCGCCCCGGCGCCGTCCCCACAATCGGACGCGTCGGTCCGTCATGCGCGCCGAAGCCGCGTCGCACGCGACAGCGCGAGAGCACATCGTGCGCGCGCGTCCACACCGCGCGCGTCGAGCGCCGGCGCGCACAGCTGCGCCATCGTCGTCGCGAATTCGTTCCGTGCGCGAGCCCAACTTGGATAGCGCAGACCGCGAAGAAATCGCCTCAAACGACGCGCTCAGGCGCGCTCGCGGCGAGACGAGCACGTCGAACGATGACGAGTCAACGATCGCGTCGTTTGTCGCGAGCGCAGGGGCTCGAGAGACGATAGATTTAGGCGCGCGCGCGTCGTTGGCTGCTGGATGGGACGCTCTGGCGAGACGAGTGCGAGACGCGCGGCGAGACGCCGATCGAATGCCGGCGTGCAAGTTTGACAGCGGGTGCTTGCGGTTCGTGATCGATGTGCCGCGAGACGCGCGGGCGCTGCGATGGGTGAGCGAGGTGAGCGGGAAGGTGAGGAGTGGAACGCCGGCGTTTTATTGGTCGCCACGAGCGAAGACGGCGAGCGGAAGCGCGGTGGGCAAGGGCGGATCAGCGTCGAAGGAGACGGCGATGGAAACGACGAGGAGTGATAAGTTGGATTTTGACGCCGCACGCGGGTCGCGCGCGGGTTTTGGGTCGTGCGCGACGTGGACGGACGCAGGGAACGAGGACGAGACGTCATTTCGGCGGCGCATCGCTTCGATGCGGAGGTTTCTAAGCGAGCATAAAGACGCTCGTGCGGGGTCTCGAGTGTATGGCGCCGGAAGGTTCGATCCTGGTCGCGCGCCCGAGGAGGAGTGGGCGTCGTTCGGGACGCATTATTTCTTTTTGCCCACGCTCGAAGTCGTGGAGGGCGTCAAGAGCGCCACGTTGACGGTTTCCGTGGCGTGGGACGCGCGCGGTGAAGAAAACTGCGGTCCATCGGCCAAGTCACTCGTCCAAGCGCTTGATGATGCGTGCGAGACGCTCAAGCGCTCAATGGGTGTCGAAAAGAGTTCAAACAAGGCGTTACCCCCGGGCGCGGCGCACGTCGTCGACCGTGCGCTGGTGCCCGATCAAGACGGATGGTCCAAAGACGTGTCCTCCGTCATCAGCCGCATTAGAGTATCGCGAGCATCCGTGAGCGCTAGCGTGCGGGACAAAGAGGATGCCTGGATCGACTTAGGGAGCAGCTTTGACGAATCAGATTCGCCAGATGTGCGAACGGCGTTAGAATCGCTTGGTCGCGCGGCTGGAGTCGAAGCCCCGAGCGCGGTTCTCGATCAATTCGAAGCGATGACGATGGCCATGGATGGCGGACTGTACAAAGATGACTCAACAATGGAGGGCATGGTCGACGCTTTGCTTCTCGGCGGTGAAACCGTCGATCCGTTACGAAAAGTCGTCTTGGCGCGGAGAAGCAAGCTCAACCTGAACACGCCTGTGGATACTTTTGCCTTGGTCTCGAGGCTGCAATCTCGAGATCCAGATGCGTATCAATTCGTTTTAAGACACCCCAACGGTGAGACCTTCCTAGGTTCGACGCCTGAGCGCTTGTTCTTATGTCAAGGGGGTCGCGCGGTGAGTGAAGCCGTGGCTGGCACGCGCGCCAGAGGCGCCGACGACGGTGAAGACGCGGCTTTGGCGTATGACATGCTTCTGTCGCCCAAGGAGCACGAAGAGTTTGCAATCGTGCGTGAAGAAGTTCGTCGTGCACTGGGCGATGTCGCCGACGGTGGAAATGATGGCGTGGAAGTTGAGCTTGAAAAAGGTATCTTGCGCAACGTTACCGTGCAACATTTATACTCGCGTCTCTCTGCGCCCTTGGCCAGCGGCAAGACAGAGGCTGATTTACTCGATGCGCTGCATCCCACGCCCGCGGTGTGTGGATACCCGCGCAAAGCTGCGCTAGACACGCTTCGTGCGGTGGAGTCGTTCGATCGCGGACTTTACTCGGGACCGCTCGGGTGGATAAGCGCGGATGGCGCTGAATTCGCCGTCGCCATTCGTTCAGCGCTGGTGCACCCCGACGGTGATGAGGTGTCTTTGTACGCGGGCGTCGGTGTCGTCGGTTCCGCCAACGCGCAATCCGAATGGCACGAATTGAACTTGAAGACAAAACCCCTCGAGTCACTTCTTGCGCCGGTGACACCGCTCGCGAGCTTGCCAAATCCCAACGCAGCGTGGGCAACGATATTGATCGGTGAGCTCGTACGCGGCGGCGTGACGACATTCTGTATCGCTCCTGGAAGTCGTTCGACGCCTCTCGCACTTGCGGCTGAGAAACACGTCGAAGCAAACGTGGTCGTGTGTATTGACGAACGTTCTCTTGGGTTTTATGCATTGGGATACGCAAAAGGCGCGGCCCAGCCCGCTGCGGTGATTTGCAGCAGCGGCACGGCTGTGGCTAATTTACTGCCATCCGTCGTCGAAGCGTCAGAAAGCTCAACCCCGTTATTATTACTCACCGCAGATCGACCGTATGAGTTGCGCCACACTGGTGCGAATCAAACGATTGACCAGGTGAAAATTTTTGGTTCGTACGCTCGATTCAACGCCGACTTGGCTCCACCCGGAGACGGCGCGCCTGCGCGCGCCTGCGCCACCATGGCTGCGACGGCGCTTCGATATTTGAGAGGAACGAACCCTGGACCGGTGCACCTAAACTGTGCTTTTCGCGAACCGCTCGGTCCGCAACGTGTGGACTGGGACTCAGCGGCTGCGCTTAAGGGGTTGGAGAAATGGGAAGAGTCGTCGACGCAGTTCACCATTGGCAATGCCACCGCAGGAACGATGCACGACGGCGGCGCCTGGCAAGCAGCGCTATCTCAAATCGCAAACGCTAAGCGCGGATTGCTAGTAGTTGGAAGTGGCTCGTCTGCAGCGGACTCAATCGCGGCGACTGCGATCGCTAAAACGCTGGGCTGGGCTGTCGCCGCCGACGCCACGAGCGGTATTCGCGTGGGCGCGGGTGAGGATGAATCCGTGCGTAAGATTCCTATGATCGATTACGTATTGGTGGAACCGAGTGCGCATGATGCGTTGAGACCGGATGTTATCCTGCAAATTGGTGCCCGTTTGACGTCCAAGAGGCTATGCCAGTTCCTTGAAGCGAGCGCGATTGAGAATAATGCTGAGTGGATCGTCGTTGAGCCGACTCCGAACCGAGTGGATCCGGCGCATTGTGTGAGTGTTCGAGTTGAATCGTCCATCGGATACGCTTTGGAAGTTTTGGAGAGCGCGCTAAGTCACGAGAGCGGTTACGACACGAGTGACTCAAAAACATCATGCATCGCCTTTGCCGAGCGCGCCGTCGCTGTCGGCGCCGCAGTCGCACGCGAAGCCGCGATGGCCCTCAACGACATCACCGCCAACGAAGGTATGTCCGAGATGGCTGTCGCGATCGCCATCAGCGAGGGTCTACCTGATTCTATGGGTTTCTTCTTGGGTAACTCCATGCCCATCCGCGATGTCGACGCATTCAGTGGAATCAAAGAATTCTCCGAAGGTTTAAATTTTGATCGTGAAGACTGCGCGACGTCGGCGTACGGAATTCCCGTCACGGCGAATCGAGGCGCGAGTGGTATTGACGGTGTGATATCTTCAGCCGCGGGATATGCTGCAGGCCTTGGACATCCGGTTACACTCATCATCGGCGATGTGTCGTTTCAGCATGATTCCAATGGACTACTGTTCCTTCGCGAGCGTCCCGGTCAACCACCGGTGACGGTCGTCGTCGTCAATAATGGCGGCGGTGGAATTTTCAATTTTTTACCCGTCGCCTCGCAGGTTGACGATAAGTCGTTCAATCGTTTGTTTGCCACACCGCCGGATGTGTCCAGAAGAGGACTGTGCGAGGCTCATCGCGTCGCCTATGCGCATCCAACGTCGGTTAGTGAGTTCGGTGAGGCGCTCAGCGCTGCGTGGAACGAAAATCGTCACAGCGTCATCGAAGTGACCACGTCCCGCGCTCGAAATTTGATTCAGCACAAGTTAGTGCAGCGGCGATGTGCACGAGCCGCACGACAAGCCCTTGAGCTAACGACTACGTCGACGTCAAAGACGATTCAGAGTATTGAAGTGGCTTCGTTCTCACTTCCTCTGAAGAAACCCACTACAGCGAATGCGTCATCGACGACACGGGACGGATGGCTTCTGAAGGTCACCCTGAGCGATGGTGTCGTCGGTTACGGTGAGTGTTCTCCTCTGGATGGACTTCATCGCGAATCGTACGAAGAGAGCGGCGCGCAACTTTCCGTCGTCGCTTCGCTCATGAACAGCATGGAAGTTCCTACGAATGTTGCTCTGCTCAACGGCGCCTTTGCAGCCTGGATTGAAGATTGCGTCGGCGTGCGCTCGACGAGCGAGTTGTTTCCCACTGTTCGATTTGCGTTGGAGTCAGCAATTGCGAACGCGCTCGCCGCAAGCGAAGGCAAGACGCTTTCTCGCGTCATGACTGGCGACGAGGTGATGAACTCCGTCTCTGTGAATGGACTCGTTGACGCGACGACTGATGTCGCCGCTGCGCGCCGCGAAGCGCGCGCGCTCGTGGACGCCGGTTATACCTGTTTAAAAGTCAAAGTGGCTCGGGGTCTTGGTAGTGATGGCGCTCGAGCAGACGCGGAACGACTCGCTCAGATTCGAGACGAAGTCGGTCCCAGCGTCGCGCTCCGTGCTGATGCGAACAGGCGTTGGGATTTGACGGAAGCGCTCGATTTCGGCGCGCGAGCGCAAGAACTCAACGTGGGTTTGCAGTACGTCGAAGAACCCACTCGTGCGGCACATGAAGTCGCGGCGTTCCATTTCACCACCGGCATAGCCGTGGCTTTGGACGAGACCATCGACGACATTCTTTGCGAGTCTTCAAGCTTGGCCGAGGCAAGCGCAGCGATTTCACGCGTTGCGGATCAGTCCACAGGTATCGTAGCTGTGGTGCTCAAACCATCCGTCATTGGAGGTTTAGAAGCGACGTCTTTAATTGCGCGCATCGCAATGTCTCGAGGTGTCCGGCCCGTGATTTCTAGCGCGTTCGAAAGTGGCATTGGATTAAACGTCAGCGCTCACCTCGCGGCGACGCTCGACGATGTTTTGGCTCGTGAGATTCAAGCAGCCAGAGACTCTTTGGTGACGGGCGACGACACCGAGCGTCCGAACACGCTGGATATAAAACCTTTGATTTTGGCTTTAGACGCGCAACCAACATCGCACGGCCTAGGAACGGCGTCCTGGTTTGACGGCGACGTGATGTTCCCCGAAGTCGTCCCCGTCCGGAAAGGAAGCGACGGGATGTCCATACACTTACTCGAAGATACCGACAAGACTAAACGTCAGACATCAGTGGTATCCATGTTCCAGGATGTTTCGAAGCGTTGGGGTGAAGATTCCACAATCACGGTTGAAACATCGAATGGAATTTACGAGGTACAGTGCGTCGAGCGCACTCCAAGCGGAGGCAACTCGAGCGGCGAAACGATCGTACTATTGCATGGATTCATGGGATCGAGCGAAGATTGGGATATCGTTGCCCGCGGTCTGACCGTTCGTAATAACGCTCGAGTGATCGCAATCGATTTGCCCGCTCACGGACGAACGACGTGTACGCCGCATCGAGGGAAATCCATGCGCGATTGCCTGCGCGTGGAAGCCATGCGAGATGTAGTCGCCGCAGCGATGACCAAGCTCGGATGTCCCAACGAATGTACGCACGTTGTCGCTTATAGCATGGGTGCACGCATTGCACTTACTCTCGACGAATCAAGTCTGAAGTCTATCGTCTCCATCGGCGGTTCTCCGGGATTGTGCGGGGAAGACGCGCGAGTCGCGCGGGTCGCTCAGGACGACGACTTAGCCGCCGCTTTACTCAAGGGTGATGATGCGCGTGAGTTCGCCAAAGTTTGGTATCGACGAGGTTTGTTCTCTACTCTCGTCGCTCATCCACGATTCGGTGGCGTCAATGGGCTCGCCGAACGTCGCGGATCAGTCATTGGGACGAACGCAGAGGCGCTCGCTGCGTGCCTCGCCGCCGCCTCACCCGGACGTCAAATCGAGGGTTGGTCGACGCTTTGTCGTCTTCGCGGTAAGCTCACGATGATCGTGGGCGACAAGGATGAAAAGTTCAAATCGATATCGCGCAAGATGCAAGACGCCATGAGTGAAGGGGTGGTAGACGCGGCGCCGTGCAAAGTATTTATCGTTCCTCGATGCGGACACGCGGCGCATTTGGAAGCGCCTGAGTCCGTCGTCGCGCGCGTTCTCGAGGCAATCGACGCGCAGCAGTAGAAATTAGCTCATAGTTGGGATTTGAATTAAGTGATGACCATTAAATCACGGTCGGTAAAGTAATGAATCGACTCGGCGCGCGAGCGATTTTTAATCCTTCTTCCCGAACAAGGAGAACGGGTTGAATTTCTTGCCCTCGAGCGGATCCTTCATCTTAACAGGGCCCTTGGACATAGACTTCGCGAAGCGGCTCGTGCCGCCCACCGTCTTGTTCAACGCCGCGGTCTTCTTCGCCATCTCCTTGCGCTTCGCCTCGGCCTTCACCGCCGCCGCCTTCTTCGCTTCAGCCGCCTTCGCCGCCGCCGCCTTGCTCTTCTCCGCGAGCGCCTTGGACTTGGCCTTCGCGTCCTCGGCCTTCTTGCGCGCGGCTTCTTGGTTCTTCTTCATCATCTCACGGCGGTTGGACGTGTCGATGGTCTTACCAGCCTGTGGTTATCTCGCGAATCGTTCGCGTCAGTCAGTCCTCGGCTCGCGCTCGAAAAGATCTTCCCCAGGGTGTCCCGCGCGGGACTGATCTTGACCATATCCAGGGCGCCCGCGTCGCCGCGCGAGCCCTTCGCGGCGGTCTCGTGCAAATACGCGAGGCGGCACGAAACCTTCGCGCCGTGCGCGCGCGCGTGAGCGACGCTGACACCGCGATCGCGCGCGCGCGTCGCACGAATTCCGCTCGACGCGTCGAGTGGATAAAGAGCGCGCGAGAGACCAGACGACGCGCGCCGCGCACCTTGACGACGAGACCGCGGCGCTGCGACTTGGCGGGCTTAGTCGCCGTGAGCGCGCGGGGGGCGGTGATCTTGGACGACAGGGCGAACATAGCGATGACGAGGGTGGGAGAGTGCGGCTCCAGGGACGAGGTGGGAGAGTGCGGCTCCAGGGACGAGATGGTTGAGCCATCGGGCTCGAGCGCGTAGATATTAACTTTGCTCGCGTTCGCCGGGGGCGTACGGTAAGACGCTGAGAATGGCGCGCACGGTGCCTTCACGCGCAGAATCGCCGGCGGAATCGCCGACGTGATGCGCGTGTTGGCGGAGGATGTCGCGCAAATCAGATAACGCGATGGCGTTTTGCGAGGCGTCGAGGTAGAGCCGGCGCATGATCGGCGCGTGGTCGGTTGCCCAGAGGTGGGCGAAGACCAACGTGAGGTGCTCGAGGGTGGCCAAACCGGCGTCAAGCTTTTGAAGATACTCTTCCTCTTCGGTGAGATCGATGCCGAGATCTTCGTCGACGTTTTCCAGACGCGCTTGCTCCGCGCTCACGCGTTTGGCGAATTCCACCCAAAGCTCTACGAGTCGGTCACACTTGGCGTAGTCTTGTTCGACGAATTTCGCGCAAAGCCTGTCGCGGCGATCGGTGTTGTCGACGTGCTTGAACAGCGAGCAGATGACGCTGCTCGAACGCGTTTGTTGCTCGAGCGCGGCTTCGTTACCGAACGTCTTGCGAACCGCTTTCGCGTTGCGTCCCATAAAGATGGAGAACAAACTCTTCAACCCGAGACCGTCTATGAAGCGATTACACGCGTCTTTGTTCCCGCTCAACACGTAATCCAAACACTTCAGCGCAGGAAGTGACGCAAAGCTCGTCTTTTTTGCGTCCCCGCGCGTTCCATTAAGCAATATTAACATGAGTTCAACGCCCTCAAACTCGACAAATTGCGCCTTGTTCTCGGGAACCATGGCGACGGCGCATATAGCATCAAATAAATTTTCAACGAGCTCCTTTTCGCCGTCGTCCTCGGGCTCACGCTTCTTATACGCCGATGCCGCTTGTAATAGGCTCTCTAAACCATTCATATCCACGCACTGCTTGCGACATTTCGCGCTGCTTTGTAAAATGATGGCTAAAATTTCCGAAGCGTACAGCTTGTTTTGATCGACGTCACGCTTCTTCTCAACGCGTTTCAAAAGCCATTTCAACAGGTCGGTTTCCTCGCAAAACCCTTCTAGCGCCTTATTACTAGACTCTCCGCTCGCATCATCGACTTGAGTGCCCATGATTTCGCCTAAGTTCTCCACGATGCCCAACACCGACGACACCGCGTTCGACGTCTCGCTCGACGTCGCCTTTAGTTTACCACTCGCGTCCTCAAACCGTGTCAACGCCGCGTACAGCGCTTGATACCCACCGCTCTCACGCAGTGCAGTCGCCAGCGCCTTTCCTCCGTTTTCATCGCTCTCTACTGCGTCCGAATCCGTGAGTTCTCTCAAAACCTCCAACGCGTCGGCGACGACGTCCTCATTTTCGTGTCCCAACACCGCCACCATGCTAGGCACTGCGTTCAACTTCACCAACTCTTCGTACAACTCGGGCGCGCTCGCGAGTGTCCCCAATCGTTTCACTTCGCAATCCAGCTCGATCTCGCTCTCTGCGAATTTTCGAGGTTCGTTTCCGTATTTCGCCCGCGCCTTGACGTTCTCCGCGTACGCGCGCTCAAACGCCAACACCAACCTTCGCACGTGTTTCGCGTCGATCGCGCCCGCGGAGCCGTCACCATCGTTAGTGACGTCGTCGTTCGTCACTCCGGCGCGCGTTTCGGCCTGCGCGAGCAAGTCCTCGGCAGTGCGCGACGTCGGTTCACTCGGACGGTCGAAGAATGACTCGTCGAGGATTGGACGCCGCGAAGCGCGCTCGTCCTCTTCTGCGGCTTCGTCTCCGCCGTGGTCCCGGGAACGCTTGTTCGACATCGTGGGTGTGCCGATTAAAGCGGCGCGAAACGGATCCACGGTCGAGGACGCGCGTCGGGTTCTGCGGCGGCGGCGGCTCGGGCGCGGGCGCGGGCGCCGGCTACGGCACCGGCAAACGAAATGTTTCAGTGCTGTTTTTGATATCACGATGGTTTAAAAAAATGAATGCTACTTAGAATACACGCGAGTGCGCCGTGGCGACGCGAGCGAAAGCTGAGGGCGCGCGAGGAGATTTGCTGAAATTTCGACGCTTGCTGCCTGCGCCGCCTGGGCGCGGTTTAGGAGCGCGGTTCGGTGCCAAAGACGACGCCGCGCCGTTGGCATCGTTCGTTTTGATGCTGATATCGCTCGTAGATTTCGCGTCATCTACACGACCAACGCCACGACGCTCGCTACGCCACTTTTGCAGTCGCTCGTCCAACGCGCTTCGAGTCTTGCCGACGGTGTGCTGTCGCGAGTGAGTTCGTCCTTCGGCGATCTCGCTGTCGAATCGCGCGAACGCGTCGTTATCGCAACCCCAGCGCCGCATAACATCACCGACGTCACCATCAAACTTTCTGAGCTCGTAAACGCTGCGCTTGTCGAGAATCTCGAATTGAGAGTCAGGGATGGTTTTCGAGCGCCACTCGGTGAGCTCTTCTTCACTCGCGAAGTCGCGCGTGTCCAAATCCTTAGGGTCGTACACGGCGTGACGCCAAAACAATACAGGGGAAGCCAACGTCCGCAGCATCTCTTCGTCTTCGGTGAGCAGATTGTCCGCGCTCGCTCGCGCCACCGCCGCTTCGAGCGTGGGCAAGCAAATGGGATCCGTGTGCACGTGTTGCTTGGCGGTGTGCAAGTGATGCAAATGCATGCGATTGAGCTCCTTCACCTCTTGACGCATTTCATCCATGGACATATACTCTCCAGTGTCGGGGTGAATGATGTATCCTTCGTCGTCAGTGTATCTAGAGTACTTTGAAAATTGTGCGTTGGATGGCACTACCTCGGCGAAGCCGGGATCCGCAGCCGTGAGCGAGTTTTGCAACGCGTTCTCCATCGGGGAGACGTGAATGCGATGATTGATGCACTGCGGACAGTAGTCCAGCGCAAACAGTTCCCGTATGGGCGATCCAGGGTCGACGAGCTGGCGAACATTTTTCGATATCTGCGCCCTACCGCCTCGGGGAATCACGGCGAGCGAGTACGCCAAGGGCGTGATCGGTCGCAAATTGTAAAAACTCGCCTCCGCGCGCTTGAGATCGCGGAGCGGGTCGCATGAGACGTCATACTCGTCACCAATTGACGCAAAATCCATCATATCCGGTCCTTGCGTATACGTGTAAAAGCTAAAGTCGGTACATTCTCCTTGGTAGTACATGTTGAGCATCCACTCGATGCCGTACAAGTAGTCGTACACGCGCTTCTTCTTGACGTCATTCTGAGCGGGGTTAGAAGAACTTGCCAGCGCATTACTTGCCGATTTTGCCGCATACGATGTATCGGCAAGTTTCAAGGACAGTTGCTTTAAGAACGCCCAATTCACCGAAGTTTGAATTCCCGTCGCGCTCTTTTGCTTCTTTTTATATCCGGCGCCATCCGGCTTTGCTTGTGCGCTTAGCTCTTGATTTGCAGGCATCGGAAAGAGCGGATCATCGCGATAGAGATAAGTACCTCGCATTTCCAAGTATGCTTTCCAGCTCGTCTTCGCCCCGAGCTTGCTGCCGGTGATGTAATCGTTCCCCATCATCGCCGACAACCCGATGAAGTCGCGTCTGGCGCTGTCGAGCGACGCACCCTTCGGTAACGATTGCAGCAGCAACTGATCAAACAGCCGCGCGCTGAAAACTACGTTTCCACTCAAAACGTACACCTGAAACTCCTCGTTTGACGCGTATCGCGTCTTTTGACCTTGCCCGAAGAGCGTCATCGCGAGCAACAACGCGTCGCTGTCCTCCGTCACGATGCAGTGCGAGTGCCCTTGAAACCGTGGGTTCTGCAATCGCTGTTGAATCGACTTGACGAGTTTAATCTCCCCCTCTCCCGCCACGCGCATACTCGATATCTCGTACAGCACGTTATCAGCCGGCGAACCCGCGTGATCGCGTCGCAACATCCTCCGCGCCACGTAATACTCCAACGCCCTGTCAATTTTCAGCGCCAACACGCTCCCCGGCGTGATTCCAATCTTCAACAGCTTGCTCATATCATCGCTCAGCGGCGTCGCCGCCCCCGCACTCAGTCGAATCCTCCGTCGTCTCTGCGTGATCGTCTTCGCCATCGGTGCCGGTCCATCCAGCGCCAACGTCACGCTGTGCCTCGGGTTCGTCTTCGTCAACCTGTTATCCAGCAGCGTGAACAACTTTTTAAAAAACGACCGCTCGCTGTTCGTGTTGTGCGCCGCGACGTGCAGAAGATTGTTCACGTCCACGTACACGTGATCGTACCGCTTCGGCCGCCGTTTGTGTCGTCCTCCGCGCAGGAACGCGCCGTTGAATTCGCGTTGGAGGTATTTGTTATACCCAGTGATGCCCATGATTCTTCGCAAACGTTCGAGCGCGCGCGCGCGTCCGCGTCGTCGCGCGTCGACGCGCCGACCCTTCACGCGCGTCGCGTTCGCATGCGATTCGAGAGCCTCCGACGGCGCGCGGCGCGGTGACGCGGCGCGCGCGAGTGTGACGGCCCGCCTCGGTCTCGGCCCGACGAACGCCTCGGCCCGACAAAACGTCGCGCGGCGCGCGCGATGCGCGCGCGCGCGGACGTCGCGCGCGTCCGCGCGCACCGCGCGAGCGCGCGAGCGCGGACGACGACGACGGCGACGACGAGGCGGCCGTCGCGCGCGCGCGCGGCGGCGAAAACCTCCGGTGCGGCGACGGCCAAGGCTGAGCGCCTGGACGCGCTGCTGTCGCGACTCGGGCTGACGTCGCGCGCCGACGCGGCGAGATTCATCGCCGAACGCGTCGTCACGACGGACGGCGCGCGGGCGACGGAACGCGCGACGAGCGGGAAACTCAAGGCGCGGGCGGCGGACGTGCGCGTCGACGGCGAGACGCTCGAAGACGTCGACGGATTGCTAATCGTGATGCACAAGGCGCGAGGGGTGGTGTGCTCGCACGATGTCAGAGAAGGGACGAGCGTGTACGATGCGCTGCCGGAGCGCTGGCGCCGCCGGAAGCCGTCGATCGAGAGCGTCGGACGGTTGGACAAAGATACGAGCGGGTTGTTGTTGCTCACCGACGACGGCGCGCTCGTACACGCGCTCACGACGCCGAAGAAGGAGATTGGCAAGTGGTACAGGGTGAAAACTGACAGACCGATACCGCGAGACGCCGTCGAGGTGTTCGCGAGCGGCGAGTTGACGCTCGACGGCGAGACGAGGGCGTGCAAGCCCGCAGTCTGTGAATTAATGGACGACGAAACAGAAGCGCGCTTACGGTTGACTGAGGGCAAGTTTCATCAGGTGAAGAGAATGTTTGCGTTTTTCGGGTGCACGGTGATAGGGCTGCATCGAGAATCGTTCGGGTCGCTGACGCTCGAGAGAGCTGGAGTCTCGGAGCCGGGAGACTTCAAGACGCTTCCGTTAGATTTCGACTTTAGCGAAGAGTGATGACGCAAACGATGTTCTCTAGTTCAGATGTGTGTATTGTAAAACCGTGTTGTTAATAGTAGTGTAAAACAGTAGTACGACGTATCGGTAACGCCTTAAATGACCGGGCCTCCCGGCATGTGGAACTCATCGGCGAAGGCTTCAACCTCTGCTCTGAGCGCGGCGATGGCCGGGACGTCGTTTTCGTCCAAGTACGCCTTGAAGTCCTTCAACTTACCACCCTCCGTCTTCTTCTTGATATCGATCGCGATTTGGACGCCTTGGTCGATAAGATTGGCGACGCGAACGAAGTCAGCCTCCGTCATGCCGCGCGTCGTCATCGCAGGGCTTCCAATACGAATGCCACCAGGAATCAGCGCCGAGGTGTCGCCCGGAACTGAGTTCTTATTGAGGGTGATGTGAGACAAGTCAAGGATCTTCTCCACGCGCGCACCATCCACGCCCTTCGGGCGCAAGTCGCACAAGATCAAGTGGTTGTCCGTGCCGCCGGAGACGAGCGTGTAGCCGAGTTCCATCAAGCGGTTGGCCATGGCGGCGCAGTTCTTGATGACTTGCTCTTGATACTTCACGAAGCCCGGAGTTTGAGCTTGCTTCAACGCCACGGCCAACGCGCCGATAGTGTGGTTGTGCGGACCACCTTGGAGACCAGGGAAAACCGCCGAGTTGATGGCTTGCTCGTACTCTTTCTTGTAAAAGATCATACCCCCACGCGGACCTCGAAGAGACTTGTGCGTGGTCGTGGTGACGATGTCAGCGTACTCGAACGGATCGTCCGCGAGTTTCGCGGCGACCAGACCAGAGATGTGCGCCATGTCAGCCATCAGGTACGCGCCGACATTGTCGCAAATCTCGCGCATGCGCTTGTAATCAAAATTACGAGCGTACGCCGAGGCGCCGGCGATGATCATCTTCGGTCGGAACAACATCGCATTCTCCTCGAGCTTGTCGTAATCGACCAATCCAGTGGCTTCGTTCAAACGGTACGGCATGGATTCAAAGTACACGGACGTGGCGGAGATCTTCTTCTTCGGCGTGTAAAACCCGTGCGTGAGGTGACCGCCGTGCGGCAAGTCCAAACCCATGATGCGTTCATGCGGTTGCAACATCGCCGTGTACACGCAAAAGTTCGCCGGAGAACCAGAAAGCACTTGCACATTCACACCCCATTCCGCCGGGTTCAATCGATACGCGCTCAACGCACGGTTTTGGCACAAGCGCTCCGTCTCGTCGATGAACTCGTTCCCACCGTAATACCGCTGTCCCGGCAAGCCTTCCGAGTATTTGTTCGTCAAGCACGACCCATTGACCTCCATCACCGCCTTGGACGTAAAGTTTTCGCTCGCGATGAGCTCCAATCCAAGTCTTTGTCGCTTCTTTTCCTTCAACAGAATCGAGTACAGTTCCGCGTCCAGCGTCTCCACGCCTTCGTCCTCGAACGGCGCCGGCTTGGCGCTTCGCGTCATCCGCGCCGCTCGGTTTCGTCGCGTCTTCCCGGACGTTGTCGACGACGAAGACGTCCATCGCGCATTCGTCAGCGTCGTTCGAGGCGCGACGGCGTACATCTTGCGCTGAAGCGAGTGCGTTCAAGTCGCACGGCGGCGAATTTCAAATTCGAACTCGACGACGACGACGACGACTGCGCGGCGCGCGGGACGAAGCGAGCGCGCGGGACGACTCGAGCGCGTTTCGATCGGTTGGCGTCGTTCGCGTGCGTGCGCGCGAGGACGACTCAGCGACGTGGAACGCGCGAGGAAGTGCGGCGCGGCGGCACACTTGGGGTTTTTTGAATCACGCGACTATACTAGTCTAAGCGACGACGACACGATGTGAGCTAAGATCGCCACGAATGCTAACGGGGAGGGCGGGGATGGGCGTGTGATAAATGTGCGCGATTACGCGCGCACGACCTCACGCACGCATAGCTTTGAGCTGGTTGTAACGGATGAGAATGGCGTCGAGCGAGCGTCCCTCGCATGCGGCGCCGGGCTTGAGGAGACTTTCGAACGGTTCGTTGAAAGCAGCGCAGGCAATGAGGGCGTTATCCTGAACTTGGGTGAAAGGGTTGCGAACGACCGGATCGTCCTCGCATTCCGAATCGGATAGGTCGTCGCGTTCCATGCCGAATCGCCGCCGCAACGGGACGTCGTCGGCGTCGGAATCCGATGCGGAGTCCGCGATTTCTTCTCGCACGACGGTATTTTTACGTTTGCCGCGCGCAGTCGCGGCTGATTTAGGCCCGCGATTTACGGTCTGAGACGTTCGACCGGAGCTTGCGTTCTCGTGATCTCGCCAACGCTTGTGCACAGCAAACGGAACGCGGTCTTTCAAGCGCGAACACACAAAATCCCACAATTTTTTGTCATACTTGCCCAGATCTCTCGCGTTTGCGCTCTTCCATTCGACTTCGTTCAACGCTCGCTCGATGATATTGATCTCGTTTTCATCCAGCGCTCGCGTGGCGTGGTCGTACTCTCTCCGCACAGCGATTCCAATTTCCGTGTTCGCGTACATTTGCGCCTTTCGCAGTTGCAGCGCTCGCTCGCGTATGTTGGTTGGCTTGGCGTTCACGAGGAGCTGCGTCGCGATCGTGCGCCAGTCAGAACTGTAGCGGCGGATGCCCAATACTATCAACCACTCCTCGGCAGGAGTGAAGATGTCGTGTTTCGATCTCGCCTTCAACTTGTGCCGAACCAGCGGCGACAGCGGCGCAGCCCCGATGAGAAGGCTCGGATCAGGAGATATTTCCGGTAAGAACCGCTTCGTCAACTCGAAGACTTCGCGTGGCACCGGTTGCCACACGTAAAGATCACGTTCGAGTTCAGCTCGATTTCGCCCAAGCCTCACTGGTATAATGCGTTTCGTCACAGGATCTTTAATGTGCTTGTCCGCTTCAAGTTTGTCGTACATGTCCATCACTTCAGTCCACGTCTTCGCGTGCGGTCTAAACAAATCATCCACTCGTACGTGTTGCTCTGAATTCGGTGCGAAAGCTGCGTTTGATGTCGCGTCGTGGGTCATCTCAAACATTTGCACCGGATTTCTCCACAACCTCGGCGGCGGCGCGAAAGCGAGTCTGCTCATTGCGTGCACGAAATTGAACGCACATCGAAGAGGTGCGCAATCAAGAACAGTTTGCACGCCTCGCTTTTCCGTGCACACGTGCCAAGGCGCGTCATCGCCGCCGTATAGCGATTTAGCGTGCCTCTTTCTTTTCACGTCGCGCAGGCGCCTATCTTGCAACACTCCCGCGCGTTGCAAAATTGTGATGTTCACGAGTGTCGCGCTAGTCACTTCCACGAGATCTTCTCTCGTGGCACACACGCTATACGTTTGGAACAATAGTTGCGTGTGTTGGTGTATCTGTTTCGCGAGCGTCTTAAACTGCGCTGATGTCATCGACGACAATTTTTCGATCACCTTGTGATTTTTTTGAAGCAACTGTCGGCTCCTTTTTCGCTTCTCTCGCAGCGTTTTACCATCGCCCGTGCGATCGCTTGGTTCGCTGATTCGGTCAGATCGTCGCACGATTGACGGTGGTGCGCTCGCATCGCCTCGTCTGATCGCATCTAAGCGTTCTCTACGCAGAATGTACTCGTATTCTGCAGCTCTGGGATTTTCGTCGGCGTAATCGTCGTCGTTCTCATCGTCTTCGTCCTCGTCTTCGTTCGCGTTCGTCCCGCGCCCCGAGGCTGATTGCTGGTGTAAATCGCCAAATTCAACACTCGCATCATTCAGTGTCGCCAGAAAACGATCGTACTCGGCCCCATCATCGAGCCAATCGTACTCTGGCTCGGCGTCTGGCAACGCGAGCTCGAGCTCAGCCAACTCGCGCTCCTCTATCGTCCCCGTCTTCGCCCGCGTACGCCGCGCGATGGCGTTCAACAACATCTCCTCGTCGTCGTCGTCGTCGAAGAATCCATCGAACCCTAAATCTACTGCCGCCCCCGCCGCGCGCTTCGCCGGCGAGTTCCCCAACGACGCCGCGCCCCTGGAATCGTCGTCGAAAACCGACGCAAACGCCGCGTTCGCCGCCCCTCCCCGTCGCCGTCTACCACCACCAGGCGCCCACTGCGCCGCGCGCGCGGCATCTGTGCCACTGAAACGCATCATCTGCATCGTGCCCATCCCCCTGCGCGGCGATCCCGCGTCAACCTCGCTCGCCGCTTCCACCACGGCGTCGAAGTCTTCGTCCTCCAGCGACACATCACTATCGCTCTCCGTGTCCTCTAAATACTCGCGCACCGGTCGCGCCAGCGCGCGCGCGTCGTCGTCGTCATCGACTCCGTCGCTCTCGTCGCTCTCGTCGCCTAAAGACCCGTCCTCGCTCGCGCTCTCGTCGTTGAATTCCCAATCCAAACTCCCGAGCGCGGGACCGGGTCGGTAGTCTTCGTCGTCTAAATCGTCGTCGGAATCGATCGCCAGCGCGTCGAGGGTCGGATTGACGCGCGTCGTGTTCGTCGTCTTCGATTTCCCGCGCGGCGAGCGCGCGGGAGAGTCCATCGCGACGACGAGTGCGGATGAGCGCGAGCGGCGAGCTGTCGCGTTTGAATTCGACTCAACAAGAGGCGCCGCGTCGACGTGGGAATGATTGATGTGATACAACTACATACAGCGCAACGCGTACGAGGGACTAAACTAATAGCACGCCGTTGACGCAACCGTCGTTCTCGGGGTTGTTCGTGATTTGTGCGTACTTCCCCCAGACGACTTTGCCTCCCGGCGTGACGAGACCGAGCTCGCTCACGTTGACCTCGATAATCGTCCCTTTGGTGAGCACACCCAAAGACGAATACATCGGGCCGTTCGGGTTCTTCTTGACGCCTAAAATTTCCAGCTGAAACGTCGCCTTGAGCTCGGGATGGGTGATGTGTGCCTTGGTGAAACGCAAACCGCTCGGTCGAATGAAGCGTTCGTACTTCGGCGGCTTTCTCGTGAATCCCGGACCGACGAACGTGGCCTTTGTGATCATGCGCTTCCACGACTTTTTCATTCGTTTCCCGCTTCGCATGACTTTGAACATCTCGTCCTCCGCCACCGGTCGCACCTTGGGCAAAGGCACCTCCCACTTCCCCGCCTTTTCCTTTCGCTTTTGCTTCACCGTGTTCGACAGCACCTTCGCCCTGGACGTCTGCTCGCGATCCATCAAATACGCCGGTATCGCCCCCGGTTGCGCCTTTTCTTCCACCTTGTGCTTATTATTCCGTTCACTGTGCGAATTAATCGTCTTCTTCATCTCCACCTTCTCCTTGTGTCGCTTCTTCGCGTACAGCTTCGCCTTGAGTCCTATCAACTTCTTCGCCACCTGGCTCCGTTTATGCGGCTCGCGCGCCTCCTTCTTCCGCGTCCGCTCCTCATGATCCAATCGCTTCCCGTACCGTTTCTGGAACAGCTCGATGTGTTCATTCTGCGGCATCTCGCGTCGCGCTCGACGCGATTCGCGTCCTCGTTCCTCGTCGAATCAATCGAATCCAATCCAATCAAATCCAATCGACGCCGTCCCGTCGCCTCGCCGCCGCCGCCGAATCCCGTCCTCTTCACCGTCCGTCCTCGTCGTTCACGCGTCGCGTCGGTCGTTCGCGCGCCGGTCGCGCGCGCGTCGATCGCGGTCGACGCCTTCTCGCCGGACCCGCCCGCGTCTTCGCCCCGCGCGCCGTCGCGGTCGCGTCGTCGTCGTCGTCGTCGTCGCGTCGCGCACTGAAGGCGCGGCGACGGCGACGACGCCCGCGTCGTCGATGTCGTGTGGGTAAACAGTGCGAGATCGGCGGTCGGTCGCGAGGGCGTCGGCGCGGCCCCGATGTCGCCTCGCGAGGGCGTCGGCGTGTAAACCCTCGTTCTTTTTGTTCCTTCACTTCGTATCTTTTATTATACACAGTGTACCTGAAACTTTCTACTCGGCGCGGCCCCGATTTCGCCTCGCGAGGGCGTCGGCGCGGCCCCGATCGACGCGCGACGATCGACGCCCGACGACGACGACGGCGCATCGCGACGCGCGCGCGCGCGAGCGCTCGAGACCGTCGAAAGGCGCGGCGACCGATCGCGTCCCGACCGAGGGCGACGCGCGAGACGCGCGCGCGACTGCACGCGACCGCGACCGCGATCGCGCCGAGTCCGAGGACCGACGCGTTGACGCGCGCGCGAGGAGCGCGCGAGGGCGAGGAGGGCGCGCGCGCGAGGCGCGATGGAGCGAGCGATGACGCGCGCGACGGCGAGCGGGCGCGCGACGGCGTCGCGAACGATGATGGATCGCGGGACGCGCGGGACGCGAACGCGAACGCGAACGCGAACGCGAACGCGAGCGACGCTCGGAGGGACGCGCGGACGCGAACGGGGACGGGCGATGGGCGTCGAGCGAGGATACGAGCGCGAGTGGGGATGGACGCGGGTCGTCGAGCGCGCGAGCGAAAGAGGGAGGAGGACGACGCGAACGGCGCGAGCCGCCGCGCTCGGGGACGACGGCGGGTCGAGCGGCGCGGGATCGAGCGGGAACGGCGGGAAAGGCGGTGATGGCGACGGCGGAGGCGAGGATGGGGGGGAGAACGATGATGACGACGACGACGACGACGTCGTCGCGCGCGATCTCGATCAGCGGAGCAGCGCGGAGGAGGTGAAGTCGACGTGCGAGCGAAACGGGTTGGAAGTGCCGCGGGATTTGCTGGACGCGGACGGGGGGACGATGCGGTCGGACACGCTCAATTTGTACGTCAAGTACTCCAAGGTTAGTGTTTTAGCGTTCTTGATGAACACGTTTCCCGCGGTGCGGGATCGCATGTTGGCTGATCCTCGGTTCGCGTTTAAGCTCTTCGTGGAAACCGGGGCGGACGCGGCGATGAATACGGCGATGGAGATTAAACAGCGGGGCGAAACGTTTTGGGATGAGTTTGAGTTCTTCGCGTGCGATCAAATCGCCGCGTTCGCGGTGAACACGGCGATTTTGACGATTTGTTCGCCCGCCATCGTGCTCGGGAACACCACTCGATCGATGCGCAAGCTCGGCGAGCTGAGCGCCAAAGCCAACGGCGCGACCAAGTTGTGGTACCAGACTCGCAAATACATCGGCAAGCTGCCGCCGAACGTGTTCATGCTCGATCCCAAGCTCGGGTTGATGGCGAAACTCGCGCGCGGTGGCGCCACAATCGTCGCGAGGGGGGGACAGATCTTCTTCGTATCCACCCTGTGCGGCACCGTCGGTCAGGCGACGGCGAACAGTTTGATGATGTTGCGCCGAGCCGCGGGCAAGGACAAGTACAGCAAGGCGTACGCCGAGTCCATCGACGATTCCGTGGACCCGCCCGTGTTGGACACGGGCTTGCTCTGGGGACGCTTCATGTGCTTTTCGGCCAACATTCGTCAGCAGCTCGTCATCGGCGGCGAACGCGCGGTGGAGCAATTCGCGCGCGGAAATCGCCGCCTGACGAACGGCGCCACGATCGCGTTTCGAGTGTTCAACAACATCAAGAGTGGGAGTGATTTCAACGATTTCGTCATAGGGCAGGCGATCGCTGAGGCGGCGCGTAGAAACGGAGGCATACCGAGCTAATATTATTTTTAGGACGCCGTTGTAACATCGATATTGATTGATATCGCGCTTCTTCACGAGTCGGCCTCCAAGGGCGCCGGCGCGGGCAAAGTTCCTTCGCGATCGATGAATGGACGAATCTTCGGCGGCGCTCGCGCGGGCTTGGGCAAGCCGCGCGGAAATTTCTCCGGCTGCAACAACGCGCGCAACCCGAGGCGATTGTAATGCACTCGCGTCACGCTCCCGCCCGCGCGTTCGATGATTTCCTTCGCCTTGGCGCTCGCGCGCGACACCTCCAATCGCACCTTTATGAACGCATCATCCGCGCCCTCGGCGTCGTCTCCGAGCGCGCCCGCTAAAATTTTCACCCCATGCTTAATTTTCCTGTTCGACAACCCCGCGTCGACGAAATCCTTCATCGTCAACACGCGCGGATTTTCGTAGTCGTACTCCCCGAATCGTCCCGCCTCGACGTGCGCTCGCAGCGCGTTCAAATTCACCACATCAAACGTCATCGCGTGCGGATTATGCGCGCCGCGTTTCGGCAGCGTCAATCGCAGCGGCGTTTGTCCGCCCTCAAACCCGAGCCTCGGCCCCCCTCCGCTTCGCGCCTTCTGTCCCTTGTGCCCTCGCCCGCTCGTCTTCCCCTTCCCGCTCCCGACGCCTCGCCCCACGCGTTTACGATTTTTCCTCGCCCCGTCCACGTCTCGCAGCGCGTTCAGCGCCAGCACGCCCCCGGTGTCGTGTTCGATCACAGTTCCCGGTCCCCGGACGACGCCCACGTCCGCGGCGTCGTAGAAATCAAATCCTCGCGTCTCGTCGTCCCGCGGCGGCGCCGCGCCGCCCTCGGCGAACCCTCGCGCGCGCGTCGGCGTCGTCGCCGCGCGCGTCGATCGCGCGCCGCGGTCGCGCGAACCATCGCGCGAATACCGCGTCGCCGTCGTCGCGTTCGACGACGCCGCGCGGTGCGTCGCGCGGTGCGTCGCGTCGTCGACGCGCGCCGTCGTCGTCGTCGTCGTCGTCGTCGTCTCGCGCGCGATCGACGCGCGCGCGACGCGCGACGCCGCGAGCGCGCGTCGCGTCGTCGCGCGAAGCATCGTCGTCGAGCGCGACGCGCGCGCCGTTCGTCGCGCGTCGCCCGGCGCGCGTCGTCGAGTGGCGCCGACGTCGCGGCGCGTCACATCGCGGCGTCGCGGCGTCATGGCGACGGCGCCGCGCGCGCGTCTCGCCGCGCGCGTCGATCGCGCGACGACGCGTCGCGCGGTGACGCCGCGACGTCGGCGACGCGCGCCGCGGCGTCGCGCGCGCGCGCTCGCGCCCGCGGCGTCGGCGTTCGCCGTGCCGTTCGCCGTGCTCGCGGCGGCGTCGCTCGGACGCGTCGTCGCGTCGCGAACGCGCGTCGGACGCGCGGCGACCGCGCCCGTGTGCGCGATGGCGTTCGGCGCCGCGTTCGCCGCGATCGGCGCGCTGCCGAGCGACGGCGCGCGCGGCGTCGCGGAGGCGCAAAAGATGTGCGCGTTCGCCGCGACGCCGATGACGCTCCTGCGAGCGAACGCGCGCGCGGGAGGGACGAGAAGAAGGACGCGCGCGATGGCGCGAGCGTTCGTCGTCGCGGCGATCGGGAGCGCTTTCGGCGCGGTGTTCGGGGCGCGCGGCGCGAGCGCGGCGTTCGGGGGGGCGTTTAGTTGGAAACTCGCCGCGGCGCTGGCGGCGAAAAACGTCGGCGGTGGATTGAATTACGTCGCCGTGGCGACGACGCTGGGGATGGATGGCGAAGAATTCGTCGCGGGACTGTGCGTCGATAACGCGATGGCGCTGGCGTACTTTCCGTTCATTTCGTGGTTGGCGCGACGCGAGGGCGAGCGAGGAAGCGGCGACGCGGCGGACGACGAGGACGACGCCGAGCGCGAGCGCGAGGCGACGACGGAGCGCGAGGCCGAGGACGCGGACGGCGCGGCGGCGCGCTCGGGCGCGGACGACGCGTTGTCGGCGTTCTTCGTCGCCGTCGGCTTCCTCGCCGCGGGCGAGCTCGTCGCTCGCCTCGTGGGCCAACCCGACGCCGTGCTCCCGATGGCGACGGTTTTCACCGTCGTTTTCGCGACTTTGGCGCCGAAACGCGCGGCGTCGCTCGCCGTCGCCGCGGAACCGCTCGCGAACGCGATGCTCTTCGTGTTCTTCGTCGCCGCCGGCGCCGCGGGCGGCGTTTTGAGCGCTTCCACGTTTGCGCGATACGCCAACGTCTTCGTCTTCTCATTCATCCTGTACGCCGTCCATCTCGCCTTTGTATTCGTCGGCATTCGCGTCGACGCCGATCGCCGTCGCGAGTACGTCCTCGCGAGCAACGCCAGCATCGGCGGTCCCGCCACCGTGGCTTCGCTCGCCGACGCCGTCGGTTGGCGTTCGTTACGCGCGCCGGCAGTTTTAATCGCCACGCTCGCGAATTCCATCGCGACATTTCTAGGCTTAGCGCTCGCCGCAGTCCTTCGTAGTTCGTAGTCCGTAGTCGCCGTAGTCCTTTTTTCCCGCAATATCCACAAATTCCACAGGTGCGGGCACAATTTTCTCCGTCTCAGAAATGTTTGCGAGGACGTCCAGTCACCACCGCCACGCCCCGCCATCGTCACTCGGCGTCGCGCGCCATGGACTCTCCCGCGCGCGCGAACGCGTACGGGAACACCGGGATGGAGACCGAAGTGAGACAGTTAAAGGTACGGCGCGAACGCGACGCGACGCGACGCGACGCGACGCGACACGACGACGACGATCGCGACGAAGACGTCGAAATCAAAATCGAAATCAAATCGCGCACTGACGCCGAAACATCGCCGACTCGCGTCCGCGCAGGATCATCAACAAACGCGCGAAGAGTTGCTCAATCGCGTGCACGCGCTGAAGACAGAACTTCAGGATTGGCGGTATAAGATGGATAATCAGGTGAAGAATTACAAGGGCGAGTTGGCGAGTCTCAAGGAGACGTTGTCGAGCGAAGTGCAAGCGCTGAGGAAAGAATTAGAAGAGACGAGCGATCGGTTGAAGCGGTCGATCGTGAGCACAAGTAGCGTGAGTACCGGACATTCACCGGGATTGCATCGATTACCGCCGCCGTGAGCGCGCGGCGCCGGCGGAGCGCAAGTCGCGCGTTTGTATTATCATCGACAGATGTGTTAGTTTTCGGAGAGTTGAAGTTTTTTTTGGCCGAGTCAACGCGAGGATGGAACGGCAGAGGGCGACGCGATGGCGGTGGCGCAACGAGTGTCGGTGGACGAAGCGCTGAAACGCGTCGTGTCGCACGCAGATGTGGTCGGCGCGGGTATCATGACGTCGCGCGGCGCGCTCGTCGAGCGGCGCGGCGCCTTCTCCGACGCGGACGCGCGCACGAGTTGCCGCCTAGTCGCAGTCGCGTCGCACGCGATCATCTCAGGAAGCGGTGGCGGTATCGATGATAATGACGATGGGATCGAGATGGTTCGCGCGCGGCGAGGCGCGTGCGAGCTCGTCGTCGCGAGGTGCGGCGGCGTCGTCATCGCCGCGCGAGCGGCGTCCACGTGACATCACAACGCGACTCGCTCCACATGATATCACTCACGTGCAAGCATCACAAACCGCACTCGCAACAATCGCAACGCCACCGACGCTCGAAAAGCCATCGATCGCGCACTTCGCGGGCGTCGTCGTCCACCCCTGGACCGACGCCCCACAGCGACGCAACGTCTTCCGGCGAGCACTTCGGCGCGTTGAGTCACGACGAACGCGTCAGCATCTTGGGCGAAGCCATCATCGATTCTGGCGCGCTCGTGTTCACGAAGAGTCACAGTGGAAGGTACACGTGCGTTGACAATGCGTTTCTCAAAGCGTTTGGGTTCGAAAAGTCCGAAGATGTCGTCGGACTCACCGACGACGAGGTGATCGAGAAGATTCTTGCGAGCGGGAAAACATTTCACCACTCGTACCGAGGCGAGTCGGTGACCGATCTTCCGCGAATTTGGAAAGAGAACGACGATCTCGTGCAGCACAACAACCGAACGATGTGGTTCAAGGAGCGCGCGTTGTTGAGCGGTGGCGAAGACACCAAGCTTCACGAATTTGTCGTGATGAAATCGCCCTTCGCGGGTGGAGTCCTCGGCGTCGCGGTGCCCGCTGGAATTTGATAGACGACGCGCCGCCGATCTCGATCAAGACCACAATGACTTAGACCAAGACCACGATGATTTAGACCAAGACCACAATGACTTAGACCAAGACCACGATGATTTAGCGTTCTTCGATGCGCGCGCGCTCTTGTTAGAATTACTTTCTTTACCTAATCTATTGTTTCATCACGCGCTTCTTCCCGTCCCGCGTTTCGACTAACGCGAAATGGGAAATAACCAAAGTTTTATCGCTCGCATAAGGATCGACGGGTCTTCCCTGTGTCTCCACCGCTGTCCTGGCGACTGTCGCCAACAATCTAGTCCCCGCGAATCGCGCGCACGCTCGCCTCAAGCGCGTACAACTCTTCGTCTTCGATACCTAACCCCCGCAAAGCCTCGCACAGGTTGTATAAATATTCGGAATTTTCTCCAGACGGACCGCGCGCTGCAGCGATTTGCTCGGCTACATCGCTCGCGTCTCCGAGCCAGTTCAAGTTAGTCGTCGCCGGCGTCGCGATATACGTTACCGCGTTTCTTATCACCGGCACCGCGTTCGCGTCATCGACGTCGTATAAATCCATCTCAATCCTCTCGTCGTACTGTTTTTCTCGTATTTCCAGGTTCTCCAGCACCGCCTCTCGGTCCTCTGCGCGAACTTCGTACGCGACGCCCCAGCACGCGACGTCCTCCGAGCAACGCTCTAACGTCGCCGTGCGCCCGGGCGCCGCGGGCGTTCCTCGATGGTCGGTGCTTCCTTGATAAAACCGTCGCCGAAACCCTCGCGCGCACACGGGCGCGATCGAGCGCGCGTACTCGAAGCCCGTGCGCCACACTATCGAACCGTATCCGAAGACCCATAACGATTCGTTCGCGCGCGTCGACAGCGGCGCGCGAGGCATGATGCCCACGTCGTGGTCTCGCGGCACGCGTTTCGCGCTCGAGCTCGCGCTGGCGACAGATCGGGCGCGATGCGCGTTCGACGCGCGCATCGCGAGCGAAGAAGCGAGGCGAACACTGGCGCGGCAGACGACGACGCGTCGACGCTCGGCCACGCTCGCGATGGCGCGCGCGACGGCGACGGCGCGCGCGACGGCGACGCGGAACGGCGCGCCGCGCGTCGTCGCGCGCGCGCGAGCGACGGCGCGCGCGGGCGCGGTGACGCGGCGCGCGAACGACGCTCGGGCGGCGAGGGCGGCGACGCTGAGGACGCGCGCGCGACGCGAGCGAACGCGCGCGCGCGCGAGCGACGCGCGCGTGGATGAATCCGACGATAGCTTCGCGTCCGCGAGCCTGTCGGCGGCGATCGCGCAGCGGGCGCTGATGATGATCGAATCCAACGCCGTCGTGGGGTTGTCGCGGGGCGAACACGCGAGCGAGCTGGCGCGACGGTTGGCGGAGGCGCTGGAAAGCGGTGCGCTGGAGAACGTGAAAGTGGTGGCGCTCGAACCGTTGGCGGCGAAGGAATGCGCGGTGAACGGGCTAGAGATGCGATCGATCGATGAGGTGCGAGCGATCGACGTGACGTTCGCGCAGCCGAGCGAGTGCGCGGTGGTGGTGACGAACGGGCAGAAATCCATCGCGAGCGTGTTCGGACGAGAGACGACGCCGGTACAACCAGATATCGAACGCGCGAAGGCGGCAATGAAAAAGAGCGTCAAGGTGGTGCTGTTGAAGGAGCTTTTCGTGGATAAGATTGGCGGGTCCATCCCCATCGTTGTCGAGGCGGAAAATTGGGAAGAACACGCGGAGGAGTTGGATGATTTATTTTTGGGCGACGCCGAGGTGTGGAGGCGAGGTGCGACGTTTGACGCGAACCCAAGAGGAGGGAAGAACCCGTACGTCAGCGCCGACGGCTCGCACACGCTGTTAGACTTGCGATTTGAAGATCCCATCAACAGCGGTCGCTGGGAGTGCGGTTTGATGCTCGACGGCAAACCGTGCGGGCCGTACGAGTTACAATACGCGTTGGAAAACGATGTCGAAGGCGTGTTGGCGCATGGCATCTACACCCAAGCCGATGTCGTGATAACGTTGAATCCGGACACGTTAGAAGCGGTGACGATCGAACGCGATTAACGCTTTAGACACTAGACGCCGAATAATTTGACTGCATTCATTCATCAAATCGCTATTACTAAGCTAGCTAACGCAACGCATTTTCATCGATGCGCTGTTCAATCTCTCGCCAATACCTCGTCGCAATACGTCGAGAACATCTGAGTCTCCGCAAACGCTCGCATGAACGATCTGTCTTGGCCTTGAAACGTGGCGAGGAACGAATCCTTGAGCAAAATTGTCACCTTTCCTTCGCCTCCTTCGTTCACGTCTGTGATGGAATGATAACGTATGCTCGCGACGAGCGAGTTTAAATACGCACGCCACGCGTTGAGGAACTCGCGCGCCGCGTTGATCGCCTCTTGAGACGGGTCGATGACTGGTCGCTTCTTGTGATTGACGGACGCCTCCACGATGGCTTCGTGAAGGGGGTGAAGATTGCGCACGAGATCCTTCATTCTCGGCAAACGCAACGGCTTACCCTCCCACTGTACCTTTACGTCGTCTTTGTACACGTTGATTCGAGTCAGATGATTCGTTCTGTTACGCAAATCGCTCGTTTTGTGCTGAACGCCGCACACAAACGGCACCGGCGCGTCGAGAAAATCAACCATGTGTTGCGGCAAGATTGGCAGAAAGAGCGACTGCCACCCGAATGGACGAAGCATTGGAATGAGCGCAAGAGAAACAGCGCTCAACTCGCCCAAGTTGTTACTAAACACCACGACTTGCTTTTCGAGCAAGACCGCGGTGAGAAGAGAGATGACATTTTCCAAACTCAAACTGCAGCACAAGCTCACGACGGCCCATCCCTGAAGGTGAAATGCTTCTTCGGCTGGAGATATTCGCGCACTCTCCGGTAAGCCGACGATATTCGTATCTAACTGCGATGAAGCGCGCTCGGAAGGCACCGGTCGTCGAAATCGAATCGGTTTCACGCCGACGCTCGGAACGAACTCGCCGCTCGCGTCGCCCAAATCCGGGACGCGACACTGACTGTAATTTTCTAAAATTTTCATCGCTTCGTTCCCATCGCTTGATGACGGTGGTGATCGCACCCACTGGTCGCCATCGTTTCCTTCGTCGTCTGGCATCAAGTCGTGCATGTTCTGTTTGATTCGTTCGACCCGTTCCATGCCCAGGACGTGCGACAACACCTCGTAGTGCGTTTCAAAAAACGGCACCTTGCTCAAGATACAGTAACATCGCGGCGCGACTTCGATGTAGCGATGCTTCAAAGGTCGCGCCTCTCGTGAAGGCGAATCTTTCGCGCCGTACGCATCCACCGCCGGCGCTCCCCGAAGATGCTGCACGATGGGCGGCGGTTGATGTAAGACTTCTGTGACGTACGCGCACACTCCGTACATGGGCGTGTTGTCGCTGGTTTGGACTTGAAAAACGAAAACCTGATCGTCGCCGTCGGTGTACGTCGTGCCGCACATGATTTCTTGCAACTTGCTCATACTCGGCGTGCGTTCGAGCAAACGCGGCTCGACGCCGTGCGGGAAACAAAACGCCGCCACTTCGTCCACGGCGAAATTCGGCGACGCTTCGCCGCCAGGATAATGAAACAACACCGATGCTTTGTACGTTTCCCCAGCTGTACCTCGATACGCGCGCAGTTTGCGCGGATCGGTGATGGCGACGTCATCTGCCACACCGCTCGATCGCGCCTCTCGCGCCGCCGAAGCCGAGTCCGCCACCACGCGCACCTCCGCGCTCGGCTCCAATCCGCACACTAAAAACGCCTCCATCGTTTTCAACTTTTCCGGCACCCCACTCGCGGGCGTTCCCGACACACTCAACTTCCCCATCACGTCTAAATCTGCGCTCGAGCTCGCCGCGCGCTGGTCGCGCAACCACCGCCGTTTCTCCGCGGTCAGCTGTTCGGGATTGAACCACGCCGCGTGCGTGACGAACGCGTCGGGCGTCGTGTCGACGAACTCGTCCTCGTCCTCGTCCTCGTCCGAGGACGACGAGCAAGCCGTACTCATCGCCGTCGGCGTCGCGCGCGACGCGTCGTCCATCACTAAATCATCGCTCGAACGGTCGCTCGTCGTCGCGTCCGCCTCGCCTCGCGCCGCGGTTCCCGAAAACGTCCGGTGCAGCGCATCGGCGAACCATCCCCCTCGACGCCACGTTGATCCTGATTCTGCGTCCGCGGGCGCGCTCTGCGCCCGCGCGAGTCTGCCTTCGACGTCGTCGCTCGTGATTTCTCGCGGCGCATCCTTTGCGTCGAGAGACGAGCTCGAGCGGTGATGATTGGCGACTATTTGTATGCCATCGACGACGAGCACGCCGCCCGTCGCGCGCGCGCGCGCGGCGTTCGCGTCGAACGCGTCGCGCGCGTCGTCCGCGTCGCCGGACGCGGGCCGCGGCATCGCGCGCGTCCGCGAGTGACGCCGAACGCGAACGCGCGTCGGACATTCGTCGCGGCGACGCGCGAGGTGACGCGCGCGCGCGCGCGCTCAAACTTTAAATTTTTTCATTCGTATTTCATGTCAACGCGCGTCGCGATGCGGGCGAGAAATCACGCGCTCGCGTCCGCGGACGGCGCGGCGTCCTTGGCGACGCCCGTGGAACCGAATCCGCCGGCGCCGCGCGCCGTGTCGTCCAAGTCGTCGCATTCGACGACTTCCGGCGTGAGAATTTGTTCGAGGATCAACTGCGCCACGCGATCGCCCTTCTTCACCTCGAAGTCTTCGTCGCCGTGGTTGAACAAAATCACCCCGACGTTGCCGCGGTAGTCGTAATCCACCACCCCCGCGCCGACGTCGATGAACTTTTTCCACGCCAAGCCCGATCGCGGGGCGACGCGCGCGTACGTCCCGAGCGGAATCGCGATCGACAGGTCTGTCTTCACCAATTCTTTCCCACGCGCCGGCACGACGCAATCGTGCGCGCTGCGACATTCGCGATCGCGTCGTCTCGTCAGTCGCCGAAAATTCAAATTTCCCTCACCCTTCGCGCGCGCGCGCGTCGGCGTTCCCTTCGTCGCTCGTCCAACGACGCGGGCGGCCTTTCGCCCGCGCGAGACGCGGGAAAAATCGCGCTTTCGCACCTCGCCAGATCGTATCCCGCCGCGCCTTCGCTCCCTCGCGTCGGCATCGTCGCGTCGTCGCTCAGTCGCTTCACGCGCAGCGCCGCGGACGCCATCGTTCGCGCGCGTTTTCGTTCGTGCGTCGTCGCGCGCGTCGTCGTCGCGCTTCGGCGTGCGAGGCGCGCGAGGATGCGATGCGTCGCGCGCGTCGTCGCGCGAAGCGGTCGCGTCGCGTCGAGTCGCGTCGCGCGATGGCGACGCCGATCGGTCGTCGCTCGACCGTCCGCACTCGGTCGCGCGACGCGAGCGACGACGCGGATGACGACGACGACGACGACGACGGGGTCCGCGCCCGCGGGGTTCGCGCGACGCGTCAAGCGCGCGCTCGGCGTGCGCCTGAGCGACGTCGTGGGGACGACGACGACGACGCGCGACGGCGAAGACGACGCGGGCGGCGACGGCGACGAGGGCGATGGCGAGGGCGGGACGACGCGCGCGCGATCGGTGGACCTGGCGACGTGCGCGCGAGCGCTGAGCGAGATACTGCCGCTCGGCGCGCACGGAGCGACGACGTCGTCGGTGAACCTGCGGGCGACGGTGGAACGGCGCGGGTTGGCGCTCAACGAAAGATTTCTCGACGAATCCATGCGAGCGCGAACGAAACTGAGTCAAGTGGAGGCGACGTTAGAGGCGTTGGACGGCGCGCGAGAACGCATGCGAACGGCGCTGGAGACTTCGAAACAAAAGACGTCGTCGCTGTTGAGAGAAACCGCGCGGGCGAAGGAGGAGTTGAGCGTCATCGAATCGAGACGCGAGCTCGTGAACTCGTTCGCCGTCGATTTTCAGTTGACCAAGGCGCACGTGGACGCGCTGACGACGGTGGAGAACGCGAGCGGGGAGAACACCGAGGGCGCATCCACCGCGGCGACGGCGGCGCCGACGCTTCCGTCGGTGTTTTTTCAAGCGCTCGAGCGCGTCAAGGTGATTCAAGGCAACTGCGCAAAGTTGGCCAACACCGATCAACAGCGCGCCGGTTTAGAACTGATGGACGTCATGACGTCGTACATGGAAACGGCGCACGAAAAAATGCGTCGCTGGGTCGTCGCGAAGTGTCGCTTACTCGCCGAAGAAGACGATTTCGTCACCGAGGGCGACGAGCGCGCCCTGCGCAAAGCGATGAGCGCGTTGCGCTTACGTCCGACGTTATTCAAGGCTTGCGTGGAAGAGGTGACGCGTACGCGTCACAACGCGCTGTTTCGTCGATTCATCACCGCTCTCACGCGCGGTGGCGCGGGGACGAAACCGATAGAAGTGCACGCGCACGACCCGTTGCGGTACGCGGGCGACATGTTGAGCTGGGTGCATCAAGCCGTCGCAGGAGAAAAGGAATTTTGCGGTGTGATTTTCACGGACGAAGCGATTGAAGGCGACCAAGACGCGTTCGATCCGTCGAAGGAGATGCTGTCGAAAGTTTTCGACGCCATCTGTAGACCTCTAAAGGTTCGAGTTGAGCAGATTCTCGCGAGCGCGAGCGCGCTGGAGGGCGGCGTGATGACGGCGTACAAGTTGGCAAACTTGTTGCCGTTTTATCGCAATCTACTCGGAGAATTGCTCGAACGCGACGCAACGATCACAAAAACCGTGAGCGATTTGTGCGAGAGCGCGAAGACGTCGTTCGCGGACGCGGTGGCGCAACACGGCGCTAAATATAGGAAACTTTCGCTCGCGCCGAACGCGCTCGCGGGCGAAGACGCGTTCTCGCCTCCTGCGGTATTGCGCGAGGGCGTGGCGAGCGCGATCGAGCTTCTCGAATCCGTCGCAACTTCGTCGAGCACGGCGAGCGGCTCGGACGCCGAAGCGCGCGAACTTTTGGCGTTGGGCGTGAACGGAGTCATCGATCCAATCGTCGGCGCCGTCGAAGCCGCGGCGTCTCGCGCGACGGAACAAGCGCGAAGCGTCATAGGCTCGAGCGGACCGAAGTGGTCGGGACACGCGTTCGCGCTCAACTGCTTGCACGCCATACGTGAGCCTCTGCGTTCGCACGCCGTGGCTGCGGCGAAAGTGGACGAACTCTCTCGCGCCATCGCGAAGAGGGTGAGCGACGTCGCCGACGGCGAAGCTGGAACGTTGCTCGCGTCGTGCGGTCTGAACGACGCGCTCGAATTGGTGGTTTTGTATCAAGAGCAACACGGCGCGGGTGACTCCGTCATGGCGAAAGATCCCGCGTTGCAGATTGACAAGCTCGCCTCGGCGCTCTCGACGCTCGTCGATTCGGCGGGAACGAACGCTCCGGAGTTTAACGAGATTCAAGCTCCTTCGATGCGAGGCGACGTCGTTTCGCGATACAACGACAAGTTGATCGAAGCGTACACGCGAGTGTACGCCGCGATTTTGAACCCGTCTTCAGGATACGGCTCGGACGCGCGTTCAAAGGTTCGCCACGGCCCCGCCGCGTTGAGCACCGTACTCGGTTAAATGCGTGCGAAACGGGAGAGCGGCGACAAGCATCGCGTGCGTTCGTTTCTTCAATTCTTAGTACTGTATAATACATCGCTATCGACCTCATCTCACTCTCGCCCGACGATCACCTCGGTCCTCCGCGTTCCGCGTCCTCGTCAAACGTCGCGGGGATCAAGTCTTCTTGAAACGCGCCGCGAAAATTGCCGCTCAAAAACTCACTGAACCAATTTCTCGAAGCACCGGTGCGCGTTCGGCTCGATGTGCCGAATTCACCTTCGAATCCATCTCGAAACGCTTCGCTGAAAGCGTCTTCGGCGCCGTCGCTCGGCCAACTTTGCTCATCTTCAACCTCGAAAAAGTCATCGGCGCGCGCCGAAGCGTTCGACGACGACGCACTTGTCGTCCCCAGCCACTCGTCAAACGATACGTCCGCTGAGTAAGGTTTCTCCTGGACTTTTGCCGTCGTCGCTGTCGTCGTCGTCGAATCCACGTCCTTCGTCAAGGCATCAACATCGATGATTCGCACGAGACCCCCGCCCTCGTCCTCCGCAGACGGCGGGCGGTTCGACGCGCGCGTTTGCGAGAAGTCGACCTCGGCGACGTCGTCTTCGAAATCAAAGTCACCAGCGTTGAGATTGAATGCTTTTTTGAACTCATCCAACGCTTCGTCGCCCCACTGGCGAACTTCGACGGTGACATCTTGCGCCGCGCGAAACGCCTCCTTCGCCTTTAAACGATCTCCAAACGCCTCACTAAAAACTTCCGCACCGCGCTCGAACGCCTTGGCGTCGAATGCGTCGAACGCGCCGTCGCCATAGATGTCTTCGTACTCAAAATCCGCCGATCGTCGTTTCCGCTCGCGCGCCGCCGCGCGCCGTCGCTCGTCGAAATCTTCTCGCCGCCGACGCCCTCGCGGCGTCGAATCCGTGGCGTACTCGTACATTCCAGCCGCTCGACCCTTCGCGTCGGCTCCGTCGTCGTTCCCTAGAGCCACGGCCAAGCACAGCACAGCACCGATGACGACAACGCCGTAAATCAATCGACTCGCCGACAACAGCGCGAAGGCACCCCATCCGCACGCCACGATGAAACGTATGACGTACATCGGCACCGAGCGCGGCAGTAACACATCCAGCGCGCGCGTGAACGCCTCGCTCACGTTCGTCAGCGCCACATACGCGAGTTTCAGTATGTTTGCGCTCATCTCAAAACCTGACCCACGATCGCGCGCGTCTCTCGTCCTCGACGGCTCGTATTCGTCGCGTTCGTCGAACTCGTCGCCGCCGCGTCTCCCTCGCGCGCGTCCCGAAAAGTCAAAGTCACCTCGCTCGCGTCCTTCGCCGAATCGTCCGCGCGGTGCGCGCTCGAACACGTCGAAGTCGCCTTCGTCCCACGACGCGTACGAACTGCTCGTCCCCGTCGACGACGACGCTCTCGCGCGCGCGTTCTCTTTCCGAATGGGCGCGCGCGTTGACAACGGGCGCATGACGACGACGCGGGTCGTCGCTCGCGCGACGCCGCGCGCGACGCCGCGCGCGGGCGCGCGCGCGCGGTGTCGCGACGCCGATAACATCGTCGTCGCGCGCGCGGTCGACATGACGCGACACGCGTCGCAGAGTCGCGTCGGCTCGGCGCGCGTCGCAGAGTCGGCGCGGACGACGTCGCCAGACGACGGCGCGCGACGCGACGATCGCGAGGAGCCGTGGAATCGAGACCGCGTCCATCGCGCGCGTCGACGGTGATGTCCGAACGCGTCGACGCGCACGCGCGCGCGACGACGACGACGGGCGGCGCGGACGCGAGCGGCGGCGGCTTTTCGAAGAAGATTCTCGGGTTAAAGGTGCGCGCGACGCGACGAGACGGGACTCGGGGAACGGCGAACGCGTCGAAGACTCGCGCCGACGCGTTGACTGACGGCGCGGGCGACGTCGGGGCGTAGTTTATGCAAAGAGCGAAGGAGAAGGAACGACGCGAGGACGACGCGAGCGCGAGCGCGGCGCTGATACCGGCGAATAAAAACGCGGTGGACGATCGACCGGAACCGGCGATATTCGCCAAGAATAGAGCGTTGATTAATTTGCCGAAAATTCGCAAGAAGGAGGACGCCGCGGCGGAGGTGCCGTTCAACGGTTTAGGGCGCATTTCGTTTGGCGGCGCAAATCCAGAGGTGGAACTCGCGCACGAGAAGTTGAAGGAGCAACGAAGACAGTTGAAGGCGTTGAAACAGGCGCGCGCGAGTAACGATGCAGATGTGGCGGATGATGAGATGGCTGCGGCGGCGTTCGCGGCGAAGAAATCGAAAAAGAAGCGAACGGCGGGGAGCGATTTTGGCTTCGTCAAGCCGCCCGCGCTCGATTCGAAAAAGCAAAAGAAAGGACAACATTAGCGACGCGCAGTCAGTCTTGTAGCAAGAGATCCATTCATATTTGAACTCAATTTCATTCGTTCGTTTACAACACAAAGACGTCGCCGCTGTTAATCAAACATGCGAGAGTCGGAGGGCGGTTGGAGCTGCACGATGCTCGGCATTTCGGTGCCAAAGTACCTGTCGCCGAACTCACCGACGCCAGGAAGAACCTTGTTATCATCGCTCAATCCTGCATCGACCTCTGACGTGATGACCTTCATGCGCGGGTATCTCGTGCACAGGTGGTGCACGCCTTGAGTGGACGCGATGACGGTGAGGAAGAGAATTTTCTCCTCTTGCACGCCGCGCTCGAGGAGCAAATCGATCGCCGATTGTGCGCTCACGCCCGTGGCTAAAATAGGGTCCAGCAACAGCACATAGCGATCGGCGATGTCGTGCGGAAGTTTTTCGTAATGGATTCGCGAGTTGTACATCACCGGAGAAGACAAGTCACCCGAGGCGCTCGCTTGGCGCGCTATCATCCCATCCTTGTCGCGACGCTCGATGAGCAATTTCCCAATTTTGATCCCTTTGCAACACGCGCGCAAAGCATTCTCCATAGCCTCTCCCGATCGAATGATGGAAACCCCGCAAAGCTTGCTGCAAAACGTGACGCCCTTGTACTGGTCGCCCGTCGGCGTGAGGACGACTTGCTCGCTAAACGGCAAGTGTCCCAACCCATGTTCGACGACGAGACGAATGATGCGGTCGCTGTAAAAGACGAAATCGCTTCTATTTACCCGGCGATCGCGTATGATGGTGTGCATGCCTCTGATTTGGAACTGCGGCGGCAAAACCACCAAGTTGCGATAAATGCGCCGCAAATCATTTTGGCCGAGCTTTGTTCGAATGTGCTGGACGATGAGATCGATGGCCACCGTGTTCTCTCCTTGCGCCCACGGAATGATGACATCGGCATATTTCTTGCTCGGCGACACAAAGGTGTCGAACATCGGCTTCACGAACGTCGTGTATTGTGTGATGACGCCATCGACGCTTCGTCCTCTATCCACGGTGTCTCGCTTCAACCGCCTCGCCAATCTCAAATCATCGTCCGTGTCCACGAACACTTTCATGTGGCACATCGCTCGAATCTCTTCCATCGCCAACACTAGAATGCCCTCGATGATGATCACATCGCCGCTCTCGATGTGAATCTTTTCGTCGCTTCGCGAGTGCGTCACGAAGTCGTACACCGGAATGTCCACCGACTGTCGAAGCATCAACTTTTGCAGCACTTCCACCAAGTACTTCGTGTCGATCGCATCTGGGTGATCGAAATTATACGCCCCCACATTTTCGTGCTCGTACGCCGTGAGCGGGCGATAAAACGAATCCTGCGCTATCAACACCACGCGTTGCTCTTGCAAGTTTTGCATGATGAGATCACACACCGTCGTCTTCCCACTCGCCGTCCCACCGGCGACGCCGATCAGAAACGGTTCGCGATTACCGCCGCATCGACTGACGCGTTCATCGAACTCGGTGACGTACTTGCCATTCGTTCCCCGTCTCGCCTTGCCAGCGCTGCAGTTGTTTTCGAGCATCTTCGTGAAATACTTGGTCGGGCTCCCGACCTCGGGCGAGTGTTCGAAGTGCGCGGGTGAGTGCGCACCGTTCCCGCCGTTCGGGTTCAGCTTGCTCACCGCCGCGTGAGGCGGCGAGGACGGCTCGGGGAGACGCGTCGGAGGAAGATTTTGATTTCGAGTCGACACGTTATCGTCGCTCGCGATCACGAGCCGGTCGAGAGCGCCGGAGACGGCGCCGGTGGAAGGCATCCGTGCGCTCACGGCTTCCGTTCGCGCGCGCGGGCGGCGTGTGAGTCGGGCGTCGGTAACGGCGTTGGTGACGGCGCGTTCGAGAGGCGAGCTCTGCGGTGTCGCTTCGCGTTCGCGCGTTCGGAAAACTAAAACTACCTGACTACGTGCTACCTCGCTAACGCGCCCGCCGCGGCGCCGCCTATGTGTTATGTGATATCGCGTCGCGCGTCCGTTAATCGAATTCAATCTTCGCAGCGACTGGAAGATGGTCGCTCGGGTGTCCGGTGTTCGGCAAGCCTTCGCCGAGAGTGTCTCGCGCGGGCTGTTCATCCACGGCGACGACACGAACACCGGATGACAGAAACACATAATCAATGCACGCAGTGAAACTCGGCGTGACGTTCGTGAACTGTGGTTCTCGTCCATTCGAGACAGACGTGAAAGCCGCGTTCATCGCGCCGTACACGTCGCTTTGCGGATCCGAGTTGAAATCGCCGCCGATGATGACGTGCACGGGACGCCCTTCGGCTCGAATTAGCGCCTCGTCGCGAAACTTGACGCACTCGGCGATCAACATTTTCGCCTGCGCGAGCTTTACGTCGGCACATTCCGGATCCCAGTACAGGTGAGTCGACGCGAAGACGACGAGCGCGCCGTCTTTGATTCGCCGAAGCAGCGTTAAATTCCCCACGCAGTCTCGCAAGTACCGTCGACGCGCCTCGTTTTCGTTCGTTTCGTCGTTCGCATCGTCTCGGCCGTACAAATCGTAGCCGATATCGTTGTATTCCAAATTCCGCGAATCTTCCAAAGCGAACGTCGACGCGCGCCACGCCACGCAGCTTCCATCCTTTTTCGCGTTACTCTTCTTCGTCCGCTGCACGTACCGCGACTCGTACCCGTGTTCGCGCAACCAAGACTTCCATCGCGCGTCGTTCTCTTCGCTCGGCTCGTACCCATCGAGCTCTTGAAGCGCCATTAAGTCGGCGTCGAGCGCGAGTAGTTTTTTCTGTACATTCGCGCGGCGCGCTTTCGACTTCATCAGCGCGCGCGGCGTCCACGGAAACCACGCGCTCTTGGCGTATACTTGCGCGAGGATGTTGTATGTGACGACTCGAACGCTCGTCGCCGCGGCGGCGTTTTGCGCCATTTTTGTCGCGCACGCGCGCGCGCCTTCAAGTGTCGTTGGTGCTGTTTCGCGCTTCGCTCGCAATCATTCACTATTGTTTACAATGCTACTGTACCGTGTAGGCGATCTATCGTTATCGCACGCACTTCTCTTCGAATAATTCCTGCACTCGGTGCTGCAACGCGCGGTCGATGTCCAACTTTGCTTGCGTCGTGATGGATGGGTGCACGAGCCACGCCGAGTCTACGTTTTGTAAGACGTAGTGGTCGATGATGGTGTCGTCCGTTCCAGTGAACAACACGGAGATCAACTCATCGTACGCTGTGTTATGCAGCAAATACATGTCGCTCGACCTCAAATCGCACCCACCGGCGTTTAGGCGACACAGTTGCCCCTCGGCGCGCGTGTTGACGCAGTGACACTGCGTCGGGCACACCAAATCGTCGCGAGTGGCTGTGGTGACTTCCACCATCCCACCAGTCGATGACTTTTTAATCTCAAACTTTTCAAATAAGTGCGGCCGCACCGACGGACGAATCAATTTCCACGCCGGCGGTCCTCCGCCACCCGAGCCGAGCTTCACGCGCCCCAAACTCGCCGACTCGCCTTCGAATTCGCCGCCGATGAGCGTCAAGAGGTCAGCTTCGGTCTCGGAATGTACCTCGACGTCGGCGTTGACTACAGCATCCTCCTCCATGACGGTAATATGCTCAAATCCGTTTTCCTTCGCGTGCTTCGCGATCATCCCGTGCGACATGGACACGCGGGTGTAATGAGATTTGTACCAAACGCCCGTCGACGCAGCCGTGCACCTGTCCAGCACCTTGCCGCTCACGCATGTCGCCTTGCCTTCAAATTCTTTCGGCACGCGAATCGTGGTGTTTACGGACGCGCAATTCTGCGTCGTCAATATATAAATTTGATCCGTGGCGGCGATGACGCGATTGATAGGGGTGTCATTCGATGCTTCCGCGATCGCGGGGGTGAACGCCACTTCGCACAGCATGTCTGAGAGCGAGCTCAGATGTATGTGTCGTCTCGCGCGCGCCTGTGGCGTCTCACCAGCAAACATCAGTGCGGCCACGCACGCACACGCACACATGACCATCGTTATTGCGCTCCATCTCGCGCGTTTCAGTGGCTGAACCCATCGCCGAGACTCGCGCCCCAGCGTTTCGCTTGGCGCGGCTTCGGCGCCTCCTCGCGCCTCCTCGCGCCGCGACGTGGTCGCGAACGACGTCGCGGCGACGTATCGCTCGCCACCAGCGAACAAAGAAGCCACGCTCATCGCTCGTTCGCCCTCTGTGGTTCGTTTCGTCGTCCCGAGCAGCGACTCGGTCTCGTCCAACTCTCGAGCCAACGCTTCGAGCATCTCTTGCCTGGACACGTCCACCTTACCAGTCGGCGTCGGACGGCGAACAATCGCCGCGGACGCCTCGCGCGCGCTCTCACGCTCGTGTTCTTTCGTTTCTCTCGCCCGCACGTCGCTCACATCGCGCGAGTTCACGATCGACGCCTCCGCGAACGCGGTAACACCATCGGACGTCGTCGCGACGGCGTCGCGCGCACTTTCGAGCGTCGCCTCGAGCGCGCGTGCGCGGGACGTGCCGGCGTCAACATCGCGCGCTTTCGCGTTCGCGATCGCGTTCGCGTTCGCGCGTGACATCGAGAGCCGTCGACGCGGTCTGCCGAATCTGGGTGTTCACTGCGCCGAATCACGGTGTTCACTGCCCTGCGGGTGTTCGCGCCTAGGGTTGGGGCGCGTCTTGAGCGGTGCGTACGCATAGTTACATGTGTAAAGAATTCATAAATGATCACTTCCCGTCGATCGGGGCGATGACGGAGTCGTCGAAGACGGGTAAATCTGGGAGTCGGATCGTCGGCACGACGGCTTCGTCTTCGTCCGCGGGCAACGCGTACGGCGTCTCTTCGGCGCACATGTCGACGAAGAGTTTGTGCCAACGCGCGTCGGCGGTGATTTCGGGATGGAACGACGTCGCGAGTAACTTTCCTTGTCTCACCGCGACGACGACTTCGTTCAAGCCCTCGTCCGCGGTCCCGACGAGTTTTTGTTTCTTCGCCTCCGGGAGCGCGTACTTCGCGAGCACCTCGACGTCGGGCCCGCACGACGTGATGGCGGGCGCGCGAATGAACACCGCCCGGAACGGCGCGTCGTCGTCGCCGTTCGACGTCGTCGCCGTCCACGGAATCATGCATTCAAACGAATCGATCTGTGACCCGAAAAAGTTTCTATTCACCCCGACGTCCAAGCCGCCGAGAAGCTCTTGTCCGCCTTCCTTGCCCCCTCGCTCGAGGCGTTCGGCTAAGAAAATCAACCCCGCGCACGTCCCCCACACGCACCTCCCGCTCGCCTGGAACGCTCGCAACGGTTCGAACAGCCCGAACCTTCGCGCGATGTTCGCCATCGTCGTCGACTCCCCCCCCGGAATGATTAAACCTCGCACGTCGCGCAGGTGACACCCCTTGCGCACCTCCACCGCGCGCGCGCGCGGGTGCGCCTTGCGCACGAGCGCGGCGTGCTCGCGGAACGAGCCCTGAATCGCGAGCACGCCGATCAAGACGTCGCGCGCGTCGTCGTCGTCGGCATCCGTCATGGCGATGTGCTCCCACGACCCGCTCATGCGCGACGCGCGATGCCGGCGTCGAGGGCGGCGGTTCGACGTCACGCGCGACGCGGGCTCGATCGGCGAGACCGCGACGACACGGACACGGATTTTTTGTACGCTCTGGACGCCGGAAGCGCGATGGAGTGATGGATGGATGTCGTCGCGGTGTTGCGCGCGTCCGCGTCACACCGCCGCGTTCGAGCGCCGCGTCGCGCGCGTCGTCGTCGCAGACGTCGTCGTCGTCGTCGCATGCCGTGGCGCGCCGGCGCGCCGCGGTGCTTCGGCCGCCGCGCGCGCGCGTCGTCGAGAGATATCTTCGGCGATGTCGACGCGAACGGGACGTCGCGCAAATCGTCGACGTCGACGTCGACGGGATCGGGGGGAACGGTGATCGTGTACGGGCTCAGCGCGGATCCACCGACGGACGTCGGCGGCCACGGGAGCGTGGTGCGGGCGTTACGGGCGTGCGAAGGCGTGGACGAGGTGCGCGTGACGCCGGTGTACGCGCACGCGTACGCGGAGAAGAGACTCGCGACGACGTCGTACGAGGCGCGAGTGGAGATGTGCGCGCTGGCGTTCGAGGGAGCGGTGATGGACAGCGACGCTGACGTCGGTAAACACGCGACGCTGGCGCCCGCGGGATCGAGAGGCGTCTCCGCGAGCGACGACGACGCGGGCGAGACGAGCGCGGCGGGGACGAAGGCGGCGCGCTTGGTCGTGTCTCGGGCAGAATACAGAGCTTCGCTCGAGCACAGAGGAGGCTTGGCGAACACCAAACCTGGATCCACGGCGGCATTGATGGACGTGCTTCGGCGCGAGCAACCGGATACGACTTTCATTATTTGCGTCGGCGAGGACGCGTTTGACGATTTAATCAGCGGGAAGTGGTTCAGAGGTGAAGACTTGTTGCGCGACTACGCGTTCATTGTCGCACCACGACACGGATATGAATCGCGTCGTGAGCGAAATTTTGGCGCGAGTGGACACGTCACGCGAGACATTCGCAGCGTCTCCTGGTTGGAGGCGCACGTCACCGCGCCGGCGGGCGCGCCGGTGTCCTCGACCATGATTCGACGCGCGTTAGAGCAGAGGCAAGAGTGCGAGACTGCGGAGCAATTGTTGCAAGATTGCGCTCCCACTCGAGCGCTTCATCCCGACGTTTTGCAGTACATCGTCGACAAAGAGCTCTACGTCGCCGATGAGTTCCAAGACGCCGTCGGCGACGACCTGGACTCAGATGCGGACGCCGACGCGCCGTCCACGCCGACGAAAGATTTGGGGTATTTAGGTCGAAAGTTTGCGGGCATGACAACGGAGCCGAGTGCGTATTTTAGCCGAGACAAGTCGTTCACCGACGCAAAGGACAGGCACGGCTTGCTCACCGAATCGCGCCCGCTCATCGGCAAGGAAGTCGACGTACACGAGCACATCAAAGCCGCGGTTCCTCGCGACGAATTTACGTCGTTCAAGGCGTTGCCGTACGAGCTCTTCGATCGCGCGATACGCACCGAGCTTCAGAACCATCCGCCCGGCAAATGGAATGCTGATAAAGCAAAAAAGTACGCGTTCATGTCGGCGGAACGCGTGCGCGTCGTGTTGCAGTGGCGCAAGGACAACAAGGTTGACGAATTGCTCACTGGTGGCATATTGCCATATTCAGACTGCATGTACACGAATTGGCCCGCGTTCGTGCACGGTCAAGACTCGTACGGACACCCCGTGTTGTGTGAGCATCCGAGCGCCGTGAAGCCAGACGCTTTGAAGGCGCGCATGACCGTCGACGAAATAATGCGGCACAGGATTCAAGTGATGGAGACGTTGGAGTTCATGAAATCGACCTCCCAGCGCGCGCACACGGTCTACAAGCACATCTGCGTGATTGACTTGGAAGGGGTCACGATGTCGCTGTTCACGGGTGACGTGAAATCGTTTCTGACCGAGTTTGTCAAGCTTTTGACGCATCGCTACACCGATTCGTTGCACCTGATGTATCTCGTGAACACGCCGGTGGTCTTCCGCGTCATGTGGGCGATGCTAATGCCGTTACTGTCGACGACGACAAAGTCGAAAATTTTCATGTTTGGCGTAGGACCCAACCAAAGTAAGAAACTCGCAAAGCAGCTCGCACGACACGGGATAGGGCAGGAATGCGTTCCGCCGTGCGCGGGTGGAACGCACAAAGGAACGAGGATGGACGAATACATTCGAGAAGCTGTTACGCTGCACAAGCGTTTGAACGAGCACGTCAAGTAGTACTAGCGACGTAGCGCCGAATCACGTAATCGTGATTCGGTTGTAACAACAACATCGGGACACATGAGCACAAATCATCTCATCAGTTTCACCGCTATGTTCCTATTCGCCTACGCACTAAATCGGGACCGCGAGCGCGCAATTCGTGTACGTCCTTCACGCCGAGCAAACCCATCGCGCGTTTCGTCTCGCTCGTGAGTATTTCAAACGCTTTGTTTACGCCCGCGCCTTCGCCCGCGGCGAGACCGTACAAGTACGCCTTACCCACCCCCACGGCATTCGCTCCGAGAGCGAGAGCCTTGACGACATCGACGCCACGCATGATGCCACCGTCGTAAATCACCTCCGCTTCCTCGCCGACGGCTTCGCGGATGGACGACAAGACGTCAATGGGCGCGACGGCGCTCTCCAACTGTCGAGCGCCGTGCGACGTCACCCACACCGCGTCGTACCCAATATCTCGAGCGCGCACCGCGTCGTCGGGACGCAGAATCCCTTTCATCGCCATCGGACCATCCCACTGCGCGCGAAACCACTCGGCGTCTTTCCAATCAAACGCAGCGTCGAACTGTTTTGTCGCAAATTCTGCGATTGGCAGCGCGTCTCTGAGCAAACCGTCGCGCTTCAAATCGCGAATGAGCGCGTACTCGATGCGCTGTGATATGAGATATTCAAGCGTCCACCTCGGCGCCGCGAGAGCTGCGAGAGTTGTCCGTAAAGAGTGTTTGGGCGGTACACTGAATGAGTTTCGCACGTCTCGCTCCCGATTTCCGAACCACGTCAAGTCCGTCGTCAACGCGACTGACGAGAATCCAGCCTCCTTGGCGCTCGCCAAGACGTCTCGCATCAGCTCTCGATCTTTCCACACGTACACCTGGAACATTTTCCGATCGGCTTTCAACGTCGCGACGCCCTCCGCGATGTCTCGCGGAGAGCGGGTGCCGAGAGTGCTCAACGCAAATACTCTGTTGCTCGTCGAGCACGCCTCGGCGGTCGCCAACTCGCCGCGCCGCGGTGCCCATAACGCGTGACCGGCGGTCGGCGATGGGAAAATGCACTCCGTGTTCGTGTGTCCTAAAAACGACGTCTCGAGCGACACGTCGTCGACGCCGCGACACGTCGACGGGTGAAACTCTAATTCATCGAACGCCGCGCTCGCGCGACGCAGCGCCTTCTCATCGTCCGCACCGCCATCTAAATAGTCGAACGCGAACGAAGGTTGGACCTTGCGCGCGAGCGCGCGCAAGTCTCGCGCGTTCAAGCACGCGCGCAGCGCTTTGGACGACGCCATGCGACGGCGTGTGTCGCCAGTGTTCGCCTCGCTTCGAGCGACGCATGCGCGCCGACGCCCGCGACGCCGGCGACGACGACGCGTCGGCGACGTCTTCCAAAGGTGCGGGGGGCGAACTCGAGCTCGATGGCGCGGGAGGAGCACTGGAAGACTTGAGAACGAAGCTGCACGAGGCCGAACGCGCGGCGCGCGAGAGCGAGCTCGTGGCTCGGTCGAAGGTTTCAAAGGCGTTCGAGCGGTTGAAGGACGCCGACGCCGCGGCGAACGAGGAACGCGAGCGAGCGGCAAAGCTCGAGCGCGAGCTCGAGCGAGTGAAGGCATCGTGCGAAGAAACGAGCGAAGCGCTTCAAGCGGCGAACATAAAGGTGAGCGTACTCACCGCTCAAGTCGCGGCTCTCGCCGACGAACCGACGTCGCCGTCCAACGCCAAGGCGAAGAAAGGAAAGGCCAAGACAAAGTCGAAGCCTTCAGACGCGACTGTTGATGTGGCGATGGTGAATTCAATGCTCACCTCGGCGAATGAAAAGCTGAAGCACGAAACCGAAGCGCACGAAGCGTCAAAGCGCGCGACGGCGTCGCTCGAAGAAGAAATCAAGCGTCTGAAACCGCTCGCGCAGATGACGGAGACGATGAGAGCAGATCTTACGTGTGCAGTCGCGGAAGCGAATGAGGCGAAATCAAACGCTGAAAATTGGAAAAAGCTGGTAGACTCTAAAGAACAATCGTCGGGTGTGAACGAAAGAAAGCTTCGCGAGGCGTTGACGCGACTCAACACGGAATTGCACGAGGCGAAGGAAAAAGTTCGCGCGCTCGAAGTCGCCAACGAAGACGCTATGCGCACCGGCACGATGTTGCAGCAGCAAGCCGTGGAAGCTGGCGAGCGCATCACTCGAAGTCTCCGAAGTCGTCTCGACGAGGTAAACGATGAAATGAGCGAACTGAAGAGGAGAGAAGCCGTAGCCGCGGCTGAAGGCCACGCGGCGTCCGAGGCGATTCGCCGAGCCGCAAAATTTGAAGAGGAACTCAAGCGTGCGAAACATCGCCTCGCGGACGCAGAAATGGCTCTCGTAGACAGTGAGTCAGCTGTCAAGGCGTTACAGTTTCAGCTCGATTTGAGCGGAGAATCCACGTATCGCGACGACTCGAGCGTGCGACGCGAAACGCGTTTGCGAAACGAGCTCGAGGAGACGATCGCTCACGCCGCAAAATCGAGCGCTGAGATTGAACGCCTCGGCGATATCGTTAAAAAGTTAGATGACGAGCTCACGACGGCTCGCGAAGTCGTAAAACGGCTCACTGAAGAAAACAACTCGCTCATCAATCGCGTCGACGCGGCGGAAAAGAAGAACGAGATTCATTCCCTCCTCGGCGCGACGAGCGCGAAGCACGAAGACTTGGAATTGCTCCAAACGACGGCGAGTAAAGTGGACTTGATCGTGGCTGAAAATCAGCGATTAGCGTCTGAATGTAAGGCGGCGCACACCGCGCTGAAGACCGCAGAGGACACGGCGAGGACGGCGAAGTCGGCGCTGGCGAGCGAACGCGAAGAATTCGAAGTGTGGAGGCGCAAGGCGAGGGAAATAATCGATTCCAAAGACCGCGAGATTGATCGTATACGCGCCCGCGGAGATGATAAGCAACCGCCTCCCAAGTCGACGCCGACAGCAATGCTCAAGCGCAAAGGCGGCGCCGAGGACGACGCTTCGTACATCAAGGCGGTGTTACTGCAATTCCTCGGCGAAGAGGAATGGGAGGTGCAGCAAAACTTGCTCCCCACCGTTATCGCGCTGTGTGGCGGTACATCGGAAGATTTGCGGAAAATTCAAGCGAATCGCGCTAATTTAGAACCGACGTTCGTGCACTCGACCGAAGTAGCAATCTCGAAATCTCTGGAGCAGGGCGCGATGACTGTCGCGTCGACGGCGAATTCTTTCACCGAGAGCATCGGTTTGGGGCGATTTTTTTCGAGCGCGTGACGAAACAATAGATTAGGTAGAAGATGGCAAGAAATAGAAGATGTAAAATGCAAAGCGACCCACACGCACGCATCGCCGTCGCCGTCCCTGGTAAACCACACGGGGATCGCAAATGCGACCGCGGGCTAAAAATAGAAGAAACAGGAATGCAAAGCGATTCACTTACGTCGCCGTCGCCGTCCCCGCGTCGTCTCCCAGCGCGCGTCGCCGCACTCGCCTCCCTGAAAATACGGTTAGAATTTAGGGTTTTGGGTTTAGGGTTTTTGGGTTTAGGGTTTAGGGTTTAGGGTTTAGGGTTTAGGGTTTAGGGTTTAGGGTTTAGGGTTTAGGGTTTAGGGTTTAGGGTTTAGGGTTTAGGGTTTAGGGTTTAGGGTTTAGGGTTTAGGGTTTAGGGTTTAGGGTTTAGGGTTTAGGGTTTAGGGTTTAGGGTTTAGGG